TGTCCAAATTCACACTTCCGGATTGGGCTTTCAGAGATCGCCAAGGTTGAACACCACTTTAATATTTATTTACGTGCCCAAACTAGTTTTTTCGGGGTGTTCTTTCTCTGTGTGTGATCTTCCTTGGATATTTTAATAAAGTTCCGTTGTACTTTTTCGTTATTTGTGTGTTGTTAAATGGTCAACTTGACGCGTCAGTAAAGTTGTCAAATTGCTCCGTAAATTTGATTGTCGAACCGAAACTTTTTGGAAAATTTTTGTAGATTTTTGCAAATAAATGTAGAAATTTAAAATTCTGGGAAATAAATTGATCCTTCCTGTCAAAACTACCGGTGGAATAAGCAGGAATAGCTAAGTCTATGTCAAGCATAAAAGCCTCGTACTTTCGTACATCAGAATTTTCAATTTAGCCAAAATGATGACAACTTGACGTCACTTTGAAAAATGCTGTTACATTCGCAACCTTTCCATTAAAAATTCGGTAATTTAGAGGCGATAAATAAAACATTTGACAATTTTAATAGTAAAATACACGGTAATCGGGGTAGTAAATGGGTGTGATTTTTCAATTCGTTTTATTTATTTTTTTCTAGACAAACATCAATCAAAAAAGTTTACTTCCGCAATGCGAATTGTAAAGTAAACAGCCAATTTGGCCAAACGGCCAAGTATGGATCGTTCCTGATGAATTACTGGCTGTTTTCCGCAAAGTGCTCGGGACTTTCCAGGCGCTCGATTAGATTGTTTTTCGGTTGGTGCTGAGACAAAAGCTGGTAACCGCAAATCTGTCTGAGAATTTTAACTTTGAGTTAACTCTGACATAGCAAATACTAAACTTAATTTTGACAACTTTTTTTATTATAAATGAAAAAAATGTAAAATGGATTATAATGGATTCCGCCCACTTTAATTGCCTAATGTAACGGAAATGATAACTTTGAAAAGTTTTAGAAGTCTATTCCGGTTACATTGTAATGTTAGTAGTTTTTCTCATCGTTTCAAGTTTTAATTAATTCTCATTTAAGGCCAAAGACTTGGAATTTCCTTTTTTTACTAGTTGTATATACTGGTCATTGTAGTGCCCTTGGGCGGTATTGTATACGGAAATCAACCAAGAACGGCTTATGTTTAGCATTAGAAAACCATAACTGAATTATTTACAGCACTTATCCTCTTGTTTTCGGGGGAAACCGGTGAATGAGGAAAGTTTTTTTTTCGTTTCGGGTTCTGAATCGGTAATAATAACCTGTTGCATGAGACCTGCTAAGGGCCTGATACTTAGAAAGATCAGGTCTCTGGAATACGGAAAACTGGCCTCTTTGAAAAGTTCGGTTAGTGCGTAACAACAGCAAAGTTTTGTGTGTGAAATTTTTTAGGAATTCACGGAAGGAATCAGATTTTTTGAAAGATTGGAGTCTCTTAAAAATTGTCCTACACTAGCGCGGGCTTTTGCCTAATTCTGTTCGCCCTAGGGAATATTTATCCTGTTTAGAGGCATCGACTCTTGACAAGTCATCATCGAAACTGATGACTAAAACATCGTCTAAAAAATTATTTTTGGCGTTGTAATCTTCGGTGCTCTTAAAAATTCAATTTCCATGACCTCCAGACATTCATCTCTCATTTACTATTGGCAAATCCTTATTTATCTTGCTGATTTCTGATCAAGAATTCACACTTTATATATCAATTCCTGCAAAAACAAATTCCACGCGACATTATAAGTTCCAGAGACATTACTTTTCCCCAAACAATTGGTCATTAGTAAATGTAAATTTACATAAAAATGATCAAAACAATTCTACTGTAAGTCCTTGGATTTGTTTATCCGCCCTAATCCCAATTGTGTTTGCAGAGAAACTGTTAAAAATTGTAACGATAGGGTGGGAGGAGGGCGATTAAAGAGAGCGGAAATCCAAATTCTCTCTGCAAAAGTCGGGAAATAATTCGTTGGTGGTGGGCTTGGGATTACGTGATTAAAATAAGGTGCAAACTTGGGGGAAATGTCTTCTATTTCTATGATGTTCCAGGCTAATCCCGTCAGAGTATATGGCTTCTGAAATGACTTTCTTTTATCCACCTTATTTCTTACTTTTCTCAAATGTTTTCTTATTTTCGACACGTAAAAAGTAAGCGTATTTTGGGGAAAATAACCTAAATGACATTATAAGTGACGACTTTTGAAAAGCTATATGACACGGCAAGCATTTTCGGCTGTTTTTTTGAAATTAGAAGGCCTGATGAACTAAAAATGCAAACCTACAAATATGAAACCACTTGTATCAACTTTCTCCTTTGTTATTTACATTGTTGATAGCTGAATGATCATGCTCAATTTACTTGTATTTCCCATTGTTTTGTGTGAACATAAGATGAAAGGTAGTTCAAGTCGACGATGAATGGATAGTGCATAGATTTATCTTGTAGCTGAATTCATGCTATTCATTAGATGTATTAGGTTGGACGGAAAGTTCGTACGATTTGCTACCCAACTTTAAAATTAATTTTTTTTACGCCGCGACCGACTGTCCACCGTAGATACCTAGTATATACAAGAGTACAGCGTGCAGATTTATGTGAAATGTGCCAGTCCTTAGCTCGACCAAAACGAACATAATTATAAGAGGTCCTCCGCTTTGGGGTAGTTTCGGGTGGGGTGCGGAATGCAAGCTCTAGTTTCCAAACCGTTTTTGCTGAAGCTCTGAAACTTTTTAGGCTATTTCTAGTGGTCTATCCGACTATGTTAACCACAGTTAAAACTCTTAAGAAAGTCTGTGGGATAAAATAATAGCTATTGTTTCAACCAAATCTTCAGAAAACGCCCCGCTTGAAAAAGTTTTTTTATTACTCCACGCATTGCTGATGGTCTGTCCGTATAACAGGGTTCAGTGAGGCACACGGGTAGCCCTTTACGTGCTACATGAATAACCCGGATCGTAGACGCTTCGGGTTAGGTGTAAAGAGGCAAAATTGCCACAAATATATAGCTCTAGAGAAATGCGTGTGATTTGCTGACAATTAACAATGGTTACCCATTGCTTTATAAAGTAGTAGAACGAGACAGAGGCTCCATTTTCCACCCTAGAAAAGGAGGATTAGAAAACTGCTTTGAGCTGTTTTTTGAATTTTACGAATTGCTCCGATAGTTCACAAGCGAGTTTTTGAAAAATAAATCATTGAGTTCTGTCATGTTACGCAGTAAAACAATTGGCTAAGGACGGGTAGCTAAGTGTAAGGGAGTGTCGTTAGTTTTGGCATATCATAGTTAAACCCATAGGAATACATCGGCAAGCGACTGTTGTAAATCATATTCAAACTTGGTGGGTCTTGCTAAAGTCAAGTTTTCTGGCTATGTTTTGATTTAATCCCCGACTACTTCACGCATATTAAGAGCATCAAAAGAAAGCTTTTTAGCAGTGCCAAAACAGTTTCTTATTATGTCTTATTAAACAAACCAGCTAAGGATCTCTACTTGTAGACCAAAGATGGGTAAATGTCTAAATTAAGTTCTCAGTTCGTACATGCTTAAGATGGCTGAGGGTTGTACTGCCAGATAGGGATGCCTGTCCCCTACCAATACCATATATTTGTGTTTGTCTTTTTCCATCAGCGCAAGAAAAAGTAGCAGCAGTAAAAAATCGTACGAACTTTCCGTCCAACCTAATAAATCACAGTGTATTTTCTTATAATTTGGCATAGGAGTTTGTTTTGTCCTTGAACTTATACAATGAAACCACTGACTGAATTGTATTTTGAGGGGTCTGTAGACTCTCTAAGGCATTAAAAATTCCATTTCCGTTAGCTCTATATATTTTTTCAAGAGTATTGGCCAGCCCTTTATTTATCTTGTTGATTTCTGGCCTAGAATACAAAATTTATGTTATCAGCTAAGATGAAAACGAATCCCAAACGATATTCTTCGCATAAATTTTCTTGTTCTGGCATGTCTACGTCTTGTTAAATTTTCCCCAAACATAAGATTCTCCTTCAGTAAAAAGTTTATTAACAATGAACCCTAAGTTTAACATTACAGTAATTTATTCAAATTGCAGAATTTAAGTCATCTTAAGTCTTCTCCTATTCATATATTTCCGCCGTTCTTCACCACGTTTTCCATTACAAATCCGAATCATGTGCATTTCCCCGCTTCCAAATGCAAGGTGCCGTTTGAGGACATTCGAGAATGAATGTTCCCGTTTCGTGTCTCAGCATCATGTTTCCTTCCTCTCGGCTTCTAATTGCGGTCTAATTCCCGACTTATCATACCATCACCTATACTCTTTAATAATTTACCAGTAATTAAACGAAATACAGACTCCGCCCCTTAAATTTCTTGGGTAAATGTAGTGTTAATGTAATCCCCTCTGGGTTTGTGGTGAGGGTGATATTTATATGAGAAAATGAGGCAGAGGATGTGAAGAGTCAGAGTCAGAAGGCGTGATAATTACATCAACTTTATGTTGGAGTAGGTAGGTGATGTTTCGATGTGCAGTGTTCCAAAAGACGACTGTTTTATTTCTGCGAATTTGGGACATACAATATGTCTGATTTGGCACATATGATATGATCCTTGAAAATTTTGGCTCACACTTTGCAAAACCGAAAGGTGTTCAATCAATATTTTTAGCAAAAGGCTAGGGGAAATGATGAAAAATGAGGAGAGAAGCACATTCGTTGGCATAAATTTGGCCCGTTTTTCCTTCATTTCGGAAGTGCCTCTGTTTTGGTATCTGTAGATATAATACAATTTCGACACTAAAGAGTACTTCAACCTCATCTCCTTTTCGTAAAAATCTCTGGTCTTTTTACCATACCTCCGGCCATCTGTATCCAATTGTTTTCTCCATTATTCCCTTATTTCCATCATGTTTCACCTTATCTCATCATGTTTAAAGGGCCTCTTTCAAACTTCCCCATCCACTAGCAATCAATCTATCCATATGTGACACTTTAACGCTCCTATATGTACTTGCCCTAGGGCAATAACCCATCTGTTCCATATGTGCGTGCCAAAGACTATAAAATGTTTTGGATCTTCTGAATCCCCTCGATTCCAGATGACTTCGGTCAACGATACCGTAGAGCTTCCACAACCAACATGTGGCTACACCGAAGAGTGTGGATTCGGTCGATTCCTGTTCGTCTCCATTGCATCTTCGTTGGCCGTTCTTGGAGCTGCCGCAAACCTTTTATTGGCATATATTTTTACGTTCAAGACAAAAAAGAATACTCCGCCAACATTGTATCCAACAGCGCTAGCATTAATGGACGCAGCACTATGCATCCTGTACTTCTTGTGCTTCGGAGTCGATGTTTTCATGTTGTACTTGAGGATTGAAGTAAGTTGAATCTTTAAAAGAGTAGTGCTCGAGATGAGACAGGCAGGTCTCTCTGAAATTTGGAATAGACGGTCGCCGTTGCTTTTAAAAGTTTTATCTCATGCTTACTTGAGCAGAAAAAGTATATAGGACGATCCCTGAGCTAAACATCTCGGCTAAATCTTGGAAAGGTTTTATCCAAGATCTGCCAATTATCTCCACACTGTTTTTTGTCATCCCTAAAAATTTTACTATTTAATTTATCACTTCTAAAGCACTTACTTCCAGTCATTGTTCATCATCTACCATCTCTATATAGTGCCAGCTTTTGTGATGGTGAAGATCGTCCAACTTATCATCCCATACCTCCTAATATTTGTGACCATGGAACGTTATGCCTGGATTTCAAAGCATTGGTAAGTCATTCGTAGAACAAAACATGTCATGTCCCAAGTGTAATACAATCAGATGTATGAGTTGTGTGTAATATAATCTTTTTTTTCAGTTTTTCGGAATGGTTGTTTTCTCGAGTTGGTCGCATCTCCAACCTTGTCTTGTGTCTGGTTCTGGGTGGATTGATTCGCCTCCCTCCGGCGTTTGCGTTGACCGTTGAATCCTATCCCGAATGCCTCGACTTCTTCCGAACATTGGCCGTCGATTATCGGAGATGGGCCAAGGTAAGCGTTGTTTGACCTGTTGTGGATTTTAACTGAATAATCTTTGAAGTTTAATGTTTTTTCAACTTTAGGAGACCGAATGGTACAATTTCTACGACCTCCATTTGATCGGCATTCTTCAGATATTCATTCCTTTCATTGTTTTGGTAGTTTTAAACTGCATAATTCTAAGGAGGTTGTTGACGACTGACCAGGAGAACATTAAGGTGAGAACAATGAATTATAACTGAACCTTCACAACGAGACTACTTCGCCTTCTTCAAATTTAGTTTGCAACCTTTTGATGCAAGGGGAAAAAATTGAAGATGCATCGAAAGGCTTGCTAAATTCCATTTCGTAACTCGCAAAAAGTCATTTCGAGTTTTGCCAATTTCCGACAAAAAATATATTTCTGCAAAACGCGAGTCAAAAATCCCTCATTTAGTATAAAATAAATTTATGCCAAGTTCATCGAAAAGTAAATTCAATGTTTTTGCAGAAGGTCCCTCCAATCTATATTGACGGCATCTCTTCCGGAAGTTCCCGAGCCTCTTTCAAAGTGCTCCGGATGACCATCAAACGGCCCACCATGTCCCCTGCTGTTAGACATGCCGTCTACACCACAGTTATAATTGTAACCTCATATCTGATATGCTCCGGCCTTCATCTGCTTCTAACTTTCATGGAAAAGACGGATGCGGCGATTCTGAAAAGTGATGACGATCCCACGAAAGCGTCCATCTTCTATACCATCTTCGGAGACATGATCTCGTTCCTGTACATGTTCACAAGTGCCATTCGAATTTTCATTTACTGTAAATGCAATCCAACAGTGCGAGAGAACGTTCTCAACACCTTGGATATTTGCCCCCGAGGTCTTGCTCGCGCACCAACGTTGGACTTGATATCGATTACGCCGGTTTCTCCAGTTGACATATAAATCTCATAAATACGGGTTCTTTGATATATAAACTATTTATTTTGATATCGGATTTGAATATTGTTGAGATCATTGCATCAAAAGTAAAAGACTAAACACAAGAAAAACAAATTTGACGTTGATTCTATGGTTACATCAAACGTGGCATTTGGTCCCGCAACGAAACATTTTGAGCCCGCAATTTTCTTTTTTGAAAGGCAGAAAAACGATTTCTTGTTTCTCCGCGTCGTTTTTACAGATTTTTAGGAATAATCAGGAAGAAAACTGCAGCATATCTTTTGATGAACAGTTTCTTTTTTTTCTTTTTATGTTTTAGGTACCTAAAATAGTAAAATTTTAGTTCTGTTTATTTTTCACCATCGTTTCTCTATTGATGTGTATATCTCTGAAGATTCTGTCGAGAAAAGGACGTTTAGACTCTAATTTAATCTTTTATTTCAGAGGACATGGAAGCCAAAAGGCAACGTCTACTATCCATGACGTACAACGAGATCAGGTCGTTGTGCCGGCAACGCGGAATGAAAGCTACTGGGACTGTAAGTTACCTTATTAATATTCATTTCTCTTTTATTTAGAAGGCAAAACTGGTTGAAACATTGTCTGAGACAATGATGTTGGACATTGACAATGAGCAGATGGACGTGGAGGAACAAAAGGAGAATCTGAATGGAACATTCACCATGGAAGAAGACGAAATTTCCGTTATCCCAAAGGAACAACTGAAGAAAGCGGCAGAGGTTGAGAAGGCTGCGGATATCACGTTAGATGAGAGTATTGTAGCTGGTAGTTTCATTACTCCGGATAATAGCCCAAGCGTCAAAAGAGTTGAGAAAAAACCGGTCGAGAAAATGAATAACAATGTTACAACTCGTTGCTCCGCTAGGAATACTTCCAAAGCTGCGCCTAGCCGTCTTCCAAAGCCTGGACATTTGTCTGCTGCGACCTCAGGTATGTGATCTCATTATTTGCACAAAATTTCAATTTTTTGAATATGATTTTATGTCTAAACATTGTTTAGGTAAAGGACGGTTTGCTTCTTCTCATACCAAAGCCTTTTCCAAGATGGCGTCAATTGAAGATCATCAGAAGAAGCTGGAGACAAAGCATGAACAACATGTCAAAAGTGTATCGGAGACTATTAATGTAAGTTTTTATTTGTTTGTCCGTTTAGAGTTCAAATGGGTTATTTTTATTACTATCGTTTCAGCGTCTGGCAACTCCAAAAAGCCAACGGGAAAAGGTTCGCAAATTCCCCCCTCCCGGCACTCCAAACAAGGAGAATTTCAAGTTCGGAACGACGAAACCAGAAGACATCGAGAAGGTTCAACGTCCCTATGATAAAGAGAAGGCAGCCTCGTCCAGAGTCACAAGATCCAGCAAGCAAGGAAGGGAACCTCAGGCAGATGTCAAGAAGATCACCATGGCCAAGAAGAGAACTCTTAAAGCGACCATTCCTGATTGCTCGGAGCGAATTGAACAGCTCGCGACTCCGAAATCTGCTGGACGTAAGTCGTTTTACTTTTTCTGAAATAGTTTTGCTCAAGATTCGATGTATGTTTTAATAAATAAGTTGTTTCTTTTAGCGGTTCCAATTCCAAAAGAACGGAAGATGTACACGCCGAAGACAACCCCCTACAAATATGTGGACACCACAAAGATGAGTGATGCCGAACTCCGTGCCTTTGATGCTCGTCAGAAACGCCTTGACGCCCGCTCAAGACGTCTCAACTTTCAGTAAATGTAATGTTATTCTCTCACTTTGTTTTTAAGTTCTTGTACAGCATTACTGGCCCATAAAATATTCTCATCTCTGATATAATACTTTATTATTGTACAAACTTTACCATATGATAATAAAGAATATGTCGTTATAATGCTTACAGTGTTAGAAACGATGAGATACCCGTTTTTGTCGACGAAAATACATTGCATTTGTGTTTAGAGAGGTGGCAGATCGTTGTTGTCTTTGCTTTGTTCGCGGGAAAAGAAAAACATGAAGCGTTTATTATGAGCGGCACTGGGCGGAGGTGAGGTCGGGGTGGGAGGGCGGCTCTCGGTCAGTGTGGACTCGCGGGTTATGATCCGAGAACGAAGTGCTGACTTTTGATTTCTAAAAGTATTATATACTGGGCATAGGAGATTCGATGTTCTCAAAGAAAAGCTATGTGTCACCCTCGTAAATAGTTGGGTAAAGGCCAGCTATTAACGAGGGTGCGTCATAATGGCATGGACTACTGTGGTCAAAATCTTCTGACATGTCAGAAGGTTCTGAATATGTTTCAAGAAGCTTGTAAACTTACTCATCCATCCCTTCCGGGTTCCTGAAGGTCTTCTTTCTTTTCAAATGCCCATTGGCAATCGTCTGTGCATGTCCACTTAGATCTAGATACCCGTAGCCTTCGGCCGCCTTCTCCAAAACCCCTGTCAATTTCTGAGTGATAATCTTGAATTCGGGACGATCGTCTGGATCCGTGAGCCAACATTGTTCCATCACTGAGAAGATCTCGTCCGGACAGAGTTCCGGTTTCTGCGGCCTTCCTCCTGTCTTCAGATGCTCTCCGACTTCTTTTGTTGGGATATTAGCAAAAGGCGTCTCTCCAAAAGAATACATCTCAAAGAGGACTAGGCCGAACGACCAGACGTCGCTCTTGGTACTGAATTCATGTCGAAGGAGGGCTTCAATCGCCAACCACTTGATTGGAAGTCGGCCAGAGTTTGAGGTATAGACGGAATTGGGATAACCTTCGCTGTTCAGTTGGATACAGAGGCCGAAATCACTGATCTGAAGGGAGTTTAACAAAGTTTTTGATTTGAATTTGCAACAGATTATCGATTATTAATGTAATTTAGAATCTGGACTCTTACCTTGGCACAAGTGTCTCGATCGATTAGGATATTCCTTGCAGCCAGATCTCGATGTATTACATTCTGCTCGGACAGGTACCTCATTCCATCACAAATTTGCCATGCAAAGTACATGAACTCTTTCGTTAAGTTCATTTTTGCCTCTAGTGAAGTAGACTCTTGAACATCCACATTGACGGCCTTGACATAATGTAGTAGATCTCTGTTTGGACAGTATTCCAACACCAAACAAATTGTTTGACCCACAGTAATGCAGCCTAGCATGTCGATTATATTTTCGTTTTGTCCACTAATCTTCTTCATCAACTCGATTTCATGACTAAATTCTCTTCTTGCAATGTCACTGGCATATCTTGGCAGCATTTTTATCGCAACATCGCAATCTTCATATTGATGTTGTTTGGAGATACTCGAACTTGTGTAAACATGATCTACACAAGGAGGTTTTCCGTGGATTTTGCCTCGGAACACCTAAACTTAGGAAATTGTAGTTGATGATTAATGGCGTTTCTTACCTGTCCATACGCTCCAGATCCTAGTTTCTCCGATTTTATGAGCAGTCGATCCCAACTGAGCTCCCAATAGTCCTGAACAACCTCAGAAATGATCTCGTGACTCATTCGGAACTTCTCGATCCTCCTCATCCATGCTAGTTTTTGTCGATAAAGGATGGTCATAAGGGCCATTACAGCCAGAAATACGACTACGCTTCCAATGATGATTAGAATTAGCTGGGTTTGAGTTATTCCTGCTGAAAATAGTTGATTTATGATTAGCGTAACGTGTACCTGACATCCTTCATTAAAGAAATTTAAGGAGATCAAAAAGGACTCTGAATTTGATATCAAAATGTGTTTCATTGTCTTCCATACACTCGATATCAAATTCTGAGAATTTTTGATCTCCTTATGGCTTTCAAATCTGGATTATAACCTTGATAAGTATGGATTGACTTACGCGCTGACTCCTCCTCATCCTTTGTTGGATCTAATGGAATTACGGCCAAGTGATTAGGATCCAAATAATGTAGAAATTTCAAGTCAACAAGTCTTCCTGGGATCTCTTTGAATATATTGTAGGCGTCAAAGTCGTAGACATAGATACTAACATCAAAGTCGGCCTTTGAGAAGTTGTTCAGCATGTACGTACGTAATTTCTAAAAGAATACGCCGTCTTTCAAATCCACTAAAATCATGGGCAACAAAACAATAGACAAAGCTTACATTCGAATAGAAATCCGTCAAAATGATGATTAGCGGTCGATTCGTTGGTTTTATTGGTCTATGTCTACTACTTTTGTAATAGCTGATGGCGTCTTTCAAGTTATCGACAAGTCCTGTGTTCGTCCAGTCCGGCGCTTTACCATGCACAACATCTGGCATCAGAACATTGTCTTTGTCTTTTAGACTATTGACTGTGCTATTAATTTCGTCCAGACTTGTGAGCCAAGCAAGTTCTTGTTCACTGGTGTCATTGGTAAAGAATTGGGTGGCAATTTCATTATGTCCGTTTTTGGGATTTATATACAAATCGATGGCTTCAACCAGATTCTTTGTAATGCCATCAAATTGTTGCGTTAGGTTCGTGCTCAGACCGAAGACATAGAGGACGTATAGTGAGGTCGGGGGAGCCTAAGATACTGCGTTTTTGCGGGAATGAAGGATAATTCAAAGCGATTGGGTATATTCTTACCGGTGGCAGAGGTGCAGGTGTTGTTGTAGTCGTCGTTGTAGTTGTTGTCGTGGTAGTTGTAGTAGTCGTTGTGGTGGGCGCTGAGCAATTATGTAAATCCAGGTCTGTCATATTACACTTTGCGTCAGATTGGACACATGGAAGAATGCATGGTGCAACAATATGTAGACATTCCTTATTCGGAACAACGAAAAGATTTTCGGTGATGTTGCCGTAGTATCGTACAAGCTCTTGCATATCCTCCTCTGGTCTTCCTACCAATATTATCGTTGGTTGAATACACAAATTCTCCCATCGATCTTTGAAATCGCGAAAGGCCGTTGGCAATCCACTTAGCTCTATGTCCACAATTCTGCTCGTTACGAAAATAAAACTGTTGTATTGACAGGGCCTTTTGATCTCTTTGGTCTGAAAATTTGAAATATGTATAGTTGATTATAAGCGTTGTAAAACTAATTTTTACAGCTCCTTACCTCATCATACCACTGTTTGACATAATGGTGAATAAACTCGGCGTCGCTCTCGTTATTGTAAACCAAAGTGTCTCCTCTTTCGTAATCGCGATAATAGAGTTCTTCAGTTATATTACTTATACTTGCCGCGCATCCAGCAGCACCTCCACAGCAGATAAAGCCATTATCAGCACTACTTCCACTTGAGTTGAAGACTCTGGCGGCATAGGTGTTTCCCATACCGGCACTTACACAGGAACGTATTAATGAGTGAACAAAAAACTTGAATCTATCGATATGAGGTGAGAAATCTGGAGAGAGGTCGGTGTAGATGTAACGGGTGCCTTCGGGCTCCTAAAAAGTGTAACTGTGACGGGCTTGAATCCGCTTTTTTGTTCGAGGCCTATTTATTGCTTGATTCTGCTTATGGCTGGACATAAAGCGTTATTTTGTCCACTTACTTCGTTCACTGCGTCCCATCGATTTGGCCGTTTCGATGGTTCGCACTTTGCATCAGCGCTGGGCTCGTCTATCATATCCAAAACTTCCCACGACACTTCTGAAAGCATTAACCATATGACCTGCACCTATCCTTTCATAGTTACGTCATCCTCCGACGTCACAATTTCAATGGTTTTACGCGTTTTGAAAGCCCCGCTTACCGCACATGTTATCTTCCGTAAACGCGTTCATATGAGATTCTGAGGAGTAAAAGGGCAAAGAAAAACAGTTGGAGATCATGAGGACGATGTAGAAGGCGTAGCAGTATATCAACAGTCCGCTCGGCAGCATGTAGCGCCGCATTTTTTCCTCCGCATTGGGACCAAAAAGTGTGAGATTGAAGAGAATGACGGAGGATATCTGCAAGAACTCGAAGAAATAACAAAAGTATTGTAAGGAATGTCGCCGACGGGGAGACGCCCCCGTAAATTTGACGTAAAACAAATGATAAGCCCGGAGGCAAAATGCCTTTAGAGGTCAATGGATCCGGTATAAGGTCACAAGAGAGGGCTATCTTTCTCCGAATGTTACTCGGTTATCAAAACCGGGTACAGTCCGAGTAATAAAAACAAGAAAAGTCTTGTCAAAACACGACAACGCCCGTTGAAGCGGCTTAAAAATACATTTGCAAACGATAAAAATAATTGACTTTTCATTCCGCGGCAAATGAGAGAAATTAAGAGCCTCTATTTTAAACACCTCAGCGCCTGATAAAGAAGGTCGCCTTTTTTGGGAATATTCGAGATTATTTTTGACACAAAATCAACTAATTAGCACGTCTGAATCATCTCTGGAATTCACAGATGATCAACAAATGTTAGTACAACTAAAGGTTGTTAAAAGTAACTGAAGGAATTGACAGGATTACAATTTGATTAGAAATATTAAGGGTCTCCAAAAGTTCCTTATCAGAGAGCTGCGTGAATATCATTGGAAGAATAATTAGATTCTGATATGAAAGTTTGAAAGGAGTGGTGCGTTTAGGTGCGGCTTATGATAGGGAACAATGCAACGTCATCTCGGAAATCCCATTTCTTTGGGCTTCTTCGCTGTTCACATTTATTGCAAACTCTTAGATCAAGCACAAAGCGAAAGTAATTGTTTGAGGCGAATAGTAAACAATGGGAAATAGAGGTAATTTTGGTGACCACTAGTTCTGGCAAATGTTTCAGCGGCGGCTATCAGATCATCCTCAAATTATGCTGGCGAGATATTTACGCATAGGACACTTAGGGATCAAAGATGTTCCGCTCGCGCTTGGAAATTTCCTATAATGTTCAACTTCCGGTCGTGACTACATGAACACATAGTTTCGACCAATTCTAAATCACGCTAGCCTAGATTGGCAATTAGAGTTTAAAAGAGGGTGCAAAACGCTGAACACAAGTGCTCTTGGGAAATGACTAATGATCAGGCGGTTATCATAACAACAATATTATTTTCCTCAAATTTGGTTATTGCCGTGAGGAAATAACTCAATCTTGATGCTAAGCAGTATAAAGCATGCGATTATGACTATGTACGTCGCCTGGAAACATTCGTAATTGAAGTCTGCGCGATTTACGGTGCCGTTTGTAAGGAACAAGAATCGTAAAATTTCCGTAAGATTACATCATCAAACAAAAATTGGTGATTTTAAAAATTGATTTTGCCAATAGCAAAACAAGGCATCCAATTGACTATGCTATAATATGTTTAATTTATATGTCATAGCATATTACAAACAACAATCAAACCTATGTTTTATTTCATAACCTCGTAATCTGCATAGTCAGACCAGAAATTGATCGATTCCCTCGATGACAAAAAAAGGTGTGAAGCGGAGGTCACGAGAGATAAAGACGGCAATGACAATGGAAGGGGACGCCGTGTAAACCCCGAATCTGTTTAATTGAGGACTTTTCCCCTCCCTTGACTCCCGCCAAGGGCTGCCGGGTCTGATAACAGCCCGCTGAATCAGAGTTGTGGGTTTTATGAGGGAGAATTCCCGAATTTTTAAAGTTCTAATTAAAGTCATGACAGCAACACATAACAGAACATACAGTTTTATGAATCGGAGTGTTGCTTACAGCAAGCTTATTATTAAAATCATGGGTAAATCCGTTGTCATTCTTCATTATCACTAAATTGATTTAAAAGCTCTCCAGCTGTTGAATGAATTGACGTTTAGCCTTTGTCGTATTCTGGTATCAGGGCTAGACAAAGGAAGCTGTACGATTTTTGTGACCTCTTTGAACCCAACCACGTTTTGCAATCAGGCTTTGGAAGTAGCCTATGAGATATAGTACATTCTCCTAGTGTTCCCTTCTTAACCCACTGTTACTCCTACACATGCTAAAACCATAATTTTAATGCTTCCACGCATAATATGCTGAGCAGACCTGACGTGATGTAGCGTTCTTTTAATGGCCTATTTTTGCATGCACATCAAGGAATACTACTCATGATACTCTTTTACTTTATAAAACTTTCCTTTTATCTGTATGCATATAACGATATCACCGCTTTTCTAACATGGTCAACAATAAGTCAAGCGCTGAGCTCCATGTTTGTACTCCCTGCTTTGCAAAAAAAGATTCGAAATAAACAAAAAACCGGCACCGAAAAGAGCCGATAAGGAGAGGAGAAACGGAAGCAATTTTGAACCCAAATATTTGTTTTTATGACTGTTTGTGATAGATATTATACATGGTTACGTGGGGGCTTACCTCATAAATCGCTTTAGAAAGGGGCTTGTTTACCAAAGTCAAAGTTCTGCGCGGGTTGGAACGATTTCTCGCGGATTATTTTTCGTCTTTTTCCAAGGTTTATAAAGTGAGAAAGGTCGCAGAAGTCGGTTTAAAAAGGTCATTTTGGAGGGTTTGAAAGGCTTTAAAATACGTTTTTAAGACGTTATTCAAAGGGTTCATTGCTGGAAATACAAAATTTAAATCTTAAATATGTGGCAATTGTCATCAAAATTGCAAAGCTCAAGTCTTATGTGGTTTCCCTTGTAGAATACGGTAATTCCACCTTTGACTTTCATAATCTGCTCTTGTTTGGTTGTAAGTATTTTTACAGTACTTTTGCTTCTAAATGCAGTATTTTGCACATCTCCATTTCGAGTATTTTACGTATTTTTTCCCCCGTTTGTATCTGCTTTATCCCCATTCTGAATTATTAATGCCAATTTCGTTCAGCGCAATCATCAGAACAACGTGTTTTCGTCGCGTCGATATTAGCTGCATATGAATGTTTGAGTGAATTTTTTAGCGCGCTTCCAAGTGTGGCCATCTCCATGGATTCAACGAGAGTTTCAAGGGCTTGAAAGGCACTTGTCGAAACTTTTGTTTTTTACGTGTTGAACATGAATGTGGCAAGGGTTCTGCGCCGGGTCGTCAAATATCTTACCGTTTTTGTGTTGCCTACGTTAACCACGGTAAGAAAGTCGTTTTAAAAATATGTATACTGGCTGAGAAAATTTTATTTTTGTGTTTATGTTGTAGTAGGCTCCTAGGCCAAATGCTCGTAGTTTAACCCTTGTGTTTGCTTTTTTGGTGTACTGTACTGTAAATTTCCATTGTTTTTTTCAGTTCAAGCTCCTCGGATATGCATTATACGACGGCCACATTGTTGAACACAGCAAAATCGAGGAATTTCTATCCAAATATGCAAATGTTGGCTACTGTGTTCTGGCTTCTTCCATCTGCATCATGATTTACATGGTGTATCACAGTGTAAATTACTGTTTAAATCAGGTAATTTCGGAAGGAAAGGTTCGAAAAAAAAGATTTCAGGGCCGATCCGAGTGGTATAAAGTGCAATGTACGAATCATTATCAAAAAACTTTCAACTTACTCCTCCACTCCGAGCTATTTTACTTCGGAATCTCGTTTGCTTTCCTTTTTTTGGTAAGAATTTCTCAAAATCTTTTGAAAATCCCAAGATTTTTCAGTTTTTCACTTTTGGCCAGACGATTTATGGCAATACCCCCAACTTTTTCATATTTTTCATCATGTTTACTGTCTCCAACCTACTCTTGATCATTCTTTTATACGAACTGGAGATCACCAAGGGCTATAATTACATAATTTACCTCGATTTTTTGCTCATTTTCAACAATTTTTTGAGTAATTCGTAAGTTTCTAGTAATTTTAAGCTGTTGTTGCGATGTAAACATCTTAATTTTGCGTTTGCAGCCTTTTATTATGGACAGCGAATCACGTAATCCACATCGATCACTCGATTACGTTCGTGATTATATTATTTATCAGCTCCTTGAACAAATATTTGATCAGCGAGATGTTGAATTCCTTTTTTCAACAGCCCAAACTGCCTGTAATATCTTCGGTATCCGATCATTTACTACCTACATAATCAATAAAGTAAGAACTTTCAAAAAAGTAATAATGAAAATTTCGCAAAAAATGAAAAATTTCAAAGAAAAAAAAGGAAAAAGTCTTCCAAAAATCAAAATTTAGTGTTTTTAAAGTGGAAACTTTGTACGTTCCCCCTCTCACCTTAAGGGTTCATTTAATTTCCGAAACCGACACCGCCGCAGATTTCGCAGGAGAATTGATTTTTGCTTTTTTTTTGGAACTTGGGTAATTATCTCGGGCGCAACATATCACTCAAGAATTGGTCGGGAAGGAGCAAAAAGGCTTTGATCTGGGGGAGAAAGGAGTTGAATAGGTAGTTTGGGGATTGTGAAATTACTGAAGTTGAGGAGATTTAAGACTACGGCTAAAGACTTTATATCGTTTTGTTAGCTTTGGGTAGGGATTCCAAGAAAAAATTGTTGGTTATTGGGAAGCGTGATAGTCTTCAACTACTGTCCGCTTACTCTACAGGGTCTTTCAAGAAACGTGAAGGAAATAGGATGCATAGCAATTCCTGAAAATTTTAGCCCAGATTTTTGAACCGCAGCCGCGTTATACAACGATTCTTCGAAAGATTACGGGAAACGAAGAGAACGGTTAGAGAAAAATCGGTTTTCACTTATTTCTTTACGAATATCGCAAGACATTTTTTGAATAATTTCCGGACTAATTTTCTGAACTGCTCCTGCAAAGCGAGAGCTAGATCCTAGACTGCAATTTCCCCTCCATTACCCTCTAGACCTATTAGTCATCTATGTATTTACAACAACATTATGTAATTTTCTACGTGATTTTTTGGTTTGAAAGATGTCGGCCTTTTAAGAAACCGTTTTTACAGCGTGATTGATGAGTTTTCTTGTTTTTATCGTGATTTTCATCCCCTAGCACGCGCCAAGAATCTTTTTCACCATATATTTTGTTTGAAATTTACCTTTATTATTACTTATGGGGGGTAGAGAATATTCGGGTGATGCGCACTCGGGTGGTGAAAATTCGGGTGAGCGTACTCGGGTGATCGCTTGTTCGGGTGATGCAAACTCGGGTGGTGCAAATTCGGGTGATGGATTTTTGGGGTGGGTGAATATTCGGGTGATGAAGAAAATATTGTATTGATGGTTAATAAATATACTGTAACATTATTAAAATTTTTAAGTTGAAATTTTTGGTTTTTTATTCATTTTTAGGGTTTTCGAGCATAAGGTATCCAAAAATCAAGTCCGTTTCCTCGAATATCAATGCCCGACCTTTTGGCGAATTTGAATTCTCCATTGTCAAAAGCCCCAAAAAACTGATGAAAAAGTTTTTTTTTAATTATTATATTTACAATTTTGCGTCATCAGTAGTATTTGATTTTGTTACAGTATATTTTTTAACCATCAATACAAATTTTTCTTCGTCACCCGAATATTCACCCACCCCAAAAATCCATCACCCGAATTTTCACCACCCGAGTTTGCATCACCCGAATAAGCGATCACCCGAGTACGCTCACCCGAATTTTCACCACCCGAGTGCGCATCACCCGAATATTCAGTTACCCTACTTATGGGGCAGGAGTCCTACCCCGCAGATCTTTTTTAAATTTTGCACACTTATGGGGAATAGGCCACATATCAGTTTCAGAAGATTTTCGCTCGCGCTTTGCAGAGACATATTCACGAAAATCTGTCGGCCAGAGAATGCGCGAAATGCGGAGAGCGGTCATAGTGAGATTTTGCTGTATCTTCGCCAATTTCGCGGGTAAAGAAAAATGTCAAATTTCCGCCGACTCTCCGACTAAAAATCGCGGTCGTTTCTGCAAAACGCGAGCTCTAAGTTTTGTTTAAAAAAACTAGTATGAACTTACGCCATTCTTGATATACATCTGAGAATCGCACTTTGAGAACTCTCCTTGTTAACAGAGGTGTTTTTTGCTTTGCCAAACACGTCATCTGTGTGATCGTAACATTGTTCTCCTTGTGAAACTTCCTCTTTTGGTTGATACTTTCGTAGATCACCCAAATTTCATTAGATTACTGCTGATTGCCGTCAATCTAATGGAGCGTGTCATCGTCTCCACTATCATGTGTCTATCCGTCTAATTCTTGATCGAGTTTTGTAATTTGTGTAAAGAAATTGTCTCCTTGTTACTATGGTGCGTTTACAGTTCAAGCCCCGGTGTGGGTTGAGAAGCCCGGGTCGTCACGGAAAAGGGACCAATTATGATGGTTCCAAAGTTTTTTTTTTTTAAATTTAAAATTCACACGAGTTGTTCCTGTAACAGCAGAATTTTTAATGGCACCGGAAAAAGTGATGTTCTAGGGTATGCAAAAGTTTGTAGGTTGTATTTTTGGGACTTTTGAAATTTAAATTTTTTATGATATTTCGAAAAAATCCAAAGGAAACTTTTCAAACGTTATTTCTTATGAATATTCGAAAAAATATAATTTTTTGAATATTTTTAAAATTTTTTCGTAATTTTATTTTTGTAGGCTACAGTAATCCTCTCCATGTGAAGTCATGGAGAAGGATGCTGAGATTGCCCCATTGTCCACAGAATCCACTGGTGCTACGGCTTCGGAAGAATCCACCGGCTCCGAATCCACAATTCCGAAAAATGAAGCGCTCGCGACGCTCAGCGAGTTCCAGAAATTCGGTCATTACTCCGTTTTTATGATTATTTTGTTCGAAATTATGTTGCTGCCGCAGTCCGGGATCATGATGTTCATGATATTTGGAGGACTGGGACCTACTGTGACGCGATGTGGAGACGTTGACTTGAGGAATTGGACGAAGAAAGAAGTTTGCGACGATATTGAGAGGCTTTCCAATGGGACTAGATGCCAATTGGAGGCTCAGTTCAAAAGTTTGGCCTACGAGGTAAGAAATTCTACGTCTTCAAATGGACCTATGACAAAATTAGACACTTTTTATATTACATTACACCAAATATTTGCAAAATCGAATTTATCGACCGGTCGCGTTGCTTAAGACCGATTTACGGCACGGGCCTTGGCCGTAAATCGGTCTCTGAAAATTTTAGCTTTCTCCTTACAACGGCCTCTGAGATATTAAATGAGCAGACATCGAGAGAGTATGCGCAATGAGGAGAGAGGGTTAGAGAAAAGAAAAATTTCTGTTTTATATCGGTTCTTGTCGGAAAAAAAATATTTTTATTGAAGTTTACAAAAGCCATCAAGAATTGTAAAAACAAAATAATTTTGAAATTTCAGTTCAGGTACTACTGCAACGAATCGATCGAGATCAAGAATTCGATCAGTATAATGATGTGTGGAGTCCTGATTGGATCAATTGTCTTTGGGCAACTCTCGGATCTAATGGGGAGGAAAAAACTTCTGTTGGCTTCGCATTTTGGAATGGGGGTTATGACATTTTTGGCCTCTGGATCAGCAAATCTGTATCGATTCACCCTTCAAAAAAGCATTGCCATGTTCTTTGCTGGAGGCAGTGGAGCGTAAGGACCTTCATTTCATTAAATGCACCGTGCACTCTTCGGGCGACAGAACGCACGGTGCACTTTCCCAAGAATTTTCGCGGCTTGCAATTGCACCGTGCAAAATAAAAGCTCTTTGAAAAGTGATTGCACAGTGCGGGTTTGCGCTTGCACTGTGCAAACGGCGGAATTTCCCATTAAAATTTTTTCGAACGCACTGTGCGAATTTGTATCAGCATCAGCACTGTGCTGATTTTTTCTGAAGAGTTCGGACTTTGATCGCACAGTGCGGAATTTCACCGCACAGTGCAAATTTCGATTGCACTGTGCGAAAAAACAAAAATAATTTTTTATTTGAAAACCCTTACTTTTTCAGGATAATGCATGTGTTTTTGATGGAAAATATTCCAAAACAACATCGATTATGGGTCTCATGCGTCCTCACTTACTCTCCAAACTACGTAATCTTGACTGGAATCGCGTATTACGCTGAGAATTGGCGAACTTTGCTGAGAATCATCAGTGCCATCAACGTGCCGGCCTTCTTTATTCTGATGCAAGTGGTCTGAATTTATTTGGAGTCATTTTGTGATTTTCTACCCTTTTATTGACTCAGTTTTTATCTATTTTCTTTTAGGATCGCCTTCGAATCACCTCGGTGGATGATTCAAAAAGGGAAATTGGAAAGGGCTAGAGTGACGCTGAAGCAAATCGACATCATCAACAAGACATCCACACCCAAGAGATTGGAGTTGCTCAATACATTGATCACAAATGAAGCTATTGTGAGCTTTTTCTTATTGTGCTAGACATTTGGAGTAATTTTAGGAAAACATTTATTTATTATTTTTTTATTTTTAGCTCGCGCTTTGTGGACGAGAACTTAAAATTATTTGAATTTTTTAAATTTTTTCTAAAAAGGTACTTTTTTGGTATAATTTTTAGTCATCATATTTTTTCAGGCTACTTCTCAGGAAAAACGTCGTAATCGGTACTATGTCTACCACCTCTTCTACACCTCCAAACTCGCCATTTACATCGGAGTGATCTCCTTTTCCCTGTAAGACCACCTATTTTCTTCCAATTTTTCATTTTCTTTCAGCGCTTGCACCTCAATCCTCGGATATTCGACTGTTTTCAACATGGAGTACCTGAGTGGCTCGGTCTATTGGAACACCGCGATCTACGGGTTCTTCCGGTACATAATCAACATTGCCGTGGGAATTGTGGACTTTAAAGTGGCGAGAATCGGCCGGATTACCATCTACAACATGACTTTGATGTTCATTTTAACAATGTTAGGGCTTGTTGTGGCTACGGATTTGCTGAGTACGTTTAACGGGAGAAATTTCGATAAATCGGAGAAAAAATATATTTTTTTCTCTGAGTACTCTCCTCCTTTTCCAAAGGGTTTCGCCTGCTAAGATCATCGGATATCTCAGTGGTCATTGCAATGCATAAACTAAAATTTCTGGAAATCCCATACAGATCGCGTTTGTAAAGCTAAATAATTTTTTTAATCTCATGAATTTCAGATCTCGACCATCCGTATATGACAACATTTTGTGTGCTTTTCGCAGCCGGAATGGGAAGTCAGTTGTACATGGTCAACGCCGTTGTGACCGCCGAACTTTTCCCCACCGCCATCCGAAATCAAGCCGCCTCATTCAGCCAGCTTTTCAGCAGATTTGGGGGAATTCTCGCGCCCCATCTCTTCCTAATTGTAAGAATTTAATCAAATCCTAAAATATGATTTTTAAAATACGAATTCAATTGATTTCAGGGAAAATTCTGGGAACCATTGCCGTATTTTGTCATGTTTTTGATCAGTTTGGTCAACTTAGTACTGGTTAATTTATTCATGCCCGAGACCAAAAACGTCGCTCTTCTCGACCACATGCCCAAAAAGAGCGAGCGATTGTGGAATCGGAAGACAGAAGGGCTCACGATTAACTTGACTGATGCAAAATTGACTGAGAACCAATAAAAAAGTTAAAATATTTAAAATAGTGGAGAAATTATGCAAAAATTAACGAAAATTTGTCGTGAGGGGGATCTCTTCCTCAGTCGTATTTGGGGCATGCCTTGCGCACATCTTCAACGAGTTTGGCGATAGAAACCCTTTTGTCATGTATATTATTTACTAGAAAATGTTGATGTTTCCATGATTAACATGATTTATATTAGTCACAATTATATTTACTGCTTATTTCATCGATCGTTATGACAAGACGGAATATGTTCCTAAACATTTTTAAATTTGAACGGTTCTTTAGCTAAAATCTAAAAAAATCCAAAAAAGTTTAATTTTACAAATACAAGACAGAGCAATTTGACATTACGAAAACGACGGAAATTTGACAGCGTAACACTGAGCCGTCAAGTTGACGAATTATTTATTATGACTGGAAGTCTGGTTTCGATGATATAAAAGCGCCGATCGCCACTATTTACCATCCATTCAAAAGATTTTTTGAGCAAGCTAGATGAGGAACTCAAGACCGTTTCTACAAGTGTCAACGTCGGTTGCAAGACCCTTTGTATCACTTGGAAATCTGCTACAATCATCAAAAAAAGGTTTTCAGCCCTCAAAGATGTGAAAATGAATAAGCAGACATTCCCGTTGACAGAGAAATGATTTTCTGAGCAACGCCGGACAAGGTGTACTAGTCCGTTCGTAAAGTCGCTGGAATGATTTCGGCGACGTGCACTGTGCAAGAAAACTCAGGGTGCGGGCGACAGCCCAAAAAAGCCTATTGCACTGTGCAAAAAGCCAAAAATTGCACAGTGCAAAGTGAACTTTCGGTTTCGCGGAGTGCATGTCGCCGAAAACATTCCAGCGACTTTACGAACGGACTAGTAAATAAGTGTGGCAGAAATGAACCGTAGCAGCCGGAAAGTTCGTTCTTTGCCTGGAAGCGTCGCTTGATCAGGCGAAAGTTTAAAGCGAACGAATTATGATAACGATCACCGAAGATTTATCTTTCTCGGTAGACATCAATAAGGCTGGTCGCTCGTTGAGTGCTGACCCGTATGGCTCAACTGTTTCGTAAATTATAAGCCAACTTGTAAATAGAGCAAAGTGTAAGATTTCGCAAACGGAAAGGGTGTTTGTAAGTGCCTGTCGACTGCTTACCATTTGTTTTGGGAGTTTAGCGTCATGGGTCAGAAGAAAGTTGAGTTCTCGACGATCGCGGAGGAAGATGAGGCGGAGGAGGAGGTCAAATTGAACCCGCAGAAGATCAGAGAGGCTCTCGATGGGGATGAGGAGCTCAAGAATATTGGGGATTTCATCAAATTCGGGAGATATACTGTGTTTATCATCTTCTTATACGAGTTGATGCTGCTTCCTCAGATGGCCAACATGACCTTTATGATCTACGGAGGCTATGCCCCTAAGGTCGTGGAATGCGGAGGTCATGATTATCGGAATCTGAGCAATGTAAAGTCATGTGCCGCGTATAAAGAGGACTTTCTTCGGACCAACTGTACTCCCGTACTGGAAACGCAGTTCAATTCGTTGGCCTATGAGGTAAAATATCGATTCTTAAGATTATATTTATAAAGTTCAGTTCAACTATTTCTGCGACAGAATCACGAGTGTAAAAAGAGCGATCAGTATCATGATGTTGGGCGTTTTGTTCGGTGCAATAATCTTCGGCCAACTCTCGGATTGGTTCGGCCGGAAGAGGATGATGATTGTCACTCACATCGGGATGTGCACGCTCGATCTGATCGTGTCCAGAGCAACTTCGCTGGGTCATTTCACTCTCATCCAATTCTTTACCAGTTTATTTGTTGGTGGCCATAACACGTAAGTCATCCAAAATTACGTTCATATACCATATATTTTAATCTAAATAGCTTGCTTTTTCAGCATAATGCACGTATTTTTGTTGGAGAGCATCCCCAAGAAGCATCGAGTCTGGTTGTCCTGTGCCCTCTCCTACTCGCCCAATTATATTATAGTAGCCATTATTGCCTACTTTGCTCACGATTGGAGACGACTGATCTCGATTGCCGGACTCTTGAATATCCCTGCTCTATTGCTATTATTGTAAGTTACTAACTACACTTTTTTTTAATGTCGAAATTTTAGATTTGCCTTTGAGTCACCTCGTTGGTTGATTCAAAAAGCCCTTTTGGATTCAGCACGAACAACGTTAATGAAAATGGAAAAAATAAATGGAACTGCGACGCCGACCAGGCTTCGGAACATCGACGTACTCATTGAGCAAGAGATCATGGTCAGTTTTATCTACTATATTATTTTCAAGACTAATTTCTTCATTAAAATACAGGGTGGGCCACTCGAAGCTGACAAGTTGTTTCTTTGAATTTCTCCGCGTAGGCTCTGCCGATTTTTCTAAAATTTAGATTTTTCTGGAGCTGAGACCCGCCATTTTCAACCGACTGAATTTCAAAAAAACATATTTTGAACTAACCTTTTCATGCCTTTTCAAAGTTTTGAAAAATTATTTTCGGGCCGAAACCGCTAAAACTTGGAAAATTTTTGGAATGATTTTCAATTGACTTTCTCTGACTTGGAAAATTTTTGGTTTTTTTTTGGGGAAATCGTGGAGTAAAAAGTTGCGAGTGCTCGCCTTAAACTTGTTTAAAGCAAATTAAAAGCCACAAGAGGGTTGTTTGTATTACCATTAGGGCACGAACGCTCAAAAAAAAAAAAAAAAATCTAAAAAAGATTGAAAAATTCGACGTCAATCGTTATCGAGTCAGGCTTGGGGCATCTTGGAGCTCAGATACGTAATTAAAATTACGTATCCACGATACGTAATTTTAACTGCTCATGACTCTCAAAGGCACTGCAAGTTTGTGATGCGAGAGGAGGTGTGCATAATAACTCAGATAGAAACATTAATAATCAGATTGTTAAATAAAATTGTTTTTGAAACAATATTTGATAACTATCTGAGGTAAAACAAAGAAAATTTCACCCAAGAACTCGGAAAAATGACCAATTTTTCAAAATCATTCCAAAAATTTTCCAAGTTTTAGCGGTTTCGGCCTGAAAATAATTTTTCAAAACTTTGAGAAGGCATGGAAAGGTCAATTCAAAATATATTTTCTTGAAAGTAAGTCGGTTGAAAATGGCGGGTCTCAGCTCCAGAAAAATCTAAATTTTGGAAAAATCGGCGGAGTCTCCGCGGAGAAATTCAAAGAAACAACTTGTCAGTTTCGAGTGGCCCACCCTGTATAATTTTTAGCAAAATGAAAAGAAAAGGTCGCGGAGAAAGTACTACTTTTACCATTTATTCTACACCTGGAAAATGTGTCTGTACACTGCGATCATTTCCTTTGCTCTTTTGGCCACCTCTATCATCTCGTATGCCCTGATCTTCAACATGGAGCATCTGAGTGGCTCTATTTTCATCTCGACCGCCTTCTTTGGGGCCTTCAGATGGGCAGTTAACCTTTTAGTTGGGGCCATTGACTATTTTGTCCCTAAAGCCGGTCGAAAACCCATTCATCATGGAGCGCTGACCTTTATTTTGACTATGCTGGGAATTGTAATTGTCGTAAAATCGCTGGGAATCCAATCCGTCAATGCGATTCGAATAACGACGATGAGTGCCGCTGCAATGTGCTCTCAGTTGTTCATGGTAAATGCCATCGTAACCTCGGAGCTGTTCCCTACGGCTATACGAAATCTGGCCGTGAGTTTTGTCCAGATCAGCAGTCGACTTGGAGGAGTTATTTCGCCTCATGTCTTCTACCTTGTAAGTGGAATATCATCAAATTTTACAATCTTTTGAAATCATTTTTAGGCTAATGTGTGGGAACCTCTTCCCTATGTATTTATGTTCACCATAATGCTGATTAATGCCCTAATGTTCGGCGCTTTTATCCCCGAAACCAAAAATTCAGCCATGGTGGATCATATGCCGGACAAAAGTAAAAGAATTTGGAAGTCAAGGAACTCAATGAAGGCAACAAATATACTGCCCAGCGTCGCTAAACTTGCTGAAGACGTCTAATACCGTCATAGAATACTAAAATAGCCATGGTGATTAACGGAAAATAAAATGTACATAATCGCTCAAGAGATTTCGGCATTATTATTATTATCACTCATAATACTCGCTTACTTTAAAATAAATGCAGTGCTAAACTGTTTGATGGTGTTCAGAAACGAGCAAAGAAAAAACGAATCGTATGTCTACTTGAGAAAAGAAACAGTTGACCCTCAGAGTCAAGTGTTCCCCAAAAATTTGGGGAGAATTTTTTCGGAATTTTATTTTCCAATCTTGATTTGGATTCTGTCAAAATGGACACTACAGATCAAGTAAATAAGCCACATAGAGGTAAGTTCTGTCCAAAAAGTTTCTATCCTATTCATTTTTACGGCTTTATTGTTTTATGTCATTTTAGCTCATAAAAAAGGAGGAAAAGTTGTGAAAAAGTTGAAAAATGATGCTAGCAAAAAGGGGAACAACCCAAAAGCTTTCACATTCAACTCAGCGGTCAAGGCACACAGGAAAATTAAGAGGTAGGCCAAATTATTTGCTATCTATATTGTTTTCAACGTTTAGAGCGGCGGATCTGAATGAAAAGAAGAAACACATCCCCGTTGTTGACCGAACTCCGATTGAACCTCCACCAATCGTCGTAGCAATCGTTGGACCTTCAAAAGTCGGTAAATCTACTTTGATCAAGGCTTTGGTGAAGCATTACTTGAGACAAAACTTGACTGAAATCAAAGGTAAGCAAGGTTAGCATACATTACATATTTTTAAGGTCCTGTTTCATTGGTTACTGGTAAGAAACGACGCATCACTCTGATTGAAGTCCCAAATGATATAAATGCGATGATTGATGCTGCCAAAATTGCCGATCTGACTCTTCTTTTGCTGGATGCTTCCTTCGGTTTTGAGATGGAGCATTTCGAATTCATAAATATATGCCAGGTTCATGGTATGCCCAAATTCATGGCCGTTATGACGCATATGGACTTGATCAAGAAGAAAGAGAGACTAAAAGAGCAGAAAAAGGTAAGTTTTATCAATTTAATTATATTGATGTTTAGGTAATAAAACACAGATTATGGAAGGAGGTATATGCCGGGGCCAAATTATTCTTCCTGACTGGAATGATCCATGAGACGTATTTGAAAGTAGAAGTCAGAAATTTGGCGAGATTTATATCAGTTATGAAGTTCAGACCAATGCAATGGAGAGATGCTCATCCGTTTGTATTGTGTGATCGTATGGAAGACATTACCGATCCAGAATTGGTCAGAACGGACCCCAAAGTTGATCGTTCGGTATGAGAGATTTAATTTGGATTTGCTCTGAAGTTTTTGATCATGAATAATATAATGGATCATATGATTTTAGGTATGTTTGTATGGTTGGTTGCGTGGAAGTCATCTTCGAAATCGCGCAGCGGTTCACCTCCCTGGAATTGGCGATCTTCAACTCAGAAGTATTGCTGTTTTACCGGATCCATGTCCTTTCCCTGAAAAAGAAGCGAAAAGAAGTCTAAATCAGAAAGAAAGAGTTGTCTATGCTCCATTTTCTGGTCTCGGAGGTATTGTCTATGACAAGGATGCTATTTACGTTGAGACAGGTGGAGCTCAACACTTTCAGAAGAATGTGAGTTATTTTTATTTAGCTTTATTTGATTTTTAGTCAAAAAGAGATGAAATTATCGATGCCATTGCTGAAAATGACGTCACCATTGATGAGCAGTTGAGAAACACTTCGCTGAAGCTGTTGGCAGACTCCAATGCTATTGATAATGACGAAATTCCATCGGATTCTGAGGAGGCAGAGGACGAGGATGAGCTTGATGAAGAAGAAGAAGATTCGGAGATGGGAGACATTGAGGAGGAAGATGAAGATGACCTAGAGGAGTCTGAGGGTGAAGAGGAAGTCAATCCGTTACTGGGAAAGATGACCAGGACCAAAGATGGCTTGGGAATTATCTCTGAGCATTCCGGGGATTTCTCGGGATTAAAAAAGAAGTCTAAATTAAACTATAATTTTGGAGTGGGGAGGATCAGATGGAAGGACCTTGTTTATGGTGGTGAGTGTTTTATTTTGTTTTCTTTTTTTGTGGATCTTTAGATGAACAAGAAATGGTTTTAGACGCATTGGATAAGGAGAATGATTCTGATGAAGAAGAAGATGGTTTTATCGGCGGCGGCCTCCTTAAAAAGTCCAAGGCAGCTGTCCCCGAAGAAAAGAAGGCCTTCAAAGATTTGGAAGATGGATTTTGCTACTTCAAATCCGCATCAACCAGCGCGGAGAACCGGGACATGGACTGGAATAGCGATGAGGTATCTTGTGCAATTTCAAGTTTTGTTAGAAAAATAGGTTTTGTGGAACTATGAATTATGGGTCTTTTATAGCTCCGAGACTCGATCCGCAACTGTTTTGTCACCGGCAAATGGGAGGAAGGCAATGAATTGGCTGGATCGGATGATGAATATGGAGATTTTGATATGAATGGAGACGAAATGGATATAAAAGGTGATATTAAGAAGGAAGAAGGTCATGAACAAGATGCAAAGACTGAAGAAGGTATGTGTTTTTGATTTGGAGTTGATTGTTGTTTAGAAAAAGATGAAGAACGAAAGAAATTGAGACAAAAAGCGAAAGAAAAGCTGAAAGATCGATTTAACGCTGAATACGACGAAACGAATGAATACTATAACTCGTTGAAGGAAGAATTGGATGCGCAGGCTAAGGTATGCGTTTATTGTCTACACATTTTGGTCATATTTTATATTTTTTTTCATGGATAACATAATTTTTTGTTTCAGTTGAACAAAAGTGAATTTGAAAACATGGATGAGAACGAAAGAGAACTCCTAGAAGGTTTCCGGCCAGGTCGTTACGTCCGTCTTGAATTTGGAGACATCCCCGTGGAATTCATCGATAATTTTGATCCAAGACGACCAATAATTGTTGGAGGATTGTTGCCCGGAGAACAAAACATGGGCTGCATCCAAGTCAGAGTCCATCGACATCGTTATTTCGAACGTCTGCTCAAATCAAGAGATCCATTGATCATCTCGTGTGGTTGGCGAAGATATCAGACCATGATGATCTACAGTATCCAGGATCACAACATGAGACAGAGATTCCTCAAGTACATTCCACAGAATATGTTTTGTCACGGGACCTTCTGGGGCCCTCTTGTTGCTCAGAACACTGGTTTCATGGCTGTGCAGAGCGTGGATGAAAGAACGGTGAGTATGGGACCAAGTGTAATATAATTTATGTATAGAAAGGATTCCGGATTGCCGCAACTGGTGTTGTTTTGGCCATGGACAAGTCCTTGAAGGTCGTGAAGAAGCTGAAACTTGTTGGTGAACCTCTGAAGATCTTTAATAAGACCGCTTTCATCAAGGTAAGTGTAGCATTGGATTTATACATAATCCTGAAAATGTTTTGGTTTAATTTTTTTTTTATGTATAGGGAATGTTCAACAGTGAACTGGAAGTTGCCCGCTTCCAAGGAGCAGCCGTCCGAACGGTCAGTGGGATCAGAGGTTTGGTCAAAAAAGCCATCAAAGAAGAGCCCGGGGCCTTCAGAGCGACCTTTGAAGATATGATCAGGATGGGGGATATTGTGTTCCTACGGTCGTGGGTGACTGTCCCAATCCCTCAGTTCTTTGCTCCAGTCACTGACAAACTTTTGCCATTCGAAGAACAGTGGGTGGGAATGAAAACTGTCGGAAGGTTGAGATTTGAACAAGGAACCAAGCCAGAAATCAACAAGGACAGTCTTTATAAGGTATGAAAGATGATTTGTACTTATTCGACGATTGCAATCTGCGATATATGAGAAGTTTTGATATTTATTTTAGCCGATTACCAGAAAACCTTTCGTCCCTACCGAATTGACCTTAACCAAGAAGCTCCAATCCGAATTACCCTATAATCTGAAGCCTAAGGTCACCACAGAAGGTGTGGTGAGAAAGAGAACGGCTCAAGTTGAAAAAACGACTGCCGTGATCCTAGAGCCGAGAGAAGCCAAGATCAGAAAAGTGATGAGTATCCTCGAGAAGGTCCATGAGAATCGTCAAGAAAAGGAGAAGAAAGATCTGGATAAAAGACAAAAGGAGCATTTGAAGGTAGGAAATGGTGATTATAGCGGGTTTGGGATGTTGCAGTAGGAAGTTGGACGTTTTAATGATGTAATTTTTGTTAAAATAATGTTATTTTGCTTCAGAAAGCCGGAGAAATTGACGGAAAACGCAAGGAGAAGATGATGAAGACCAAACAAGAGATATGCCGGAAGTTGTCCAAAAAAGAAATTGCCCGCCTCAGAAAGTCGATGAACGCTGTCAAAGGAAGAGGAGGAAAAAGAGATGATTAATTTTCAAGTTGATTTTTGACATTGTTATTGTTACAAGCTTGATTTCTTACTGTTATAATAATTGTTATCCTGAAAACTTTATTGAAACAATTGAATTTTGGTTTTTGAACCATGGCCAATATCTCGGAATTTCTGAATTTAAATGTGGAGAGATTAGAAGGAGTGCTGGAATGATTAACGAATGAGTGTTACAGATGTTCGGCCTAGACGAATGGTTCCAAAATTTCTCGCAGTTCAACCTTGTAGGTCTTAAGAAAGAAACGGTCGCCACCGTCAAAAATCCAGTGGCCGAATATTCGATTTATTGGACGTTTAAGGGCATGCAAGTCAGTAGCTTTATCGGTGGGTCAGAGTGATCATATTAAGTTCGCTAGTTTGAGGTTTCGAATTTTTTTTGATGTTATCCATGAAAATTTCAGGTGGTTTGATTGTCCATCCGATCTATCGAATCTACAAATTGATGAATATTGATGAAGCAACAAGAACTACAAACACAACAAAGATCATTCGAAACACTTCGAGGAGAATTCAGGTAAAATTTTGAATTTTTTTGTCATCATTTATGGCTATTATTTGTAAAATAATTTAATTTTAGGGTCGATTTATTCTCGCTGGACTTGCTGCCGGTCCGCTAATTGGAGTTTTTCTGCCAGTGGTTCGAGGGTGGAGTACGGAACGGCTGAAGGAAGAGTGCTATAAAATCAGAACCAGCGGAGATTACCTGGTTTGGGTAGGTCAAGATGATTTTTTCTACTTGTTTGTGGTCCATTACACTTTATAACGAGGTTTAGAAGAATGTAAAATAAAGTATGATGTTCATATTTCTAGGACAGAGCTACGATTTGCTGTGGGTTCTTTGGTTGGTATTGGAAACGCTTCCAAGGCGCGGTTGACGGGGTAAACCTGGCTTTGGCCTACGCCCTGGCCTATCATTATGTAAGAAATTGAATTTTCATTTAATGAAACATACGATAAGAAGTCTTACTTTGTGCTTTTAGGTGCTAAAACACAAGACATCAGTCATTTTGAAGGACAAATTCAAGCCAGAAGAATTGTATGACTCCGTAGTGGAAGCCGAAGCAAAACAGGATTCGTTGAGGGAAATGTTCAGGTCAAAGAATTTATTTCTCGAAGATATGAAGAAGAATTAGTTGTTATCTCATTAGGTTGTTATATTTGCGGATAAATCATGTATAATATTGCAAAAATTTGGGTCTTTTTATGTTACTTTATATATGTTTATATTATATAATATTGAGTTAAGCACACCATATTCCCCACCGTATTCTCTTGCGTTCCCTTTCAAACGTTTCTTTTGCCCTTAAAATTCCCGGAAATGCCTTGTTTTACATTGTAATTGCACTCTTACACGCATTTCCACCCATTTTTGATGATTAAAACGGGATGGGAAAATAATTGTCGTTCCCACTTGAACAATGCCATCGAACAGCGTAACCCTAGCTACTTGAGGCACTCGTTCAAGTCGGTCTCTTTTTTATTTGAAGAGCCTTTTCTTTGCCCAGAATCGCGCGAATTGCCGTTTGAGGTTCGGGTTTCGTGGCTCCAAAAAATGAGAAATTTTGTCATTTGACTTGGCACATCATTTGGATTAGAATTTACTTGGCATGCCCCTAGGGTTTACTTGAAATTTATTTGAAAGACCAAAAAGCTCTTCAAAAATAAATTTTGTAATCAATTTTTAATGAAATTTCTGATGATTAATGGTCACAACGATGATTAAAATCTCTAGAAATAGAAGATACATCAATTTTAGAGTAGTGGAATCATCTCATATTTTATCATGGATAACATGCAACATGCCATGGATAATATAAAAATGACTCTGGAAGACTTACATGTTTTTTGGAGGCCACGAAAACACTCTTGATGTTTGATTTGGCCCTTGAACGTGTAGCCTCAATGTTCCGAGACATTCTCCATTAAACTTTTGTTCCTTTTCACTTCCAATTCTCAGGTGGGCCCAATCTTGTTCTTCCGTTCTCTAAATTCCCCTCCGATTCCCGTTTTGGCCTCAATAAAACTTGGCCAATTTGAGAGGAAAATTTTATTTTATTCAATTTGAAAATAGAAATTCCTGAATCCGATAAGCCATACTGTAAATCGTAATTGTGTAAGTGCATTCCCAGAGTGTAATCAAAAGTATATCTAAGTTTAACAACATTTCTAGCAACTTCTAAGGAGTTGAAACGTCAATTACATTTTTGTGCACTCTTAAAAAACACGTCAGATTATTAGAGTAGTTGTTTTCAAAACTGTGGTCTGTACTTTACACGGTGATTATTTTTTGCATTCATTTATAGGTCTTGATGAATGTCTACTGCATAAAATAACTGAGAAATGTCTGAAATCTCTTGGATATTAAAAGTTGTCATAAAATAAGGAGAGATGCATTTGCAATGTCCAGATTTTGATGAAAAGAAACTTTTCCATGCATTAGACGAACAATTTATGACTTTCAGATGTCGATTACGCGATACTGACGGGGACAAATTAAATTTACGGTATCTGAACATACGGTTTGCTGTTGCAGAGCGTTGCAGACACGTTACACTTGGACTTTAATGTATTTTATGCAGTAGAATTTATTTATTTATATAGTTTACACACCAATCTGCTGATTATTCCCGTCTCCAGGTGTCCCTGCCAGAATCTCTGTCTCTCCGGCAACGAATTTCATTTCTATTTAAAATCGAAGACAATACATTTTTTCAAGTGAAATGTCATCGTTTCAGTCCCCTTTCATGGCCATTTTTGTCGTTTTAATTGTCCCTAACTCCCCCAGATTTCATTGTAGATTAACTTTGAAGTGGTACTCTCCATTCTTTTTGGCCTCCGCAAGTTTTCTGAGCGAGAAATTTGTGACGGTCAATTGCTGTAAAAAGCAAATAGCCCGAGGGTTTTTAGACACAAATATGACTTTGAATTTAAATATGCTCGCCAGAAGGTTGACGTCGATTTAACAGAAATTAGAAGGCTTCGGTTACAGTATTAGTGGGCTTTTATGAATTTTCTCCGATTTTGTCCACTACAAGGTCGTGAGAAAGTGTTCCAGACTGAAAAATTAATGTGTATTTTAGAGATTACAAAAGGCTCTGTGGTCTGCGGTTTACAGTGCGACCTTACTTTTAAAATTCTATTATTTTCAGTCAAAAAAAATAGCTTGCAAATTCGAATTTACGGGTGAAGGACGGCCTTCTCCAAGCCTCCAAAACATTGGATTCTCCCCAATTTGCGGCCAAGTTGACCGTTCTCTTTACACATTTACACTCTAAACTTTTCGTGGAAACACGATGTCAAACGAACAATTCGCTGTTCTCTTTTTTCGGCATGAACTTCCGTCTCTTTGTGCTCAAAAAAACAAACGCCTAACGATGACAACTCTGGGGACATGGTACATTTTTTGAGGGAAAACAAAGAGCAAGATGTGTTTTGAAATGTGACAGTAGACTAGTTGAACAGGCTTTATTTTTACAAAACATTTTTACATTGCACAATGCATTGTATCATAATTTGTCTCACGATAAGCTGAACCTGAAAGGGGCAGGTAAGAACAAACTTCTATTGTTTTCTACTCGGAAAGTACAAGAGTTATTCTTCTTATCGAATCATTGGAGGACCCTATTTCCCTTCGTTTTTACATTAGAAGGGTTATTCCGGCTATTTTGGTTTACAATCACAACTTTTTTGCATTTTAATTCTTGAATTAGCAGAGATACGATTGCTATGTTTGTTTTACTTTAACCATGGCGCAGAGGGTTTATTAGAGGATAAGATTATGTAAGTATTAACTTTTAAGCGGACAATAGTCATCATCACGGCATGGCTTTACGAAGTAGTCTTTTTTTTACAAGGGATGGAGGAGAGGCGTTAAGATGTTACTAAAATTTTATTCACAAATTAACCGCGAAGGTTTTCCCGCAAGCTTTGACTTTTTCCAGTGGCTGCCGATAAAACATAATTTTGATTGCGAGAGAGGGCACAAAAAACGGAGAGTTGACCAGACGAAAAACAGGTTTTTTCCTTTCCTCTCTTGTGTCTGAATGAACTCTGTTTTTTTTTGTAAAAAGGTTTGCAAAACCAACAAACAATCCCTTCCTAGTGCACTGTTTGATCCCTTTTCTTCCCCATCATCCCTACCCTCCCCCCACCCCCTCCATCGTTTTTTCTGCCCGATTTACAGGTGCTTCAGCTCAACTCATCAACCCATTCCATTCATTTTCAAATAGTTTTGAGTTCACTTCGTTCCAAATTACCTCTTTTTCAACTTTTTACCACTCCTTTCCATTACATCTTGTAAAATTATTCATTTCTGAATCTATTACGTCTTGTTTGGAATCCTAAATGATTCAGGATCCTTTCGCTTTCACATAGAAACCATAAAAGGAGCGATTTGCGTCCCCTTTTTTCGCTGTTTGCCCACAGGGTTTGGAGCTGTGTAATTGCGTAATATAATATTCTAGTAATTTTTGGGTTTTTAAGTGATTTTGTGGGAAAATCCGTGTGGATTGGGAAGGAACTCGATTTTTAAAGGACAAAAAGCATCCAGACGATGATATTTTGGAAAATTTATACCAGGTTTATGCTGACATGAATATGTAGTTAATTTTGTATTTTATGTTTAAAGTACCCGTTCATGAGGGCAAGAATCATGTAAATTGAGGTTTATTCTTAACTTTAAACCCAGAAGTTTTGAAAGAATTGAAATTTAGAGGGCTAGGTTCTATGAATAGGGTTTACACAGCTGAATTTGTGGTTTGTTTTATAAACCCCGAGATATTGAGCCATTTTACGCTTAAAGAATAAAAACTCTTGTAGTTTTTAGTTATAGGCTTTGTTGTTTATACCCTTGAGATTTGCCGTTAGCTTATTCAAGCGTTTCTCTCTGTAATTGCCCATTACGTCATTTGGAAACTTTAAAACTCGGTTATTTTGAAGAATTGATTATTGAGCACATTGTGGCACATGGTTAGCGTTAGGATACTGTGGAAAACAACAATTGCTGAATATCTCGAGGTTCTCTAATAAATGAGGGCTCAAAATTCTGAGGATCAAGACCCTATCAAGGTTATTATTTCAAAATTTGGGACTAATCCGATCAGTCATCCCTTCACGGTGACCCATTTTAGAAATCGTGACTAAAAATAATACCATTTCGTTATTACAAAAACTCACCAACTGTTGTCAAAAAACATGTCAAAACTGGGTTTTGGATATTATTTTTGTGTTTTCTGAGCCTGACTCTTGTTTACAGCCCTCCCCTTTTATTGCCGGCTTCTCTATTATACTTTCGTCCTCATTTACAACCCTCCAAATAGCTTTTCTCAATTTATTTTGCAACATTCCCATGTCCTTTCTGTCTTTATTCCTTGGTAGATGTATCCCCCGCCCCGTAACACAATTTTCGGACTTGCTGCAGCGCCCTGAGGGCAACAAGTTTCGGCTCGCTGACAATCGGATTTCCGGGCCTAATGAGCAAGAAGAAGCTAGACGCTGACACGTTCCCCCAAATGCCCTCCGGGGATCTTGTGTTGACCTACTTCGGAACCGATTTCCTTATGCACGACGTAAAAGTTTATGGGTCCTTTGTTTTTTCGGAGGAGTTGCGTGAGGTCTACCTTGGAGAGAAAGGAGGAGGACATGCGCTTAATTATGAGAGCTTAGCAACGTCTAGACTTGGCGGGGCATTTGGAGAACTTCCGGGCGTGGAGCTGGGAAAGCGATAAGGGTTTAAGCCGTAGGAATTCGAGGCATTTACTATAGTTTCAATGTAACTTTTAGTCATCATTTTGTCTACAATAATATTGATATATTTTTCAATACTTTTCTCAGCTCTTCCCTCCATTGTGGGTCATCCAATGATCTCAAAAGCTGTTTTAAATTTACATCACAATATTTTATAACTTTCCTCGCAAATATTTTAGTGATTTTTGAATTACAAACACTCATTATTTTTTCATTGAATCCGCATAATTATCTTGCCTTTTATTTATTCGAAAAATTTAATTTGCGATATTATAACTGCAGTGATTTTTTCGAACTTGTAAAGATGTGATTGTAGGTGTCTGGTGATGTCCACAAAAGTCCGCAAACGGCTTTAGATGTGGATTCACTGTTATGGTGGTGTCTAAAGCCGGATGGGTTCTGAGGCCCGGTCGGTTGCCCGCTTTTATCTTCCGATATCCGCATTCGGTGCTCGTCGTAATACGACTTTTCTCCATGGTAAGAAACATTTCAAGTTGTTATCAATTTTCTTCCACAAATCTTACAAAAAAATAAAAGAAAATCTGACATAAAGGTTGAGAACTTTGTCAAATTTAGAGATTAGAATGCAAATCAATGCATGTTTTTCAAGTTCGACATTAGGATTTGAACTATTACATACACGTATATCTGATGTCAATTATTCAAAATTTTAGTCTGTAGTTTATAAGTACAGCCACTCTAACTGTGTATTTAATACGAACCCTAAAAATAAAAAAATATTGAATATCGGAAGTCAAAGGCTCTCTAATTTTGTTTCAAAGGGCTTCTTCAAATTTCAGTTCAAATGTAAATTGACCCCATTCCTATTCATGATGTTCTTTACTGGGCCATTATATATTCATTTCCGATCTAATTTTAGATATGCTCAATATGCACTTTAATGATTTGGCACTCCGCGCAGCGCCAGTTCTCCCATGACTCTGGTTTCAATCTGATCGCCATCTTCGACCTGCTCAGTTTGTTGTGTATATTGCTGTCGTTGTGGTTTACTATTCAGAAATTTTATTATGTCAAATTGGTAAGCAAAAAGCTTCGTTTCATTTTAATTTTTACGCATTTTTAGGACGCGGCGTTCAGTTTAACCTCAGTGATTTTCATTTTGGGTGGAGTGGCGGTAACCGGGTCTGTTAGCGAGGATGTGAATACAAATGATCTGTTTTATATTATTGGAAGTTCTTTTTGGTCAATTTTTACAAAAATTGTGACCTCTTGATTGCACTCAAGTTTGATGACTAAACTCTAAACAAGCCGCGTTTTATCTCTAAAAACTACATCTGGCGCTTTGCAGATATTTATTAATTCGCACTTGGGGTTACTGTAGCCTCCCAAGGACCTATTTTTCGACCACAAAATCTTCAATAACAAAGTTTCCTTTCTAAACTTCCAAATCCACTGCTTTGTTTCAGGTGTGTCACCTCTACCTCTTCGTTGCTCAAATCTTTTCATTTGGCTGGGCCATTTTGTGCACCAAAAACACGGCCAGCAAGTTGTTTATTTCCAATTGGGGACGAAACATCAGTCCTACGGAGATTGAGATGCTCGAAGATGACTTTTGAATCTTCTTCATCAGCCGTTATTATACATAATACTTTTTTCAAAATATCAAACGTCCACTCAATAAATAGCGGGTACTCAAAACAGATTTATTAGCCTAAAATCTCAACAAATTGCTTTTATTAACCAATATTTCAATATTATGAACAGGTGTAGGAATAAGAGTCATAGTAGCCATGGATAACATGACATGTTTGAGGTCTCAGAATTCAGCTTCATCTTGTCCGAAAAGGTTCTGAAGAGAAGCTGCGGCAGCAGCGGCTTCATCGCTGAGGGCTTGGAGTCGAGCAGCTTCGGATTGCGAAGGCTGGGGAGGCGGGGGAGGCCTCGGCTGATGGATAATCGGACGTTCTTCCCTTCGAACTGGAGGCAACAGAACTCTCTGGGCTTGGCCATGAACTCCTGGCTGAAGAATCCTTGAGGCTGCAGGATGGATTCGATGTTCCACATGTTGGACTGTGCCGGTTGTTCTTTTTAGGACTTGAGTAAATGCGTTTCTGGCTACTCCAAGAGCCGGGGAAATCATCGGAGGTTTGGGTTTTTGTGCATTCTTTGGTGGCCGGCCTCGAGGAGCTCCTGTGTAGGGCTGGACGGGCTTGTATTTGGAGACAATTGGCGGCATTACGCTGTCCAGATTGACACTGCAACAAAAAATATGAACAAAAATATAATTTTAGGCACTCAATCTTCCATAAATTAAAATAAAAACAATCAAAACGTTCCCAAACCAAACTCAAACTTACGAAGAGTCCTTCTTGACCAGTGCTCCTTTGACCGGCTTGCCCTTGTTTGTTCCGATAACACCACTCGCTCTTCCCTTTAAAGTATTCACATCAACTTCGAATTGAGAGGGCAGTTTCACGGGTTTCAAGAACTGTCGCTTATCCTTGACTGACAATCCTCCCTCTGCCACCACTTGCTTAATAAAGTCAGTGGTGTGCTCCTGCAAAACATTTAGCGTATTAATTTATATTCCACTTGACATCAAGAGATCGCTCAACTAAAAAACAACAAAAATTCACCAAAATAAGTCGATCCACGCAATGCTGGCTCGCTCTTTCGATGGATAATGCCGTTGGGGATACATAAAGATTCTTGTCCGCATTTCCGATCACAATCAGCCCAGAATCACAAATCATATTTTGTCTCATCTCCTGCATTTCTTGGATGTCACAGTTTGAGGCATTCTCCCCCACAACAAACAGCGAAGGGCAATACGTAATGCAAATATTGTCATCCACTGTCTAAAACAAAGCTAATTAATATTTTCATCCTATAACTATTACATCAAAAGCCATCAAAGATTACTCACCCCTCTGACTCCGATGTGATTTTTCATGGGGAATGCAAAGTTGAGGACTCCGCTGACTCCTGAGATCTTTCTTATCGCCTAAAACACTCATTATAATCACGCATTTCATTCTTTACCTGAATATTTAACAAACAACTTGTTCCCCATCCAGCCAAGAAAATATGATCGTCCGCTCTTCTCTTGGCGATCTCCTTGACCCTCTGTCTGATCATCTCCAAACACATGTGAGTCAAGGTTTTTGAGTCGACCATCGATGAGAATCTGAGTTCAACTTTCTCTACACATCTGATCGCAGCTGGGAGAAGATTTCTAAACATATTTTCATGGGCATGTTTGTTGATGACTTGATTTCCACAAATGATTTGAGGGTACACCAGGACCAAGGAGACTCCGGGGATCGGATTTATCTAAAATTTTAAAAGTTGATTAGACTTATATATTTATCATCCGTCCATTAATCATTAATTCTAATAAAACCCAATTCTTACCTGTAAAACCTTGTTGAATCTTGTTCCAGGATCCGTTAATTTCGAGTCCAAAAACTCTGCAATGTGAACGTTCCCCTTTTCAACCTCTGGTTCGGTTGCTCGTCCAGTCAAATACACCGGAAGTTGAGTTCCCTAAAACAAAATAAACTCAAACTGTAAATTGGGAATACTCACTGTCAGCTTCAAAAACCTCAGTAAATTGAGATATGAGGCCAAGAACTCATCTGGCAATTTCCTTATCAAATAGGCGTGAGATGCAGTCAAGGCGTCCATTCTGGCTACAGTATATAACAGCAAATTCTCTCTCATTCTCGAGGCATTTTTCAAAGTTTGGGTGTAAAACAGTGAACATCCACCTTTCACTTCAAGTGTATTTAAGTCAATGAGTCGTTGGCTGGATATATATGCCAACAAAGTTGTGAGGTGTTGTCTTTGATAGGGATTATCCATCTCCAGGACCCTAAACCCAGAATAATAAATCACTATCTACACAACCACAACGATGTCAAACTATGCGAAAAGATCCAGGACCTACTCTTTCTCAATTCTCTCCATCGGTGACTCGGTATCATCATCTTCTTGTCCTTCAAATGCAAATGGAACCTCTTTTCTGACATCCGCAACACAATCAAATGCAGGATTCTTTATCAATATTTCATTCTCCTCCGCTTCTATGTCCAGTTTGTCTTCAGAGACACCTTCCAAAATATCCACTTCCTCCTCTCTTCGACCAGACCCGGAACGGCCATCTTCCCGCCTAAAATGATATACACATTAATTTGTACAACCCCACAGACTGATAATATATAAATGTGATACCTAAACCACTCTATTCATCACAAAAAGCCTCTTCTTACCTAATAAGGACTTCCCGGTAGAAGTAATCATCCGGTGTCACAAGTTTTCTCTCAAATACGAGCCCAACTGCAAGTGGATTTAATTCTTTTCTGGCCTTCATCTCCTCGAAGAACGGCCGATGTGCATATCCCTGCGCTTTGGTCGTACCAAATGACTGATACTTCTTCAAAGGCTTTGGTTTCACCGGAGTCTTCTCTGGGCTTGGTTCATGATCATTTGGTTGAGCGACCTCATCTTGTGCAACTTCAACATGTTGAGGTGGATAGTGGAAGGCGGGTTGGCGAGGGAGGGCCGATTGAGGGGTGAAAGCTGAAAATAAATGAACTTCAGACCATAACAAGACTACCATAAAAATCAAAACTGAATAAATAATCCAATTTTGGACATTACTTTAGACACCTACCTTCACAAGTGCTTGTTCTCGCCGGTCTTCCTCTCCGTCCAGTTCCGGATCCAGCCGGCTTTGGAGTGGTCGAGTCCAAGGATCCTTTAATCAGCTCCGGAGCAAATTGTGATATTGACAAGGCCTTGTTTCGGGGTTTTCTTCCCTCCAATAATGATGTACTCAGATCCCTCTTGGCCGCTTCCTGTTGACTCTGAATATTGGCCAATTCATATTGTCGTTTTTGAGATTCCAATGCCAACTGGAGTGAAGTTTGATCTGGCAAGTAGAAATCGGGAGTAAATGGATAGCAGGCTGTTGGTGGGGGAACCGAGGGAGTTGCGGGGTCCACTGGGTTCGTGATGATCTAAAACAACATCAAAATCATTCCAATCCGATTTCAAGTTTAAAAAATTACATCCAACCCAACATACCTTCAAGGGCGCCACCTTAGGCACTTTAACCGGTGGACTGTCATAGAAACTGGACTTATTACCATCGTTTCTTGAAGGGGAAAACTTGGCAACCGGCTTGATCCTCCGTTTCCTACTGCTCACCATTTCCTCTGCACCTAATAAACTCAATACTCGTGGAGCCAACTTCCTTCTCGATGCTTTTTTCTTAACTCCAGGCTCAGTAATAGGACTTTCCGTCGATATTTCCATCCCTTCCTCGGCTTTTGTATCAGTTTGCAGTAGAGAAATATTTCCATTTTGGGGAGTTTCGTGTGAAGTTGATGGTTGCAGAAGAGGTTCTGGAGTCTTGGGAACAGGTGGGGTCTCTGCTTTAACGATTGGACTCTCCGATCGTTCTTTGCAAGCCTCCACGCACTTCCGACCTAATTTGAATATCGAAGAAAGCCGAGGCCTCGGCAGAGCCGTATCGGGAGTTGATTCTGTTTTCACTAAAAGTCAAAAAAAAACAATAATATAAACATTTCACATACCCGAAACGGCAGATGAGACGGATGCCGGAGAGGGTTGAGATATTGTTTTAGATGAAGTCTGTACATCCAAAGTCAAAGATTTGTTTTGACTTGTTGCTGCAGCACTTGGAGTAGCTGGTCTTGAGTTCTAAAATAAAGCTACGTTTTACAAAACCGTAAAAAATATCAAGATATCAAGCTACAATTATATTTACACACTTTTCTATGAAGAGCAGACTTGATAATCTCGTCTGGAAGTTCAAATCCACTTGTATTCTTCGCGAATGGATGGTCTACGGAACCCCCTTGATTTAATTCAAAAGAAACTCCTGGTTTGGGCTCTGGAACTGGACTAAACCTCGCCGGTTTAATCTGACTTCTCCTTGGTCTAGATGTTGAAGGAACTCGAGTCAAGGGAGGCTTAACAGAAGGAGTAACTTGACTTGGCACATTTTCCACTTTAGCATCTCCGCTTGCATTTATATTCGAGAACTCTAAAAACCAAAAAACTGTCAAGAAAAAACAAAATTACCTTGTTTTACCTCTGAGACAACTAACGGAACCTCTTTTACTGATTGTATAGATGTTCCAAGCTCAACATTATTTAATTCATGCTTGACTTCAACTGTTTCTGGTGCCTTATTGTTTCTCGCACCTTTTCTAGGACCAGCTGGTGTTCTCTTCTTTATTGGAGGCTTAACTGGTGGTGGCGGAGTTGGCTAAAACAATACATTCATTAAATGCAAGAAATAAAGAAACTCAATTAATAATTAAAAAATGTCGTACCGCTGATACCGGAGGCGCCTCAAGTGGCGGACTATACCTTGACCTTCGTTTTACTTCTCTTTTTGGTCTCGAAGACATGATTTAGATACCAAAGAAATATTTTAGCATAAAAAGCAATTTTATTTTTATTGAAATTCACTTTCGAGCGAAAAAATAACTCGCGCGATTCATATTTCGCGGAATGCCAAGTTCTGCCTGAATTTCGTAACGAAACGCACTTCTCCTGCTCCCGCTTTGACGTTCCTGAGTCCCGAAGCGAAAACAATACGGCCAAATTTTCTTTGGCATAGCGTTAAATAAGGAAAAATATTTTTTGGAGGAGAATAAATTAGTCAAGAAGACCGTAGACGTAGACCTCTGTTTTGGATGGATTTAACTGTTCGAAAAAGCCATGAACTTATTGATGAAGATGTTTATGTTAATGTGTATCAAGATATAAAAGCGAACCATGGCCGAGAACTTGTGAAGGTGATCGAAATGCACTCTCTAATGACTTATCGGTTGTAGAAGTGGACGGAACGAACAGACCCTCAGAAATATGTATTTGAAGATTGTGGGATTGCATCTTATCTTATAGTAAGTTTGTTATCCGCTTTCTTTGGTCGTCCTACGAGGACTTCAAACTGTTCTGTCTTTAGTGTCTACAACGTGCGTTGAACCTTGAAATCAAATGTTTTGTGGATATTGGATGTGGAAACGGACTTTTGACTTATTTGTTATCCATTATGGGTTGGAATGGATGTGGGATTGATGCGAGGACAAGGAAGATATGGGGGATGTTTAAGGAGCGATGTAATCTGATCCAAAAGAGTCTTGATCCATCGGAAAAGGAGGTCAGCACACTACCGGTTGAAGCGGACTTTTTGATTGGCAATCATTCAGATGAACTTACACCGTGGATACCCATTATGGCTGCCAGGTGAGGCTTTGTAGTTTTGTCTTAACTTTAGGTAACAATTAATATCTTCCGGACTGGCATTGTAGATTGAGGTCACTAGAAGGTGATCTTTTTTAAATACCATCCAAAATTATTTAAAATGTTGTTTCCTTTCGCTAAGAACAACTTTTTTCCAGGAAACGTTGCAATTTCTTCCTCCTGCCATGTTGCCCGCATGACTTTTACACTAAATTCTCTTCGAATCCAGCAAATCCAAAGCATGGAGGAAATGGGATTGGGACTTATGGCCAATATCTGAATTACGTCCATTCAATCATTCAAAGGCTCGGGTTTGACGTCAAAATTGATCGATTAAAGATATCGAGTACTAAAAAAGTAAGCAGAAGACGTGCTTTCTCTATATTTATGTTTAGATTTGCTTTGTTGGTACTGTCCCAAGTCTTGGATTGGCCGAAAATCTGGATGCAGTGATCTTAGAACTCTTGGAAAAGGCAAATAAATTAAGGCCAACTTTTAAACCAATAGCCAGCAAAGCGGAAGTTCGAAACTGCACCAAATTAGATTATGATTTCAAACAAAAACTGTCGAAGAAATTGGCGGAGATCATCATCAGTAAAAATGAAGGGCAAGATCATATTATTGTTGTAAATGTTGTTTTTAGAACGTCCAATAACTCCGTGCCATTGAATGAATTGGTCCCGTATTTAACAGAGGATGAAAAGACCCAACTCAAATCCCAATGTGGTGGAATTCAGACCTTCCTCAAGAACTTTCATCAAGCTTTTGAAGTCCGAAAAGGCAACGTTAAGATCCGCGACTGGCTCAGCGAACGTTCGAAGTTCGATAAGCCCGACAAAAAGAAGCTCTCCAAATGCTGGTTTGACCATGTGCATCCAAATGGCTGCCCTTTGATTAGCATGAATTGCCCATTTAGGCACAGAGATGAAGGTGGATAATATTGTTATTATTTTAGATTTTTATTGTTGATTTCTTGTTGATGTTGATATTAAATTGAAGATTGCTCAAATATGCAGATTTATAGATTTGTTAGAGACAAAATACATTGATTTATATCTTATATTAGTCATAACAATCAAGTATAACACAGAGATCCTTGAAATTATTGACTACCAGTAATTCTAGTAATAAAAATAGTGTGGCCAAAAGATTGCTTATGGGAGAACCAAATTTTTAGAAGCGGTTAGTTTACCCACCAGGCATTAACATTATTTTAGTCCCCGCAATTGTAGATGTACAATTTTTTCCTGCTCAGCCCCCGTTTCCTTTGCGGTCGTTGAACCGTTGGTCCCGCTCTGACTCCTCCAATATTAACCATTGGGTTTGAAGTCCCAGCGGCTGTAGTAACAGGGGCGTTGTCATCATCTTCGCTCTCAGAATCCGTGGAGATCGTGGAGGTCCGGATGAAGCCCAGTCCGTCCAACTGCCTCAAGTGGTCGGTTTGTGCTGATGTCGAAGTTTTCTTCTCATCAGTCTGGGTGTATTTATTCCTTAATTTACTCTTCTCGGCGACTCTTTCGTTCAGCATCTTCTTCTGATGGGAACTCATCAACTGGATCAGCATTTTATCCATGAATGACATTTCCCTTGCGTACTTCTGGATGGCATTCGCGTCAGCTGAAATGAATCTAAATTGGGAATCAGCGGCATTTTTACCTTCAGCAAGATCAATGGCTGTGCTTTTTCTTCGAAATTCTTCTTGCTCTTCCAGGGTCGGGACTGGGATTGATAACACTGTATTTGTGTTCTTCCGGACCATGTTCTGATCACTCATACTGGTAGCGATCGACATTTTCCTTCGTTCTTCTGAAATTTGGGTCTATTTTGGTGAAAAATTCCATAAAAATATCAATTATATTACATTAGACATCAAGTATAATGTAAATGGCTCTTACCGATCAAAGCCCGCTTGAAATCACTATCAATAGATCGGATAATCTTCGCAAAGACATATTCGATATGCAGTTGGATGATATTGATGCTCATGCTAACTACAGAGAGGCCTAACATGATCAGGATGGCGCTGATGACTCCAATGTGATGGGGTACTGTAACATCGCCGAGACCTAAAAATTTTTGGTGAAATTGTTTGAAGACAATCTACAGTGGCGGCTATAAATAAATCCATAAAAGTTTTAGCACATAATTTGCAGGTTGAACCGAAGTATTCAACGGTTTCTGCGGAGGACCATAGGAAATAGGGAGAAGAGAAGAGCGAAAAAATCATTTTTTTTGGCTAAAATTTTGTCTTCTCTTCTCGGAAAGCGACAATTTTTTTGTGGAAATAGGTACTTTTATATTGGTTGAAAAAATTTTCTTTCCGCCTCGTATCTCGGGAACCGCTGGGCCTAGAACCTCCAAATTCGGCATAGAAACATCCTAGGACAGTCTAACACCATGCCCAAAAAATCATATCATTTGATGCACTTTACATGCCCTTTTTCCAAAAAAGGCAAAAATCCGGATGACAAAATTTTCTTTCCACTTTGGAAAAAACGTTTGTAACTCATAAGCCAGAGGGTTTTAAGGCATGATTGTGGTATCGTTGTGTTCGCGAAGAAGTCCTCTCTCGATTGGTGTCACAACTTACGGGGGTTTTCGTTTCTTCGCCCTTGGGCGTCGGCTCATCGTTGCCTTGTCCATTTTCAGCCAAATTCGTGGCCAGAGGAGCTCGCATAAGGCATAAGGAGAAGAAAATGCCTTTAAAAAATCTCGCATTCATGTTTGCAACATTGTTTCCTCCGGCAGTAGAATTCGATTTAATTTAAGTGTGTTGCAAGGGAAAATGAGCGCTGCCTGGGTCCGCAAAACCGACGAATCACTTCTGTACAGAATGGAAACGTCCAAATTACATCCATTTTCGCTACATACGGCGTACTTTAGGGCTTATACGACAGCATGTGTTGAAATCTACCAGCTTATTTTACCCCTCTCTGGTCTATGTCGTCTCAAGTAACGCAGGTTGTTGCACTAGCCCTTGGCATTACTTAAGCTTGGTATACTGCGACTTTTGGCTACCAGACTACTTTAATACATTGACCTTGACAGGCCTTCAACATTTTTTCCACGACGAATAGCTTTCGTAGGAAGCTTAGAGTCGCAAATTTTGTACATGGGGCATTTGGAACCTTTCTTCTGCTCACATCTAAGCACGACATCAGTGATTAAAATCGTCACTATTTTTTAACTCTGTAGTATCATAGAAAATATATAAGCAGGAAAAGTTACTTGAATTATCTGCAGTGTTCCCATAATAGCGTAATTTTCTGGTAACGAGAACCCTGGAAGCGCGCGTTTTCCCCTGCAACGCACTTAAATTTAATCAAATTCTACTGCCGGAGGAAACAATGTTGCAAACATGAATGCGAGATTTTTTAAAGGCATTTTCATCTCCTTATGCCTTATGCGAGCTCCTCTGGCCACGAATTTGGCTGAAAATGGACAAGGCAACGATGAGCCGACGCCCAAGGGCGAAGAAACGAAAACCCCCGTAAGTTGTGACACCAATCGAGAGAGGACTTCTTCGCGAACACAACGATACCACAATCATGCCTTAAAACCCTCTGCCTTATGAGTTACAAACGTTTTTTCCAAAGTGAAAAGAAAATTTTGTCATCCGGATTTTTGCCTTTTTTGGAAAAAGGGCATGTAAAGTGCATCAAATGATATGATTTTTTGGGCATGGTGTTAGACTGTCCTAGGATGTTTCTATGCCGAATTTGGAGATTCTAGGCGAAGCGGTTCCCGAGAAACGAGGTGGAAAGAAAATTTTGTCAACCAGTATATTCGACATTCTGCTAATACGATTTCTAGAATCCAAAAATCACAAAATTTTGGATAGATTTTGGGTTTAAAATTACACATATGTCATCGAAATTTGTGTTAACTTTCATCCAAATCCGATCTTCTTACCGATAGTAGTCAGAGAAATGGCGCAGTAATACAGGGCAGTAAAGAAATCCCACTTCTGGATGAACATGAAAACCAGAGAACAGAGTCCCATCCATAAAGCGAACACGAAGAACGCCAATTGAAGCGGTAGCTGAGGCTTCTGGAGTTCGAACGGATCTTTCTTATCGATCAATTCTGTGCCCACATCACTTCCAAACTCCCCATCGAATTCGTCGTAATCCTCGAGGGCAGGTTTTCTTTTTTTGGTGGTTTTGAACATCCTCACGCATCTCATTATGTAATTGTTCCAAACACTTTGCATTAATTCGAAAAGTCCACCGCCCCAAACGTTGAGCACAGTGATGACTAGGGGAATACCGCCAATCGCGTAGAAAATAGTGAACAGCCGACCGTAGAAGGTGCGGGCGGCGATGTCACCATAGCCTGGAACATAAATATTACATTTTTTATGACGTCATTCATACAGTTTGATGTTATATAATATTAAATAATAATAAAAAGTGCGCAAAATGCGAGACACTACAGTTCTCTACCTCTCTGACCAAGAAAATAACCCAACATATTTCTTCTTTTAGGATCTCCAATAGCTCCTTAACCAAATTTTTGTTCTATAAGTCAAGTTCAGGGCCTTTCTGAAGACCCGATGAACAATTTTTGGAAAGCATTGTAAAATGCAAATATAAGATCGATGACTTACAGGCCATACATTTAGAGGTCTGTTTTCTTTATGACCAAGTCCAGACTTACCAATCGTAGTATACAAGGTAATCGCATAGTAAAGTCCTCCCCAGATATCCCATCTTGACTTTTCGTAGATCATATCGATACGATCCTTCTTATCAGCCTCCAATTTGAAGTTCATTTGGACGTCATACCGGTCGAGGACGTCTTGAAACGTCTTTTGGTGCAAAGCAGTCACATTCACATGCCGGAAAAAGATGTACTGAAAATAAATTGTCAGAAATGAGGGCAAATGATTTTTATGAATTCGCATGGGAGTAGTTAACTTGCTTTGCAGGTCTGCGGTAACAACCGAAAACATTAGGAAAGTTGGAGAAAAGACGGCATTTTTTGAATTTTTTCAATAAGAAGTTGGGAACTTAAAAAAGGCCTTTTCCACGTATGTATAAAATTGGCAGAGGTATGGCCAAAAAAAACTTCAGCTCACTTCAAATTAATAACATCTGTAGAACTTTCATAAGGAATATGTTGACGGCCTACCTGCATTTCCCCAATCAACGTATTCCTCGCAATATCCTTTTTTACCACTTCTGTTTTATGCCTTTGTGTGATATGCGCCTTCTCATTCCCATCTTCAAGAGCACAAAAAACAACAGCTCCGAACAGACTGTAGAGGATGATAACCAGTACCATCACAATATGAGAGGCGTGGTAACGATGGTACTTCTCTGTGATTAGATTCCAAAACATTTCGACCGCTGGAATGGGGCGAAATAACAACATAATTACGGTAGGTGTTCAAAACACAAGCTAATAATTGAGTTGGAAAGAGGAGAGAAATGAGGATGACAGGTTGTTCGAGGTGATAAAAGAACCCTGGAGGTATCAAAAAATTACTTTTTTTTTTATTGGCAGTTTTTAATTATGGCAATTTGTCTTTGGCCCTTAGAGCATAATGGATTGATTAGTGTTTGTGCAATTTGAGGAAAATAGAAAAAGTGGATTTATTTGGACACTGAAAATCTAGTATCCCTAAAACTTAAAAACGCCCCAAACGTTGGGGAAACAGCCTGAGACCAATTAAAATCACAAACCGGGGAGACCTGCTCTCTTCTCAGCTAGTTTTTATTGTTGTTTAGGGCCGGATCAGGAAGTTAATTAATTGTTTTGTGCAAGGCCCCGAAGCCAGTGGTCGAGTGATTTGTGAATTTGACAAACTACTTCCGGAAACTTGTAAGCGTTGGTAGTCCAGAAAAGTTCGCATTTTTAATATTATAGAAGCTTTACCGATAATAATTCTCTTATTTTATTAATTTCAGCTTTAAAAAAATCGCTGAGTTCTGCAAAACTCGGGCTAACAAATTTCATGGTTTTTAGGAACCCAAAGCTTCATAATTTTTAGATTGAAACCCTAATCACATTTTTTATTAAATACAGTACTCCCGTCTCCTTTACCATCCCCCAAATCAAATAAACCTACCTTCGACTCTCCGCCGGAGCCCCGGTCTTCTGGTGTACTTAAAGATCATCTTCTTGTCCCCGGCTTTTAATAAACTTTATGACAATCTTTAACGACCAGGTAGGCAATTAAGAATGTTCCGTAGGGGCTCAAAAAAGACCTCGAAAGTGTTCCGATCAGTTGGTCCAAATCAAACTTTTGTGTGAGCCAGGAGACTTCGGTTTTCGAGGAGAGAAATCGAAAGCTTGGATAAAGCAAAAAGAATGGACCTCTTTGTTTGATTGGGTAACATTTGGACACAGGGCTTCAAGTTCGGCTCAGAATGGTGAAGAATGCCGAACAGAAATGTCATAATGCCTGAGGGCAAGGAGGAGGGGGAGGAAGACCACCGCTAAAGTGTCAAGAAAGTGATAGGTGATAGGATCAGCGAAACCGGGGATCTTTAAAGGACATCACGTCATAACTTTTGACATGTTTACTCGTCGTCTTGAGAGCATTTGCGGTAAACAAAAAGGAGAAAATAATATTTTCAACGACTTTTTTTGGTAAATTTGCAGAAAGTTATCAACCTTAGACCTTACAATTACATTTTCTTGAAATTTTGAAAAAATTCAGACAAGCGCTTCCTAAGACACATGCGAGATTTTGACTAACGCCTTGCAGAAAGCAAGCTGTTAAAAACTTACTTCTCCTGGGATTCAGCAACAGCATCCTGACTCATCAGCAGATGCCAATCAAAGAGTCCAGAATAAACTTTATAGACGCAAGGAATCGGGCCGGGCAGGTCCTCATAACCAGTGTTTGGCCAATAAAATTGCCCAATCAATTTTTATTTCGGACATAAAAACCGGACAAAACTTGCAAGCGTTTCGACTTGCTTTTCGACTACTTTCAAGTATGCGACCTTGGGATACTACGCGTTGTTAAAAGCGGTCAACTTGATGCGTTTGTCTCGTTGTCGAATTTGCAAAGCGCGAGCTAAAACTTTCGTGAATTGATATTTAGTCCATTCCCAATGTGTGTGCAAAGTTTAAAGAAAATCTGAGCGTCGCACTTGGGGTACTTCCCTATTAAGTGATTTTTTATGGTCTCGTCGGGAAAATAATGGCGGGTCGTTGCAGCAAAATGTATCGCCTCGCCGCTATCGGCACCAAGTCCCCAGCCGCGGCTAGCCGTCGCAAAGCGATGATGGGCGATTACAAGGCACGACCACACCGTTATTTTCCCTACAGACTGACATTTAGACCTTATTTACAAAATTTAAGAAAATTCACCACCAAATTAGGAAAAAAGGATGACTAATATATTTGACAACAGATCGAAGAAAACACGTTTGCAAGAATAAAATGGAGAATAAACTGTCTCAAAGTCGTGTTCATTTTACATCAAACAGTTGGCCTGGAATTAATTGCCCTTATCAAACGGACTTGTTAACACTCCCCGGACCGGATCTCATAAATCCGGTGGGATTTCGAACCAGATCAAGATCCATTCTGACTTAAAGCTATTTGGAAAAGCATTCAATATTACTTATAGATTACATTCGATAAAAAACATATTCATTCATTTTGTTACTTCAAACTTTCTGAATCTTCGCCTTTATCAAAATAAAGTGTTTTTGTTTACTTTGGTGGAATTTTTTACAATCTTCCAGGATCTCGACTATAACTGGCCCGTTCCGTTGCTTCTGCATCATTTTCAGGGAGACTGCAGATTATAAGTTATTTTTGTCCGAAAATTCGAGTTCAATTCGATTATCATTCAAACTTTGAAGTTGAAATTATTTTGTGACTTACATAGAACGCCAAGTCTCTTGATGATCAGGAATTTTCGCGGCGAAACCTCCGCTTTCTTTTTGACTTTGTCTTTTTGCGAGAAAAAGCTGATCGAGTCTTCGGTGTGAGACATACAAAATGAGTAGAGGTAAGTGATCTCAAAAAAAGTTGGATAACTCTTCGAATTTAGGTGGTGTTGGCAATGAAAAATGCGTGTTTTGTGGCTGGAATCGTCGAAATGCATATCAGTCCGTCAGATTCTTCTGCATTCCCAAGGAACCTGGACTGAAGCGGGTCAGGTGGCTGCAAGTCTTTGGTGATCGTGAAATCAGTTTGAAGGACAGGGTAAGTGCTCTTCTATTACTTTATTCTCCCTTTTTAGAGCGTCAATTGGGTTTTTAATAATTATTTTTAGGTATGCAGTGTGCATTTCCGTCAGGGTAGGCCGTCTTCAGATCCCAGTCATGAAGATTTTGTTCCCCATCTTTACTTGAACAACGAGCCGCCTCCAGAAGTGCTTGATTATCTTGAATCTCTCGCTGATACGAATACCAAGCTTGAAAAAATTGCTGGATCTCTGAACAGTTCCACGAAATCTCCTTTCCTGAATGTAGAAAGCCCTCATAACACGGGATTGATGAAGTTGGGACCAAGGACAGCGAAGCCATCGATTCTGAAACGAAAACGAAGACCAAAGAGTGAGACGTTTACAGAGGATGAAGATGTGGAGGTAAATGTAACTACCGACGCAATTCCCGATTCAAACACAGGCGAGACAGTTAGTGGAGATCAGAGTTTCACCGATCGGCCGCCTCAGTTGGACAACCCGGTCCCTGAAAGTGCCGCGCAACGCGAGGAATCTTCAAAATCAGCTCAACCTGCAACAGAAGATAGGCCTGGTCTTAAATTCACAGCCATTCAACAACATATTGTGGATACCGTCGGGATTAAACCTGGGCAGACAGTAATCATCAGAAGGCGAATCAAGAAGCCGAAACAACTTTTGATCGAACCTAATGCTACCAAAACAATATAAGATCACCTCACATTCTAAATTATTCCATTTTAATCTTGACCAATAAACAATACATACAATAAAGTTGAAAGGATTGAGATTGAAGGCAATTGAGATTCTGTGATTGTTTGAGAAGACTTGAAAGCCGTAATTCGGGTACCTATTTCTGTTTTTTGAGTTCTAGTCTAATGTTCTCGGCATCTGAGCTGAGACCTTTGACTTGTGTTTCCATAAAATGTTTTGCGATTAGTTTTCGGGGTCTATGTTCTTCGGTATGCGGCTGATCTTGCCTTAATTTAGGCCACATCACGGCTGTGAAAATGACAGAAATTAAATTGAAAACGAGCTGGATTATGGTGGAATTTGTGATCTCATAGTATTCGTATAGGAATGTCTCTAGGATGAAGAAAACAACTACTATTAGAGAGAACGCAGCATGGATAAAGTTGAGAGTCCTGCTTTTGATCTCCACTTGCAACGCCATCTTGACAATAAGTTGTTGGACGGTAAAGGCCATGAACAAAGTCACGTATGGACGAGCTGCTCGGCCTACAACGATAACACCATTATGATTCTATTTCGATTTCGGTCTTACGGGACGTCGCAGACTTGAAGAAAGCGCTTTGCAAGCTCTCGGAGTCAACCGCGATCCTTGCCAGGATCCCAATTTGTTGGATCATTGTGATGGCGATCCATCCGCGGAAGTAATCCATCTAGGCCTTAAATTATATCTAAAACCTCCACCCAAATATTAATTAATGGATATCCAATCACATTTTTTTTAGAATTATTTATCTGTGGAATCATTTATTAAAACTCAACAATAAAACAAGACCCAGGGACCATGAAACAAACTGAGGAGCATCGAAAAAACGATGCACACAGAAAACCGATATAAATTCAGTGAGGGAAAGACCAACACATATAAAAATATAATCAGACGTAGTAATTGGGGGACACGAGGAGGCCCGTGAGGACGGTGAGCTGGTCGTCCGTGAACTCCTGCTTGTGTTCGTGCCAGCAGTCTTGATGGGTTCGTTTGAATTCGCTGAGCGCTTTCTTGACGGTGGCTTGGATGGGCTGACGTTCCGACGCATAGCGACACAACTTCATGAGGACGTCGGGCAAGAAGGTGGGCACCGTATAGGGGAATGCTTGGATGATGGCGGCCAGGCCAAGGACGCCAGCATGCCGGCGAAGGGGCTCTTGACTGTTTGCCATTTCGTTTATAACGGCCTGTAAAGGAGATAAAATTATTCGAGGGGCTAAATGAAATAATATTTACATCAATGCCGTCTACTTATCCTTTCAGATACTCCCAACTTTTCTCCGACAAAGAATTATCAAAGCTTCGCCAGACAACACTCTACTTACCAGAAGATTATCGTTCACACTGACGTAACCACAATTGATGAATCCAGAGATAGTATCCGCGGCACAAATCCTGACCTCCAATTGAGTATCGTTGAGGAAATGGAATAAAAGTCTGCATATATCATCAACCGCATGGGACAGGGAGAAAACATTTGAAAAGACGGCGACTTGGAGGAACTTTAGGAGAGTGACTCGTGCTTTCCACCAGGTACACGTGTTTAAAGCCTAAAGAACAATAATAAATGCATTGGAAGAGACACTCACATCAGCAATGTTCTGGAGAAGAGAATTGATATTGGTTTTGTGAACCGGGACCACACTCATTACATGGAGGAGTATCAGATTACAGCCGTTCTTCAATTCGTCATCCCTGAAAAGTCACAATCTTATCCAAGACATTCAACTTACTTCGTATCATTCGAATAATGTGCCAGCAAAGGCATGAATTGAAGAACATGGGGTTCTGTGCACTGGGAAGAGGACAAAGACAGCATGTTGATGAAGGTCAGCATCATCATCCTCTCCTTCTTGAGGTCATCCCCATTCTCGGGTGTCGAGTTCTCTCCCATTTCCATCAATTCTACGCCCGAGGGGATCTTGTTTATCGAGCCTGCGGCCACTCCGAACATCTTGGGGACTTCATTTTTAATGGCGTTCGCAACTTCCCGGAAACAAAGAGGCTTGAGACGCTCCTCGAGTGTGGGAAGAACATACATTCGACGGTACTCGTATTGGCATGCATCGGATATGATTCTAAAACAGGTAAGGGTCATCTTATTCTATTCTTTTGGCCACTATATGCAACTAAAATGAAAATACTTACGACGAAACTCTTGATCTCAGATTCTGAAGCGAATGCCCGATGAATGGTTTGACCAGTTGCACCAATTCATGCCACAAGGCCACGGATCTCCATTCCCATTGGCTGGCAGCACAGTGAAGGAAATACATTCGAGCCGAGATGTGATAGGAATTGTCGGTTGGTTTCTTCCACAACTGCATCAAGAGCTCGTACAACCAATAAGTTTGCCGTGGTTCTAGATCAAAAAATATGGAGACGATCGCTTGCGCCCAGAGGCCTTCGATTTCATTGCTCATTCCCTCCAAAACAGCGATTATTTTTGGGCCCAGCCAATTTCTCAACGGTATCAGCTTGTCGAATGTCCACAACTTGGCGCCCTTCAGTATTCCGGATACCATTTCTGCGGCCAGTCTTTGTGACGCCTCAGCTTTACTCGAAATGTAATGGTCTACAAATGGCCTGAGGGCTTCCACAATGTCGGTGTTGAATTGTCTTGTGAGGCCGTAGAAGAAGCTGTAAGTGGAGGCACTGAATTCTTCTGATCCTTTCTTCTCTTCCACCGACATCAACTGCAGAACTCTTCCCAGATGAGCGGAATCGGTCAGCAGAGCCAAGACTTCCTTTTCCGTTGCATTTAGGGAATCGCGTGTCCGGTTAATCTACAAAAAAAATCAATAACAACTTTAAACACAGCCCTACCAACTAAAAAAAATAACAATTTCTCTACCTGTGTTTGTTTCGAAGGCGCTGCATATCCTCTGTATTCCTTGGGCCATGTATAATATCCCCAGAATGGCTTGGCGTGGAAATCCGTGTTATTCCACTGTTCTTCGCTTCTCGGAGTATCTTCTGGCTTGAACAGGACCCATTTGTTGTCTTCCCGGATTCCGTATTTTATCGGTGCTTTCGCTCCGGGTCCGTTTTCTCCCTTATCAAAGTTAAAGACGACCCTGTTGGCCTTTGGCTTGTTGATCTTCAGCCATGAACTCATCAAACTGACGGCCGTTTTCCTTGTTCTGATCGTGTCTGAAGCCAGTAGCTTTGTGAATATTATCACCGCATCTTTCGGATATTCGATATCTCTTCGCAGCAGAAGAGATAACAAGGATTGGGCCAATTCAGCATGCCTCCAATGAAGAGTGGAGTCGTTTGCCAATTGGACGAGCTGAGAACACAGTTCGTAGTAGATCTTTACATTCTCTGCGTTCCTTTGTGCCTCGAGTTGTTTCGATTCGGCTTCCGTCATATAGTTAAATCCTGGGTAATCCGGTGGGTGAATGCAACCGTCGTAATTCACCAGCAGATTCCGAGCATGTTCGAGGACATTGTCAGGGAACTGAAAAAAATAATATAAAACAAACAATCCTTACCGTGAAATAGATCTCAAATGAAGCAAAATTATTCATGAACATGTCATGAATCGAGTCCAAAAGAGCCACAATCGAGGGCTTCTCGCTGAACTGCGCCTTTACCAAGCATGGCCAGATCTTCAGAAGGGAGATCCAATCCTGTCTCAGGGCAATACTTCGGCTCTTTCCCGTGTATAAAATGTATAGAGCCCCCTAAAAACATAAAAATATACCAAATCATACGAGAAATTTAAAAATAAAATCTGAATCCAAATCTGACCTTAAACTGCTCATGTGTGAGTTGAGCGCCATTCTGGATATAATACAAGATGTCATCAAGGACAAACTTATAAGATCGAGCCCACGTATTGAAACAAGAGTCGAGAACTCGTTGAGCCTGAATTCTGACAGCACTGTAGGTTGAAGTCGACAGGCGGATCAACAGTCTGAACACATCCAAATGGGTCGAGTTTAGACTTAAAGGATGCTTGTAGATGCATCTCTTCTGAAAGCAAAAAGTTTATCAAAAAAAAACTAAATAATAACTTACCACATGCATAAAGACCAGCGAATCCTCCATCACGGACTCGATATTCACCGAGGGTCCTCTCAAAGGATCGGCCAGATTGCCTTTTGTGGATCGATAGGTGCTCAGAAGAGGCTGATAAGACTTTTCATCCACTCCCCTCACATGCAACAATATCCTCAAGATTCCGATAATCTCCACCATGGTCTTGGTGTCATTTTCTCTGTTCTTGAGGACATAATCAGCCAAGGTGTTGATCCTTTCGAAGACGACATTCCTCAGATTTCTTCCATCCGTTGACGTCAAACATTTCATATTTCTGGGTAAGAATATTGTGTCCACAAAGAGACCAGCCGGCTCATCATTCAGCTGCTCAAGGGGCGATCCTTCCATAAATGGCATCAGTTTGGAGCCACCGAGAATTGCGCAACGAACGAAGATCAGGCGTTTCTGGAGGTCATTGCTGTAACAAAACGATGAGGAAACCAAACTTTAATTACCCAAACCCCAAAAATTTTCTTACTGCGAAAGCTTATCGACTTCCTTCGAATCTCTGAGGCGATCCAGCTGGTAAAATACGATTCGATTGACCATTTGCTGAGCATATGCAATATCCTCATCAGTCGGCAAATGCCATTTAAGGTCCCAGCTCTTCTTATCTATTGTTCTCGCCCAATCCTAAAGAGAAAAACTAAAATACTAAAAGAATTCTTACTCTTATCGGCAAATACTCATCTAAACCAAGGTCTTTTTCTTTTTTCACCGACGAAGAAATGGGGAAAAATGATGTTAAAGACGAGATTGTGTTCTGAATTATCCTTCCCATCACATTAATGGCATCTTTGCACTTGAATTGCATTCCCAACTCAATTATAGTATTGATCTCTTCCCGTTTTCGTGTCAAAAATACTCCCGGAGCACCATGAACAACCTCTGCGAACATATTCAAATACCATATTAGGGATGAATCCACTTCATCCTCGTTCAAAACGTCTTCTAAACAACAAATTCAAAAAAATATTAAGCCCACTTACCAGTGATGGCCAATTTCAGCTTGTTGAAAGTGAAATCAAAGAACAGCGGGAAGGCGCGATCTGGAGAATGGAGAATAAAAATCGGTATCAAGGATCGCAACGTGTCCATGACGGGCCGAGAATCAGCCAGGGTGCGAGTCAGGAATCCGTAGAAGAAATTGAGCGTTTTCTAAACTCAAAAATCACAAAATTTTATATTGTACTTGCCTCATAAATGGCGACACTACAATTCTTGAGAAGACTTCTAATGACTCCACCGATTCCCCTTTCCAAGACCATTTCCTCCACACTCTTCTGCCGCGGTTTGGTCAGATTCAACCGAGTGTTGTGTGCATTCACACCAGGGTTATTTCCAAAGACCTCCAGCATATTAAACAGTCTTTCCAAAAGCTGATCTACAAACGGATCAAATCTGGCAGTGGCGGCACAGAGCTCCTTCTCCTCTTCTGTTAAGTCATCCCGAATGTAAATGGCCTCGGAACAATCGTGGACCGGGATCAATAGCAAAAGAACTACAGTGATCTAAAACAATGTAAAATTAATCCACTATGCCCAACCAACAACAAAAAAAGTTATCAAACATCCCCAAAATGAACAATAATCTACCTGAACAGTCAAAGTTGTCTTCACTGTGTCGTTCATATCGATTCCAGGCAAGATATTACACAAGATGTTGATAGCATGGATCCTGAAGCTCTTTAGATGGGCCTCCGGTTCGATGGATTCTGTATATTTCAAAGCCCGTCTTTCTCCTTTACTTTTTGTTGTGTCGTCTCTAACCAATGAAACACAAATCCCTGCCAATATATAAAGCGATTGCATTAATCGATGAGGTTCCGTTACGGTTTCTAGCGCTGGGTAAACTCTGAAAATGTCGAAATAAACACATAGTTCCCGACATAGGACATTCAATTTCATATTCATTTTGACTTACAAATCTAACACCGACGGGATGATAAGGCCCGGAGACAAGAAGGACAAGACCCGCATTATTGAAGGCACGTATTCATGCTTGACTTTGGAGAAAGCGGCGTATTCCAAACAAGGCAGGATCGACTTCACAAACGCATCCACTTGAGCGTCCGTCAATCTGTATTGTTCTGGGATCTAAAATCCAAATAAAAAAGTTCAAACATCCCTTACTGGAATAATATGTTTTTTATAATTGTATCTTTCCCGAGACACTCGATTCACAACTTCATTCGAGAGAAGAACCACAAAATTGATCAAATTTTGAGTGTATTGTCCATTGTTTGAAGGATGGAAGTAATTTTCGACTGTTCGGAAAAGCTTGTTCAAGTATTCTTGGGTTCTAAAATAATGTCATAAAGTCATCTAAACATGGGAAAAAAACAATTTATGTATAATAAAGGCACTTACATATTCTTCTCTCCTCCCAAATTATAGGTGATCAAATTGGCCATATGACTGAAGACGTTTGAACTTGTCCATACATTAACTCGATCAGACCCCACATCCAATTTGAACGAATGCAATAGCTGACTGAATATCACATCCATCCGATCACTGTAATCGACGAAAAATGGAGAATCCTTAGCTAATTTTCCAAAGATCTGAGCAAAAAGAGTCTCCGTGGTGGCTGTTGGGTCGGCTTCGGAATACCAATGCCAATACTCTTCGAACCATAGACCGGCCCCGAATTTGGCATGTTCTTCTTGAGTCAAACAGGTTGGCAAGAAATGATAAGACAAACATAAACCTTTCGAAAAACAATCATCCAGTGGGCAAAAGAACGGCCGCAACTAAAATAAAGTAACAAAAATGCGGGTTACACTCACTTCGTCAAGGATCTCCTGCGTTGCTTCGTCTGCGAAGAACGGGCAAGCGTAATGAATCAGCTTTTCCAAGGATTTCTTCACATCTTCTGGCAGTAAAAACACTCCCTCCTAAAAATGAAATAATATCTAAAATAAGTCATACCTCTTCCAGATTCTTATAAGTGACCTCGTAGTACAACTTGTAAAGCGGCTTCCATTCCAAAGTTAAATCCTTTCTATTGAGAAGACTTTTTCGGCTAAATAATAATAAACACACTCGTATTTATTCTTACCATAAAAGTTGGCAGAGGATTGAAGAGATGGCTTGGACGATCGAAAAGTCCAATTTCTCCGCAATTACAGCCGAATACAACAGTTTGACCATGTGAATATGGTCGCGCTTGGTGAATCGTCGTCCATAAAGCGCCAAGAATCTATAACGTATATTATAGTATGAAAGAAGAACCACAACTTTGACTAAAAACGAAGAAAAATAGAATATCCACGCCTACAACACACCTGTTAAGTTCCTGAGTCCAAAAGACAAGTCCAGGACGTGAGTTTCGATGTAAAACTGCTCTTCCCAATCCCGTCTTTACATAAGTGAAGTATTCATCTGCATTCTGTCTCATTTCCTCTGAATAAGGGAACATCCGAATCTGCCACATATCCTTCTGATAGGACATCCTGGTGCCCTCCTCGGCACCACTCTCATCGCTATCATCCACATCCATTTCGGCCGCTAAACACAGAAAGAATTGGAAATAAAATTCTCCCATACCTATATCATCTGGGTCTATTTCGTCGTCGTCGTCGCTGACTTCCTCAACCAGAAAGTCGTCGTCTTCTCCCTCGGAGTCAACTTCAGATATAGACAGTTCCTCGAAGGAATCAAAGTCCGAATATTCGCTATCCGAATCCTGGCAATAATATAATCCGTAAAATTTCTCGCAAATTTTATAAAAAATACATAAGAAATACAAAAAATTGACGGGAAAGCCGCGAATTCTTACCACTTTGATTTTTTCGAATACAGTTTCCAACAATTGGCCGTGAAATCGACGTCAACTCCAGAAATTCTTTCAAAATTTTTATAATTTTTTTATTTTATTTATCACCTGTTTACCATTGTCTGGCATTTTCCCTGATTCGCAGGAAGATCGCTTGCTCTCCGTTTTCTCTCTCCAATTTCTTTTTTCGGATTTGCTTCTTCGTTTCTCTAATTTTACAAATAGGTTTGCGCTTGTAAAATTGCCATGTAGTTATTAATCCGAGATGGTATTTTTGCACAGTTTTTCTTTCCATTTTGTGAATTTTTTAATTGTTTTCGAATGATTGCAGTTGAGAATTCATGTGTAAAGAGTTGAGAGTTAGTTACAAGTGTTTGTAGCAGTTTAAACACCCGTGAAACAAACGTTTTTGAGCTCATTCTTCCATCAAAATTGACTTTTTATGGTCATGTGTGACGTAAGGTCTAGTACAGGGTGGGGCATCTTTGTGGCCCGATTTGAATTGGCTATAACTTCTTTAGTTTTTGGCCAAATTTTAAAATTCTTTTTTTCCCTGAATCGTCAGCCAACCCCATTTTGTTTGATACCAAATATGTTATACATAGTAAGTGTATATCTACAGTTATTGGATTTATTCTTGGAGTTCATTTTTTCGGTCGTTTTTCGGTTGTTTTTTCGGTCTTTCCCGGTGTGTCCAGAAATGGAGTACGGTGCGGAAGAAAAATACGGCGGAATTTACCCTCCCGAAAATCGACGATGAGAATAAGAACAAAAAGTGAAGATCAACCTCCAGAGTTCGTCGAATGGTCCTTGCTGAAGGCATTCCCTCGGTTCTGGCCAAACTTCGTGTACTCATATGCGGATTTTCTCGGAATTTTGACAAAACTTCTTAAATTTTCAGCTCCGTTCGTACTAATCTTTCCTGCTTTTTTTGTTTCCTGTTAACGCTGCCAGTCTCAAGAAACTTATTCCACGAACGTCGAATTGTCTTGCGATCTGGAGGTTAGGCATTACGTCCGTATTTTATGCGGTATCCCCGTTTGAAAATTTATCGCCGAACCGTACTTGCTATACCAAACCACAGACCAAGCCTTTTCTTCCACACCGGACTCCATTTTCGGACACACCGGGAAAGACCGAAAAAACAACCGAAAAACGACCGAAAAAATGAACTCTAAGAATAAATCCAATAACTGTAGATATACACTTACTATGTATAACATATTTGGTATCAAACAAAATGGGGTTGGCTGACGATTCAGGGAAAAAAAGAATTTTAAAATTTGGCCAAAAACTAAAGAAGTTATAATCAATTCAAATCGGGCCACAAAGATGCCCCACCCTGTACAACATTTTAGTTAGAATTAATTGAAAATTATTATTTATTCAAAACAAATGAACCCGTATTTGTTGCTTGATAAATACTCAATAACAGTCGTTTTACAATAACAGAGTACCATGTATAATACAATTAGGATTGTGGGTTGGCAAAAAAATTAGCGAAAGATGGCGAGGATAATGAGACTTGATACGATCGGGAAGAACGGCCAAATGCCATGGCTCAGGCTGAGAGAGGCGGTGTGCAAATCGAGATTACAGTTGTCTCCAGTGCACGCACAGAAGAGCTCTTCTTCTTCATTGTTCATCCATTTGTGAGAGCAGCCCATTTGGATCTGAAATTATTCATGAGGAAATTTAATTTCTACGCGGTGAGGGAACTATTATGTTAATCAAGTCAAAACGATTATTCCTGTTCAAGGAATTATAGTGCAAAAGAATCGTATTTTCCTACTGGTAAACTTTATGAGATTCTTAGGCTCTTAGGCCAGTCCAACAGGTTGGCTAGCCGTTATGTAAGTACACATACGTTCAATCTTCCTAGAAATGCCACGGCTTAACAGCTCAAAATTACTGTTTACGATACTTTACGATATCATAAATAGTTCAAAAGATTAAATGGCTTTTCCAAAAGCATTTGAGGATTAGTAAAAAGTAAAAAAAGGCAGCAAAAACTGCAGGTATCGTAAAGAGAGATTACCTGGTTATGATCTGTAACATTGAGACATCCCTGCTTCTCATGAATCATTGATTGAGTTCCCATCCTTCCCATTCCCACAACCACTCTTTGAGTTGTAAATGTACAGTAATGTCCGATACATTGGTTTTGTTTACAAGCCGAGGTCATGGCATTATTTTGAGCGGTCACGTCACAACTGGTGCATCGATGTAGCTCTGGCTTCTGTTCTGGGTAACTAAAATCAATGTTTGATTTTTAAACTAAAAGCAAAGTAATGTTTACAAAGCTACACTTACTACACGGCCACCGACCGAGATTTCTGAGCGGCAGATCCCAAGATTGGGGTCTCACGGAACATGTCATTGCAGAGATGAGTGTTACAGATACAATGTCTCTGCGGAACTCCGTTCCCTCGACTCAGTGTGATACAAACTTTGGATCGATGAGTTAGGACCTCAGGGCCGGCGTAGAAATAGGGCAAGGATGGGGGACCGTAACCACAGCCGGAAGCTCCACTATTTACGTCTTCATGGCACCATTGACCGTGACATGTTCGCCCACAATCTGGGTCTCGTTCAGGACAACTTCTGCAGGTTATGTTCCTTCTCAAAATGGGTCTCATGTAGATGGCGTCATTGCAAAAGTCCCCGACGCAGATACATTGGATAGAGTCGAGAGTTTTGTCATAATCACAACCGATTCTAGTCCGAGCGGGGCGTTTCACGCAGCCTTTCGTAATACGAAAAAGACCCGGCACTTCGGTCGGCTTCTTCTCCGTGAAACAGTAATCGGCTTCGCATGAGCCCATCTGAAAATGGCGTCAATAATGATAACACAAAGACGACTGTAAATATTAAGATATTTGCCTCGAGTGAATATGGCTATCAGGTCCATCGCCTTACCTGACAATTGCAAGGCTCACTGTGGCAGGTTCCAGCACAAGAATAGCACTTTCTTCCATGGACCAACGGCCCCAAAAGAAGCCATAAGATGGTTAGAACCAGGTACATAATCGACTCCGAGTAAACCCCTCAGGCATTTCGGCGTCTGCAAGGGGGAGTTGGCGTGATTACACTCAACCTAAGGGTTCGCGAAATGCCGTGACTATTACAATTCGATTCTCACGTAGTAGAATTACCCGAGATATTTGGACACAAAGGTTATGTCGTGACAAAAGGACACCTGAAGAGTGATATTAAATGCAAAAAGTGGGAAGGGAGCGGTGTTTTTGCACAGCTGACAACAAAAATTCTGACCTCTTTGGTGTCGAAAAACTGGGGCCGAGAACAGTGTAAAGAAAGCGGTCGCCTCCGGAAATCGGGGTCGGTGGCGTGGTTCCGGTATCCCCTTTGGCCCCAGACCCCCCTCGCCGGGCTCCATAACGGCGCTGTTTTGTTACGGTTTAAGAAGCGCTGTTTTTTGGGGCTGACCAGCGCCGCTTAATCATGGCCGCATGGGCCTCGCTTTTCGGCCATTAATTCCTGGGTTTTTGATGCGCTTCAGGTGAGAGCCGGGGCGGGGAACGGCGCCACTTTGCCATGGCATTCTGTCTAAAAATTCAGTTTTTGGTTTCGGCCCTGAAATCCCCCTCTCCCCCCGCTTAGTAGTTTTCAAGGCGGAAATCAAATTTGTTTTTCCAAATCCCCAAAACCCTTTGCCGACTTATTAATGAAGCCGGAAGGCGCAAAAGCCGCCATTCATACAAGAGCATGGCTTCTAACTTCCACATGTCATTGCAATGTCAACTGCCCGACTAGTATATCTCTAGTCTAATCTCCTTGTGAAATAACAACAAAGCGCAGACTTTGGTTAATGTTGCCAGTAATCTGGGGTCGGATTAATCGGTTCCTTTTCAGGCGTATGTCGACGAATATAGAGAACTAGGTTCTCTCAGAATCGTGCTCTAAAACTGGAAGACTGACATGATTCTTGGGTCATGACAGACGGATAACATGCTCCGGCATTTGACATTCAATCCGGATGTCGTTCGTGTTTCGGCGGAGACAAGGAGGAAGGATTATATCTGACAAAGGGGACGAATGTGGGGTAACATCAAAACAAATATGAACATTCCAAGAACTAATTAACATCAGCAAGCAGACAAATCCTTTCTTATTACTTGTATCTATTCATCAAGACAAAATTGTTGCAAAAAAGATGACTATTTTGTGCCTAAAAATAGTTAAAACTTTCTACCAATGGATGAAAGGCGTTTCACTGGAGTCAGAAAGCATCGTTCACTCCTCATGGTCAAAGGTAATATAATATAAAAAGATAGGAATGGGCCTCAAATTTGGCTAATGAAAGGGCGCCGAGCGGCCGAAGGGGTCTCCGGGAGGTCTAGGCTTGTGTAATCATTCATTACCAACGCCATACTCATTGTGTGCGAGCCAAATAAAGGATGAAAAAGTTGGTGGGAAAGCCGCCGCAAGCCGAGATTCAGTTTCCATTCATCGCCATCGTCGGCGCAATGTCATCAATGTGAACGTCTCATACGCAAATGACCATATAGCTTCATATCGACTACTTGCAATGAATACTATGACAATTGGCTGCAACCACGGCGGTTTCCCAAGACTGCTCCGGCCTTGGGACTTCAAACTCTTATCGAATAAGGCCTCATGTGATTTGCATTTTTACTGGGAAGCAAGCGAAGGTTACTCACTCAAAAGGAAAAAATGAATTTCACGACGAACGCAACTTTGGTCCATGGATTCCACTTTCTGACTATGGCCTTGGGCATGGCACAGTTGGTACAGCAAAGTCAACGGTTTGCTTTGGAAATGCACAAGGACGATAAGAAATTGCCAGAGGATTGGTAAGTCCAATAAGAGTTGCTAAATGTACTGTTGACGTCATCATCAACGTCAGAGTTCAAAGAACATGTCTTCAATCAATGATTGTAGTGACCCAACCGACGATTCGTTAGCTCAATATGTTTTGGAGACCATCTTTAATCACAAGTACAGCAAGAATACATGTCCTTCGAAACTGACACCAACTGTGGTCACAATTGAATTCGTTATACAATCGATTGCTCAAGTCTCGGAAATCAGCTCTACCTTTACAATCGACCTCTTGTTTAGTCAAATCTGGCATGATCCTCGCCTTCGATTCGATCATTTGACCACTTGTTTGCAGAACCTGACCTTAGGGCACGAAGTGGTGGAGAAGTTGTGGACTCCCAATGTTTGTTTTGTAAATTCAAAAAAGACTGATATCCACACGTCTCCATCTCCGAATATCTTCTTATTGTTATATCCGAATGGAACTATCTGGGTGAATTATCGATTACAAGTAATGGGACCGTGTGATATGAATTTAGGCAGGTTTTAATGCTCTCCCAAAGATTCCCATCACTTTTCAGAGCTCTTTCCATTGGACGTGCAAGTTTGTGAGCTTGTAATAGAAAGTTATGCCTTCAATAATCAAAAAGTCTCCCTCAATTGGAGAGAGTGGAATCCGGTAATTTTCATTTCAGATTTTAATCGGTTAAAATTGAATATTCAGGTGTTTTCCATCGCCAAATCAAAGTTGGCCGACTTCTCTTTATATGGGATCCGCTGGACAAAGAATAGTTTCGAATACGCCGCAGGGCAGTGGGATCAACTCACTGTTTCGTTGAGCTTCTCCAGGGCTTACGGGTTTTACGTTCTACAGATGTATTTACCCACATATGCATCTGTTTCCATTGCCTTTATCTCTTTTTGGATCGATTTGAAAGCACTTCCAGCAAGGATTACTCTAGGGGTAAGCTTTATGTTAATGGTTTTTTTCCTTGCAAATTAAATAATAATCCATATTTAGATGTCTTCAATATTGGCGTTAACGTATCAGGTATGTTGTCCTTATAGTCATCATCAATTTCTAGTATGGGAATATCGCCAAAACATTGCCAAAGGTGGGTTATGTGAAGTCGGCGGATGTTTACTTCACAATGGTCACAATGTTTATTTGTTTGACTATGCTGGAAGTCGCTATTGTTTGGTAAGATAAGCATATAACCTCTAAATGATATTTTAGTTATCTTGAGAACGAACATGAGAGGGTACGGATAAAGCAAGAAGCAGAGAAAAAGAGAAAAAAGGCAGAACAATTCAAAAAGTAAGCAGAACTGTGGAAAAATCATTAAAAAATGTAATTTCAGTGCAACAACTCGATTAAAACCATCGAATGGAGATAGCAAGAACTACGGGACAATGGATCCGGTAGAAGGGGATGACAATAAGGAGATCGCAGAGGTCTCGGAGAGGAAACACAAGAGCTCTTTCGTTTCCTTTTTCCCCCGGCCATCCTCCACATTCCTCGATCCTTTCCAAGCCTTTACTGCCATAAGTTTATTCACCGAACTCGAGGTGGATAAACCTCCAAAATGGACGGGAGAGAGGATCGATAGAATCAGCAGGTAGCCCGAAAGTTGCTCACATATTACTGTACTGACTTTAGGAAATTGTTTCCGCTCTCGTTTTTCTTGTTCAACGTTGGCTACTGGACCTATTATCTGACCCAGAATCATTACGCCAAAGAGAGAGCGCTGAATCCGCTGTGAAATTGGATGAGATTGGTTTTTGAAATTTTTAAAACAAAATAAAAAATTGAAAAAATTGTAAAATGAATTTAAAGATTTAAAGATGAATTTTGTCAGGGCTGTTTTCTAAATGGATTCATTTCCACCAATTTTCGTTTCTTACGCTGGTCGGCGACTTCTGACCGGGTTCTGGGAAGTCCAGCAGAGGACGCTGGATTCAAAATGGCGAAAGTAAGTGTAAAATACGACTCATTCCGGTGTATTCATACTGCTGAGCCTTTGAAATTGCTACAAAAGTCCTATAACCCTTTATAAATATGATGGTGGGTCTTGTTTCAGCGTATGGTTGGTACCAATCGTCGTACGAAGGCAGCTGGAGCAGGCCGTCGTAAGTACACGGAGGGTGTTGGAGCCCATTGTTCGGTCGAAAAACATGTCGGCAGCACCGAGAAGCGACCCATGGTCGTCACTCAGGCCAAGTTTGTGCACCAGGCCCGGAGCGAGATGACCACCTCGGTAAGGATGACTCAAATCATACTGTAATTTTTATGCAGGAGCACTCAAGACCTGCAAATGCCAGACAAGCAGTGTGCCGCCGCTGGATAGATTACATATTGGACATTGGAGTGAAGGATTTACGAAGACAATTCATGCAAAAAATCAAAAATTACACTCCCGCGGGAACTACGGAGGCCTTCAATGACATCGATAACTCAAATAAGAACAGATACGATGATGTTTTGCTGTTGGATAAGAGCAGAGTCAAGGTCAGCATCAATCCCGAAAAAGGTGAGGGAATTGGCAGGGATTTGAGATGGATAGATTCTGTTAAAAACTAATTTTATGTGATCAGTACGATGTCTAAGATTGCAGATGACTACATTCATGCCAGCACTGTGGAAGTTCGCCCGGATCTGGTCTATATTTGCGCCCAGGGACCGCTAGATAACACTATAACTCAGTTCTGGCTGATGTGTATACAAGAAGAAGTCAAGGTAACCATTATTCTGTATTTCGTATTTGATGCCATTCAGAAATTTCCGAGCCATTACCATTTAATATTAAAACTTCCTAAAGTCGATTTGCTTAGGTGATTCTCCAACTCTGTGCCAATGTCGAGGCAGGCAAAGAGAAATGCTCGCCGTACATGCCCGAAACAAAAGGAGAGAAGATCAGCTATGGTTGCGTCGATGTGAAACTTGTGGAACAGACCAAAAAGGTCCCTGGAGTATCGAAGTTAACTCGATCCAAAGTTCAGGTCACATTCAAAGGGAAGACAAGCAATTTCACTCATCTTTTGTATCTCGGATGGCCTGATCATGCCGTTCCCGAGTCCGTGTCCACTTGCAGAGAAGTCAGGAATATGGTCCACAAGTTGTATGAGAAGAAACCGATCGTTGTTCACTGTTCTGCTGGGATTGGTAAGACCTTTTATACAGTATTCAGACAATATTGTTGTCACATTACGATAATTTTAGGTCGCACTGGAACTTTTGCGGCCGCTGAGATGGTCCTAAGCAGATTGCTCGAAGACTTGAACCCCGACTTCACGATGAGTGATGTCATGAAATCCCTGAGGGAGCAAAGAGCTCAAGCTGTCCAGAATGATCAACAATTCGCCTTCATCATCCGATTTGTAATCGAGATCTTGATCACTGAGGATTTGTTGTCCAGAAATGCCCGAGTCAACGCATTTCTGCAAGATTTTGAAGATTTGGTGGAAAGAAAGAAGAAACAGCTCAAGAAATTGGGATACATCAACGATTGATCAGATTGAGTTAATTTTAAAAATTGAATAAATTGAAACCTCCAATTTTCCGTGGGAATTTTTGAATCCGAATTTCGAAATATTTTGTTTTGAGAAATTCAGAACATAAAGGACATCTTCACTACTTCGCCATGTCTTTCCTGTTTGTGACTTACTTTAGTGGACCTATTACAAGGCCATAAATCCATTACTCGCCAAGTCCCAAGAGAATGTCCCAAGTGTGAAAAACGCGGTTTAAATGTAATTTAGCGCCGATATCATACGTATGAACTTTCTGGAAGACATTTCCCCATCTTCGCAGCGGCACAGACATCCAGACAAAAAGAACCTGAAGGCCGAAGAGGAAAAGAAACGGATGGATATCGAGTTATGTCGACAAACAACTTCACCTAACCTCTATCACTCGCTTTATTCAATTTGATTGCCGCATGAGGAAATGGGGGAAAAGGAGAGCCTTGACGAGCTTCTGACTCCCCTCGTGTTTGAAGTGAGGCCCTTGTTCCGATTGTTTCAAACCTCTCGTCGACTGAATGGGGCCAGCAGGCCAAGGAGAGAAGAAGCGACGACAGACTGCCAACCACGCGTCCTGTCCCCACTTTAAATGGTAGTCAACTCTGTGTTGCCAAGTCTGCTGAACATTGCGCAGCTGGTCTCCTTTGTTAACGCTACCACCGAACTTCCGTTCAGTGCATCCACCCCGATCGAATACGATCAGGTCCCGGCGGATCGGTATTCGTTGTCGCCGCCGCCTTTACCCCCTCCGGGCAAGGTGCATTGCTCGGTGGACGACGTGGCGCATCAAGCGGAGTATGTGGTGAAAAGTGTGTTCAATCTGAATTATGATAAACATCTGGCGCCCGATCCGAATGGCGTGACCGTGAGTATTGAGTTGGCGCTGCAGACCTTTTATGACATCAGTGAGACCTCCGCCAGTTTTACAGCTGATGTTCTGATGAGGTAATTACTTGTGATTAAGATTAATAGTGCCTGTTTAGTCAAATCTGGCACGATCGTCGACTAAAATACGACAATATCTCGTCATGTTTGGAGAACCTGACGTTATCTTCGCAGATCACGGAGAGAATCTGGCTTCCGTTCGTTTGTTTTGTTAATTCGAAGAGATCTGATCTTCATACATCCCCTACTCCTAACACATTTGTTCTAATTTACCCTAATGGGACCGTTTGGGTGGGTTATATCATCAAAAAGTCCGCTTATAGTCAAACTGGATTTATGATGACTAATTTCATACATATTTCAGATCAACTACAGATTACGTGTTGAAGGGCCTTGTTATGTTAATTTGGAGAACTATCCGTTTAATGGCGAGGAATGTGAACTTGTTTTAGGTAAATGTTGCTTCTATTACAGTAATTTGATGTCATATTTTTAGAGTCTTACGCCTACAACGCTGCTAGTGTCAGATTAAAATGGAGGGATTGGGATCCGGTAAGACTAAGATTACAATAGTAAAATAAAACTATAGGTGATTCAATACCCATCAAGGACAAAACTGCCAGACTTTTCGTTGAGTGAGATCAAGTGGGCCAAACATTCTTTCATTTATGCCGCTGGCAAGTGGGATCAGGTAGCGATTATTTTTATCAGTCTTTTTTTCAAGATTTGACTGACAGAGCGCATAATAATCGTATTTTAGCTTACAGTAAGCTTCTTCTTGACCCGAGAAGTGGGTGTTTATGTGATGACGATTTACTTTCCGACTTATCTGAGTGTGGGAATGTCATGGATATCATTCTGGCTAGATCATAAATGCCTTCCAGCCAGGATTACCCTTGGAGTGAGTCACAAAATTTAGCAAAAAGTGATCTTTAAATTCAAAAGTTATTTGAATATTATTGCAGGTATCGGCTTTGATGAGTTTATCGCTCCAATATGGCAGTATTTTGAGGTCTCTGCCCAGAGTTAGGTATGTTTTTCTTGCCCCATTTTATTTTTATTTCACTTGTATTATTACTTTTTTCATTGCTCCCAAATTCAATAATATTCCTCAGATTTTGGTCGCTAATCAGTTCCTTGTTTATTTTCAGTTACGTAATGTCTGTGGATATATGGATGTTTACAATGTGCGTGTTTATCGGAGCCACGTTAATTGAGTTAGCCATTGTCGGATATTTGGATCGGGCCGAGCGTCGGAAACGAAGGCAAATGATGCGAGACCAGGGTTGCGATGACAGTTTTGGAGAGGAGATCAAGAGCTATGGGACATTTTTCAGCAGACCCGACTTTAGAAATGGAGACAGGAGATTGGAGGAGAGTAATAACACGGAAGAACCGGTAAGGAAAATCGCTAACGAATGACGAAACAGTAATGAAAACGTCGAAGATATTAGTAATGCGTGTTCCAAATCTATTTTTCTACCGTACAGGCCAAGATTTACACAAAAAAAAATTTTTTCTAGGCTACTATAAATTCTCAAAGAACTTCTCTTTGGGCGCTCTCCGCGTTTCGTGTACTCTTTCGTTGCCAAGGATCTTTCAGTATCCCAGTTGTCCTTGTCAAGCGCGAGATATCAATTTTAGAAATTGATATCTGGGCGAGGAATAGCGCGTGTGTAAAATAAAAAATACGCGGCGCAGCTTGAGTACTTCTCCTGTAACTTTAATTGCCATCAAATTATGCACGGTTGATTTGCCTTCAGATGCAGCTCCAAATCGACAGAGATCAAATGCCCCGCGGCATCCGCAAACGAACGTCCACTCAGCTGACCTACAAGATCTTCCAAGCCCGTTTCATGTATAAGCGGATGAGAGAGTAAGTCGGTTGTAAAAGAGGGTAAGATAACCTGCTTCCAGAAATTGGAACGATCCGGAGTATTGGGATGAGAAGGCGCGTTTCTATTTCCCCTTTTCCTTCTTCGTCTTCAACGTGGTCTACTGGCTCTATGTGGGATGGCGTCGGTGGAATGACGGGCTTCAGCCCGGCATATGAACACCCAACAAGTGCAATATACATATATGTGTGTACATGTGTGTACTATTATATATAAGACCGTTGTTGTGTGTTGCCTCACTCAATATCCGAATGCATATCAGAAATAAATTTATTTTATTCTCGGGCACAAAACAAACCCGTTGACTAATGCACTTGCAGGACAAGGCATCAAATCGAATTTACATTTCGCTCTGCGTGTTAAGGAGAAGACTCTCGGCCACTGAGGTTTGTCCATTTCGGATTAAAGCGTCGATCAGCGGGCCCAACCAATGATTTCTGGTCCGTAGCAGCTCGATTAACTTGTCCAACTGACCATCTGGGTCCGTCTGCAAGCCATGTTTATTAGTTTACAAGGCTGTTTACGCAAAGTAATTCGGTTTAATGCAACATGTGTTGTTTTTTACGATACTATTTTAAATGGCTAGTAGATGGCCTTGTTGTTGCATAAAGGTCCTTATTTTATCATAAAATATCTTACTTTGGCATAAACTGCACCCATTTCGTATGTCTGAAGGACTTGTCGCGCGACCAAAGTTGGGACCAGATCTCGGATGTTGACATCGGATAATTGTTTCCTAACTCTCTCCATATTCAGGGCTTTCTCACGCTCTAATTGTTGGCGGCTCGGGTTCAGCGGAATCTCCGCACTGTGCTCGGCTATATTCATCTAGATACAGTAGGATATTAGTAAAAAACATAAAGAAGAAACGCATCTCAAAGAAAAGTGGTCGAAATACTTGCTTATATAAAAACAAGTATTTCTGTTGCAATCACGAGTTGATGGCATAAAATTGTATTCCAAATGACAAGGGTACCTCTTTCCGAAGCCCCATGAGACCGCAATGCGCGAGTTTTCCCGCAATTTCGCCCCGAAAATTTCGAAAACGTTACTCCCGCTTTAATACATACATGCATTACAAACCAAAGTAAATGTATTTTTCGGGCGTTATCTCCCCTTCCGATCTTGATGAATATAAATTTTGGAAACAATGGACCCCCTTTAACAGCTGCTCGCCCCAAAATTTGCATTTGCCGTAATTTCGGGAGGCGGAATTCCGCAAAAACTTTTAAAGTTAGAAAAGAAAAGGGAATCTCGGAGAAAACAGGAAAGAAAACATTTGAAATAATCCTGTCTTATGTCTTTTTGTGGGCATTCAGAAGTGTAAGAACAGCTTCGTTTTCCAATAAATTAGGGATTCCATTCTCCAGATGACTCCGTCACTCCCCCACAAGGAGTGCCGTAAACAAAACCAGACGGGATTACGGTAGATGTCACATCAATGATCGATGTAAACAATGCGGGAGGGCCGGGAATAACACTCAGGATCCGACTTATTTGACTTTAAAGTAGGAAGTAATGGGAGGAAAAGTTTAATGAAACCGGAGCTTCCATTCGTTTTGCAGAATAATCCAAACTCAACTATCATATTTACAAACACCTGTCATTCCGTTGGAATTACATCAAAACAAACGCCTTCTCGTACTCGAAAACATACGAGCAATGAAAGTCAAGCCTCTTTTCTCTGATTTTATTCATTAAATTAATCGAAAATCCAACACCAAAAAGTGGGCGGAGCCTCGTATGGAAATGACCCGAAGAAAGAGCCTGAGGCCCTCAACGACACCCTCAGGGCACAACCTCCCGAGGGCATCGGCTAGGAACAAGTGTGAGCTCTTTTCATAACCCATCGGTCATCCGGGAGGATCTATGGAACTTTGGGGGAGAGCCGATCGCTTCGTATCACTTTAATGGCCGAAAACAGGCCGTCTTCCGGCTCGAAAACAAAGGAATCTCCGGGATAATAACGATGAAAGGCCTCATAAAACACTGATATTTATGTACTGGAAATAAACAAATGAACGGAAGAGAGATCCGTATATTAAACATGATCGCTTTGACTGGAATACCGATTAGAAAATGGATGACATGAAAGGAAGGACAAGAGGGTCAGGTGTGAAAACAAGCAAAACAAAACAAACCCTTAGCACGTACTGGCGGAAGCACAGAATTAACGAACTTATTTCGAAACCTGGGAAAAAGATACGACCGGAGGGAAAAAGGCTCTGCTTCCAGTCAAAACAAAACCGGAAATGCCGTAAACAAATTTCTTCCGGCCTCCTTGTACTTTGCCTCCCATGGGTCCAAACAAGGGATTCATAACGGTGATGTATAATCCCATCCTCCGCAATGTGACTTCAGATACGTGCCTATCGGAAGAAGTCAGAGTCCGAGTCAAAATCCTGATCCTTTAACGTAATCTTCTTCGGAGGTTCTTGAACAGGGAATGGCGGAGGCTGGAATGTTGGACGAGTCGGTTGAGCCACTTGGGAGATGAAGGGCTTGTTGTCACTAAAATTATGGATGACAATTTATATAAACCATCATTATTAGAAGTGCTTGCTGCAAGTGTGGCAACATTCTTCAAATTTTGCATACATATTGTGCCTAAGCCACATGCAAATCTTCTCTAAATTTTAGCTTCCTTTTTGTAGCGGAAGTCAATATATATACAACCACCTTTGTCCACGAGAGAGTATGCAAAATGCAGAGAGCAATCAGACAGAGAAACGCGTTTAGACTAAAGTTTTGCCCTTTCCGTGAGGGCAAAAGTTAACACGTATAACTTTGTCCTATTACCGTGTAAATTACATCATCATATAATATTTTAGCCTACCTTTTTGAAGGTAATTGGTCCTCATCTTCGGAAGTATCATTACTCTGCGGCGCCTTCAAAATACTCAACATCTTACTGTAAGATGATGCTTCTGATGCTGAAAGAAACATCAATCAAATAAAAAATAAAATTACCCTTTTTGAGTTGATCTCCGAACACCAGATTCCTTGAGGGTGCAATCTGAGGTTGAAGTTCGTCGTTTTTCTCTTCTTTCGGTTCTCTTATTTCTGTCCGATCCCTCTCGTTGTTGACGCTCTCGGGATTGTTTTGGCTTTGAACTTTATCCCCATCTTTCTCGGTTACTGTGACTTTATGATCCTCCTGAACCCTGGCCATGAATCCCAACTTTTCCGTCAAGAATTTCATCGGATCTTCAAGTACAATATCAGACGTCTGATTGGCCTGTTTTCTCATCAAATGTCGTTGAAGATTGGCTTTTGTCAGCATTTCTCGCGCTCTCTTTTCAATATTCGTATCCATTTGTAAAATACGATGACGAATTTCGACGAGAGAAGGGAGTTCTGGAGAAGTGTTGGAGTCGAATGAAGAGGGATTTATTGTACTGAAAGCGATTGCGAAGGATAAGGAAAACCCACCCAAGATAGTCTGAAGTGGTCGCTGATAATCGGTACTCTCTTAGACCGCGGATTTCATCACCGATTTTCTTCAAGCGACCCTGGAGATTCTTCATGTCCGAATTCAAAACTAAGCCGCTGGGAATGGGATCGTTGACCGGAAGAGCCTTTTTCTGATACAACTCATCCTTCTGTTGGTCATTCCAGAAATATTGAGCGGTCTCCAATCGCCTCATCAATGATGGACGATTCTGGAAAAGATTTATGGATTCATCAAGGATTTCTTGAGATTCTGAAGACATTTTGGGAACTCTCTGGGCCGATCTTCTCTCCACTTCTTCGGCTTCAAGCCGACTTCTTGCATTGTAAACCTCAGGATGTTGAGCTTTCATTTCTTCGAGGTAGTTTTCCTAATAAAACGTAGTATTAAAGTGTTGGGAACCTACTCTCAAATCCTTGGCACGTTCAAGTCGCCGTTCCAGCATCTCCAATCTACCTTGGACGTAACCCTTATCAGCGTCTGGTAGACTCCCTGACATCCTAAGCCAGCTCTTACGCAAATTTTATAGTTTACGGAGAGTTTTTATGTCACCATAGAAACGTCATTTTATTCGGTGCGCTCGAAGTGCAATATAAATTTTTTATTGTGTCATCCGGCACTACTATAAAGGTTCAGCCGGCTATTGCAACAGTACGACCCAATCATTATCAATTTACAAGTTTTCAGGAATTTTCGGTAAAGGTGTCACGTTATACGAGCGCGGACTGCAATTTTCAGAAACGGCGAGCTGCGCCCATAACTCGCGAGTTGTCATTGTTTTTTTACAGATTTCGCGCGTTCGTTTGTATGGTCTATGTTGTTGTCCCGTTATTGTAGCCAATTACAGTTATTGAGAGATGAATCTCCTTCCGACAGCGACCCCTGTCCTCCCCATGGAGGATAGTTTAATATCCATGGGAGATGAAAGCATGACCGGCTTAGAGCCGGAGCCGGACGAATCGCAGACCTCTTCACAGTCGGGATGTAGGTTTGGTTTCTTGACCTTCAACCTGTTTCTCATTTTTATGCTCTCCGTATTGATTCTTGTATTGTTTTAGGTGAGACGCCAAAGAGAAAAAAGAATCTTGAACTCGGTAGATTGGTTACAGACAACGCTAATCTTCATACAAGTCCGGCGGATCTTATTGAATATGAATGGCCGTTGAATTCTGGTGACAAATATTTTCTTCAGGTTTGTGTTTTGAGTTTATCTTATTCTTGGTATAGGAACAAATCGCAGAAATGTTAGATGTGAAGTCATTCAAACGGAAGTACCCTAACATACCTAGAAGAACGATTGAAGGGAGCGAAAGGCAATATCTGTTCAAAGAATTGGAGATCGGAAAAGTGATTCCTCTTCATCTCCAAAATTTATTGACGGCCTTAGAATCAGATGCCGTTTTGAATCTGCTGGCTGCCGAATATGTTGAATACTTTACCGAATATCAAAGAGTGTTGTTAGAGAGAAGACAAAAGGAGTTAATTCAACGGCAAACGGATGTCAAGATGATCCAGGTGGACGCCACAAAATTGGCTGAATTAAGGAAACAGGCATTGAAGAATGCTTCGGAAGTAAATGAACACATGCAGAATTGTCGGAGGAACGAGAGAAGACATTTCTTCGATGTTCAGACATTTGTGAGTCTTTCTTATCGGAGATTTATATTATTTTAGACGATGCAATGTCCAAAGAACAAGACCAAGCGACTTCCCAAAGAGTTTACTCGTGTTTCTCCGTATCCAGTGGCTTTGGTGCAATCTCAGTTCCAAGAGTATTATAAAAAGTATGTTTTTTTTGTATTTTTGCATTTAATTTTTAGGTTTGAACCAGAACAATTGAATCGATTGCCGTTGAATACGATTATGGACAGCAGTCATTTGTTATACCCAGCTAAAGAACCCTCGCCCCTACCTATTCATGTGTCAGAAGACGAAATCCGGAAGATGCAGCCTCCACCGAAGGTAATATATTATTTTAGGTAGCTATTAATAAGTTTTTGATTTAATTTTGGTAAATGTTTCAGCAGGAAGTCCCGGAGACTCCGACAACAAAGTCCGCGCGTCTAGCCAACAAACGATTGGAAAGAAATGTACATCCTTAACCTTTTGCTTTAACTTTGGGTGGTTTTGGTGCTTTCGGATCCAAAATATTTGTCTCCAAATTAAAGATAGGCTCTAGTCTCTGTGTGGATCACCGTTGATTTATATTTTGATAGCATTTCCTTGGCTTATTTCGGGAGTAAAATATAAATACTTGCTCAAAACTCATTGGTTCTCTTGATTTTATATGATTTTAGCTTCTCCGCCTGTGTAATCGTTGTAACTCTAGCCAGGAGAGTGAGGATCCCTTGTATAGGATGCTTAAATGTACTCATTGTCAAGCCTTTTCCCATCCCAAATGCGCGGAGATGACAGTGGAGATGGTGCGTGTGGTCAAGACTTATCCGTGGTGCTGCATCGACTGCAAAACTTGCAACGTCTGCAACAAACCGGATGAAGAAGTGGGTCTTTTACATTTTCCTTTTTATTTTTTGGGGTGGCGGAATATTTTTTGTGGAAAAATTTTGGTTAAGATAGGTTTCCCCATATTCTTTTGATTAATTTTTCTAATTTTTGTTGATTTGAAGGCTTCGATGATGTGTTGTGACTTGTGTGATCGTGGCTATCACACCTTCTGTGTTGGTCTCAACAAACCCCCAAGTGGCAATTGGCTCTGTGCGATCTGTCGCAACTCCAAGAAATGATTCTCAGCCCTTTAAATCAACATCTCAGAACTCATATAAAATATTTATTAATTTGCTTTAATAAACGTTCAAGTACAAAATTTCTCTCGCCGTTCTTGTGTTTATATCACTTTTATATCGGGAATTCTCTGTTTATAACAATTCCGACAGGTTTCCGACGGATGTCCACGGTTTCCGGGACCACAGATGTCTCCGTTAAATATCAGCGATTGGCTGCCGAATTTGTCAAACTCAGATCCCAACTGAATGTACTCAAAACCGCTGTAATCGATGAGAAAGGGCGCAATGAACAACTGAGATCGGACATTTTGGCCAAAGATAGTGAACTGAGGAAGACTAACGACGAAAATGAAAGTCTTCAGTTTAGAAATGCACAGCTCGTCAAGAGAGTGGAAGCGTTGCAGAAAAATCTTGATGAAGTCACAAAATTACAGCTGGCAAAAGGGAAGAAGGTAGGATCTCTTATTTGTTCTTATTTCCCTTCTTAGAAACAAAGAGATGCGAATCTGCGATTGTTTGTGAATCTGGATGAATCCGAGAATAATAGCATCCCTGGACCATCAAACCCAAATAACACAAGGCTCGTATTAGAACAAGAGTTGGAAAGAAAGGTTCAGGAAATATCAAATCTTCATTCGAAGGTATTTTTGGGGCTATTATATTATCCTTGAGGTTCAGATCTTCGATTTGGAACAAAATAATCGCAAAGAAGTTGATGAATTGACTGAACAGATTAACCAATTGAAGAAGGATAATGCCAGGTTAAAATCGATTGAAAATGAGAGAAAAACAAACCAAAATCAGAGTACTGCCGGCACTGAAAGGTAGGTGAACATAAACACATAAAGATAAATTTTTTAGTGAATACAAGTGCCAATCCTGCCATAACAATGTTCGTAATGGTGCTCAGAACCATGTAATCCCGGAAATCTTGTCCAGTTCAACACAAGCAATCGATTTCCCCATCAGCCACGACGCGAGGCTGTATGCGGATGGTCTTGTTAATGTTTCCAAGTCATTTTTAACTGCTTTCTCGACTATTTTTACATTATTAGAACAGAGATCCGTCTTATACCCGTTTGATATCAATCTTGAGGTGCTGCCAGAGAGTTTCAGGACAGTAAGAATAACCTTTTTTTACGATTTATACATATTACTGTAGTTCGGACAAGAAATGGTCGCATTCTCATCGGATTTTCAAGCCAAGATTAACAAGCTAGACGCCATTCAGGAGAAAATCAACGAATCAGACGATCTTCAGTTTGTAAGTTATTTGGCTTTAGAGTTCTGATATTATTTTAGGTATTAAAACCATTATTTTCAGTTGGATATCTCAGCGAAAAAGATGTGGCCAGAAGTCTGCCAATCCTTTAAATTGGTCAATTCTTATCTCCAAAACTCTCTGATTGTAATACTTAGAGCCGAGAATGAGGTGCCTTTTTGCAATTCGGATCTGGAGGAATTGAACTTGAAGTTCGAACAGCATTTCTTGATTTTCATCAAGAATTTGATCGACCTCCTCTCTAAACCGCTCTCAGATCTGTTCCAATTAAAGTTCAGACACATATTTGTTGATCGATTGAGTCATCTTCAATCATTGATAGAAGGTGAATACCGTAATTTTATAATTTTTTTATTTTTAAAATTTTTTAGAATTGGATCGACTGTTCCAGAGGAAGATAATGTTCGAAAAAGGAATCCCCACAGCTTCAAAGCGACTCAAATGTGTTAACGAATGCATTTCCAAGGCCTTTGAGCAGATCGCTGTGGCTTTGTCAAGGGCTTTTGGAATGATCTCTGATTCGAATGCACTGGAATACCTGAGAATGGCCATAAACGGTGAAATTAAGCCGATTTTGGAAGTTAAATTGAAGGAAGATGGAGATCACCAGGAGAAGAAATTGGTCAGAGAAGATTCTATTGTTCAAACGGAGAATGAGAAGCTGGTTGAAGATTTGAAAAGGCTGAATATTAAGTTAGATGAGGCTGTCAAGGAAAAGGCAGAATGGCAAGCCACTGTTCATGCAATGGAACATGAATTGGATGTGTTGAGGAACTTACGGTAGGACTTTAAATGTTTGTTTTTGTTGTTTTGGAATCATCTAACTGTCACATTTAGAGACGAACAAACGAGGGCGGCTGATCTGGCAGATCCAAATACGAAGCTGAATCAAGATCAATTGGAAAAAATATACAAGGGGAAGATAAAACAGCTCTCTCTGGAGTTGACTTTTGCGAAAGGGGAGGCAATGTACTACAAGGAAGAGGTAAGTTGGGATTTGATGTCATGGATAATACAGGGTGTCCAGAGAAATTCCGCGGAAAGTGTTTGCCGATTTCTCGGCGCTCAGGCAAGATATCCAAAAAATTCTTTTTGCATTAGAAAGAAGACTATGGGCGGTTTTTTGTCTAAAAAAGTTTTTTTGTCCGCCGACGCGGAACATACTGTATTCGGCGGAGACTTTTGGTAGCTTTTTTGGTCATCACACCAATCTTAAGCGCTTTACTATGATCCTGAAACTACCGGGGAGCCTTCAACTTTTTTCCACAATGAATCAGGGGACTCACGACAACGCTATGAAATCGCATTTAGCGACTGCACCGCACTTTGTAGTTGCGTCAACAGCGATAAAGTCCGACCGCATCGTGCGGAGGTTTGAAACAGCGGGGCAAAGAGAAGTTCAAACAAAAAATAATTTGTTGTTTTCTGGTACACCAAGTCGTTAACTGATGGCTAAGCTGCTGCCAAGGCTTGGCGACGAAATTTTGGAGAGCATATGGGATTAGCAAAGAATGCTAGCCACATAATGTTTGGGGCATCTCCTATCCAAAGCTGAGTTGTGGCCTTCGCCGATACGGAAAGCTCGCCATTCCATTGCCGAACGTTTGGTAAACATAAAAATAAGATAACATTCTCTTTTTAACCATCAGAAATCGTACTGAAGCTTTTAAGATTGGTGTGATGACCAAAAAAGCTACCAAAAGTCTCCGCCGAATACAGTATGTTTCGCGTCGGCGGACAAAAAAACTTTTTCAGACAAAAAACCGCCCATAATCTTCTTTCTAATGCAAAAAGAATTTTTTGGATATCTTGCCTGAGCGCCGAGAAATCGGCAAACACTTTCCGCGGAATTTCTCTGGACACCCTGTATAATTTTAGTGTGATTCTCTGCTGATTACTGCCAAAACTCTACAAAAGAACTACTCTCGTCTCAATGAACCCTGTTCTAAATGTGAATCTCTAAACGAAGCTCTTTTGGCCACACAATTTACATTTGAAGAGCAAATGAGGGAATTGTATGACAAATTGGCCGAACAAGAAGACGAAATCAGCTTCCAAAGAGAAGCCATCACCAAATTCAAAACCTCTTCGGCATCTACAAGTCCGATGTCATCCACAGATCAGACTCCGCCCCGAGAGAATTCATTTCGAAGAGTAAGTTAAAGCCTTTTTTTGATAAGATCTCCCTCTAGAATATCCGCAGAATGGTCGGCAAATGAATCTTCGAAGAACAAAAGAGATTATCGAGATATGAACCAGTCTTTTCATTTATTTATTCCTCCTATAACGCCGTCAAGTCGGGTCAAAATTCGAGTATAATATAATTTTTGAGAAATCCTGTGCAGTAGACAACTGTGATATCATAATTATTTTATTTATCAATTTTTTAGCCTCTCATTTTTGTATTTTGTCAGATTTAATAAATTTCTATTCCGAATCCGTGATTCCCTCTTCGAAGGCCACATTCGAGTTCCCGGGTTGTTCCCTCAATCCCCTTTTCCATTCGTCGTATCTTTCCTTGTTTTCCTCGTCGATTTTCTTTTGATTTTCTTGTTGAATCACTCGATGGATCGTGGCCAATCTAAATTTATTTTGATTAGTAGCAAGTGCAATATGGGGTGATAAAAATTTGCTGATTTTTAAAGATTTTTTTAAAAACTTACTTTAATAACGCCTTAGGCAATGCCTTCTCAACTCTGGTGTAATCCACATCGTCCATTGTGTCGAGCAGTGCCTTTCCTTTGGTCTCGGGCATCAGAATTATCCCCAAAACCAGAGTCACCATAATTAGAAGCAATGGGACCAGGAAAGCGCCTCCGGGGAAATCAGAGTCCAGGATCGGAGGGAGAATTAATATCCCGATGATCGTCCCAATATGCCTTAAAAGGTGGTGATGAGGGGTGGTGAACTTACTTTGCACAAAACACCGATCCAAATGCACAACATCGGATTACGGTGGGGTATCTCTGAGTGGTGACTTGGATGATATTCATCCACAAAACGCTGTCGTTGATCATGGCCCCGAAGGTTACGATTATTGCGACTGTTAGGTTCTGATAAGGGACTCCACAGATCACCAGGATCATGGCGATCAAAAGGGAGATTCCCATCAGGGCTGTAAATGATTACATTTCTGAAGGGGAAGCACTCAGGATGCACAGAAAAGATTTTGAAAGTTGGGGCGAAACAAAATCATAATTTTTGACGAGTTACAGAATTTTTTGGGATGTCATTAGCAGAAATGTCTAGATTTTAAACCGAAAATTTTAATTTTTTTTGTGATTTCCAATTTTATACTTGCAGAGTTCTTTTTTTAATAGAGAATACAACTTTTCAACAAAAAATCAGCCCTTTTGGTTAAAACTCAAAAAAGATAAGTATGGCCAACAAGCGTATCCCAAATAAATCACTTACACAAAGCGAGCAGAAATTGAATTCGCCGGGTAAAACTATCAAATTTGATGTCAGCGACGATGATTATGATGGGGATAATAAGCCTGACACATCCATCCAAGAACACGATCAGAATGGAACTCCCGCTGAACTCGCGGATCACTCTCATATAACAGACACTGACGATGGCGCAAGTGATCATGCTGACTATTTGCAACATTGATTGCTTGGCAAATCGCCGGTTGCTGAATAGATCGTAGAAGGAGTAAAACTTCTTGGAGGTGTCCTGAGGGATCTTCTGCAGATTCAGAGGAGTAAACTTGACTTCAGTCCCATTCCAACGCTTGTCCGTTAGATCGTTGAGGACCTGAATTTATATTTTTTGCATCTTCAAGGCCTACATCACAGGCTGAAGCGATTTCGCCTTTAACCAACAGCCATCGCGGGCTCTCATGCCACAACATAAATCCCATGCACGTTGGGAGATTGACCAGATTCAAAAAAACAAAGAACATTTGCCAATCCTTGGTTAAAAATGCGATTAAAGCAACTACAACATTGGCCAGATTGGTTTGGAAACAAGCATTGGGGATCATCCGGAACTGATCGCTCGTCATTTCCATCAACATTGTCAGCTAAAACATCAACATTTTCAAGGCATTGTAAGCATTTTTCTTACAGATTCCACTTCAACTATTCCGTAGAGAATTCCATTGCAAAATTGGGCGGCGGCAAATCCCTGCCATCCAGTGGAAGCGACGATTAAACAACTTGTGATGCAAATCCCTAATTGGCACACATAAAACATAAATTGACGGCCAAAAGCATCTCCAAGATGACCTCCGAGAATCGCGCCAATCATCTGGATTATGGATAGAGGTCATAATTTCAAAACTATACCCACCAAAGAGACGGACTGCAAGATATTAATGATCTGCGGCTTGTTCGCGTCCTCACAAACCAACTGAAACGAGGCCACAATCGATTTGAAATCGGCCGAGCCCTCAACGGCCGACAGTTTGGAGCAGTTCTCTTTGATGATATGACAGTGATCTTTAGCGGGCTGAGGAATGGTTGCAATGGTCCCATTGCTCAGATGACAATTCCAATCAGGTTCGGTGGATCCAACAATATTCACAAAAGACAGGTTGCCGGTCCATTCAATTTGGGCGAAAAGAATACAAAAACAGGCAAAGATTTGATATCGCCCGAGGGGATCGACCTGCTCGATCACATCCTCAAAGTGCTCGTATTGCTCGGGCTCTTTCCTGACGCGACGTTTCGAAAAGAAACTAAAATGATATTAGTTTGGGTAAAAAACAACGTCTTTTTATTAAGAGTTAATTCTATTAATATATTTTAGGGAAAAACATAAAAGGTACACATAAAAAATGCTTTTTGTAACGCCCTCCTCATAGCATCCTCTATCAAAAAAATCGTTGAATTTCTGGCCTCTATCTATAAAATAATGTAAGGTAAAATGTTCAGTGACTATTAGTTGGTGTCTGCAGAATCAGCACACACGACCCGAAGGTAATCGAACCTTCGCGTTTGACGTACTCCTCTTAAATCTAATAGTCTAGTACAAGGACTTACTCTTCCTTCGGAACGGGTCGTCTCTCATCCCTATTGTATAGTTCGGTATCAAACATTACTAGAAAGCACAAAGTTTTTTATTAAAACTCTTTCTAAATATTTATAGAAGCCCCACCTCATTTATAATTTAATTAGAATCAGAAGGGTCGTAAAATTAGGCACAACATGGCTCAGTTTTGTTTTTATTATCATACACCACTATAACCACTTGAATGTGACCGCCTTACCTGCTGGTTCGGCGTCTAACCACTTTGTCAGCAGCCATTTTGAACTAGATGTAAGGGATAGTTAAGAAAACAATCACATACGGTTACTACTACCTTAATTTTGCGTAATTAGGTGTTAGAGTTTGCTTTTTCCTTTTTTGGCTCTTATCATCTCTGCAAACCCTAAGGCATTTTACGAGCAAGATAAGGGCTCTTTTATGATCCATGTAACAGGGGAAGTGCCCAAAATGCGAAGCCTTGGTATTCGTCTAAATTTTTTGGATATTTCGAACATATTGCATGTCAATTGCAGGAAGATTTTGCTTTCCAAGCATGGCCCAGATATTCAGATATCTTTTCGTCGTTTTTAGAAAATTAAGCTTCATTTTTTTTTGGAACGTCGCATCAGGAAGGAGCCCGAGAAATACGAGCACTTTGAAGGTGTGATCTAACAGGTCGATCCCCTCGGGCGGTATCAAATCTTTACCTGTTTTTTTATTTTTTCGCCCAAATTTAATGGACCGGCAACTTTTCTTTTGTGAATATTGTTGGATCCACCGAACCTGATTGGAGTTTTTGTCGTATCAAGCGAAGAGTGTCACCCTTTCCTATGTAAAACAACTTTCTTCGGCTGAGTCTCGGCTTTTATTGACTAGAAATAACCGGCGAGTTACAAGAAAATGGAGAACAAAGTAGAATCTGCCCACGGGGGTTTTGATGGATCTGAGATTTGGGGACAATAATTACTGGACATGACACACAGCCTCAGGGCATTTACTTGATTATATTATACAACCCAAAAGAGACGCCGCTCGGCTCGTTGCACATCATGATCGTTGTGGGAAAGGGAATTACAAAAAAGAGAATAAATAGTCACCCTATGTACTTGGACATACGAAAAGAGTAATATCTTGAAGGTGCGGCCTTCCCGGAAGCACAAAAAGACATATCCACTAGTTTGGGGAGAGCAACTAGCAGCCTAGAACAACTGAAAACGAAAGACGAACGGCTCATTGGATGTTCTGGAACTCGGGATTCACGAAACTGAAGCCTCGGAACTCGTCCTGGGCGATCGATCGTATCACACTGGGGTCGGTGGGCGTCAGCACGGGCTCCTCTTTCGTGAAATCGGCGTCGAAGTTGTTGACGTCGCGGCGATTTTTCTGAAAGTTAAAAAATTATCTAAAGTGGTCATCAAATTGAAAATTAAAATAAATGATAAAATCCAAATATCAAAAAATGGGAATTTTTCGAAAAATATTTTGTAGTGGCCACAAATTAGTTTCAGAAATTTTTAGAGCGTTCCAAAAATCAACACTGGCCTAAAGATCTCGTATCTGCCGCAGAAAACTATATTTTTACTTGATGTAAAACTGCATAAAAGTTAAAAAAGTTAAAAATTTCACTTGATTTTAGACTATACATAATATATTGACCAAAGTAATGGTTACACTTACAATTCGTGGTTTGAACGGTGGCCTCACTTTCCTGTCCTCCAGGGCATCCCAATCAATTTCCCTGAAGAATGGATGCGCCCGGATGGCATCTTCGCTGCCCTGTGATTGAACACAGCCCAGCCGTCGAAGGGGATTCTTGGTCATGAACTAAAATTGAGTTCACAGGTTGAAAAAGAAATCTTACCGCTTTCAAAATATTGACCGCTTCTCTGCTCAACCACACCGGATACAAAACGTCATCGTGCAAGATGGCCTCGAAGAGATCGTCTTCGTTGTCGGCTTCGAAGGGAGGCTGGCCGGCCATCATTTCGTACATGAGGACTCCCAGGGCCCACCAATCCACCGAAACTCCGTATTCCATTTCTTGGAGGATCTAGAAAATCAAAGTATAATTGTACTTGTCGTATTTTACATTTTTTATGGGGCCAATATTTTGAGTGTGTTACACATTTGAAAATTTCCTAAAATCGCATTTTATATTTTCTCAAATCTATTTTCAGTGTTCAAGCCGTAACTTACATTTTAGCCTTTCTAAACATTTTATTTTTTCGTGTTTTATTTAATCATTTAAAATTTCCAAAATCGCGTTTTACATATTTTATATTTAAACCATGTTTTACCCCTTTCTGTGTCCTATTTCAAAATATTAGAGGCGTGACCTTCCTTACCTCCGGCGCGATGTAATCGGGGGTTCCGCAGAACGTGGAGGTGAGGTTATCCTTTGTGATGCCTTCTTTGCACATTCCAAAGTCAGCCAACCGACAATGCCCTTCGGCGTCCAACAGGATATTGTCCAACTTGAGGTCCCTGTAAATGACATTGTATCTGTGCAAGAACTGCAGGGCGCATGTCACTTCGGCCGCATAGAACCGGGCCCTGGGCTCCTCGAATTTGCGGGCCCTCTGGATTTGGAACATCAAATCACCGCCATTCACATACTCCATCACGAAGAACAAACGATCCTATAAAAGTTGTAAAAAGTAATGGGAAATGCTGGGAATATGACAAGAAGAATTTCATACTAAAAAATCGCAAAAGGTTTTAAAATTTTGACATTTTTCGGTGCAAAAATATCATTCATTTGCAAAAAAATGCAGCTAAAAATCCCGTACATAACTTGGAAAATTCTGTTCAATTATTATTATTATTACCAAGTTTTATTTATTATTACGTAAAAACGTCAGTTCGATCAACTTACCGCTGTCTGGAAAGAGCAGAACAACGCCGTCAGGAAAGGATGCTTCGCCGACAACGCCAGAATCCTCTTCTCGCACATTGTGCACTCGACATCGTCGTCTTGCAGGATGACGTCCTTCTTGAGCACTTTGACTGCATAAACATCATCCGTGCCCTTCTTCTCGGCCAATATTACTTTGCCAAAAGATCCCTTCCCAAGCACTTTGATGAATGTGAAGTCGTTGATTCCCAATTTCTCTCCCGAACTGACAGTTGTGGCGACATTATTCACGGGGACCTCTTCTACAACGTTTGCACTCGTCGATGAAGAAGTGGATTGTCTCTCGGTCCCACTAACTCCCGAATCCGAGGTCTCTGAGGTCGAAACCGACACCACTTTCTTCTTTTGTTTCAGCGACATCTTGTCGCCGGTGAGGCCAAGTTGCGCCAATTCTGCGGCCATCTGCCGGGAGTTGATTCCACAGTTGTTGGCGACATTTCGTTGACATCTTTTATGCACATTCAACTCACAAACACGGCATTGAAGACCTTGTTTTATGAGGCCATACAACATGGATCCACAGTGATCGCAGAAGGTGGGCCGTTTGTAATTGTGAGTGGCGAATCGGTGGGGCATGTTGATGTTGAATCTCCCCACCAAATCGTTGATGTTCCCTTCATTTTGGAGCTCGTCAATGGCGTCTGTTCGACTGCCCGGGCATTTCCAAACAACTTCTTGATGACATCGCTTGTGGACGACCACTGTGCAGACTGCAATTTTGCGGTCATTGATTGAAATAAGGGTTGGGATTTCAGATTTTTTGCAGGAAAAATTAACTCCGGTCAAAAAACGACGGAAATTTTCATTTTTAAAATTTCAGAAGATTAAAGTTTTAAGCCGTTTTTTAAACTAAAAATCTCATGTGTACGAAAGAAACGAAATTTGTGTCAAAAATCATGCCAATCCAAGCGTCATCTTGGAGTATTTTTCGTGTTTTTGTGACTAATCCTTTCTCAAATTATTCCTGGTCCTTCAACTCTCATGAATATTTACTTTGGCACTGATATCCTTGCTTCCCGATGCCCCAAATGAAGTCCTTGCAATGAGCGCAGAAGGTTGGCTGGCGCAGGAACAACGCCATAAACTTGTGACCCGTGACCTGCAAGTAATCGTCGTTTATATCTTGATCATATTAGGGTTATATTATGATAGGTCTATCCTTTATTTGTCTTCTTTTCGGTGACTAAAGCCTCTCATCTCCACTTTTAGCGGGACATTTACCAGATACGTGCGCTCTATTATATCTAAGTGACTTGTTTTTTACTGTTGTGAAACTTCCAAAAGTAGTAAGCAAAAAACATTCCAATTTCCGCCAAAAGGTGGGATTTCGCAAGTTTCGGCCGCTTTTGGCCGCCTTTTTTTGGTGAAAAGTTTGGAATAAATTGTGAAATATTTTGTAAAACTAAAGGGTAGTAAATAAAACATAAAAATGGATGTATTTAACAATCGTTTTTGCTTTGTTTTCTCAGTTTAGCGCGTTTTAATGTTATTTTTTAAAATTCAGAAAGGGCAGGAGGCTACCCTCAGATTTTTTTCAAATTTGATTTGACTATGCTATCTAGTTTATACATTGAGTTGTCAAATTTTTAGTCCGCGATTTGCAAGGAGAGCCGATATATTGAAGGATCCTTTGCAGACGAGAGACTATGAGAAATGGAGAGGGTGGTCACAAAAAACTTTTTTATCGAAATTTCATTTTGAAAAATGTTATCAAATTTTCAATTGAAGAATCTCAAAAACAAATTTTGGGTGATTTCTTCAAATCTCGATCCAAAAATCCCTCACATCTTACAAAACTCTTATCGTAAATATAATAATTTAGTGAAAATCTGAGAGTTTCCCTTTGAGAAAATTGCCTGAAATGACAAAAACTTGCCTCGTGGATTTTGCGACGCATGGCACCGCGTCGTTGACGATCGTTGAAGGCATTGGAACGTTCCTTGAAGACTCGCTGAGTCTTACCCGCATTTTGTGGACACTCTAAAATACGAATTCCATTAGTAAAAAACTTCTGCAAAATATGTTTTGTAAATAATAATCGTCATGTTAATAGTTTTCTTTATTAATTTTGGTCATCTTGACAGCAAAGATTGCGTAATAATGGGCCCAGCACTCCCTCCCAATCCTTATCACGGTCGCTGTTTAATCGTCTGACTCAATGCATATGTCAACATTCCCTTATAAAAGGCCGTCTTCGGCTGTATTTTCACGAACTTTAAAAGCCCCGAAATTGTATTATTCTGGAATCTTTGCAACTCCAAAAATCATGGATAACAGACGAGCATGTCGCCTTGTTATAGCATGCATAGCGTTACGCAATCTTCGTTAATCTTTGATGAGTTCCGAGGGTGTTTTGGAATTGTAATCTTTTCTTTGTAGTGTTTATACAGGCTTTTCGCTGGACCTCAAATCTTCTACATCTAAAAAAGGCCCAAAATTTCCCTTTTCTAAGTTTTTTTTCGCACAAAAACTCCCGTATTTTAGTCTAACACTGGCCATATTATAACCTAATATTCCCGAAGATATTGGGTAAATTACCTCCCGACTTTTTGGGATTAATTTGAATAAACTCCATCAGTCAAATACCCGTCGTCGTCATGGCAACTTATGCCCTCCGACCCCGGATTTCGTCGCTTTTGTTCCCCTCCTCCCCTTCCCCCTCGGGCGTTTATATCCAAGTGCGGGTAGAATCGTGTTGCTCTTGTGATTGTTCATCCTCAGATCTTTTTTTGGGCATCCAACCGCGACGAATTGGGCGAGAGCCATGCGGAAGGAGCGCAGTCTATGAATGCCGCTTTTCCACGCGTTTCGGCCACATTTTATGGCCAAATACAAGGTCCTCTTCGTGTTGGCCGCTCTTGGAATTTGCTCGTTGATCTATTTGGGACAACAGGACGGAGTTGATCCCCGATATCAGGCCTTGTTCAAGAGGGTCGGCAATAATGTGAGTCATGGGAAAATAAGCAAGAAACTGCTGCTCCTTCTTATCGGAGAGGGAAGTATTTCAAAAACGATTCTCTTTATCGCCAAAATTTGTTTTCTTTCCAAAAATTGATCATCTTCACACATTTCCACACAACACACATGTATCTTGTATTATTCATCATCATTTCTAGGAAGCCGGCTGCCGATTGCCCAACCCTGATCCCTGGGATGAAACCATCCTCCATTACATCGAATATCCCGGTCCTTTAGACTGCAAACAAGTCCAACTTCCTCTAACGTACCTCGACTCCAGAATCCTCAAATTAAATAACTCCGCTCTCAAGGAAGCCGGCTATTCCCGGGACTCTATCAAGTGCCAATTTAGATGTTTCCAGTGGAAATCCGACGATGAAAACCAGTATTTAGAATGGAATGATCTCAATGTAAGCATAGTTTTTGAAGGAAATCGTCGTCTTTTTGTGGATTACACCCAATCTTTGATGATTTCAGAGCGAACCCATAGATTGTGAATTCATAGAAGTGTCATGTAGCCGGAAAATGTTGCCAATCTCCATCTATTCTCAACTCCACGCTCAAGCCATACCCAAGTTCGAGTCTTCGGATGATAAACAGTACTCAGTCACCATGTTTGTAATCGACTCCATCTCACAATCTCACTTGAAACGGGGACTCAATCAAACCCTCTCGGTGTTAACCTCAAAATACGGTTCTAGAATTATGAATGGGTTCACGAAAGTGGCCGATAACTCGTTTCCAAACGCCGTCGCTTTTCTTACAGGTAACTTAGATTACAAGTCATGTAATTACCATACATTTTTAGGTAAAGATATTCGAATTGATGAACTGCCCGGTCCCCAATCTGGCGGACATTTTGATGATTGGAATTTCATCTGGAAAGACTTCAAGAAATCGGTAAGGTTACTGTAGTATACTGTAATCTCATATTCTAGAGCCATGTTACATATTATGCAGAGGATTATCCGGACTATAACTTGTTCAACTACTTGAGTAAGGGCTTTACAACCCCGCCTGTTGATCATTATTTCCGCCCTTTTTGGAGACAAGTCTATGATTCCATGGTCTACAGAAGAAGCACGTATCTTTGTTACAACACAGAACCTATGCACAGGGTTCAATTGAGATATTTAAAAGAGTTTTTGCAAGGATACAGTGGAAAGAAGCCTACGTTTGCCTTGAATTGGCTTACTGAATTGGCTCATGACCGGCTAAGTCAGGTATAGTACAAATAATCACCACTTTTTTGGTCCTTCAGAATGCTGTAATGAATTTGTTCTATAGGTATCAAGTGCTGACCCTGATCTTGCCGCGTTCTTTGACTCAACAGTAGACCAACAAAAGGATTCTTTCCTCTTCGTTTTCTCCGATCATGGTCATCGCTTTGATCCCATCAGGCAGACAATGATTGGCAGATTGGAGGAAAGAATGCCCTTCTTCACCGTTCATATTCCCGAATCCTTGAAAAAGAAAGTCCCAGGCCTTCAACGGATCATTGACTGGAACTCCAAACAACTCACGTCTTTCTACGATCTCTATGTGACTCTACAGGACATCAACTATTTAAATCAACATAATTCTTGGGACGAATTGGCCCATCAAAAGCCGGGCTTCACTCTTCAGCCAATCCACAGATTCAGAAGGTTTTCAAAAAGGGGCCTCTCGTTGCTAAGGCCGATTCCAGCTGATCGAAATTGTGATCAAGCCGGAATCCCGGAAGAATACTGCATCTGCCAAAGAGAAAAACAAATCTCAAAAGAAGATCCGGTAGTCAAAAGAGCGGCCGAGGAACTGATCTCCGAGATCAACAAGATCCTGAAGCCTCACGGAGAGTGCGCCCAGCTTTCCTTGACAGAGATCCGAGGAGCTTCGTCCAGTCTTCCGAATGCTGACATTCTCCAGAAACCCGGGACTTTTTTCCATTCTACCTCACTCTCTTTGGGTGCCTATATCAACTACCTGGTGATGGTATCCGCAGCCCCGAGTAATGCCATCTTTGAAGGCGTCGTTCGTCATGACATATCAACGGACAAACTGAACGTGGTCGGCGAGATCAACCGCATCAACAGGTACGGGAATCAGTCGGTCTGCGTCCATGAACAGTTGTTGCGAAAGTTTTGTTATTGTATATAAGCTGTACACTTTGTTATGCTCCCCGGTTCGATTAAAGAAATTTTTGATGAGAATTCGGGCGGCTATAATTTTAAATTTGACCCTCAGGGCATGCAATTAAAAGAGGGTGAGAAAAACATCTGCGAGAATATTAAAACCGGACCCTAAGGGCGGGATGGAGAGGGAGAGCTGAAACCACAAGTTGATGTCGTTAACTCGACCATAAAATGATCGTATAGAATTTTGTGCCGTAGGCCGGAAAGTAAACTAGTCCAAAAAGTGTTAAAAAAGGTCAAAAAATGGCATAACACCTCTATTAATAGCATGAATGACAACCGACCTTCCATGATGGTGCCCTGAAGTTCGATTAGGAGATGTAGTTGGCCGTGTGGCTCCAGATCCACCCAGATATCATTCGGCGAATTTAATTTGAGGTCCTCGAAGGGGATTCGGCAGTTGGCGACAAAATCATCAGGCGGCAACGCGCAGTCGTGGAAGATCGTGAAGCCGAGCACTTTGCCGTTCTGCACTTCAGTCTGAAGCGAATTTCTGTTTCCTCTCTCCGCTTAAGCTGATTCCCGTGCCCTCAGGGCATTTATGAAAAGGAAGAGACCGTGCCGAGTTTTGAGGCAAGACAAAACGAGAATAATTATAATGACGGGTGAAATTAAAAGGGCCTCGCTTATTAGTCCAAGAATAAAAACTAATATTGTTCTTTAGGGCTAGTCCTAGAACCAGAATAGACTCGAAAATACTCGAAAAGGAGGGAAATCACTTCAGATTTTATGAATAACCAGGAATCACTTCTTACATGGTAATCCTCATTCCAATGTGGCGTGTTCGTCTTTGGCCTGGTCTGTGTCTGTCCCACATGGTACTCGTCATAATCCACATTCACATACGAGTCGACAACTTGATCCACGTCACTGGCATTGTTGAATCTAAGCGTACAAGTCATGGAGAAGAGGAGGGGACTCACCGTTTGGACCATTCGGTCGGCCTGAGGTCCCTGGCTTCCACCACCCGAACTTTGGCCTTTCCGTTGAAGACAGTCATTTACACGGCACACAATCTGGCTAGCTAATTAGACCTGCATTCCTCGTCTCTTCCGCTGTTTCTAATCTGCAACGAATGCATCTTCCTTACACTCGCCTCTTCTCCGCCCCGCGCTATCTTATTTGGTGACACGAAACGAAACAAAACCTGGGTTTATATATTCGATATCGCCGTCTTCTTTTTGTTTTCAAAACAAAAAAGGATCGAGAAGAAAGCGGCGGCCCAACGGCCGATCAAAGGCAAACGGTGACCAGATATAAAAAAAGGTGATAAGAGCAATGACGGATGACGTCTGATTAAAGTTATTCTTTGCGACAAGGGGAACCAGAAAGAAAGTAAAAGGGTAAACAATGTAAAATACGCTGAAACGAGGATAATACGGCTGAAAACAGGAAAATCCCAAAATGAGCATAAACACAACAACCCCGCCACCCCGACGGATCCACGCATTCCCGCACAAAGAAATTGAGGAATAATGTAAAAAAGGAATTGGGATGTCATAACAACAAGTGTGATGACAACCCCGTCCGCCCGCCCGCCAGACCTTTCCGCACATTTCATTTAAGGCCTGCGGGCGTTTTATGAGCGTTCCAATCGAGATTTATTCGACTCCAGAAGACGACATGCAAAAAGCGAACGGAACGGAGGGCACCACGACCACTTCTTTTTACACGGCGTCAGAGGCCGCAATCTTTTCGCACTCTCGGAAGACTTGAGGAAGGCCGCAGGGTCTCTGTGGCCAAAGGCTCTTTCCCCAGCCCCCCCTTTGGCTCGTGCCGTCACAGCGAGTCTGCCCCCACCCGCAAGCACAATGACCAACCAAAAAGTGGCGCAGGAAAATTGTTGTACGGCGGATTTCTGGAGGGCACGACAACTCGCCGCGTTTTCCCCCACGGGCCCACCCGTCGTCCCTCCACTTTTTTTGGACATTCTCCTGGCCATTTTTCTCTTCTGTGTTTCACTTTAGCGGCCGGACAAAAATAATAAGGCAAAAAAGAGAAAAACATGAGAAAAGAGCCGAGAAAAGTGAACAGTCAGAATTTAGATGGCCAAGAAATTTTGGAAAATTCAAAATTTCAACGGTGATATTAAGAAAAAAAGACACTGTAAGAACAAACTAACTTAACATTAAAAATGGAGGTACAAGAAGAACTGTAAGATTCAAAAAAGGTTGTATAATAGTTGGTGTAAACATGGACGTTGAAACAAAAAGAAAACCCAAAGGGGGAGAAAGAATGTTCGAAGACCAGCAACTAATCCCTCACGTCACCGCTGACCTTCTCCTTACACCCCCACGGCCTTCATGTCATCCACGATCGAAGAGTAATTTCCCAGAAGTATAAATCTTGGCATTGCCTCGAGACAAGCGCAACGCCAGGTGTATTCAGACCCTCAAACGGGGCCAAGCGCCGGGCCAAAGTTTTAAATGGCAAGTGTGGCGACATATAAAATAAAAGCGCCAAATGACTTTCGAAAGAGCCTCACATAAATGTTCGTTAATGTATTCATGATACGGGAAAGCGGTAAAGGAATGTAAATTTGCCGAAAAAACTTAATTATCGAGACATTAAGGCCCTCTGGCGACATTATGATGGACCCTGATTGATTACCGATACCAACTGTTTTGGCAGGGAATCGGATCCTAGAATGTAAACATCGGGCTTGAGAAAGTTGGAAGTCCCACTTGCAACGGACATCGCAAGGGATACTACACTCAAAGGTAATATTTCGAAAAAAAGAAATTTGATTTTGGGCAAATATGTTCACTTTAGTCATCATAGTTACGAAAGTCGGTTTAATGCAGATTATGAAAGTAAATGAGACAAGTGGGAGAGTTAGCGAGTAAAAATAGCAAATTTACAGCTATTTCGGGCTAAATGAATTTACTGCGAAGGAGTATTAAGAGCCAAGTGCAAATTATATTAACCTTATTTTAGACTTCCACGCAAAAATCCTCTATTTTAATAAATAAAACAGTTAAAATACAAAAAAAAGATCTAAACAGAGAGAAAGTACATTAATATGAACTTAAACACATCCGGCTGATCATCGCCGTCCCTGCAAATGGCCTCCAACTGACATGAACTCAAGGCGGGCCCCGAAAACAAAGGAATGCCGAGAAAAGAGATGAAACGATTGTTTTAAATCGATACACATGTCCCGAAAGCGAGTATTGGAACGGGCCCCGAGGGCTGAAAACGACATGAAAGGTACAAGGGATTAATCGAATCAAAAAAGTGATAAAAACTCTTGTTCAACATGTAATTCTCGAGTTTTCGGGGCGAAAAACGCGAATTTAACGGACAAGAACAGTATGCAAATTGAAAAGGATTGACGCAAAAAGTTTAAAAGGACTTTTAAAACAAATGAAAATCATGTGAGAGATGCAAAAGTTCTAATAAAAGTATTTACAACAGACAAAACACAATATTTTTGACAAGAATAACCAAAAATGTTGGCAAAAATGCAAAATATTGGCTCAAAAAATAGACAAGGAAACAGAGGTACTCGGTAACGAGCACAACCGGCCGGAAGATGTGGTAAGAATACGTGAATTCATTATCCTTGCCCTCCGGCGAAGTAAGCCGCCCGCCGCATAAACCACCTTTTCCTCGAATTTGACGCCAATTTTCATGCCACAAAAACAAAACCCTGAATAGAAGGCGCGGGTTCACGAACCAGAACATCACTCCGCTAATCTTCGGCCCCTCAAATGGACATCCTAAGCCCCCCGGCGAAGTGGCGCGGAAGAAACATGTTGAACAAGTTAATTTGACGCTCTGCTGACAAGTTTGAGGTCAAAATGGGAGGAAAAGTGGCCCCAGAACGAGGCGATGGTACGGACGCATGTGTATATGTATATGTACATGTGTAGTGGAATGCGAGTGCTCGAAGGTCCGTAAATCGAATGAAGTGGCGCAAAGAAAAGCCCTCAGGGCTTCGCCCCGACAAATCCACACCCGTCGGGGCCGTATAAGTCTCAGTGGCGGCGGCGGTGGGGCTGCGCCGGGCCCGCCCGCCGGCCAAGAAATACATCTTGTTCCTCGCTTTTTCGGCCGTACATCCCTCGGCCCCGCGTTCCATATTTAGTGGCGTTTTTATCATCGGCGGCCCCTCGAATTTCCCTCGATTCTTTATCTTTCGCGGGCCTTGGATCTCCTTTTTTCAATTCAACGCCTCAGGGAATGGGCACGAACAATTCCGCTGAAATGTTGCTAAAAATGGGATGATCATCGGCCCAAGTTAACGGCCGAAAGTCGAGTTATGGCTTTCTTTTGATGCAAAATGAAGGTAATATTTCGTATCTAAGGTCTTTACATGGAAGAATCTTCCTTCCTTTCACTTATTCATGCCCATTCAAACCCCTGAATCGATTTCTAATCTCGAACACGGCCCTTGGCCTACTTAAAAATTAAATTAAATTGGCCTAACTGCAAATTTGGCGGCCAAGTGCCGGAGGCGGAAAAGTTAAGCACAACAGAGTTCGGCCCATTTAACTCGCATTTAACCGAAAAATGGCTATTGTTCTTTGGACAGGCTGCCCCCACATACGACCATTACCTTTGGTTACGGTAGATACGATGATGACAAATAAGTTTGATGCTTCAAATGTGTGTTAATTACATTTGCAGTTTATTTTATTGTTGATTACTTGGAACACCTCTTTATTTAATGATCAAACATTCATTTAAAAACATCTTGAAATAAGAGGATCGCACAAAAAAACAAAAGAAAACTTTATTTGAAGACGTTACGAAAGAAATGACCACTCGAATGACCTTCTAAACCCCTTCAAGACACTACGTTTTGATTGGAGGTGCGGTGATAACATAGCATATCAATCTATTAAAGTACTAAGGCCTTGACAAAACGAGACGACATCCAGTAAAGTGGTCCCTGTAAGAATCGCGTTCCTTCTTTCTCTCCAATTAAGATCGACCATAAATTCCGTCCGTCCTTCACACATTACAACCGAGCCGTATAAGGAAAGAGCCATCTATTTCGTCTCACATGACGTTCCGACCCCCTTCACAGAGGCAAATTATTTGTTTTAGTGTGTAAGAGATGGGTTTCAAAGATGCGATCGTATCTCTGGTCGGCGACTTCGTCGAGCTCCGACGGAATCCCGAGTTCCGAAGCCGGAACGAGCTGGCCACAACTCCGGTGGATGAGAACGACGACAGCCAGCTGTTCCGGAGGAATCGAAGGCATTCGCTGAATATTACTGTGGGAACGGTAAGATTAATTTATTTGTCAGGGAAAGATTAGTACAAGTTTTATTGTAATGCCTGGGTATTCAAAAAACTTTGATGGTCTCTTGCTCAACATATTTCTGTTACATTTGCTTAAATGTCCAACTTAAAATTAGCAACTCATGTTTTGAAGACAGGTGGTCGATGTTTAGATTTTCTAGACAGACCGACGTTTTTTTCGCGTTTTCTCATAAAGAGTTCATTCCTTTCCTATCCATAGGAATTCAACGTTTTCCGCGAAAAATTAATAAAAATAATGCCATAAAGCGTTTTTTCCTGACCGCCACCCTCTTTCCGGGTTACGGCAAAGATAATTTAATACATTCGCTACACCAGCACCATTGAAATAAAGTCAAAGCATAAAGCGAATGCAAAATTTTTAGGAAATCTACTCGCTCCTCATCGCTCATTGAGCTTATTAGATCACATAATTAATCATTGCAAATGTTTCCACTTTTTTTTTGATCTTGTAATCATGCGCATTTTATTTCTTTCCCAGAATTCCGGTGTAATTTATCTGACTCATCAACGTTTTCTTATGAAATTGACATTAATGGGTCACAAGAGTGATCTGCAGTCCCTTCTCCTAATTGCCTTTGTTGTTTTACAAAACTTACAGTAATATTGCTGTTCTGATTGTTTAATTCAAATCGGAAGCCTGAATTAAGCATTAAACTTTCCGGAAAAAACAGCTAGAACTTCTAAATTCAGATCAATTTAAGGAAAATCTGATTGGAAAGGTTATAAACAACTGAATCATCAGACTAATTTGCCCATCTTTTAGTCTGGTCCAACAACGGAGCATCTAATCCGCCAACGGATCTTTACGGAAAAGAAGCCGGTCCTCAGAACTCGCCGACATTCGGCTCTTCCCAAACTTTCATCTGTTCAGTCCGAGAATCGAAGCCCTAGTCCAAGTGAGAGTGCCAAGGCAGATCTCTCGACGCCCACTAATCAGAATCGAGCTACTGATCGACGATCTTCTGAACCCCATAATCTGAGGATTCCGCCAAATTTCGGAAAGGACCGCCCAATTTTATCCGATAGTGATTCGGATACAGATGAATTGGTGTTGAGAAGATCGCTGAATTTGAGAAGGCGAAGAGAAGACCTCAGGCATTCCGTGGCCTTAAGTGAACATACAATTCAAGAGGAATGGGAGGCCGAAGATCAAGAGCAAAGCCCGGAGAACGGGCGGCTCACTGGCCGGACTGTTATCAGTATTAATCACTAACTCTCAGTTACATTTCAATCCACAACATATCTCGTTTACATCAGCCGTAGTTCCCTGAACTTGTTTGAATGACTCTTATATCATTATGCCCCCGTAAATTCTCTGTTGAAACCCAGAAATTCCATATACTATATAAAAATACAAAAACTTTATGGACCATTAAAAAGGCATTAATCTCCCTGTACATAACATCTGATTGTTTGAATGTGACATGAATAAAGTTAATCTTTTTCGCGGGATCTCTGGAGGCGGCCAAAACGCCGGGTCAGGGGCCGACCACCAATCCCCTGAGGGCTTATCAACCAGTTAGCCGGCGCTTCTTGACGCCCCAATCTTCGGTTGTTTTCCAGGCAATATCTGAATGGGCTGAGACCGAATAATGGAGCAGCCGGATCGATTGCGGAGATTTGGTCGATCCTTTAGAGAGGGGGTGAGTTTTTGGAACTGGAACGGGAGATGATGACTAAAAAAATTTTTTTTAATTGGTCAGAGATGTTCCCCAAGGTCATAAATTTGAATTTCGTTTTTCTTGGCTGTCTAAAAATTATTTTTTCAAAAATAAACACCGGATTACTGTAATTTTTAGGCCAATTCTTTTCGCTCGAATATCTCAAATTATCGGACCGCCAAGAAAGTTTCTCGATGGGTACAACTCACTCACAAAATATATCACGATTACGGTATCAAACATATTCTTTTAATCCTCGTCCTCATCGTCTATCAGTTCATCGGGGCCGGAGTCTTTTATTATTGCGAGCATTCCAACGAAGAGTCCAAGGAAATTCAATGGAAATCCGAATTAAACAATAATAGGAGTGTGATTATCAACACGATCATCAAGAGGATGTTCAATAATACCGAGTACCTCTTTTTTCTTACTCAGAATCAATCGGATGACTTGCATAAAGAGCTAAAAGTGATGTTCGAAAGATATGAAGACAGTCTGGGGGTGAAATTCACCGACCAGAAGATCAAGTGGGACTTCTGGACGGCCATGTTGTATGCGCAGGTAAGATGTGTAAATCTAAAACAAAATTATATTACTCTAGATGATCTGCACCACAATTGGCGGAGGATTTGCGCATTTGTATCCATCGACAGTCTCCGGAAGAGTCTGTACCATGATCTACGCTTTTTTTGGCATCCCATTGGTCCTCACTATATTGGATGACCTCGGTATGTCTTCATTTTATCTCCAATTTTCTGTTTTTTAGGAAAGATCCTCACAAAATGTCTGAAAACCCCATGGTGGTTGATAAAATGTGGTTGCCGTCGAATGTTCCGTTACTGTACGAAACAGACGTTGGAAGAGATCCGAATATTGGATATCGAGGATAAAAAAGACCTGGACCTCTTTGATCTACCAATTCCGATCGCCATTTTAGTCGTGTTTGTTTGGATTCTGATCTGCTCGGCCACTTTCTGCATCTGGGAAAAGGACTGGGACTATTTTGTGGCCTTTTATTTCTTCTTCATCTCGCTGAGCACCATTGGGTTGGGTGATATATCTCCATCACAGCCAAAATATCTTCTAATGTTGTTTGTTTACATTATCATTGGTTTGTCGTTGGTTTCAATGTGCATCAATCTTATTCAGGTAAGAGAATGAGCAAACTTTGCAGAGAATTGCGCAACTTTAAGATCAAATTCGAAAAGACCTATCAACACGGAAAAGATCACCTTTACATCACTCAGGACTCACAACTTGGATTGAAAAGAAGAAGGAGTACCTTGGGGGTGATCAGAGGGACAACTTCATCTCATTCGCTGTCCAAAGAGTCGGTTCAACGATATCTCGGCCAAAGAACTCATTTGAGTAAGAGCTCGCAGACAGTTTTGTCCTTCCCATCTCCGAGACGGAACTCTTACGTAACGCAAAGTGTCTACAACTCAAAAGTGAGCTATTACTCCATTTGGGAGCGTTTCATTTTGGGCAGATCAAATTTTTTTATTTGAAATCTGATAGCACCGTAAAATGACTGGTGTAAGGATTGAGTTGGCCTGAAATATAGCATTCCAATGTGACCCAAAGATTTCATAAATCGCTTATCAAGGAGCTGGATTGGCCTAAGATTCTTAGCTAGATGATTCAGTTACATATCCAAGTGTTTGAATTTGTCATTTGCTATATTTCAGGCCAACTCAATCCTTACACCAGTCATTTTACGGTGCTATCAGATTTCAAATAAAAAAATTTGATCTGAATGCCTGACTGAACCCCCCATGACTGAACCCCCCTGACTGAACCCCCCTGACTGAACCCCCCAATGACTGGACCCCCTGACTGAACCCCTCACCCCTGTTCGAGGGAACCCCCCCTGACTGAACCCCCCAAATTGAATAAACCTTGGCGTTCTGCTAAAATATGGCCAAGTTGAAAAAAATGTGGCCAAGTTGAAAAAAATGTGGCCAAGTGGAAAAAAATGTGGCCAAATTGAAAAAAATGTGGCCAAATTGAAAAAAATGTGGCCAAGTGGAAAAAAATGTGGCCAAATTGAAAAAGATGTGGCCAAATTGAAAAAAATGTGGCCAAATTGAAAAAAATGTGGCCAAGTTGAAAAAAATGTGGCCAAATTTCAAAAAATTTTAATTTGGCCACATTTTTTCACTTTGGCCAAATTTTTTATCTTGGCCAAACGCTTTTCCTGCTTGGCCACACTTTTTTCACGGTTGTAAAATTTTTTTCCGATCTGGCCAAATCTTTTCAATTTGGCCATATTTTTGCACCATGGCCATAATTTATTGGATTTGGCTAGATTATTTCACTTTGGCCGTTCCCCCATCGGGGGTGCCCGAAATTTCGCTTTAGAGGGGGGTTCAGTCAGGGGGGGTTCGGTCTTGGGGGGTTCAGTCAGGGGGGTTCCTTTCTAAGGGGTTGGGGGGTTCAGTCAGGGGGGTTCAGTCAGGGGGGTTCAGTCATGGGGGGGTTCAGTCTCCTAACGGTCACATTGCCGCTATTGAACAATTGAAAGAAGCGTATTCCAAACAAATGATTTGCTCTGTCCGAAATGAAATATTAAGCAGTCTATTCTCAAATACTCAAAATCTTCTTTTCCATCTCTAGATCTGTCCTCGAACCCTCTCCATCGACGACGTCATGAAATTAGTGGATACAGAAGAAGGTGACATCCTCCTTCTCACCGAATTAACTCGAGATCAATCTACCCTCAGCGAGATCAGCGAGGCCGTCAGAAGTGATATAACCGAGTCCTCTCAACAAGTAGTCGTCTCCAAATCCTTTGAGAACACTTTTAATCAGCCTCTCGAACCTCCAATTATCATCGCCAATCCTCGACATTCCAATAAGTCCAAGCTCACGAACTGCCCCTCAACCACGCCCATTCTGCCGGAGAATCTGGACATCGAGGCGTTGGAGGAGATGGAAGATCGGCTTCTTTTGAGCAGAGCGGCTTCATTCGATGCCAATCCATCGGTCCATTTCAGATCAAGGTATTACGACGTAATTCATCTCTAAATTTAAAACTTCAGATTAAGTTTAATACTAGAGCAGCAAAGTGTGATAGATGACGAGGGCAGTAGTCCTTTGGATATGTCCAGATCCAGTTCTAAATCCACTTCCATCAGTTCAAATGCCGAGGAATTCTCGAACAAACAGAAGAATCATCGAAATTCGATATTCACCCAGAGGAGATCGAGTAATAATAAGAGGTTAATGGGACCCTCTGCCAAATATAGAAGTCGTCAGTAATTATTTATTGCGAATAAAAAGGATTAAAACCAAAGAGAACGGCAGGGAGAAGGTTCAGGATTTTGAATGAACATTCAGAACCTTGAACCAAGCTTTCATAAAGCACTCGTTAGTAACTATATTTTATTTATCGATAAAAGTATAAACGACAACAAAACAAGTCCCTAAAACAACAAACCTAAACTCTCCTAATCTTCTTTGGCCGCGGGCCAATCTCGGGAAGCAGGGTTCGGTCCGTGATGGAGACGACATTCACTCCAGTTGAGGCGATTCCCTTCACCGACGACATTCTTCCCGGTCCAATTCCTTTTACCAGAACTCTCACGGCGTTGATTCCTCTTCTTAATAGCCTCTGACCAGCTGCAACTCCAGTTGTTTGACCAGCAATAGTGGTCTTCTTCCTTGCATTTTTGAATCCTTCCAGACGACAGGACGTGTAAGTGATGACATTGTACTAAAACAAGAGTTATTCACAGATCTACAACCCACTTTATGGTCCGTGACTTGAATGAGAGTATTATTCCTAGTGGATTTGATATAAACCATGGGCAACTCAGTGAAAGGGACACCAAAAAACTTTTGTTTCAAGGTCTCTGATGTCGGAAGTCGTCTTTCGTATCCTTTCACATTTACCGCAGCATAACTAAAAATATAAACAAATAATGCTACAAGTCCTTACCTCTCAGTCCCTACCGTTCCATCCATAAGAGGATCTCCGGTTTTCGGCAGCCCACTTCGATGTTCATCCCGGATACTTTTATATCGTACAGATCCAGCAAGACAGTGAGGTTGAGGGGTCAGGAACACCCTTGACACCTCTGATGTCACGGTCTGAAGTATCTTATTCATCTAAAACAATAAGAAAATCATAATACTCATAAGAAGTCTATAATATGAGGATCAAAATAAAAATGCTTCCAAAAAAATAAAAATAATTTTGGAAAGGTTTCGTCGTACGAGATGTCTATTTAGCGACATTTTATACGCTCAAACGTGTTTATTGTAGATTTTTTTCTTGCGTAAATGTTCGAAACTGCTCTCTTTTTATGTACAAACTCTTTTTACAACAAAAAGCTTTGATTGTTGATTATTCGGGGCCAAATCGACTCAATCGAATCTTGACGGTGTGGTTGAAGCAAGGGGAATTATTTTGGTCGATCCGGTATATGTCCGGGTTCCGGTAGATGCTGAAAACACAACGAAGTCGGTTGCGATCGTTGTCTCGGATGGCATGGGCTCTATATAATTTGGGTTCGTAATAGGGAATAACCCCGGGGTAGGGGGCGGGAGCACAATCACAGGGCTCCGGCTTCCACATGTTCGCCCAATCGGGTTGCCAAGACAGTTTCTGTTGAATGGCATCGAACCCGTTGACCATACCTGGAGATTGGTTGGATTATATGAGATTGATTATATTATAGTAGGTCATAAAACCGTTGTTTTAATGACTTGTAAATCAATGCTTCGTACCTTTGCAAGACAAGGTCCTGCTGATTCCGGGCTCAACCCCCAATTTCTCGCAGAACCATCTGAATGCCTTGATTCTTCTGTTTTCCTTGGGCCCGCCGGGTGTCTCTTCGTCTTCTCCGCCACATTCGTTATTGATAACCAAATTTGTTGGGCCAAAAACTGACCCCTTGTAGTCAGCTCGTTTGTTTTTCTCACTTGGATGCCAATTTCCTGCAATGGCGAAAAATGTATGACAATTTCATGATCAATATTGACCATGGTCAATGTAATAATTAATTTTGGCCATGGTTAATACAATCAGTCGTTGCATACCCATCATAATATCGTGCATTGATGGTTTTGGTGGCTGCGGCGTCATGTAGAACCAAATGGCCGACAACATAGCCAAAGGGGGATCATTTTTTGTCAAGAGTTCATTGGGATTACTCAATAAATCAACATCGATTCCATGGGTATGAAGAAATTGGGAGAATTGTCCGTAATTATAGTTCCATGAGAGTTGTAAGGGTCCTCGACCAAAATAACAGCCAGAATAGGTAGTGTGATTGAGGCTGGAGTTTATATTCGGCTGATTGCAAGGATACCAGAAGTCGATTTCTGGATTGGAAGCACAATATCGCCCTTCTTCTACACACGATTCTCCCTCATCCATGGAGAATCCATGCCGGGAAGACGAGAAGAGCTTGGATTTGGGGCCTCCTTCGAAGAAATGGTAGAGACCTCCCCGGTAGAAACACTCGTCCGCCAGTTTGGGGTTCTTGATCTGGCTAAAATAAGGTAAAAATATAATTTTTTCGAATCACACTTCTGTATTATAAAGAATGACGGCTTACCTGTAGAGCCGAAGGTCGTTTTCTCCAGTTTCGGCAATTATATGAGCAAAGAAAGCTGCCAAGTCTCTTCTTTGAAGATCTCTTTGAGTATAAGGTGGTCTCCCTCCTTTTATTCCGGCGCCAAATTCTGGAAAATATCTGGCAGCCAAGATAAACGACTCGTACGAATAGGGGAGACAAGGATGAAGGCCCCAGCCTTGATTTGCCTTCGGAAAAAAATCCTAAAACGATGAAATAAGTATAAATCATCATCAAGCTACAGTATATCACCGACTTAAAATATATTATTAACCAGTCGCACCTCAAACATTTCCTTGGTAAACCACTTCTCCATAAGGGATTTGGGTTTCAAATTCGGATCCATGGGTTCTCTACATGAATCCGGCGGTGGCCTTCCATATCTTTTTGGTTTTGGACATGTGATCCCGTAGGACAATATCAAAAAGTAATTAAAAACAACAACAAATAGGTTAATTGAAGTCATGAAATAATGTGGTCGCTTCTTCGATCGTCCAAATCCTTGAAGAAAAAACGAAGTCGAGGGAGCGGACTGGTTCCGGTTTATTTTTTTAGGTCCGAGTTAGAAGATCACACCGGAAACACAAAGCAAATAACGTGGAATATATGGTCATTCGGGAGAGAGTACGAGGATTCATGATCTTCGGAACTTTTGGTTTATTAGATCGTAAGACTACACAAATGAAAAGTTACAAAATTGGGAAAATGTAAACATGAAAAGAAGAGTATACCTACTACAACATAAAACTACTTAATATTTTCTCCATGTCTTGATCCTAAAGGTTCTCTACGGCCGTGTCTCTCTGCGAAGTGGACACTTCTGATGGCCTTTTCTCCAAATTCTCTCCACAATCCAATCCAGAATTTAACTGCATCATGATCATCATCACTGAATTGCTCTTTAATTGTGGGGTTGACTTGCAACGCAACATGATGCCATGGTTTCTCATGAGTGGTTACAGGCCATTTAAAGAGTGAATGGGAAGGGTCTCTAAAACACTTACTACTTTTATATTATTTTTGATTAATTTTATAACACATACACTAGACCACCTACCCGTGTTTGATGAAATTGCAAAGACTGTTTGCATAGAAATCCCTATGGGCCAGATCATCCTTGTTCATATGGAAGGCTCTTGGATTGGGAAAGCCAAAGAAAGTGTGGAGTTCACTTGCGTGGACAGCTCCCTTCAGTTTGGTACCCTCTTTGAAATGATGATCCGCAAAATATTCATTTCGAGAAATGTAGATGGGCCAGTTGTGCTCGTGCTTTTCCATGATCTCAAAGGCCGTGGGAATAAAGAATTGAAGATGGGACATAATCTGAAAAAAAAAAACTTATTTATAAACTTGATACACAAGTATAACATAAAAACGATGTTTTAAAAAAAGTAAAGTATTTACCTCAACATATCGGGCAATGTAGAACAAAGGGTCGGGATTCTCAGGGACACGACGTCTTACGTAAAATGAGATCACCCGATCCTGGATTTTCTTCGCAATTCCGCCGAATTCGCTCTCGGGAATGAGGTTTTTCTTGATTTTCTCGATGATTTCCGCCTCCCCAAACTTTTCATATTCCTCAGGGAGTAGGGTAAGGCCATTGCACGACTTAAGGAACCCAAGAACAGCTAAAAACATTTACATTTCTTTCCCCAATTTATAAATCATACCAAAAAACATGGATTCATGAGCAGAATACCCATAAAACGTTGGAATCGGCGTTCTTTCCTTAAGAAGTTCATGGTAATCCTTGGGCAAGAAGTCTCCATCAAGCCGGGGAGAGAACTTGGCAATGTTTGTCGTATCACTCGCTGTCCCCAAGAATTCCATGGCATCGTTTAATTCTTTAGTGCAAGTGGATTTAAGGACCGATTTAATGGATTTGCTGTCATTCTCATCAGCCCCAAGGAGTTTGGCCAACTTCTTGGTCTCTTGGACCACTCGATCGTTAGTGGACCAAAGGGCGTAATAAGATCCACTCAGTTGGATGGATTGCTTTATATAATCTTAAATTTTGATGACATTAGACAACCAAATAAATCATAAATAATACGTATCACAATAAAACTCTTACCTTTACTATGTGGCGATAGTACCAGTTGTCCCACCATCGAACTGCCAGCACTCAATCCACAAGCTGTAATACGTTCCGGATCTCCTCCGAAGGCCTCGACATTCTCATAGACCCATTTCAGAGCCAACGCCGTATCAAATAACGCCAGATTTCCCGGTAATACCTCATCTCCAGTTGATGCGAGTCCTTAAGAAATGCCAAATAACTTATTTTAACCTACCTAACACTCCCAATCGATAGTTAAAAGTCACTGCAATAACTCCTTTGGTCACAAAATTTTCGGCCACATTTTCGTATTTTAGCCATTGCGAAGAGCCGACATTATAACAACTCGGATGGACCCAGAATGCTACTGGATAACCGCCAGGGTCAGGACTCTAAAAATACATCCCGAGTTAAAAAAAAATTTTTTTAGGTAACACTTACCTTTTCGGATGGTCTAAAAATGTTGATGGATAAGCAGTCCTCGCAAGTTGGGGCCATATTGTCCCGATCATGATGGGGAACACAGCACAAGGAGTACTTTGTTGCTTTGAGCGGAACATGCCAAGCTCCATAAGGTTTCGCCTTCTAAACAAAAAAGTATAAAAAGTCACGTATAATGCAAAAAGCTGATGTAAAAAACAAGTTAACATCGGTAAAAGTTGATTTTGTTGTCCGAGAAAGTAAAATAACAACTATTGCATCTTATTGCATCAAGAAAAGTAGAAAACAACAATTTTTTACCGAAAAATACCTAAAATCTGACCTCGAATCTGTCCTCCCCAACTGGCGGTTTTGCGTACGGAATGCCCAGGAAAATGTCCGACTTCCCGGCAGGCTGATGGAGCTGGAATCCGTCGATGGGGCCGCATTTTGTGGCCACTCGCACCGAATTCCTTAAACAGGAAATGAATCTCATTTTTGTTTTCGAATCGAATCAAAATAAATAAGAACGCATTGACCACTGTGCGAGAGACCTTTCGAAAAAAGAGAACCAACGATAAGAGAGTGATATAAGTGAGCCGAAAGAACTGATCAGTTCTTTGCAAGAAAAACGTGAATTTGACGTGAAATCCCCATGGCCACGGAGAAGGTAAATAATGGTCAACATTGTTGTCGTATCTTTATGACCGTCTCTCTAGATTTTTGTTATGTCATATTTATGTCGTTTCGAATAAAAGGTTCTTTTTTCCATTGAATCCACCAACAACATGCCTACTCAAAAGGATTAAAATACGAAATAAAAACGAGGAATTTATTAGAATGGACAGCATTACTGAGTAAACATGGCTCCCTTGTCTCCAATTGTAATAAAGCAACGGGTTTTGACCCAATTTCGTTGTAAACCATCGATGAAAACGGGTTAAAACGGACAATGGAGAAGGAGAAGGTCCTAATTATTTTACAAAACCATCCGATTGTTTGATCAGGTCCTCCACATAATTGTGGGGAGAGGTTTTTTTTGTCCGGGATTTTTTTGTGCGAAATCTCCGCTGGGCCATGAAATTTGCATGCCCGACCGACTGCTTTCTTTCGTTCTTCCAGGTGTGTAGGTGGAAGGGGGGAACGAAGCGGGGTCCTAAAGCGAGTTCTTAACTTCTTGCACCCTCCAGACAACATTTCTCTGAGTACTTGATCTTTGGAGGCGAACACTAGTTTTTAACTATTTACTTTTCGAAAAGCCAACTTCAACTAACAGGAAAGTCTTTCCATGGGGGCCAAATTTTGAATACGGATCCTGAGTTAGCCATAAATTATTATTACTTGAAAGTTTTGGACCATGCCCTTGATCGAGATATTTTACGGTCTTCTTTGCGAGATAACACGCGAAATGAGGAGAGCCGGCCAGACAGAACCGGTCTTTACTTGTAACTTTTCGGTTTATTCAAAAATTTTGTACGTTCAACAATTTGTAAACCTAAAATCGCTAAACCAGATTTTTTTTGCAACTCTAATGCCAAGTTAATGTTACAGTAACCTGTAAAAAAATCGAAAGTGTACTTGAGTCATCTCTTGAAAGTTTGTTTTCTTTTCGTCTTTGGGGTTGATCCCTCTATTAAAGCCACCGAAAATATTTGAAATTCTCAATTTGTAGTTTTGATTATCGGAAATTCTGAACCGAAAAAACGGTAGTGACATTTGGTAACATCCTTTACTCGGCAACAGGAAGTAATTAAGTCGATTAAATTGTAGGTCAATCGACTGTTTTTCGATTATTTAAGTTTGGATTCCATGAATAGCATGTTGATGGTGCGTTTTCCCTAAAAGCAAGGGGATTTGCATTTTATTTGATGAGATATTCAAATGTGCTTACTTATTTGAGTATAAATAGAATTATTTTGTTAGCTATTTATTATTTTGGACTGCATATTTTTGAGTTTTTTTTTCTGCGCGATGCACACCAGAAATTGTCCGCACTGTGAAAATTAATTTTTTATTCAAATGTAATGATTGTCATTTTGATTTTGATGTCAAACTTGATTTAATCACCCCCTAAATCATTCATTATTCATAGCTACAAAAAAACAATTACAATCGAATGTTAAACCAATTTCATTCCCAAATCCACAGTTTCAAAGCCTGAGGGCTGATTGGAATGCACAGCCGAGTAGACGGCAGGCTAACATTCGTTTTTTCCCATAACCAGAGAACTCGACCCGGTTGTTAATCCGCCAAATAACGAGGCATTCGGTGTTATAAAAGGTATCCCTATGTTGTACATGCTCTATTTTATGAGTAATCCCGCTCTCCGGTTTCTATGTAATGTGAGTTTGATGGTGAATATAAAAGGAACTGCTGTAAAGAAGATTCTGGATTGTTTGAGTTGGGGTGTTAGGAACTTGTAAAACACATTTTAAGAGCTCTTTAATCATGCAAAATGAAGTAAACATCTTCCATTTAGGGTACTCTTTGCTCTTTCAGATCAAAAAACTTGTAATTATTCTCCTCTCTGTTCGCATATTTGTCAATGAAACCTGGGGATTCAACTATATATTTTGAGTTGTTTTTGATTGGAATTCCTCTTCATTTCGACGCCCAAAAAATCCCGATTTCCCACTTTACAGTGTAAATTCTTCATAAAAAACATCGAGTGGCGCATTTTACATTCAATTAGCCAAATTGACCTTGTATTCGTAGAGGTTTTTAAGGCGGTTTGATTACTTTTTTGGCGATAAATTGGAATGATTAGCCATGGATAACATCTTTTCGCTCGGATTGTAACAAAAGATGGCTTTAATGTAATCTTAAAGCAACACAAATGCATTGTCGATGTATTTGCCGTGTTTTCATAGCCTTCTGAACCCTGTGTCTGTCACAAAACCCCCCTCGACGATCACTTTTTCCCTACTGTTTGAGCAATGTAAAAATAGGGCCGCGCGATTATTCGCGCACAGTTTACTGAGTCGAGATTTCAAGGTTCATTTGACAAGTTGATGATGATCGGATGGTATTGTTTGCAGACATATCAGAATATTTTTGTCGCATTTTAATCCTCTCGTTATTTGAATATTCAGCCGTAAATTAAAGGTTACAGAGGGGGATCAAAGGACAATATTGGTATTCAATTTAAAGGAAACAGACCCAAAACCAATTTGAGAACATCATTTCGTATTGCTCTTGGGAAAAACGTTGATTTATAGACAAAAATTTGGTTTAGTCATCACGGATAATACAATTTTTTTGTAATTTCTTGACAGTTCTTTTCCCAAATACAGTAAGCAGTACTCCCAACGTTTTTATCACTATTCTCACCGTACCCAGCGCAAATATTTGCTTTTCGATATTTATGATTCTAATTAGGGGCCTGTTTAATTAACCCCCGGCTTAGCTTCTCGCGCAAATTCCCAAACATTCTTTGAAGGGAAGGTTCGAAAAAAGAGAGCGAGAAAAGAGAACGTTTGGAACAGCCAGAAGGGCGGAACGATCAGAGCAAAAGGGGGAGAGAATGACATAAAATATTTAGCCAACAGGTAGTTGTGGGGTAATACTCTTGCCTCGCTCGCCCCTGAATCCCAACGAACCGTGAAAAAAAGATTTTTTGGCGTTTAGACGTTCAGAATCCGGCTTTCCGGGACTTCTGAGGTCGTTTCTTATTCCAAACTTTTCTTGACAGCTCAAATCTTTGCCAATCTACACCTTGAAGTAGGTTTGAGATCCGTTGCATTCGAAAGGTTTCCTTTACAGTCGAGTTCTTCTTCATTTTTATTCAAAATCAAAGTATTCCCGATGATTTTGCAGGATGGCGCGGATCACGGAAGCCAATGGGCGAGGCTCGCCGTCAGAAGTTTTCTCCACGAATATCCTCCAAATGGAGAACGGAAAGAAGCCCAAGAAGCCCTCGCAACGCTTCAAAAACTTGGCCATATTGGCCGCCATTCTCTGTGTTCTCTTCATGATCGCGACAGTCGCGTTGGCCATCATGTTGGGCATGAAGATGAAGCAGTTCAAGACGTTGGATGATGAGGTAAATCTGCTTCTTTTTAATCCTTTTTCGCTCCAACTTTTACTTTTTCGGAAGTCTTTAATCTCTATTGTCATTTCCAACGCTTTGTTGCGTCTGCGCCAACCGAATGGGGGTAGAAAATAATGTTTGAAATTGAATATTTCAGTCGCCCTCAGTGTCTCCCATTGAGAAACCCTGTTCCTCGGATAAATTGGATTGGCCAGAGCCCAGTGGGTCCCTCGGAGCTCAATACAAGAAAGCGGCCATCGCGACGGATCATGGATTCTGCAGTGAAATTGGAAGGTAGGGAGGTTATTTACAGCGGGTCTGCTCGAATGGGATGCTCAGATTTTAAAGAAATTTGGCCGAAAATTAAATTCAACTGTTCCATGACACATAAGACAGGTTTAGAACGCGTTTTGCAGAATCAACGGAAACTTTAAGGCGGAAGTAAATGCAACACTTTCCGGATTTTCGTTGTAAACATTTTTGGTTCACTGAGCGACTAATTTACCTACAATATTTTCCATGCGAGAAAAAGACGAAAAACTTCTTTGCCTCAAGCTAAATATTTTTGGAATTGTGACATGATCTAGGCCCAATATGAGCGCAAAATTTAAAGACAATGTGAGCGTCGAATTTCGAGCACCCCATCAAGTCAAATATGAAAAAACCACAATTTTCTCGAACTTTTTTTGTCATAATAGGATTACTTTTTTGGGTTTTCTAATCTTATAAAGCAATGTTTATCCACTTCCAAAGTTCTTTTCAACTTTAAAGTCTCTATTGATTCGAGTTTACGTTGATCAAAAAGTTTTCGAATGCTCAAACATAAAGTACAGCTCCTTCTTTACCCTCAATATCACTCATTTCTGAACATCTTTTTTAGGAATATTCTAATCAAAGGCGGGAATGCGGTGGATTCGGCGATTGCATCACTGTTGTGCATTGGAGTGGTTAATCCGCAGAGTTCTGGTATCGGCGGCGGCTTCATCATGACTGTGTATAATACGTAAGCTTCCTATAACTACTCTGTTTAATCTCCATATGATGGATTTGCATAATTTGGAGCATGTTATTCATCGAGTTTGAGTGATTCGAGGTGTTTTTACGAATTGTCATCAAAAAATTTATCAAAACTAATCTTGAAATAAGGTCTTGAAGATTTTTGAGTGAGAGTTGACCAAGACATTCATGATTCCCAGGTCGAGATTTTCAAAAATTTTTTATGTATGATCGGAGGTCGGCTACAATCGTCCGACAAAAAGAGGTTTGAAACACCTTTCTGTAAAACCAATATAGGACAAAAAACGTTTAAACTTCGTGCCGGTATTGTGTCTAACCAATCCTGACCGATTCACCACCGAACCGGACGATCATGGCGCACAGGCAATTTGTCTAGCGCAATAAAGTTGAAGTTGAAAGTTAAATTACCATAATACCTCGGCTACTGCTACCAATTTCAAGCTAACCCTTTCAGCGTTTGACCTGTTAATTATTTAGAACCCATATGCAAAATTTTGCGCAAATCTGAATGAATCTCATGCAAGACTCTTTATTCAAACAAAGTACAGGGTGTTTCAAGAAATTTGGAACAAATGATTTGCTTATATCTTTGTGTTCTTTGCAGCTATCAACGAATATCTTTTTGCTTCTAAAAATTGACAGCGTGCGTTTTTAGAATCTCAAAAAAATTTTTTTTTCGTCGGCGGAGGGCCCATTTCTCGGCGGAGAAAATTAGGGCCTTTTTTAAAAATCACAGCGTATTACGTGGCGGAAACGCCGTTGCAACGGCTGAAATCAAGTTTACGTTACACCTCCGTCGATTTTACGGTATGCATTTTTTTGTTTTCGATTTTACGCGCACCGCGGAGGCGCGGCGGAGACTTCAGATTTCGGCGGACGTTGTTTTGGGCCTTTGGCTGTTGCAATTCATGTTGGAAAAGAGGTTGGGGTGATTTTTTGTTGTCATCCGATGCACAGATGGCAAAAATTTCGTGCTTTTTTTCCCCGGCGGAGGATTCGGCGGAGGCTTTATCAAAGGGTCAAAGCAGTCTTACGAGTCCGGGAAAAATCTCAGCTACAAGAATCCATCAGAGCAGCATTGTCTTTCAAAGATTTTTGATTTTTTTGGTCCGGCGGACAAATCGGCGGAGTTTTGTTTTTACCCTTTGATAAAGCCTCCGCCGAGTCCTCCGCCGGGGATAAAAAGCACCAAATTTTTGCCATCTGCGCATCGGATGACAACAAAAAATCACCCAAACCTCTTTTCCAACATGGGTTGCAAAAACCAAAGGCCCAAAACAACGTCCACCGAAATCTGAGGTCTCCGCCGCGCATCCGCGGAAGTGCGTAAAATCGAAAACGCAAAAAATGCATACCGTAAAATCGATGGAGGTATTACGTAAACTTGATTTCAGCCGTCGCAACGGCGTTTCCGCCACGTAATACGCTGTGATTTTTAAAAAAGGCCCTAATTTTCTCCGCCGAGAAATGGGCCCTCCGCCGACGAAAAAAAAATTTTTTTGAGATTCTAAAAACGCACGCTGTCAATTTTTAGAAGCAAAAAGAAATTCGTTGATAGCTGCAAAGAACACAAAGATATAAGCAAATCATTTGTTCCAAATTTCTTGAAACACCCTGTAAACATTCTTTTCGACATCATACCGTATTTTCAGCACAACCCAGCGATGTTTCACGATCGATGCGAGGGAAACGGCGCCCAAGGCAGCGACCGAGGACATGTTTGTAAACCAAGATCCCCATGGAGGAAATGGATCGATTATTGGATTCAGAAGTATCGCCACTCCTGGAGAAATTCATGGCTACAGAACGGCCTTTTTGAGATACGGAAGTGGGAAAGTGACGTGGAAGGAGATCTTCGAGCCGGCCATAAATCTGGCCAGAAATGGATTCCCGGTCTCGTCGAATCTGGCCATGGTTCTAGTAAAAATGGAACAATATATCCGGGATGATGAAGATATGAGGTAAAGATTGGCTCAAAAAATCGTTAAGGAGTCGTTTCTTTTTGATCGAATTTGCCATTGGATTGAAGTTACAGTAAGATTGACCTCTGTTCTCTTTTCAGGAGAGCTTTCTTCGACCCAGCCACCAACAAACCTTACGAAGAAGGCCAAATCATGAAGAGAGTTCGTCTGGCCGAGACTTTGGACGAGCTGGCCAATAGCAAAGACCCGATCAAACTCTTCTACAAAGGTCGGTAGCGTCTTCTTACACTTTACAACCCATTTTCAGGTGGAATGGCTCAGACAATTTCATCGGAAATCACTGAAAATGGCGGTTTGGTGACGCCACAGGATCTGGAGAGCTACGAAACCACGATTTACGAGACCCCGTTGGAGAGTAACGTGTTGCCCGGGGATCTGATCATGTGTGGTCCCCCTCCACCGTCCTCATTCGCAGTGGCGGCCGCCATTGTAGGAGTAATGGCCGAGTTTTATCGCGACAAAAAACCGGATCTGGACGATCCGCTGGTCTATCATCGACTAATTGAAGCTGAGAAGTTTGCGTATGCGCAGAGAACCCACTTCGGAGACAGTCATTTCGTGAAGACCGACCTGGTCTACAATATGACCACTCCGTAAGTTGTATCAGCTAAAATATTTCTTACAATCTTTCTCTAAACAATGTCATCGTTCCAGAGAATTTGCTAAATGGGTCGCCGGAATGATCAAAGAAGAAGCACAACCCATGGAATATTACTCCAGGAACTTGACCGGTCACGTTCCCGATCATGGAACCTCTCATGTCACTTCATTGGACCCTCAGGGAAATGCTGCGTCTGTCACAAGTACGGTAAACCAACTTTTGGGTGCTGTGAGGATATCTCAATCTCTGGGAATTGTCTGGAATGATCAGATGGATGACTTCAGTACTCCTGGGGTCGCCAATGGCTTCGGATTCGCTCCATCGCCGGCGAACTTCATTCAGCCCGGCAAGAAACCGATGAGTTCCATGTCTCCGGTCATTATTTATGACAGCAAGGAGGGACGGGTAAGAATTTCATTTGAATCTGTATTTTAAATAAAATTTTGATATGTTTCTGTAACGTACTCGATAATAACGCTACTTTTCAGGTAAAAATGGTAGTCGGAGCCTCTGGTGGATCGCGAATCATCTCCGCGGTTGCCCAGACAATTATCCGGTCAGTTCTCTTCGGACAGACCGTCAAAGAAGCCGTCGATGCACCCAGAATTCATCATCAATTCATTCCATTCAATGTGGAGTTCGAGACAACTCTCCCGGAGAAGATTGTCAGTTCTTTGGCCAATGATTACAAACAGACGATGACTGGGAATACCACCAAACAGCACAGTGTGGTACAGGCATTGATTCATGATGCAGATGGATTCATTCACGGAAACAGCGACTTCAGAAGGAAAACAGCCACATATCCGGCCGGTTTCTAATCGCTTTAACTGTTGAGCTTAGACTGGCCAGGTCTTGGCCATGCTTTTAAGAAGACCTCATAGAATATCTGTCTCGATTAGCTACACCTGTGATCCCTTAGCCTCTCAATAGCACTTTCTTGTCTTATGGATTCGGTATTTGGACATTTTCACATTCGATACCTTGCATCCGGGTTTATCTTCACACGTAATATACATTGTTTTCATGAACAAAATTGTTTTTAATTGTTTGTACAAAATAAAGCCAATATTACACTAAACGTGTGCCTATATTGACCTCCAACCCAGTCGATATTTGAGTTCTATTATTAAGGACTTTTATTACCCGTTAAACAGAGACCAGAATAAATAAATATTGGCAGTTGAGAAGACTTGCAAAACATACAATAAAAAAGAGAAAACAACATTTCAACAGCCATAAAAGCAAAAAAAATATCCTTCATCGTTCGATGTGGTCGATCAACCTTAACTCTCGAAAAAGATGACTCATAATTTTGCAGACCATAGGTTGGGGTAAAGCGCACCCCCGATTTACTGCAAGCTCTGTGTGCTACCCTTATTATTATAAGTGAAATGAGACCTGATTAAAACTTCAAAAACTCTAAAGGCAATTTGAGGGCAAAAATCGTAATTGGCATACCCACAGGGTCCGTCATGAAAGATGAACGAAAGCCCGACCCCGTATCTTTCCGATGCGTTTATAATTCCACTAAACTCAACAATTTTCGATGATCTCACTTCCGAACACAAACTAGGTTTTGTTGTAAAATAGGCCGCCTTTGAAGCAGAATTATGAATGCCTCATTCATCTTTTCGAACTGAAAGCTAACACAGCTTGGACTTCACAAATAGATAAAAGCTGAGGCATCACCCCATGTTTTTTTAGAAATCATCATTTAAAATAATTAACGTTATAGCCCCAATTACCCTAAATTTTTCCAATACCAACTACCCTAAAGCCATCAAAATTCTTATAGCAAGTTCTGAACCTCCCCCTCAATAATTATAAAATCCCAAACCTGATTCACTTGGTGTCTAATGTAAGGTCGATCTGCCATTTATCGACCGCCACCGAACCGAGCTGAGGACTTTCCTTTTCCAACAAGTATTGATTTTCTTTCATTACGAACCCATAATAACAAAATTCAAAAAAAAATAAAAAAAAGTAACAATCAAAATATGATCTGTACATAACAAGGTTAGCGCCCTCAGGGCAGACAGATCCCAAGAGAAATGCTTTAGACATAAATAACGTATAAATTATTTATTCTTTATCGGTATACCTGATGGGCACGCCTTATCTTTTCCTTTTGCTCCTGGCGGTTCTTTTTGGACCACATTTCGTGACAGTCTTGGTCTTGTGGAAGGTGCATTTTGCACATTTTTGGGTCCACATTGAGCAGCCATGGGTGGAGAAGCGCTTCGTCCGCCGTCGGACGCTTTGTCGGGTCCAATGCCAGGCATTTATCGAACAAATCCAGTGCTCCTGTGGGCAAACTATAAAATATTCAATATAAATAAAAAATGATCGATAAAAGCTAATCACAATATAAATTACAGTACTCACAAGGCAAATCTATTCTTCAAAGTCCTATTGGAATATGTTTTTGCCTTAAAGGCATGGTAATGCTTGAGATGGATCACATCAGGCCAGACTTGGGCCGTCGGACTTCCACAAATCTGGACGATTGCCTCCAATTGGGCTGGCTCCGATTGGCCTTGGAAAATGGGCTTTTTGACAAACAATTCCCCGAGAATACACCTAAAAATTTATAATAATATTGTACCCTCTTCCAATTACCCTGCACTCCAGATATCAATCGATGGGCCATAACTTTCAGCGCCCAGTAAAAGCTCTGGAGGTCGATACCACAAAGTGATGACCCGATTCGTGTATAACCTGCTCTTTGTTGTGTATATCCGGGCCAAACCAAAATCTCCAAGTTTCAACTCGCCTCTGAAACGAAGAAGAAATAAGAATGAGTCAGGATAGTAAAAATATTTCGAAATTTTATATTACACACTACAGTTATACAAATAAAAAGTCAAAATCTAACGTAAGATACAAAAAAATTCCCTTACTTGTTGTTGACCAAAATATTAGCGCATTTTAAATCTCGGTGGAGCAGATTATTAGAATGACAATGTTGTAAAGCTAACAAAAGTTGTTTGAAGAGAGCGGCACAGGTCTGCTCGTTGAAAGTGACCAGTTGCGACTCCAAAAGACCATTCAAATCATGGTCCACGTACTCAAAAACCAAATAAAACGCGCCTAAAAATGAAGCTTGAATTGGAAAACGAACTCTTATATTCTACTTGACCCAAAATCTCTTACTAATATCTTTTTTCTTGTCGGCGGGGCTTTCGGTGATTATGTCCAGTAACTTTACAATATTCTGATGATCCAATTTCCTCAACAATTTGATTTCTCTGACCGCCGTGATGGGGAATCCGTCCTTTTCGTTCTCCAATCGGACCTTTTTCAACGCAACCAACTGCGCTGAAATTATTCATATTATTCAAAACCGCTCCCCAAGAGACCATTCAATTACTCGTATAAAATTCTTACAATTTCGACTATTCCGGGCCTTATAAACTTGTCCATAAGTCCCCTCTCCCACTTGAGATTCGATTTTATAATCGGCGAGGGTCATTCGGCCCCAATAAGAGGGAAGATCGGCGATATTATCCTTCTTGTATACCCTAAATATGCAAAATAAATTTGGAAAATTCAAAACCTTCGTCAAAATCATTAAACTTACACCACTTTCTGGCTCATAAGTCTTCTCATCACCAAGGGACTTGTGAAATTACTCCGTAAATTCTTAGAATTCAATATATTGCTCATGGCATTCATATTTGGATCAGTGTGATGTCTCGGAGGTTCTGGCGGCGGAGGTGTGGACGGGGGCGGAGGTGGGGGAAGATCAATAATTGGGTCCACTCCAGGTGGAGGAGGGGGCGGGGGAGGCGGAAGAAGTTGAAATGTTGTTGCGGAATGTACGTAATTTATATTACCACACTATAAAAGTTGAAATAAATAATAATAACTGCACACATGGCAACTCACATAACTTGGAAGAGGCACTACTGGTGGCTCCATCAGTGTTGTCATATTATACGCTGATATCACCGAGCTTGAGGCTAATATTGGCGGCACTGGAGGAGGAACGGCTATTGGACCGTTCTTGGGTTTTATATTGTTGGTTTTCACCTAAAATACGAAACCTTAAACTAAAATAAACTTTAAAAAAGATGAAATTAAGATAACACTCACTGGAGCAGGTGAAGGAGAAGAGGACGTGGTGCTATCCGTAGATTCTGAAGAGCTCTGTCGTCCCCGGGACCTTTTTCTTGTCCTTCGATCCTTTTCTCTCCGATCTTTTCGACGATAATCATTTGATCTAAACACCATATAAAGGAAGAATAAAAACTTACGAACTGTTCCGAGGAGAGGGTGTTCTCTTGTAATATCGATGCCTACTAGCCGATTTTGACTGAGCTCTAGAGTCGTGACGCCTTCTGTGTCCATTCTCTTCATCTCGATGCTTCCGAGCTGAGCTCGCCCTCAGAGGAGATCTGCTTCTAGACAAAGATCGTCTGAAAACGAACAATCAAATACAAATAAAGGTCAAACCATCGGATTGTAAATAATGAAACATTAGAATCAAAACAACTAACGTCAAATTCCTCTAAACTTCAACACCATGAATAATTAAATGCTCACCGTTTTGGAGACACACTGTACTGTCGGCTTCTTCGAGGAGATCTTGACTTTTTTCGATCCTTCTTTCGGTCATTGGAATGTCGGGACGAACGGTGATGATGGGAAGATGGGGTGGGATCCTTCTCCTTTGACCTCCGTTCGTCCTCCTTTGACCTTGACTTTGGGGACATAAAAGCGCCCAAGGGCTCGTCCAACAAGCGATCGACCTCCACTTTGCGGACGGTCAAGAAGACAAATTGTCGGGAACGAAATAAAAATTCTTATATTTTTCAACGAGAAACAACTATTTCTGGCGCGGAAAGTTTTCGTCTCAGGACACGGAAAATAGAATAATTTTTGGCCAAAAATTTTGGAAAAAGAAATAAAAATAAACAAAATCTGGAGAACGGACCTCGAAATAGCCTTCTGATTCTCATGAAAGGGAGAATCAAAGTCCGTGATAATGATTGAGTACCTTCTCAGCAAAAGTACGGAAGAATTATGTGGATTTGATCGGTATTCGGCCAATTTTTGGTCAAAATACTTGGTAAACACGACAGAATGGACACTAAAACCGTGCGCCGAATTCGGTACCGTCGTCTGCTTGCACACCGTACTCTTATTCTTCTGTGTATTGGCCATGTTTAAAACTGTAAGTAATTTTATCATTTTTTTCGATGTTTAGACCTCCTCGGCGCTAATTTCTTCTTCTGGGATCAGAGTCTTACTGTACTTTCGAGTTTTCATCGTTGTAAATACAGTACTTTTGTATCTGGGTTATTTTATCTTCACTTTGACCGGTAAATTCTCGCTGAATCCGTTGCTGAATTTCGAGCAATTTATTATTGGAACCGTATTTTTGGCTTATGGAAGCGTTTATTGGATAGCGGTTAGAAACAATGTGTGAGTCATTGAATTAGGCGAACAGAGCTGGCACTTCCCACAGTTATATCATCGTTTAGATGGATACGGCGAAGGAGTTTGTCCATTCCTTACACTTTCTGTGGCTTTTTGTTAATCATCATCACATATCAAAGAGTGCGGTTGTTGTCTTTTCGTCACTACCAGACCTATGGATATCTGTTTGTTGGGATCTCACATTTATGCAATATTGTCCTTCAAGTCTACGAATTCATGATGTATCGGTAAGAAGGTACCAAATTGATTACCACGGTGAATATTTTAATGATTTTAGATCCGAGAATCCTTTTGTTCAAATGTTGGATACAGAGTCCGTGTATTTGGATGAGAATGGCGATGAGGGAGCGGGTTTCTTCTCCAAATTGTTCTTTTGTTGGGTCAATCCTTTGATTGTCAAAGGTTACAAAGGACAATTGAAGAATGTAAGTCGTCTTTTTAAATTCAATATTTTTTGTTTTTAGATTACAAATTTATTCCGGGTACCCCCATCGCTGAGAGTTATTCGAATCGAGAAATTATTTTTTCAAAATGCTCCGGATGAGTTTGTTGATGACCAAAAGTTCAGTTTATTCGTTGGATTACTCAGAACTTTTGGATTAAAATACTTTTCCTTAGGCATTCTAAGGTTAATGGCAGATCTTTTGACGTTTGCTGGTCCAGTTTTGCTTCATCTTCTTATTGTTTGTCTGGAAAATGGAGATCCTGATGTAAGTTAAAATCAATTTAACTAAAGATAGTTTCGTATTTTAGGTTTTGTCACTAAAAATCATTTGTAATTTTAGAATATGGGATTTCTCTATGCCTTTCTAATGATGATTTGCTCCTTTTCCTCGGCCGTTTGTGACTTTACCTTCAATTTCCAAATGAATAAGATCGCCCTCAAAGTGAGATGTGCCACTTTGGTCGCTCTCTATGACAAAGTTCTTACTCTCCCTCAGAATCAGCTTGCCCATTTCTCGACTGGGGAGATTATCAACTTTATGTCCACGGATCTGGATCGAATCGTCGCGTTTGTCACTTCTTTCCACGCCTTCTGGAGTATGCCCGTCAATATTATGATCGCCTTGTACTTGTTATATCGAGAGGTTGGTGGTAATTTGTTATTTGGTATTTTTTTACGATTTTTAACTATGTTTTTAGATGGGGCTTGCCTTCTTTTCCGGGTTGTTTTGCGCAATATTGATGATCCCGTTGAATAATTACATCGCCTCGAAGATCGGGAAGATGTCCAAAAGTTTAATGGAGTTCAAGGACCAAAGACTTAAGGTCTGGTATATTTTTGGCAAAGAATTTTTAAAGAATTATATTGTGCTTGATGTCAATTTTTTAAATGTTGATATTACAGTTGGTCCAAGAAGTCCTCCGAGCCATGAGAATTGTAAAACTTTCAAATTGGGAGCCCTTTTTCGAGAAGAAGATCGATCAGATCCGTCAGAATGAGCTGAGATGCCTAAAATACCGAAAATATTTGGATGCAGTATGCGTATATTTATGGGCCTCTGCTCCTTTGCTGATTACAATTACTATTTTGACTACTTACACCATGATCATGGGAGAAACGCTGACGGCAGCCAAAGTTTTTACCTCGCTGGCCTTGGTGAATATTCTAATCTTGCCATTGAATGCATTCCCTTGGGTCCTGAACTCTCTGATTGAAGCGCAAGTGTCAAAAAAGAGAATGGATAGGTTCTTCGCGTTGGACACGATGCCTTTACATTGTATTTACTCATTAACTGAGAGTGGGTCTTCTTTTTTTTGTTAATATAATGGATAATATAATTGCGTTGTAGAGGTCTAAGTACTCAATATTTTTAGGTAGCGACCAGCTCTTAGTGTTGGAAGATGCCAGATTCGAATGGAATAATGGGTTTGCAGTTAGTGGGATCAACTTTGTCGGCAATAAGGGCATGATTATTGGGGTCTCTGGAGGTGTGGCGTCAGGAAAAACAACGCTATTATTGGGTATATTGGGGGAAACGATGGTGCCAATTGATGAGCAATCCTCGATCAGGGGAGTTCCATTGAAAACCACGATTAAAATACGACAATCTACAGTGCATGAAGGGTTTGCGTATGTTGGACAAGAGAATTGGGTGAGAAGAGGGACGATCAGGGAGAATATATTATGTGGAAGTCCTATGAATGAGGCATTTTACTACAAGGTGTTGAAAGTTACAGCCTTGTTGAGTGATATTGAGGTATGAAAAGTTTTTTGTGATTCAATGTTGATCAAAATTTTATTATTTGCGACCTTGTTTCAGAGGATGCCTGGAGGTGATCAGTATGTAATAGCAGATGAAGGAACGACTCTAAGTGGAGGACAACGTGCCAGATTAGCGCTGGCTAGGGCGATTTATCATGTGAGTAACTTTATTGTATTTAATTTTTTATATTATCCATGACCATCTGATACAAATTGTTTCAGGAAAACGATGTGTACATTATTGATGATCCCTTTGCCTCTTTGGATCAGAAGGTTGGCCGTTTCGTATGGAAGAACGCTATTCAAGGGCTTCTTAGAGAGAAAAACAAGCTTGTTATAGTAGCCACCCATAATTCGGAATTCCTCAAAGAGGTGGATTATGTGGTGAATTTGGATACTTTTGGAAGAGTCGCAAGTTTTGATGAGATCACTCCACCACCTCCAGACCAACCATCCACATCTAGTGTTGTGGAAGAAGAGACTGACGAGATTCCTTTAGTTTTGTCCGACAATGAAAGTGAAGAAGGCCGATTAATGGAGAACCCGGAATTCGTTTCTCCAGTCGTAAGTGAACAAATGGAAAAGGGAACTGTCAAAATGGATGTGTACTGGTTTTACCTCGAAAATGTTGGATTTGCCTTCTCAATTTTGGTGGGATTGGCCTTGCTTTGTATGCAAGTAACCAAGAATTTGGCCGATGCCTGGCTGAGTAAATGGACTTTGAACACAACTTATAATGGAAGCGATACCTTTAATCACGTGTAAGCTTATTTAATTTTGAGTTTTTTAAATTTTTTTTGAGGTTTATTGATATTGTTGTACCTACAGGTTCCTGTCAATGGAAAGAGAACCAAATTTGATGAACCACGACGATTACAACGAGGCCCAGTACTTCCTAAGTGTTTATGTTGCAATTGCCGGCTTGAATACAATATTTACCTTGCTTCGGGCGTTTTTATTCGCAAAAGGCGGCGTAATTGCCGCAAAGAATATCCATGAGAGTTTATTGAGCAGGGTATTTGCTGTGAGTTGACTAAATTCAACATTTATAATATTGATTTAGTCTACCGTATCCTGGTGGGAAGTGACTCCCTTTGGTCGAGTGGTGAATCGATTATGTTCTGATGTTTACATGGTGGATGACTCATTGCCATTCCAGCTGAATATATGTCTGGCATCTTTGCTGAATCTTCTGGGAGCCCTGATATTAACCATCTGGGCGTTACCATATCTAATACCTATAGTTATTGTCATTTTTGTCATCTACTATATGATCCAGGTGACATTTAGGTTTTTTATAAAATTTTTTGGGGCAATTCTGGTATTGTATATTGTATGTTTAGAGGTATTATCGCTATACAACATGTGAAGTGAAGAGGATTACATCGCTAACCTTATCCCCCTTGTATGGCCATATTTCCGACACGGTCTCGGGACTTGTTACGATCCGAGCCTTCCGCTTTACGACCAGATTCATGGAGAAACTCCGAAATCTTTTGGAAGACAACCTCAGCGCTCAATACACAAACCTGGCGGCCTCTCAATGGCTCTCAATTCGATTACAATTTCTGGCTGTGGTCATGATATCGGCGATCGCTTTCATTGCCGTCCTCGAAAATCATCTGCATTCAGTGGAAAGCGGACTGATTGGATTGGCCATTACGTATGCGTTGACCATGACCAATGTCCTCAACAGTCTTTTGTCCTCCTTTATTGACACGGAGAAGGAATTGGTGTCGGTGGAGAGAATCATGGATTATATACACACGATACCCATGGAAGAGACGAATCAGGAAACGGAGAATGTCGATCGGTTCTTGGTGAGTAGTGTGGCAATTTTTTATGGTAATTTAGTACTGTCGCTCGGCCAAAGGGCAGATCGATTTCATCGGGGTTTGTCTCCGATATGCCTCCCATCTCCCTCAAGCCCTATCTCATGTCACGTTCCATATAGAAGCCGGGAAAAGAGTAGCGATTATTGGGAGAACTGGAGCCGGAAAGAGTAGTTTATTCCAGGTATAACATATTTTTTATATTGTAGTAGGTATTTTAGGCCCTTCTCAAAGCCCATTCAATTGAAAGCGGGAAGATTTTTATTGATGGGACGGTCGATATAAGTCAACTGGATCCCAAAGCAGTCAGATCTTTGTTTGGAGTAGTCAATCAGACGCCGTTTTTATTTTCGGGAACCATAAAGGAGAATATAAAATTGAATAATGAAGGCGTAACTGATATTGAGATTTTGGAACTAATTGAAGTCGCAGGATTGCGTAAGTTATTTTTTATTGATTTTTAAGGGAAAAATAAAGGTGGAAGGGTCTAAAAATCATATTAATTTAGGTTTATGGCTAGAGCGATGTGGAGGATTGGAAGCGGAAGTCATCGAAGGCGGGGCTAACTTCTCTTATGGAGAACGTCAGATCATCCAGGTCTGCAGATTAGTCCTCTCTAAACCTAAAGTAAGCAAAAGTATTGCAATTTTTGTATTATCTTTTAGATTGTCCTAATCGATGAAGCCACCGCTCATATGGATGATGCCACCCACTTGACGATGAATAATATAATCAGACGAAAACTGGAGACAGCTACAGTCCTCTCTATTGTCCACCGGATGAAAGGCATTGAACATTATGATTGGGTGATCGAAATGGCCAATGGAGCGGTCATGTCAGAAGGGCCCCCCGAGAATTATTTGGCCAAGGAAAACGAGTAGAGCACTGGTCATTTGTACACTTATATCGGTCTCTGTACACTTAATTTTATATCTTCAGATTTTTAATAAATTTTTTGACTATGCATAAATGTATAATATTGGGTCGTAAAGAAAGTTCGTTCGTTTTTTTTGTTTTGTTTTACAACGATTGTTTGTTGTTTGGCAAAGTGTATAATATTTTTATTCGATACAGCTTTTTCTCTTCTGCAAAACTGTTTTTGGTTTTTTTTTGAAAATTTAATTTTCTGCTGTTTTTCAGACACAAAAATGGACTATCCAGGAGGCAAAAATTTGCATTTGCGACACCTGCTTTTTTTCGCTTTTCATCGAGGACAAAAAGCTGCCGAAGCCGCTCGGGAAATTTGCAGCGTGTATGGAGGTGTCATAGGCCGGAGCGCAGTACACAGATGGTTTGCAAAGTTCAAGAAGGGCGACTTTGAGCTCGACGACGCGCCTCGCAGTGGACGACCTACAGAATTCGACGAAGAACATCTGATCGCACTTTTGAAGGAGGATGCGCGCCAAACAACGCGGGAATTGGCCCAAAGAATGGGCTGCGGTACGACGACTGTCTCCAACCACCTTCAATCAATGGGCTTTATTCAAAAACTCGGAGCTTGGGTGCCTCACGAACAAAATCAAAAAAGAAGTTACGGCAAATAGGTCGAGAAGTGGGAGGAGGTCGTAAACAGTAACGGAGAATACATAATTGTTAATTTGTTGTTATGTTTATTGTTTTTTTGTTTAATGAAATTTGTCAAAAAACCGAACGAATTTTTTTTGCATCCATATACGTTTAATTTTATTCACAATCAAAAACAGGTTTTCCCAGATTTGCTCAAAATTTTGCCGGCAAAAATTGTAACAATTCGTAATCTTAATTTGCGTAAAATTTCGTGAAATTCAGAGCATTGTATTTCAAGCATGGTCTCTTGCAAGATGAACACCCTCAACATAATCATTAACAACCCCAAATTTGATTTATGGGCGAATTGATAAGCGACTTAACGAAGCTGATAAGACCCCGAAATCTCCCCGGGAAGAGGCATTACAACCACCGTTCCCGAGCGTTCCCCCCTCTTTTCGCGTCCATCCATCGCTCAGCCGGATTAAAATGGATATGCGGGCCCAGCGGGAGCGAGGGCCCAACTTAAACAAAAGTAAATGCACTGTCCGATTTTGATGGATCGCGCTGCTTTATCATGACAGCTGCCCCGTCTTCCCTCGCCCGTCCAACGTCTTCCGGGGATCGGCAGTTCATTCGGACACGAAATATGGGGCCGACGCCTCGGGCGCCTTTTTGATTACATTTTATGTCGCGCCTCAAATTTATGACTATTGCCCTTTGGAATCGGACTAATTTATGACGCCGATTAGCGGCTCCATTAGGCGAAGCGGCTCTAATGAGACCACTGGACGTGATTTGTGACCCACTAATCGGCTCGTTATGACATTGTTTATGGGACTTTTGTGAGATGTGTCGTTATCAAATTTGTGCCTCATTGGTTGCAGTAGACAAATAATATCTCAAAATTCACTTACAGAGTTATGAACCACGAGATTCGGAATGTGATTCTCGGGATTACCACGTTATTTGTTGTCGTATTCCCCACAGTTTTGTTGACCATCAGCAATCATCACCAGGAATCTCTTCATCGGGGTGTCCGATCTTTATTCCGGTCTCCAGAATACTCAAAAACACCGGAATATCTTCCAAAATTGAGGAGGAAAGGGTCAGAATGGAGATTTGAGATCGGGAATGATTCGTTCGGAGGATGTGATCAGATTCCGGAGAACTTGAATGAATTCAGATTGGGAGAAGGATACTATAAAAGAGTCTACGAATATGGAAACGTGGCCATCAAAAAGAGTCTGCGCGATGGCCAAGGAATGACTGAGTGTCTGAATAACCATGGGGATACTGTAGGTTATCTTGCATTAAAATGCAAAGTAAAATACGAAAGAATCTCATGCTTTTTATAGGATCGGTGCTGGAAAAGGCAGATTGCCGGGTTTCAAAATGAAATTGGACTTCTTTTACAACTTCAGGGCGATCAAAACATCCCCAAAGTAAGTCATCATTTATTTTCAGAATCAGCTGTTCTTTTACAAAGCAATAAGTTAACCTTTTTGCAGGTATATGCTTACTGTATACCAGTGGATACCTCCAAGGACATATTTGTTGTAATGGAGAAAGCGAGGCCTCTGAATCTGATTGTTTACGCTGATACCCCGTGGAAGAAACGGGTGAGGATTGCCTCGAATGTTGTTGATTTCCTGATCAGAGTTCAGCCATTTGAGCCCTTGGACTTTCGGATCGACCAGGTAATCTTGGCTTGTAACGTATGGCAAAATGAAATTTAAAAAAGTATTATTACCTTAGCAGTCAGTTAGGGCGTGTAATGTTTAAAATATTTTTAGTTTCTGCTCCGGAAAGATGACCAACCCCTGTTCACTGATCTCGATTCCTTTGTCATCTCACCCGAATGTAAGTCCTATCAGCCTTGCAAAAGAAGGTGTTCGGGAGTAGGCGAATAGATTGTAATCACAGGAATCCTTGGAGCTCTACGAATTAAGGAGCTTGCAAAGGACGATATAAACTTGCAAAGACTGATTTAGCCTTGATAAAGAATTCACTCCAAATTTGATGAACACAATAACATTGTTACTCGTATTATCCAAAAATTTAATATTTCAGATGACGAACTCTCCTTGGCCACCAAATTTTATGGCCAATTCATCAACGGAGTAATGAAATCCTCGCTAAAATCTCGGAATACGATCATCTCCAATCTCCACCACCATTTTCTGAATCGATCTCTTTCCCTTCCTCTAATCCAAACCTCGTTACAACGGCTACTTAAAGCATAATATTCTTCAAGAACTCTCTCCACAACGGGTACAACAGACGGTTTATTAATAAAAACATTTATTTTCTGAACAAATTATTTATGATATAAGCCAGCACGGAGATGTATAGTCGAAGCGATGTCACGTTTAATATCTTTTTTTGTGGTCTTAACAGCTACTACTAATAAGAATGGAGAAGAGCAAGAGCAAATTGCAGGTGTGCGAGTCTTTTGTTTTTGTCGGGGTAGTTGGGAGAAACGAGAGGAAGAGAGAGAGAATGGCCCGGAGAGAGGGTACCTGAGTTTGGAATGCGAGAATTTCGGACCATGCAGAAAGGGGCGGGGCTTGGGATATTGTACTAAAATTGGTCCAAGGATACTGTAGTTTAATCGTCAAAACGATACTGTAACAAAAGATGAATTATAAGGAAATTAAAAATAATTTTTTTCTGATTATTGTAATTTGATTAGAAAAATTAAAATTTCGAAGCAAGCTAAAAACTCTTATCATTACAATTTTTTGCTACAGTACCTCGGAAAAGACGATTAAATAAAAAAAAGTGGTGTTTCAGTAATAATTTTGGTCAACAAATCTCGAATAATTAATGTCTCGTGGACACAACGAACCAAGAACGAATGAGCAATCGAGGATTCACAAGTGAAAACAATAGAAAATTGGGCGATGAAAGAATCGGAAGGCTTGAAGCGACACTCAAAAGGATACTTTCCGATTGCATGGGGCTGCAGTAATCTCTACCGAGGCCCGGCAATCGATCAACAATCGAGAACACAGCTGATAAGAACAAAGATTGGCAAGAACATTGTTATCACAAAGGTGGGCGGAGGAAAGGGCCGATTTGATCTGGAACATACTCGATAGGACCTGGAAAGGTGCGGATGGTATCAATCAAATCCCCTCTGCTTCCGCAGTATTTTTGGATGTTTTTTTTGGGACGACACGGTCGTTTTTAGTGGAGCAAAAAGACAAGGAATTCCGTCTTTGGAAGCGAAAAATCAACAACAAATACCGGATCAACAGGTAGTTCGGGATGATGAAAGCACGATGGGAGGCGTTAATTATTAATTAGAGAACAAGATGGACAAGGAAAATGGCCAGAAAGGCCGAGAATCCGATGAGAAAACGATCGGAACGGGAAGAATATGGAAGATTCGAAGTAACAACGACGTCAGAAGGACGCAATGTTTACAGAATGGTGACATAACAATGGTAAGGCCTTCAACATTGGATTTGGCCTTCAAGATTGGCCTTTAATGGACAGCTCCATGACAAGCGAGCGGTCTGAAAGCCTGGAAAAGGCTTCCATTGGAGCCACTTTGTGTGTGGAAGGGGTCTTCCACAGAGTTCAAGGTGGTCGGGCGATTGGAAGACGTGGTGTAGAAGGAGTCGGCCCCATTCAACAGTCGATGCAACGGGTTGTCCATGGGCTGGACCGGCTTGGAGGGAACATCGCTGGCCCGCAGTGATGGCTCCTGGCCGGAGAGGAGGTCGCCGAATCCAGTGGTCGACCTCCACGGGTCGTACAACGACTGAGGAGGCTTGCTCTCCGCCCCTCTTGACATACTCAACGCCCGCAACGCCGACGCCAACGAATCTTCGGAAGATTTCTCCAAATACGGGAGATGACATTCCTGGACATGATGAGGTGGCTGAGGACGCTGCCATGGTGCATCGGGTTGAACAACCCGAGGATCCGTCTTCTTCGGATTGTAATCGGAATAAGAGTCGCGGTTCAACTGGCCCATTGCTGCATTCAGCGCTCGATTCAAGGCGTCTGGGGAGTCAGCAGAATCAGCAATGAAACGAAGTTTCTCCGCTGCAGTTAACGGTCCTCCCATCTGAATTTCTGGCTCGGTTTTGAAGTCTGAATACATGTAAGACATGACTCGGGCGGGATACTTCTGTTGAGGAGGCTGTTGAACATTATTGTAGGTCTGCTGATATCTTGGAAGCTGATTCAAGAGGTAATTGTAGAGTCCAGGGTTGTTATCGAGCAGTCTTAAGAGAGTGTTCTTATCCTTCTCACTCAGCTCGCACTCCTTTGCCTGAAGGCACGGAACTCTCTTTGGAGAGTTGAACGCAGTTGGTGGTTGAATATTGGAGTTGTACGAAGTGGATGAAGAACAAGACGAGTCAGTGTTATACCATAGATTCTGCGCTGCATACCCAAGATTAAGGTTGGTGTTTGGTTGAGTATGAGTGTCCGGCGAAGGAGAATTTTGTGGCAGCGGAGATGATGGAGCCGATCTGCAGAGATTCCTCTCGACTTCAGGACTTCGGGAAGGGCTGATCAGTGTGTGGGACGGCGGAGTGCAGGCCATTCCACTGTCATCCGAATGCATCTGATCGGAGTCGCGGCGGATAGGTGTGGAACTGTTGAATCTGCTGGATAAAGCCTTCTTTTCCTGAGTGAAGCGGAGAAGGACTCGTTTACATTCGTTCACACAACACTTCTGACGCATCGTGAAGGCCTGCAAATGATGATAATAAATACAAAGTTTGTCAACTAAATTTTCTTTACATTATGTTCAAATGGTAAATTAATTTCAAACTGTCTATATGAAACTTGTAAAACTTACTTCGTTGGTCAATATCCGATCATAAGTTTGGAACAACTTGATAAAGTATTCCTCCTCAAAGTCCAGATTCTTGAGCTGCGGTTGGCCATTTCTGAACAAATACTCGTGTAGACGGACCGTAACCCGAGCAATGTGTCCAGGCAGATTCTGTAAATATTTGTTTATAATAAAGTCTATTCAAATTTTATAAAAAAACATATTCGGATGAGCTAAAATTATTGGGAAAGGGCAATGCTAATATTAAGCCCAGTTTTTGTTTGTTCATGCCACTAAAGTCCGGGGACTTCCTTCTTAGCGGGATAATAGCTAAGCAAACAGCGTTGTACTAGTAATACACGCTGGCCAAAGTTCGAGGGTCGTGCGCTTTTCCTGGCTCATCTATTGGACATTACACTGCATGCCTGAGCGACAGTAACTAGCAAAAGATAACACTCTCGGTGCAGCAGGTCTATTGAGTAAGGATAGGACTTCTCGAACATATCGAATACATTGTTAATACCTACCTCATCCGGAATCTCGTCACCAAAAATTCCAATCGCATCAATCATATAATTGGATGGCCTGGGCATCACTGCGGGCTCGTAGGCAGCAATTGGAGTGTTCATCATGCTGCGGAGCTCAACAATTAGACATCGAACATCTCCGTTCTCATCAATGCACTAGAACGATATAATTTTAGACCGTTTTTTTTATATTACTCATAATTTTTTTTGGTCTCAAAACTTATGTTTATGCCAACTTTGGATGCTTTCTCACCTTTTCTAACTGCCGAATCAACTGTGATCGGTCCTTCAACTTCTCCAAACTCTGTAAAATCTTTCTGCGTGCTCCTTTTGTGACTTGTTTCTTCTCTAGGGCGCTTTCATTCAGCCGCATCATCTGATCATAGGTCATTTCCTCGAAGAGCTTGGTGTATTTGTGTAATCGCAGGCCTTTCAGCCATATTGGAATGTCTGAAATGGGCGACGGTAATGTCATTCAGATGTGTAATCCCCCCTTCTGCGCCCATTTTCCCATCGTTTGCGGTCATATGGAATATTATTCATTATGTGCAAGGTCTTTTCTTCCTCGTAAAAAAAAAGTTTTTTGATGTGTCTGGCACTTCTCCAGCAAGCTATAGTTCCGAGTAGCCAACAATTGGCGGTCAGACATTTGTTCGAAAAGTCAAATATTGCATTATAAGAGGCCGATGAAGAGGAAGATGCCTCTTTAAGTGCGGCATATGTTTCCGTCGCCTCTGGGTGCAATCCAAACGGTTCCTCAAAGAAGTTTTTTTTGAGACAGACAAAGCTTATCTGACATTACGACTACCTGGCCAGTCATAAATTAAAGGCCTTAATATCAGACAGTCATCTTCTTTCTTTCCAAAAATCTGTTTCTCTTTTTCTCTCGCCCTCTCTCTTCGCACTGATCACAATCAAAGCCAGACAGGGCCCGGAGATGATGAGGAGGAGAGTCGCAACATTAGCAATAGATCATCAGCGACAAAGACAAATTTCGTTTAAGGACCGGTCTTTTTTGTCTGCGCCCGATTTTCCCGAGTAATTAATCATGGAAAGGGAGACATTCCAGGTAAGTACGTGTGATCATTGGGATCGGAGGGACGCCCAAAAGACGCAAAGGCATGTGGGAAGATGTCTACAGATGATATCTCATCGGATTCTCTTCTTTGCCAACGTCTACGACCCCTTTTGATCATAAAATTGCCGAAATTTGAATCTAATTAAGTTTAAACCCAAGAAATTCGTGTATGAATCGCACTGCAAGAATTAACACCGTTCCAGATTCCGCAGCGAAACCAGAAGTCGGACCACCCAGGTGCCTTAAAAGTGCAGAATTCAGAATCCTCTTATCCGCCACCCTGGCTTCCCCCATTTTTTGCGACGGCGTTCTTTTTTCAGCCAACTTGATCTCCAGCCTCAACCCAGGATTTTTTTCAAGACGGTTGCCCGTATTTTCGGGAGATTTAAAAGGGGAAAACATTAATTCTCCCAACGACCGCTCATAAAATCCCCTTTTTCTCCGAGGACAGACCTCACAAAAAACAGTTGCAATAAACAGAGGGGACAGTTTCGTCTCCAATCTGTCGCGGCGATGTTAACAACCCCGGCGGACATAAAAAGTGGGACGGCGGTCTGATTAAAAGCCTTCTGATCCCTCTAATCGTCCACATTTCGTACAAAAAACGGCTGAGGGTGATAAAAAAGCGAACTGATTGAACTTGTAAATACCCTCGGAAGGCAAGACAGTGGCCTTACCTTTCATCCCGGGATGGAAATTGTAGGTGGACTGGACTGATTGCACTAGGCCTGGACTGAAATTGGCCGGCCTTTTGTTGAAAGAATTTGTATTCTGCATATTGTAGGAGTTGGATCGAGAGGCAGTGTTGGATCGGGGATTGGAATACTGTTTTCGGGGGTTTCCCTGCAAAACAATCGGCGTTATCAGACAAAGAAGACATTGTAAATGCCGAAAGAGGAAGGGAAACTTACTTTGCTGTTTCTCCGCGGGGGCTGAGATCCCTGTTGATTTACATTCGCCAATGGCTGAGGCCTCTTGTTCAATGCCTCAGGGCCATTTGCACTGTATCTGCGGAGCTGTGACTGAGGCAAAGGACTCCTTGGGACATGAACCATCTGATCCATCAGATTTGGAGGAGTGTAATCAGCTTGGCGAAAGGCCGCGGGCTTCTGGAAATTCTGGAAACTCGGCTGCGGACCCCAGCCTGCGGGCATGACTCGTTGGAGCTGCGGGGGCGCCACGGACGGGTTGTAGAACATCAAGTCGAAGGTGCGGGGAAACAACAACGGGGACAAACAAGGAGAAGTTGGCGCTGGGCCTAGCTGATCCAAAAAAACAATACAAACGCACCTGAAAGCGAGATTATTAGTCGTGGGAGAATTCGAAAGTGACATAAAAGGTCTACAGTAAACGTAGACAAGGCCCGAGATGAATGTCATCAAATGACGCAACGGCTCTACGATCGCAACACGAGATATAAACAAACGAACAACTTCAACGTACTCGGGAGGGAGGAACGCTGACTCAACCTCCAAGCCAAATATTATGCTTAAATAGACGGCACGGGGGGGGGGTTGCGCGACGGAAGAATGCGGGGCAATGCGGGCTTTGTCTTAGAGGGCAACGCCTTCAGACGCCTGGGAGCGGAACTTCTTCGTCGCCCCCCACACGCTTTTTTTACCCCCTCTTTTTTCTCGTCGCTGTCTGAAAAAACCAGGGGGGGGGCGTTGCGGGACTCAAAAAAACCGGCAGGATGGCGCAACAAGAAATTGGTAGTCAATGTCTGCTAAGTTCCTTTGGGGTGTTTCTTCGCACGGGGACCCAAGAAAAACCCCTGTGGTGCGGTGGCTCCTCTCTCCCCCATTCCCCGTGCGTCCGGACTGTTAATCGCTGCAGTCTGAAAGGTTTAATAGGTGAAAATGATCACAAATTAAATGACCTCATTTGTGGGTGCAGCGCGGAAAAAGTGTATTCAATTGAAGGGAGAGATGAGGATGAGGACCGGATAATATTAAGGACAACAATGACTCAGCTGCGCTAATATTAAACATCTTACCGTACCCCAAAAATAAAGCAGAACCCGCCAAAAATAAGTAGAAATGTGGATGGATAATATTGTATATATAGACAGATAGGCTCGATCGTTTACACCCCCATTCCCAGACTAATCTCGACTTAACACCCCAACTTGAATCGCCCATGACATCAACCAGGTAGGGGGCTCTCCGAAAGAGTTTTTAAAGTCCAGACACAAACGGATTATGCAAATTCGCGGCCCACCACTTGTCTGTTCTCCCTACAAATCGCGTTTCAAGTAGTCGGACATGATCCCCACTGATACGAGACAAGAGGAGAGGCTCTATTACTACAGACAACAATCCCCCAACTACTGGTCGACGTCTGCGCTCGCCCATTTCACTCTCTTCCCGAAATGTTGTGCAAACAAGATGGACGGTTGGTCCTGTCCATCATCGCCCTCCACAAGCATCTGAATCGATTACGCAACTCGACTCCACTCCCCCCTTCGAAAAAGAAACAAATTCGCCGCTTTTATGACACCACCAGGAATTAATTGATCTATAAACTTTTTTTCATTAAGACCCCGACCATTAAGGTCCAAAATTCAAGGAATGATCGAGCCTGAGGCTCCGACTGGTCGTAATTCCCGGAATCACAGGCATCCGCCTCCTTATCGAGCGGAGTTAAAGTACACGTTGTTATCAACAGTTAGCGGGCGCCCCATAAATCAAAAGCTTAATAAAAAGAGATACGACAAAGAGAGACAGGTCGCGCTCATGACCCGGTAACTCGAGAATGCGAAGAAGTAGACAACCCCGAGATCAACGCCGCCCCGTCTCGCCCGCGGACATGACGACCAACACCTTGGGCCAATCGATCCATCAATCTTCGCACATCAAATGTGATCTAGACAGGATAATGCCCGAGATCCCCTCCTCCCTCTTCTCCCTCCAGTTGCTCAATGTGCCCCTTGTGAAGATGGAGGAAGAAGGAGCCGGTAATTAGACTGTCACAACTGGGAATGGCCCGTTTCCCTCAGAGGTCGTCGTATTTTGATCGGAACCGCGATCATAACGGAGATACCAACATCAAAGGTCTTGCATAACTGGAAAAGGGCGCTATTACAACAACCACTCGCCCTGATTCGAAACCCCCTTTTGCCGCGATTAGAGCGCCTTATAAAAAGGTGTGTTTAGAGGGCATTAGACACCAACCGCAAGCAGTATATTAGCCGGCCAGGTCCAATGTCCGAAGGTGTATTAGCTAGCTGTGAATGCACCTGTCCTGACCGGGAGCGGGCGCGGGACCCAACCCCGTAATTATAGGCATCAGACATGACATGATTTCCCGTTGTACCGCCATCTCCATTCGCCCCGTTAATCGCCCGAATTATGCAAAGTCCGAGGCATTTCAAACCCCAACCGAATTAAGGCCGATCGAATGCAAATCAGAATCTTCGCGGCGCTCCAATGGGCAATATCAAGTTCGAGGTGGGGATTGCGCGACAGCCAAAACTTCCAGAAGAATAAAAGGACCAAAAAACGGCTCTGAGACAACGGAAAATGGGATCGGACGCACGCCCTCTCACCGTTCCCAAAATTAGCGCTAATTAGGGAATTTGTCGCGGATGAGAAATCGCGTTATATCGATGCCAACAAGGCCGCAAAGTCAGGTGAAGACGGGCGATTATTGATCTTTTAAAAACACGAAAACAGAATGTTTATCCAAGGCCGGTCCGACATCGATCCGCCTTGTTTTAAAGCGCGGCTCGTGGCCCAGTTTTGTACTTCGTTAGCAGAAAAGAGAATAGTTTTACAGTCGGTGGGTCTCCCTTCCAATTTGCTAGTGTTTTGACAGCCAGTTCGCGACTATTCAAACACTTGCAATAACCGTCTCTTGTCCCCCTTTCCAGCCCCGAAGAAACCCGGTTCAGCGGATTATCACACCGGGATTAAAACTCAAAAAACGGGCGCTGCGGTCGGATGCGGCGGACTAGCGAACTCGGATCGCCGGAAAAAGAAACCCGGAAAAGTTGGGTGGGGGAAAGAGGGCCGTGTTTCAAGTCCTGAATCGCGACAGCTGACTCGCTGACCTGGACGACCAGACTTTTGCGAAGCGACTGATCTGAGCCTTGACGCCAAGTTTTGGACTTGTCAAGCACCAAAGAATGGGCCGTTCCTTGGGCCCTTCGCGCACGTGTGCCCAAAAAACGTTATGGCCATGGAGCTCAGCACTTGAAGCCGGATTCCCCGCCCCATTCCAACACTGTAAAGCGATCGCAACAAAACGGTCCTTAAGAGACGGAGACAGGACAAAGTGTGCCGCCCCGCAAAGAGGCAGACCTTTGTTTAAACGGTCGCCGGATGATATGCCAGACAATAATGGCGTTTAATGAGCGTCGCCAGGTATAATGGCTTGCCTTTTTTGCATACGACCACAAAAGGTTACGACCACCAGACGGAAGGAGATGTTGTACATGTCTTGTAAACGAATGCTGACCAAAGATGCTTGAGAAAGCGGGGAAAAGTTTGAATAAAACCGCAAGAAAAGACATCGGGAACGCCGATTCGCGGCAACGTCCGTTCGCAGCGAGAGCATTCTCTTATATTATACATCGTTTGTGCCTTTAAAGGAGCGATGGTTCCCCAAAAAATTAAGTGAAAAAATGAGAGCAAAGAGTATAAAACCACCAATTCTCAGAGTTCTGTCCAATGAATGTCATTTTTTATACGACAAAAGGGTTTTCAGATACGATCATTAATCGTAGACATTCCTCAAGATAGGCGGTCCTTTTTATCCGCTTAGATCACGGCCAGTTGGCACAAGGAACCACTTCGACCACATCTTTCCCCCGTTTAAAATAACCTCCTGTCATTTATTTTGCAAGTCTTTTGAATTGTTCTCCAAAAATAAACCCCCAATGCAACCGACTTAATGACAAATGAAATGTTTAATGACCGCAAATGGCCTAAAACGAGTTCAAATGAAGAGGGGTGGGGGTGGGACACACAGATCGCTGTACAATATTTGCATTGGAGAGGCTAGGCCAGGTATCCCAAATAAACGCAAAGGATGTAGGGTTGTACGAAAGGCAGTAAGTAGATCGGGGGATGATGTTCCCCTCCATGATTCATTTGTTTGTCTTTGAATATATATAACGCCAGAAATGGCTGCGGTTATCAGAGCCGCCGACAAAACTTTGAAGATCCCGCCGTCTATGATTAATTTGTATGGGGAAATGTTGCAAACCCCTCTGCAGAGACGTGATTTCAGCAAAATTACAATGATACTGTAGACATTAATCCCTGACATGGAAAACGTTATATTAGACTATATCTCAACAGTTTGAGACTAACTATTCGACCGCAGGTTACCCAAGAAGGATCGATCAACACGAAAGGAATCTCTCCTCTTCCCAGTCTATAATTAGCCCCCTTTAATTAAGAGTTTACAGTATAAGAAAAGGTCAGTCAAGAAGCTCACGTGAAGCCAGAGAGAGGGGACTTCAGTTCCCCCCTCTCGCTCAAAAAACAGTTTTGTTCGAACTGCAAAAACAACTGTATAAAGAGGGAGTGCAGTTCATCAAAGCCACGCAATTCTTTCCTTCCTCCCCGCCACACATTCGCTCTGGCCGGGATCCAGAAAATTAACCCCTCAGGGGCTAGTGCAACATCGACCACAAAACTTGCGATGTGGAAGTTGAAGCAGGTGCGCCCAGATGCCGGGACCTGGTCGTAAATAGTGCTTGGAAGCCATTCAACCGGTTTATGGCCAGACAGCTGATCACTTCCGACCCGACTCTTACAAGTTTATAAAAAACCGATTCGGGAATTCGGTCCCGATGAATTAAAAGTCAGAAAGATTTATGTCCCCACATAATCGCTCTTAATGCATACCCCCATTTAAATGCATTTTGGAAAACGTCCGGAGTTTTAAACGAGCGTTATCATCGGTGGTCGTACATGAATGTTGCATACATGTCAGACAAGCGCGCTTATCAACTCCCTCGAAACTCATTAGTCTAATCAAAGACCGACGCGGATTCGGGTGCACTATAATCGACCAGGGTCGCGGTCTTTTTTCATGCATTTTTTGGCCCTCCTATCAATCAGCGGGGAGAGGGGCGACCCCCGAGGCCTATCGCCTTCATCGAAGCCCTACCTGAACAAAAAAAAAAGAAGCCAGAACTCCCCCCGTATTACTGATAAATTGGCGCCTCGCAACATCTTGTCTGGACAGCCCTACCGTAACCGGAAAAGGTCCGGAAATTAATAAGACGAAACCCGTGACCGTCGAGAGCGCCTTCAGACGGCCGCTGTGCCCGCTACATGGACTCGGAACAGATCGTTTGTCATAAGTCTTGCATCGGAATTTCCGACGGCCTTGAACGCAAGAAGATCCACTTTTGGAGAGAGAACTTCGCGATGCCGATTCCGGGTTCAACCCAATAGCGAACATACGACGATAGCCGGGATTGGGTTTCATAGCAGGTCACCCAAACAATGCGACGGTCTGCTGGACGCAATGAGGGATACCTGGGCTTGAAACGGATACCTAGCATGTCTGTAACAGGGAAGTAGGAGGTCGGTGACAAGTGGATTTAAAAAATAAGGCTTTGGTAGATCTGAAGGGTCTTAAATTGAGGCTAACATATTTCAAAAGTGATCCTTATGGTCGTATAATCTATAAGAATCTTTGATTTCACTCAGACTATGACCTGCTGTCTGAAACTCGATATAAAAAGAGAGACAGGACCATAAACCCGTCAATTTGAATAAAACGCGACAGTACCATCGGGCCTTGTGAATTCGAGACAATCAGATTTAATGATATTTTGGAGAAGACCCAAGCCAATTGGTGCTGATAAGAAAACCGTCGCTTGCTGTGCCCCCTCCCCTGGAAAGCGCCCGAATCTCCAAGAAAGAAAAATATTCTTCGCATCGATATTTTTGAAGGCCGTATCACATCAAGATGACGATCATAATAGCCCTGAAATCTTTCCTCAATCACTTTTTTCGAAAGAAATATTTTCGCCGAGATTGACGCTTAATTGCGCAATAAGGGGTCGTAGGCCGACGCAGATTGGGGAAAAACAAAAGACTTAAGGTTCTGCTGAAGGATACCCTCTCACTTGAAACACGAAAACAACCCCAGAAACTGGCGGGAAACTCGAATACAAAAGTCCCGCAGATAAGGATCGTGATAGCCGTGGAGGCGCGACAAGACAAATTGGCCCCGCGATTCAAGGCCACGACGATTGGGATCCCCCTGATCTTCGGGGGACGCCGGTAAACAAGTGGTGATACCAACACGTGCATGGGGGCCTGCCCTCTTTTTTCGTATCAGCTGATTTGCTTAGAAGCGAAGCCGCAGACATCGGGAAAAAAATAAAACCAAATGACCTCGAGACAAATTGAAATAACATCGGGGAAACGCACATACCGAGATCGTTGAAACAGCGAGCAGACGTGTTGTAGGCTAAAGATTTGCGAATGAGAAATGTAAAGGGCATCAAAGGGGAATGTGGCTGATAAAAACAACAAAGAAGGGGATCAAAATAAAGGTTTGAGTGCCAGTAGATCCTCCCAAGACATCGACCTTTCCCCGAGTCATCCAACTTCGACCCCATTCCCCCACACAACACGAGATTATTATGTCCGAATAGCCCCATATAAAACATAAATAAAACAATATGAATCTTGAACGTATAAGTCGACTTGGAGAGCGCCAATTTTTTATTTTATTGTTGGGGGAACACTTGAGTGTGTTGTTTTATTCGACGCACTCTGATCGCCAGACGAAAATTACGCGAATCCCCACAGCCGAAACGAGGGCTTCTTGATGTTAGTTAATCGCGGAACTCAAGGAATTGTGGCGAGAAATTGGGTGAGGGGGATTCAACCTTCGACGGAGAAGTCGGAACTGGTTGATGGGAATGCGAAATCAACCTGATAAACCCACCAACAGGATATGAAACAATACCGGAAAAGCGGGCGAGCACTTAGAAGCAAAAGCAAGGGAGATGGGCTTGATAAACGGGGGTTTCGGAAAAACAGAGCGATGAATCAGCCCTCAGGGCGTATGAAGTTGAAACAAATTAATAATTTTACAATTGAGAAAGGTTTGGAAGCAAGCCGACTTTGGTAATAGAATAACTGAAGACTTCGGATTAGAAAAGAGTGTTTTTGATACAAACGGTGCCAAAAGGATACTCCCAAATCTCCTTAATTCATAATAATTAGATTAAACGAAACCCTGTGACCACTTGGGACTCCTTCCAAGAAACTGCACATACTTAAAAGGGATTTGTATTCAGTTGTACTAAAATATTGTACTTGCCAAATAAAGGAGAAATGGGAAAATTGTCGCTACAGAAGATGACATTTAGCTTCAGCCACTTGGACAAGCACATTATTCACAAAGGGACTCCCCTTCTTCATCAACTGTCATCAGAATTTGGTATTTAAAGACGGTTAACCTCCCCAAAAAAAGGCCGGTCGGCTCTCACAAAGCGATAAGTCAGCGCCTCGGAATTCGAAATGAAAACACAAAAACGGCAAAACGCTCAACTTTATTTACTATAAGAAGGAGAGAGTTTCGCGCATCGCAGCTGTCGTTTACGGACGGAAAGAATGGATTGGGTCATCAGGCAGCCATCCCCCAGGTAGGGAAACTGTCAGCTCACATTACACAAGATGGACGTCTATAAACAAAAGATCGACGAAGATCTACCGTCAGATTCCAGATTATTCAAATATGAGAGCACATGATCGAGAGAAAAAAGGATTGAAAAAAATAGATTTTTTTACTTTGGGAAAGAGTGTAAGGGAGGCCAAAGAAAACTTTTCTGCAAACTGGGAGTTCGGAGGACGATGAACAAATTATATACGATGAAATTCGAATGAAATTGAGAAGTAAATTTTGTATGGCATCATAGAGAATTTGTGTTTTGCTTTTTGGCAAGATATAGGGATTTTGGATAAAAAAAAACGCAAAAAAAATCTTTGACCGGCTCCGCATTTTCCATACTCTCTTGCTCACAAAAATTGTTGTAGATTCTTGGGTGTGTCTGCATTAAAGTGAGCATGTCCATTAGCTAGATCAAACAATAAGGATTTGGGAAAATCTTGGCATCATAAAAAATCATAAGCGTTCCTCTCCAAATAGCGAAGAAATGTGGGATACATGATGATGAATAACTGCGAAACTATCTCCGATTCGACAAGAAACCGAGCCAATGACGGGCGAAACAAACAAAAACATGGGGCCCATCCTGAACATGTCAGATACAAAGTCCATCGGCTCGTTATAACGCTGCCACATGACTAATAGAAAGGTTGAAATCAAGTGTTCCAACCGAGGAATTAAAGACCTCCAGCCGCGTCTTATCGTCCCCGCGATAACAACCGCGACGTCGGGATGACCTCCGAAAGGGGAAGGGGGCTGCGAATAACGGCGACAAAAGTTGCGATCCAATAAAATTCCGGTGGTCCGGATGAGAAAAAGTCATTTGGAAGGTGCAGGCGCTCATTGTTTTTGCCTGTCCTTCCTTGAGGCGAACTTTCTCTCGCCAAGGTCAAGGGGCGACGCGGACAGGAGGAAAAGTAAATAGAAACCATTTTAGGAAGGGAAGGAAACCAGTGACAAAAATTTAAATTCTTTTAGACTGAGTGGCCAGATTCCCTTAAAATTTTGCATATAGCTTCTGAGCAGGCCGTAAATGATTTTCTGAAAGTTTCAGCCCGCCCTTAACGTTGCTAACTGATATATTCAACGGTCTTCTTTGCAAGAGAACACGCAAAATGAAGAGAGTCAGGCAGACAATTTAGAAAAAATTGATTTTCTGTGGAAAAATTATACTCTTCACTAGTAATGGGCCCTACAACTCTTAGATTTAGGATAATAACATAAAAAAATTGTCGAATTTTCGATAATTTCCGTTAAAAAAATCCCAGGGTTTATGAAAATCGAGGAATCTCGCATATGTATACGAAAATTATGCGCTATAATCAGAGATTGCCACGGTCAAAATGTCGGCTCCGGCTCCGGCTCTTAGCTCCCAGAGCCGGAGCCGAGGCCAAATTTGCAGCTCCGGCTCCGGCTCTTGGCTCCGTGCAAAATTTAAAAAGGCCTCCGGCTCCGAATCCCGGCTCCTATGCAAAATGTTTTTTTAAAAATATTTTTCCAAAAATAAAAGTTATTAGTGCCAGAGATCATACAGCCAACGTTTCTGCAGCAAGCCAGATCCTCCGCAGTGTTTTTCAAGCAATTTGGTTTACCAAGATCACGAAATTTTTACTTTTCTGACCGCTGGGAAGCCTGGCTCCGACTTTGGGCTCGGGAGCCGGAGCCGACCCCAAAATTTCCGGCTCCGGCTCTGGCTCCCGGCTCGGAGCCGGAGCCGCTCAGAGCCGGAGCCAAGAGCCGGCTCCGGAGCCGTGGCAATCTCTGGCTATAATTAACAAAACTTTCTTCCAATTCTTTCAGTAAAGAGTAATAGATATTCAGTTAGATAAAGGTACAATATAAATAATATTTTCTCGGGCTCCCATGGCCCAAACAATTGGAAGACCGATGAAAAGTAATTGAATAGACTTTTACTTTTGAATAAAATATTATAAAAGGGATATCAAGAGAACCAAAAGCTCAGGGATTACTGTAAAGTGACTGTCCTAATGACTGCTGTTTATGGTAATAAATACGCTGTTAATAGACCAGAATGTCTTTTTCTATCTGTAAAAATTGTTTTACATTAGTTACTCATCCCAAAAAATAGAAAAGCCACTTTCTGAACCAAAACGAACTTTTTTTTGAATAATATGCAAATAAACCTTGCGATCTGTGTGTTTTGTCTTAATAAAACGACAGTAACGAATGCAAATCGAGGGCGCGGGAGTCAACTTTCGAATAAAGAATGCCTATAGAGTCCGATCTGATTGCATTTCCCAGACAGAACTCCCACAAAAACTCGGGGATTCGGGAGAATTTGAGGGCGAAACCGATCATGAATAAATTATTCGACGATATAACGACATTTCCGAACAATGTAAGGATGATTATATCACGGATGACATTCGGGAGAGGGCTCAATGATCAAGGGCGTTGCTTTTGAAGAAATAGTACAGAGGAGAATGTGTGCAGCGATAAATTTGGAAAGATTACGTCTGAAACGACCTATAAGATCAATGGGAATCAAAATTCAAAAAAATAATAAAATCGGGTTTGATTATTTTTCGAATTTTTAGATCCATGTGAAATCAGGAATTTGATTTAATTATTTTCGCAAAAGAAAGCAACCGAAAAGCTTCAATTTTTCTTAAAGACTGACATTTCTGCAAAGCGCGAGCCAAAAGCGCCAGATAGTATGTCTTGTAATCATAAGATGATTTGAGGACTTCAGTACAAAGTCTTCCACGTTTATATAATAAAATTAAATTTTCATATCAAATCACTATAAAAACAAAAATCGAAAAAAAAATTTTGAATCAGTCATGACCTTGCTGATAAATCTGAAAAAGAGTTATTTTTATTCAATTAAAATAATTTGAAGCATCTGCCGGATGTCGAAATAAAGAAGGGCTCCACTCGAAGAAGGCATCGTATAGAGGGGCGCCCAAATTGTATTCCGATTCTAAGTCCGGCCTCGAGATCGGCTTGAGATGTTTTTTTTTCAAACAATCTAATTGGACATGTGGGAGAAGTCCCCAAATTCGGAGGGATTCCCAAGAAAAATGATATCATTGGAATCGATTTATGGCACAAAGACAGGTTTTGAACAAAAAAAAAGTTTTCAAAAAGTTTTAAACTTGGTAAAAAATGGGATTTAGTTCTTCTAAAACGCATGATTTTTAGTTCATCTTTGCAGAACCATACAATATTTTGGGTCGAAACGAAGCTTTAAAAAATCTGATATTTTTGTAGTTTTCATTTGAAAAAAAATAATCTCTCACTAGACATGATTGTTGCTTATCTGTCTTTGCAAAGCAAAGCTAAAAATTTTTAAGTTAAAATGCAGTCATATGTTCTCAACGCTAAATCTTAAGTCATTCTGCTGTTTACCCATGTAATTTCAATAGATAATTATGCGCCTCATTACTCACACTTACAGCAAAACTTTTGAATACCTGCACTGTCAGTATAAAGCATAAACTAATATTTATTTTCAGAACACTACCTGACCATAAATAGTAGTAAAAGTAATTAATTAAACCTTAAATTGGAGTGGAATTGGAGGGAAAACTTACTCGCAAAGAAATCCGGCGAAAGGGAATTCGGGCAGAATTCGGCCTCAAGGCTGGGGGATTAAAACATTCGCAGACATTCATGAACACTGGTAAACAAGACCCCCGCCCGAGATGCGGACACCTGAGACGAAGCTTTGATTAAATCTGGCCAAGCAGAAGATGGGGGTTGTTTTGGGGATACAAAACATTTTATTGTAGCATTAGAAGGATAATTTGGAATGGAAAGTTCTTGAAGAATGAGTAACGGAATAAATGCAAATTTTGCGTATGGACTCCACATATGGCACATATTTTTTCCTCAAAAGTTTTAGCTCATGTTTTGGAAAGCTTTTCGAGATTCTTAACAATGTTTGCGGCCGGGGAGATACAAAATTATGAAAAAGAGGCTGAAAATCGTTTCCATACATTTGCGAATTTTGTATGGAGAGATTGGCGCTTTGTTATAAAGTTGTACTCTACAATCAGAAAAAGTGCAAATTTTTCAAATTGAAAATCGCGACGAATTTTAAATTTCGACAACTTTTAAAAGTATTGGTCGTTTCTGCAAACCACGAGCTAATCATCGGTTTCTAAAAAAACAATTAGCTTAACTTTTGTCCAGTTTATTTGACAAGGAAAGTACTTTTATGGGGGCTCCTACTTTTTGACGGGACATATTTCAAAAAATCAGAAAAAATGTGCTGATCAAGGATATATAAATCTTAGCTGCCCATTTTAGGTTTTTAGGGGTGAAAATGCCCAAAAACTGACTTAATTTCCTTACAAAAGGCGCAGGCATTCGAAACGATAAAAGCGCAGTCGGTCTCTTCCTTCGGAAGAGAGCGGTGTGGCCGAGAGGCTAGTGCCGTAGTTTGGGAATCAAGAGGGGGAACGCCGCACGGGTTCGATTTCCCTTTTGGGCCGAATCAACTTTTTTTGAAGTTGAAGGTCGGAAAAATGGATTTTTGTGCCAATACTGATTTATTACGTCTTAGAAACTCAATAAACATCATTTTAAGCCAAAATAAAAATTGTAAACCTGTGAAAAATTAAGCGAAAAGGGGTTTATATAGGACTTTAAGTCAACTTCCGATTGAGTTTTCAGCCCTAAAAACCTAAAATGGGCAGCTAAGATTTATATATCCTTGATCAGCACATTTTTTCTGATTTTTTGAGATATGTCCCGTCAAAAAGTAGGAGCCCCCATAAAAGTACTTTCCTTGTGAAACATGACGTCATCGAAAATTAAATTTTTTAAAAACCGTTTTTTTCAAATTGACCTCTGATTCTCGGCATCTTTGCACGCCAAATCCCCCATAAATCGTCGTATAAAATGGCACCGTTCCAGACCCCATTCGGATTTACATTTTTACATTCGGAGCGGGGAAAAAGTCGTCGCGGGATTCACGGAAGCCATCAAATAAAAACCCCAGAGCCCATAAATCATCTGCGGGATGCTTGTAGATGTTCTGCTGAGACAATATATAAATTTTATGGAACGATGAGGACCTCTGGACGAAGGTCGCCCTCCCCCGGGAATCGGGAATTCATTGCGGCGACTGTTTTGTTTGAATATTCGCGTTGGAAGGGATAATATTTTAATAAAAAATTTGGAAAAACCAGGCGGAGAATCGACGCAAATCCTTGGCCATAAAAATAAAAATCCTCGAGAAGGGAACAGGTGAAATTTTGGGTGTCTTTGACGCCTACTACAATATCAGAAGAGCGCTTACTCAGCCCCCAAAATAGGTCCAATCCCGCCCGAAAATCGAAAAATGTCTGGAAAAAGCGGGGAATTGCGTTTGGGCCGAGTAATTGGATGGCGGCCAAGTGCAGAGTCCAAGGGCCAAGCGGGAAAAAAGTTTCGTTTTTTGCGGCCACCGAACAAACCTTGAACTCTTTGCGAACGTTCTTCTTCCTCGGACGTTCCTCGTTTTAAAAAGTTTCCTTTTCGCCGAGAAATGTTTCGAGTCCGGAGGGGGTGCGGCCAGACATGAACTGAACAAATAAAAAGAGGTCGTCTACAACATCCACAAACAATTTTATGATTGTAAAAATAAATAAAATGTAATGGGATTAGGGCCATTAAGATGGCTTAAGAGCGGGGATTACTGTAATGAAGACTTCGTCGTCATCACAAAAGAAAGTAAGAACATTCTGCTCAGCATTCTGTTGGGGGAGTGCCCTACAAAGAAGAACTTCAGGAATTACCAGGTCTGTACTTAGAGAACACCTCTGACGGACATAGACAGCATGCATTAGTGGTACGGATACTGAGACTTGTGTAAAACAAGACTCTTTGGGCGTCGGCTTCAAACGCAGCAAGGGATCAAACAACATCTCCTCCCACAAAAGCACAACTGCACCGACTACTTCTCTTCGTAACTGAGTTTGTCTGTAAGCTTCATTCATCGCGCTTGGACCATTTCCACTGGTCAAAAACGATAAGAAATTATCTTGTAGTGGCTCAAAAAGCAAAGTAAAATAACTTCATCATTACACTGTTTCCATTTTTTTTATTTACAAAAACTGTTCTCTCTTCAAATCAGAACCTTTCTGATTTTTTGTTACAGTTTTCATAGATAAAATTTGTTTTCCTTGTTGTGCTTCTTCTTATTCCAATGAAGGATATGAATTGTAAGGTCAGCTCAAAGATATCCCTTGTAATGTTTTAGTGGACTTTAATTCTCGACGTCCTCGAATCCCAGTAGAGTCGATGGAGGTGTCGATATCGGACAACGAATTAAATGAACGATATAAAAAGATCAAGGAAACATCGGGTATTTTGAAGATGAACGGTCAGATCTACGAAGGTGTGAAGGTAGATGATCTTATTTATGTCGCTGAACTGGGCAGGGGGACCTGTGGAACCGTCTCCAAACGAAAGATAAGGGCTAGAACGGTGGCTGTTAAAGTGAGACAAGAAAAACAAGCATTTTAATTGAATTCGATTACATAATTTCTTAGGAGATGAAGCGCACGGATAACATCCAAGAATCGAAGCGAATCCTCATGGACTTGGACGTGGTTCGAAAGTCGAATGAATGCCCTCATATCGTGCAATGTTTCGGGTACATAATCACAGAGGATTATCTCTATATTTGCATGGAAGTGATGGCCAGTTGTTTTGAGAAGGTTCTGATTAACAGGAATTACACTGGACTGCCTGAGGCAATAATTGGGAAAGTTGCTTTGGCGGTGGTCGAAGCTCTGTCCTATCTCAAGAATGTCCATGTAAGTCTTGTCCTTCCGGTATGTCATGGTCTTAGAGTCTCATGCATCGAGATATAAAACCATCGAATATTTTGTTGGACTGGCACGGTCACATTAAACTTTGTGATTTTGGAATCTCCGGGCAATTAATTGATTCGAAGGCGGCCTCGATGTCTACTGGATGTCAGGCATATCTCGCGGTAAGCACAATGGCTGCATTAGAAGAGTTGTATTACTTTCACATTGAAGTGTTTAGCCTGAGCGTGTGGATCGATTGCCATATAACGTTACAGCGGACGTTTGGAGTTTGGGGATTACTCTTGTCCAATTGGCCAAGGGATACTTTCCATACAGAACAGATCCTAACGAAGAGTTGACGGAATTTGCAGTGATGCTCAAGATTAGAGATGAAGAACCGCCTCAGGTGGATCCCGAAAAGTTCAGTGCTGAATTCTGTGATTTCGTAAAGAACTGTCTTCTGAAGTCTTGTCAAGACCGACCAAAGTACGACAAACTCTCGGTAAGTTAAGGGAGGCGGGGTGATGCGACTTCAATTGTCATCCATATTATACCACGACCATTAGGATCCAGTCAATCTATGTATTAGGTTGTCCCACAAATAATGTCGTTTTCGAGAGGGGTAGAGTCCAAAGTCCATAAAAAACGTAAACAACAACAAAATTTCACAATATTGCACAATTTTGTAGCCGGGATCACAAGGTTTCGTTCAAGGTAAGATTTGACATATTTGGATGAAATTACAGTAATTTAGCCCCATTCCAAAATTATGGAAAAAAGTTCGATTCGTGCCGTCATCTTGTACGAGCAAAAACAGGGTATAAAAGTTACAGGAGTTACACAAAATATCAACGGCGTGTTCGGCGAGTCTGATGTGAGTCTGAACACGGTGAAACAATGGTTCAAAAAATTTCGATCTGACGGTGAGGGACTCAAAGATAAAGTCCGGCACCCAAACTTATATGAATTTACCCTGGGGCCATTACTTGTCAGATATCCTACTAATCAACATCCAACGCGTCTCTGACATTGTCTGGGTGTTGAAATAATCGGCGGCTAACCGTTGGAAGTCGATGGAATTCAACAAAATACTCGGCAGCTTTTTCCCATATTAATGGACCAAACCACAGAATGGAGGTGTTACGTTTGTTGCTTTTACAATCCGAAGAGCCGGGGTTTCTAGATCGGATCGTGATCCGTGATGAAGAGCAGATCCTGTACGAGAACCAGATGTGCCCAATGGAGTCCCCTGAGGGTACCAACACGGAACTTGGCAAAGCGACCCCCCATAAACAAGGTGATGGGCACTGCTGGATGGTGCAGCAGGGATATCTCACAATACAGCTCGTTGAAAGTTGGCCAAAATGTAAATGCTGTGTCCTGCTGTATTCAGATAGACAGCTTATGGCAGAATAGGCCTTTAAAAACACGCCGCGGAATTCCAAAAGTTCTAGGCGACGATGCGCAACACCACGTTGTAAAGACTACGCTCCAGGAGTTGAGTTAATGGAGATCCGGGACTCTCCTTCGTCCGGAGTACTCGCTAGGCATGTCTCATACAGATTGCTACCCTTCCAAGAGTCTAATGGGTTTCCTCCGTGGTAGGGAATTTATGAATCAAGACCTTGTTTAATGGGCCTTCAAAAATTTCAACGCGTTGCAATAGCGTGGTATAACACATGATGATTATTTTGATCAAAAATATCTTCGTTATTTCGGTAAATTTCTTTGTACAAAAAATCTTTTGAAGAACGACATTATTTGTGGGACAACCTAATAGAATGGTCCGCCGGGTATCAATGATAAAAACAGTCACCCCGAGCTGCAAATCATCGCCATTGCCGGCCTTGCCGATTTAGTCACTGATTCCGTTTCAGAAAATGGCTTTCCTCATTAGCGCATCTCAGAATGAGCTAGATGTTGGTCATTGGATAGAAAATCAAGATAAATATGATCCGCCTTTTCCACCGCGGACTATGTAGCGGCTTCGAGAAGCTTCTGTCTCGATCTAGATCTGCATCAGTTATTTCATTTTCTTCACATTTTAGTCTTGTTTTTATAACTTTTGTGGCCAATTATTAATACAATTGTTTATTGTTCGAAAATTTATTCAGTGAATCGAATTTCATGTAAAATAAAGTCAAAAAAAATTATGGAAGCCATCAAAATGTACAAAATCTGTGATCAAATTGCTTGCCTATTGCACCGATTGAACTGTCGCATTTGGATTTACAATATCTGATTTGGAAACTTGAATCTTGTGAGATCTCTGACTGGAATTTCTCTTGGAAGAGGGGGCTCTGACCATTTTCTTTTCGATCATCGACACCATCATATCGATAACAGACTTCTTCGGGTCAATATAGGTCATGTTCAGCAATTTGATCGACTAAAAAGCATCGTTTTGGATGGTTAAAAGAAAACGATGACAACAAAGATGTCTATGACAACATAAATCCACTTTTCTTACCTTCTCGTTGCTGAATCTAAGCTCCGGACCCAATCTATGGACAATCGCAGTGCTTTGCTTATCCAGCTTGGTCTTGGCGTAAGCTCTAACCATCCAATTCGGTACAGTTAAGGGAGAAAACGTGTATCCCTGATCCTTGAATTCCTCCATCAACCAGTCTCTTATCTCGAAGAACCAAGTTGGTCGGGAATGAGTAATCAGAATCCTCTGCCCATTGGTTTTAGGTTCTTTTAAAGCAATGATATGAGCTCGAGCCACATCTCTGACATCCACGACGCCAAGACAAGCTCGCGGAGCCGCTAAGAAAGTTCGGAAATCCATCATCCTCGCGAGAATTGTGGCACTGCCATGTTGCACAGACGATAAGACAGGACCGGTGATAAAAGTGGGGTTCAAAACGGTCATCTCGAACCGGGACTTCTCATCCAAACTCCTCCAGAATTCCCAAGCCTTTTGCTCGGCGATCGTCTTTGATTTGGCGTAATTGTCCACCTTTTTGGATGAGATGTCTGTCCAAGATTCTTCATCAAACACTCGCTCGTCGTTTCTGTGACCGTCTGAAACGAAACTCTCCAAGTCAAACTCCACTTACCGTTGACAGCGGCGCAACTGCTAGTCAGGACAACTTTCTTGATTTTGCGGTTCTTCGAGGCTGCTTTGAGTACGTTCAGTGTTCCGGTAACTGCTGTTTGAATGGTTGATTCATCAGCAACAATCGGCCAGGGACTGGCTACATGAAGAATGTGGCTACACCCTTCAATGGCTCTAAAAACAAGGAACATACAGAATGTAATGAGAATCGGGAGAAACAGAAAAACGGCTTTTGGCCATATCAATGCGAATCAACCCACACAATTCGGAACGAACCTAATTTGTCAATGCACACCGACGGAGGCTGGGCAAAGACGCAGCGCACGCTCGTCACAGCCGCAACGAAAATTTGGCAAAGCCACCAGAAACCTAGCGGAAGCTCGGAAAGTTCATCATCTAAAGCAGGCTGCTTTAGTACGCCTGTCGGACAAAAAATCTCCCCCTCCCTTAGATAAAATATACTTACTCTGGCCAATCCTCTGCATTCATAAGATCAGCTTCCACCAATTCCAGGGATTCGGAAGCCCCATTCAACGCCTTGATCGGTGCAACTTTCTGCTCATTCTTCAACGACCTTACAGTCCCTCTGACTTTGTATCCAGCTTGCAGAAGTTGTTGAACACAATGTAGAGCCACATAGCCCGAGGCGCCAGTCACTAATATCAAATCTTCTTTAGTCAGCATCCCTAGAATCTAGAGCTCAATAAAACGTTCAAAGAAAAGGATCTGTCGGTGAATCCGTCAACGATTTCTGAGATTGGCGATCGACCTTTGTTCTTGCTTCGAATGCCGTTATATAAAAGTGTTGTGCTTCGTAACCTTCGAAGCTCCGCCCTCTTTTTGTCGATAACTTTTATTAATTTGAAGGCGTTTTTATGTGACCTTCGCCTGGAAACAAATTGAAATTCTGTGCAAATCAATGGAGTTTACAGGTTTTAAAGTACAAAACAGAAAGTGATCTGTGATTGAGAACTTTATTGGTTGATCAGGGTAATTGGAATCAGTAAAAGGTCATGAAAAAATGGGAAAATCATGCATGGAATGAAAGCGAACGTAAATGACAGTATACTTCATAGCACAGTGCGGTTTTCGAATTTTGCGTAGCCGTTGTCGCGACTTCCCGATTTTACGCGCAAAAATTCTACCGACTATAGGTCCCAATTCGTAAAGACCACTTCTAGTGGCTGCTGAGGTATCCAAGGATCCTTCTCGCGAGAGAACACGCAAAATGAGGAGAGTCAGTCAGACGAGAAAACGGCTTTGTGGATTACTTTTTTGTTTCTGCAAGAAAAACGTTTATTTTTTAAGCAACATTACACACTGCCAATTGAGCCCTGAATTTGTAAAGATAAAATCACAAAAAAAAAGTGTAAATTTGTGACGACGTCCGATAAAGAATCTTAGAAAACGTTCGTCCAATTCTGTTTTTGTTCTTGGTAATCTCTTTACTAGTTTATAACAAAGTGTAAGTAAACAAAATCATCACATGCCTCCAAAGCCGACAGTAACAAGTTGGGGTGTTGAGATACCATAAATTTCACAATTGTTTATTTATTTTTTCTCAAATTGATTTCTCAATTTTACAGTTCCGCATCAATTACTAGTCGGTTGTGACTAGTAATTGATGGCACAAACCTTTTTTTTCAATTTCCGCGTTCCCAAATGAAGTTTTTAATTTTCGTGAAAACCCATCAATTTTCACGTAAGAGTTCTATTTGCAAATTCGATAGGAGGCGCTTAGGGTTCGATAAAAGGATGCTACAGTATTCGATAAATAATTTTTAAGGCAATTTGCAATTTCAAAAAAAAAATTTTTTTTGACACCCATTACAAATTTTTGTGAGCCCCTAAATTTAGTTTTTCTCTGTTGCCAAAGACTTGCGTTTCACCACGAAAACAAGCACATTTGGCACAACGCTTTAGTGAACCTTGCACTTTAAAGAAACGATCTTTTTATTATCAAAGATTATTCACGACTAAAAAATCTTAATTATTCACCCCCAAAGATCGTTCTCCCTCCTAAAAGTTATATAAATTCGTATTTTTCGTAGCAATGGATGCAGAATTTCCCCTAGATCATCGTTTCTATGATTCCAAACTCCGTTTTCTCAACTTTCGAAGGACAGAATTCCCCTGATGACGTCAATAAAAGTGAGAAGTTCCCTAAATAGGTGTTTGTGATACGTTCAGGAATTTTCTCGCATAACAAAACACCACAAAGCTACAAGGCACAAAAAAAGTTTATTTTTTTTATAAATTTCGAATAAATTTTGAACACAGAATAAGATCAATTTACCTTGACAACAAATTTTATATAAGGAATGTTGTGATGGAAGTTGCCGCTTTTGGATAACGCACGTCAAATCGAAGAAACGAGAGAGAAGGACTATCATACATATTCTTCGAGTTAGCTTTTTGTCACCAAATAAGGGATCCGATAAATATTTTACGTTAAAAAAATTGTTTTTCCGATAAATCTTTGGACGAAAGCCCAACTTGAACATTTAGGTCCCTCTCGATTGGCCGTGGGACGTCACGTATGTAATCCTGCAATTTTTTCTGCATATTCGAGATCTATCACCGATCCTAAAAAACTTTATTAAAGTCGTCTGGAGTGTTGTACTGGAGGATTAATATTCACTGACCTTTTGTCAACAGCCGTATGCAATTGCTCCGCAAGCACCACAGTGCTCTATCACTTACTCTGAATTTCTGAAAAAAGCAAAAATTCACAAAAAGGTGCACTATTAAAGGCTTGAACAAATTGCTCACAGTTTAGAGCCGAAATCTATGCCTAGTTGCGGGTGAGGATTTCATATGTGCATCTGATCAATTTAATTCTACGTAATTTTCGTATAGAGAAGAGTCTTGATGTCCAACTCTCGGATCTAGCACATGCTTCGGCAGTTTAAATGCCATAAAACCAGAAAACAGCCACATATGTTGACTTGTTTCTCCGTCCTAGCGATCTCCGAGATCAGATTATTTATCCTGTTGTTGGTTTTTTGACTGGCCGAGCTTTGAACATTATTGTGTTTTTTATTTTGATCCGAAAGGGCCTTAGGCTGTTCGATCGGAAACTAAACGTTTCCACTGATCGCTGATCAGGGGATTTGTTTTTGTTTACGTCTAGTCTGGTCAGACTTATGACCGTTTTCTTGAAGAATTTGGCACGAAGAAATGTGGCCTAAAAGATTGTTAAAGATTATTTAGCAAGGCGTGCGCTAAACTATTTTGAGGATTGATTTATGATCCATAACGCACAACTACCAAATTTTATGGCATTAATACCCGGCTATGTAAAGCCGGGCTATGTAAAAATAAAAATCATGGCTTTATCGAGTTTTTTTTCAATCAAAGAGAGCAGAACTTGCTACTTCGTCCTCCCACCTTTACCTTACATTTTTTGGGCACCAAAACGATCGAGTTCTATAAAGATCACCAGAAAAAACGGCCAAGGTTCCGCCTTCGGGGATAAAATTAGAAGAAGCGGCATGTGGGGGACGAGTTCGAGAAGGATGTAAAAAAGGACGAAGAAACATTGAATGAGTGATAAAGAAGGCCAGTGATTAGTTTTATTTTTAGAAATCCATCTGAACTCTCACGTAGAATTTATTGGATTGATTGGGAGTGGATGGACGTGTTGGCTCCGGACAAAAGGACACGTCCATCCCGGAGTTGGACGTCTTATCAGTGGGTGGTTGTAAGTTTAAGCATATCAAGGAGTCCAGTGACGATAGGTGTCTGTCATTGCATGGGCGACTTTACAGGGTTTTTATAGTAATTAAGAGATTATTCAGACAGTTTTAGACGTAAAACTTACTCATTAGACCCTAATCTCGATTGCCAAAGTTTAAAAAAGCCAATTGACCTTTCAGAGGTACTAATAATTTTTAAATTCGCAGACGACCCATCCAAATGGCCTCAACAATGTATGATTTGAATAAAAAACACTTGAGAGTGTTTATACGAGCCGAGCCAAGCAGATTAGCCCCATCTTATGAAACTTTAATCGAGCTAGAGCGCTTTCTTGGTTTGTTTAGTCAAGATTTGTAGTGGAATAAATGTCTCTTTGCCCATTACATAACCCTATAACTCAAAAACAACACATATTTTATATATAGTTTCTTTTAATTTCCCCCATTATTAACACCAACATTTATATAATTTCGCCGATTTAATGTCTAGACTTTCAACCTCAATTCCCCATCCTACTCTTAAACAATTCGACATAGTGATTAATTACTTGGAACTTCATCGTATTCGGCCCGTATTAATTATTCTAATCAGATTTTTGAGCTCCCTATTAACATGTATTTGTAATAACATTTTTTGACAGTATTCTAAGTATTATCCATATTCCTGTCAAGCCTTTTACCCACGTTTTGTAGTCTTACATTCGTATGTTGTAACAGGTATCTTTACAATGTTTCGCTCACTTATATGCTTTTCGAATGTCCTCACGAATGCCCAGTTCCAAGCTATTACAACTTCGTTACAACATTAACATTCTCGCATTCCCTTTTCGAAGGTCTCCTGAGTGTGCTTATCTATAATTTTATAGCACTTGCTATTACGTAAGTACTCTGTAATGTTTATAGTAATCGTCTGTTCTGAGTATACACCGCTACCTTTTCCTATGACATATTTTTTGTTTAGAAATTTCTGGGTTCTCGAGTTTCGGGCAAATTGTTCCGGACCAATGATCACAACGATTGATAGCCATTACTATTTTTATAATTCGAGATGAATTCGTCTCCAAATTCACTCATTTTTAACTGCCCTCCTGTGAATTAGTTTTCCCTCATCGAGTGGGTTAAAGATCGCCTGAGGCTGTTCGATCTGAAATTAATTTTGAAGATTAAGGAACAAGGAAAAAAGGAAACAAGTGTTCCAAACTTCTAAAATAATGTTTAGTCACACATAAAGCATTTTTGGAACGCCCATCAAAGGTTTGCGTCCTCCAAACGTGTGGATGCCCAAGTTCTTGTTGGTAATATGACTCAATTCTGATATTTATGTGTCGAAATTTAATCCCTGCAAAACGATAGACACCTAGCCCTTTTTTTATCATCTCTGAACCCCTCTCCTAACCCTGTTGTTGTCATATTATTATGTCTTTTTGTAATACAAAAGCCACGTTTCATGGAATCGCCTGACGTCAACGCCCCTTGGAAGGCGGTTCCCCGCCCTGAGGGTCAAGGTTTTTCTCCCGTTTTCATTCTCCTATTCCTTGGCCACGTGATTTTGTTTTTCTCAGCTTCTCCGGCCCTCAGGGCATTTCCATAGTTTCTAGGTCTCATTTCCCTCGTTTGGCCCATAATTTTTTTCAGAGTGAATATTACAGTGATTGAAAAAGGGTTGATTGCCTTGAATATGGAGCGGTTTTTATTATTTGTTCAATTAGACACCCCCTTCCTTCGCCTTCTTCGTCTTTTACTTCTCTTTTCTCGTGACTCAGCTGATTGGGAAACCCATCTCGAGAGGGAAAAGATTTAAACGGATTTTTGCCTGATTTCTCACGAGTTGAATGGGATTTAATTGGAGAGAGCATACAGAAGAAGGAGAGCGTTTTCGACCTTTAAAGCCACCGGAGGTGAAATTTTTCTTAGTTCGTTATACGCCTGACAGCTCGGGTTTATGACAAAATCCTTTCCAGAATCCATTACAAATGTGTTTTGAATCCATGACGGATTTATTTACGCGTATTTGGTAATAATGTCTTGTGATATACATCCATATACAAAGGGCATGTCGTAACAACCGCATTACAATTTCTAAGGCTTATCCTTTTTTATAATTTTAAGATTCTGATGACGCAATCTTAGGGACTTCCCTTGCCATTAAGTGACCTTCAGCCAGCAGTTTTTTCTCGCATTTCAACGTTTACTCACCAAAGTTTCGAAACACAAAAAGGCTAGAAAATACTGGAGACAACAAGATTCTTTCCCCAAGTTTCTTCACAGACTATAAAATAGAGAGCAGCCAAGAGTGGGCGTCTTACAGAGAGAGGGCCAGACACAGGTCAAGTAGAACAAAAAAGCCCTGACCAACTCAATCAGCTGATAATCCAAAGGAAGGGAACTAGGCCCTGAGGGAAAAAGGTTTGCGAAATTCTCTTTTTTTGTCGTGTTTACAACTTTCGCCGAGCGCCGGTGTAAACACGTGGTGAACGAAGAAGGGGAGGAACGTGAGGTCTTCTTGATGTTAGTCCATGCTAATTGCTGCATTTTGACAGAGTTCGTATTTGTAGTACGGATGCTGTCCTGCCATAATAACTTCCTATTTTTTCTATTACTTCTGAAATTGACATCAACTATTTGTTTCGTAAAGATTGACATATGACTTTCCGTGTACCCAACATATGACAATTGACGTATCAACATTGGTAGGTCAAATGCCACCAATCCTTGTGATTTGACGCCTCTAGACCAATAATTCGGGCCCCAAACGCCCTCCGGCGAAACGGTTTTGCGGGTTAATGTCGGATGACCTCACTTCTCCTAGATATTCGATACCCTTTGTTGTAATCGATCTATGTTTATATAGTCGCCCGCTATTTGTTTATAACAATGTCTCTTTTATCAGCGTTTAATGTGCTCATGTCGGGAAAAGGGGGGAGAAGAATTCCGTCTTTTTAGGTCATTTCCTTAGGGTTTAAACGTTAGGGAGAATGGGGAATGCACTCTTGCGCGGGCATTTTCTGAAAGAAAATTAGGTCTTATGAGAAGATGAAAGATCGTGCAAAAGTGAGAGATTGGGCAGAAATGGAAGAAAGAGCACGGCAGACAGAGAGAGTGTCCAGAGATTTTCTTGAAAGTAATTTTATCTATTTTAGTTAATCAGAAGGAAGTGAATCTGTCTTGGGAGATCCACGCTTCCAAAAGTATTGGACCGGAAATGGGGGTCAAAGTTCCATTATTTGCAGTGATTTTAAACTCTTTTTTCGCTACACCTACGCACCAATTCAAATGCAAAATGCATCATCCATCCCCACTTTTTGTGACTCCCATTATTTCCGTTGGAATTACGTAATTCCATTGATAAGCCTTAAGTTAAGACCAAAAGTTGGCAGTTAATACACTCTTTTATGTGTCTGATTCATCACTCCAAACACTTGTATGTGAACAGTAACTGATTACTCTGTTCGCAGCCACTTGATCGTGTTACTTATCACACCTTGCCCTCTCTTATACGTGTTTTTACCGAGACGGACGTGTTTACCGCGATTCAGACGCCCCGATTTTATTTCCCCGAGATTATACAAGGAATTTGAATACAAAAATAAATTTCATAAAATGCAAGGGAAGGGTGAGTCAGAAGGCTGGGAGAGGGGGCGTTTTGGTGCCTGGAGGGGGGAGCGACCGAAGAAAGAAACGCTCTGGCCGCGACTTTATTCATGGCATGCGGCAAGGCGAGGCGAGGGGGGAGGGGAGGTCGCGACTCCATTCCGGGAATCAGAAGGGGTCTGGAGCAGCTGACAACAACTCCACCTGCTCATTCACGTCGGGCCCCGCGTTTCCCGCGCATTCCTCTTGTCATCGCCGCATCTGCAAACTGACGACCTTGAACGGGCGGGGGGAGGGCAGAGAGGCGCTTGCATTTCTGCACCCCACTTGCACCTCTATCCATGTGCATTCGGCGTCCCGTTGAGCGAAGCGAGATCTTTAAACGTAGCAGCGAGGCGATTTCTCGGCATCTATCCTCTTTTTAAGGTTCTGTTATCCTTTTTTGGGGTTCTCATTTGGACTCCGGTCTTCGGCCGATGTCTCAGTCCCTCTAATTGAAGCATTCTAATTCGCGAACTTTTTTCTTGACGTAATTTCAATGCTGTACATGTTCTTAATTTGCCTTTCCCCATTCCCAACTCTATGTCCCAGGATTGCCCTTTGGCGTCTTTTCCAACGATCATGTTTCCCAAAATTCCCCTTTATCTTCTTGTGAATGCACTATGCCCTATTTATATCCACTGTGCCGTCGATGTGTGCACTCTGTCACATGCATAGCACTCGGGATTTGTGGCCTTGCGCAGAGTGCAATCCCAACATTCGATTCTTTATCGAAAGCACTCTTTAATTAGGCCCTAGGACCGGAGAGCAGGGCCTCGGGGTTGCAACTCACTCTTTCGAAATAGGCCTACAATAAACAGTTTTGTCTCGTTTCCCTCCAGCCAGCATTGTTTTTTGGTTGCGCAAGAAAAAAGGTGGGGTGCCATGTCGCGGTCGCCCCCCCCCCTTCCTAAAACGAGGTGCGGAGAAGACGGTTGTACGGAAGAGGTCGCGTGTTTTGGAAAACAAGCCAAGAATCTCGGTCGCTTATCGCTCAACCGTCTTGTTTATTCTTCCGGTTTGTTGTTTTTGAGCTCTGGGAAAGCGCCGGTGCTGGTGCGCGGCCTGGCCTAGATTAGTGACAGAGCCCTTGTTTACCGTTCCGAACGGCCCACAACAATGAAAAAAACAGCGGACCTTATTTATGTTGTCGCACGTGTCTTTGGCCACCGCCAACTCTTATGGTCACATGTGGAGAGAGGCACCCGAAACGGGGCCGGCCCCCCAAACTCATCACCCCATGCCTGTCGCGCACTCTCCTTTCGTGTCCCTTATTTTTGGACCAACGCCAGATGTGTTGTCGGAGTAATTTGGCGCGCATTTCTGCCTTCTTTCCCCCTCCCTTGCGTTAAATAAATCCGTTTGTCTTCGCGCCTGGCAGGTCGCCAGAAATTGGCAGAGAGCGAAGTTGTGAGCGACCTTTTGCCTCCACATGCAAGACCGAAGAGGCTTTGCATGAAAGGGCCTTGAGAAGAAGACGAGCGGGGTTACCCTGCCTGCTGCCGGTGTACCGTGCAGTGCCATCTTCGCGCAGAGATTGCGAGATCTGGCTCAGACGCTCGGTCTCACCTCGCGGGAATGAATGGAAGGAGCCGAGCACGGCGGGATGACGTGAGTTGGGTGTGGGGACAGACTAAGCCAAAGACTGGGAGGAGGGAGCGGCTTCGGCCTCGCCTTCTCCCCTCCTTCTCCATTCCAGCCAGGCCGTTCGACGGCGGCCAATGTCCCTTCTTCCGCTCCTCGCGAAAAGACCCCGAGGCCGGCGCTCTTTTTGTTTCTTTTGCCTCAGCTGACCGGAGAACAGCATCCAGGCGCTCCTCGTCCCCCCTGCCCGGGACACGTGCACTTCATCGCGCGTTTGGGGTTGTGTCGGCTCGTGCCTGGACTTGTCGCGTTCCGTTTTTTCGCCGGCGTCGACCGTCCTCCCACCTTTTTTTCGGCGACCGTTCCTTTTCTCTCCGTTCTGTTCCGTCGCGACAAAACCCCGCTGGTCGGTTGCTACCCCCCCCTTTTCCATTCTCGGTTAAGAGCAGCTGACTGAGCGGATGGGACTGGCGGATTGCTCGCGTGAACGGTGTCATAAGGACCGCTAGGATCTCGGGGATTTCATTTCATCACCCATCCAGTGGCCGAGAATGGGCGGCGCGAAATAAAAGAGCCCGGGGGCTTTTCCTTTTGTAGGGAGAAACCCCGACTCCAGAATCAGACGCCGAGGTCATTCGGGGTGCAGACTCTCGACAACGTCATGTGCTCGCCTCTCTTCAGATTATCGCCTCCCTTCCACGTAAAAGTTACGATTGTCTCGTCGCGTCGCGCCTTGTTTTTGTCGCCATTTGCCCCCATAAAAGCGAAAAAAGGGTGGTGGCGCAATTTTCCCTCAAAAACTCATTGATTTCGAAACGTTTTTTCGTCTTTTTTGCCTTGTTCCCAGAAACTTTATGGCTCTATCGTTTTTATGAAACTCGCACTGTTGGGAGACAAAAAAAATTTATCCACCCATTAATTTCTCATGCCCTAAACACAAATGGCGATCCGTCTAGCCCCCAGTAAGATTCCTCGGGTATTAATCAGAAGCTCTGCCTCCAGAACCGCTCTCATTTGCAGCCTTTGTCTTAATATTGCACAACCCTGATCCATTGATACCGCCGATCTATAATATTTCTGTGTTTGCTCACTCAAAAGTGTCTTCAAACAACAATAGACTGATGCCCCCATGAGGATAGTTTCCCGACTTTTATCCTTGCTTTATGCTTTGTTCTCCAAATCGGAGCCTAATCAGCTTTCAATTCGGCGGTAATAATTCTTTATTATTATGTTTATGGATACCATTTGATATTCCGAAAGAATTTCCCAACCTATTTCAATTCGAATGTCACGTGCTAGCGTTCTTCTTCTTTCATTCTGGCTCGTTTTTATTCATTTCCCAAAATTTTTGTATTTCGAAATTGTGGGCGCAGCTCGCCGACGAAATTCTGTCGCCGAGATGAATATTGGATTTTTGTGTGAATCGCACAAAATTTCCCACAAAGTGAGCTGACGACGAGATTTTATTTGCTTGCGACATTCGCAGCTGGATTCGGAAGTTGTTTTCGGGGTCTGTGCGCGGTCCCCAAACGCTCGAAAAACCGGACCTTTCCGGGATCTGAGGTGAACTCTTGTCGCGCGACCTTTTTTGTTCCCTCTGGCAACCCACTCCATCGAGACTCTCCGTCGACTGATTCCCCCCGTTTTGGAGTGTATTGTCGTGCAATTCCCTTGGAACCGAATTCCTTTTTTCTCGCCCCAGAAACATTCATTCATTCGACCTTTTTCTCTTTTAAGACTCTCAAATTCAACGTTGAATCAAGACTTCTGAAGTCGTCCCTTCCACGCATACGTTTGCTTCTTTTTTGCCACACGCGGCGACCTTTACACAAGTAGAAGATGAGCCGTGGAAAGAACGCCTACAAACGAGGAAACAAGACATTGGCCTGGTATCTAGGAGAGAAACTCTTGGACAAGGTGGACACTCAAGGTGGGTTCGCGCTTTCTAGTTTGTAGAATGGGTTTAGTTCTGGTTTCCCGGAAATTCTTGGAGAATTTCGCTGGTACATAAAATCTCTAAAATAAATCTTTTGTGATGGATAATGCAAAGGGGTCTTCTACTCCTAATTAATTAGGAGATTGCTCTCTTCTGTCCCGTGAATCTTGAATCCCTTCCGATTACCTTGACCTTTTTGTCCTTTTGTGTTGCACTTTGCCAGTCACATGGTCTGCCGGGATATCCTTTTTTTATCCGAATGCACTTTCATTGAACTTTTTAGATAATTCCGGGAATATTCCTATTTCGGGAGGAGCACGGTGCCGTTAGTACCATGCCGAGAATGCAAAGTGCAACCCTTTTTTGAGCGTAATTCTGTACTCTATTAGACTCCCATTGCTGCACTTAAGACTTAGTGCAGATGGGAGGGTCCGAACTTTGAGCATTTGTTCTCGAAAAGTGCATATCGTGGACAATTCCAGCATACAAATTCTTATTCCTCATTCATTCCAGATATCGAGGTGGACCCGAAACGCAAGAATTCTGTGGATTCAGAATCCTCGATGAACTCGATGCATGTGAATCAAGAGGCCGAGCCGCGGCCCAAGAAGGAGAAGAAGCCCCGGCAGAATCGACGACGTAATGTCTCCGAGCAGTCGGATAAGATCGAAGAGACCTTCGAATCGCCCGAGCCTCAGACGACTCCGGAGCCAGTCAAAGAGAGCTACTGGTACTACGATCAGACTTCGGATGGGTTCTACTACGAACACAATGGATCCAGAGGATGGAGAAAGAGGAACCCGAAGCTCCATGGGAATCCTCCCACCAATCTGCAGAAGAAGACTTTTGAGACCGAACCGAATGAGACGCCTGCTCCACAGACCATCGAGAAGGTAAGCATCCAATTACACTACTAATTAGAGTAATGAGTGGGTACCTAGAATTCAGTGATTCTGCGAGGGAACCCTTTATACTGTAATTTCCCCCTTTTTTCTTTTGCAGTAAAAATTCATTTAGAAATGAGATTAGCCGGGGATTAGTCATCAGTATAATAAAATTTCTACTTTTATTTTTTCCGACTCCACATCATTTTGTCCGACGTAAAAGGCAAGGAGCACTTACGTCTGACCCTAAGTTGTGAACTAATAACACGCAATTCCACGTCAATTCACGTCTATTTTTGCTCAATATTAGTTCTTTTCAGAAGGTGTATGTGCCAGTGCCGGTTCCAGTGTTCCCGACCCAGGCATCCAGCAAATTGTTTAATCAGGCAGCCCAACCTGCGACTCTTCCCAACATCAAGTGAGTAATTCTTATTTTTTTATTTGTCTCCCGGTTAGACTTTGTTTTTCGGTATGATTCATAACCAACTCATGTTTTTTAAAAGTTGAGTTTTGAACTCTTGGAGGTTAATCGAGATTTTGTATTCGGGTTTTTTCGGAGGAATCGGAAATGTTGTTTATAGTACGATTTTTACCTTATACTGGAGGGTAATTACTGACTATTTCCTGTTTTTAGGTATTACGATCCTTCAACTGATGGATTCTTCTATGAGATGGCGTCGGTGAACGGATGGACTCGCAGACGACCGTCCAGTTCACAGATCGGTCAAAAGGCGGATGGGTCTTCAATGGCCAGGGAGATGACCAATCATGAGGTCGAGGAGCTGGTCTTGAGCAAGGTCGATGCGAATGGAGCCCCCAAATTGAACATTGCGATGGCCCAACTCTTGGCCAGACAAATGTCGAAGAACCAACAGAACCAGCAGACAGTTGACGACTATCCGTCTTCTTCGTCAACGGTCTCATCAACACATTCGGATGACGTCACTCCCCCTCCACCATCGGTTCAGAATCCGAATACGCAAAAGGATTTGAATGTGGGATCATTCGAAGAACCCTACGAGTTTTATTGGAGCGATAATGAGAAGAATGAGAAGGGTATTGAACCTGCATCATCAACTTCCAGTGTCGATGAATTCGTGAAGCCCAATCCATTGAGTGCATTCTTCGGAGAAATGTGTTTGGAAGATCAGAACAGACCTTTGAGGCCCGATTCTTTGAAGTGAGTTTACTTTTGTTTACTTGATTTTACATAAATTATGATTGTTTTGTCAATACTGACGGGTCCTTTTCAGAATCAAAAATCAGCTGAATGCTGGGAATGATAAGCGACTTCCACGTTTCAACGTCGACCAATTCATCGCCGATTTGCCCATGGGAGACGCGGACCACTTCCTGAACAATCTGAATTCCCTGGCTACTCCATTGTCGTTGGATTCTCCAGCTCATTTCAGTCATTTCCCCACAAAGGACTCGCCTTTTATGACTCCAGTTGTAAATCAGAAGGAAGCCGGCTGGAACAGGATGGATCACGCTTCTCTTGACTTAGAACGTGGACTCCGAGACCTCGAGAGATTCTGGAATTGAATCACGAACATCATGTCTCGCCGGTCGAACATGTAATTTCATTTTTCCATATTACACTTGATATTATTCCATAGGATTTTTTGATTTTTTTATCTTAATGGTCTTCTCTCATTCTCTTTTCGCTTTTTGTAGCTGACTTTACGTGTGTCTCACATATCACGTCCGATATATATAATCTATCGCCCTTCCCATCTACATCTCCGCTCTATTTTGTATGGAATGCTGTACATAGTTATGTATACGATGTTCGTCGCCCCTCTTATTGTCTGTACATTGCTTAGAGATGCCTCTCCATAGGACCATAATGCCTTCTCATTCTATTTATATGTGTTGTGTATATGGCTGTATATACATCAGTATACCATACTATTATAATTACCTTGTTGTTCTTTGTTTCTTCGTCCCTCGTTCTCAGAGAACGTCGGATCGTCTTCTTTTCTCGATTTAGGAATAGGATTTAAATTAAGGCTAGGACCAGAAAGTCTTGGCCATCTTCTTTTAGGGACTCTAAACACAAAATCCCCACAAAATATTCAAATTAGTTGAAATAAACATGGAGAAAAAAATAATTCGGATTATTTTTGACAAAAAAATCAGATTGAGTTTTGGTAATCTTATCGACTGGTCGATGGATCGGGATGGTATCAGCCACAGAGGATGACAAAAATAGTGGGTCGGAATTGATTGCAAAATCTGGTGAAGAGAAACAAAAAGATAATGAGGAAGAGCCGGAGAGTCTTCTGGTATTCTTTTTACAGGTAAAATACGCATGCAAGTTCTCATTTTCTTGCAAGGGGGGAGTCTTTCAAGTGGAAAAAACAAAAATTAAAATAGTAGAATTGGACGAACGTCAAGGGCTCAAATTCAATCGCTAGTGCTTTTCTAAAACCGCCGGAATTTTTTTGTCGAAAATTAGCAAAAAATTAGAATTTGGTTTGCGATGTTTGGCATAAAAATTGCAGTTACTAATTCCGTGTTTTTAAGTCCAAAGAATCAATTTTTTCCGCGCGGAAGCGGCAGGTAGGCGCTAACTGCGTTTTTCGTCCGGCCGACTCTCCTTAATTCGCATGCTCTCTCGCAATAAAAGTTTTGAATATTTCCGCTGCCGTTGAGAAGCGTGGACCAAGCTTTCACGGGCTGCTTTTTGTGACTAGTGTAACACTCGCATGCAAACCTTGAAGCAAATATAGATGCCTTTCTGAATGCCTTCTCTTATTGGTTTAGAGAGTGATTGATAAAATTTTGATCTTTCCAGGCAACTCCAGCCCTAATTCTGGCAGCTCTGGGCACCATCTTCACTGGTTATCTCTACAACATTGCCGAGGGATCCGAGTTCTTTTCCGAGATCCGTGAAGCGTTCATGGTCGCCCCTCCGATCCTCGGCCTCAAGGGTAATATCGAGATGACTCTGGTGTCTCGTCTGTCCACGATGGCCCATCGAAAGAGCACCAAAGCCAAGTGGAAGGACTGGTTCTTCTCCCTTTACGTCAACCTTACATTGCTCTGGACTCAAGCCTTTTTTCTTACCGTCGCGACTTGTCTTCTTACCAGTGTGGCTTTGGCGTTTGAGAATACGATCCTCGGGAAGGATGTGATAATTTTATTCAGCAGTGCTCTCACATCTACAACCCTAGCAGCAGTCATCTTAGGTACAATAATGTGCTTTCTGGTCTGTTTCTCCATCTATATTAAGGCTAATCCGGATAATATTGCAACGCCATTGTCGGCATCGGCCAGCGATGTCGTCACACTCACACTTTTTGTAAGTTTTCTTGTACATCTGGACGGAATGCATGGCATTTTAGATGTACATTGGGACGGGTGAGATCAAATTGGAGAGAATTCATTACGCAATTAACTTGATTCCAATCATTTTGAACATCATTATGCTCCCGGGAATGATTTATGTGGCATTTATGAATGATGACACGAGGCCGACACTTCTTTTTGGATGGACTTTTTTGGTATTGGCAGTGCTTTTGAGCAGGTATATTAATCGCTTCATGAGATGATTGCTTTATTATTTAACTTTGATTTTAGTCTTGGCGGATACATCTTCAAATGGGCATCGGCTCATTATCCAAATTCAGTGATATTTCAACCTCTATTATCAAGTAAGATTACCTCGATCTGAGATGGATTAATGTCCGTGTTTAGGTCTATGTGGAAATCGAGCATCAATTATGTGCAGTAGGCTGAGTACTGAGTATAATGTGAGCAACGAGAAGAAGACGAGCACTCTGAATGATTCTTTATTGCATCTCTGTAGTCCAGTTACGGTATTTGGTTGTAAAGGTAAAAAAGTTATAGGGGATGCACTGCAAGTTTAAGGGTTCCTTTTTATTAAAATTAAAAGCTAATGTAAGAATTTTTTGTCATGCTCAGGAAGTTTGTTTTGCAGAGGTCGAAAAAATGCGGAAATTTTTTATTAAAATTTCTTTTTGAAAAACGCTTTAGGGTATTGAATTGTGTAATGTTTCAACAAATAATTTTTTCCGAGCTCAACTTTTTGCTTTGTACAAAAAAGGCCTAGATCTTTATTCAAAATTTAAAGTCAAGCGAAAAACAACTTCTGACGATATTATTCTTGCTAATTACAGTACCCACTTCCAGATTCGCACTCCAAATGTGGCGTCCTACTAATTGTAACCGCGGTCCCTTTCCAGTGGTTGTTCGTGATCGTCTTATCCTTCATTTACAAAGGTCCCAATGAAGTGTGGTTCATGGTGATGTTGGTGGCAGCCTCTCTTGTTCAGGTAATCGGCCTCTCCCATGGAGAACATGACTCATGTGTTTGTCCTCTTTCCAGGTCACATTTTTGATTTATTTGTCGCATTGTTTGGTGGCGCTCTTCTCGAGGTTTGATTTGGATCCGGATAACTGCACCATCCCTGTTATCACCTCACTCGGGGATCTGACTGGCGCCGGGATGCTGTACTTTGTCTGCTTCATCGCACACAAAATCGTCCCCCAAACTTTGGAGACGCCCATTTAGGTGGATTACTTTGTAAACAATAAAAAGTTTATGGCATTTTGTTATTTGGTTGTTTACCTGGGTTTATCTTGTACATGACGTCTATTTATGTTTTCGGTTCTGGTAATTCAGGTAATTCATCGACGGAAGAGGCCAGTTCTCTTCTTCCGTCATCTGGGAATGATCTCCGACCCTTTAAAGAAGTGTTTCTACGGTTTCTTGCATATCAATCGCCATTTATAGGACATTAGTCATGATAAGGAAACGCTGAGTCATTTATTTTGATGTCGCTGATGACTGACCGTATCCCCTCCCAGTCCTTATTCAATGAACTCTCTTGCCGATCTCGCTGAACGTTCATCCTTTTCCCCCAATGTTTTCTTTCACGTTTTATAAACCGCGCAATCCCCGAAGACCCCGTTTTTTTGAGTTGACAGAAGTCAGTTCGCCCAATGATTTTTAGGAAATGAATTAAATAAAAATAACGAAGAAGAGTCGGGTTTACAACAACATTTTCTGTTCGTATCAATGCGTGTCTGGACCGGCCTCTTGCTCTTGACCCTATGCGGATCAGCGCTGGGATTTGATTTCTTTGGCCTTTTCGGGAGTAGTGATAGTAGCAGCAGTAAGAAGAAGTCCAAACATCGAGAGGAAACCCCCGTCGATGACAAGAATGCACAGGTAACTGATGAGTAACTGGAACGATTAGTAATCGAAACGGGTCATTAAGGGGTCAACTAAATTATTTTGGGATTAAAACGGATTAATTTGTGGATAAATTATGGAAAATGTTTGAAGATAGAGTAAAGATGATTATACAGATTATACTAGAGATATTTGATGACTAATATCAATTAATTTAAGGAATATTTGTACAAATTTGGATATGCGGGACCCTCTCAGATCCAGGAATCCAGCTTTGGATCGAAGCTGCAAAGCGTCGGAAATACTTTTAAATCGGCCATAAGGTAAGAAAAAGCATTCTAATCAACTTTCACTTAAAAATTAAATATAATCATCTTATTTCCAGGAAATTCCAAGAGTTTGCGGGTATAAATCCAACGGGAGAATTGGACATCAGGACGAGGAAGAAGATGGCCGAGCCCAGATGTGGAATGATGGACGTCCAAGCGCTCCAAGTCACTCGAGGTAACACATTTAAAATACTTAATTCTTGTCTTACATTTATTCCAGAAGACGCCTACAAATGGAAGAAGAACCCTCTAACTTATTCGATCTTTACATATTCATCTGATATTCCGCATGATCAAGTAACGTAAGTCCAATATGTTTTATATTAACCTTAATTCTAGCCGAGCAATCCGAAAAGCCTTCGATGTTTGGTCCGAAGTTTCACCCTTGGACTTTACCGAGACCTCGAATCACAATGAAAACGCCGACATCAAGATCAAATTCGCCTCGAGAAATCATGGAGATCCCTGGCCGTTCGATGGGAAAGGTGGAGTCCTGGCACATGCCACAATGCCTACAAGTGGGATGTTGCACTTCGATGAGGATGAGAATTGGGTGTTCATGGATGCGGAGAAGATCGCCAACTACGGATACACAGACGTTTTTCCAGTCGCGATCCATGAGATTGGCCATGTTTTGGGACTGGAACACTCCCGAACCAAGAACAGTATCATGGCTCCCTTTTATCAGGAAACCGTGGACGACAATGGAAATTATGTCATGCCAAAACTGTCATCTTACGATATCCAATCGATCCAAGACATCTATGGTAAGCACCATCTAACAGGGAGATCATAACGAGTTGTTTAGGCCCCCGAAGAGGTGGCTTCCGACCATCATCTGACTCTTCTGGTGGCAGTAATTGGGGTGGGAGTAGACTAAACACAACTCCCAGACCTCGAACCACCACCGAGTCATCGGATGACGGCTTGTTTGGAAGCCTCTGGTCCAAATGGATGGGCGGACGAAGCTCGGACAGAGATCGGAACAGAACTCCCAAAGAATGGACGGATTGGGACAGCGGAAGATCTAGCTCTGGAGGATCGGATTCGGGAAGCTTTTTCGGACGATCGGATTCTGGCCGAACCCGAAGCGGGTCATCGTCAGGGGGATCAACGGATTCTGGCTTTGGATCTTTCTTCGGAGGGTCTTCTGGAAGAGGAGATTCGAGTGGAAGTGGCAGCTTTGGATGCCCAGGAATGGTCGATGCTATCTCTCCGAGTAGGTGGAACACAAGAATTTTTGAGCACATAGGTTTTATGGTTTTCACCTTACTTGTCTTCCAATGGTTAGTAAAATAGCAGCACTGGCCCTAACATCGCAGTTATGGCTTCCTAACGACTTTGATTGGTAGCCAAAAGTCTAGCTCTTTGGCTAGCCATTTGGGCGATTGAATAAGCTGATTACAAGCCATAAGCCCGATCTGACCGAACAAAAAAATTTCCTAGATGAAATTTAATGATTTTTTCTAATTACATTATTTTAGACCCATCCGGCACTGTATACCTCTTTTCTGGCAGTAAAGTCTTCGAACTCCGTGATAAAACGATTATAAAACAACATTCCCTTCGAACTCTGTTCCCCAACGGCCCTATTTATGTTGAAGCCGCCTACCTGAACAAGAATGATCGAACAATGGTCCTTTTCCAGAGCTACAAAGTATACGTTTTTACGTATTTCGCTGGCCGATACTCTCTGGATTTGAGTTATCCCAAATCACTGCCAAGAACTGTTTCTTTCAACCCGACTGGAGCCATCACTTGGAGCGATGGACATCAATTTATCTTTTCGGTAAGTTCACACGGCGGTTTCAAAGCAACCCTTCGAATGAGCGAAAAAAAACTTTTCGAAAAGAAAGGAATGAAACGGGTGCAAATTGCGGGACCAAGTTATACGATAGAAGTTTTTCGAGTTACAGTGCAAAACAAAGACAAGCAATTTATTTGCGTGTAACAGGGTATGTAAACGGGTCTAAATAGGTGAACTATTCATAATTATATCGAATTAAATAAAAATGTGAGGTATGGGTTCAACCGTGATGATCATAATCTTCGGATTCCATAATTACGTTCGCGATGTTTCGCCGCTTATAAAAAGCATGTCGACGTTCCGTTTCTACTAGACTAAAAAAGATCAAAGAACACACTGAGCCAAGAGAGTCCGTAGTAAGATTGCCCTGGAAGTTACACTTCATCTTCATTATTAAGGAGAGCTTTACAGCTACCTGACGGGTGCAAACATTTGGCCTGTGTGAATTCCGTTTATGGGAATTTTTTTTCACGACGATCGCTCTTCTTCAAGATAATGAAGATAATAAAGGAATTTGGCATAATTACAAGGTTATGGACCATTTCAGTCATAAAACACATGTGCAATATTGAGGTTTTGTTTCAAAGTGTTTGTTCTCTATCGCAACTTTGTTGCTTTAAAATACCTCATTTAAAATTCAGATCGTTTAAAATAGAAATACTTACCTTCCCGAATGTCGGACATTACAAGGAGGCACAGTTATAGCACATTTGCGCAACGTTTTCTAGTTTACAAGGTTTTTAAGCGGAAGAAGAGGTCTTTAGAACTCATTTATGGTATGGCTACTGTAACCTCATAGTCTTACAATACAAATAAATTTTTTAGAATTCGTATTACTGAATATTCTAGAGAGTCCTATACAAATCATGTTGAGTTAGTTCAGCTGTCTCAAGTGTAACATAAAACAAGAAAAATGTAATCTACAGGTTAAGTACAATTAACAACGTCAAAAGCGTTCACGTATCAACTTTATTTTATGCAAATTTTGTGGTTGTCAACAATTCCTACGATTTTACTGCGATTTCTCTCCGCCAATGTCATGATTACCGTATCTTTCGCTTTAAACAATGGTTCAAAATCGAAGTCGATGATCCAAATTTTTTATGTATAGACAATCGCTGTTTGATTAAGTTTTTAAATCTCTGGTCGATTTTTGATTAAAGGTCTCATTAAAGAGATACTGTAGTTTTAGTGACATTTTTCAAACCTCTGATTTTTTGGTGTTTTTCAAAAGACTATAACTCCTAGTATATCCCACCGTTTTTTACATTTAAGGTGTTGTTCGTTTTGTCAGGAGCTTAGCTCTGTAACTAGGCTATCAGTTTTTCCAAATTTCACCGTATACGTATGTTACACCAGTTGTAAAATACGGTTTTTTCGGCTTTAAACAACATACCTCTAAATCCAACCAATTTTCGAAATCTTTATGCCATTATATCAGTAAAGTAATGCTCTTTCTTAATCTCTGGTCGATTTTTAATCCGACCCTTACCAACAAAGTTATGACAAAAAAGGTCGTAAAATCGCCCTTTTCCGCTCCGCGAGCTGCCGCCAGGCTTCAAAAACGAGACCAAACGAAGGAAATTTTTTCCCTTTGTTGAAACCGCCGTGATTCAGGAGGAAAATTTGAGAAAAATTATCGGTGGAGAGAAAGACTTGGCTCGAAATTTGATTCGGTGTAAAGTCTTCCTCTTGGATTGAATAAGGGTTGTTGAAACGTTTTCTTGGAGGAAAATCGACTGTTTTAGATATAAGTGTGCTCTATTTGTTATATTTGAGATATTTAATTTCAGCGTGCCGACGATTTCGCTACTTATGACGAGTATTGGAACGAGGTCCTAAAGGAAGACAAAGTTTCTCGCTATTTCCCTGGATTGCCCCGAGGCATCCGAGGGGGTCTTCCTTCTTCAGGATCTCGAGTCACAGTCTTCACTCGCGACAAAGTCATGGATTATGATACGAGTCGAAAAATGGCGGTAGGATCCGGCCAAAGTATAGGTTCCTATCTCCGATGCTGATGTAAAAAACCTCGAACTTGTTATGTAATTGTTATAAGAGTATAAACAAATCGTTTTAAACTACACTAATCACCGTTCTTCCATTGTTGGGCGAATCCATAGGGTTTTGCTAATTACGGTAAATGTGGGTCAAGCAGAGAAGAAAGGTTGTTACGATTAAATTGCAAATGCAAGAGACGTTCGAGTCACCGAGTTCTGGTAGTGTTTAGGATGAGGGCGCCGCTGAAAGGGTTGTTGTCAGCAATCGGGCAGAATTATGTGGACTTTTTGATTAAGTAAGGCGCTCATGTCACCTAAAATAATGTTGACTGTAATGCCCAAGATGCGATGCTCCGATTTGGATGAAAAGTGACGTGCATGTTTAACGAGCCTCTAAATTAATCCTTGAAACCTTTAGATCAAAGATTTTAAAGCTCGGCTAGAATTTTAACGTTCCTTCAAAACGAAATTTAAAACGAGAGAGCATGAAAAACGAAGAGAGACGGACAGAAAAAAAAAATTTTTTGGCTGTTTCTTTTCAAATAAAGCATCAAGTATTTCTTATAGGGCTCTAATCTAAATTTTGACCAAGTCTCATCGAAATCTGAGCATTACATTTACCCCCTTCCAATATACAAAATCTATTTTTTTGCTGTTAATTCTTCAAATTCAGCTACCCGAAACTCTTCGTTATCGCTCCAATTATCGTAACTGTCGTTTTATCGACTGGTATTTCCAAGTTCCACATTATCCGAGGTGTCCATTTCTTATATTCTCCTTCCGATGCTCCTTGGATTGACGAAGAAATGGCTGTAAAATCACTTTGGGCCCAAAATGATGACAAATTCTATCCTGGAAAAGATGTTTTGCTACGTAACGGCATCTTTTTCATTATCAAAGCGAGGGATGATGGGAATGTATTGAGTGCCGAGAACAGTTTAGAGATGATTTCGATTATTGATGCCGTCAAAAATTTTACCTTCTTGACTAAAAATGGAGATGAGTATCAGTAAGATTTCACAACAATATAAAATTTGGTTATTTCAGATACCAAAATGTCTGTTTGCACTTTCAAAATCAATGCTTTTCGAATACCCATATTCGAATATTGGCGCAGATCTTTGCCGAGAGTGATGAGGCAAGAGAACATACCGTAATCAGGGTTTTAAAATGATTTAGAAGCACCTGAATGTGACCTATCCCCTGTTCTCGTCCAAATTCCTCACCGAACCAATCGATCTGAGCTCTGTTTTGGGGGGCGTAAAAGTCCAAAATGGTCATGTTTCCGAAGCCAAAGTTTGGATTCTGGCCTATCAATTGAGACAGAAGACCGAGGAATTAAAGAGATTCTCATCGTAAGATTTTTTGGATTTTTTACAAAAAAAAATTAGAGAATTCATTCACCAGTTGCCGCAAAAGATCGATCAACTGAATTTAACACACCTCAATGTTTATCACTTCCATTCCGAGACATTTGATGATGAACTCGCTCAAAATGCCCTCAGGATGCTCCCAAAGTAAGCCAAAATGTCTTTCTGCACTGTGCAGTCACAAACTTCTCGATTTGCACAGTGCGGCAAATAAGTGGATTGCACTGTGCAAAATTGTCATTCCGCAAAAGAAATAAACGCACCCTACTTTTACTTTAACAGGCTTTGAAATATATGTATACGTGAATACAGTAGTGATGAGATAACTTTAGATTTTCAATCACCTTTACAATTCTCATCGTTTTCTCGGTGATTTGCACCTTCACCTTATTCGAGACCCCGGATGGGCTTTATTTGGATTGGATCCGATCAAAACCTTTGATGGGAATAATCGGGGTCCTCTCAACTCTGATGGCCATTACATCTGCTATCGGAGTCCTGCTCTGGTTTGACGTTACTTTCGTCGAGATGTGTTCAGTCATGCCTTTTCTCAGTTTAAGTAGGTACAATCAGGCTAAAACACTGTAATTTTCCCTGTTTTAGCCATCGGAATTGATGATTCCTTCCTTCTACTCTCTTCCTGGCACAGTACCAACCCCGCAGACAATGTGAAAACTCGCTTATCGCAGTGTCTCGGCCATGCCGCCAGTTCCATTACAATTACCTCCATCACGGACACTCTGGCATTCCTGATTGGATCGATCGCGCCTCTGCCGGCAGTCAAATACTTTTGTTATTACTCCTGCGTGGCTATTATATTCATCTATCTCTACACAATGACTTTGTTTTCGGCTTCTTTGGCCATCCTTGGAGGCTGGGAAAGAGAGAAAAGAAATTCCGTTTTTTACGTCAAAACCAAAGAATACAGTAAAAAATGTAAGGGAAGTTTGACAAGGAAGAGATACGACGCTTTGATTTGGAGAATTGACATCAATTCTTTTAATTATTTATCTATAAGTGTATTACAGTATCCTTATTTGACCGGACCTTTAACACTGGAAATGGCGAGATCCCCCAGAAACATAAGAAAGTTTGGTATCAAATAATGTTCGGAGAGAAGTTTGGAAGTGTCCTAACAAAGCCTTGGATTCAAATACTAGTGCTAATTTCATACATCGTCTACATTACATTAACCGCCATTGGTTTGGAGAGTCTCAAGATCGGATTCAATGTGAGATTACTCTCCAAAATACAATTAACAATCCCAGGTAACCAACATTGTCTCGGAAAATGAAAGTGCGACCAAGTTCTTGGAGCTCCGCCAAAAATATTTCGAGACAGACGCCTCCGAATTCGATTTATTGGTCATGAATCCTCCAAATTTGGGAAATCACACCCAACGGCGTCACTTTTTGAACATTCTAGAGGAATTTGAGAGCAACAAATGCGCCAGAAATCGAAGTCACACTTCGTTTTGGCTGTTCGAGTATCAAAAATATCTGGAAAATTTGGGATTTGAGTCATTCGACGATATTGATCTGGACAAAGAGGTCAGAAAAATTGTTGTTAATATATTTAAGAGAAGTTTAGACCTTTGATCAGGACATAACTCCCTTCCTGATGTCGTCGGACAAGTTTTCTTACGATTACATACCAAATAAGGCCTTTCGTTTGACCATTCAAATGAATCCTTTCGAAAATGAAACTCAGATCTCGGAATGCGCCAAAATTATTCGGGACGTCTGTAATAGACATCCTGAATACAAACTGACTTCGTTCACCCCAATCTGGAACCTCGCCGATCAATTGGACACTATGTGGACTCAGACTATGCAAGATTTGTACATATCTGTTGGTATGTCATGGTGCACATCTCGGTGTAAATTATGGAATGTTTTAGGGGTCATGGTCGCCATCTCTCTGTTATTTATGCCTGAGGTTAAGTGTGGTCTGGTGATTGGGACGAGCATCTTGTCCGTTGGCTTTGGAGTTTTGGGCTTTATAGATTTCTGGGATGTAAAATTAGATGCGACTTCGATGATAACGATCGCCATGAGTGTTGGATTCAGTGTGGACTTCGCAGCTCACGTTGTCTATGCATTTAACGAGCAAGGGGGACAAGTGTAAGTTAAAAATCATATAAACCATCCTTAAGCTCCCCGGATAACCGGTTAAAAACTGCGCTGGGGACCGTTGGATGGCCAATATCGCAAGGAACAACGTCCGTCTTTTTCGGGGTTATCGTCCTCGGAACTATCAATAGTTATATAGTCCGAACATGCTTCAAAACCATATTTTTAGTGATCTCTTTTGGTAAGATTCAATTATGTTATACTAGATGATGATTTAGGTATAACGCATGCTCTAATCTACATTCCGGTACTTCTCAATGTAATCAATAAGCTCGAAGCTTTTTTATTCAATAAAAAGTAACTTACATAATAATTTAAGCCTCTTTATACTTTACAGTTGATATTATTCATAACAAGGGGTTCTTTCGAGGTTTGATGGGAAACAGCTTCCCTTCTGCCTCTAACTGAGAGTACGCCAGATTCAAATGTCTTGGAGATAAAGGTCCAGTATCACCGAGAGATTGCTTCACATCCAACGCTAAAAATAGAAACAAAATATATAAAGTTACCTACCTTCTTCAATAAGTTCACCAACAAAGACCTTGGCCATTCCAGCGATGGCGATGGTTACATTTTGACTGATAGGGACCCCAGTATATTGATGACAGAGCTAAAATTATTAGTAGAAAATATAAAACATTGGCCTACTCTTTTGATCACACTCTTTGGGAAACTGGCTCTTCTCATCGCCTCATAGCGCTCAAGTTGTTCTTGACTGAAGTTGGACAAAACAACCTGCATTTTCAACCGATGGGCCTCGTCCTCTTTGGCTTCGGATGTGATCTCCGGCTCGTCATCGCTATCTTCCGGAGTTGATACCTTATCCTTCTCTTCTTCCGCACGTTTGGGTTTCTTTGGAAGTTTCGGAACAGCAAAGTCGTCGTCCGTTGCTTTCGAAGTGGACGGTTCATCTGAGAGACTGATTTCCGATGGTATAAGCCCTTCAGCTGGGATGTCTGCAGTGCTCTAAACGAATAGAACTTGAAAGAAACGTTCTAAACACAATAAAAAAAAATAAAGAATAGTTACCGGTCCGGCATCAAGCAGCGGATCGTCCAGCATGGACAAAGCCGCGTGGAAATCATCCGCCGGCATGCTGTTACTCTTATCGTCATCCATATCCGTATTTGTTTCTACAGTGAGCGCACAAGAATAGCTAGAAATGTTCACAAAAATTTCCAAAAATAATTTTATCAATCAATGTGGCAGTTCGTCTTTTGACATTGCGTTTTTTTTCATTTTTTACGGCGTTTTTTTTCGAAATAATTGTACGGAGGAAACTGTTCGAAAGCGTTTCAGCCCTAAAGTAAAGGAATATAGTGGGCTGGAAGGATGACAAAAGAAGTAAGTTTACAATTGTGTTATATTACACTATTGCTCATTTCAGGAATTGATAAAGAAATGGAATAAAACGGCTGAGGACGACCTTCTTCATGACGATTATAGCGATTTCCTGTCATTGAATCGCGGTCTTCAGAGTTACATTGTAAGTTATCCTCTTATTTTTTTATTTCCTTTAGGATACCAATGACAAATTATGCGAGCCATCCTTCCGATCTCAAGTTGCTCTTCTGAACGCCTCTCTTCTTCATCAATTTAACGGTTGTTTTGTGTTCTTTGATACGGAACGAGCCAAGCAATGTTTAACCCGGTTCGATTATCTAATCGGACTTTCCACAACACTTGAGAAGACGAAATCTTTGATCAGTTTTCAGTCGTATGCCAAATCTTGTTTTTACTACAGACTCGGTGATTATCATTTAGCTACTTTACTGAGAACAGTGAGTTTATGATTTTTTTTTATTCTTAATTCCATCTTTAGAATGCTGAAACCGTTGATCAGACCCATCTTTGCATTGTTGTTACGTGTTACGCCTTTGGATTGCATCATCTTACAAATGGCAAGGCAGTGGCAGATCTTAAAACCGTCGCTGAGAGGCTGAATTTGCTGGAATTAGTATTACTCATCAATGGAAATCTCAAATACATCGGTGGACAAAAAGTTCTCAGAGATTTCATCAAAAGCGAGGATGTAAGTTATATTATACTTGATGGATAATGCCTTTCAGCTTGTCTCGAAGGTAATGAGGAGTGCATTCTTCAACAAGTCCCAATTCTATCCTACCAACAACGACAAATCATTTATAATCTCAGATGTTGCTGATCTCTCCGAGAAGTTTAGTCTTCCGTCCGTCGATTGTCTCAAATTGTTACCAGAAATCTGGAATGCCCGAAAATACAAGTCATTCCTTAACCGATTCTTATGGATCATGTATAACATTCAGCCAATCCACAAAGGTAAGTCCAATTGTTATATTGTTTCACGCTTTAGATGACTTCCTCGACGGAGTCGGAAATATCCAAAAGCTCCCCGGGGACCTGAATATGGGGTTTGATATGAGGAATTTTTCGATTTTGGATCTGAAGGTAAGTACAAAGTTATTGTTTATATAGTAGGAAATGTTTTAGTTGTTGATATTCCGGCTCTCGGATCATTTCCACAGAAGTCTGAACAATTCGGTGTTACATGGAAAAGGAGTTCATCTTCCTTCCCATTTCTATCCATTACTTCACAAACAAGTAATCAGATTATGGAATATCCTCAATAATATTTGTGATGGCGACTCGAAAAAGAAGTAAATCCCATTTTATTTGGTTAATTTGTGTTTAGAATCCAAAAAACAGATGAGATTCACTTTACGACAGCCTTGGAAGAGGTCCGAATGGATGTTGTCTATATCTCGGATAAGATCGGACTTGTGAATTCGACTGTATATTTGGGAGAAAAGGCGAAGAAAGCGTCGACTCCAGAGGAAACCAACGCCTATATCACGTTGTTCGATCGGTATTGGCAAGTCGCCATCTCTGCGGTGACCAATCAACCCTATTCCGAACAACCCTCCAGCTTCTTCCCGGTCATAAAAAGTCACTCCCCAAATATTATTGATGATGATCTTCTGGAATTCAAAGTAAAATTAATCAGGGCGGAAGTCTTGTTGGTCAAAGGCGACAAATTAGCAGCTGAAGAGATTGTGAGTGGAATCAAAGACGAGTTCAAAGAGAATGAACATGTCGTGAGGGTCAAGGGAATCATAAAACATGTAAGTTTAGATTGACTTAGAATTGATTGTGATCTTTTATTAGATGCAGGTCACTGTGAGTCCAAACACAAGTGCATCCCAATTCAATTCGACCATTCTGACTTATGATACCCTCGATGACTCGTTTATGACTGCACAGTGCAACCTCAGCGTGAGTTCTGCTAGTAGCAATGGCACGTTGGAAAAGGTGAGATATTAAAACTTTACATTTCTGGAATCATTTTCAATGATGATGACCACGAATTGTTTTCAGAGTTCATCCGGTTTTCAAATAATTGACCATCCCGACAAGAAGTCTTCGGAAACACAAAAACGCCAAGAATTTCTGAACAAGAAACACGAGAGACTGATAGGAGTCATGGATAATCATTTGGCCAAGGTTCGTCTCGAATTGGAGCAGATCAAAAGGTACGCCGCCGCTCTGAGCTCTATGAACTAACAAGTATAGATCTTCATTTTTAAATCATGTTGTTATCGCTTTTATTTATAAATCAACAATATAAAGAGATCATTCGATGACACAAAATGTCTCCAGAATGTGTCTAGCCATCGGAAGATTGCCGCTTGTTTCGTAGATCAAGGCCAAATTATGGGCGGCCAGTCTCTTGAGGTCGTACTTGTGACCCGTTTCGACTTCACCGAAATCTGTTTGGATTATCGGTGCTTCTGTCTCATGCAACACCTTTTCGTAGAAATAAATTGCTCCGGCGAGGATGCCCACTTGATGCAACATCCGGGCCATGTTGTACATGGTCTCTTGATTCGGACCGCCACGGAATTTCTGGTACTTGGACATGAACGCCATTCCCTAAATTTGTTTTATAGGTGTAAATCAGTAGTCAGTGTATCCTGTAGGTCTCAAGAACCAACAACTCACTCTAACCAGTAGCATTTGCCTACTGCTGATATCCTTTTTGCAAGACATATGTACAAAAGTAAGCCCAACCAACAAACACGCCATTGGATCTTCAGGATTCTTCACCCATAACTTGAGATATTCACTTAGGGCGTGTCGATAAGAGCCAGTCACCAACGAATTGTTCCCTGATATCATCTGAAGTTGTTCCTCTTCTGGGAATTTGGCTTCCGCTCTCATTATAAACCGATGATACGCAATATTCTGGTCTCTCACAAAGACGTAATTCATTGCGTTATAAATACGCTCCTGATAGTTTATTTTATCTTCAAATTCGAGTTTTTGAACTTTCGCCTATAATCATGCATGATACAAAATAATAAACGTCAAATTCACTTTTTTAATCGCCTAAAAACCCACCGGCATATTTGCATAGAGGTTTCTGAGGTATTCAAAGGCCACTCCATAATGTTTCGCCTTCAAAGATGAGTACAAGACCAAGTTCATGAAGGTGGTAATGGTTGACTTCTGTAGTTCTGGTTGCATATTCGCCAGATAAACAATCTCAGCCATCTCTATGTACCTTCCAGTCTCATGAAAAGCTTCAACCAGCATCAGACAATAATCGTGGAGTTCTGTTTGGCCGAGAGATCCGTCTTGCCGTTCTTCTGAATAAGCAATAGCCCCCAGACGTTTGATAAGACGCTCGATCTGTGTTCCTCTCATGGCTTCGATCATTGTGCGGTAGAGGGTTGAACAATGCACTTAAATATGTGAGGTTAAAAGGTTTTCGCGTCATATATACGATACAAATAGAAGAAAAATTACCTAATTTTGTCCTCGATCTTTTTGTAAAGTTTTGAAACTTGTAGATTGGGTAAAAATAAGGGATGAGTAACATTCGCAGACATCTGATGTATTGTTCTACTTGTTTGTGGCCCTTCAGAACATCGGCTTGCCGGATTAACAACCTTTCGTCCTAAATTTAAAAAAATATTTTGTCCAAAAAAAGTAATATCTCCTCAACATACCGGTAATTGTGTGCACAAATCCAGATCATAATCCATTAATGCCTGCAGGGCTTCCTCAGATCGTCCCAATTTTTGTAAAACGGTCGATAAATTGATCCGCGCGTTGACAAAGTTCGGCTGAATCTCCAGGACATCCCGATAATACTCCAACGCCTTATCCAAATTGTTCCTTGCTTGTTCGAAAAGACCGCAGAGATGCAAAACCTCCGGGTGATGAGCAAAAAGGTCCATTTGAACTAGCCTTTCCATAAATAATACACCGTTATTGAAGTATTCCAGTTGATGGAACGTCTTTCCGATCTCAATACAGGCAACAATCTCATCTTCTTGATGAACAGCGCGAGCCAACAGAACGTCCAACAAAGATGGAATGGGTTTGAGGTATCCGAGATGTTGCAAACAGACAATTAATTTGGCCAGGATAAGAGTGTTGAAGGTATCAGGGACTTCGATTGCGTGGATTTGGCTGAGACAATCAGCTGGGGTGAATGTGTACCCTTTGTGGCTTACTGTGATCTGAAAAAACGTTCTTTTAATGTTCATCCATCTTTACCTTTATAAAAGTTTTTCCATCAGCATCAAGCGCTTTGATGTCTGCACACAGCGCCAAAACAGATTTCACACACTCGTCATACTTCTTCCTGCCCATCCACATACCTAAAATCATAAAAATCAACAAAAAATAATCTTACCGAGTAAAGCCAAATGTTGAACATCAGCCATTCTTCCGAATTCATGGCATCTCAACAAGAATATCTTTAGAGCTTCAGTGGCTTTTTCCTCATCCAAGCAGTCGATGTAATACTCAGCCGCCTAAACAACAATAGCATATCAAAAACATTACACTTACTGTTTGAATCAATTTTTGCATCCAATCAAAATCCACATTCGACGTCTGACAATCGACCGATTGAGCGGCTTGAAGTCGTATTTTCATCGCAAACTTGGTGATGCCTAAGGTTTCGAGGAGCTCAATTCGTTTTTCATAGTAAATCCAATTACTCGGTTCATTTCGAATAGCTAAAAACAAGTAATAAAAATGGCAACAGTATTTACCATTCCCATAACAAGCGGCAGCAACTTCCATCCTCCCCAATCTGACCGCGGTTTCTCCAACTTCAGCCCATTCAGCAGCATTGGTTCGTTGTTGATTTAGGTGACAGGCCAGCAACCGGAATTCGAGGCTTTTGATCTCATCTCCAAGGTCCAAATAAATATCAGCCATTTGTTGATATGGATCGGGATCTCGAGGTTCCTGTCTTATGGCTTCTTTCAGTAAGGATAAAGCTTCTTCAAACCGTTGATTCGCACATGCAACATTCGCTTGTCCCATCAGACCGTCGATAGCCCTTAATTTATAATGAAAAATCAAAAATACACCAACTTGTTAGTTCTTCTTGCTCTTGGCCCCTTCGATGGTCCCGGAGCATCGTCATCGTTAAGTTCTTTTTGCGGGGCAACATGCATCTAAACATTGAAGTATACAAAATCATATTTGATTCTTACAGTTCCAGAGAACACAAATTCCCCTGATTCTGAATCAATCCTGACGTGATTTGTGACTTCTGGAGGGAGATCATCATTGGAAAATAAAGCTTCTACCGGCACTGATTTTGGTTTTGCTTTTTTACTTCTCTAAATATTGAACTATCATACAGGGTGGGCCACTCGAAACGGGTAAGTTTTGTCCTTGGATTTCTCCGCGGAGACTCCGCCGATTTTCCCGAAATTTAGATTTTTCTGTAGCTGAGACCCGCCATTTTTAACCGGTTGAATTTGAAAAAAAATATATTTTGAATTGACCTTTCTGTGCCTTCCCAAAGTTTTGAAGAATTATTTTCGAGCCGAAACCGCTAAAACTTGGAAAATTTTTGGAATGATTTTCAATTGACTTTCTCGGACTTGGAAAATTTTTGGCTTTTTTTGGGGGAAATCGCGGAGTAAAAAGTTGCTAGTGCTCGCCTTAAACTTGTTTAAAGCAAGTTGAAAGCCACAAGAGGGTTGTTTGTATTACCATTAGGGCACGAACATTCAAAAAAAAAAAAAAAAAAAAAAAAAATTCAAAAAGATTGCAAAAGTCCACACAATTGGCAACGAGCCCCAGTTCCAAGCCATTGAAGCTTGGAGCCCAGCCCGATTAAAGATAGACGATGTTCACGATCTGCAATTCGAGCTGTTCACACTCTCATGACTCTCAAAGCTCCTACAAGTTTGTGCTGCGAGAAGAAATGGGCATTTCGAACTCAGATAGAAATATTAATAATCAGGTCGTTAAATAAAATTGTTTTTACGACAATATTTTATGGTTATCTGAGGTAAAACTTAGAAAATTTCACCCAAAAACTCGAAAAATGACCAAGTCTTCGAAATCATTCCAAAAATTTTTCAAGTTTTAGCGGTTTCGGCCCGAAAATAATTCTTCGAAACTTTGGGAAGGCACAGAAAGGTCAATTCAAAATATATTTTTTTCAAATTCAACCGGTTAAAAATGGCGGGTCTCAGCTACAGAAAAATCTAAATTTCGGGAAAATCGGCAGAGTCTCCGCGGAGAAATCCAAGGACAAAACTTACCCGTTTCGAGTGGCCCACCCTGTAGATAAGACAAGGCAAACTTTGAGAATAGCCTTTCAAAATTAACGCATACCTTCTTCGGCGGAGATGAGCTAGGTGGAGGCATCAACTCTCTGTCCGCAACCTGATTTGTTGTCGCAATGTCTTCGTCGAAAGCTGTTCCTCCACTAACTTTCATATATTCTTCATAAGAAATCTCATTGTTTATAAATTTGTTAAAGTGTTCGTCGTCTGGATTTGCCGCCGAGGGTCCTGGATCTCCCATCTGCTTAGCAATATCTAAATCTCAATAATAATATTGGAAAAACAACCTACAGGTGGCCATCGAAGAATCCACAGAGTCATTTCTGACTCGCATTGGGGCGAGCGGGGCTAACTCCTGCGACATTGCAAATTTTTATAAAAGAATAAAGTAACGTTATTTATGCGAGTTGTTTCATGAAACTCAATGATCATAAATTCAGATCCCGGTAAATTCTTTCAGAAAAAATAAAGCGGGAAGGAGAGTTGACACGGGCGAGTCAAGTGTTTCACTTATTGAAATACCGTAATTCGCACTGTTTGAGCAAGACAAGTTCAGTAAATATTATTTCAATTTTCTCTCTGTATAGTAATTTATCGTGGGAAAAAATTATTATGATATTCATATATTAGCATTAATAATATTTGTGTATGTGTCATATCAATATTTCAACATGATTTTGTGATATGAATGGAGTTCAGAGGTCATAAATTGATGTTGCAAGGTATATATTGGTGCCCCAAACTTTTCTTCAAAGGTTTTTATGTTAATTTTTTACTTTACAAAACCTTGTAAACATGGTTCTTCGGTCTTCTTATCAGTAAAAAAGGAAAAGGTTTGTTTTCGAAGACAAAGGCATCAAACGTCGAAAACTCTTCCATAAATGTTATAAATAAACTTAGCGCCATAAGGCGACGCAGAGCAGATGTTATACGAAGAATCCGCTGATTTTGATGACCTTTTTTCTCTGTTTGCTCAAAGTGGAGGGATTGTCGTCTTGATGTGTTCTTGACTTTTTATTCATTCGTTACAGACTTTATGACACGATGGCTCTCTTCAAACAATGGCATGAGGACTTGGAAGCTCGTTATCAGAATTTGAAAAACGAGATTCGATCGTTTTCCTGGTGAGTTCTTAAAACTCATTTACAATTAAAAAGATATATGGGAGGTGCTTTATAAATTTCAGCGCGCTAGTCCGTCCGAACCCTGCGGATTTAGTCCAAAGTTAAAAGTTGCGCAATCTTACATCACGTTGCGCAATTTCTCTCTTTGTAAAAATTTCTGCCTTTCTCTGTCGGCTCCTCCTCCCCTCCCCCTTTTTCGTGAACTTTTAACTATGGACTAAATCCGCGGGGTTGGGATGGACTAGCGCGCTGAAATTTATAAAGCACCTCCCATATATCCAGGGTTATTGTAATTGGTTACAACTCATTACATTTTTTCTTTTGGTATCCGATTAAGTTGTATTTATTTTTTCAATAGCCTCCACACCCAACAGCTTGCACTAAAATACCCATTCAACACAGTTATTCGCTGGTTTAGCCCCTTTCTGAGCCGATTATTGTCCCAATTTCAAGAACCTTTCCTAATGCCGAATCACTTTACTATTACTCATTCCAATGTCTATTTTCTTTCCACGTCATGCCCTCAACATCCCAGAGTATGTCCAAATGGTTACTAAGTTGTTTTATGTTATGTAATACTTGACACCTCGACCCATTCTTTGGAATGTTACGTTTAGTTGGGAAATCTCAAAATACCTGCAAAAAGATTACAAAAAGGAGCGACAATCCTTGTCAAAGTAGTTGTAACATTACGCTTTGTAATTGCCCATCAACACCATCAATCATCGTTACTTACAGGTTCGTTCACACGACTATCTGCACCTTCGCCGTGGGTCTCGTGTTGGTTGGGTTCGGACTTTTGTTTCTCATTTCGAATGGAACTGTAAGTATTCTGCGAAGTCATCAAATTAAATAACATTAGATATATTTATGTCCCGTGTTCACATTTGGGAAGAATTTAATTTTTTAAGAGGTTTAAAGACCTTCGAGATGTTTGCGAAAAGTCATGTAAATTCAGAAGACGTCGTTCAGACAGAAGAACGGCGGAAACCTTTGCATCCCCACGTAAAGAAGATGATTTCCGGGAGCTTTCTCTCTTTGCCCCGACCTTTAGCTCTAGCTCAAATAACTTGGGTGGCGTCAGAGGTCTTCAAAACATTAGGTAGACATTGTTTGAAATGTAAAAAGTTAAATTGTAGAGCAAATAATCGAGTTGTAATGGTTTGTAATGGGAATTCCCGCGATTCTAGTGTAGTTTCCTTTACAATCTGCAGAATTTCAACTCGAATTGACCTTTTTCTTTCCTCGAAACACGATTAAATCGCTCGTGCGAGATCAGTCAGCTGTGATTAGAATGGGCGAGTTTTCTGAATTCATGACGTAAACTGTTTTTGTAAGCCGTGTTTGAGTAGTAAAAAATATTTGTTGGGTTTGCAGAATTGATGACTACTGTAGTATTTAAATTCATTTCACCTTTTCAATTGCTTTTCGAATCAAAAGTTCAATTGTAACGGACGAGAGAGAAGTTTTTTCATTAAATTGGCTCCAAAATCGAGAGGTCAGGTGTTGAAATTCCCAAACGAAATTCTTTCCAATCACATGTTTCAAGCATTGCCAGGAGGAGCAGACTAATTAAAGCATAAAGCAGAAGACTTTATCTACAAGTTCATTCGTCCATCCATCACTTCCAAGGCACGAAAAAGATTAGATTAATCGATTTCAGGCACTTTCTTGGGGTCTGGTCGGCGCTGGAGTTCTGGCCATTCTGGTGGCCATCTTCTTCGTACTAGTTAAATTCGTCATTGTCGGTAAACCCCCGCCACAGTCTCGACGAAGGAGACGGCGAGTCCGCCAACCCGTCTGGACATCTGTTGCCAGTGCCAGTATCTACACAGAGAGGGTCGAGCCGGCACCGCCAACCTACGAAGAAGCCAGGTGAGAAGGCTAAAGTGAATATTAATGAAAACTAAAGGACAATTAGAGCGAGGGGAGGGAATAAAAGGGTATATAAAAAGAGTTCAGAGTGCCGAAGCCCTCCTCTTCTCGCATCTGGCCCCTCAATAAAGTGGTATCATACCCATTACTCGAATCCAGAATCCCCTTTCCATTTCGAAATTCCCCAACTTATGTTTAATGTTATCGGACGACTTTTGGTCTCGCCTTGTCCCCAAATTCCCGGGCCCTGCCATCTTTCCGCCCTTTCCGTGGCCCGGCCTCACCTCCTCCTTCCTCTCGAGAGCTCCTTTCGCAAATAAGTTCAAAAGTTTATATCGGAAGCCTCGGATGACGTTGGCCACGGCGATGCCTTCACGTGTTACACATTTTGATCGCTAAAGTGTTGAAGGGAAAAGAGTTGTGCATCGTTTTTTTCTCAATTTAATTCTTCTCTTTCAGAGCCGATCAACCTCCCGCCTACAGCGAACACCTGTCTTCAGGGGAAAGGAGGGTTTGACCCAAACATCCTGTCATTCCCATCCGTTTTTGTATTCGGGGATGTCCGTTCAACCAAAAAAACTCTCCAAAAAGACGTGCGAATATTCCGTTGGAGTGGCACGCCGACTCCGATGGGCGTAGACGGTCTCCAGAAAGTCGCCGACCTTATCCAATTAATTCTCGCGTTGTGGGATGAGTCATTCGAAAAAAAGAACTGGATCTCGCCCTCTTCCCTATTTATTCGAGTCAAGCGCGGCGGGAAGCCCACGCTCTGTACAGCCGCCGTTTCTGCTTATGGCCACTGGAAAGGGGCCAGACGGCCAAGAGTAGAACCATTTCTTTTTTCTTTGCGTCATCCCCGCCCTCCCATTTTCCATTCGCTCGTTTCCCATTCCCCCGCTCCAACGCTTTCGAAATCGGCTCTTTTTCACTGATGAACCGAGTTTTGTCCATGATCTTCAATCTTGCCTCTGATCTCCTCCCCTAATTCCTTCAGAAAAACGTATTTATTCCCGCAAAAACATCTTGCAGCGTAGGTCTTGTGGTGGTTTCGTACACGCGCTGAAAAAAGAGATGTCGAACCCTTTCACTCGCTTTAAAGCCCCTTTCTAATTGTTTCGTCCATTCCGGGTGCATTTTGATTGATTCGATCAGTTGTTTTTCGGAATTTTATCATCGGAAGACAGTTGACTCCTGCCTAAGGGAGACTTGACCCATAATCTTTTTTCAGAATAAATTATTTTCGGGTGCATGGCGGCTGTTTATTTGTGTGTGTCTCATCGGATTTTCATCCCGCTTTCACGTGAATAGAGGGGCTCAATCTCCGTGGAAAAGCCAATTACCTCTAGAATTCTTTCTCAAGTTATTCTTTCCGCTTTTCTTGTTCTACACGGTCAAAGAATATTTTTGGGTGAAAGGCTTTCATTGCAGCTTTGTCGAGCGATAGCCTATCGGAATTTGTGATAACAGTGTGCATTCTTTTAGAAGGAAATGACTAGTCTTCATTCGAAAACCCTCTGGCGTTCAGTTGCTTCAGTGCCCAGCTCTCCACCACCTTCTCCAGTCAACCGAAATTCCTTTGACGAGGGTGACGAGGTGTTTTCCGCATCTTTCAATTGTAAATGCAGAGGGCCTGATCCACTCAATCTCAATATCCCTTCCAGAATCTGTTATCCAGAGGATCTTTTCTGTTCCAAAATGAGGTGAGTTATTTTTAAATTATTTCTTTTACTTTCATAGTTGAAGATGGAAAACAGGGCTAAAAGTTGACGGAACACGGGGTAGCAACCCATGAGGGTGATTAATTTCTAAATTGATTTTGTTTTTGATTACAAATAAGGAAGACGCGTCATGACGGTCTGTCTCCTGTCATTCACAATAGAAACAATGGTCACGGAGCTTGAGAACTTCCTCGAATTTCGTAAATTTACCGTGATTTCGTAATATCACATGCGTTTCATCGATTAAACGCCTACACATTTGATACGAGGATTCCCTTTCGCGTCCCGCAATATTGCGATCTTATCTTTGGGGTAATAGAGATTTCGAAACATAACCACGTGCGGGGGGCTAGTCTAAACGAAACCCGCTTGCTCGTCGACAATCTAGCAGCTCATTCGCTGATAGATTGTCTGCAACGGGAGCTTGATAAGAGACCCAAAACTGGAGCAGAGAACGACTTTCAAAGGTTATCCATCTCTGCCCCCTTGATTATTTTGGGATTTTTCTGCTCTCCCACCCGCCCGATCATACTTCTTTTGGCGGTTTAAATAGTCTGGGTTTCCTTGATTGGACCCTAATTGTCAAGAGAATGTTCCGCCGACCATCGTTGATAGAAGCTCTCATCGTTGAGAGACCCTGTTGTCGGGATGAAAGGAGACCGTAAGTTTTATATGGGATAAGATCAGTTAAATAGTTGACTTGCACTTTGTCCTATTACACTTGAATGGGATCTTCTTCTTGTATCATGATAAAGGTTTTCTTGGTGTAATAGTGTTGAATATTCCGCTGATTTGGCGGATGTTTTCGTTGACAAAGATCATATGAAGATCAAATCTCAACCGGAAAATATCGGGAAAGCTCGCATTTATTAATCAATGACTGCTCAACTGGTGTAGGCTCTAAATGATTGATAGTTTAGACTTGCAGGTCTTAATTTGTAGCCAGTTTTTCTTTTTTTGTACTTTTTATCAATTACTTACAATTTCAGTTCTATCCCGATGTCCTTGGATAAGGCTGTTTCCCTGAGTAAATTGTTGTTGGAAAGCGGATCCCAGTCGCGAGGCGAATCTACATTAGAATTGGAAGCCCTAGCCGCCGTCCATCAACTGAGTCACGCAGTGCAGTCAATCAGTGTGTCAGAGATGCTTCCTCGAACTCCCGAACTCATTTTCGTCAATCTGACCACAGCAGAAGGTTTGTTTTTGATGTTTTTATGTTTTTGTTGTCCCATGACGTGCGATGCATCGCCTGTGCCCAGTAATTTGACCTAATCTAGGCTCTTTTTTCTCCGAAGAGGACTGTTGCACTTTTTTGAATTCGCAAAGAAATGCTTTTTCAGAAAGAAGTACTTTAATTTGTTAGATTCTTATCTGTTTTTGTCACAATCTAATGATTTGTGTTTTCAGGACAACCCTACTGCCTCGAATTGACTCACAAAGGATGGAGAGTAACATCGCTGAGATCAGATTGTATGCAAGGCGATTTCACCCGAATGGAGTTGTTTACCAAGTACTATGACTCCTTATACGATCTGATGGAAGTCCTTTCACCCGGCTACAAACAGCGCTTCGGAGAGAAGGTCAGCCAGAAGCTGAGGATGTACGAGAATTGCGACGAATACCCGGCCTGCGCCTGTTCCCCTCCCATTCGGCCGGACAACAGCTCCAGTTGTTCAACAACGTCGGATGCGGACTCTTCGTGATACTCTAGTTGTTATTCGAATACCGGTCTTTTTAACACTTTGTATTCTCTCAAACACAGCTCAAAATTGTTTTGGCATTTATCAAAAGCGAGGTGATCTTTTCACTCACCATTTATAGATATCGTTTCACTTGAATTGTTCCCCCAAAATTATAATACATATATCCATTCACCTTTCAAAGGTATAAATTGTGATCGCATAATGCTCCAAAGAGGCTACTTAAAATATTTCAAAAACTGTAACAAAACTCGTATTATTTTCCAATAAATCAATACAAAATGGTAACTCTTGAAATTATTTTAACTATGTGATGAAGATTGGAATGTAGGGATAAATGTTGATAAAGCGGCGAAACACGATCAGTCGTTCCAATTTAATAAATATGATCGTTTGGTGGTTATTGACATGCATTTCAGTGATGGATTACTCGGTATTTTTAGGAACGTATACTTTGACTCCTCCGAACTTTGATTGCGTTCCCCATGAATGTTGTTCCATCCAATTTTCGTATAGTAATAGTCGCAAACTAATTGCATTATGGTGCATGACGTATGCCAATCCCCCGCAGTTGTCCCATTCTCTCTTTGCGAGTCGAATGGACTGCGTAGTCGAGCGGGAATGGGCTCTCTTTCCACTAAAAACATGCCGAGGACGATCTTTCTGCGTGTCAGTTGAGCCTCGACCAGCGAAAATTACGGTAATTTTCGGTCGAGGCAGAGATAAACAGGTACCCTGAGGCAGTGAAAACCAATCTTTTCAATAGATAAACAAGAATGTGTGCAAAACGTTTAACGCTACCGTATAGATGCCCTTTGGAGGGATAAATAAAGATGGATTTGTGGTAAACATGTTGTTAACTGTCGACGCGGACATCAATTGTCATGATTGCAAATCAAATATGGTCGATGACGTCACGCAACATAGTTTTAAGGACACATTTTGATGAACTTGGAGGCCGAAAAACATCCCTTTCTTCTGTTTTTGGATAAGTAAAGTGCTTTCGATGCAAGATCAGTTATAGAACGTTATTTCTTATACAAGAAACATGTGTATTCTGAGCCGAAACATGTTCGTATCTTATCAAGATGTCCTATCTCCCCCAAAGATTTCGGATGAAACCCATTGAATCCAGCAAGGCGTCTCCAGAGAGCAAATTTTGCAAAATGTAACTCTCGAATATTGGATGCGATCCCAATGTTTTATTCACCGAAATAGATGTCACCATTCTGACACGGCGTATAAAAAACACAGACAATCCTTTTGTTGTTTTTGTTCGAATCCCCGGAGAATCTGGGGAGAGGAACGCGGACTTTTGACCTCAACGAGAGGAAATGAGCCCCGCAGGCACAGGAGATGACATCTACAATCGACATAGCCCGTGTCCTCGACACTCCCATCCATCTATCGCTACATGTTCGGCCTTAAGCGGACACTCAGAGACGGTTGACGCATCCCATCCATTCGTTACAAGGGGTTACGAAGGCGAGGCGGAAATGAAAGGAAGGGCGAAAGTGCGCAATTCTCTCGTTTTAACATTTTTTCATACGCTGACAATAAAATCGGAATGGATATTGAGCGTTAATAAGATCAGCGGGATGGGCTTGTGACATATTCCGTCGTTAGGCTTTTATTGGGTTCTCCCCGAGTGTTCGAACTCGCCTTGGAAGAGGGCTCGGTCCGCCTAATGTCTAGGATAATATCTGTCCGCCCAATGTCTAGAGTAATATCTCTCTAAATGTCGAGTAAGATCAGCCCTCCTTATGTCCAGCATAACACCGGAGGGTTCTGTTCAGCCACTAAACTTTAGATTCCAACAAAGTTACTGTAATATGTAGATCTGCTGATGTATTTGTACTTTGCATGGAAATAAAGCGCCCTTTGCCCCCCTCCAATACTCCTTTGCGTGCTACTACTTCCGTTAGTTTACTATTCCTGGTCGTATTTGGGCACCGGAAGCAGAACGCGTGATTATAGCCCCCGTACTCGCAGCCCTTACTGGAATTTAATTTGTGTCTGTAACCCGTAATTACCACAAGTTATGAGAAACGAAGGTTTACATCAAGTCAGTAATCTCAGTTACTCTTGTCACTTGTATGCCGGATTATCCCCCGAACCTAGGAACACGTGATATTAGAACGGTCATCTCCTGAAGATGTAAAATACGTGACTTGTCTATGAGGAGATGAAGTGTTCAGGAATATTTATAGGTGATGCTAGTCAGCCTTCGAAGAGGGGAACGGAAAAAATTGCATGGTTTAAATCCAAAATAAACCGTCCACACCAAAATATTTTGGTCTAAACAAGGCGGTTATGCAATGGAAATAGAAAAATATGTAAACTTTTTTGGCATTATTTAGGTGTAACATTGTAAACTTACAAAAAAATAGTCGAATAAATCACAAATTGCGTCTTAACTGCTTCTAGTTTGAACAATTTTTGCATCCGAGATGCCTAGTATAACATAAGGTCAGTCTGTGGAACGGAAATATTTGACGCTGTTGGTGGACTTTCAAAGGGTTCCTTTGCCCCTATAAATCTAGTCGCTGTGTTTTCTCTTTATCTGATCTGACTGGAACATTTAGAACTTCGCCGTTTTTTATTCGAATTCCTCAAATTTTTTGATCATGTTTGCTCGTTTGATCAAGAAATTTGCATACTGTTCTGCTCAACATTTTAATCGACATTTCAGGGTAGATTTAATTTTGAGGCAAATTTTACGATTTCGAATTGTCTTCGTACCAAAAATTTCAAATTCGGATTTTGGCGCCAGATGCGGGAGGACAAGTCTTTCGGTTTTCTATTTGCGCGTTGATCGAGTTTTTTTTTGTTGTGCCGAGAAAGCGCGTCGTTTCCATCCTCGGAGAAGAGAAAACACCATTCTCTGAGAGGAAAGGAAACGAGATTATTCAAATTTGATATTCATTTTCACTTCTACCTTCAATCTCCACAGGTTCGGTCATAAATGTGGCGAAATGCGAAGTAACAAGGCTCCTGCATACATCCAGCTGTCCCAAGTGGAACTCACGACCGTTAGATTGCCAACTGAAGAGAACCGGGCCGAGGAATTCAGGGTCCCAAAGTGGGTTTTTTTTATTTTGGGGATGTTGTATTAGGTCGGACGTTAATTCTTGTGGATTTTTGGTGCCTACGGGCTGATTTATGATAGTAGTTCTTGAAAATAGTATGAAAAGTTAAGGATGAAGTATAATCTTAATTTTTGCCCATACGAAGCTTGCGGTTCGTCAAGGATAACATCTTGTTTTAGGTTTTTGGTGGAAGCTTTCGACTATATCAAGCGCAATGATGGCTTCAAGATCGAAGGAATTTTTCGACGACAAGGAAATAACCAACGTATCGATAATGCGGAGGTCAGTTTGTAGAATATATTGTTTTAGGTATCTTTCGGATAAATTGATAATTTTATTTGTATGTTAGGTGGCGTTCGATGGACGTTGTCGCATCCCCGAGGATTGCACACCCGTTGATGTGGCGGTGTTGATTAAACGGTTCTTCAGCCATCTTGAAGGGGGTATTTTCCTCGACAAGGAGAATCAGATTATTGCATTTGCGATGGACAAGACTGGGAAGGCGATACGGAAGCCGATGGGAATGTTCACCCTAATAAAAGCACTGCCTCGGCTCAATGTAGCCACTTTGGCTTATTTAATGCAACGGCTGAAGAGAGTAGGTGATTAATTTTACAATTGATCTAAATTATATTTAGGTTTGTGACTGCAGTGAGACCAATAAAATGGACCCTAGGAATATGGGCACCTGTATTGCTCCTTCTTTGTTCGTTAACACGGACCTGCAAGGCAAAACCGGCCAAAATGTGGGTAATTTGAACTTTTATAGGTATTGTTTTAGACGGATGATATTAAGTTTGGGATTGGTGCTATTGCCAATGTTTTGGCGACGATGATTACTCGGCATGTAGAACTTGGTAGGTTGATAGATTCGAAATTCTAAACCAATCCTTTTTTATGATGTTGATGTCATTTTTTGCAGCGAAACCGCCGATGATGTTGAGAGGTCAACACCCGCCTTCCCATCATTCGAATGTGAACAGAGTCGGGTCTTCATACAGCTCCAGGAGCTCCAGTTGTCATCTCAACTCAGGGTACGATTATTTTTCTTTTTTTAAGGGTAAAAACATTGTACATTAACATTGTCGATGTCAATCTAACAGTTATGTGTAACTTTTTAGTGCGTCCGCGGTCTTTGAAACCCCAAACAACGTGCGATACCTTCCTCCGTCGGGCTCCGTCGTCTCCACAACATCGGTTCCAACCGAACGAGTTGGCGAAAGGGACAAGAAGAAGCAAGGGGCCAAGGTATCTTTGCCTTTTAGTACGTTTGCACCCTCCCATCCATGTTGTGATGGTGTTTGTGCATACGTAATTGTGTCGTTTTTGGTGTCAGTTCAAGCTAATATTATACTAGAAGTTTTTGCAGAGAAGAGGTAGCTCAGTAGTGAGGACGATCAAGAACCTGGGCAAATACCTGCCAGGTCGTCGGACCTCCGGCGTTTGCGACGATCCCCTTGAGCCCATGACCACCAAGCTGTTCCCCAGAAAGAATACCTCAACCAGTGACATCGTCCAACCCAAAAATCCCATGGACCGCTCCTTATCCTTCCGCGCCCCCTCCAAACCACAAAGTGCTCCGTTTTTGGGCGCCGAGAGAGCACGTCAAGACTTACAACGTCAGAATTCTATGTTTTGCATTAAGACTCCCGAAGATCAAGTGAATGTACAGGAAAAGGAAGAGAAGCAAAGGGTCGAAGAAGTCAAGAATATTGTGGATGTGCAGGAAGTCCAGACGAAAGTTGAGGAAAGCACACCGGTGATTGAGGATATTAAGTCGAAAGAAGAGATCAATTGGTCGAGTTTTGAGTTCAAAGACTGTCCAACCCCATTGAAACCGAGAGACGTTCCGCTGACCAAAACGAGAAGAAGAACGGCTCCAGTTGGAGGGATCGCGTTGAAAAGAAATCAACCAAACACGGTGACAGCTGGACTTAAAGGTAGGGTTTGTTGTTTGGAATGGGAGAAGGTTGAGTATGGATTTAAATCTGTCGTTTAGATGGAAGAAAACAGATACGAAGAACTCATACGCTCAATGCGAAACGGCAAAGCAATGAGAATCTGGAGGCTGGTTTCACCATCACCAAATATAACTTTAATCGATTCACTCGACACAAATCAAAGTCTCAGATTGTCCCAGAAGGAAGTCTTCTCGATAATGTCAATGAAGGTTTCATGATGAATGGTTTGTTTTGTTATATTTTATGTTGGCTTACACGAGGTTTATCTCAACATTATTTTTAATTTTTCAGGTCTCGAACCTATCAAAGCTGTACATCCTCCTGCCGTGTTGAGAGAACGCACCGCCTCGACTGTAAATTCACAGGACTCCGGCTTCACTCGAGATCGTCGACCTCAAGAAAATCCGAACTTCAACAACGTGGCCTCACTAATTAAAAGATTCGACGCAAACGTCGGTGTTCGCCCTCCTTGATCGACCTCAAACTGCTCACAAAAATAATATAATTGTTTGGTCTCTGTATTGATTTTATTTCTTATGTTTCGAACAACTGGGTTTTCTTGTAATCTGTTCGTTTCTCAAATAAACATTCCTATGACTGAAAGTTTGAACGAAAGCTGAAAACTTACAATTCCGAAAAAATAATGAGTTAGAAGGAATCCAATAGCATTATGCAAAAATCATCTGAAATCCAGCAGTGATTTATAATTACTTTCCGACTTTAAATTTCGGTGTTTCCGGCTTTTTTGTGGGTCCTGCAACGAAAACGACGGAAAGCCAAGCAAAAAATTACGGTAGGAGAAAGAAATATTTTCCCTTATTTTTTGACGAAAAAACTTGGTATATTTAGTTTTACCAGTTGTAATGTACTCTTTATACTATATCTTCTAATTTTGCTAAATTTTGAATATCGCGTTATCTTACGTGCTATTTTTCCGTTGGTTCACTTTTTTGTTTTTATTGATTGTGTTTTTTCAGGGTAAGATGTCCCAAGTCGAGAAGCCAAAGTCGACTGCCCAGCCTGTTCAGGTTTATGGCCGTAAGGTAAGAATTTTCTCATTTTTGTCTATGTTTTAGATGTTGCTCTCGGCTATAAGTGTAGTTTTGTTTTTTAGAAGTTGGCTACCGCCGTCGTCTACGCCAAGGAAGGAAAAGGCTTGATCAAGGTTAACGGCCGTCCCCTTGAGCATCTTCAGCCAGAAATCCTACGAATCAAACTTCAGGAGCCTCTTCTTATCGTCGGAGCCGACAAATTCGCTGGAATCGACATGCGAGTCAGAGTCAAGGGTGGTGGTGCCGTCGCTCAAATCTATGGTGAGTCTTGCAGAATATTGTTTGCGTTTAGGAAGAGCTTTCATGAACTTTGAGAATGTTTAACTGTCCTTAGAAATGATATTGTTTTATTAAATAACGTATTGCGGATTGTTCGCATTTACGTTTCTGTTACTTATTTCTCTGCTTTTAGCTATCCGACAAGCCATCTCCAAGGCCCTGATCGCCTACTACCAGAAGAACGTTGACGAACAGAACAAGAAGATCCTCAAGGAGTTGTTGGTCACATACGACCGCTCTCTGTTGGTTGCCGATCCTCGTCGCCGTGAGCCCAAGAAGTTCGGTGGTCCAGGTGCCCGTGCCCGCTACCAGAAATCTTACCGTTAATTCTTTGTTGCGAGTAAATTGTTTTTGTTTGTTGTATGGAGTCATTAAATGGATGTTATTAGAGGCCTGTGATTGTAACCGGGTCTTCCGTTAGAAACGATAATTTATTGTGTGATCTGAATTGTCCTGTCTAATATCTTCATAGATGAAGCGCAATGTCTTTGAAAGAAGCGTTTGAGAGAGCAAAAAGAGGGGCGACGTGCGGTGAATGTGGGGCAAATGTGCCATACTGCTACATCGAAAGACATAAAAACGAGTGTATAGTTCGCTTTGATGACTCCAAAGGGGATGATTCGGACATCGAGGTAGTGGAATGTGTCCAATTTTCACAAAGGATCGTTGTTAATGAACAAGTTGCCGCAACTAAAGATGAACCGTTCGCCAAAAGGGTCAAGATTTCCCCTTCTATTAAACGGTCAGTATCTCACATCGTGCTAGTAAGGCGATAAGTTGTAGTATTATAATTGACGAAACGAAGCTAAAATTTTTATAAATGTACCTACCGTTAGTCTTTATTTTTTGGAGCTTTTCACTGGCTAATACCAATTTTTGTTATGTTAGTGTATACTGGCGGGCCGGGCAAAGGAAAATTTGAAACGGGCTGGGCCCCGGTCCGCGAGCCATATCTGCTTTTACCTAACCTAAGAAATAGCTTTTTTAGGCCGGCTCCTCAGGTACTTCCAGAAGCCATTGATGATCTCCCCGCCGATGTTTTATACAAGAAATGTATAGATAAACTTGAACTACCAATAAATGAAAAGGATCTCCATTACACAGTACGGATCTTTAGAAATATCTGTAAAACGGTGAGTTTTTTGTAAGGTGATGATTTATGCTTTAGGTTCTAACACATGATCTCTCTGATGAACCTAGTTGTTCTTTCTGGGCTCCACTCTTGCCATCGTTTTACAGATTTCTCTCATTGGAAGGTGAGGATTACTGTAAGGTGATGACTTATCTCCATTTTTAGCTGACGAGCGAGATGTTGCCTTATGGTTGTGTCAGAATGGTCGACGATGGTATGTTCCTTCGAGATTAAGGTAAGCCGTACGTAAATAAGATATGTGTTGGCTCTGATATTGTACTGATATTATAGATTTGTATTGTTTTCAGTATTCGATATCGAGAAAGTCTGGATCTCAAGAAAATATTTCCAAAGTTATACGCGAAGGGGTTACTCTCTGCCTTGACGGATGAATATGAGACTGGTTTGGACGAGGTGTTATCCGTTTTGAACGCTGAAGAATTAAGAACATTCTGCGCTCGAATGAAATTGAATAAGCCGAAGAATAAATCTGAGGAAGCCCGGCGATCCATCGTCAATCAGATCGAGAATCAGAAGGGAATTTGTGGTGGATCGGTTAAACAAGCAGCCCTGAAGAAGTATGTGGATGTTGAAGTTTGTATATTTTTTATTCAATTGATCTGTTATCACCTTTTTTAGTGTCCAAAATATTGTTGGTTCAATGTATCGCGTGAACCTTTCCTTCTATCAATTTGTCGTCTCATTCTGCACTGTTTATTCTCCGTTTACCATGGACTCCCATCGATTGTTCGATGATGATGGACTTGTCTTAATTCGTGATCTATTGTAAGTCTTTATTATCGTTATAATTGGGTGTGTTTAGCTATGAAATGTACAATGTTGAGAAGAAAACTGAGAAATACATGTACTGCGATAAGGAAATTACTCGGATCAAAGGGATTTATCGTGGTTATGATGACTTTATGAAGTATGTTAGTTAATATTGCGAAGATTCGATTTTAATGTTTTGAGGTTATCACAGTGTGATTGCAGATTTATTACAGCAAAGTTGCTTGAAATGGAAGTTGCGGCCTTAAATCGGAGAAAGAAACATTCAGAGATCTGCAATCGAGTTAAAGTTGCCGCGTCTGACCTGCAATCATTCCGAATGGACGTTGGGATGTAAGAAATGTAGAAGGTTTTTTGTTATTTAGGTTGACCATTTAGGTTGGCGTTCTATCAAAAAGTGCCGGATTTCCTGCTAAAATTTACTTATCCAGCGATTTTAATTCGGCTGGTGATGCATGGAGCTGAATCAGCCCAGAAATTGAAGGATTATGAGCTGGCTTGTAATTTTATCTCTTTTCTGATTCTTCGGAAAGGTAATATTTTTGTGATTCAAGGATGATTCTGATTTGATTTGCAGATCTCGACCGATTTTATTTGAATCGAAGAGGACATCTGATGGATAGACTGGCTCTAAACATGGAATTCCATCACAAACGACCCGACTCTGCGTTCACATTATGTAAAAGTTTTGTAAAGGACCCTTTGATTCTTCAAAGAGATCGATTGTCATTGCAAGATCGGGCTGTAAAGTTGGCAAAAGGACAAAAGAAGGAGTTTACCCCAGTAATACATTTGGTTGATCCGGAAATCGTAAGAGTATTACTGTAGAATTTTAAAAAAAATTGCAATATTATGACAATTAATTTAAGATCACAATATCAGCCACAACCTTGTCCAAGAATCTCGGGAATGGTCGAACAAATATGTTTATGTCCAAGAATGGGGATAATGTGGATTACTGTAGCGTAGAACAGATCGCATTGATCCATTTGATTGAGAAGGCGGGCTTTGAGAATGGGCTTCATAAAGAAGGAGGAGTGTGGCACACCTTGTTTGGATTGACTTGTGTGGATATTATCTTCGATAAATGCATTCCAAACTCTTGGATATCAGAGCTTCAGGTAAATTAATATAGAAATTCGATGTTCTTATAAGTTATGTGATGATTTAAATTTTCAGACCTGTCCAATGGATCAAAATAGTCGCTTGTTCTACGAGAGCCGGAAAGATCAGTTTGAAAATCGATTTGCGGAGATTAGGAATGATCGTCAGAAGTTACATGACATTGTCAAACTCAATTTTGAGTTATATTATGCAACGAAAAGTGCAGAAGTTGATTGGAACACCTTTAGTATGGCCCAAAATCGTGATGAGGTAAGGGGTTTTGGATTTTGATTTTTATTATTGTATTCCAGAGGTTATGGGAAATCTTGGAATGTGTAGACCTAGAAATGCTGATCAATCTATTCCGAAGATTCGCGACCGATTACCGCAACTCCCGGAGTGGAATGCCTGACCTGACGGTGTGGAATCGGACCCAGAAAACGCTGGCCGTAAGTATTTATTGCCCCTATTTAAAATTTATTCCCCTTTAGGTGGTCGAAGTAAAAGGCCCTGGAGATAAATTAAGCACGAAACAAAGGCTCTGGCTCGATTTCTTCGTTCGAAACAAGACTAGGGCGTTCGTATGTCGGGTAACAAGTCAGTCCTCCAAGGTCCTCCAATAACTTAGAATCCCTTCTATGACAAATTATTTGCGATCACCATTTAAAATGTACATGACTTATCTCTATATTGTGCGCCAATAACAAGATAAATATTAAAGAGATTTGAAATTGGAATTAGTAGCCTGCACGAAATTTAGTGGAATTTCATATGTTTATGTTTAAAAATACAGTATTTTTTTGACGCTCTTTCCTCCCACCAGTGCCGTTATTTTCTCCCCCGGGGAGTGGGGAAACTAATAAACCAGAAGTCGTTCATTTCTCGGACCGAAATGCAAGAATATGGTTTGAATGCGCTGCTCGGATAACTTTTCTTTCCTTTCGGCCCTGCGGCCCCGCAAAAGGAATTAAGAACGTTTGGCACCGGCAGCAAAACGCCAACAAACTCCTGGGCCCAGCAAGACGTTCGAACATCGCCTGCTTCCTTTTGTTTGAGTTTATTTTATTGTCCCATCTTCGGGGCGCCGGGTCTTTGTTTATGGCGTTGTTTCCTCCGGGCATTCCTAATTCGCGTTTGATTTGTTGCACTGCCTGAGGGAGTTCTAGAATATGCTAAGGCTGAGTCCAGCTGCACGTGCGGGAAGACGTCTTGCGCAGGTTTCTGATGCTCAAGAAAGCAAAGTGCCTATGGGGATACTGTAAGATCGAAAATAAAAATTTTTATTCGAGAAAGAAAAGCAATCCCTTTTACTGTAAATAATTTACGCGATTATAACCCTGGATGTGGTCGAAAAACAGCTGGAGATTATAAATCCTGCAGACATAATCCCGGTACTAAAGACTTCTGACATGTCGGCGCTCACTACCCTCGGGGCTTCAAAAGAGTGCGGTCGAATCCGAAACCCGAACTCTTCTGAACGTCCGGGTTTCATTCCGTCCCACTTCATCATCATCGGGACCCTTAAACGTGGCCTTTATCTCCGCTCCAAATTCAATCACGCAATCTCATTAAGCCACTATTCTGAGGGCGGTGAATCCAATTCCTGAACGTCGGTCTGGCCATAGGCCCTGCTTGCGCTGGTCATGTTTTTTTTGGGGGCTTTATGAGGGGTTTAATGTTCGATGATGACTTCTTTATATTTATGGAATCGGGTGGATAATGTACGCCGTCTGTAGCCATGGCCTTGGAATGTCTCGCCCATTTCGTTGAGCCGCTCGTTCTCGGCCCATACGAGTCTCAAAGCGCTCGTTCCCAGTTAATTAATCAGGGAACTCAGGTGAATAACATAAACAAGTCCAAAGGGAGCCCAATTATCGGCTTATAATCGTGGATGAAGTCGTTTAAAGGGACGGTGAGCCAAAGGTTTCTCTTACTTTCTTCAATTCGAACCCTGATCTCTCAATTCTGCCGTCGGCCCTCTCATTCCTGCCATCTGTTTGCAACTTGCAGGCATATTGAACCCGCCTTTTATTACCATTCTTTGCTTTACGAGATGTATGGAATATGTCATCACATTCGGTTATTTTTAATGCATTCCGCAATATTCCATGCCAACGACGCTGTTTTGGGTTATTTATGTTGCCATCTAATGTCCTCACGGAAAGAGTGCACCGCTTGACCAGTCTCAGTTTCTGGCCGCTAAGCCCCCATAAATGGAGGTCGGCATGGTCGTGCTGGAGATGCGGGAACAGTAAAAGGCATCGCTTAACCGCCAGCACGGTGCAGGATGACAGTGTTTGCTCAGTGCCCGAAGAAACGCGAAAATATCAGAAAGAAGTAAAGAAGTCGGGAAAGTGTTTCGTTTATTTCTTTGTCTCGACTTCAATCCCCGTTTCCACACGGGGCCGCGGCTAGCGACTAACTTGTGAAGAAGCCCGCACTTAAGACAAAACTCTTCAAAGTGTAGTGGTTGGGCCAAGCCTACAAGATAAGCGGAGAGCGGAGGAGCGGGGTCGAGCTTTACCTGAGCTCTGCCCTCCAGCCGCACGTTTTTCGCGCCTTACCCTAAAGTGTAGATTGCCAACGATATCTAGTGGAGGCGTTTTACTTGGCCCCTAATTACCCTTTCCCTTTCCCTCCCCCGCCCCCACCTAAAATCCCTTTTCGCGCCTAAAAACTAACAAAGTAATTATGGGGAGGGATTATGTACGTAAGCGACGGGTTTATAATGGAATGCTCTTGTTTTGGCCACAACAAATCAAAGCGGGCCCCGGGCGCTCTAGGGCACTCTTCCGGTTTCCCCGGGTGGTGGCGCCTGAGGTGGGGCGAGCGGCGAGGTGATTGAGGCCCTCCGGCCCCAACACAAAATAGGTGGGTTATTTCGAAGCCGTGATCGGCCGCTTCAAGTTTCTCCCCATAGGCTGGAAATTCGGCCGTTTTTAACAAACGTCGTGTTCTCTGTCACGTCAAGGCTTGTCTGTCGCCGCTGCTGGGGACATGTCCTCTTCCTTTCTGTGTTTTTACAGTCCGCTCATAATGATGTTTTTCCTTTTGAGCCCTTGTTTGGGCCCCACCAGGTGGGCTCTGGGCCCACAGTTTTTGGAATCGGGGCTTGTCCGCCGAATCCCCCCGTCCTGACATTACTTTTGCAACATTTGCGATGAGGTGCCAAGAGCGATTTTGAAGCCTTCCAAATTGATGCTTTTCGCAGTCCTCCAATCAGTGCTCGGTCAAGTGCAACTTCTCGAAACCGGAGCTTTAAACAAGCCCTCAAGAGGTCAAGTTAAGGCCCTCCTTTCTCTCGCCCCGATCCGAAATGAACATTGGAGAGGGCAGGGGGATCCTCGGGGTGCGCGAGATCGGGATCCAGGCCTGCGGCAAAGGTGCGTGAGGGCCGAGAGACGAGAGAACAGGCCCAATGTTTAAGCTAAAGTAGTCGATCGGAAGAGTGAGGAAACAGCGTACAAGACGGGCTGAGGCAGCCGGTTGCAGCCCCTCCTTTCAGCAAAGTGTAACCAGAGTCTTCAGCGTCAGGTAAATTGCAAGGGGGCCCGCCGGTCCCCAGAGTGGCGGGGAACACGGATTTTCGACGAAATGCGGGCCTGAAACATTGTTTGCAACCGCCCGTTCCGCGAGTTCAAGGGGTTAAGGCGGATGATCCGGGTTGCGGGGTTTGGGTCATGGTTTCATCTACTTGTCGGGCCGGGATTATGGATTTCACAATTTTAAATGTTTTCGGATACATTTTTAAACTCTTTGCAAATTGTTGGTCCCCAGTTCAACAGTTCATCCCGTCCGTAATCCCAGAACAATCTTTTTTTTATATCTTTTCTGCCATTTTCGTATCCAAGCACGGGAAATATCTTTTTTTATCTCCAGTTTTATTTGGCCTTCCCGTTCCGCGCTATCATTGCCTCAACCGGTGACATAGCCTACATGTTTCGGATTCCCTACATTTCTTGCGGATATTCCGAACGTCTGTGCTTTGGGGGTTAGTTTAAGACGTCCGCTTCATTATTGTTCATCGGTCCGTTGCACCCAGTGTAAGGATAGGCTTGGAACGTCTACCTGGCGATATACTCAAACGCCTTAGGGGAGATTGGGGCCGCTTTTGCTATGGAGACCTGGATTCCGGTCGGGCGGTTCAGGAAGTCTTAAAAACGGTGGCCTGGGGCGCTAATTCTTCCAGAGCAACAAACCGGATAAAAGAAAACCCTCAGCACACCCAAAAAAGTTCGGGGCTGACGCAGCACTTAAAATTGCACCACAAAAAAGACTTGACACCATCGAGACGGACCGGCATACGTGAGGAAACAACTTCTTGCCGGGTTGGGATTCAAATTAGGGTCGAGAGCCGTGTGAGGCCGTGGAGAATGGCCGCCAAATATATTTGACGTTTAGTTTCGGGGCTCGGGGTGAATTGAAGCCGGGGCCGTGCGCGGGGATCCGGCTCATGTTCTCCCGAACATGTTCTCAAGACTTTTTTTGGCATCAAAACAGCTGACCGTTTGACCCCAGCTCGTCCCGTGCTTGATAGATTACTTTATTTGGTCATTTATTCCGTGAATTTGCATTCCCGGAATTGAAGCCGGAAGTCGAAGGTGAAACTGGATCTTGCATAAACTTTTTTCTCCATTTCCATTTCTATTATATCATATCATTTCTTTATTTACGAACTTTAAAATGCACCGTACCATGCCTTCTTCGCCCTTGCTTGAATTAATTTTTGCCGAGCCAACTTGAGAACTCAAAAGTTTTGATTAATTCGATTACTTTACGGCATGTGTAACAATGAAATTCCTCCGGCCTTTCCCCCAATTGTCACTTTTCAGACCGACTTTGATCGTCAACCATCTCCCACCGGCCTTGACCACTCCACGATGAGCAATGGCTGTCGTTGGTGGTCGATGCCGCCACCCGTGATGCTCGCTCTCGCCGTTCTGTTCATTTCCATCGCCACCACCGAAGCCGGCACCAATTGTTCGGCCGCTGATGCGACGAGGAATTGCGTGGATGGGCTGCTCATTCCATTGTGGAGGCCGTTCCTCGACCTCTCGCTCGGCGACCGGGTCTTCCGCGGCGGGATCTACTTCCTGATCATCATCTACATGTTTCTGGGAGTCTCTATTGTGGCCGATCGATTTATGTCGGGCATTGAGGTGATCACGAGTATGGAGAGGACTGTGGTCGTGAAGCGGCCTGGCCTTGAGCCCATGAAGATCAAGGTCCGGATTTGGAATGACACTGTCAGTAATTTGACACTGATGGCGCTGGGTGTGTATAACAAATTTTTCGATTGACAAGTCTCTGATCAAATAGTCAAACTTTATATTCCAGGTTCCTCCGCTCCCGAGATTCTGTTATCCATCATTGAAGTCCTGGCCAAAGGCTTCGAAGCCGGAGATTTGGGGCCGAATACGATCGTCGGATCGGCCGCTTTCAACTTGTTTATGATCACGGCCATCTGTGTGATGGCCGTTCCTTCCACCGAAGTTCGAAGACAGAAACATTTGGATGTATTCTTCGTGACGGCCACCTGGTCGATCTTTGCTTACATCTGGATGTACATCATTCTGTCAGTAATTACACCTGGAGTCATCGATATTTGGGAGGGAGTCGTGACGTTTGCTTTCTTCCCATTGACAGTCTTCACAGCATGGGTTACTGACATCAAGATCCTGCATGTAAGTGTTGATGAAGCCTTCTTTGATCTTGCTTCAGAAAAAATTCCTACCCCATCGTTATCGTCGCGGATCTCATGGTCTTATCGCGACCGAAGCGGAAGAAATGAAAATGTTGGAGGGAAATGGAATTGCCAATTCCAATGCCTATAAAAGCGGGATTCAAGGAGAGCTGGACCCTGCCCTACGGGCATTCGAAGAACATCGTCGCGAATTCATCGAGACCATGAGAGAACTCCGAAGAAAGAATCCGCATTTGGATCCGGTCCAGCTGCAGAAACAGGCCGAGTACGAGATGATCAACAAAGGCCCCAAATCGAGGGCTTTCTACCGAGTGCAAGCGACCAGACGGCTGATTGGAGGTGGGGACATCATCAAGAAGAGACTTGACAAAGAACATGACAAGAGTTTGGACGCCATTCTCAACGCTCAGGAGAAACAAGCTCGACAGAACACCTGTCGTATCTTCTTCGATCCCGCTCATTACACTGTTTTGGAGAATGTCGGCACGTTTGATGTGATGGTTGGTCGAGATGGAGGTCCGGAGGGTCTAACTGTGATGGTCGATTATTATACTGAGGATGGAACGGCGAATGCGGAGTCGGATTACATTCCAGTCAAGGGAACGCTGACTTTCAGACCTGAAGATCGTCATCAGGTAAAAATACATTTTTATTTTCTTTTGATATAAGCATAAAACATAATTTGTAATAGCTCATTTATATTTGCGTTTATTTATACTTATGTATAAAAATATTAGACAAAAATAAGTAAACAAGCGTATTTACAAATGAATCCAGTTATTATAAAAACCTTGAATTTTTTTAGAAAATTACCATTGAGATTGTTGATGACGACGTATTCGAGGAAGACGAGCATTTCTACCTCCACCTCACCAATCTCCGAGTCCGCACCAAGGACGGTCTTATCCTGGATCCCAGCCGTCTTGGAGGTGTTCCAGTGGCCCAACTTGAACTCCCCGCAACTGCCACTGTCATGATTCTGGACGATGACCATGCTGGAGTCTTCTCCTTTGAGCACGACCACTTCCAAGTCATTGAGAACTGTGGTGTTCTGCATTTGAAGATCAACAGAACCTCTGGATGTCGTGGTGAAGTTGTTGTCCCGTACAAAACTTATGACGGAACTGCCGTTGGCAATAAGGACTACGAAGTCAAGGAGGGAGAAGTTGTTTTTGGGAACAACCAGACTGAGTAAGGGTGATAGAGAAATCCAAAGATCAAAAAATGATTGTATTGTCCTTGCCTCTTACTATCCAAATGTTATTTTTAGAGCCGTGGTGGAGATCGGAATCGTCGACACCGAGCAATATGAGCGATCCGACTTCTTCTACATTGAATTGCAGCCCCCAATCTGGGCGAAGAAGATGTCCGGTAGGTTGGAATGGAGGCTGAAACTTTAACTTCGGCTAAATCACCGCTTATTTTGATTACTCGCTTTTTTTCTATCGTTTATTTGCTTCCGACTTTTTTGGGCTCTCAGTTTGGCTTTGAATTTCCTGGTCTTGGACAATTAAGATTCCAATCCGTAATGACGAAGGACCTGCCAACTTTTATATCCGATGATTTATGTTATCAATCAGAGGCTTTGATTCGATTTTTTGCGTCATCAAACCCGTTCTTGAACCTGTTGATCCTCACAGACCGGCCATTTTACCTATTATGCGGGTTTGTGGCCAGACTTTGCCGTTTTTGTAACTCTCCTTATCTCTCCAATAACATCTTTTTCTCAACTCTCGACTAACATTCGGCGTGTGGCGTTTCTTTGGCGTGCGATTGGAGGTGTGCGGAATGAATGTGAAAGAACGATGCACTCGCACCTTATAATTTAACGTATTTTATATTACAAATTTCATTGGCAGATGTCCGCAAATGTCAGGAGCGCTTCTCGCGCCGCATCGAACGCAAGCGCCAATCCTCGTTGTTCCCGGGCTCACAGGACGAATCGGGTAAGTGGGAAGAGACGTAACTTTGGCAGTACCGTAACCTGGACGTTTTCATCGCATAATTTCTGGTTTTCACCTTCCGCCCACTTCCTTCTGTCACCCCATTTTAGGTCGATTGACGCCCAACCGCCGGCGCAGTATGTTTTCGGCCGAGGGCTTCTTCCAGGGCAAGGTGCGGGACCGTCTTGGCTCCGTGTTCAGCGGCTCCATTGCCTCGTTGGCCAGTCAGCTGAGTCAGCAACCAGGTTTGGAATCGTGCATGTACTCGATGTTGCCTTCGTTGTTTCCGTGACGTCATAACAGTGTGTCTTTGAAGGGTCTTTGTCTTTTGCCCCCACTCTGTCCTGTCCACTCTGTCCTGTCTCCTTAAAGTGGATACGAAACTGTCCTCCTAGCGGACAAAATGTTTTGTTGACGACCAAAGCTTGCTTGAACATTTAGTTCGAGCCATATGTTGCATTTCTTTTCATCTTTCCTTCCACAATCATCCTGTTTTAGGTGAAGACAATGCAATTCACCTGACTGAGGACCAATTGGAAGTGGCGGAATTGGGTAAACCTCGGCTGGGAGAGTACAGGAAGTGTCAGATCACTATCAAGGAGAGCAAGGAGTTCCAGGTGGGTATAATTAAAGTCTTTTGTCACCTAACTACAGCATACTTGATAAAAATCAAGTTTATTTTTTGTAGGGAGTTGTGGATCGAATGCTAAAGACTGCGAATGCTTCATTCATGCTGGGGACCTCCTCTTGGAGAGAACAATTTGTTGAGGCATTAACAGTCAGTGCCGGAGATGACGAAGACGATGACGATGGAGAAGATGGAAGTCAAACAGGCACTGAGGTTACTGCCAAGCAACCAGTAACCCCCAGCAAGTACGACTACTTCATGCATTTCCTGACTGTGCCTTGGAAATTGTTGTTCGCAACCATCCCACCAACCGATTACTGGGGAGGCTGGGCTTGTTTCACCATTTCGATCTTGATGATTGGTATCCTGACAGCTGTTATTGGTGATATGGCTTCGCAATTTGGTTGCTGGGTGGGATTGAAGGATGCTGTAACTGCCATCAGTTTCGTCGCTGTAGGAACATCTGTCCCCGGTAAGTCTAATATAATTCTTTTTAATCTTGAGACAAAAAATTAAATTGCAATACAACCTTAATACTGTGTTAACTTCATTCCCTCTCCTTTGTTTTAGACACCTTCGCCTCCAAAGTGTCGGCTGTTCAAGACAAATACGCTGATAATTCGATCGGAAACGTGACCGGTTCCAACGCCGTCAACGTCTTCTTGGGCATTGGAATTGCCTGGACAATGGCCGCAGTTGTCCATTGGTACCGCGGAAACATCTTCCACGTAGATCCCGGAACCCTGGCTTTCTCCGTGACCATCTTCTGCATTGAAGCGTTCATTTGCATCATTGTCATCGTGCTAAGACGTCATCCCAAGATTGGTGGAGAGTTGGGTGGACCCCGAAAGATCCAGGTTGCCACATCCTTGTTCATGACTGTCCTCTGGCTGATCTACTTGGGTCTGTCTGCCTTGGAGTCCTACTGTTACATCGCCGGCTTCTAAAGAATCTAAAAAAGTTCTAAGAATTACCAGGTGCCTTTTGTTTCTTTATCACCCCCAAATGTGTTATCCGAAGTGCCTTACCAGTGTTTTCGAAACGTTGAGGAGGGTTGTGAGTCAGTAGAGAATCTCATTCTTAGTTATTACCTTTCAGAGATGCTTCTCCCTTCATTACTGATCACAACTCTTCTCAGCAGTTTTAGAAACAGACCTTAGTCCTTCCATTTCTTCACTTACTAGTTTAATTAAAGGTCCGACAGCTTGATCCAAGGTCTCTCAACTCGACATATCTTCTCTGAATAGGCCTCTTATCTGTTTCTTTGTCCGTGAAATCAGAGGTAACATCTGAATGTGAGCCGCTTTTCACAGTGCCAATCTCTTCACAATTAGTAATAACAACCCCTCAGGGCACTTGGGACTGCCTTGTTCTGTTTCTCAGTAACCGTAGACATCGAGATCTGTTTCACCTCGCCTTTTTTCTCCTCCTAAGTTAAGGTTTTATGTCAAGCAGGTATTCTCATATTTTTGTTGACCCTTGTATAATTTCTCTTTTATTTTACATAATAAAATTGAATTAAAACTGTAAAATGCATCCCGTTTTGATAAGAATTGAGCAAAGTTTGTAGTAGACAACCGAGTAAGTTACAGGAAACCGGAAAATTGACTACATTACAGGAAAATGCAATTTTTAGCAAAACAAGATATAAATTAGAGGGACTAATCTAGAGAGTGGTCATCACAACAATCCATATCAGGACAATCATCCATCTCGAGTTCTGGGAGCAATTCCTCCGGAAGTTCATGATAATCTCCAATAAAATAGCGAAGTCTGAAGGCATCTTCTCCATTCAGGTAATACCTGTGCATCCGATCATCTCGGCAAAATCCAAGGCGTTCGTAGAGACTGAGAGATCCTCCATTCGTACTTTCCGTCTCGAGTAATACCTAAAATAAGGTAAGATAATAAAAAGCTATAAAGGATAATGACCAATTTGTAAAAGAGAACTTGCCTCGTTACACCTTCTCTTTTTCAATTCTTCAATAGCTCTGAGAACCAACCTTGAGCCTAATCCAAGCTTTCTCCACTCCACATTCACAGCCAACATGGCTATGTAACCCTTTCTGTATAAGTGAGTAGGCACTCCGATGACCTCATCTTTACACACAATAGCACCAATAATCTCTCCAGTAGCTTTGACCTTTGCCTAAACAAATAATAAAAAATATAAACATTACACTTACCAAGAAACTGAGATCAGGCCAATTCTGGACGAAATATCTGTAAGTGTATATCGAATATGGTTCGCTGAGTTCTGCTCCAACCACTTTCATCAAAGGCTTGAGGTCCGTTTTCTCATCAGTAAATGGAATTATACAAACATCGTCGGGAGATTTGGCGGAAGTAGGCATATTTTTAGATTGGGTGTCTTTTATAACATCAGCAGTTGATTTCCTTGGATTAGAAGGTCTCCTTTGGCTCGTACTTGGCTGAACTGATTTGGTAATGTCTCTGTTATGGGTACTTTGACCGAGAACCGGAACTGTTACGTTTTCTTTGTCATGAATAAGTTGTTCAGGGCTGGTGTTGGTCTTAGATCGACGATTTTCCTTCGGAATCCCCGGGTCCGAAGTCCTTGGATTCTGATTCTTTCCCTGAAACAGCAAGGTCATGAACGGCCCAATGTTAAGCTCCTAGATCCTTTAGACAGACCCCACACCTACATGGATAAGACGATCAACATTGCGTAGACGATCAATCGTATCTTTAACTAGCCCTTGAATGGCCCCGGGCTCAGTCATAAATACCCGATCAAATAAAGGTTTCCTGGGGCTCTGAAATATGGAGGCCATAGTTTAATAATCGAAAGCCCCGAGTGTGACACGGGAAGGGGAAGACGGAGACTTAAAAGTCATTCTACAGCCGGCGCGGGCTTGCAATCAATCAACAGGTATAAACAAAAGTAAAGGCGAATTACCTATCACAGTTTTATAGTCCAAGCCTATTATTAATACCGGCTACAAGGTAGAAATTACTGCAACTTTACAAATTCTTTGCTCTTCTAATTTTTTTCGCCGAAATTCCGAATAAAACACAACGCCAAAACATTTGTGTTCGTGTTGGGAGAGAATCGGGCCCTTCAAGGAAAGGGTCTTTGGAAGTCTTGAAGTGTTTACGTGTTCTTCCGATCAGTTCCGTCAACGGGCATGTCCTCGGACATCAACTGGACTCCGGCTGTGACGGCCGTCACCTTCTACGCCTTTGTAATTGTAACTGCGGAGGTATGTCGAAAGACGGTGGAACAATTCTATCGGAAGGGATCCCAGCCTTACCTCTTCTTCATGGAACTGATCGCGGTTACTCAACAATGCACTTGTGTCTATGAAAATGGTATGAATATCCTCAAATAAAAAAGAGCATCGTATTTTAGCGATTATGATAAAGAATTATGGTCCCATCGGGTTCTTCTCGGCTGTTTTCACCATCCTGGTGGTTACTGCTCAGTACAACAGAGGAGCTTACATTTCTCCGTTGCTGCCAGTAGAGATGGCATGGAAAGAGGCAATGGATTCGGTCACATTGCTGACTTTGCTGGCTGCTCAGACCCTCGGGGGATACTCGGCTTCGAGAATAGCGGATAGCTTATGGTACTACACGAGTGGCTACTCTGCTGAACATGCTCAATTATATTCCAACTTGCCATGTGCTTTGAAATACCATGTAAGACTTATAGATACGAAGAGCCCTTCTTTTGTGACGTAACATTAGTTGAATTGTTGCAGGTGCCATTTATTTTTGCATTGGGATATGAATTCCTTGGTTGTTTCGTCTTGAGACTGGTTTTGTCCAATCTCAGTTTGAAGTACCGGAGATATATAATGCCTTTCGTCACCTCTGCTGCCCTCACATTTGGTAGGTTCTGATTTTTAGTGAAATTCTTTCAAAAATACTGTCAAAATCTTGATCGTTGTATTTTTTAGCACTGGTATACGTTGGAGTCCCCGGACTGAACCCGGTTACCACCTCGTCCAGACTCATGGGCTGCCCCGGCCTTGATCTTCAATGGTTTATGATCACTTATTGGACTGCTCCTGTTCTGGGATGGATGGCCGCCTCATATATTGATAGGAAGAAGTTGTTCAAGGTCCCCAAGAAAGGAAATCCCGTCCCTGAACAGCCCAAGGTCAACAAGAAAAAGAAGAACAAGTAGTTTTTCTATACCTCATGTTCACTTACATTTCCTAAAATACGAGGCAACTTTTCATATCATCAAATCTTCCAGATATATATAGTATTTATAGGAACATTAACTGTAAAATAAATCTCATTTGTAGACTGAATCCACGTGTGACTGTATGTCTTTGAGGATCAAGTGTAATTGAGTTAGCTGGTCAATATTCATCTTCACATTCTCCGATCCCTGATCAGTCAGGAATTTAAAATGGATTAACGGTTCTCTCTTTGGACTATTGAATCTCCTAAAAACCAATTTTAGACTAGAAAAAAGCATACTTACGTTGCTCTCTCCAATTCCAATCCCCATCTGATATCAGAAACTTGCGGCTTCCCCGATGCCGACATTAATTTAGCCCTCTTTAGTGTCGCTGGCGCTTCGTCTAGCCATAACTCTGAGATCCTTGTTGCTTCCTCCTCACCCACTCCAATCTCCTCCAACTTAGATTCCAAATCTCGAGGTTTCGTTTGATTTAAGACAGCTTCTTTCCAAAAGGGGAATGCCAGATCAAACTAAAATAATATTAATCAAATCTCTCAATTGCCTCATCAATTACCAGGTGGTCAAACTCCTGCAACTCAGTATCTTGTAGTTTGACCAATTCATCCTTCACTTCATTTACAGTCCGATCCCAATCAACATTACGCAATATTAATTTAGATACATGGATGAATTTATCAATATTTGTAGAAGCGAAGTCTGCCATTTGCAATAAAATAGATTTATGAGGTTCTTTGCTTTCTCTGCAGGATTGAAGGAGTGAATTCACGTGAACAAAATGTAAAATATAGTGGTCACAAGTCTAATTTTTCCGTAGGAACGTCAGGTGGTATCAAATAAACGCGAGAAAGATAGTTTTGCTTCTTGAAGGGATTTAGAAGTTGTATACACCTCAAACAACTGGAATAAACAAAAATTCTGTGCAGGGGTGGTCGGCGGGCCGGGCCGGCCCGGGCCGGCCCGGCCCGGCCCAAACGGGCCGGCCGGCCTCAAAAATGGAAATTGACAAACGGGCCGGGCCCGTCACGGGCCGGGCCGGGCCGGGCCGCGGGCCTGGGGTTTTTCCGGCCCGGCCCGGCCCGTCTAAAATACAATGCCAAACCGTTGGCATTCATTGTTTTCGCGCCGGGAAAATTAATTGATGTTGTTATAGTTGCTGTTTCTCAAGTTCTAACACGTTTACAAGTCTATAGTTCCATTATAGAACCACAAAACTATCACATTGATCCTTTACTAGCTAGATCAACGCCTTTTTTGCCTCAGTTTAGATCCCGAGCCTGGGCGCAGTTCGCAGAACCCTCTATAGACGGGCCTGGACGGGCCGGGCCGGGCCGGGCCAGGCCCGTCACGGGCCGGGCCGGGCCGGGCCTGGAAAAAGACTAGACGGGCCGGGCCGGGCCGGTGATTAGACGGGCCGGGCCGCGGGCCGAAAATCGGAAAAATAGGGTCTGCTGACCACCCCTGATTCTGCAAAATAATTTATTTCGGTCGAGTTTCCCCCCGTGTATGTGTCAACTGTCCCCCTCAAGAAATTACTTCTTTTGCGTCTCGTGTTCACGTACCAAATTTATGAAGATGAGCTTGCTCCACGTCTCCGTGACTGATTTCTCTGTCCTTGTTATTGTACCTTCGCCGAGGTTATCAGATTTTGTGGTATGATTTTAGTGCAGAACACGTGATAACAGAGAATTACGCTTTTTAGTGGCGCTTTTTATTTACAGTCCTGTTTGAAACATGCCCCCAACGAGACTTTTGTCTGTTTTATGCTCGAAATAATTTCGTCTCGGTTCAATTGCACTATAAATTGTTGGTTTACCATTTTGATCTTTTAGAAAGATGATGGCGGATTTCTTTTGGGAGTTCAAAGATGGGGTGTTGGCATCGTTGGAAGGATTTCTAGTATTGTACAAATTGGATGAGGACAACACAAAGCCACTAAGCACCACAAACACGGGTCAGAGGGCTTCTTCGGCCGAACCAAATCCGAGAATGACGATTTTGGAAAGGAGAAGGATGCAGGAGAAAGAAAAAACCGCCGACCGGAGGAAGAGTACCACTCCCCCTGTAATTAGTAGGACCAAAACGCCGGCTTATTATCGAGTCTTACAGGTAATTGGCCTTTTGTTTTTATTATCCATGCTTTTAGTGTGTTGGAGTGAATGTGGCATCGATTGCGTTGGTACAATTGATGGTCTGGATCACGGAAACCCTTTTCCCAGACAAATACAGTTGGATTAACACTTTATTTGCATCATTTCGGCTGGCCCTAGTGATGCCCATTTTCATCGTAATCAGAGTGCTCAGTACTTTATGGTTTGCCGATGTTGCAAATGCCGCTTATCGATACAGGGGATCTACAATGTCCACGAGATCACACACGGAGATCATCTTCTCGAAGACAGCTTCAGACTTCGTTCATGCTTTGGTTGTGGAGCTCGTCTTTCTTCTTCAGGCCATTCTAGTTCTGGGTCTTCCCGTCCCGATATTAAATCAAGTTGGAGGATTTGTTCTGATGTCTCTACTGCATTCACTCTACAGTTTCGAATATGTTTGGATGAGTAGAGGGCTGTCGAACGTCAAACGATTGGCATTGGTGGAGCGTCGCTGGCCATTTCATCTGGGCTTCGGATCTCTGATGACCTGCCTGACCATGTATTCGGACAACTTTATTATCAACTCGTGCATTTTCGGTGCCTTCTTCCCCTTTTTTATTGTCAGTTCGTTCCTTACCTCCATTCCTGAACAGAAAGACTCGCAGATACCTCCGATCCACTTCTTCCACATCGCTCAAATCATCACAAACAAACTTTCTTTGGCCGTTTTCGGCCGAATCCGACCGGTCTCCCAGTAATTCTCTTAGCCTAACTAGCATGTATTAGCTCTAGCCGGGTCATATGTGTGCTCCTATTGCCATGCATATACACTTTGAATTGCTCCTCGAACAGGATCATTACTTTTCCTATAAGAAAAAGTGTTTTAGTGCCTTCTCTTCTCGAATGTTGTTGTTATTATTGTTATCTCCCACTGTCCTCCCGATTGTACATAGCTGTGAATAGTCCTGATGAATATAATAAATGGACCCGTTTCGACATTAATCTACACTCTCTGCCTCTGATGACACTGATAAATAACAGATTTCTCGACTCTTAATGCGGCCTCCAGTGACGTAAAAGGGGAGCTCGAAATAAGTCGCTGCTGGTTATTTCCGGCATTCAGGAAGGTTCTTTTGGCTTTTATAGAGGGTCAACCCCCCAAGTTTGGTCATTCGCCGGGATTTGCAAGCCCAATGAATGGATTTCCTGTAGGATTGGTGTTGTTTTAGATTGATGACATCTAGTGTAGGATTCTATTTCGAGTAATTGGATGTTTTAAAGTGTGTTGAGTCGTATTTAATTGCTATCCTAAGTACGTGTATCTCCCAATCAGATTAAAAGTTAATGTGTCCGAGCATCCTTGTCTCGCCCATTTACTGCAGACAAACTTGTTGAAAAGGACCTGGAGGCCGAACTTTTCACGGTAACCAGGCGTAGAGCCCATTATAAGGTCGAACAATGGCCGCATTCTCGGTCAAGGGCTCAAAACCTGTCGCGGGAACGACCTTTCGCAGGGGCCGCGGGTATTGGTTTTTATATTTACATAATCAGAATACGGCATTGTAACGTGAGAAGCAAATGACTTGTTGTTATGCCAACTGAACAGCCTGCGGGCCTGAAAGAAATCGCGCATTTTCTTGGTAAGAACGAAGGGGGGGGCGTGGGGCCCGGGTTATGTTGCCATTGGCAGCCAGGTAAAACCCGCAGGCCCTCCGCCGGCTTTCCCCCTAAGGAACTCACGTTCGGTCTGCGCCGGGGATGCTTTTATCGTCGTTGCGGATTCGAAATGGAATCGATTTTGGAGGTCAAGAGTGTGAACAGCGCGCGCTCACTCCCTCCTCGTGTTGTGTATGCGACCTTCTTACTTACCTTGTTCGGATATCGATTATGTTCTTGTATTTGGGGGGAATTTTTATCATGTTAAAGCCGTTCCACCGCTTCCTCTGGCATCTTTATGGACTTGCGTAGACAGTTTTTATTTTTCGACGAGATTTGCTCGCTTTTATGACATTCCCGGCCCATGATTATATTGTTTTGCGTAATACTCCCGAAAACAGCATGTACAATATAAAATTGTAGCCTTCCCTTTCATCCACCGACCTGGATGCGCATCTGGATCGGACAGTGGTCGAAGACATGGAAGAGACCGAGTTCTCCAATGTCCTCACCTACACCATCCCCATGTTCGTGGTGTTGATTCTGTTCTGTTGTATGCTCAAACTGTACGTCAAGTGGACAGGTGGCTGGAAGAATTGTCATCGGCAACGGACGCTGAGCGAGAACTCTTCCGGTGAGCGAGTTTGCCTTCGTATGTTTACAATCTTCTTACACTTTCTGACGCATGATTTAAATTCCAAATCTTTCGGAATGCCCTTAGGCGCTCTTTCCAAACTATTGCGTCGTATTTCCTGCAAATACCTTGAGTCCTAATGCCAATCCGCTTAAGCATCGACCACAGTGTCCATCAATACGGATATGGTAATACATCAGCCGAGTGGGCCCAACCTGCCGGTGATCCCCTTCGAGATCACCGAATTCGACGGGTCCGCTTTCTTCACGGTCCCCTTTTTGTTGGAGCGATTCCCTCCCAAGTACGAGGATGCCATTAAATTGCCCTCTCCATTACCACCAAGAAGGGCGTCCGTGGCCGTTCCTTTACCGCCACCACCCTTCTACGAGGGAACATCATCGAATGGAAGTGGATTCGCGGACGGTGAGGATTACTTTATCGGATTAGTGAGCCAAAATAGGAGAGCTCTAAGCACATTATACTTAATGACGTACATTTTGGGTTGCTGGTCCTCGTATTTCTTTGGGAATTTGTAATAGTATTTGGGATCACAAGAGAATTACAAAAGCAAAGGATTAAACGGTACTGTGTGGTTTACAATGCTCTTAACTCTTGGGTTACATCTCTGCGTAATGTTTTGCGTTGCGTTTATTTTACGTGTGTAATCAGCTTAAGCAAACCCTCTTATTTTAGCATTTTATACATGTCGTTGGCCCTAATTCCTGTCATTCTAGCTCCCCCATCATATTGGACACTGCCACGACTTGGTACGGGTAATCAATCGGGTTCAAATGACATCTACAGGAACATGACGACCTCCATTAACATGCCCGCCACCTCCAGTAGTTGTAATATGTACTCTCAGCTGGACACACAGAAGGTCCAAAATAGTACTGGAAGTACGGCGTCGCTTGTTCGCCATGCCCCGCTAACACAGAGCTTGTCCGATTCGGTCCAATTGGCCCGAACCCACGAGATGGGCATGGTTCACAGACAGAGCACGGCCTCCTCGCCTGTTCAACTGATCCCCCCATTGCCTGGGGCGGTTGTGGAATCTCCGGAGGGCATTCACGAATTGCGGGTCGACGAATTGGAGAAGAACTAATCAAATGGTGATCACGGGTATGTCTCCATCTACCTCATATCGAGCTTTCATCCATTCAGACGGGATCTCTTTGTTTGTTTTCATATCTTGTGTTATCCTTGGCATTCTGATGTAATGTCTGCGTTTTTTGTTTTGAATGTTCGAATGTTCAACGGATATGTGACGTCATTTACGGATGATGTAATCACATGCTTTGGCCTCATTTTGGTATCTGAATTTACCCAAGATTGGCTAATTCCTTGTCCTTGTCCATGACGTCACATGTCCGTGCGATTCCGAATCTACGTGCGTCTTATGACGCCACCTTCTTTATGCTTCCAACAGTACAAAGTAACCGCCAAACTGGTTGAATTTTAGGATTGTATAGTTTCTGTCTTGCCCTTAATAAAATTTATTAAAATTGTTCAAATTATTTATTTCGAAAAATTAGCTCTACTAGTAAATTGGGCCGTCTAGCAATGCCACAATTACGGGAGTTTGTTGGAAAGAAAGACTTTATTCTCTTGAGGTATGTGTAATCACAACAACAAACGATGACTAGAAAAGGGGGCTTCAGGCTGAAAGACGGTGCATTTATAACAAGGTATAGGAAAATACACGTAATATGACCTTGGTATGTTGGTGGTAATGAGTAATCGGATCGGGAGGGGAATAAGGTGGTATTTGAAATTAGATTATGATCACCTGGGTAATATCATATGATTTTAGACCTCATAAACTCCAAAGAAATAGCAGACTTATTGTTTTTGTAGATGTAATGGATAGATTATGCTTTTTTGTGTACAAACATTGACATAAAATTATGTAAATTTTAGAGTATAGACAATATATCCATGATACTCTTATATAATCAAATTTTTCTCGTAGAAATACTCGTTATTATTCGTACTTGGAAGGCCAGTCCAGCTGCCCATTGTGGAATGAGGTCTGTAATCGACGAGGCCACCTTCGACTTGATGGAATTCCCCCAATAAAGGCATCGATTCTCGCTTAATCTTGGGATATGACGCCGGATCAGGATCATAATCATAACAGGAGGTGGTGGAGGCCGTGGAAGGAGTTGTTTGACTGTGTTCTCTCTTCCGACTACTCGGCGATTCCTGCTCAACTTGTCTGAAATATTCGTCCAAGTCATCGCCCAGTTCAGGTAATGGATATCCGAATAAACTGGCTGGGCATAAAGATAAGGGCTCCGGGAAGGGATAGCCAAATTCATTGGCCGGATCCGGAAAGTCCAACAGTATTTTTGGCACGACAATATTGTTGTTATTATTATTATTGTTGAGATCGGGAACTCGAGGCAAAGGCTTTGTTTCCAAGATCTGAAAATTTAGACGTCTAGTCTAATATGTATATGGACAAATCATCATTCTCAAAAACGCAAATGCCTGACCATTTCGCGAATGGAGACATATTGGCTTCATTTTTAATGTAAAGCCAACACGGAATTAATGTACAAAGACCTTCAAGACACGTTAACAACACATGTCATTTTTGTGCGAATCAGAAATCAATTTCTCTGTTATGCAGCGCTTATTACGTGGGCAAAGATCTCTAATAAAGAGCTCATCTATTCACTGTTGTTATACCAAGTGTATCTTACCTCATGGCCGTCGGTCTTATCTTGCACATGACTGGCCGAAGATTCTGGGGAACTGACTTCGAATTCCTGCTCCTTGTCCCTCATACTCTGATAAGTGGATGGACAATACACCCAGGATGCCTTTTGGAGGGCCAGACCTTCTTGTTGGCTAAAAATAAAACATTTGAAGGACCAAAAATTATATTACACTTGACACTTGTTCAAAAAAATAATTATTAGTCGATTTAAATCCCTTGCAAAAATTATTGCTTTCCCTGTTGGAATGAGGTACATAATTTCGAGTACAAGGAACTTAAATTGCTTGGAAATAGGGTAAAGCGTGGCTTGAATGACATTACTTTAGTTTGATTTGTCCACTTACCCTACGGCTTGGAATGTGGCCTGAATGAAAGGGCAATTCTCGGGGCTTAATTTGCAAACGAACACGGAATGAAGCCAGATGAACTTTTTGGAGGCATTTTCCAATCGAATCAAGCAGACGATGATACCCTCCTTGTCGCGGATTACTGTAATTTACTCAAATTATTATTCAAATTTATTTATAAACTCGTTAATTATGGCTCACAAATACCGAAAGCGGCGTGTAGGATACAACTAAACCTAATGGCAGCCTACAATTGAGCCCCGTAATTATTCAATGTAACAAGAAGACTCCTGCCTCCTTTTTACTTACATTTACAGTGGTTTTCGGATAATTGAATGAGATCTTCGGGATGGATAATCGAGTACAAGTTGATGTAATCATGATCATTGTATCCTAGCATCTCTTTCGCATTCAAATTCATCTCTTTTATCAGCAAATCCATGGATAAGACCATACAAAAGATATTCGGATTGCCCATGGCCAAACTTTCTGCATTTTCGGGGTTAATCAGAGGCTGACAGAAGGCTGAGAAGAGGGGCTGGATCTTATGGGAAGCCTGCATCAACTGATTTATGGCCTTGTAATGCTCCAAGGAATGGATGTAGCGACCCTGGACTAGGACGAACTGAAATAGAAAGACTTGTTTTTTGGCCGATTTTCAATTTGAAAAATTTATTGTCTGTTTGTAATGTGGGAGAAAACTTTTCTAAGGCAATTTTTTCTAACGTGAGCAGAAAAAATATAAAGTCGTTTTTTTCTCTGACCGCCTCTCCTAATTTTACAGTCTCTCGTCGAAAAAGATCGTTGGAAAACTCAGCCGTTTTTACAAATGGTAAGCAAAGATTTGTAGGAATCAACATGAGGCCCATAAAGATTGTTTGGACCAAATTTGGAAAACATCTGACAAGGGAAGTCACTTTTTTCGCAGACGGACTTCGGAACGGCACCTAGTAGGTTTCAAACGTGAAGCGTCTGCGATCATAAAACTGATTTCCAAAAGTGTTTACGGGGCTTCTCGGCCGAGAAAATCGACCGCAAAGTTTAGCCGAAATGAGCGAATAGCCTCCTAAAAAGAAACAACTTATTTCATCTGCAGTGGTGGCCGAGTGGTCAGCGCGCTCGCTTTTTGCGCCAGAAGACGTGAGTTCGACTTCGGTCGTCTGCGGATGCATTTCTTTTGGCCATTGAATCAAATAGAGAGATGCCGTTAACATCACATATGCTAATTATTAGCAATTTTTAATAAAACACAAATTTAGGAACTATATCTTCATTAACCCAGCCCTGTTTTGACTTTACAATATTCATGAACATTCAGCTTTGAATTTATGTTTAAATTACTGTAAAAAAATTACAAAAGTGTATACATTCTATGTTTACATACTAAATCAATATTTACGAAGCCAAAAAGAAAACAAACTGCGCAGAGGATCGAACCCGCCTCTTCTGGCGCAAAAAACGAGCGCGCTGACCACTCGGCCACCACTGCAGATGAAATAAGCTGTTTCTTTTGAGGAGGCTATTCGCTCATTTCGGCTAAACTTTGCGGTCGATTTTCTCGGCCGAGAAGCCCCGTAAACACTTTTGGAAATCAGTTTTATGATCGCAGACGCTTCACGTTTGAAACCTACTAGGTGCCGTTCCGAAGTCCGTCTGCGAAAAAAGTGACTTTCCTTGAGAGCATTAAGCTTTTTGCACTTCACTGGCAGAAATATTTAAGGATTTTTGTATACAGACGTTTTTGAATGATGTGTAAAATAATGTAAATTCTTCTGAGTACTTCAAAACAAAGGATACATTTTTTTCCTACAACACTCACCTTATAATATTGTACTTGTCGTTTGGCCGTCCGCGACAGATTCATGCGACATACGAAGACAGATTCATGCGGATAATACTCGGAATAACCGGATAAGGGGCCAATATACAACTCGTTTCGAAGACTCAAATGATCTCTGACATCCACCAGATCGTATAAACTGTCGCCTTGACACATGATTTCCTCCACGGAATACCCCAGATATTCACTGGCATTATCCGAAATATAAAGAAGTTTGCCCTCCTTTGTGACCATCAAAAGAAATCCCCTGAGGGCCTTACAGCTGTCGCAGCCTCGCGGAGTCGCCGTGGAATACGGTAAAGGGTAGTTTTTACCGCAGGTTTGGAGTACTGTAATTGTAAAAAATAATACTTTCAAACAATAAAAAATAAATAAAAAATTGAATATTTTGGGCTTACTGTAAGGTAAATACTTGTGTTTTCTGATGTAAATACAAGCCAACGACATAACTTGTAACTGAAATAGACGATCCTTGACACAAGAATTTAATGGAAGGAGGTCTCGGATCTTCTGGATTTCAATGTTGATCAGCTCACGACGTTGTTTCGAAGCACCTCTGGTAGAGCTAAGGGTAAAGTTAACAGTTTACAACCAGTTACCGTGAGCCCGGATCTGCCGGGAAATCCATTTAAGTGTCGTTTCAAATGGCTCTTGTATCTTAGCCTTCAGAATTGTGAAAGCAACTGCGTAGTGAAAATATGGCACAAAAAAGATGATGGAGTTGGGTGGCGACGCTTTGATTGAAACAAATCGTATTGAATTTCAGATCTAGATCGTAGAATACGGTAGGTAGGTCAAGTACAATATAAATGGATACAGTAGTCTTAAAAGTAATTAAAGGGCTTGTAATATGATCTGTGGCCACCGTATCAGCTGCCGTACCCTCAAATCTTCGCTTCCAAGCAGGCTTAATTCCCAATTCACGTCTTCTTTAGCCTAAGGGCTTGACCAAAAAATGAATGGCCAGTGGGTCAGCGGGTCATCTCCCTCTTCGCCGAGATCCACCCTCAGATCGTGACGTCGCTCAAACAATAGACGGAAGTGTATTAGGAAGGGGAAGATGGTCATTCCGACCTGAGGCAATGAGGTGACGACCTCCACGAGGAGCCACGCGCTGACTCGAGAGTCCGTAAAAAACAAACAGACGGACTCGGATGACCCCCGCGACCTTTCACGTCTTTCCAAATCTCCATTGTGACGTCATTCGAGCACTTGGACAAACGTCGCCAGCTTCCGGGTTCGCGCGGAAATAACTGACTGGTCAGCTGTTGTTGTTATTTACCGCTTATTTACTTGTAAACAAAACTTCTTTGACTCCAAAGATTAAAAATTTTAGGGTTTCGTCTTTTTGATGACATAAAATAATATTTGTTTTCTGATACTGATATGAAGCGCTTATAAATACAGTTTACTCTGTAAGGCTTTAATCTTTTATTTTTCTGACCTCTCCTTTGTTTTTACAGAAAATGTTTCAAAAAAACTCCAAGAAAATCCAAAATATTGTTTTATACCACTTTTTTTTATTGTCATTTGCTATCCTTTAGCGGCTCCAATATGCTATTATCTTCTGCGTAATCGCTCATAACATCATTTAATTCCTCTGGCAATCTTCTTCCTTTAGTCTCCGGCAAGAATAAAGCCAATAATCCAGCAACAATCGAGGTGACAGCAAGTATAATATACATGGCATAAGTGGTTCCAAATTGCTGAAAAAATCGTAGAAATGAGTGTAAACGTATTTCAAAACCCTACCAGATACTTTAGATAAGGAGCGGCAATAATTCCGAAGGACTGGGGGATATTTACCAAAGAATACATGGCAGTTCTCATTCCAGTGGGGATCATCTCTGTCAGTAGTAGGGGATGGGTGCTGTAAACAAGGCCATTGAAAACTTTGGAAATCAAATTGAACGATATAGCAAGCCAAGGGTCTAAAATTAAACTAATTTTTCACTATTTCATTACACATGGCCATGAACAACAAATTTAAATACTTATGGACTTACAAGGCAGGAACGGATATAGAGCAATGAACAAGCCCTGAAGGCATAGCATACTCCACACAATAGTCTTTCTTCCAAAGAATTTCGCAGCCGGTAAAGTCAAAATTCCCCCAGGCAATTCGATGCCAGCTGAGAGAGCGAAGCCGGTAAATCCATCACTGGTGAGACTGGTGCTTTCCAAGGTCACGGTAAAGTAAAAGAGGGCGATTACAAACCTAGAAACCATTCAAAATTATCTTTTGTTCGTAAAAATGTCAAGTGTAACATAAATAAATCTTACTGTATATACCCGTTGATCATCATTTGGAACATGAACTTTCTATTCGATCTGAGAGCTTCAAAGATCTGTATTAGAGGGCTTTTCGTATTTCTAACAATCTTTTTTCGCTTTTCACTTTTGAGACATTTATTCAGGTCCACCTTCCGGCCACAATACCGTTCGCTAGCTCTGATATAATCGCCCAATTGATGGAGTTTTCGATGTTCCACGAGCCAATGGGGCGTTTCTGGGAGCCATCTAGAGCAATGCGCATTAATTTTTGTGGAAGTCATGTTTTTGTTGCGGTACCCGAAAAAGTTTTGAGTCCCAAAGCGAAAACAAGATTTTTTTAAAATTAATTTAAAATGTTCTAAAAATACTTACATTGCGTATAGTGGAAAGATAAAGACCGCAGGCAAAGAAGCCAGCAGATAAAACACCCTCCAATCTCTCACAACCAACGAAAGTAATGCCGTATACAGCAATCCTGCAGTCCAGTAGATGTTATACATCAGACCATACCAATCCCTCACATCTTGAGCGACAAGTTCGGAGGACTGAATCCCAGAGATCGTCATATACCCATCAGAAGAGGCGCCGATGATGAACCGAAGGATCCAAAAGGTGTAGGCATCGTTCACAATATAGACAAGGAGGTTGGCGAAAGCGCTGACACTGATGCAAATTAACACTACAGTCTTTCGACCAAAGCGGTCTGAAGCCGCGGAGAGGAAAGGGACCATAGTAAAGGCGCCTGGAAATGAACTCGGGTAATATTTGATGATGGATAATATGAATTTATATAAACAAGGTGCCAAAAAACTTGCCGATCGTAAAGAAAGTAAGCCCAAACTCTTTGACTAGTCCATTGCTGCACAAGAGGCCAAACTGAAAAAGAAAATGCAAGATTAAAGCAGATTTTTAACAAAAATTAGATCACCTAGTATAACAAACTAGTTCCGTAAAAGAATCAATTCCTTACCGATGGAAAAATACTGTCAACAGGGCCTTTATTCACCACATATAACGTCGCTTTGTCAGAGTAATCGCACCTTTCAGTTACTAAAACAAAAAATACAAAGATTACTGTAACATACCACCATTTATATTCAAAGTACACTGATCTTTTTGCACTTTAATAGAAGAATTATGGGGAATACACAGAAGATGAGGGTCTTCCTCGATGAATGACATTACAAATAATGCTGCAGCGTAGTAGAAATTGAATGTTTGGACAATACAAAAGTTGGTCATCTCGTATAAACTGAAATCGCCGAGATGTTCGAGGAGTTTGTGGGCATCCACATGACGGAGATGTTCATAAGCAAAGCCATGGGCGGCCATTTCTGATAACAAATTTTACAAACAATAAAAAATTTTTGAATTTTGGGAATAAAAAAATAAAAATTACATTGTTTTTGGTTTGTTAAGTCATCAACTTGAACGGCAGTAATGCTTTCAAATTGCCGTTGTTTTCGAATTTTTATAGCATTTTATTCGAAATAATTTTTTCAGTACTTGTAAATCTCGTTTATTTATTGCTAGAAACAGTACATCTACATCTATTTACACTCTAGAGCCTCTAATTATTATAATATTTACAAAGAATTGCGGCAGTTTAATCGAGAGAAAGTGGGATGGGTAAGATGTCCGTGAGTCTAGTCGATTACTCGGTAATGCCGGTACTTTCGTCGTCGCATTTTGTGCCATTCACTGAAACCCACCTGGCCAGGATAGTAGTAGACCTACAGAAAGTTTGATTGTATTAATTTGGGTATTGTTAATTTAAAATGTAAGAATTGTGCTTACTTCCATGATCCAATGCGGATAAGAGTCTCGTGAGATGATTTTCTTGGGCGACCGAGCAAATTTATTATCCGGGAACTCAACTATCAACGTCCACCATCCCTTACGGCTAACCTGAAAAATTAATGCCATGAAAAATGTAATCATGTAGTCCGTTATGGCATGAATCCTCTATCTAGAGCCTTAACAAAACAGATTTGCTCTTATTCTTCCATAAACTCCATATTAAACTTATCAGAACTAAAGTTTATCCATCCATCCTCCTACCTCATAAGTCTTGGTGAATGTCTTCCCGGGCGCTACAAAGAAGTCGGCAGTGTTATCGACACCAATGAGACGAAAGAATCTGGCATCTGTGACGTTATGATTTCGAATGGAGAGAGTCAACTGGTAATTGTGAGGTCGATAGCGCCGATAATGACGTTTCAGGAGGGCCGACCACGGTAAATGGGCCAGAATACAGAGTAAAAGCGCCCATGAGGGGCTCATGCTGGTGGTGCCAGAGCGATCAGCCTCTCCCCGGCATGACTTTAGGCCCTGAGGGACGAAATGGCAGTGATCTAAAGGATAGGTATAGTCATATTTTCTCAGTCATCATGTAATATGTAATAACATTATTCGGAAACTGTAAAAATTATGGAAATTTCTGGGACTGAAAGAAAGCAAAGTTACTATTGGCCAGAAAACTAAATTGAGCTGCTTTAAATATTTCATATATTATATTAACCATTGAATAGATCATCAAAATGGCCTAGAACTTGCAGCTGTAAAATGATAGACAAATTTAGGAAACAGAAGCCAGGAACTTGGCGAACATTGTCGCTAGAGCCCATGAGCCCTCTTTCACCTCACCCACACTCACGCCAAATCTTTAGAAAACTGTAAAAAACGTAAAACTGCAACATTCCCATCAGATCGCGCGGATCATTAACACAATTGATTGGAAATAAAACGTCTCCAGCCGGGAACCGAGGAAAAAACTGATCGATCCAGAACGAAAGAAGTAGACGCGCATCCAGGCCGGACCCAGAGGGCCTCTCTACGGGAACACTTATAATTTTTATATTATAATATAAATATCGGCCGCTATTATTATTTTGTTTAAGACGGTGAGTCAGAAAAGGGAAGTATCCGGAGAAAATGCAGGAATTGCGATTGTAGAGACTTTAGAATGAGCAATGCAGTCAGTTCAGAGAAAAGTAGCAACTTTTATGCTCTTGACACATATTTTTACAGTATACTTGATGACAGCCAAAAATAAAAATTTTCACAATAAAATACGCGTAGAACTCCGTATTTTTTCAATACGCCATCAAATGGCTTGTTCTTACTTGTAAACAAAAAATATTTGAAGAGATTCCGTGGGGACATTTACAATCAAAAGTTATATAACTATAAATGTAATAACATAATATAATCAAATTTAATGCCAAAACTTCTATTTTGGAACATGAGAATAAATTTTGTACTATATATGTGTATAACAGAAACGCCGAAAAAAGTAAACATCTTGAAAAAAACTTCAAAGACAATCTCAAACTGCTGTTTCTCGAATGAATAATAGTTAAAAAGCTTGCGCAAGAGTTGTTTATTCATTTCAAATGACCTAAAGTTGATTCAGAATTACGCTCGGGTCATAAACCAAGTTGCGGGTGTAATTAAATCACATTAGTCACCGAGTTCAGAACAATCTTCGTTCCAAATTTCGATTAAAAATCAAAAAAAAAAAATCTTCTTGCGCAATGTTTCGCTCGGTCATAAAACAATAATTCGCTCGAAATGATTTAATTTCTCAAGGAAGTCGTTAATCCACCGGATTATTTAACAGATAGACAAGTGCGCTAATAATAGAACAAAACAAACATGAATAATATAAGATTTGATGGAAAAGATTCTTTTTACGGTTTGATTATAACATAAAACACAATGGGAGTGAAAGATCGCGTTTGTAATTGAATATTCACGGTGAGAAATAGCATTAAAAATTCAGCATCAATGAACATGGGACAATACGGGCTCAATATTACCTAAGACGGGGCACGATTCTTGGAGAAAAATTATTTCTCAAAAGGAGATCCGCAAATTTTTTTGGAATCCTTAGTTTATCACTGGTCTATATACGAGGTTTACTGTTTGAAAATTTTATTTTTTTTTTGTTGAGACTTCTGAGACATTCAACAAACATTTATTGCGAGAGACCGTGGAAAATAACGACAAAAGGTCAGAGAATAAAATGTTTTTTTAACCGTAAAGAGCGATTTCTCCGGCACATTTAAAAAAATAATTTCGTACAGAAAATCGTACGAAATTTACTTCGATATAACATCACACACATCGAACAGTTGGCCTAAGATAACATAAAGTGATACAAATTTAAGTTTGAGCACACACAAAATATCCCTAAAGAGCACATTGTATTAGACAGAATGCCGTTGAATTCGCCGCCGTTTCCTTGTTTGTATGGTTGCTCAAGGGAAAAGTAAACAAATCAACAGCCATCCCCCGCCCTCCCCTCCTCGTTTTACTCGTTTCTTAAAGAGTATTGTTAAAGACAGTAGATGATCATTCGACGATTCCCAAATCCCTTTAGGAGCTAGTTAACAAAGACTTGAAAGTTACTTTTTAATTGCATTAAGTAGTAAAAAAAGGGTTCCGAGGAAAATAAAAGGCCCTGCGGCTACGAAATGAAATTCGCGACACCGAAATCTCGCGCAGCATTAAAAATTCAAGGGCCAAGGTGCATAAAAAGCACCGGAAAGCCGGGATCCGTGCACAAAACGCGGCGTTCCTTTTTATTTGCCCGCAGGGGATGGACTTCCCCTTAGGGCCTCATTTGGATTTCGGAGGGCCGACAAATATTTTGTGTGTTTTGTTGTTGACAAAATATAGATAAAGCCGATTCGCATGGCCACATGGTAAGGAGTTGAGAACTTTGGGAGAGAAAATTATTTTAAGGAGATACCAAAACAATTGGTAACAAGGTGTCCAGAAGTGAAGATACCAACGTGTACGGTATTATTTTTCCTAAAAGATCAACAACTCCCACACTCCAAAAAATATTATTTTCACATCGTTTTTACGGTTTGAAATCCATTTCAAAATTCCAGAATCCCATAAAAACGGATTCTGCAAAGCCTCTTTTTTATTTGATTCCCAGACCAAAAATATAGACAACGTATAAGGAGAATGTATAACGGAGAGTATCCCGAATACGTTTCGATCTTTTATTTATAAGGCCGTTCTATTTCGAGGGCCAAAATTGGAAAAAATAAAGATGGACAAGACGAGATTGGAAGAAAAAGTTTGGCTAAACTAATTAGCCGAATAAACATTACAAGAAACAGCTAGGAAGGGTGTCAGACTTGTTTTATTTATTTAAAAAATCTCTAAAAAATATCGGAAATACAAAGTAAACAAAGAAGTAGTCACAAAGAAAGGTAAACAGTCACAATTAAAGTCGTAAAGCAGTAATTTCTATCAAAAATTTGATTTGTAAATTGTAAAGGTTAAGTAAATAAACGCATCCGGAGGGAGGCATTTCACGTCAAATGGAAGTTATTTACAGTTTATGATGAGCATAAACGTCTGTATTAAATTGGGGAGTTGAAGAACAAAAATGATGACTTTTTTTGGGAAAAACATCAAGTTCTAAACCTCGCGAAAAGATTTTCGTGATACTGAGTTCAAATTCAAGTTAGTATTTATTTTCTAAGACTCCTATGAAATTTTTACTTTACAGAAACCGTAAAGGACTAAATCAATATCTTCAATCTAAAAATAATAAATGATACATAAAAATTTTATGAATTACGTACATATATTTAGATGCCCTAGTACACTTTACAGTAAGAAAAAAAAACCCACACCAATATCTAAATATTTACCCACCAATTCCCATTTATCATCACCGTTGGAACCCCGGAACTTTCTTCGCCCATCAATTTCTCCAGTTTCGGCCGTTTTTTTATTCATAAAATAAAGGAAAAGGTGTCTCTCTGATTAGACGACCTTGGAATTTGATTTTACTTTTTTTAACAAACCAATTGTTTACCGCATTGTAAACCCAAGGGAAACCTCAGCGCTTCCCTTAACGACCTCCCTCAAGCCGAGAGAAACCTGCTTTTCTCTAATTACAATAACACTACTCTCTTTAATTTGCATAAATAATATTAAAGATGGCCGGGGGATTAAAGGGAATTACATATTAAAGTCCAGCCTGGGTATTCGAATATTCGCCTGAAGGCAAAAGATGAGGACATGGCTAATTAAAAAATTTTTTAAATAATTAAATTTTGAGAGGACAATGTAAAGTTTGAAAGTAATTCCAGAAAATCTCCAAGTAAGTAATTCAATAAAAGGTAGTCGAACGAAAATAAAAAAGAACGCCTCGCGGCAAGATTTGACGCGATAACTCGAGATTCGAGGTTAGATAAGAGAGATGACCCTCTGGATTACTCAATAAACAACATTTTACTACAAAGTTAGAATGACCAGTTTAAACTTAACAAGCCTGCTTTAGCATTGAGGATTTCCTTAATCCGATTGTCTTTCCAAAAAAATTTAGAAGACAACATGCCCTTAGGGCTGAGACAAAGAAGGGCGCCAAATTTGCATAAATCTCTGGCTCGGCCTTTAGTTATATTTATTGGCCATAAAACCGCAGATATTATCTAAAAATGTTACGAAAATTTTGGCTAAAACTTTTTCAAAGTAATATTTCTGAAATTTAAGCCAGAGTTAAGGCTTGCAACCGCCTTTAAACCCCTTTAAACCCCTCTCGGAATTGTAAAAAGTCTCTAATTATGGTCGTAAACAGTAACAACCCTGATTGTCACCTTTTCTAACTGTCAAATTATAAAAATTACAAAAAATTAAAATTCCAAAGGGTTCTCAACGAATGGAAAAAGCGAAAAAAGGTAAATTGTTGGTAAATAAACCCGAGAAGATACATTACAACGAACAGATGACCCTTTTAGGATCTTGCTCTCGAATTCTGGAGCCATAAATTTTGATGACTTAACATAAAGCACAAGTGATGAGTAATATATCTGTCTAATTACTCGTGAATTATAGGTCAAATGGGGAACAAAAAGATCCTTTGTCTCGCTCGGATTACTGACAACACCTTCCCGCGCTCTCTTCCGAATCACCGTGACCTTCTCACCTTCTTCTTTCTTATCAATGATAACATCATTCTTCTTCCCGACTCTCTCTTTGGAAGTGCCATCATTTCTTACATTATACTACCTAATTATTGTGAATTTAATTGTTTTAGTGATAGATGATAATGGAAAACGGCGTGAATATTGAGAGACAAGTGGGTGAAAGTGCGAAAGTCTTCCTTGATGATAAGAAAATGGGCGGTAAAAACGATAAGATTGAGAATTTTGAGGATATTATCCATGATGGTCGACTGTTACAAGATGACCAAAGATCCTCCAAGATGGCTAGAATTTGCTCAGCAACAACTTTAAGCGCTTCAGAAAGCTCTACCGCAGTCGTCGCCTCTACGCCAGAGCCATCAGACACTTTGTCCACCCGCCCTTTATCCTCGGCTAGCACTACTAGTACTCCAACCACTTCATTAAACGATAGGTCATCCTCTTCCGCCTCCAATAACTCCAATTCTCCATTATTGGAAGCCCCATCTTCTTTCGATTTATACTCATTACCTCACAAGAAACTTCTTATTTTATCTTTGACACCCATTATTTCATCCTTGGCATTGGTTTTTATCATCGGATTTGGATTCGATTACAAGAAACTTCTAAATTACCAATGGACTTGCGGGGTAGGTCAAGAGAACTAACCAAAGAGACTGTTTCAAAAAATGAACCCTCTTCATGCCTAAAATTGAGACTAAAGTACGGTAATCCGTCCTTAGGAACACTTCATTTCGAAGTTTTCCTTCCACAATAATCTCTGATCTAACCGAAACCCTCTTAACGCCTTAATCCCGGGGACTTTTTACAACCCAAAATAGCGCATGCCCCCGTCGTTTGCTGCTTTAACTACTTGTAACTCGAGTCTTTGAAGAAAGTTCTCCTGCCATCTCTCTCGAGGATAATCAATTTGCCCATCGAACGAGTCCTCTGGCATTTTGGAGTGGTTCTACACGCCGGATTAAGACCCATCTACTTGATTCAGGCATGTAAGTGACATCCGAGCCGGGGGATAACATCTCTGACCTCCGACTCCATCCTTGTTTATGCCCTCGGGGAAGACGGAAGGGTAATTTAATATAATAAAAATATGAGCAGGCCTATTATCGCCCGAGGACATGTGTCGAAAATCGGCCATAAAGCTGTTTGACGCAATCCATGGGCAATAAATAGTAATAGTAGGAATAATATATATGTTATACTAGTAGCAATAGTAATAAAAATTGTAATATTATCTTAGATGTCCTCAACCTACGAGTCAAGAAGAATGTCTCATATAAATGGCTAATAAAATTCTTGGCTTTAACAAGTCTGGTCAGTGGATTCATTGAGTTGTTGTTTACAATTGCCCTAACAATCATTGGAGAAAGAGAATCTGGAGGATTGCATGTCGTTTTCTTTGTCGGATTCATAATTAGTGCACTCATTAACTTTATTTCGAGCACTTTATGTTTCCGATTCTCTAAAGTCTTTGATGAGAATTCAAAGGTAAGAAAATCAAAAGATTTATCATCTACTACAACATAATTTCTGATAATATTTTAGCTCCACCCGCATTTCCGAACCCGGATTACATTAATCGTACTTTTGCTACTGTTTGTCCCTACTATCTTTCTATTTTTTGTACTTTATTGGCAAGAATGCATTCGAATTGGTAAGTCAATAAACATATTTTTAAACTTAAAACACGATTTTTGAAGTCAGGGCGACAGCGGTGGTCTTAGGAAAAAATCGATTTTGAGATTTTTGGCTTAAAATAGTCGGTAGCACTTGTGGAAGAAAAGCTAAAAATATTTTTGCCCAATTTTGCCCGGAAGGCATATTTTTTTACAAAATACGTTTTTACACTTCAAAGCCTCTGGAGGTCGATGTGATCCGACCACAGAGATCAAACCTGGCATACAGGGGTTTTTGACACCCAGGAATCTGAAAATCGTAGCGTTTTTACCGTCAGATTACTGTAACATGGTCATACTGTAATCCGGTCGATAAAAATCGACGATAACTTCTTTAGATCAAAAATGCCACAGGATTTTATTGCAGATTCGGAATCAGCATAAAATTCTGCTTCGGATACATGTAAAATATGTTCAAAATTCCGTGGCCCAACCTCTGTAGTATAGTGGTTGTGCGCCATGATTATCAATCTGGCGACCCAGGTTCGATTCCCGGTGGCTGCAAATGGCAGAAAATGGACTATAAAAGGGCGGAAACTTGGAAAAAAGGGAAAATAAATTACAGAAAATTAATTTTATGCTACTTAGGACCAGTTTAAAAGTTTTTGCAAGAATTCCGCATAAATTACGGTTTTTATAGAAAACGTCTCACAGCATTCGTAAGATCGCCCCAAATGGCAATTAAAGAGTTCTTGTGAATCTACATAACGCTTGCCATCCGATGTTCATCATATCCGCCGAGGAATGCAATACAAAACAAAATAAAACAATTATTTGGTTTTCAGATGGAAGCACGCATGTTACAGTCCCGTAGTTTAGCCTCTGTTCCTTACCAACTAAGTCTCCATGTAGATTTATCATTAGAGCGTCCACGCGCTCCGTTTTTCGTGGGATACGCAGAACGGCATAAGTTTTACAAGCTGTGTGATCCCGGTGCTGTTAGGGAATCTTATATGACTTTTTGTGAATCTTATATGACTTTTTGGTCAAATATTGTTCCGTTCGATAAACCTCGGCCGCAGCTCGACTTCTTAAAATCCCGAATTTGAAAGCAAACCCAAGCTATCCCAAAAATTTAACGAAATAAGCAGAAATGGACCTATTTCGTAGTAGGAAGCCTCAGTAACCTCTTCTGTAAATTTTAACCAGATTGCTCCACTTTCCGGCAAGCTATAAGGCGTTTTCCATAAAAACCGTAATTTATGCGGAATTCTTGCAAAAACTTTTAAACTGGTCCTAAGTAGCATAAAATTAATTTTCTGTAATTTATTTTCCCTTTTTTCCAAGTTTCCGCCCTTTTATAGTCCATTTTCTGCCATTTGCAGCCACCGGGAATCGAACCTGGGTCGCCAGATTGATAATCATGGCGCACAACCACTATACTACAGAGGTTGGGCCACGGAATTTTGAACATATTTTACATGTATCCGAAGCAGAATTTTATGCTGATTCCGAATCTGCAATAAAATCCTGTGGCATTTTTGATCTAAAGAAGTTATCGTCGATTTTTATCGACCGGATTACAGTATGACCATGTTACAGTAATCTGACGGTAAAAACGCTACGATTTTCAGATTCCTGGGTGTCAAAAACCCCTGTATGCCAGGTTTGATCTCTGTGGTCGGATCACATCGACCTCCAGAGGCTTTGAAGTGTAAAAACGTATTTTGTAAAAAAATATGCCTTCCGGGCAAAATTGGGCAAAAATATTTTTAGCTTTTCTTCCACAAGTGCTACCGACTATTTTAAGCCAAAAATCTCAAAATCGATTTTTTCCTAAGACCGGGCCCCACTACTGGCTGACGCAGTGACTCAAAAATCGTGTTTTAAAAATCAACAAGACATAAACAAGATTTATGGCAAAGATAACAAATAAATAATATTTCTTGCAATCCTCCTTTCAGCCTATGAATTCTTTGCCATTTTCGAATACCTGACAGTTCTGGTTGTCTACGGAAATCATTTGATGATTTTGATGGGCCTCAAAAACTTAGATTGTAAAGTCATCAAAGAGTAACATTTACTATCGATTCCTGCTTAAAACGGGTAATAAATAAAGAAAACAATGGAAACGAGTTCATTTATTACCAGTCCGATATAAAAGAATTGCTACTGCATTCACGTAAAAGTAAATAAAGTCATTCTTGTAATGTGAGACGTAGCAGCCGAACTGTTTTCCCACCACACAATGCCATTGCTGTCCGAAACGATCGTCAAATTCCTAAAAAAATGGAGAATGTTGGAATAGGGAAAGGTGGGATAATGTGACTTTTGGAGGAAATATTTCGTAGAGTCTTTGACATAATTCTTTTTTCAAAATTGCGCGACAACTTCATTTTGTCGCGATTTGCATCTGTCAAATTGCGACATAAATTGACTGCGCCATTTTTTTTGAAAATTGCATGCATAGAGCAGCAAATTTAATCATCCCAGAAGGGAATGAAAGCAATTGTGAAATTTGAACATTGCAAAACAAATTAATACAGAACCTGATTCCCACTTACATCTTTGATGAATTTGGCGGCATTCCTCTCCACGGAGAACTTGCTCAAAGCCTCCACCGACACCAGAACTGCCTGCTTCTCCATATTCACATCCATTGTCGAGTGTTTTACCACACAGACCACCTTATCTTGAGCCATCTTCTCCTGTACAGTCTTATCACTTGACTAGTATTGTCTCCAAATAAATAAAGATCTTTTTCCAACTTTGTCTTTGGCGATAAAGCCTTCGGAATTCCCATTTCTCCCATTTTTATTATCACCTCGGAAAGGAATATTTTATAAAATATGCTCTGAGTCATTTCCTCCTCTTCTTCACAAACAATCCACTCCTTGAAGGCCTATTCTTTCCATTTCACAGAACAAAGACATCTACGTTATATAACACTTGGTATCTGATATCATCAAGGTAAAAATTCATGTCAGGATAAAAGTAAACGAAAATAATAACTATTTATTTACTATTAATGTACAAACAACAAGAATACTTTATTTCTTACACTCCATACCCCCTAAACTGTACACTCATACTATCGCTGTGTCGTTTTGCACAAAACCTTGCCAGTAACAGAACGGAGACCGTCAATGACACGATATTTCCAAAAACTAGGGCTATTAGGACTTTTTTGAATTGTTCCTTCAAATGGGAACACGACTGTGGGGCCGAAGTACCTATAAAAATAAAAATTATATTCCACTGGAGGTTTCGTACTTTCAGATAATGTTGGAATCATTTGAGTCATTGCTTCCGGCGTTATATATTCTTGATGGCTAATTTCCTGAAGAGATTCCGGCAAATCATTAGTTTCTTCATGGTGAACATCCTGACCATCATGACGACCTTGATCTTGTAGATGATCATCATGATGAAAAAGTTGATGATGTTGTTTAATAAGATTATCCAACTCATCTCGCTCTATCTGATGGCTTGGGGGGACTACTACTCCATGAAGTTGAGCATCGCCATCATTCATAACATTAAAGTCATCATTTCTTAAAGTAGTCTCTTCATTTATGTTATCATTGGACATCGTCGGGGAACCTGTATCATCAGACAGCATATTTGGTAACTCTGGTATTGGTGTGGTCGTAACTATGACAATATTGGTTTGAAGACTGGGATGATATAGCCGATGGCTCCAGCCAACATTTGGAATTATATTATCCATGACCTGATTAGCCGATAATTCCATTTCTTCTGATGATTTCTCCTCATTCTGAGGTATCGAGACGGTAGAATTTACGGTGAACAAAGTCTGAACATCTGGGTTGACAAACCGCTTGGATCTTCCGGAACATCGAGGAGGCTTTAATATTATAAATAATACAATATTGCACATACAAAAAAACCAATATATATTCAAAAAATATGACTAAATCCACTCACCACCACTTGTCGACAAGCTGGATCACTCTTAGGACACATGTACAGCAGGCAATTGAAGAACATTTTTGTGGACTCCGCAAATTTGAAAACTCTACTTGCAGCAAAAGCAAAGTTCAGAGAGGGGTCATAGGTAAGATCGGGGATGATCGTCTTGTCCTTGGAACATCTATTCTTGTAATTACCCGCTACCTCCACTCACCCTTCCTCATCAATCAGCTTGTACTTTTTCTCTGCACCATCGTGAACAAAGCAATCGTATACTTTGAAAGCGAAACTTGAGTCGGCGCACTTCCATTCGTGATATACCTTGTCTCCAATCCTGGCATCCTGAGCAGGTGGGCCATTCAGTGAGCCATATCTCAGTGAATACTCACAACTCGGACCGCTTTGGCCACCAATCAAATAGTTTCTGGCAAAAGTGCTGACTTCCATTACAGTACCCACATCCTTGTAATTACTGTAATACCTACAACTCAAGGTAAACATCTGGTCATCTTCTGTCATATGTTTGTGATCTTTACTTAGAATGACTGTTAACGTGTATTCTAGGCCGGATCGAGGATGGATCTATAAATGGAAGACAGATTATGTTATAGTAGGTAGATATTAAAAATTTACAGTAATGGTATACCCACCATCCTCTTGGATTTGATGCCACAGGGAAGAAAATTGAATGGGATGTCAAATACAATCTTCTTCTCGTGCTGAAAGCAGGTTTATAAGATAACTTTGGCATTATCTTACATCAGAGTAATGTTTTACGCAATTAGGATCGTCGCCCATCTTTCTCGCGTATAATCTCCCATCCCATCCATCTATGTTATCCAATTCAATGCCAATCGTATCCTCCAAACATCGAATCCGAGTATGACCATTAGCTAGAAAATGAAAACTGTATTACACATGGTATCTCTATCAGTTAAGAGCCCAGCCATTCAATGACCCTATCATATCACTCGTCACCTCCATGTCGACTAACCTGGCCCGCCTCCATTGATCTTGCCTGTTTGGTTGAACAATGCCAACGAATAATCGACCAGTAAGAGAAGACAAAAGCCCAGAAGCATCCCTTTATTTAAGCGCATAAGCACCCGTTCTCTTCTCCATGCAGATCAAGAAAAGGGTCAAACAAAAAAACTTTCCCTCTCTTACAATATCCAATACTCTCGAAACGGCACTCCAACGTCGATTTCCGTTTTGTTCCGAGAATCCTTTTTTTAAAGACCTCAATCATCTCCCGAATTCAGAATCCATTCAATGCAAGACAATTAAACACTCTCCCAACATGAACTGGATGATCGGGCGGATAATGGCTGCCTCTAATTACATAAGATCATCTATATTTGTAGTAGTCAGAACAAATATTTAGTAAGTTTATTTCTGAGGAGCAGATTTGGCCAGATTGTTATTCTTCACGGCTTCCAAGCTCTCCGGATGAATGTAGACGTAATGCAGTGGAGGACATCGGTATTTAGGACCTCGAATCTGAAAAAAGCAAGGTCAATCAGTTGAAATCAATATTGACATTTGGTCCTGTTTTACGCGGAAAATTTTGTCTCAAAAATTAAAAAAATTTCGGAAATTCCACTTTCGAAATTTTGTTGAATAAATCAAGATGTCGGGACAAATATCTACTCTCAAGTTTAATGCAGTCATTGAAGGAACTGAGAAAGTCCACAGCTTTGTCAGTAAGTTTTTTCACTTATATTCAACTTGTTTTAGAAAGGTTATTGGGAATCGCCGAGTTTTATCACAAAGATACGATGATCTTGACTATCAGTGAAGAGAGTTTCCTTCTTTTTAGAGGAGGGGACAGCGCATTGTCTACGAGTATGACTGAATTATGGCTAAACAATGTAGGTTTATCCCATTTTAGGTATCAAAACTTGGTTATTCTGATTTTAGAAGCAATGTTTTGACCAATATGAATTTATGGAAACTGAAAGAGGACAAGTCTCATTTGAGGTTGAATCGGAACAGATTTTTGACGCATTAAAAGGACTAGACATGTTGAAATTAAGAATTGACCTGCTAAAGTTGAGAGTTGTTCAAGTTGATTCAAATCTCCACCTCAGAATTAAAATCCCCAATCTCAATGCGACACATGACGTTACTACTGACCTGAAGCCACTAGTTGATTCTAATGAATACCGAATGCCATCGAATAATCGAGATTATGTGAGTTATATTGCTATGGCATTATTTATTTTATCTTTAGATCAGTGTTTTGATCGCTGAATCAAGTCGGCTGGAGAAAATTCTAAATGGTTTCAAACACATGAATCTGAATGTACTGGAAATTATCCTATGTGTGTCCAAAAAAGAGATGAGGATCTGTGGAACTGATACTGGTTGTAAAAGTACTGTAATATTGAAGGATTTGAGCCTCCGGCAACACATAGGAAGTAAGGGCGTAAACAAATTGTCTTGAACTTTTAGGTAGCGACAATAACGATGTAACGGACTCAGTGAAAGTGAGAGTAAGCCTCCAAAATCTTCATACCCTCTTCAGAAACTTTGTGGATGCAGCTGAACCCTTGGAAATCAGTAAGAATAACTTTTAATTTTCTAATTTTTAGGAGTTGCTAATGAGGATTCGGCGAGGTTCATTCTAAAGAAGCTTGATGGAATTTTTACTTTATTCATTTCTCATCAAAACCTCTGACGACTTACTTTCTGACAAAGGATTACAATAACTATGACGGCTCCCCAGAATCCAACGAAAACACCTCCGAGTGCAGCTGGTACCACCTCATCCGGTAGCAGAGACCAAAACCCATCCTCGACCATGATGTACAACCGGTTTATAGATTTGTATTACTTCAAAATAAAATACATTCTCCTTCGGATATGGTCCCACCGCGAAAACATAAACTTGGCGTTCTCTAAAATATTTTTTCTCGGAAAATTTTCTGAACCAAATTGATTCGTTCAGTTTGAAGTCGTAATGAATTAGGACCAGATTGTGTTGACATCTGATAAATGACGCTTGATTCCGAGGTCATCAAGGCAAGCAGATATAACTTTATGTCCATGTTAGCGTTTTCCTCTTGTTTTCCGAAAAGTGAAGTGGCATTTGGATGGACTTTATAGTTTAATTAAAGAATTATGCTTTGTGCTTTCAGATGTTGGATGGTATCGAGCTGCCTGACCATAAATCGGTCGATTGTGTCCAAAATGCCCGATTGGAGGCCAGACATCGGAAGAAGAAGAAGATTGCCGAGATATTATCCGAGTCCAAGAATGACGAGCAGATGTATGATAACTTGAGTTACTTTCGACGATTTGCGACTACATCTGGAGGGCTTTTGGAACATGAGTTTCGATTGGAGATCTGGCCAATCTTGGCTTCAACAATGCCACAAGCAGATGGGATCTTGAAGGATAAGAAGATTCGTGTCATTTCCGAAGTCATTCACGACTCTTCATGTTCGGATTCGGATTTTTTTGAGTCGGCCAGATCAAGTTTATCATTGAGCACTTCTACACAAGAGGATTCTGAAGAGGACGACCCCACGGACGAGATTCCTTCGGTGAGGTTTCATCCTTGATTTTTGTTTTTTTAGGTATTGCGAAATGTTTTTATGACGTAGCGTTTGTTGTTCAGGTTACCTTTGGCAATCATTTTGCAAAAGACATGATAGATGATCATTTTTCAGCCAAGCCCGTCAATAGAAGACCTCCAGCAACATGTGGAATGGAATCAAGTGGAGTTAGATGTCAATAGGACTTTATCCAGGTTCCCTCCCAACATATCAGAGACCGAAAGGTTAACTCTTCAAGCTGATCTGAGTCCACTCATTGTTCAGTTGTTGTATTCGAATAGAACTTTTAGATATTATCAAGGTAATGGTAATCTTCTTGCATCTTTCACGTGAATTTCACTGATTTGATATAATTATTTTTATTTCCAGGGTTTCACGACATTTGTTTAACATTATTATTAGCATTAGACGTAGAGAAGGCCCGAACTGTGGCCAAGGACATTTGCCAACGATCTGCCATTCGAAATTATTTAACGAAGTCTTTGGAAGAGTCGGCTTTGGCTGAACTGCACCTCATTTATGTTATCCTTCATCATTGTGATCCCCAGATCGAAAAAATCCTCAGAGATGCCGAGTTAGGGACATTATTCGCATTAAGCTGGCCAATCACCTGGTTTTCCCACTCGTTGCACTCTTTTGATCAGGTATGTGGTCGCGTTTTATTGTCATTCACATTACTTTAGGTTGTCCTTTGTTTTGACATGTTCCTCTCCTCACATTATCTGATGCCAATATATGTTAGTGCCGCCTTAGTAGAACATCGGCGACAAGATATACTTAAATGCGAGCCAGAAATGCCATCCTTACATCATCTACTCAACAATGTTCCAGTTGATCTGGACATACAAACAGTTCTGGACAGGGCTAGAGATCTTTATAATTTATATCCACCGAGCTTAGTACAAGGTAAGAGGAGTACTTGATTTCTCTAAATATATTTTAGGACCATATCTGCGAGATTATGAGAGTTTGTGTATCCGCGAAAAGAGATCCAGAACTCTAAGAGAACAACCTCCGCCGTTGCAACGACACAACGCCCTGGGCGCTCCTTGGCTGGTCATGGGAACAGCTGCAGCTGGGGTTGCCGCTTATTGGGTTCTCTCCAAATATACAACGGACATCTCGTCATTCTTATAGTAAGTAGTTTATGTTAGTAGAAAAGAAAGTATTATTTTTTGTTTAAAAAGGAAGCTAATTACTTCGCTAATTGAATAAACCTTTCGTTTTTAGGAGAACGGGGGAGGTTATGAGTTGAGAGAAGGAGTTTCATGGAGTCACAACAAGTTGCAAAATCTTCTTCTTCCGACTGTGCCCAACCCAAGGAATAAAAAACGTAAAATCTAGTCCAATGTAAAGCCGATGTAAAAACGAAACATTCCCTTCTACAAGTCCGGTATTTCCTTTATGATGATAAAATAAATATATAAATACATCACAAAACATTACATTTCTGTTTGGGGTTCATTACTGTCCCCACAGCACAGCTAAATGCCTCCGCAAATCCGTCAAGGTGTTGCATCACGTTATTTAAGCTGTAATTACATATATTTTATAGTCATTGTAACGTGGATAAGTTATTTAAGAGATCGTTTTAGTCGTCAGAGTACTTTTGATAATTTAGGATATTAATCATGGTAGTTTAAAGGTGAAGGTGGGTGGCGTAAATTTGCAGAAAATAACTCATACCTAATTGAAGTGTCTGGTCAAAGAACAAGAAATTGATATCATTTGTTTCTGTAATTACCGCTTTTTGTAACAACCCCGGAGCATTTTCTTTTTAAATTACCCAGTGCGTTTTAACCTTTTTAAAAGTTCCAATTGTAACTCACCTTTGTTGCGCTTCGAGGCATTCACTCTGAAATATCATTATTAGTCTGTTTTTCTTCTTATTCTTGAGATTTATTATATTTCCCTTACCGTACTGTAATCCAAGAAAAATAACTTTTGAGTTGAGAATTCCCCCAAACCTGGGAGATTCACACTTTTGCCTGACTCCTGGAATTCGGAAGTTTAATTTTACACTACTTGTTTCTCCAATAACTTACGGGTTTGATCGTTTCGAATGCACAAATGGTATAAAACAATTCAACCGGATGGGTTGATTTGTTCTTGAAACACTCTGTTTTTGCATTGAGAATTGATTGGGACTCCTTGGTTAGTCGTTTTATTGCTTCTGAAAGGATTTTTTCTTAGAATTTTTTGTTATTGTGACTAAAAATTTATATTGCACTTGCCTTGGTCAAAGAGGACTTTATATATCTCTGCAGTGAGACTGACTTCTTTGTGCAGCCGGTTCATTGACTCCATTTTCATTACTGTTAGCGGTCCTAACACTGTAATCCCTTAAGTTTGATTTATTTTAATTGCCTTACCAATCTCTGGGGGGTCCGCGTGGAAGATAACCTCTCCCCGACTCAATAAACTCGACCATTTTTCACTTTCCAGTACCCTAAAAACTCTAATTAACCAGTAATTATCTTACTGCGCGTTGATTTGTCGTAGAATGATTACATTTTCAAAGTACGAGGTGGGGTCAAGTCTTTCCTTCTTATAAATTTCCTTGATTTTATCCCAATTCAGACTGTCAAAGCCAGTGATTTTGAGCGTTTCGAGAAGATCGTTGAGGTTTTCCTTACTTTCGAGATCGATCCAATCCACTGACTTCAGTTTGTGGGCGACATTCAGCTTTAGTCTCTCGATATTCACCTATAAAACGGCGTACTGTAGTTTTGTAAGGGTTAGTGTTTGAAATTTTAGAAGCACTTACAGTATCCTCAACATTGCTTTTGATCATTTTCTTTGAGAATTTGAGTAACGGAACAGCCAGCATCTGTTTAATTTCATTGATACACTTCTTCCACCTTGGAATTATCTCATCATTCAGGTCTTTTAGATGCCTTCGGTACTTCCGAGGCAATGCGGGAGTAAGAGAGAATAAGAATCGTATCATCTGATAGTTAATAGTAGTCCTGCAAGTAATTTTATGTTAAAATATGAGTGTTTTCCTACTCGTAATCCTCTTTTAGTTGGTTTATTTTCTTCAGATAAGATGGATTCGCATGAATTGATCGCTTTAGCCCCAAAATCTTGTCGTCGGAATCGAAAAAGACCTTCCAGTCGACTTCAGGGTAATCCAATTCCAATGTCTTGATCTTCATTTTTACCGAAAGTCCTTTTTTCTTGGCCTAAAATGCGATTACAGTGGCTGTCTTGCTCTGACCTTTATCAGCTCGGCTTCTAATCTCAAGGCTTTCTCGACGGCTGTTTGCGCCAAGTCTATGTCCACATCCATTTCTGTGAGGACATTCAGAAAGAACTCATGGAGATTCTGCTCTTTAAATGTTTCTTGCATAAATTCTGGAGCTGATATCTGAGAAAAGATGTAATAATGGCTTTTCTTTAAGACACCCGTAAGAATTTTTGGCTTACAATATCATCCTTTACAACAATTAACGTCTCGATTCCATAGTTATGCAGGTTCACTTCCAACTTTTCGAATTGAGCACTCTCATTGTCAAATTTGGCGTTTTGAAGGAGATGCCAGCCTCCAATTTTGGATACCAGAGCTGAGAATTCGATTAGATCCTGGAATTCACTTTTCTTTGTGTTATAACACACAAGGATGACTTGCCAATTGGTTCTGATGTTCTTCATTCATACAAGAGTCGTAGAAATCGAATAACAGACGTTGTGGCAGAGGGAAACTAGGTCTGGGCTTCTCTTCGAGCTTCTCTAAAAACATTACAGTATAAATATTTGTAAAAAGAAGAAAAGCTCCTACTAGCAGAACGAATTTTACCTTTTAGTTTCTTCTCAAAGCTGCTAATCTCTCTTTTGTCATTCTTTTTGTGGCCACAAGAGTACTGAAAGAAGTTATGACAGGGATCCGCCATCTCATCCAGGCTGCTTAACAGTTTCCCAGCTATAAATTAATCGATGATCGAAGTGAGCAGGGTAATATAAGCCTGCTGTAAATACACTTACAATGCACAATGCAATCCTTAGACAGGCAAGTGCTGTCTTCATTTTGTGTCGTTTTCTCCTTATCTCCACAATAACTATATCCATCTGTCAGAAATGCCAGGCCAACAATAAGACATACGAATACGGTAATCATGGTTAGGAATATGGGGATTAGAACTGTGGCACAGTGCTGCATGGGGACTGTCTTTTTGACTACCGGCAGAGTTCTGAAATTAGAGCAACAATTGCGGAAAAGGTTATTAATTAAATTAATGATTATTTTAATCCATAAATACGTACGTTCTTTTGAGTATGCTTGGAAATCTGAAGTTGGGATTGAAGAATATGTTAGACGGTTTTGGCGGCTGGGTCATCCTCGGTCGATTGGGAGGGGGTGGAGGTGCCGGCAATCGAGGTGAGGCACTAAAAAAAGTTAAAGTTACTTTGGGTTACCTTGAAGTTTTTATTATTTTTTAAAATTTTGGTTGATTCCCACTAACTTCCCTCTAATCTCCTTCAAAATCCACAAAAAACTAGTCAAGTGCTCGAATTAACTTCCCCAATTTTATTAAAAAACTTACTGTGGCCGGGAATAATCGTTGTTATCAGGCATTGGGACCAGTCTCCAAGCTCGAAATGACTCGCTTGCCTCAAGCCTGAAAGTGTGGCCATCTCGAGTGGCCATCGGAAAGCGCGCATCCACTTGAACTCGAACGCCGCCGAATGACCGTCTTCTTCTTGTAGGTCCGAATGAGTCGACAGTTTGTGCGAACGGTGATCAAAGGCCTGAAGGGAGAGGTCGGCGACCTCATGAGCCACACTCTCAAAGGACGTGAGCGTCAGATGTTCCAGACTCGCCTGGAGAACTGTTTCGAGTACAACATGGGCGATGGGAAATGTGCTCGGAGTGCGTTGGGGCTTGATATTTATAAGGCCTTATGCCCCACGGCCACCCAAGAAGATCAATTGAATGCCGCCAAGGTGTGCATTACCAATGAATTGGTGAGTTTAAGATATCAGATAGCTGAAATCTGGCTATTTTCAGCTTCAAACCTTCCTTTTGGTCACTGATGACATTATGGATCATGCCGTCACGAGGCGAGGGAAACCTTGTTGGTATATGTTGGATGGGATTGGTCTTACAGCTATCAATGATGGTCTCTTATTGGACTCCGCCATAGATCTACTGATCAGAACAGTAATCCCAAATCATCCAAAAAGGGATATCATTCTAAGAGATGTTTATGAAGTAGGTCACGCATAAAACAATATGAACCGATTGGTTTAGACCAAAAGAGTAACGATTATCGGGCAAACCTTGGACTCTCTGATGTCTGGCATTGACGGATGCACTTGGGATCGATATCAACAAGTTGTAAATCACAAGACCAGCCATTACACGTACCTCCTTCCTCTTCAACTAGGATTTCATTTAGCCGATCGAGCAGATTACAAGCCTTTAGTGCCATTTACGTTCAAATTAGGTTATTTCTTCCAAGCGCAGGTATGTTATGGATCTTCTCCCTCAGCTGTCATATTTAAATGTTTTAGGACGACTATCTTGATATTTTCGGTGATAACTCAGTTACTGGTAAAACTCCCACCGACATAGCTGAAGGGAAATGCACTTGGATCAGTTGCAAAGCGTTGGATTTGATGAGAAATCCAAAGAATCCCAGAGAAGACCTTCTGAAGGAGTTCAAAGAACATTTCAACAAAGAAGACGATCGATCTGTGGCCAGAGTCAGCGACATCTTCAACGAACTCCAACTCGATAAGGAATTCAAAGCATTTGAAGAGAAAGAAGTCCAGGAATTACATAACATCATCAACTCTATCGAGCCCGAAGAACTTCGGCCGGTTTATACGGAATCTCTGAACTCTCTGACTGGAAGGAAATTTTAAATAAAATTAGGTCTCAACTCAATGGTTATGTAAACCCCGTGTATAACAGGTTCTCGGTTCTTGAATAAATCAGTCGAAACCTATTTGAATGAATTTTGTGTCCAATGAATAGGGGTAAAAAGTAGTTTACACCTACTATAATGTAATTAAATGGTAGGAATGATGCAAAAAATATAATCTGAATTCAGTCCGTATTTTACCCAGTAATGTTATACTAACCATCTCCTTACTTTTTATTCCGTTTCATTGTTCTCCCTGTTCCAACTTTTCGCGTTGAGACCAAAAATTTTAAATTGGCGGTCAGGGAATAGAATCTTGCAGCAAAAGGAGAAGATTTTTCTTCTCAATTTTTGGCTCTGATGTTCCACATGAATGTACAGTCTCTTAAATGTTGGTTTTTATGTTTACATTTTGTTTATAGAAATGATTTACAACCCTTTATTGCAAATATCTTTTCCGTTGTTATTGATAGGTCTTGCAAATATTTGCCTTTTACAAGTTAGTTGAGGGTAACAAAAGTTTGAAATCCCGAGACATTCTTTCAAAAATGTTTTTAAGTTATTTTCTCGTTGCTGGTATTACCTTACAGTGCGGTTCACTTGTTTCGTTGGTGCCTTGTTATTCAGATATTTTTATTTTGATTTCAGAATGAGTTTCCTCCGTCCCCCACCTCCAGGTACCCATCTCACTCCTTGGGTGCCGGACCTCATTTTCATCCCCATTTCTCGGGCCTTCGAACGTCTTGGTGTTTATTTCTACAACCGAGTTATCAGCCGTACCGAGATTGGCCTTTATCAGAAAGCCTACAACCCTAAGGTTCATGGTCCTTACTGCCACTGGCGGTACTACGGAAAGCGTAAGTTTTTCTAATTTTTAATCTTTGTTTTAAATTTAGATACTAAGCGATTTAAGAAAAAGAATTACTCTATACACTTACATTATTTATAAATAATTTGTACCTGATTTTAGCTGAAGTTAGGCTGCTCGATGTGAAGGTTGCCGATCTGCCAGCCTGGTTGGGACGTCGTGAATTCAGTGTTGGCGCCGCTTATAACGAACTGGTCAGAAACATCTGGCGTGTCCACAACAAATATTACTCCGGTCCCGTCTACGGCAATGTCGTCCAGACCATTTTCAGATTCATCTTTGCCTTCTCCTTCATCAGCTGGCTGTTCAAGCAACACCGTTACTGGGAAGTCAAGAAGCATCTCTACCATTGAGTGCTACAAAAGATGATCTATTAGTCGAATGGATTAATACTAGTTAAAAGGTTTTATTGATGCGAATAAAAGTTAGGCGTGGAAGAATGTGGCCGGAGTCTGTTTGGTTTTAACCATCAAAAATTGTTATTGCCTGTAAAGTACGAAGTACTCATAATTTAATCAAATTAAGTATTGTTTTCCGCCTGAGTAGGAGATGAATTAGATGGAGGAAAGCATGGAAGGCTCCAGTTCCCCGCGGAGTGTGAGACCGAGTTTCGCTGAGAATAGTAAGGATTAAGTGCCGGCTCATTAATCTTCTTTTTTTCAGTCTACGGGGCCGGAAACCCGTCCACCGAAGAGTCTAAGGCGCGAATCCAAATGGGCTCTCAGATATGCGAGTCCGCCTTAGCCCAACGGAGGGCCGCTTATCTCCCGAAATTGAGAGAACTGTCGAACGCCGGGAATGTTTCCATGGATCAAACTCATGCCAGATCTGAGATGGGCGATATCGCATTTGTTTATGCTGATTGTGATAGCTTTGCCAATGAACTCTCCGAGTTGTATTCGTATTCAGAGGTGGACGAATTCGGAGCAACACTTTCGTTGTATCAAAATTATGCCGAAGAAAGAGGGGTAAGTTACTTTCTATGAGCATTATGTTATTTTAGATATCGCCGATATGGATATTCAATGAGAAGGACGAGATGAAGTCAGTATTTTCCGATATTATTCAGAGGTTGGAGAGTGCCAATTTGAACATGAGATTAGACGCATGCGGGATCTTGTTGTACATTCTTCAGGTATGGTCTCTTTATTAATCCATAGGTTTAGGGAGCTTATGGAGACTTCAAAAAGCCCTACAACGAGAGTGTGCAGGCCTTGATGGATGAAGCGAGGAGTCATGTTAGTTATATAGACGAGACTGATTATGTGGAACAGTTTTGTTTGATTCAAGCAGCTGCCAATTGTTATATGGCGTATGAATGCGGAGTATTTCGAGTAAGTTTTCTGCTTTGTTTTTTAACCATGGCGACATTTTTACATAAGACTTTTCGTTTTAGGCATTATGTCAACTTTTTATGACCGAATTCAATGAAGTTAATCTTGTTGATCAGACCGCCTCTGAACGTGGCCACAGTTCCCTTTCTCAATATTCAAGTCATCGTTCGATGAGCTCTATGGATGGTGAATCCAGAACCAAGAAGGTTTATACCTTGTCGGATAATGAAATCCTCCGCTTCTTAATCTCTTCAATGTATCATATGGTCGAATCAATAAGAAGGAAAGATGTCTTACAAAAGGTTATTCACGTTTCCGACTATTCGGTGGCCAGATTAGAGAACCTACAACACAATTTTTTGATTGAATTAGGTACGTGTTTATTATTTTAAGTATCTTCTTTTAGGTGAACCATTGGAGGGTCTCAGTAAACCTTTGTTTGTATATTTGTTGGATGTGGTACCGCCTTTTGTTAGAGGTTCATGCCCCAAGTATCCGATAAAGAAAGTCCTTCTACTTGCATGGAAGATTATTCTTGCAACCCTGGGAGATGCCGAGACTTTGCGTACTAGAAAACAAGAAATGAGGGAATCGTTTGGACTGAGTCGAGTGGAAGATACTGTTCAAGTTGCGGCTACTCTAAAAGCATCGAACTTCAGCGCTGAAGAAGGGCTTGGAGATGGGAGAAGATTGGGCCAAATGGGTGTAATCGCCAAAAGAAGTAGACCATCAACAGTCAGAGCATTCAAGAGACAGGAGGGAATTACCTCGGCTAATTTGAGTACCGATGAGCCAAGTTCGGATCTGAAAGAAGATGAACCTCCAGTTACTCCCATTGAGACAGATGGAGAAGAGAGTGTCAAGAAGAATGAATACTTCTCCAAACCCATTAGTGCTGTTATGTTGCAGAAGAATGAAGAAGGGGAAGTTGAACAAAAACGTATGTTACATAACGACTTTCTAATATTTTTTTTTAGCTTTACTCGAAGGCCCTCAGGATTCATTAACAAATCAAAGAGGTGATCAAACCCCGACAGCTTCATCCCCAGTTCCGTCATGTCTACCTTGGACGTCTAAAGTTCGAAAGGCGGATTTGGAGAACTTTATTCAGACTGCTCGGCACAAATTCTTTGGATACAAACTTCCCGGTGATGTTGAGACTCTTTTTGGATTGCCACAACCAGTTCAACAAAGCGTTGAGGCTTTCAAAAGACATTTGTATAAGTCGCTTGGAGAATGTCAAGTAAGATTGATGAACTTACGATTAAAATAGTGGTTTAAAATTGATGGTTAATTTTTAGATGGAAGAGGATGCCCGATTGAACAAGTACCCGTTTTCGCGAAAGGAGCATGTCGAGGATAACCCGACCGAGCGTCTTTACATTGGAATGCTCCCCAATCTCTCGAACTATGCATTGAGTTTACTGAAAGTCCTTCTAGTGGCCATCCCCTCTTCCAAGGCTAAGAATGATGGCGCTTTGATCCTGTCGGATGTGCTGACAAGATCTGGAGATGCCACGGACATGCTCTCCAATTCCCTGAATTTGGATGTTTCCGTGAATTCATCAAATCTTCTGGAAGAAGCGGTCAGAATGGCGATTGATATCAACAGGCACAAGGAGATTGTTGTCAAAGCCACCACGGCGATCATCGTCTACCTCTTGAAGTTCTTCAGACTCAATCATATCTATCAATACGAAAACTTCTCCCAGCAATTGGTGCTATCCAATTGTCTCCCATTGGTATTGAAATTTCTCGATCAAAATATGGTCAGATATTTGCAATCCAAGAATGAGCTGACTCCATTGTGCTATCCAAAAGTTGTGGTTTATTATGTTCAGAATGGAAGTAGGTTTGACTCATTTCAAAATTTTCGTTTGTCTTTAAAAATAGTAAAAAATTGTTTTAGATAAATGGCCAGAATTGAATGCTGATAATGTGGATGACAGCAGGTCCGAGAATCAACATTATTTCCTGTGGAGAAATGTTTTCTCCTCCGTCAATCTTCTCCGAGTTCTAAACAAACTCATCAAGAACAAACAGAGTAGAACTATGATGTTGGTGGTCTTCAAATCAGCACCAATTTTAAGGCGATGTCTCAAGGTTAGATCGGTACGTACTTTTAGTTTTTAGTTTTTATCGTTTTAGATCTTAAAGTGGATTAAAAAAGAATAATGGTTTATTTTTTCAGGGTATTTTCCAACTTTACACTCTGAAGCTTCTCAAAATGCAAGCCCGTTATCTTGGCCGCCAATGGAGAAAGAATAACATGGAGGTGATCTCAGCGGTCTACATGAAAGTCAGACATAGACTGAATGATGATTGGGCCTTTGCCAACGAGACTCGATGCAAAACTTGGGATTTCCAGATGGAAGAAAGGGAATTAAAACTGAACGTGGAGAGGTTTAACAGTAGAAGGTATAGCCATATCTATCCTGAGCTGGCTTCAAGTGAGTTTTTGGTTGTTAATTCACGGTTTGAAGTTGGTTTGACACCTTTTTATGATACTGTTCTGTAGATAACAGTGAAAACCTGACCTGTGATGACTTTGACCCCAAGGAATTTGAGCCAGTCGACGATTCAATCCAGAATTTGCTGAGCGAAGAGTTCGAATTTACCCCATTCTTCAAACGAAACTACGGGAAATGGCTGGACGAGGCAGTTTTCAACGAGCCCTTTAACTGGGATGCCCTTCTCACACAGACTTCCAGCATCTGTTAAGTATTTATTGACTGTACGTGTATATAACGAAACTGAACAATTTGTAAATTGTAACATATTAAACAAGAAATCAGAGATTGGCATCTCTTATCGTAGCTTTGTCAGCATCTGCGCTTAACCTGGGACCAATTTGACAACCCCAATCTCTCATACATTTAGTGCAAAGTTTGCATGAAAATCGAATTTTCGCTCATTTGGGACTCCGAAATAAAATTATCATTTTTGAATACCCTCTCCACCCGACCGGTCAATGCGGAAATAACTGTATGTGTTGGTCTCGTAGCAATAAATCGGATAAATCCGAGAGTCTCAATAAATGTCCCAGCCAAATCGATTCGGCCCCCAAACCTTCTAATGAAGCCATCGAGACTACGGAGAATCTGGTGACTTCCAGGGAAACAATCAAGGAGGAAGCGGGAAAGAAGCCGGATGGTGTGGAAAGAAGCGATATCCCCGTGCATCATAGAAGTATGTCATGTCAATTTGAATTATTAGTTCTGAAGGAATATCACATTTTTTAATTTTTGGCCTTAACCATTATAGAGGTGTAAGAAAAATTTTAGACCTTGCAAAGGCACCTAGAGCTTCCTTGTTAGCGATCTCAGATGAAGAGAATACATTACCTCACTCATTACTTCTGACCTTGCCATGGAATGCCAAAACATAGCGGGAAAGCTGATTTTTGAATTGATGACATAAAATTGAAACAAAACTTTGATTCAGAATTATAAATGCATGTAAATTCAGAGAAGAAGAAGCCCATTCCAAAATTTGACCCCAGTTCCAAGCCCGACCCTGTCGTTCTCAGCGATTCAAAAGGTCTGAGAAGAAAACCGCAGGACATCAGAGCCGCAATGTCCAAAGGGAAGACCGAGAATAACACGATGACAGATCCAGAGTTCAGCAAAAGCAGATTTACCAAAAGGGATAACAGTAGAGGCTTGAACGCCGACAAAACCCAAGAAGCGTCGTGCTCAAAAAATATTCTAACCGCCAACGAATAAATTATTCAAATTTAGATTATTGGATTTTGTTTGAAAAAGTTTTACTCTCCATTTGAATTATACTCGACATTTGGTCGCGTTTCCAAGCCGAGAAGGTCGTTGAGATTATGTCCGCCGAGGCCAAAATCTCACTCAACATCAGTGAGTGGGCGGATTACAAAGCAGGCGACGAATTTCCAGATCCAAAGTAAGGTCCAAGTGATTTGTAGTGTCGTTTTTATATAATCCATTTCTAAATTCATAATTGCGCCTATAGGAAATTGGTCGTGGCCTTTGATCGTCCCCTCCGCACTCCATTCGGGTCTCAAGAGCAGTATGTAGCCTTGTGGTACCGTCACGGGCATCCGATCATGGGCCGAGTTTGGTCTTGCAATGGTCGAATCGCAGCTTCTTTTTCGGATGGAGACAAAGAATTCACAGGAAAGAGTGTGGGATCTCTTCAGATTTTGGTCAGACCTCCCAAAGATCAATCTGGCTTCGCATATTGCTGGAAGACTTTTGCGAGTGTTGCCAAGTATGACAACAAAGATTATCATCCGGTCCACATCAACTTTGTTACTCCTTGTATTCTGGTGACGCCGGAGGGATACGAAAGTTTGGGTAGGTTACTGTCGCATTACGTATACCTGCTCTTGCAGGAGGTGCTAATATCAAGGAAGAATACGCCCAATCCACCGTGGCTGGTAATGTTATCCGATATGTGGGAAGAGAATTGGAAAACTTCAACGTCCTTTGTCGCAAAATATGCCATGACACGATGCAGATATAACTATACCTCCTGTAGTTTTCTGTAGCAATAAATAGAGTCACTTGTCGACGGAGTTCGGTTCATTTTGCGCACTTTGGACCACCATTCTTCTGTCCCAATCAATAGTGACACTTCGTCCTCGTATGATATTTTTTGGTTTTCTCGTGTAAAAATCTTCTTTATTTCCCAATGATGGAGAATATTAGAAGTGGTTCAACTTATTCTCTATTACTCCTAACTTGAATCATGTCACGAACTTCGAAGAAACGTTTTATGAGTAAGAGAATGGACTCGGAATTCTTCTTCCCCGAGGAAAATCAACTAATTGGGCGCGTCTTATCCTCCAAAGGCCGAGATTTGTTGGAGATCGAAGACGAAAATGGTCAAACATATCTTGCCAGTATGCCCACCAAGTTCCGGAATACAATCTGGGTGAAGAGAGGGCAATTTGTTTATCTTCTTCCAATCGAGGAAGGGGATAAAGTCAAGGCAGAAATACAACACGTCTTGGACCCGGAGACTGTTTTGTATGTGAGAGAACACAAGAAATGGCCGAAGCATTTCGAAGATGATGCTATGAAGATGACGAGAGGGTTCAAACGAGGTGGTGGAGGTGAAAATACGATCGATGATGACATGATGCCGCCAAGTGGATCAGATGAGGAAGATCTTGAAGATGAAGAGTCGGACAACGAAGGAGAGGAGGATGAAGATGTCAGTGATGAGGACGAGGCCGAGTTCTCTACATTCAACCCAAATCGTGCTGCCGCACCCAACAAATGACGGATTACGTTCCAAACATATTATTCATGGTCCTTGCCTTTCATTGTCACATTTCAAATCCGGAATGCGAATTGTTATTTACTGTTGTTGATTTTTTCCGAGTGATTAAATTCTCTTCGTTTTATTTCTCGACCCAATTCGTTCTCGAGCAGTGTTTCTCTCTGCCCTTTCATATTTTAATGATTCAATTCGATCGATCTCTCATTTAATGAATTCTTTAAACATTTGGTCCAGTTTTAGGTATATTATTTCCGAAATGGGAAATAATAGTACTTCCTTGATGTTACAAGATGAGGAGATCGCCGAAATAGCTGAGGAGACTGGATGTAAGTATTTATTTGTGTTATGAATGGTTTAGGTATCAATTGTTTCTTCTTCACATTTAGTAATGTTGGGTGTTTTAGTCTCCAAGAACCAGATTGTTCGGCTGTATAGTAGATTCTTGTCTCTTGATCGGCAAGGTCGTGGATACTTGGACAGAGAGGACTTTCTCCGCATCCCGGAACTGGCCATAAATCCCCTTGGTGACAGGATTGTCGATGCCTTCTTCACTGAGTCGTATGTTTCTATTAATGTCTTGTTTTTCATGCATTATTCATTTTATTAAAGATGTAGGCGAATAGATTATCGTTCTGCATCCAGGTTTCATTATTCATGGTGTTTTCGTCGATTTATTTATGATTTTACAGTATTAATCATCCCGAATTGACCAACAGAGCGTATCATGATACCGAAGCCGAGAGCAAGATCAATTTCCGACAATTTGTCCGAGTCTTGGCCCATTTTAGACCCGCGAATAAATCACAGAATGATGGAATCAATAGCCGACAGAACAAACTACGCTGTAAGTTAAATCTCCTTTTGTTGAATTCTTCTTTAGTTGCATTTTCGATGTATGACTTAAACAAAAACAACTACATCACCAAGGAAGAGTTCAAATTCATATTAAACATGATGGTCGGAAGTAACATCACCCCGGATCAGCTCGATTCCATTGCCGATCGCACTATAACTGAAGCAGATACCGACAAGGATGGTCGAATCTCTTTTGAGGAGTTCTGCAAAGCCATGGAACGCACCGACATCGAGCAGAAGATGTCGATTCGCTTCCTTAATTGACACTAGAGACGAGGTTACTTCCATATCAATTCAAACTTTTATCAAACTGTATATTACTGTAGCTGTAAAGTATGATATCTTGTGTTATATCGATTAAATTAACTGAGTTTGTACTCGTTGCTATCTAGAAGATTGTTCTATGCTCTCATTGTAATGTGTATAGACTGGGGGTCTTTGATTTCAAGCGCGCGTGTGGTTGACTTGCGGCTACATTACGGACCAAATTGGAATGGCTAAGAAAATCCCTTCAAGGTAGGATGTCTAGTGCAATCGAAAAAATAATTCGTTAATCATTAGCTGGATCCGGTTCAAACCTATTGGGGATCAGATCGAAGGGACCCGATTCATATGTTTCAAGACACCTCTGAGTGAAGATCGCTTTGTTGGCTGCGGCTTGGAGGAAGACAAGATTTTTACGGTATCTGAACTGGTGAAAAGAGTGAGCCCATAAAAGTGACTGCTATTTGATGTGTTTAGATTAATGAGAAAGGAAAGAGACTCGGAATGGTAGTATCATGCTGCTCCAGACTGCTTTATGACCCCGCTGAATTGGAGAAAAACGGAGTCGAGTGTCATGTACAAGTTCCGCATGTTACTAGAGAAGCCGAAAAGGCCATTCTGAAGATAAAGAAATATCTAAGCAAGCAAAAAGATCAAAGTAAGAATAAAATTCAGGTTGAAGTCCCAGCAGAATGCCTTTCCTTGAAAATTTTGGATATTATACATGAGTTGTTACCTAAAATAATAAAAACGTCGTTTTCAGACGTTGTAGTGGGCATTCATTGTCTTCACGGCATAAATCGGACCGGCTTTCTCACCTGTACATACATGATCAAAGAATTGGGACTTGATGCAGAAGAAGCGATCCGAAGATTCGAAACAGCTCGAGGGCATGAGATCGAAACGACGAAATCTGATATTAGACGCCAACAATAACTAGTAAGCGCTGTTTTCTGCCACATCCCGAATCTAGTTTGCGCACAGATTTATTTTATTCTCGAATATTCCAGGGAATTCGATCTTTTCTCTCCAATTCGCAAAAAATGGGAAATCGAGAAGCGAAGAGCGAAAGGAATGTGGTTATTCGTATCTAATACATAAAATGGAGACCCCCGAGTGTAGTCGATGTGTCGACATCCTCAAACCGCCCGTGAAACGTCGCCTGCCCCGTCATAAAGACGTCCAGTTCACTAAAATCCGAAGAATTGACCACGGAAACGTGGGTAACGGCCAATTCGAGGAAGTGTATCGATGGAAACTCGAAGAGAATATTCAAACGGACAGTATTGTGGTATGTTCTTTGTTGTTTTTTGTTCTAATTATAGGGTGAGAGGGATTAGGGATATCTTTTTAAAATTCTAATTGTTTTACATACTTCTTCCGGAATTTTTTATCCAAAACTACAGGTGATGTCTGCAACCCTTTCGCCCCCTGACCTAACGCAAGTGTAAATTCTAGACACTTGAGTATTAGATTTCAACTTAAACTTTGGAGATGTTTTGAACTGCTGCATTTTTTGGCAGAAAATGTCTTCCTTCGGCAATGGTCTCAAGTTGTTCTTTAGAACTTGCCAAACAACATTATTATCGGGCAAAACAGTGTAACATCCTTTCCGATCTCTGAGTTCGTTCCTATTTAGGGTCAATTTTTGGGTTGTTAGAAGAGGAAACGTTTCCTCGGGGCAGACATCCGTCGGATGACAATCCCAAACCGTTTTACATAGTAAATAAAGGACCAATTACTGTCTAGAAGGGCCTTCATTCAACTGAATAACAGGACATAAACCCTAAGGCCGAACAAGTTCCATTTAAGGGAGGGGGCGGGGCCAAGAGAATGCTGTCCCCATTCTGAGTCTGTGTCTCGTTTCAGATGACAATGATCGGCTGGGATTTATTTCTGCGTTGCCGAACCGTGCACGGGCAACGCTTCCAGGAGTACCTGAAACTGGATTCTTCCTGGGACCCCTCCCATCTCCGTTGTCTTTCGATTGGCCGCGATTTAATTATCATCAGACGGATCTCTTAAATCCCCGCAGGCTATTTTCCGCTAATTGCGGGGAGCTTTACACTTTTATATCTGATCTCTTTTGTTGTACATTATCTTGTTAGTGTTGGTTTCGGTTAATTAATAAAGTCTATTCAGTTTCATTTGCTTCCCAAATTTTTTCTTTTTTCCGAGATTACCCTTTTTTCATTATGCGATGACAAAGGATGAAGATTAGATAATGGCGCCAGTTTCCCTGCACTCATTCAAAAGCAACAATCGTTGGATCTCGATTATTTTTTGGCCGTCAAGTCTCATATTTACCTAGAGCAAGTTTGCGTTAAAAATAGTTGCGGAATATGTAAACTTGTTTCTTCATCGAAGCGGATAGAGCCGAAGAATGTGGCCTGACCTTTTAAATAATTCTGTTTCTTTTACGTTCGGGAATTAATTTATTTCTCTGACCTTAGCAAGAGCACCGTAGAGCCCCTTTATGGCATAGCCTGAGGGCATTCGAGACTGCAGATGATCTCATTAATAAGTCGATTAAATCCTCGATCGGGAAAGGAAGTGTGCCGAGGGTAGACGGGATGCGGTCGTTGGGTCTAAAAACCCCCATTTACGTGGGCTAGGAGCTTAAAATAATGTTAAAATAATGGGGGAGGACATAAAAAACAGGGTCGGTAATGTGGGGTGGCGATTCATGATCTGCAACTTGACATGAATTTAATTAACCCCAAACTTCAATCCACTCCATTCCTGAAAACCGAGAGCGGCCAAAAATTGGAGCCGCGGCCCTAAGTGGATATACGGTTGGAGTCGTCAGTTCTCAAATTGTAAGCGTGTTTCAAGACTTGGATTTCACAGTTTCGGCGTGTGTTCTGCTACAAATTATGACATGCGAGTGAATTGTGACCTTTATTTACTTGGAATTGGCCTAATTCTTTTATGATTCCATTCGGACCTTGGATCCCAGGGCCTGAGATGACATCAACCACTCGCAGTCATGTCATATACGTTCAAATTAGTGGGCGCAGTGTATTTTGGTATTCCATAATTTTGAATCTCGGAGGTGATTTCTGGCATCTACTGCAATATAAATTTATTTTTCGCTCAAAAAAAACGCGTTTTAAATGATGCTCATCATAGGATCGCTGTAGAAGTCAGATTTACGATTTCTTTTAAACTCGATTTAATTTACGGTAATAGTTACAGTAACCCGATTGTGACTTTTTAGACTATATACTTAGAACTGAGCTATCTAAGTGTTTTCGGGCGTTAAATTAATCTTTCCTGTAATTCTGAAGACGTCGTATCGCCATTTTTTACCGGAAATTTGCAGAAAATGCAAGAGAAAAGACCGTGCCAGGTCATACGAAGAAGGCTTGGTCCAATTTGATTATCTTTTGAAAGGGAAATGGCCTTGTTTTTAGTTTAAGTGGGCGCGGACGTTATTCTCGTACCTGCCCCCTTATCTGCCTCAAGCAATCTTCTCATCAAAGATTCTGAGCCAGTATGTAGTCTTTGTGTATTTCCTTTATACATATTGTTAATGTCAACAACTTGGAAAGAAAGCGTTTCCTTCTGTTTTGTGACTTTGTTTGTCCCATTTTCGAGTCACACTTCATTGACTTTACATTTTTTGTTACGCAATCTTGCCTGTTTTGTAACAGAGTGTGAAGACAAGATGTACTTGTCATCCGAGGCGTCAAACAGCAATCTAAAGATCCATCTCGCCTTCTAACACCCAAACTTTTAGCCTGCCTTAGAGTCGTATGTTGGACATATCGTCAGATGAATATTTCGGATTCATTACCTGGATGTAGACATACCACTGATCTCACTTTTACCCCGCTTCAGGTCACATTCCGAGTGTTTGTGTTGCCCTTTACATGTTTGCTGGGACTTTGTGCCAATCTCTGCAATGTCTACGTCTTCTCCAACAAAAAGGTGAGGGATTAGAGTGCAGATAAATAGTTTGGCGGTTTGGATTATCTTTGGACTTGCAATTGGGTTTTTTGCAAGGACTTGGATTTTGAAAGTAATGCGAAATCCGGAAAAGTCGTCAGTACTTCTTCTAGTTGAAACAGGCAGAGTTTGAAGGTCAAAAGATGCCTCAAACTTACGTTTTTAGAGATCTCCAGATGTTTTATTCATCAATTTTTTTTTTAAATGTAGACATTTAAACGGTAGCATTTCCAGGGCAAAGACCTGAAAATGCTACCGCAAGTCTTAAAATGACAGCAGACATTAATTTTGGGTCCAGAAAGTCCTTCAACATTAATTTTTAAACAGATTTTGCCTTATTTTAGACATTAAAACAGGAAAATATAACGATGATTACTTTAAAATCTGATGACAAAACAATTCCAATGCCTAAAGTAATATATTCAAAGCTTTTTGATTTAGATGCGGAGTCACCTGGTCAACTACTTTTTGCTTTGTCTGGCCATCAGCGACGCGATTGTTTTGCTGACCTCCTTTTTTGTTTTCTGTTTCCCGGTCATCGCCGAATACACAGAGGACGAGTCGTTGGTCCGATTTGCTCCGTCGGCCCTCAGTTTCTTCTACCCGTTGGCTCACACAGCCCACACCAACTCGGTTTATCTGACGACTTTGGTGTCGGTCCATCGATATCTTGGAGTTTGCCATCCGTTTTTGGTATGTTTCGATCAAACTCTGATGTCATTCTAAAAGGACCTAAGAGAAGAAAGACTCAAAATATTATTTTCAAACATTTCATCGTCCGTTTTGGACAACAAGAGCCCTTTTCCATTTAGTTTCGCCACCAAAAATATTCTTTTATCCCGACCGGTGCAAGGATTACGGTACTTTGAATTCTTAGACCCAATATGTCCCCTACCATAAATTTCGTAATAAATTTGGAATTTAGGCCCGACGGCTGAGCAATAAGAACGTCGTACTGAAGGTTATCTTGTACGCTTTTGTCATCTCGATTGGCTTCAACGTTCCTCGATGGTTGGAATTAAGTGCCATTCCTTGTCTCAGTGAGGTGTGGAGAAGGTAAATTATGATCTAATTATTATTTTGAATTACTGTTTGCATCCATTTCTTCATGTCCTTTTCTCGACCTTATCGTAATTATATTGGTCATCAAGTATAATGTAATTTTATATATAAATCTGTTTCCAGGAAAAGTATGATGATAGCTCCGTCAGCATTTATGCTCGACACGACATATACAATTGTCTACCGTAACGTTCTCTACACCCTTCTCATGTTCTGCATCCCATTTTCCGTCCTAACCTGGGTCAACTGTCGGATTGTGACAGCTCTAAAATTGTCAAAAATCATAAGGAAAAAGATGACGCACACTTTTGGAGATGAGCCCAGTGCTTCGAATATCTCGTTTACAATGAAGCCTGTTAATAGTAATGGACCGGACAGCGCTCGGAGCAGCGGAAAGAGTAGCAAGGACATGAAAAAAGGTGAGATCTTTGGACGAAAATTTATTTTTTTTTTTGAAAAAAATTGTCATTCTCTGCAATGTTGAGTGTTGGGAGCAAAAGGTTTTTTAACAATTTTTCCGCTTCAAATTCAAGAATATAGGGATCAAAAACATTTTTTCCTGGCCGTCTAGACGCGTCTCTCATTTCCCGTAGTCTATCAAATGATGATTTTAATAGTTCGGCTACACAAGGACAGCATTAACTAAGATTTCAAAGCCTAATCTAGGGGCTTAGAGAAGTCTCGTGAAAATATTTTTTTTGGATTTACAGTTTTTTTGAAATAGAAAACGACATCAATAACAAACATCCTAACATCATATTCCGAATCCTAATCCGCGTGTTTTTAGAGCGCAAAGAGACATCAATCACGATCATGTTGGTGGCCATGGTGACGGGTTTCATCTACTTCAACATGCTCGCCTTTATAAATAACTTATTCGAACTGTTCGGTATCGATGCTGTCATGAATGAATACTACACCATGTTGGTGGAGGGCAGCACTTTTCTGGTCTGCATTAATGGAGCGTCAACCATCGTGATCTACTTGTTATTCAGCAGTAAATACCGCGCTATTGTAGCCAAGGTAAGGGGTTTTATTTTATATTGAACTACCGAAAGAGTCGTTTCTTCCCCAAAAATTATAACGTTGAAACTCCGTTGCCTCACTGTAACGAATAATTTTTTGGCCATAGCAAAATCTTTTATGAACAACAGCCGTAAAAGACGCATCCGTTTTGCTTGGCTGTCTGATCAAAACTGAAAGGAATTCAATTTTCTGAATTCTTGCGTTGGGCGCGACAAAAGTAATCATATGAAAAAGTTAGGCGCAGTGCGAAAATATGATTCGTCTGCTCGTCAAATTTCTTTACAAAGTATTTTCTGCACTTTTTGTTGTCTTGTTGAGAGCAAAACATGTACACAAACAAGTCATGCCATCTGAAATATTAATATTTCCAGCTCATTATGGAATCCTGCTACGTTCGATTCGCCAGGGGGCTCTGTTTTAAAAGCGACGAGGAGTTTCGAACCAGTGCCAGTCTCATTCGACCGCGGACTCAACAAAGACCGCCCCGATTCTTCGACAACACCAATCAATTAACCTTACGCTAAGCTTTTCTCATCTACTCTCATGGATAATATAATTTTTTTAATATTATTCATGTCTTCCACACAACGCCATAGCAATCTAATCTCAGTTTGATCTCCAAATCATCAATTTCTGCGGGTTTAATCGTCTCCACGGGTTTCTATTTATGTTGTATTTGACTTGACTAATAAATTTTTGAAAGTCGTCAGATAAATTCTTATTTATAAACATAGATTTTTTGAGAATACGTCACATTATGCATTACGTGTGCGTAATATATACCGTTAAATTGCTCGGTAAACAAGCCCTTGTAGTATACAGCGTATTCCAGTGTTCGAACGACCATTTCCGCGTATCTCATTTCCGACATGGAGATGTGGAAAGTGTTGGGCTCCCAGGTTACGAAAGTTCTATACTTGTTCGCTCCCAGGTTATTAAACCCCCATCTTGAGGATATTTAATCCAAAAAACAGTTCCGTATGCAAGAGAATGTTTGAATTGGCCCTGGGCCAATTTTAATATGTCCAGGCTTGTTTTACAGCCTCCTCAAAACAAACAACTAATCATCTAAGCCTGAGGGCGTGTACTCGCAATACACTTGGCCAAGGGACCGGAAAACAAGACGTTTAATTTGAAATATTTTCTAAAAATTGACCTTGAACTTATTTCAATTTTGCCAAGTCTTATAACTCTACCATTATAAAAAGTCAAGCGCCCGGTAACACTTTATATAACAATTTCCAGTGACTTTCAGAATCCTCCTTTCTCTTTCGTCTACTGTATTAACAACTCAAATCACAATCAGACACATCTTGATAAAGATATCTCTCTTCAAAGTTTCGAAACACAACTTAAACAACGTTGTACGCTCTTCAAAGAATTAATACTGTCCGCAAGATTTGTACTTTAGATTTTCTGAGAAAGCAGTTACAGTGTAAGTAAGCGTCCTTTCAACGAATCGCTCTCATTAATCGTATATCTCTAAGCTCAAAGACTTCCTTCCGTTTTTGTGCGCCGGACTGACAAGCCCTTAGGGCAGAACGAAGTTTCCCCTTCATCCAGAAGACAGCCTAATCGAGGGCCTTCAATTTATCGGTTAAAGTCACACCGAGAGATGTTTGGTCTGGCCGAAAAAGGTCTGATTTGTTCGCCAAATAAGTCTGTGCAAGGAGAGTAAATAAACAGCAGTCCCATCCACGTTGTCCGCTCTTTGATACCTCCAAGAAGACAGTTGGAGACGAGGAAGATGCTCGGAATTGCGACCATATAGGAGATGTAATTAATAGTTTTTGTTTGATATTAAAGATGGTCGTGGGGGTGGAAAACAGAGAGTGGTATTTAATACGGGCGCCTAGCCTATGCAAATAAGGACGCCAAGATATACAAGCAAGTTGCTTGTGAATGCAAGAACTGCCAGAATGATATCACCAGCAGCAAAGAGTCAATAACATAGGAAAGTAAAGAAAGAAAGGGTAATTTCTTTACATGTGACTTGTGATATAATATTATTTTGTACTCAGATATTCTACTTTCTTTCTCTGTAGATCGAAAAAAAGTCTATAAATTACACACAGGTGAGCGTAAACATACCCTCGAAAAATGTGTTTATGTCATCTCCCCGTAAAATCAAGAGCACTTGAGGAGATATTGGAAAGAGCAATTCACATGCATTTAATTTGTACAAACTCTTGTTTTGACCAGGTTTAACCCATGTAGTCAAAGAAAAACCGTCTGCCGAGTTTACGAAATGTCTCCGGAAATAACAACAACTGGCAAGTACGTCACATTACAATGTAGGTCAATTTAGGGGCGTACATAGGTCTCTCTAATCCTTTTGCAGCCGTTGCCTTTGATGCTACGATTCTCAGTAAATTTGTAAAAAGATCCTACGCCGAGTTCAAGGATTATTCCAGAAGTCTCCGCCGATAAAAGAATTTCTTTAAGTTTTGCAGAAAAAAATCGGATTGTACCACTGACAATGAGCGCTAAATTATTACCAAGGAGACGTTTTTCTCAAAATCCTTGGTAAAATATAGTAAAAATATAATTTCAACCAATGCTTACCGTGTCTATAATTATTATATTTTTAGGTCTTTCTGACCCATGGGGTTATCAGACATATTAAGAGCCATCTATCGCCATTACAATATCGGGATTAACGTTTGACATTTACTTCTCTATTCTTGAAGAAAATGTCTAAAAAAACAAAACTAAAAGAAAATTGTAAGCTTGAATGGCCACATTGGATTTGTAATCATTAGAGGAATAGAAATCGGAGACATCCTGGCTCAACCAGAACTGTTTTTATAGCTTTTTACGATTAAAAAACACCGTAATTGTATCTTCTTGATGCCTGTTTTTACTCAATTCTCCGTACTTTTGATACAGGAATTTCGTGACTTGACGGTCAAGTTTAATTTAATTTATATTGAAACTCCCATCGATTTGCGTCACGACTGCATCAAACATCTTTTGTTACATTCGATTATCTCCAAAGACCCTTACTTCGTTAAAATGCGTAAGAATTTCAAAATTTGAATTCAAAAAAAAAAAAAAAATTTGAATTCGGCGTGAGCTCTACTACAGTGATGCGTATTTGCGTCTTGTTTTCGAATTGCCCATCTGAATAAAAGAGATTCTAAAACGGGAAGTAATTGAATCACCCTAAAACTCACAACATATTCAGACACTGCTTTTGTTTTCACCGATTATATTATATTAGCCACTGAAAAGAAGAACGCTTTTAGATATTCTGTCGACCATGAACATGGATTTCAAAGATCCTTTATCTAGACATCTAATATAATATAAAAAAAGTAAGATGAACGGGATATTTTAATTCATGAAGAGAAGAAAAGTAAGCCCATATACAATACGGGTCAAAGGGTCTATAGTTATTTCGGAAATACAACGTTTGTGACATACTATTTACTAAAGATTAGGGAAACTCGTCATCAAGAAAAGGGATGCCAATTGCAACTTCTATTTCTTTCATTCTTTTCTTAAATTCTGCTAAAATATGGGAGACAATCAATCTGGAGAAATCGTTTGGTTTCTGAGTAATTCTCTTTTCACAAATGTCACCATTTTCCAAAAAACCCTCCAAAATCTGTCATTCTGACCAAAAATCCTTTTGCGAAATAATTCCTAGCCCTTCATCAAAGACTTTTCTGTGCTCCTCACTTTGTTCTCTGTCATTAAAGTCCCCGCTGGCAACGATATATTCCTAAACCATAGACATATTATTATCTGAAATCACATGTCGGAAACACTTGTCCCATTGTTTTGAGAAGATGAATGTAAAGAAGTCCATGACGTCGGGGATTTGCATCTGAAGTGGACGAAACTTCTTGACGTCTACTACACCGAGACCCACTTGAATGCAGTTGTGAAGACGAACAGGGTGTAAACAGTACATACATATATAAGACAACTTTCTAAATTTGTTTTCAGCAAGTTACAAAAAATTAAAAATTTGGGTGGAAATGAGCAAACTTTATGGCCAAAAAAGACAATCAAAGATCACTAATTTTACCAGTAACTACTTGGAAGTACTTAATGGAGATTAACTGTAATAGCGACACATTATTTTCCAAGACGTCCAGACATTTTTTCACAATTTCACGTTTCGCAGATTAAGACTCTCCAGACTTTAGGATAAGCCGAAGGAACAAAGAACAAAAGCCAAACAGTAATTGGGTTACGGTAAAGGGCATGGAACGAGGAATGGCAGCAAAAGGTGGACAATAATCATTGGTCCAAAAGAGTTTAATCCAAGCTTTATAAAACTGTATATTTATTTTTATCTAAATGCACTTTAAAGCTTTCCTGGAAGAAAAACTTCGAAAATACGGTCATTTTTTGATCATCAAAATAAAATTTTAGAAATGAAAAAAAATCTCAGGCTATCAAAAATCATTTGATTCCCAAGACTTGATTCGAGATCGGTCATCAAACAAAAGATGCCGCTCAAATTCAATTTCGAATTGAAATGGGGTGAAGCTGCCAGGGCTGCCAAGGCACCTCCAAAAAAAGATGACGCTGCCAAGGCACCTCCAAGAAAAGAGGAAGTTGCCAAGGCTGCCAAGACTCCCTCTCCACCTAAGCCTCCGACATATCCCACAGACGACGAGGGATCGTGCTCCACTTGTTCCACATCTTCTTCCTCCTCTTCGGAGTCGGAACGCACTAAAAGTTGGTGCCTTTCAGATTAAACTTACTAGTTGTAAGTATACATTGACCAATCATTTTAGGCCTCCAACAAGCCCAAGGTCCCATCGTCCAAAATTTCGTCTATTTGAATGGCAAAGAAGATACGACTCAGAAGAGTCAGCAGGTATTTAAATGTTGTTCAGAGTCTATCAAATGATTACAATTTGATCAAGCAATGTATAATTAATTATAGTCGAAAGTCCAAACTTCCGGAAACAAGGACGAAAAGGATGTAGCTCGCAAGAACAAGGAAGAAAAGGATGTAGCTCGAAAAAACAAGGACGAAAAGGATGTAGCTCGCAAGAACAAGGAAGAAAAGGATGTATCTCCCACATCCTACACCAAATATGTCACAGTTAAATCGTTGGCTGATTTTGCGGGCAACACTTTAAAGATGGATAATGATTATGATGAGGAGAAGGCTCGTCAGGAAGAAGAAGCTGAACGGAACGAACGAGAGAAGACCCAGTACCTAGACGTAGGTTTTGGAACTATTTACTTGGCAACTGCACGACATATTACATTATAATTCTAATCTTTTACTTATACAGTTCAACCCGGCTCCCATTGACAAAACCAACAAAGTGATCTTTGTTCGAACCGGCGAACGCATGGACGGGGTGTTCCCATCGTGGTCCAAGACTACCAATTGCTATGGTCAATACCGCCGTTACAATGCCAACCAGCCAGCCACTTTGCCGATCAGACGTCACGGAATCCACGGGTTCAAAAAAGATTCCCCTTTGACTTGTTACGGCCAAAAGTTGTCCCATTTGGTGGCCAGTTCCTTGAAGAGAGCTCGTTATCGACCGGTCGCCGTTTACTCGGCTCCAGCTCTCCGGTAAGACCATTTATTGATACAAATTATATTACTTTAGATGCATTGAGACCGCTTCTTATATTGTGAACGTCCTGAAAGCCCCCAAGATTCGGATTGAGCATGGATTGGATCAGAACATCGCGGATATCCTCAAGGAACGGCCAGTTTATATGACGAATCAGGAGTTACTGGAAGGTGGATATCCGATCGATGATGAATACCAATCAATTATGAAGCCATTTACTGAAGAAGTGACCTTAGATGAGAGCCAAGTCAATGTTAGAATTAGGAATACTATGGGAAGAATTATGGGAAATCACGAGAAGGGCATTATTTTGATCGTCACCCATGCAGTGATCATTATTCAAGGCGCCAAATATCTGATCAATTCTACCAAAGAAGACAATATTGATGAAACCGCTGCGGCTAAATTACTTCCTCTTTGCTCGGTCTTGGTCATGACCACTTTGGTAAGCAATAAAACAAAGATTAATGTTGTCCTTTAGGATGGAGTATTCAATATGGACGAGAAATACCAAGTTCTCCCTTTCACCAACTGCCAGATCAGCACCGCTCCGAAAATCGCTCAGCTTAAAAAGCTTCTTTGACTTCATTCCTTATAGGTAAAATAAACGTTGGAGTTTGAAAAGTTGAATTCTTTATTTCCCTCTTTCCGAGCCAGTATCCGCCACGAAAACATTTTTTGGCATTCCGCTTCAAGAAATATTTAGAAAAATTTTTCGAAAGAAATTTGTTGGAGAGTTCTTCGCGTTTTGTCAGTTTTGTTGAGTGTTCTGCGTATTACAAGAAGAAGGACGTACGATGGATGATTTGGAGCGGCTTGAGCATTTATCCTTGGTGTCTAAGATCGTCACAGAACTGGAAAATCACTTCGACATCAACGACAAAGAAGTTGCAGAGTTTGTTATTAGCCTTGCAAAGGAGAATCCGACTTTTGACAAGTTCAAAAACGCTTTGATTCAGTTTGAATTAGATCAAGTAAGTGCAGTTAACGATTGCTGTTGTTCTTTAGGTATCATAGTGGTTTTCTTGGCATTGTTTGTTTGCTTCATTTCTGAAAATATGCTTTTAGTTTGATGACAACTTAATACAACATCTGTTGCGTCTAGTTGTCACGATGGAGCCGAAGAAAGTTACGAAGAAGAAGAGGACGCCTTCTCCCGAGGTTGAACATAAAGAAGACGGGGACCACTTCATAAAAACGATAGCTGATGAAAAGGAAGTTCTTAAAAAGAAGCTTCCTGCCCTTGCGATGCCAAATGAACCTCAACCCACTTCTGAGAGTCTCTTAGGAGAGTTAGAGCAGCTTTATCAGAAGGACCTACAAGCCAAACAGAGGAATCGAAGTAGATCTAGAAGTCCGCACGGCAGAAAGAGAAGGTCAAGGAGTAGAGACAGAGATAGAAGACGTCGGTCACGATCTCCAGATGGAAGTAGGAGGAGAAGATCACGGTCGAGGGATCGAGGACGATCAGATCGAGATAGGGATGGAAGAAGGAGAAGATCTAGAAGTCCAAGAGATAGAAAACCTCAGTTGTTGGATGAAGTTGAAGTTGGAAAGATATACGAAGGACGAGTGAACAATATTCAGTCTTTTGGAGCGTTTATTGTGGTATGTTTTATTAATAATTCCTATCATTGTTTATGATTTTAGATGTTAAACATTTTTTTTTAGTTGGATGGATTCAGAAAGAAGACAGAAGGTCTTTGCCACATTTCTCAGCTTAGAAATGGTGCAAGGGTCAAAGAAGTAACTGAGGTTGTAAATCGAGGGGACCGAGTGAAAGTCAAGGTCTTGAAGACAGGGGATAAAATCAGTCTATCCTTGAAAGAAGTGGATCAAAGAACAGGTGAAGATCTCAATCCAGTGGATGCCCCACTCTCTGAAGATGCCATTGGAGTTGCTGACAGACGTCCTGATGCCCCATGGATGAATCCTGAGAGAGAAACAGCAGAACAAACGAGCGTGGCTGCTCCTGGAACTTCAAGTAGATCAAGAGTACGGTTATCAACACCGGAACGATGGGAATTACAACAGATGAAGGGAGGAGGAGCAATCTCTTTGATGGATTATCCAGATTTTGATGAGGAAAAGGGAATTTTGAATAATCCGGATGAATCTGATGGCGAAGATCTGGAAATCGAATTAGTGGAAGATGAACCTGCTTTTCTGAAGGGTTATGGAAAACATGTTCAGGAGATTGAGGCTGTTAAAGTAAGTGTGATTTGGGTTTCATATTGTTTTAGGTGGTGAAAAATCCAGATGGAAGTTTGGCACAAGCCGCCTTGATGCAATCGGCCTTATCCAAGGAACGAAGAGATATGAAAACTCAACAACAAAGAGAAAAGGAAGGTCAGAAACCCCGGGGAGGAGTGTCTGGAAACAAAATATTGGATCCAATGGCTCCGAATGAGACTAGATACGAAGAAGATGAGCCAGCACCTCCATCTAGGGGTCGAGAAATGCCCGAATGGATGAAACATGTTACTGCTGGAGGCACAGCGACTTATGGAAAGAGGACTAGTCTGACCATGAAAGAACAAAGGGAGTCCTTGCCTATCTTCCAACTGAAGACAGCTCTTCTTCAAGCCATTCATGACAATCAAATCTTGGTTGTGATTGGGGAAACTGGGTCTGGAAAGACAACTCAGATGACGCAGTATCTGGTTGAGGCTGGATATGCATCTAGAGGAAGGATAGGATGTACCCAGCCGCGAAGAGTGGCCGCGATGAGTGTGGCCAAGAGAGTCAGCGAAGAGTTTGGAGTAAGATTGGGCCAAGAAGTAGGATATACAATTCGTTTTGAAGATTGCACATGGTAGGTTGATCGTTTTTGTATATTATAATACTTGTGTGAAAAAGGAAAACCCCCATGCTTTAGTTCTGATACGATAATCAAATACATGACAGATGGTATGTTGCTCAGAGAATGTCTCCTCGACCCCGATCTCATGTCATATTCATGTATTATGTTGGATGAGGCTCACGAACGCACCATCCACACCGACGTTCTCTTTGGTTTACTAAAAGCTGCTGTCAAAAAGAGACCCGAACTCAAATTGATCGTAACTAGTGCTACGTTGGAGATGGAGAAGTTCTCGGAATATTTCTTTGGAGCCCCTACATTTACTATTCCTGGCCGAACATTCCCGGTAGAGATTCTGTACACAAAAGAACCCGAGACGGACTATTTGGATGCGGCCTTGATTACTGTAATGCAGATCCATCTAACCGAACCTCCAGGAGACATATTGGTCTTCTTAACTGGTCAAGAAGAGATCGACACTGCATGCGAGATCTTGTTTGAGAGAATGAAGAAGTTGGGGAGTGAAGTTCCGGATCTCATTATCCTCCCTGTTTATGGTAAGTCACGAAAAAGATCAGCTGATTCGTTTAGGTGCCCTCCCAAGTGAAATGCAAACCCGAATCTTCGAGCCGGCCCCACCCGGCTCAAGGAAAGTGGTAATCGCTACAAATATTGCGGAGACATCACTGACAATCGATGGAATTTATTATGTTGTAGACCCGGGATTTGTAAAACAGAAGATTTACAATCCGAAATCGGGCATGGACTCTCTGGTGGTGACCCCCATCTCCCAGGCAGCTGCCAAACAAAGATGCGGACGGGCTGGAAGAACGGGACCAGGGAAATGTTATCGACTCTACACGGAACGAGCATTCAGAGATGAAATGTTACCATCCCCTATCCCCGAGATCCAGAGAACTAACTTGGCCTCGACTCTACTTCAACTCAAAGCCATGGGAATCAATAATCTCCTCGAATTCGATTTCATGGATGCCCCTCCAGCAGAAGCCATGATCACAGCACTCGCCCAACTCTATGATCTCTCAGCTCTGGATGATGATGGTCTGCTGACGAAACTAGGCAGAAGAATGGCCGAGTTCCCATTGGAACCCTCTCTATCCAAACTTTTGATCATGTCAGTGGATTTGTCATGCTCGGATGAAGTGCTGACAATTGTGTCGATGCTCTCTGTCCAAAATGTTTTTTATCGACCAAAGGAGAAACAAGAATTGGCCGATGAGAAGAAATCCAAATTCCATCAGCCAGAAGGAGATCATTGCACCTTGCTGGCTGTATATAACTCCTGGAAACATCATCACTTTAGTCAGTCATGGTGTTTCGAGAGTTTTATTCAAGTCCGGACTTTGAAAAGAGCACAGGTAGGATGTAGCTTTCAGAATATTTCATGGCAAAGGACCAATTTGCAACCAATTCTTTTCAGGATGTGAGAAAACAGTTGTTGACCATCATGGATCGACACAAACTTAATATCATTAGTTGTGGAAGGGATGTTCAACGAGTCCAGAAGGCCATTTGCTCGGGATTCTTCAGAAACGCCGCCAAAAGAGATCCCCAAGAAGGATACAGGACGTTGGTGGATGGGCAGACGGTTTATATCCACCCATCCTCCTCTCTCTTCCAAAATCAACCGGAATGGGTAGTTTATCACGAACTGGTGATGACTACCAAGGAGTATATGCGAGAAGTCACATTGATCGACCCCAGATGGCTTATCGAATTCGCCCCATCCTTCTTCAAATTCGCTGACAACACAAAACTCTCGGCCTACAAGAAGAACCAAAGAATCGACCCTCTCCACAACAAATACGAAGACCCCAATGCCTGGAGGTTATCCCGTCTCAAGAAGAAGATCTACAATCCAAATCGTTAATTACATTATTTGTATTTGTTGTTCGTTTGCCTCATAAATGTAGATAATTTGAAGGTTGGAAAAAGGTTGAATTGAAAAAAAAACAAATTGTTCAGATATGACAACAAAAGGGACATTTAGGCGGTCTTACATTGTTCCGAAAAAAAATCTATTTTGAGATTTTTGACTGCAACTGTGTTAGTTACGCCTAAATATTTTTGCCCAATTACGCCCGGAAGGCTAAATTTTTCTCGAAATACGGCTTTAGATTTTTGGCTGACATTAATCGCTAGAAATGGTGTTACAGACCTCTGAAATCTATTTGCCGTTTATGCCCGGAAGGCATATTTTTTCTCCAAGTAAGGCTTTTCACTGTGGAGCTGCTAGAGGCCGCCGTGATCCGACTACAGAGACAAAGATTCGATTTCCTGTAGGACCTGGTGGCCTGACTCGAAAATCGTGTTTTAAAATACCGCTTTGTGTTTTACTTTATTTTTTGAATTTGATTATCAATCTGTCGGGAAAATAACGGCGGATCGTAGCACCTTGGAATCGCTCTTCATCGCTTTGCGACGGGGAGCTGCGGCTGGGAATTTGGTGCGCGATAGCGGTGAGGCTAGACATTTTGTTGCGACAACCCGCTATTATTTTCCCGACAGACTGATACAAAATGAACAAAATGTCAAATTGATTTATCCGAACGCAGTGTCGTTTCGTAAACTCCGCCCTTTTTCGTTATTTCGGCCAAATTTTTTTTGGAATAAAATTATTTTTGATCTTTTTGTTCTATGAATCTGTTGGATTGATCGGTTTTGGAGAAAATGTCGCAACCCGGAAGCTCTTCGGAGTACAAAAATGCAATTAAATATTTGAAGTAGGTTTTCAAGGCCATCATTTTGATGCTATCTAGTCGTAAATGTTAAAAATGAAGAAAGTTGTAATCTAGGAATGCGTTACCTGGCTTCTCCGATAATCTGAACGTCCCGGAGGATCAACGCTTACAGTACCTGACCATTACACTTGCGCAGCGAGTGGATGAAAAACAGAAAACAAACAAAGTAGGCGGCTCAGCATAGGTAACATAAAAAATTGTTTATAGTACTGCGATATGCTTTCGCGAGATTTAGAATCGGCTCACAATACCATCGATAACTTAAAGAATGACAGACGTACAGCTGCAACGCAGATCGACGCTCTCAGCCGGGAGCTGGAAATGACCGCGGCTGCTGCGAACGGATTGGAAGAAATGAGAGCCCGGTTTGCAGAATTAGCCAGGGAATGTCAAGGTTTGAGGGAGGCATGTATGCGGTACAGATACGAAAGAGACCAATTGCGAAGGGCAGGACCAGATCCCGAGATTATCAGGAGAAAGTAGGTCATGGGTAATATAATTTTATATGGGCTGCTTTCTTAAGGATGGAATTGGAAAATAAGTTGAGAAGAATGGATGTTGAATTACACAATTGCGAAGTATCTCGCGAGAAGTTGAACGATTACGTTGCGTAAGTTGTTCTCCTCGAGTCATTGATGGATAATGTTTTTTAGAGATTTGAAGAATGAAATTAAAATGTTGAAGCAGAAGGAGGAGGATTTACTGGACGAAACCAAGAATATTTCGAAGGAAAATGTCCGATTAGTCGGATTTCGTCAAAGGTCTGATCGATGTGTAGACAAGTTGAGCAAGCAAATTTTCAAAGTCAACAATGAAGAGGTAGGCCGTAACTCAAGGGATATAATGCTAACCAGTATGAGGCTATAAATCTATAGGTAATATTAAATCGTTTCAGCAAGACATCCTAGTTTGCTTCGAGACGTTCTACCAAAATCTTTGCGATTTCTGCGAGAGAAATTTGCTTTTTGATCTCCCGCGCAAGTTTGTTCCTCCTCCTCCGAGAGCAATCCGAGAAGGACGTTCCAGAAAGAGAAAGGCGCCGGGACGAGTCGTTGATGTGAAGCCAGATCTCTTGGCTGCCTATAAGGAGTTGGCCGACGCCAGAAGAAACAAAATCAAACCGACATTCGAGATCGACGTCGTTTCCGCGGAGATGAGAGCCGACGAAATCAAGGCAAGAGGCATGATGAACTACGTGGAATCGGGCCTCAGGAAAAAAATGAGTACTCAAAGCCTTCCCAGATTCAAGTAAATGTTGAAAATTGTTATTTTGTTCTCCGTTTTTGCAAACGGGCCTTTTTTTAATTTCAGGCCAGGCCTGGTGGCCACTTATTGCAAGTTCTAATTGTTTTCAAAATAAATGTTGTATGTCATATCAGCGAAAAGTATTAGATCAAAAAGTTCTAAAAAAATTGCGTTTGTCGTTTGGATTTCTCGAATGGGACTTTTTTGTGACATTGTTGCAGATTTTCGCCCAGAAATTGTAGGAATGTTAAAATTTTGGGGATTCCTTGTCAAAACGACTGGTTCCGTAGGAAATATGGACCACTCTGAACTTCCAAATCTTTTTCTGGTATTTATCTTCCAATAATGCACCAATTTCTAAAAATTTTACATCAAATTGAAGCAATCCTCGTACACCCAGCATAACGATTTTAGGTTTATGCATCGTTGACCCGAAACATCGTTAGTTTGTACAAAAACAAATTCCGATCTATACACAACGTGCAAAGGCCACAACGGCTTTTGAAGGATGATGACAAAATGGAGCATACAATATTATACTGATTTACAAAGGCTGTTAAAGATGATCCGAAATAATACATGGAAAGAAAGAAAAATGATGATGACGTCGATGGTGGAAAGTAAGAAAGTCGAGAAGATACAGACCGATGCAATGGAGGGAAAAGAAGAGTAGAGATGGTGGGCGTGAGGGAGGGAAAGGCGATGGAAGTGGGAGGAAAGGAGACTAAATTGTCAGCCATAACGACATTAAGCATCACGCTTCTAATCTTTTCCCACTGTCATCATAACGAAATGTTGTATTGCATTGTGCAATAACGTTTGACCCGGTCGTTTCCCCTCATACGACAGTTGATCGGCGATGTTCGTAATATCGCGGAGGCGGTGGTGGCGCCATCTTTGGTGATCTGCTCTGATTACTCTCGATGGTGGACACGTCCAATTCCTGCGGCCCTCTTCTTCGCTGACTTTTGTTCCATCGACGGCTTCGTTTGCTATGGTCTCCGTCCTTGTACCTCTTTTGGGCATCAGTTACCAAGAAGAAACAACAACATCCACAGCCACAGAGAAGGGCTAGGATGATGAAGATGAGGAAGATTCTGGAAGCACATAAAAAAGATGAGAAAACAACGAGCCACAATGCAAATGGCCGTAATTTGGAATTCAACTTACAGATTGGGCCATTTCACATACTCACAACACCCCTCCGGGCAACAGTCGTAATAAGTCATGATGCCTTCGTTCGGACATAACCTAAAACAAAGTCATCAAAAGCGCCGAAACTTACCTGGGGCCTCGATTCGGACAATTGTAGGTACACGCATCCCAGCAATAGGCTTGCTGGGATCGAATCAGCGGCAGGAATACCAAGAATGCTATCCAGAATAATGCCATTCCCCCAAAAAAAGAAAGAAAAAGTGTGAAAATGCAGAAAAATGATGGAAATCAAATAGTCCCTGGGGGAGAAGCGCACTTGTTGAAGACGACTTATTGACAGATTTCGTCTTCTCTTCGAATGTTTATTTTCTTACAAAAAATTTATTTTATTGCGCCTTCTGATTCATCCAAGAATTCTTGAATAGAACAGGTATCCCTCGCATCAAGGGTGGCCAGAACAAGGGACGAAAAGCATTGCCTGAGGGCATTACGACCTTCTTCATGCCATAATTGCATTTCCTTTTTTGGACGTCGCCCTTTGTTCTCGATGATATTTTGTAGATGGCCGTTATTGTGCGACGAAAAGGTTTATTGCCTGAGGGTGCGGAGAGGTTTCGTATTGCATGCTCGTTGTGTTTGCTTGATTATTTCGTCAAACATAACAAGATTTCGATAGCCCTTTTATACATTAGGTAGCCTTTAATTTACATCAACCAAATATATTGCTGGATTAAGAAAACGGGAAAAGGAGCAACATTTTTACAACTTTTATAACATATCCACCAACATAAGAACAGTAGTAGTTATCTCTTCGCGTAACTTGAAATAAGGGGCACAAGTTTAATTAAAATGATTCTCTGCAAATTACATATATAATTGATACAAATGGATGTAAATAGTTGAATAGACAAAAGGAAGAGAATAGAATAAGAAAAAATAAAAAGAAAAGCCGATCACAAGGATCAAACAATTTGAAGAAGTAAACGGAAAGAAAGGGAAGATGGGTGGACAGCAGATTCAAAAGACAGGAAACGTACAAGATATTCAGCATGGAGAACATAGAAAAAGGAGAGAAAAGGGCTTCTCCAACAACATGCGGAGACCGGATGGCTGCTACAAAATCTACAGAATCCGAGGACCCGGCTACAGTCTACTGGAGGTCTCTTCAGCTCTTGTTCTCTCCGCTCTTTTCGTTCGTTTTGTCGTTTTTGTCATCCCGAGAGCCAGTTGAGGCGCTGGAGCTCTTCTTGCCTGCTGCCGGCGACTTCTCGCCCGCTCCTTGGCTACCCGTTCCTCCGCTGGTTGGTGCTGCAGGGCCAGTGCTGTTCGCTGGGCCCGACCCCGGTTGTTTCGGGGGGATGAAGGCGGTCATCGGAGTCTTGGACAGGATCTGAGGTGGGTTCTTGACCAGAGTTTCGATGTCCTGCTGTTCCAGCACGGAGAGTCGCCTCCACAGTTCTTCTCGTTCTCGCTCTTTTCTCCTTTCCCTATAACAATCTGATTAGTCAAACATTTACGATAAAAATACTACAATCAAAAGAAGACCCCACTTCATCTTATTCTAAACCAATATCCCCTTCCATTCATTAGTATTTTATCGCTCGTAAACGCTTTTACGAACACATTACTCATCCTCTAAACCCCTCGCTTACTTCTGTTTTTCCATTTTATAGTTAGCAGTTAGTTCGTCGAACAATTTCCCATTCATTTCCATAAAAGTTTTGAGCACGTTGTAGACGAGGGCGACGATTGTCTGGTTCCAATGCTCTCGGCTGATTCGGTACAGGGCGGGGAACATAATGGGCATCACTTGTGCACTCGTCTCTTCGATTAGGGATAGGATATACTCGTTATTCCAGAAATACAATGCCCGTTCCGCCACCTGAAAAACCAGCGGTAATAATTAAAAACTTATTAATTTGGCGATGACACCAAGCCTCTAATCGTATGTACTCAAAACAATCCTTAATTTACGTTATTCTACAAGAATTATCCTTTCTTAATCCGACTCGCGATTAAGAAAATTAATGATTTACGCCTAAAGCTATCAACTCAATACTACAAAACAAGATTCTTACTTGGAAATGAGGGGACGATACACATTTGGCAAGCTGTCGGAAGAGGGGATCGATGATTTTCTTGAACTGCTCTGGCTCGATTATGTCCAGTATTTCCTCCACTTCTCCAAGGAACATGACTTCTTTGGAGCTGCAAGTTCGAGGCCAGAACTTGAGAAGAGCTTCGAAAACCTGAGGGGTTAAAGTGGAGTCCTTCTCGATGAATTGTACAACACAGTAGGCCAGCTAAAACAGGAATCAAAAAAAAAAAAAAACAATGGGCTTACCTGAGCATGATAAAGGCTCAAACATCGAGGTTTGTGGAGAGGAAGAAGGACCTTCACTAGGAAGACCTTATGCTCTTGTTTCAATGGCAGTGCGAATCCGTTTATAATACTGAAAAAAACTCATTAAATTACGAAATCACCCCGAAAATAAATTTTAGAAACATCAGCCTTACCTTCCAAGGATTTCCAACAGTTCACCGACTCCGTTGAAAGAATCCGTTTCGAAAACAAAGGACAAGAACATGTTATTGATCTGTTTCCGGATGAAAGCACGGAGTCCTAGGAACTTTCCGTAGATTCTGTGGAGGATAGTCTTCAAGAAATCCCTTTCTCGAGGATCTTCCGAATCGAACAGTTCCAACAACTAAATATTCAAAATAAATAATAAAAAATTGAACAAACGTTTAATACGAATCGCTGATCAATGTGTTTCTTGCCAATGGTGGCTTGGAAGTCGGCGGATTCCAGAAACCGTAGGAAAAACTCGTAAACTAGCTAAAATAATTCACGTTGAAGGTCATAAAGTCCCAAAACAACACAATTAACGAAATAATTTTACCTGCAAATGAGGCCAAGAAACTTCTAATGTTGGCTCGTCCTCTTCAGGATCAAATTCGGAGTTGTCCGAGGGAGGGAGAACTCTGAATATATTCCTGGAAACCATCCGAATAATCTCAGGGTAGATGGGTTCCACAATGGCACCCTTCGTTGCTGTTATGTAGTCAATTAGTTCGTTTAACGCTGCCCGTTTAATCTGAAAACAATTTTTGATATTCAGTATGCCATTGCAACCGTTCTTACCTCTTTACTTTTGAGTTGCGCAACTGGATCATAAAAGTCGAAGATTTTTTGACATTGTTGTAGCTTCTGGATGGCGAGTGCGGTCTGCTCATTAAAGGGGGCATCTGAAGTTTGATTTTCCGTGTAAAATTAAAAATGGTATAAGTCGCACTAGCTATCTTGGTCCTTACGTCGAAAATCACGTGTTTTTTGCAATTAATTTAAAATCTCTTCTTATATTCTTCCTGCCTAAACTCGAGACCAACCAAACACAAATACATACCTTTAATAAGAGGGAGTTGAACCAGATCGGGATCATTGTCGCCATGATATCTGCTGCTATTCACAGGCCTTCTCCGTCTCCGACTATTCCCTCGTTTGCTGAAGGGATCGATCTTATCCACGAATTGGTTCGCCGTGGCCGAGAGTTGTTGGCCACCAGTTGCAGCACCAGAAGTCTTAGGTGGCGGGACTGCATGCTGAGCGCCCGGCAGGCCACCCTTATCCTTGTCCGACATTCTGGATGCTAAAGATTAATTATTTGGAATACAAAATGCAAAAACTCAACGCGGGATGTGAAAAATTTAAATGAATATGACAAAAAGAAGCCGTTAGACAAATCAAGAACAATATAACGCTAAGATGATTCGCTGATTATGCTTCACAGGAAACCTCGGGCAGCATCAAAAACAATATCCGAAAGAACAAGAACCTGATTAAAACGTCGTTTCTGATCAACAAAACAACATTGGAGTTTCATTTATGACCACAGTTAACCACTCGCGACCTTCCCAATGCCCAAAATTTTACCCAAAAAAGCTGCGGATATCAATAAAAACAAAGAAAAACCTTGTAAAAAGTCAATCAAAGCCGTTGGGCCGGAATTATCGGAACGGGAAACGAACATGTTAATTACAAGCAAAAGAGAGAGGGAACGGCAAGGCAATGTTGTACAAGTTTACTTTGAATATGATCAAGTAAATAAAATATTCTTCCTTATGGACATGGCCCCGAGGGGTAAAAAACAAGATCGGGGTGAGAGAGGCAGAGAAACGGACAGAGAACAAGGCGGGGCGGTAGCGGCGGGCGAGGCAGATGACCAGCCGCGCTGTGCAGACACCACGGCCCTAATCCGCCCACCCGGCCAAGGCCCTGGCCCCACTCTCAGCTGGGCCATGGCAAGCCCGAAGCCAGAGAAGCGGGCCTGAATACTCTCTCTTCACCGGTTTCATACTGCCCTCCCGCACGTCCAACAACTCTCTAACCCTCTGCCCGCACTCCTCTCCCTCCTCGCCAGCCTCTTCTTGGCCCGAACGGCCGAAGCTCCACTTCTCTTTGATATTATCCATGACCGCTTCTTATTCTGACTCTTTAGGTCCCTCTACCTTCTCTCCCTCTTCCACACACTCCCTTCTCCGAGGCGGTAAGGCTTCGCTTTCACGGAAGGGCGAAGGAATTCCTCTCATTTTTTGGCAATTTGCTAAAACTGTGGCCTTCTGCCGCAAATGCGCGGTGGGACCCGGATTTTATCTTTATGGAAATGTTTTGTGCGCGCTTCGTCGTTTTGTTAACAATAACATGTTACTTGACAGTTGCTAACACTGGGGTGTTGACGCTGAATTTTTTAGAGATCATTTGAATATTTTTTTGGCTTAATTCTAATATCAAACAGAGATCAAAATGATCGCTGAAAACCATTTCTCGCGTTTTGATTTTAATCTTATCGTGGAGTATGAATTATAAATAGAGAGTTTCAGAGATGACTACCGCTCATCGTCCCACTTTTGATCCCGCCAGAGGAGGTACCGGCCGAAATGAGGGAGATTTGTCCAAACTCTCGACCCAATATTCCTCCAAGGATATGCCTTCGCATAAGAAGTTGAAGTACAGAGAACCACAAATTATCGATGAACACCGCTCAAAGGTCAGTTTTGCACGTTTGTTTTTTTTTGAATTTAGGGGCGATAAATGGCGTCATTCCTTTCTTCGTGAATCATCTATTATCTTAACTTATGAAAATAAAATAAATTTCAGGATCTTCGCCGAGTCTTGGAGGAGAAAGAGAGCAAAGGTAAAGGCGGATCTTCATCAAGCTCAGTTCCACAGAAGAAATTACGACTAGAAGCATCATCAGACAGCAATGTTGATAAAGACGATCCTCTAGACGATGACGACGACAGTGACGAAGATTCTGATGATGATGAGGCTTTAATGGCAGAATTGGAAGCGATTAAGAAAGAGCGAGCTGCAGAGAAGGTGGCAAAGGAAGCAAGGGACGCTGCAGAGCAGGTAAATAATGTTTGTCATGCACAACAACAATCGATGATCTCTATGCTATTTATAACGGTTGATCACGTGATTTCAAAATCCTTAGTGCTTATTTTTGGTATTGAAGAATATTTTAAATTCTTCTCGCTTCAAAAGTTTTTAATTTGACCTTATCAAACCCCGTCCAATTAATCTTTTTGGTAGAGCTTTGCGTTTCCTTATTTAAAATACATACCTCAAGCTCCAATTAGTTTTTTTCTTATCGTAATTGTCTTATGATGAATTGCAGACTCCTTGAAATTTTGTAAAAAAGCACGGAAAATGTTCTTTAATTTGGACCGAGATTCAGGTTTGTGATAAAGAAATCAGAACAAAAAATAATGAGCACTACTTGTAAAATTACGACTTTAGACAAGAAAACAATGTCGTTATGTTTGGTACTGATAACAGCTTTTGAAAATAACCAATATAATAAAAAGATAGTAAATTAAAGTAATGTTTGGTATAATGCGCATAATATTTGATCATACAAATTGTCGGAAACATGCAGTTAGATTTACAAGTGAACTGTGTCATTTTTTCCTAATTTGATTAGATTTTATAATTAGAGGTGTGGCCACTCTCTCTATTGTAATATACCCTCTTTTCTCGCTTAACTCCAGTGTTATCAGGAAGCAAGGAATTCAATTCCCTTGTTCTTATCACCTTCATAAATTATAATTGGTTTCATTTTTAGGAGAGGGTTCGTCGGGAGAATCTCCTCAAGGGAAATCCCCTCCTCCAAGCAGATTCGGCCGCCGATTTCAAGGTGAAACGGCGCTGGGACGACGATGTGGTCTTCAAAAATTGCGCCAAAGGTACGGACTCGAAAAAGGCCCCCACTTTCATTAACGATTCCATCCGCTCCGAATTTCATCGAAAGTTCATGGAGAAGTATATAAAATGATATTGTTTCTGTTTAAAGTCGGTTAAAACATGATTCTCCACTTTTTGACTTGTATAAATCACTTTACGTTACCCCAAAGGCCCGATTCTCCAAAGGTTGATGTCCTTTGAGCTGTTTACATCCTGATCTTTCACTTGTCGAGTACGCGTTCTCTTGTTTTCAAACTTTCAGATGGGTGCACAACTTCAACGGGTACTAGTGTTTACACTTACATTTATTGCCTACGCCTTTTATCATGCGTCCAGGAAGAATTTGAGCGGAGTTAAAAAGTCCGTTCAAAACGAGTGGCTAGCCAATGATACACATGAGGTAAAGAAAGGGGAAATTGTTGGATATTCCATAATTTTGTGGATGTTAAATTTGATTCGGAGGTGCTGTAATGGTCGTATTTAGCCTTTCTTTGATGACGAAACACGAGCAAAGACATTCCTGGGCACCCTAGACGCTCTTTTTATGTTATGTTATTCTGGAGGTCTAGTATTATGGGGTGGAATTGGAGACCGATGGAACCCTTTGTACATAACAGTGCTTGGTATGGTAGGGTCTGGAGTCTTCCTCACCTTATTTGGTGCCCTTCCCGCCTACACTCATTGGTTTTCGGTCATCTATTACATCATCATTTATGCCCTCTTTGGTCTAGTACAAGGTGCTGGGTGGCCGAATGCAGTCACAATAATGGTAAATCAGACAGGATTTTGGTTGGTAATGCTGGGATATGTTTAGGCCAACTGGTTCAAGACGAATCGAGGATTCGTGATGGGTCTTTGGGCCGCTTGTCAACCGGTCGGCAACATAATGGGCGCTCTGATCGTTTCGTTGGTCCTTCCGTGGGGCTATGAAATGACATTCGTTGTGAATTCTATTCTGATTGTCGCTTTTGGTATTGTTCTTCTGTTCACGGTAAAACCGAAGCCTCCAGTGGAATTAGAAGAGTCCAGTGCTCAGCTCGACGTCCCTGCCGAAGAAGTTTCCCATGAACCTATATCGATGTGGCACGCTTTGGGACTGCCAAACGTATTGCCTGTGAGTTTTTGATAAAAAATTATGTCGTGAAATTGAACATTGATATCAAAAATTTAATGTTTGAATATTTTGATGACTAAAACAATCCAAGTTTAGTACTGTCTGTGCAATGCTTGCCTGAAGTTTGTGAATTATGCCTTTTTCTTCTGGCTTCCCCTATATTTAAGTTCAGCCTTTCATTGGGATGAGAGTGTGGCCAATCAATTAGCGGCGTGGTATGATTTTGGTGGAATTGTTGGATCAGTCCTCGGAGGAATAATATCTGTAAGTTAAGGATTAAAGGTTTTTGAATTGTTGTTTAGGATCGACTAGGACATCGGTCGCCAGTCATTACGACCATGTTGATAGCCTCGATCGGCTTGCTGTTCGGGTATTCGGATGCCGGACCAAACAAACTCGTGAACATTTTATTGATGACATTGCTTGGAGTTACGATTTCAGGCCCTTATAACTTGATCGTCGGAACAATAGCTGTCGATCTAGGGTCTCAACCGGCGCTGGCAGGAAATCCGAAGGTAACATTTTTAAATTAAAAAGAATCAATAAGTTTTGAATATGTAAAACTGTATTCATCATGGTTAATATAAATTTTTTAGGCAATGTCAACAGTAACTGGCCTAGTCGATGCGTGTGGTTCTCTAGGCTCAGCAGTGGGTCAACTGTTTGTTCCACTAGTCCAAGATGGTCTTGGTTGGGCTTATGTGTTCTACTTGTTCATCTTGATGGTATGCGGATCTTTGTGCAGTCTTTTGTGTACAGTCCCGTATATTAGGACCAAATTGTATCCAAAGCACTTTGGAGACAAGGCTGCTCCGGATAGTTATGAACTTAATTGAGAATTGGCTAGCCGTATATACTAGCCATATATGTCCATTTCCAAATTATGCCCTTTTTTCTAAAATGCTTTCGCGATTTCCACCGAATTTTTGTTTTTAAAAGAGCTTTAATTTAATTTTAACACAATCCGTTCCATTCTGAATTTTGGTAACATACCTTTTACTGGTTTTATTTTGATTTTTCCATACGGCTGGGCCTACCTCCTCCGGCCCTGAGAGCTATGCATAGTCTTGCCCATTCTTTGCTGGGGAAGAAAAATTCTAGGGGCTTCGGTAGTTGAGCCCCCCACGAAAGGTAGTTCAAACCCCCACTGTTTTGCCCGTTTCACACCCCACATAATGAACAAATTAGAATAATACAAAAAATGTAAGTGGGGGTTTGATCTACTACGTTGGGGGTTTGATCTAAAACGTAGGGGGCTTCATCTAAAACGTAGGGGGCTTGTGCTGGACCATAAAACTTGGTTTAATTCTTTGAAATAAATTTTGGGGTTGAGAATGGACGAGGGGGGTTGTACTGGGTCATGGGGGGCTAAACTGGACTGGGGGGCTGTACTACCTTAGCCCCAAATTCTATCTTTTTTTTATTCAGTAGTATGGTGAGTACTGAAATTCACAAAATGCACGGACGGCTCGTTGAGTGTTAATGCCAGGAAATTGTGCCAAAATTAATTTCTAAGTCATATCCTAGAATTTTGAGCTTTAAAAGTTGGATATTTATAGCTTTAAGAAGAACTCTTGCCTAAAATAACAACTAAAGCAATATGCTAATGCCTTCTATCCATAATTTGCCGATTTCAGAACGCTCTCTCAGTTCTCTGCCTGATCCGTCGCTGTGTTCTGGACGTGTACGAACTGTTCCAGACCCGTCATCGGCATCGGAGTGTCCTTGTGGATGAAGGCGAGGAGCAACCTCTTCTTTCTTAATCTTTTCTGTTTCAGTTTCAGCTCCCCGCACCGCTTGATCTATCTCCTTCTCTCTGTCTTCTGGATGTATAAATGTGATTGTTAACGTTGGGATCATATCGAATTTGTTAATAAAAGACTAATATTCCATTTCCTCACTAACAAACCGCCTTCTTTTCTCTGCCTTATGTGATCAGTTTCCTATGCTCAACAGTATTGATAATACACTTCAACGACGTATTTACAGTGCAATAAGTAAAGCGATCTTAATAAACTTACGAATACGAGGGGTCTGTTTTATTTCCGAGTTAACATCCATTACAATTGGGGTTTTGTTTACGTATCTTTTGGCGTCATTGTTTACAGCAACTCCAATAAAAACTTTGGATCGTTTAACCTTTTAACTATGATACAGTATCTACAGTCTAGAGTATCCTGTTCACTTGTACGGTTCCGGAATTTACTGTTAAATACAACTTCATTAAGGACAAGAATGGTAAAAATTTTGTGATAGGGATTTCTGTGGATGATTTTCAGTGATTTCTCGCTCGACGGATGTCTGGGGTAGACCATTATAGGAAAGATGGCCTTGTTGACAAGGCTTGGTAAGAACATGTAAGCCTTCTGATGGCCCGGAATGTCGTAGTGCCAAACACTGCAGATACCCAAAAAAATTACGAGAACAGTAACATGTCCTTTTTTGCAGTTGTAGGGTGGATTTTTATTCTTTACTAGTGTGACTTCCTGCATGTTTTCGGACATCGTAGGCGTTGATTGTTTTCCTTCAGATACTCGTGTCTTGATTATCGAATCCATTAGTTTTACTTTTTCCAGATTATTTGTGTTCCTTTAATTAAGTATCTCCCCACTGACTTCCGGTGAAATTTGCGAGATAGACCTCAAATCAGGTGCCCTTTTATAAGATTTGGGAAAAACTTTCCTAAATTTAATTTTCCAACTGTATTTTCCGGTGATTTTTCAAACTATTTTTATTTTACTTGAACGTTTCATCTAGATTTCTTTTTTGCACTTTCTTGAATAATCTTTACAAATAAACGTTACAGTACCCTGCGGAATGAGTCAATTTTTGCATTTTGGTCAACTTTGAGTCGAATTGCGTAGGGCCTTAAGAACTTTTATCAGATGCTCGTCGATTCGTCCCAATTTGTAGGCTTATGCAATCTTCTCGGCTTATGATGCGATAGGTATATTTAAAAAACTGTCAGAATCGGTGATTAAGTCAAACACGACATAGATTGTGCGCACATTATTCTCGGAATGGAAACGTAAACTATGTATTCAAAAGAGTACCTTGTAAGGACAAGATAAGAGAGATTGAAATGTTTGACTTGCTCTGCCCTCATGACCGTCTAGCCCCATTGTTCGCAGTAATCCCTTGCAAAACAATATGCAAGTTTCAAGACAAACTCTTATCGGATCCGACTCCCCTTGGTCGTCGTTAACAGCCCTCAGGCACTGATAAGCCTAAGGCAAACAATCCAAAGAAGGGTGCATGCAAGTTGCGGAGGGCCTGAAGGAATTATACAATCTAAGACTACAGTTTTGGAATCAAATGCATTAAAAAAAGTTTGCGATTATTTTCGTGTTTTTTGTTCCTTCAATAACTCATTTTCACATCCACCCACGTCCTCACCGATGATAATGACCCAGCAATGAAGCACCAAACCCCAACTCGAAGGAGTGATGACATTGTAATGCAAACGAAGATTTATTTGCCACTCCTTTTCAGATCAATTACTCTTGATTACTTCTACAATTACATGACGGATCACATTACGCCACTTTCGAGTGAGGGAAAACCCTCACTTTAGATCGATGGGGATTAGGCTGGAAATGTAGCTCGAGAAAATACAGTAATCCTGTTGGTAAAGAAAAATTTTTTAATAATGTAACTTGGGCAACAGTCTTGAACGATTTCATAATACTAAATATTACGCAATTTGCATAGAGATTTTCTTATTATCAGCGACTTTATAGTACGCCTTTTTAAAGTTAAGGACAAAGAAAGCAGCGAAATATAAATTTTTTTTGAGTTTCAGTCTTAATTTTAGGCATGATTACGGACTCCGAATTGCTTCATACATACATCTAAAGATTCAAAATATGGCAAAGTCTTTGCGGATGATGACGATTAATCTGATTTGTGACCTTTTATTATGTAATTCTGAGTTTTTTTTGAGACGATAGTTTATTTCAATGTTTTATCCTCTGCTACTTTTATGTGTTATCTTAGATAATCTCTTTGGTTATTTACATTTTAATTTTTCGTTCCACCCCCTAAATTCTACCGTAATCTCCCAAAACTTTGCGATCTTTACTCTCCATTCTTGCACTAAAAAAGGGGCATTTCCGGTTCCCGCCAAGTGTTTTGTCCATCTGAACACCACGAATCGGAGGAATGATCTTTTCGCCTGCTAATTGTACATTGATAAAGGTCCACAAATTTGTGATCTACGTGTCCGAAAGTTCGACTCACAAATAAATGACTCATTGCTGCTTAATTTACAATTTTTGCATTTGATAAAATCGATGTGTCATAATTGTTTTGTAGAAAAATGATTTTACGACAAATGGATGATGTGCTGGAGCTTTCAACGGGAAGATTTATTCGAACTTTGGCATGGGAGTTCTTTGTAGGGGAGGCTCCAATTCCCAAAAATTTTTGCAGAAGCACCCGATCATTAAAAAAAATTGACTAGAGATTATTGAAAATGAAGAGAGGCGGTCAGAAAAAAACTTTTTCAGCTGTCGCTTTTCACATTTTACGTTGCAAATTTTCTTGGAGCTACTGAAAATAAAAATAGAAAAAAAATAATTTTAAATTTTTTAAGTCTTGGTCGTTTCTGCAAAACACAATTTCAAAATCTCTCACATTCAAACGAGTTATCAAGTCGAGTTTAAGTCGAGTTTTACCAAAATTTAACATGACTTCATAAATAGTAGCCGCATTATCCGTAGTTTCGTTTATTTACCGACTATTTACGACCCTCTACGTCAACCTGCACTCATCCAATTTTCCAGGTGTTTGAATCCTCTTTTTGACTCATTTGTTACGCATTTCTCTTTTCTCTCCCACGCTCTCCAATCCGCTTATCAATCGGTTTACAACTCCTCCGGGATTACTGTAACTTTCTGCAATCTTTTGTTCCAAGACATCTCCAAGATCTTCTCCATATTTGGGAACGTGGAAACGTCACTTTTTTGGAATATTTGATTCATTTTTATTGCCGAATGCCCTGAGGGTTTTTGTGTTTTTATCGTCGCGATAACGCGGGTATCTCCAGCAATTCTTGTACGAAATTTTTGCATGACTAATGTCTAGTTTATGTTGCTACTCGCTGATATCGGACGGGATGACGTTTGCGTGGAAAACGTCAATTTAATAAGCCATTCCTTATCTTTCTTCCCGACTTATCAAGGTGATGTCACACTAATCGGAGGGATGCAAATGACGTTCTTCTCGACTCTGGCTCGTCCCTTATAAGGAGGTGATAAGTTCGGAAGTTATCATTCATTCCAGGCCTCCGGCAAGGTACCTGAATTGAATGGGATCTGATTACGAAGAGATCTCTAATATGAGCTGAGGGTTATAAGATGGCTTTAGAACGGGTCGGAAATGGGTGTGGAGGGACCCCAATCGAGTCAAATCAAGAGCTACCCGCACTTTCGATATTACTTTAGATCAGGTTTATGATTGGAAAGTTTGAATTTTATTTTATTTCAAACAAAAAATGTCACGGATAAGATAGCTAACGATAAGACATTTTGCGTTGTCTAGTTTCTTCTCAGGCCACAGCTGACTTTTTTTGTTTAACAGCCACTAGATACCACAATCTACTCTGTCAACCTTGTTTCAGTATCATACTTGAATCCCGTTTTAAATAGTGGAGTAAATTCCCTTTCCAGACTATTTTCACATTTCTACTACTTGTAGTTAGTGAGGGCTCAAGATACAATTTTAATCAAAAGATAGTTCATGATGCTTTTATCAATTTTTCCCGTAAATGTGTCATCCTAATCGTAAAAACTTTTTCAATTATCTACTTGAATTTGCATCCCCTGAGGCGTCGGATTTCACAACCTTGTCCAGAATTGGACTCTCTTTTGCATTCTGATTCCGATTCGAATTGGAACGGTGTTTGCTGATTAATTCGGACCCGGAGCCAATCAACGCGCGACCTCCGACCCGACTCCTCCACCCAACCCAATCTGCTCCAAAAAAGGAAGGGGCGGGGCGCCGAATAAGGCGATTTGGGATTAAAAAAATAAATTCCGACTAAGCCGCAGGTCTCAAGCTGTTTTCCGAGTGTTTCGCCGTCGCTGATAAGGCCTGGCTTTTAATTCCCATTGTTTTCAGCGAAATAATAATAAAGAAATGCAGACGACCGCCTTCTACGACACCTATATGCCCGACCAGGTCCAGTTCTACAACCAGTCCACCATCATTTTGGATCAGAATTACTGTAAGTTGGGTCTGACGGGGAAGGGAGACTGGCGGTCTTTGGGTTCGAGGATGTTTGCCATTAAGAGATAAGGAGAAGGTGAGATAGATGCCTTTGTGGGATGGTTAAGTTGTTTCTGACGGGAGTTTTTTTTTGCGACAATCAGCATTTTATGGCTGTTGCCTACACATGGGGCAGCGGGTTGAAAAAATGGTGACTTTTGGTAGGTGCAATAATTATTTATTTTACCGGAGGGTAATGTAGACTTTTAAGAAGTGACTAGGGATGAAACAAAGCGATTATTTGAACTACAAGCAATTTTATAACATTTGGAACCGGAAACTATAAAGTCTGATCTTCGAGAATCCTAAATAAATATGTGGCTCGTACCCATTGTACCCTCTCTTGTACTAGCCGGTTCCTTTATCCGCCCCGACAATAACCAATAAAGATCCCATATTTAGCCCCACCACATCCGGAAATAGCAAACACGGCCCGCGCTCAAGGTTTATATTCGAATAGTCATCGGTTTTTGTGCAGGTACCTCATTCGATTCCATGAAGAGGTCTTAAAGGAAGACCTCGGGCGGCTAGCGATGCGATGGCCCCGCTGAATCACGTCTATTTATTCAAGGGCGCGTGAACTGATCCGAGAGGCTTAAGGAGACCCAAGAAACATTCCAGAAATGGGAATAAAACGGGAAAAAGCAAGCGCGGCCATAACCCCGTCGCTGTGCGGGGACCGTAAGGGTTATGCAAGCGGGCCCTTTGATCGGACGGTTATGGGTTTGCGACCGTAATAGAACCGGAATAATTTTTATGGGATTTCTTTGACCTTTAGTTTTATCCATCGTCTGGGATGCTGGTTAATATTTAGAATCGATTTTATCACCTCGACATGAAATGATCAAACTTTAATTGTCATCAAATCAGCGTCATAATTGATCTATTTGCAGGTATGGAGCCCACTTACACCTCCGTTCCGATTGTCCAGCCCCAAATTAAACTCGATCCCTACACCTACACCGAATATTATTGTCCCATGGAGTTCTACGCGGATTACCAGCCCAATTATGCGACCATGCCGGAGCCGCTTCTCCAGCCCGTGTACCCTCACATTCAGGCTGTTTCCGAGCCCATTCCTACCAGTTCTCTTACAACCGCAACTTTCACAAAGCTCTCGACAGGGTCTGAATTCAGCTCCAGTTCAACTTCTCCCACCAATTTCTCGGTTCTGAGCTCTTCCCCGGGCTGTTCTTCTTCTCCCTCTTCCAGTTCAAGTAACAGTAATGCCGCGATGAATGTCCAACTGCCTCCCGAGATCTGTGCCAAAGTTTTCTGTCCGCCCAGCGCTGTTAATCCAAACGGTCATCATCGAATGCCCCGGAGGAATAAAGTCGAGCTGCAGGAGAAGAGGAACCACAAGTGCAATGTTCCGGGTAAGCTTTGCCAGATTTAACACTTTGTATTGTGTTGATCGAGGGCCTCCATACTGTCTCCTTTTTTTATATTTACTCTCGGCTTAGCGATGGCGTAATATTTCATGGATATAAAGTTACTTGTTGTCCCTCGCTCCGAGAGTGTAAATACGACGATCAGGATTAACTTGTGTTGTTTTAGGCTGTACCAAAGTTTACACCAAGAGCTCGCATCTCAAGGCACATCAACGGATCCACACAGGTGTGTTTTATCGTAACTTTATACCTTTACATTACTTTAGACAACAGGTTTTCTCAAAAATTTGAGATTATTCGTATAATATAGATGGATTACCCCGATTCTTGACCTTAAATAGCTTGGGCGGAAGTGTTTTGTCGACAGATCCCCTCTTGAAGTAGCCTCCCAAACATTTAGGTCTTTAAAAGGTTCATTTACAACGATCTTATTCGAGTGCCGTCAAAAGGAATGCGCGCGCGAAATAGCCGTGTCCTCCGCTCTTGGGTAAATATTACGGTAAAAGAGACATCAAAAGCCGACCAAATATCCACCCGGTATTTACCGCCGTTTTTATTGCTCTTCGAGAATTGGCGGCGAACAAAAGTTGCGGTTTGAACTGTTGTTTTGGGGGGTCGGGGATCTGCTCGGGGTTACTGTAACATCATCGCGAATTTATCGAAAGATGACTTGAAGGAAAAATTATGTTACGCTAAACATACAAGACGTTATTCTTCGTTTTATATATTTACATGGCATAACTTCAAACTGAACTAACTCGATATTTCTTTAGGCGAGAAACCGTACAACTGTTTGTGGCCCAACTGTAATTGGCGGTTCGCCCGAAGTGATGAACTGACCCGGCATCTCCGAAAACATACCGGAGCCAAGCCCTTCCGCTGCCAGAACTGCGCACGTTGTTTCGCGAGATCCGATCATCTTCAATTACATATGAAACGACATGAACCAAAGACCGGAAGACAGTCCTGGTAAATGAGTACCTCAAGAATTATATTACCTGTTACGTCGACTTCTGAAAACATTTCATGGTCGGTATGACTTCTGAAGACATATCAAAATTATGGTGATATATATGTACAACCTCGAGGATTGATTATATGAAAAAACCGCAACTGAACCAATGAACTCCTAGTTAAGATGCTATTTTAATAAAAAAAATGTAAAGTTACAATAAATTATACCAGGTGTGAAAATCGGCCGATTATAGCAAACGATAAACGAAGTAGAAATCTCTGCTCTCACATTCGATATGACAGCAGGTTAGAATGCAGGGTTAGTTCGGAGATAACAAGGGAGATTTACAAGAAACGGAGGGCGGGTTACTGTACAGGGAAGAGTTGTCCCATTGTTCTGTACCACAAAGGCTCCGTTACGTAGTCTCGAGGGGGTGGCACGGCTCTGAGGTGGGTTAGTTGACCAGGTTTTTGAATGGATTCGGTCTCTTCATAATATACACAGTTGATTGGATGAACGTAGCCTGGGGCAAGGACGTCACAGAAGGCGGTCCCGGGTTCGAGGGCAGTCACTTCATGGATATTTCCTTGTATTGGATCAAGAAAGACAACGGAGTCGGGGTCATCTGACTTTGAAACACCAACTTCTTGTTCACCTATAACATTAACGTCATGGATACTGTAAACAGTATCACAAATCCTTATCAAGATAATAATTTCTTACCTTCAAACCTCGCCGAGACCAGATTCCTCTCCTTTTTATTTTCATCTTGTACAAAGGAGAAGGATCTTATCCTCAACGATCCCCTCAAAACTCTGATGAATCCAAAGCTATGTTGATGGTCGTGCAAGGGGATCTTCCCGCCTTCATGCTTCATTCCAAAGACCACACATGACATTGTGGAGTCCTCATAGACATCAGCGCCATATAATTTCCCGTAAAGCTCGTACCTTTCCGGCGACGGATGAGGTAATCGGATTTCCAGGGAATCTGTGGAAATAGTCGATACTAGTCGCCGTATCTCAGTAACCACATCCGCATCGTACTTGTGTTTCAGAGAGGAGCAGAGCTGTGAGATTGCTTGGAGAGTAAGACGGAGGGTTCGACGGTCAGCCATCATCCTACCGAGATCTTGGTTATCTCATATATCCAGTAGCTGAAGGACAATATAAATTTATAAAAAACGTCCATTTTGCTGTAATATCATCTTCAAAGTAATTATAGGACCACAACCGTTCTTCAAACATTCTTTCACAAAAATACTTAGCATTTATTATATTATACTTTAAGACTTCTGATACCCATATAATTACATGCAAAAATAATAAAAAACTGATTGATATGAAGAAAAGGCTGAGGTATGAAAAAATTTGCGACCTAGACCAGGGAATTCAATTTTTCATCAAATCCAAATCGGATATCCGACGATTTGGCTGGTCGAAAGGTGCTCCATTTCATTTGTGGGCAATTCGTTGAGCATTTCTCTGTTACATTATACGTGAAATCAATTAATCTGTGATATGTAGGGTTGATTTCTTTTGGCAAGACGGCAAATGGGAATTGTAGGAGGGCTTCTTTTGTCACCGGATGTTTCAAAACAAAGGTTAAGACGCCAGATTTGGCGCCAATTTCCTGGAGATCAAGCTTAACATGCTGCTTGAAGTTGATAGAGTTGTAGGAATCAACAGAATTGAAATGAAGAAGATTATGTTCAGAGTTGAGGACTTCAATTAGGACCTTGGGGCTTGTTCTTTTCTTCTTTTTATCCTTCTCTTCACTTTCACTTAATTTTACCCAAAGCCATTGGAATGTAACCGATGAGTCCTAAAGTAATATACATTTTAACCTTCACACTCCTCATACAAGTCAAGTTTTCTTCGAATTATACCTACCTCTGTAATCAATGTCAAGTCATCTCTGAATATTTCTTCCTTCAAATCCAGCTGATTTCCCATCTCAATCATCTTCAGTTCATATCCGTTTACAATCTTTTTCTCTGCCAGACGGATTCTTTTCTTCAGTCTGGCTACCTTGAACTCTTGGATTTCCCCACAACTATCCTCAATTTTGAAGATTTCGTAAGTCTCTTTATCATCAAACGACAAGAACATGTTGATCTCGAGGAGTTTGGAGAAATCACAGTCGCCTTGGATCACCCTTGAGGACAAAACTTGAGCCAGATTCGTGAGATCTGGGAGGGTTTTCGGATCTAAAAAATTATCTATTATTTTAGGTACCAGAAAACTAAAAAAAAAATCAAAAAAATACCGTCATATCGTCTATCATAGAGACTGACCCATCCATCATGAACCCCCTCATATTCATTTAGCCGATGCTTTTCGAATCTGAACACATTATTTTCCGCTTCTTGAATCGTGACGGGATCCACCATCCAATCGAATTTCCGGGCGAAATAATTGGTTTTATTCTTCAGCCTCTCCACAAATAATTTGTTTTCCTCCGCGAGAATGGTAACTGGACTGCAGCCACACCAATCCACAACATGTTTCAGGCCTTCACATCTACAACCTTGATCCCTCTTCCAATTGGTGAGACGAAGATTCTTGTATAAGACTTTGTCGCAGAATCCGGTGTTCAAAGCGAGCTAAAACAAATAAATAGAACATAAATTACATAATTATATCATGGATAATATAACACTGCTTTCAAAATACACTTACAGTATGAAAGAAACCCTCCAAAGGCAAGAGAATGGTCTTGAAGAACTTTCTGAGATCCTTGCAGACCTTTTCTTCAGATATCGAATAAATGGCCAGATCCCGATGAATAATAACCCAGTCCGATCCTCCATCAACCCGTAAGTTTTGCGGATAATTATTTCTAAAATACGAAATACCGACCCATATATGCAATATACCTTTGTCCGACCCTCCACATTCTCTCCTCGCATTCGAAGAAATGGTAATTATATCCTTGCTTCTTCAAAAAAGTTCCAGTATTATATCCATGGGCACTGATGAAGCTCTTCCCTTTGTTTCTATAGACAACAATCATTTTTATCACTTTGTACTTACTCTGTTAGGACAGCTTCCAACTCCTGAATACTCAAAATGGGATAATCGCATTCACTCAAATTGAAGATGTAATCCCAATCCTCAAATCCTTTCAAAACACCCTCCAAAGTAGTTCGAACAATGTGAAGGAACATGTCGAGTAACGAAGTCCCTCCCCAAATGGTAATAAAACGGTCGGTGACTACTCGGAAGTTGGTTTGGCCTGACCTCTCCAATATTTTTTGAATCTCCAACATCTCTAAAACAATAACAATACAAAATTCTGAAATTAGTTACCATAATGCATCAATTTTTGTCTGGCATCAACATGGACTAGATAAAGATGTCGTGGATTGTATATCGCCTTCAGAAGTCGTTTGATTTGTCTGACATTTCGACCATTCAATTGGAGTAAAAACAAGATTTTCACGTCTCTCTTGGACTTCTCTGGATCAACGTAAACCGGATATTCTCTGTTGTGATCTAAAAACAAATCATAAAACATAATTTACAATTGGATCTTGGATTTAATTATGTTATTCATGACACTCACGGGTTAATCCAGTGTTATACAGGGCAATGGCATTAAATCCACCGCAGAATTTGGTCTCATCGCCAGGACATTTCATTTCCTCGCATACTGAGGCGTTCTGAAGGGGAGATAGATCCGTCAAATCTTTTTCATGACCGCAAAAACATTCATAACCATATTCGACACCTAAAAATAAAGAACATAGTGAAACACACTTACCGCTTAACGTAGCACCAATTCGAAAACAAAACTGAGCACATTGGTTCGGACTGTTGGTCGCTTTGAGATCGTATTTGAAGAATTTCAATGTCCTGGAAGCCGTGGAGTCTCTGTAACAGCCTCGATATTGATATTGGATTTTAGGTAGATAAATAGAGCAAGTGTTATTGACAGTCCGAACTGGCCATCCCACCGGATCCATATCACACAAGTGATCTTCGAGCTTCTTCTTACATTCTGTGGTCTTCATTCTTTTGAAAACATCCAAAGCGGAGTCCGAAAATTCGCATCTTGGTCCGAACTCGTATTCTTCCTCCGTAGCACTGTTCCTATTAACATTCTGAGATTCAAACGCTTGTTTTATGAGCTGATACGGTGATGAATACCCCTGAAGCAAGGATTCTAATCAAATTTCTATCTTTTTCGTCAAGTACAATATAGGGAAACAAACTAAAACCTCAAAAATAAAAAACAGACAAGGTACCTGATCTTTTTTCGATAATAACTGGAGGGCACAGTAGATGTTAACGCAGAATAATAAGACAAGAATGCCCAATATGAGTTTCCACTGCCTGCGAAACCACCTTGAACAGAGCCGATCTACGATTTCCTCGGAATCCCGCATCTATCTAAACCCGAGCAAATTTTATTTTCACTGGCAGCCTTACCAACAAAAAACTGTTCGATCGCCAGTTTTAAATTCAATTTGGGAACAGCTGAAACGACAAAAAATCGCCTGAAGGCACGCCCTGAGACACGGAGCGGAAAGCGGGGGATTACACAGCAAAAATAACGAGTATAACAACATAGACAGTGGCTTGTATCAGACCTAAATTCAGACTTGAATAAGCTCTTTCACCCATTTTTATTCGCAGAGTTCAGATTCACCATCAAAAGGGAGACAGAGTTGACCCGAGAAAAACGGGTCAAGTGTTCCGCTCTATCGAGAACGGGCTCGGAGTGATAAAACGACGAGAGAAACATGACTTTGCGAGTAATGAGGACCAAACTCCTAATAGGTCCAAATGCCGATCGTAATAGATATTTTTTTTATCATGCTTTGGGTCCTAAAAACAGAATAAAATGCAAGAAATCAAATCCCCCGGATAGTAGTACAACATTTATATCTCGAACTCAAAGAGAAATCACTTTCGTCCGGCGTAGGTCTTCTGGTAGACGGTGGGCTTCTTGTAGACGATCTTCTTCTTGCCGCCGGCGCTCTCTTTCACGGCAGCCGGAGCGGGAGCGGGGGCTGGTGGAGGTGGAGGTGGTGGGGGTGGAGGTGGTGCCACCGGAGCCGGGGTGGGAGATTGAGCCTTCTTGTCGCCGAAGTAGTCGTTGTCGTCAATGTCGATGTCGAGGTCGGTCGCTTTCTTGGCGCCTCCACTCGTCGCTTCGACGGGGACGTAGGCCGATTTGTCCGCCATGGAAGGTACGGCAGTGCTGAGTGTACCGGTCGGGAGATAAGCGGATGATGGTCAGGGGCACAATCCAGATTCTCGCGAAAACGTTCAACTAGAAGCCGACCGGACCGCGACGTTGCTTTTATACCAAAGCAATTCTTTTCAAACATTTTATGCAAATTTTAAAATCCCAAGTGCCTTTTTGAAAATGTTCATTTTCGAATAAATTATCTAATTTTGGATTCAATTTCCTCCACAGAAGTTTATACAGTCGCGGAATGAGGCGAAGTTGTTGTAATTGCCTCGGGCTCCGTAGTAAGAGAATCGCCAGCAACTTTGGATCTCATCGCTCCAGGCAAAACGCGGTTTATCCTCGATTCCATCAGCGAAAGTGCCAGTGTCGTCGCGTAGGGAGCAAACATAGTCTAAAAGTGATTTTTACTTGATTTACAATATTATTTTACCCTTCGTTGGACAACAGAAGCCATTTTTGCATTTGTGACCCTCAGGGCATGAAGATTTTCCGACTCGGCACTCCTCAATTTTTCCGTCTGGGATTAGATGGGTTGCACCACATTTTTCAGCTAAATTATTTGATTATTTTGTGCGTATTACATAGTATACTGTAAAATCATCAAGATTACTGTAACTCACCGTGAACCCACTGAGCGTGTCCCGTGCTTTTAGGCTTAGTAGTGATCCCACTGCTTCCTGATTTAGCCACTTTGTCCTTTCCACAGCTTGATTTACAGAGTTTTGATGACTCAAAGTTATTCCCATTACCTCCACAGCCGAGATAATTAAAAGGCTGACAAACTCCCATTCTGGTGTCATAGTAGAACCTCCTTTCGGCTGATCCCTCTTCACAGGGATGTCCTGGATCTTTGGTTAGGATGCAATCTGAAGTCATCGATCAAATGAAACGATGTAAAGTGTCGGGGGTTCGAATTTGATGGATTCCCTTTGATAAATTACAATAGAAACTGGCGGATCAAGTAAGAAACCAAAAGCAAACTTTTCCTAGAATCCATTAGATTGTATTTACCGAAATAAACGTTTTTTTTAATATAATGTTTAAACTTTATTCCCTTTTTATATTACCCTTGGACTATGAATAATGTATTATAATTAATAAAAAAGAGTTGGAAAGTGATATACATTAAAGGTAAATTCGTTGAAAATGATGATTGCTCACCTTGTGCGTTATAACGAACAATAATAACAAGGCAGAAAATAGTTAGAAAATTGAGTGACGGCATGGTGAAGTTCTCTGATACGAAGGAGAAGGTCTGCCCTCTGTTCGCGCTTTTTATTCGCCTGCCTTCTTTAAAATAAACCGGTCAAAGTCAAAATTTAATGGTAAGGTTTTTATGTACACAAGAGGTGACAGTCTTGGAAGCGTTTAAAGTTGTTAAAGTTCCCTTCCGAGCCGAAATAACTGAATTTTATGCAATTCCCGAGGCCGGAGTCGAAGCCAAAGCGACCGGAATGAGTGAAGTCGACCAGTTCTTTGCCGGATTCAATGGGTTGGGAGCAAATATGCGCTGAAATAGTCAATTATTTACTTATTTTTTATTAATTTTATCATGTTAGTGGGCGGAGATTAAAGTTTTTGAAAGATTATGAAACATTCTCCCCGGGAGAGTGTTTGTATGTGCATATTTAATCTTCAAACAAGATCCGAAGAATAAACTTTGCTTAATTCACTCAGCGAGATCAAAAATATTTCATCAAACCGGAGCTTATATTAGACTAGGCATTTAAATTTTTTTATGTTACCCAAAAATTTTTAGAATAAAAAATATTATTGATGTTCATAGTTCTGTCTTACCTTTTGTAGGACAGCAAGTCCCACTGAGGCATTCAAATCCATCCCCACACTTGTTTCCCTCACATTTTTCCAATTTTGATGACAAATTCGGAGCGACTTTTAGATGGCACAAGTCCTCGTAATCTTCTGAAATACGATTTTTTTTGAATCTTCAGGAAGAAAAATGTGTATTAAATTCATTACAATGACATTTGAATACGTGACGAAACCAGCAAATTACTAGTACTTACCTGCGCAGAATACCTGAGAAATTGAAAAAATAAAAATGATTGAAACGAGTGGTCGGATCATGTCTTCACGTTGATTAAAACCTCACGCCAACTGGTTTCTTCCTCCTCTGGGGGAGTTCCATTTATTCGAAGACTAAGATTGATCAGAGAAAAGGTGAAGAGTGTAGTTTTGAGGCCTGTAAACACCTTCAAGAAGAGGATAATTTGTTTCGACTCGATTGCATTGTCATTTCCAATACTCGTTTTGACTCAAAAGTACAGTCATCTTGCCTTTCGGTATGCACAATATTTATTATAAATATCTACACAATCGCCTGAGCGAACCCGATTCTTTTGTTACCGTAATCATAGACCTGACAGTACTCGCGGATAAATGGATCGCCGAGGATCCATTTGGGTGTAAGGTCACCTTTCCCGGCTGAATAAGTGAAGATTGCAAGTTCACAGAGCCCATCGCCAACTATCAATTCGTTCGAAGCGATCGGATAATCGATGCCATTGATCTTGAGGATAAGGTCCGGGAAAGTGGCGTCGCAATCGATTAGATAGGCGTCGTAATCAGAGGAGTAATTGGCCCCAGCCTCTTTGGCGATCTTGGCTGCAACTCGAGATGGAACTCCGAGGAAAGAAGTACCCGTATCGGAGATTACCTGAAGGGAAAAATGATGACTTTAGAAGGGGTGAATAATACATATTTGCAAGGGCAATTTCTCACAGTAAAGAGAATTGATTTTGATGAGACCTGGCACAAGTTAACTGTGGTCTGTATAGAGCTCATAGGAGAGATTTAAAAATTTCTCTCATTGAATTGTGAGCTATGAAATTTTTTCTAAAATCTACGTAATATGTATGACAATATGTCCATTCTCACCTCCCATCCATAATCTCGGCTAAAGTTTCCAATCCTGACCTCGTCCAGCCTGAACTGCCAATACGCAGCTCGAGTCAAATTGACGTAATTGATCTCATCAGCACAATGCTCAGTATCAATTCCCCCATACGTAAAGGCCCCTCCTGCCGATGAATTGGAACTTTCCCCGGCCAACCAAACACTGAATAATGATTGGTTGAGAAGATTCTGATTAATCGCGTTGACTAATGGAGGGATTGCGTTGTTCACGGCCAAGGCTTGGAAGGCCAAACCAAGGATCCCGTCGATTGGCTGATTGGCAAAGACTTGGGCCATATGGGTGGCTTGGCCGAAGGTGGTGTGCGGGATCGAGAGGGTGGAATTGTTGGCGTTGATGAACTGAAAGCAGTATTTACTCTATAATCTTTTTCATTTATTTCATATTTTAGATTAGGAACTACTACGTCAACATGTTTAATCCATCCCTGTTTTTGTATAATATCTACATCTAAACTACCCAACTATATCACATAAAACAATGTTAGAAATCCGTAAAGTTTACTGTAATAAATCGCGAACAAGAACCTTCTGTTTTTGTTCTAAACTCGTCATAATGATGATCTGTTAAACAATTTTTCGATGACGAATACGTCATTTGATCCTTTAAATCTCTGGCTTGTGTCTAATCAACTTACTGCAACTGTATCTGTCCCAAAGAATCCACTGCTACTCCCGCTGCCGTAATAAATGGCAAAAGAAGTGTTTGTGGCGACATAAGTGGAGGAGGCCGTGCTATTGAACTTGTTCTTGGTATCACAAGCATTGGCTGTGGAGGTAGATCTCTTGATCCGATCAAATAAAGGGAACAGAGGGAGCTTGTCTTTGATGTTATTCACAAATGAATTTAAGGTTGAAGTCACCTTAGCTTGGGTGGTTGTAGTACAACAGGTGTGATCACAGAGATATTGACATAGATCTGTAAATTATTTTTAGAAAAAATGATGACAATTCGATTAGAAAAAAGTCATTGGAACATCCGCAAAATTGTCATTAAGCTTGGCAAAAAAGACTAGAAACGAATGTTTTATATTAAAATTCAAAAAAGTTGAAGTTCAATAAAGTTCTACCAACTTTTTTACCAAACGTGCACTCAAAAAATTTATATCAACTTGCGCTTCGAAAAATGCCTCATAAAAAATAAGACAAACCTTTTTTTTAATCATAGGTAAATTAAAAACTGACTCGGCTTGACATTACACTCATCCGGACAAGTGGTAGTGCTCGTTGTCTGGCCACAATTGTAATCTGGCACCCAGAGGTTGGCCGAGCCCGTGTCTAAGACCACTCGGAACACTTGAGGGGGACTTCCGATTGTAATCTAAATCACCAAATTTCTATTCAACAGGCTCCGTATCATTATTGCTATTAAAACGGGCTTACATTCCCAATATACTCAACATCATCGTAGTTATTCACCGAATGCACAAAGTTGCCGTGAGCTGCATCCGATGAAATGGAGGCAAAGCTGAGATAGGACTGTCTCTCCAGCTTCTTCTTTAACCTTTTGTAATCTTTCCATTCTCCTGCAAACAGAACATTACAATTACAAATGAAAAGATGGCTCGGGAAGACGTTTGAAACGTGGGAAAAAACTTTCAAACGGGGTTTAAAAATAATTTCAAAAATTTTTTCATATTGTGTACATTTACAATTGAACAAAATTTTTATAATTTTGCCTACAAAATTGATGATTTCAGAGGGCAAAATAGCCAAAGAATGTTTTACTTTTTTTTCAGATTCAGATTAAAATCTGCCACTATTTACTAATTCCTTACCAGATCTTTGCAATTTCCTCCTTCTGCTTTCCATTTTGTTGAGGGGAATCCTCCTCAGGCCAGGCGGAGGTTCGGGCCCATCCATTTGATGATATTCCAGCACAGATTGTTGGCCATTTCCCTGTCCAAACTGTGCCCAAACCAGCAAGCCCAATAGCCAGAGGCCCGGGTTCATGGTGCTTTCAGTCACGCCGAATGAATCCCTCATCAAAAAGCCCGACAAATCGCGGTTGATCCGTTTATTCGAAACGATTATGGTCGCGCGTTCTCTGTTCACGTTCTTGTTTGTTTCGCGACACGTTTTCGAAACTTTTTGGAGAAGTAAGCTGCGACCAAACAATGTCCTCTTTTGGATGATGTAGACGTTTTTGGGGGGAGCGTGGGCGGATTAAACATCCCGGTGTAGTTGTAGTTTTATTCGTTATAGCATTTTTAGGGTTCACTGATCAAGAAAACGTCATTTTTAGTACTAATCATTTTGCTTATAAGATTTGTTTAGAGCTAAATATCCAAGATTTTGATAAAACTTGGCAAAATAAAGATTAAAATTGGTCATAGCTGGCTATTTCAGAAAGTGTTGAAGTTGTTCTGTCGGAAAAAATCAAAGAATTTATGATGCGACTAGCCTAAACAACAAGATTTTCTACCGATTTTCCACCAATTTTTTCGATGAATAATTGCCATTCGGTTTTAAACCTGAATAAAATCAAAAAATATATTCTTCCACCAAGAAGTCGTAAATATTTAGTCTAAAAAAGTGTTTTCTCTGACCGTCTCTCTTCATTTTCCATGATATCTCACTTCAAACTTATTCTTTTCCCTATTTACGAACAACTCTGTTTACTATTATACCTATTCGTATACAACTCTTCGATCAAAGACGCAGCCATATGTTTGTCTACCGCTCCATTCAAGACGTTTCTGCGTGTTTATGGCCCATAACTCCTCCACTTTAGCGGTTACGGCTTTGTTTTCGTTCGATTTGTCATCCTTTCCAATTTGTTGAAAATAAATTGAAATTTCTTTCCGTTAATGGGTCCCCCAACATTTCGAATCATGAAAAAAGTTGTTCCGTTCACTGAAAGAGTGTTGAGTCAGAGCAAAAAGCGAAGAAAAAGGGTTCCGATCTGCATTTGTTTGTGGTAAAACTCTCTTTTTTGTTGTTGTTTATTTTTTCCATGTTTGGCTTCTCTTCTCCAATCCAATTTGGCCCTTTTTTGGACATATCGGATATGAAGAAGAGGGCAAAAAGAGAACACCCGAGCTTTAAATGGTTTAGGGTTTGCGGAATGTTGATGTCTTCGACCTTCGGGATTTGAATATGCGGGTTTATTCGCGCTTTTTGATCGGGGTTTCGCTTCAAATTTCATGGAGCAGATCGCCATTATCTCTTTGATCGTTTTATATCCGAAAAATTGCAAAATTTTATATTGTTTTAAACAGCGAGACTCCTTTTTAACTTAGAAAGTTTTTTAGTATCCATTTTGTGAAATTTCTGTTATCTTTCCCCCCCTAAAGCACGCCGAAATAAGTCTAAAGATTAAGTGTTGCACCTTATAGACTTCTGCCGTATGTTCCGCGTCACCCCTTCTCCCTTTTCTTTACGTTATCCATGTTATTTGAAGGCTTTAACTCCTAGGAATCGTCCGTATTCCCTCTTCAAGATGCCTCATATATTCGATAAACATATAGCCATTACTCCTTACCATCCGGACCTTGTTCTGAATGGAATTAAAGCCGTAAAAGAGTAAGTGAGACATCGTTTCGTTAAGTTCTCTTACAGTCTCTCAGAATACACGCTGAAGAAGTTGCCTTGGCCGCACGAAAAGGGCCATAGAAAGCCGGCAGGGGGAGATGGAGGGGAGATTGTGGCCGAGACCATCAACGTTGTTTGGCAGGACAATCAACTCGTATTCCCGTTGTCTGATGTGGTAAGTTTTCGCTGTTTTTCAGAGTAGTTGTTTTATTAGCTTTTTCTTGTCATCGTAAAAAATTTGACATTTGACGGTCGATTTTACTCAAGTGTGACACTTGTTCCATAGGATCCGTGGAGCAAATGGTAAAAATTTCAACTCTTGCTTTGCAAGAGCAGACGGGGGATATGTGATGGTCTTCGGAGGCGAGAGACCATGGGAGTCGAGGAGGGCGGTTAAAAAACTGTTTTGTCTATAATATCCCTTGCCATTCTTGTTTTTTTTCAAAATATTTTCTTTTCCGAAATTTATGTACCACCAGCAGAAACAACAATTATCTAGCTCAATAATCCACTTACTTCCTATGGAGATTCCCATTATTTATTTCTTCGCTCATTAATTTTATTTTCTATAGCCTCAGGCATTGGCCACAAGAGGGAGAGACCATTCAATTATCAAATACCACGGCCTCTTCCTTGCCCAGCTTGATGGAGAAGTTGCCTATCAACCATCCGAACAAAACGTCGACTTTTATTACATTTTAATTGAGAATGTTGACCATAAATGGAATGTGATCAGATTCGCGGCCGATCAGACGGCCATAGTGGATCCTTTTGTCAAACATTCCATGCCAATCCCCTCTCGATTCGGCCTCGAATACAACGCTGTTCATCGAGCAGTGAATGCGGTGGAGAAGTTTATCGTGGATTCGGATGAAGCGCCCGTTTTTAATATCATGAAAGTTGATCGGCAGACTCTTGTGGCCTCAGGCAGAGTTCCCCAAAAGTATATCAGTGCCGGCCATGAACACCACAGTCTCACCAAGAGTTTCTCCAAGAAATTACTGAGTTTGGAAGAGGCGAATAACGAGAATTTCGAGCCCTATGGACAGGTTATCAGCGATCCAGGGCACTTTGAAGAACCCACAGAAGTTCTGTGGCCAGGGACCTTGGCCAAAGAAGGATATGCGGGATTCTTGGAACAGGACTTCCAGATGAGCTGGGTGTCCAATGGGGAAGGGAATTTTGAACTCGTTTTCAAGGGTAAGTCCGGAAAGAATTGTTACAGTAACCCTAATCTTTGATAACTTTAGGACTCTCTGGAAGTTTTGCTGGTGACGAAGGAAAGCCTGGAGTTGAATACAGCCCTGAGCTCGGCATCTACAAAGCTAATGCAAGTTAATATTAACTTACGATCTAATTACAAACTGATTATTTTGTATTACACTCGAAGTTTTTATCATATTTTTTCAGTTACTACTAACTCGTCCAGACAGTAGCTTTTTCTTGAAAGCTGCCTCATCCGAGGCCGTCTTTGCCATGGTATTTGCCTTGCCAAAGGATGGAAAAGGTGATCCAGAAGAACATTCCCTCAGGGCTTTTGTTTTCAGCGGTGGTAAGTGCAAATTTCAGCTTTCTAAATTTAAAACCCCTGCGGCGTTTTAAGTTTTTTTTATCCCGGAAGCTCTTAAGAGCTTAGATCCTCTCCCTACAGGGGATTTCTTAATCCGAAGCTCATCTGAATGACATCAACTGTCATGTATAATATAAATTTTTGTCTGAAATAATATAATTTTCCTCCAGGCAGGGCTCTCCGCCTCCCTGCCAATATATGGCACTCCGTTCCCATTCCCTTGGCCAATCAGGAGTCGATTCTGTTGACCGAAGTCATCGCCGCGACCAACGCCAACCTGACCATTGATGTGGAAGCCGAGACCGGACACCCCATCCAGTTCACACAAGCCCTCTGAAAACCGAGATCACACCCAACTACTGCCATCTTTATGCCATAAATGAGATTAAATAAAGTTTTATTTACAAATCAGACGACTCCGAATGCACGGATCTTCTCCTTGAGCATCCTCCGGATTCTTTTGGGTGTAGCGCCCTGAAATAAAACGAGGTCAGAGGATGGGCGTTTCTTCGTATATCTGCAAGTTATCACAATCTTATGCTGCAGACGTTTCTCACGAAAAAAAACTTTGTAAAAAGTCGAAAGAAGACGTTGAAATTTGGAGAAAAGGCGTCGGTTTAGGGTTCAGTGAGCAGTTTAAACCGAGAAATTTTGGCGCTAAAAATAATGATATCCCTTCTAAGATGTTGTACTATCAACGTCCTTTTGTTTTTCACTCAAGTACCGGTTCTATGGTTTAAGCTACGATTATGATAAAGACAAAAATTGATCAAAATCAAAGCAGTCATCATGTATAATACAAAAAAATGAACTCACAAGTATCGTATCATATCTTCGGACTCTGTTTGACATCCCCGGGGATCTGAAGAGTCAAAAAGTCATAATGCTTTCACAGAATTCTATGATTTTCACACTTGAATCACCATTTTCACCTACCTCATAAAGTCATCATCCTTCTTTAATCTCGACCTGGCCTCAAGCCCACTGATCAGCAACACGAATAAAACCAAAATCGCCAACAACCTCATGGAAGCTCACCGTTTTCAGACTGTAGCGCCGCTTTGATGTAGAGTATGTTCACTTTCTCCGGAAGAAATTGCAAAAAAGAGCGGAAGAAGCCCGAAAGCGCCGTTTCAAGAGCGATCGGAGTAAGTGGAAGGTTCTCTTCTCTCCTCCCTCTTACAACCATATCAATCAATATTCTTCGACGAACTCGATTCCATTCGTCGGCCATTCCCGGGACCTCTCATTTCGAAAAACATTTGATGATATATGGAAATTTCAACGGAAAATATTGTCATATGACCTCTTTCCAAGAAGAACACGGCTCTTTCAAGACTTGACACTCTTAAGTCATCCAAATCTGCTGGTATTTTTGTGCATCATCGACCTTTTTACCTCTGGCCATACCTGAGTTTGGTCCCGACACAAAAAAAATCAAAATCTCTAAAATCTTGCGCAATCGTATCACCCCACTTCCAGTTTCCAATTTCGCGCAAACAGTGTGTTTGTTAATGCTATACACCCGGTAGAATTTGCTACGCACTCAATCAAAATGACGTCATAGAATGAAAGGTCGTATGGGATTGAACTAGAGCTAGTTTCAGGGTAAATAACAGTGATTCAGAGGAGTGTAACGCCATTATGAACGGGTCGACTCATGTGTACGTTGAATTGAGGCAATTGGAAATCAAATCGAAACCAATTAGTGGCCGATCACGCTTTGTTGACACTAATTATGTAGAAAGTCATTTATTTTGGCTAAAATCGTTACAAATCACGTCATCATAATAAATATCAATCTTATAGTCCAAAAATTAAAATTTTATTCTATCAAAAGTCTGCAAAAGGTATATTTTCTTAATTATAGACTGACCTCGTAAGGAAGTCGCAGTTAATTCGAGGCTATGACTTTTCCCTTTTTGCAGAGTCCGATACCTTCATGGATTCATGGATTCAACTCAAAAATATGAAAGGATACAATAAACCTGGATTCCAACGTAAATAGCGCAGTAAGTGGCGCTTATTTGTTACACAAATTTTTTGATCCCTTTAATCAGTAGATATGGTTGATGTAAAAACATGATGAAGGTGACAGAAAATAAAAACTAAAGAAGATGTCGCTCTTGGCTGCGTAGCTACGCGTAGTACGTTACGTTTTCCAAAAAGCTTTCATTTCCTCCAATCTGATACGGTAGTTTGCGGCTGTGATGGCCGAGAGTGCCAAACGGGATGTCCGAACAGCACTGGATATTGTCCAACTCTCAAAGGGTGACAAAATTGGACAATGGGAAATTATCAAGAAATTGGGCGAAGGTAGGCGAACTACCGTAATCTTATAGTAACTATATTTTTAATTTTCTTTGATTAGCCTGAACATGCCATTTTAGGAGGATTCGGAGCCGTTTATCTTGTCAAAAACTCCTCGGGAAATGAGTATGCCCTGAAGGCAGAGAAAGCGACCGAAACTGTAAAGGTCCTCAAAATGGAAGTTGTCGTGTTGGGAGAGCTGAAGAAGGCCAAAGCCAAACATTTCTGCGACATCTTGGACAGTGGGAATATCTGGAATTACAATTATGTCGTCATGACTCTGGTTGGACCATCTTTTCATGTCAGTTATACAAGATAATTTGAAAAATCATCTTTTTGATCCAAACATAATACATTCTTTTATCAAATTTTTTTTAGGACCTCCGAAAGCGCTATACGGATCCGGTAAAACAAAAGTTTTCCCTCGGTTGTGCCCTTTCCGTTGGAATAAAATGCATCGAAGCCATCGAGGAACTGCATTTGGTTGGATATTTACATCGAGATATTAAGCCGGGAAACTTTGCCATTGGCCTTACCGACTATCGAAAAGTTTTGATGTTGGATTTTGGAATGGCCAGAAGATATTTGGACCCAAATGGAGAAATTCGGAAACCAAGATGGGCTGCCGGCTTTCGGGGTACTGTGAGATACGCCCCATTGTCGTGTCATATCAGTAGAGAACAATGCAGAAAAGACGATCTGGAAACGTGGACTTATATGCAGGTAAATTATAATCCATTTTTTGGAGTATATTGCCTGCAGATTGAACTGACCAAGGGATATTTGCCATGGAAAAGAATCGAGAATCGAGAAGAAGTGGGAAGATATAAAGATAGATGTAGAAATGATGCTATCAAGGAGCTGTTTGGAGGATGTCCCAAGGAATACTTGCATATCTTGGATTACGTTGACAACCTTCGTTACTACGACGTCCCGGATTACAATAAAATACGAGGTTTTTTGAGGGATGCAATTACTTTAAATAAGGTCCAAGAATATCCTTACGATTGGGAAGAACAACTGGAAAAGGAAGCTAAAATGGAAAAAGAGAAATCTAAAGTTGAACTTGGATAAAAATAATGTCATCGTCAAATAAACTGTCTTCTTGATTTGTATGATTTTTTGAAGTTCTCAAAATTAACAAAACTTTGCATTTCGAGAATAAAACGAGAATATACGACGCAATTACTGAAATCGCACAATTAGAACTTCCAAAATGAGCCGTCTGAGTAACTATGACATTTGGCGATCACGATTTCACGCGCTAAAGAGTATCATCACGCGGCGCGAGTCGAACCCCGGACCTTTCGCGTGAAAGCCCAGACTCACTTCCACTGAACTAAACGCAAACGTTTCGGTCCTTCTCGCCGTTTTCCTTTTATTTTCCCTTTCTCTTCGTAGTTTTTTGCATCGAATGGAAAAATTACATTAAAGTGATTAGATAGAAGCGTTGTAAAAATACTTTATAGCGTCTATAAAGGCTTAGAATCATGTTTTTAGTTTAACAATTGATGTAGGAAACAAAGGGAATTTTAACTTTTTTTGAATATTTTTGGTGATTTTGGTTACTTTTCCTAATAAAAAAGGCCTTGTAAATAGTTTTATCACGCGTTGTTTATTTCAGCGACATCCCCGACCTTCACGAAATCCGCCTTCTTTTTGCATAATCTATGCTCTGTGAGTTCTATCCGAGCGTTTTATCGCGTTTATCTTCGCCTCTAGACCGTCTAAAACACCTGGGCTTACTCGTTTTCGTCGAGGGAAATGGAAAGTGCGCGAACATCCGAGGCTCACGAGGCTCTCTGAGTCACGATCAATGACCTTGTTCGAACTGATTTCTCAACAAACATTCAGCGACTGACATTGTCGTTGTTTTTCCATAAAAAATAAAAGAAAGCGAAGATTACTGATTGCTTTCGCTACTTTCGCTCGAGGTGGAACCTGCAACGACTAATTGCTGAAACTAACACGCTGTTCCAGGAGAGCCGGCGGCTTTCAGCAGATCATACCATTTGAATTGCGTATTTTCCGAACAATAATCATGTCGGGGAGGGATCTTCCTTTTTATTTCCCTTTTTTTCAAGATTCACAGGGCCTGCAGTGACCAGAAGGGCTTGTGATCGGTTTGTAATCCCTGTTTTGATCGCTTTACGTGCAAATATTCGGATTTCTTTTCTCTGATAACGTCAGTTTATTGGTCTTTACGGTTCTTATAATCCTTAAGATCTGAGCCCTTTACTCCCACTTTTTCAACCGCAGATCACTTTTTGTTTACTGTTAGGCCTTATAAATAATCACTCTTCACCTATACTATGTTTGTTTTATAATATACGTCCCGTTTTCGATCACTTTCTCCGTTCGATTCCTTGTCATGACGTCCATATTGATGTAATTAACGGGATTCACGAGGCTTCCCCTAACTCTTTGGCCCCTCCAAGACAGATGTCATTCTCAGACTGATAAGCTCCGTCCTTTGCCCTCTTTTTTTGAGTATTTCTTTGCGAAAGCAATCATGGGGGGACTAGAAGAACGTGAGGAAAATTATACGGGAACGTTTTGGGAAAGGAGAAGAACAAACTTTAAACCGAAAGGAGAGGACCGGGGATATCTGGAGGTGAGATGAAGTCTCTGCGAAGTAGGTGGAACGGGCAGTTTAGCTCAGAAAAGGGGAAAAGGGATTAAAAGTATATTGTAGTTGGTAAGAAGTACCTATGATTATATTGTGTAATTAGTTAGACGACTTGACTGAATTGTCGAGCACATAATTACGCAATAAGAAGGCGCATCTGGAGGCGTTATATTATACTAGACTAGATCTGATAAAAAACAAGCCTTTCTGTTCGGATCCCTCTCTTTCTGATTGTTTGATCTCTCTCAAGTCCCGGGTCGTCCTGCAGGTGTCTCCCAGCCCTCTACCCACCCATGTGAGATCTCCGAACGGCCGATCCCAAAAACTAGAAACGCGTGTTGTTATGCGGCGATGTTTACTTATTACACTTCCAAAAATGAGTCGGAACGAAGAGGGTACTGATAAGCGGGAAGGTCGGTTACGCCTCCGAACGACCCACGAATAAATACGAGCGAGGGAAGAGCTGGGGCTTCTTGATTGGTCTTGATGAATAAGGTCAAGTCTCATTGTTCACGAGGTTCATTGTTCGCGAGACAAACAATGGGAAACCCATCTGATTACCTAAAACCTTAATTTTGGAATGGAACAACTCTTTTAGTTGTTTACCCATTCCCCGTTATTTTAATTTAGCCAATCCAAAGATGTTATAGTAGACAGATGGCATTACTAATTTTTCTTCGCGCTGCCTAGTCTAACTTAGTCCATCTACTCCTAGTTTACCTAAGATCCGACAGAAATTTTGGGCTCTATGGAAATTGGCAATTTCCCAGCGAGCTGCAGCGCCCAATTTCGATGCACCCAATTTTCTGTTCCAGCCAAATATTCGCGCTTGATTGGGTTGGGTCGAGTTTTCTCTTTTCTGGTCAAGTCTTCCTCTTTTTTTGGCAATTCTAATTTCGTGGCCAGGGGTGGCAAACGGGCCTCTTTTTCCAAATTTCAGGCCCGGGGCCCGGCCCGGCAAAATCCCAGGCCCGGCCCGGTTCAAAATTTTGCAGGCCCGGCCCGGCCCGGCCCGGTAAAAGCCCGGTTAGGGCGCGAGCTGGAAATTTTCCTTTGATCTTACCGCCTCTGTAGTGTGCTAAAATCTGCTAAGAACTATCCTATATGTATTATATGTTCTAATTTGGACCTTATATTATAACATATATGCAAAAAAGTACTATAAAGTAATAAACTATTGTAGAACTTGATATACTAAAAATACAAACCTATCCAAAAATTTTTCCGGCGCGAAAACATTGAATGCCAAACGCTTGGCATTTCGACAAAACCGGGCCGGGCCTGAAAATGGCTCAGGCCCGCGGCCCGGCCCGGTAAAAAGCAGGCCCGGCCCGGCCCGTTTCAAAATTTGCCAGGCCCGGCCCGTTTAGGCCCGATCGGGCCGGGCTTCGCCGGGCCGGCCCGGCCCGGTGGCCACCCCTGTTCGTGGCCATCCGTGTCCATTTCTTGTTTATTCAAGTGACCCAGAGTCCAGTAGCTTCCCTTTTGAGCCACTTGACTTTCTGGATTTCGGTTACTTTCACTTCGGATTCGTTTTTTTCCTTCATCGCGGAAATTACCTTTGAAGGTCATCTGCGCGTTCTTTTGTTACCGATTCCATTGTTTCAGACTAAATACTAAAAACAGATGCGCTGGACAGTCAGTGTTGGTGGCGGTCCCAAGCGTGTAAATCATGCCGCCTGTGCCATTGGGACCAAAATCTATTCTTTCGGAGGGTATTGTTCGGGCGAAACACCGACCAGGACGGCTCCATTGGATGTTCACATGTTTGATACAGGTAGGGAACGTGTTTGCTGATTTTAATTTGGAGTTTAGAAACTATGAAATGGACCCGAGTGTTTGGAGAAGAGCCTGAAGTCAGATATTCTTCGAAAAGCCTTTCATCCGAGGTCTCAATCTTCGAAGATGAGGTCGATTGGGATACAGATATGTCCTATGAAGAGGATATGACGCAAGGAGACTATGATTGGCATTACAATCCTTTGCTCAACGATGGATTGGCTATTGTAGACGATAGTAATGACTTCCAAGATGTTCCCTTCATGAGGTAAGGACTTTCGGATATTGTGCTAGGCAGTTTCATCAAAATTGATTGAATTTTCTCCATTAAGATTGCTTCAGAGATGCGTTAAAATACTATTTGCATATTTTTAGATACGGTCACACTGCAGTTGCTTACAATGGAAAGGCATATATTTGGGGCGGCCGAAACGACGAATACGGTGCTTCCCAGCGATTATACGAATATGATCCAGGTAATTTATCATTTTTTATTGGCTTTCTCGATGCTCTCTAATAGCCCTTCATTATTTAAAATCAGTGGTTAGCCAGAAATTTCTCTTTTTTTTGTTTTTTGATCTCCTCTCCGGAGGCCATGTGACTGAGAATTATCGGGAAAATAAAAAAAATATTGACGGACTTTGGACCTCATTCTGATTAGCACTATAGGCCAGGTTAGGAAAGCGCCCTTATCACTTGATGACTGGCTTTTTATTCCTTGTGTCACGTTTCTTCCTAATTTTATTTGTTTTTGCTGAAATCAGATAAGAAGCACCGTGTTTGGGGTTCAAATTCCAATTGAATTAAAAGCATTGGACGTCTAAATTATGTTAATTCCAGAAAAGAACTCATGGCAATCAATTCCCCCTGCAAATGGTGCTCCGCCAGCCCGAGATGGCCACACCGCAGTCATTTATGGCCATGAAATGATCATTTTTGGAGGATTTGAAGAGGAAAACCAACGGTTCAGCCAAGAATGCTACTCGTACAACTTTGTAACGAGAGAATGGAAGCTAATCAAGACTACGAAAACCCCTCCACAGTATCGAGACTTCCATGCGGCCTGTATTTTCGAGGATAAGATGTACGTATTTGGGGGAAGATGCGACGAAAGAGGCCAATATCACAGCAATGCCGACTTTTACGACGATGTTTTGAGGTATTTGGACCTCAAAACTTTGGAATGGATTGAGCCAGTGGTCGAGGGGGATTTGCCTGAGGGTCGAAGATCGAATGCCATGTGGGTTCAGAATGGAATGTTGTATATGTTCGGAGGATACAACAGTAAATCGGATGAGCATTATGGAGATTTAAGAAGGTTTAATCCGAAGACCGGAGAGTGGAAAAGACTCTCGTTACCGGGTGATGGGCCCAGTGCAAGGAGGCGACAGTGCTCCGTGATGGTGGGAGAAAAGATGTATTTGTTTGGAGGAACGATGCCTCATCCCATCAAGAAGAATGGAGGGTTGTTGGATCTGGGAGATCTTTTCGTCCTGGATTATGGAAATGTTTTGACTTCGATTTGTCTTGATGTTTTGGACAAGAATGGGCTTCTTGAAATGGCCACCAGGGTCCTTCCTCAGTCTGTTCTGTAAGTTTATACTTTACTATTATAATTTTTATAGATTTTCTGATATTTATATTATCCATGCCATTTTCAGAGAGGACCTCCGTCCCAATCTTTATTGCCGCAACTTCCGATGGGTCTGCACGGGTTGATTACTTCCTCGGGGCCTTCAATACTTGTAGTTTTTCAGTAGTTCTGTATATTTTGTTATCATTATTTCATATTACACTTCCTCATCCTTTTTTCTATAGTATTACGCTTTCTTTTACGGGCATTCCAATATCGGGTTTACAATGTACAGTCAGAAAATGAATCACAAATCTCATTACGGGTCTAACTAAAATCATTTCAGTCTTTGCCACTCATTTGTTCATATATGAATAAATTTTTTCATCGATAATATTGGGTTTGATTATTGTGAAGAGTGTTTCAGCGCTGAGAGAAAAAAATATATTAATGAGGAGCAGCGAAAATTGATTTTGACGATACATTTGGATGTTTAATTCGTATTTACTTGATCAGTTGTTCATTGGATGTCGTTGAAATGGCTTTACGTCCCCACCGCATTGTCCATTCCCTTCATCTATGTGGGCTCCCTCTATGTACTGGATAAGGAACATCAGTTACACTCGGATCATCCATCCACGATCAGGAAACGATTCATTCGGGTGACCATCAGCACCTCGATTACGGTAGCCACAACTTACTTGGTTTTGTCTCAGGTATGGATAAAAAGAATGTAACATAATTTCTAGGAGTTTTATTCTCCACTAAGAACGATGGGGATTTATGTCAACGGGGATACTGCCAGTCTATGTGGTCAAAGTGTTCTATTGACAGCTACAGTGTACCTGGGAACATTTATTATGGATATTTTGGATGGATCTCTTACTTTACGAAGTGTTTTTGGTCAGTGAAATGATTTGAAAAGGCTTTGTTTGATTTTAAATTTATTATTGAGTCATATTTAGCCCTGGACGAGTGGATTGGCTGCTTCAAAGATCTGATCTGGCTCCGAAATAATATCATGGCCCCGATCACCGAAGAACTCGCCTTCCGAAGTTGTGCCGCCGTTCTGATTCGACATTCTCTCGGTGATAACCCCGCCATCTTCTTCAGCCCCCTTCTCTTTGCTCTCAGTCATTATCATCATCTCAAGAATGATATTCACCATGGTCAGAGTATAGCTAATGCTCTTGTTACTCGCTCTGTTCAGGCCTTATACACTTATCTTTTTGGTGTCTATGTCACTTTCTTATCTTTCAAATACGATCAAGTCCTGCCGATTATTTTAAGTCATGCTCTTTGCAATAATACGGGTCTTCCGAGGGTAACCGATATCGAATATTACCCTCAACGGCAACGGAAGTGGCTGGGACTAGCCCATCTAACTGGCCTGGGTCTTTTTGTTTATGGAATCTGTAGAATGACTAATTAGAATATTCATTTACACTTGATCTTAACATTGTGGTCGTACTTTTAGGTAGTCTAATATGTGATCTACGCAAAACCGCATTCTACTTATGCTTGTGACCAGACATATTGTTGATAACACATGAAATGCTGTTTCACGGAACGGGTGAATAAAGATAAGAGTCCTTTTTTGTCCACAACAAGCACTGTTTCTTGTTTTTCCCTACAAATGCACGGAGCCAGGTCCAAGTTCACGAATCGTCTCGAGAATGTTGTCGATGATCATTTATTTGGTTGTGTAATCATTAATAAGGAAGTGCAATTTCATCATGTGAGTGGGACGATGTTGGAAATTGAAATATGGTGATATTGTTTCAAGTATTATATTTTAGATGATGACAAAATAATTTAATGTTTTCCAATTTTTTTTGTTCTAGGATAACAAAAGGGTCCTTGTGAGATCCGATATCAAAAAAGTCATAGATAGAAAGGTGACTGTCGTGTGTGGCGGCGGATCTGGCCATGAACCCTTTGCTGCAGGTAAAACAATATAAGTTTTTAATCGAAATCAAATATTTTCAAAATAATATCGTCTTTAGGCTTTGTTGGTCCAAACGGCTTGACTTCAGCCGTCTCTGGCGATATTTATGCCTCGCCGTCAGCTCAGGAAATCACAGATGCTATTACAATTGGACTATCGACTAAAGGAACCATCGTTTTTTCGAATAATTATACGGGAGATCGATTAAATTTTGGAATGGCTATTGAAAACATTAGGAACTCGCACCCTCAGTACAAAATGAAGATGTTTTTCATCGATGATGATGTCTCTTTGGAACAAAAAAATGGATTTGAAACTGGTCATCGGGGATTGGCTGGGACTGTCTTGATCCTTCAGGCTGCTTCAGTTTGGGCAAAGAAAGGGATGGGATTTGAAGAGATTGTGGAGAATGTTGAGAAGATGATTTCTAGCCTTGGTAGGGCAAAATAATTATGGTCTTTTGATAATTTTTATTAACTTTGTTATGATGACTAACAAATCCTCTGTTATATTTTTTAATTTTCACTTATTTCTAGCTACTTTTGGGGTGAGTCTTTACCCATGCTCCCTGCCAGGCAAGGATTACATGTTCAAATTGCCAGAGGACGAGCTGGAACTTGGCCTTGGGATTCATGGGGAGCCGGGATTGGAACGAATGAAAATCACCACTGCCAAGAAAATTATTCAAAAATTAATGCCAAAATTGGTGTTTAGTCATAGATTGGGATTCAGAAAGGAAGACGACTTACCAGTGGTCATCCTATTAAATAATCTGGGTTCTGTCAGTCAATTGGAAATGAATATTTTGACCAAAGAAATATTAGATTGGACAGGTAGCAAGCGTAAAATAATATAAATATTATCCTAATTGCAGCTCTCAATACGAAACTCCGGGTCTCGGCCTTTTTTCGTGGCCCTGTGACCACCTCCATCGATGGTCATGGAGTGAGTATCAGCGTGCTGAAGCTCGCCCACCCCGCCTGGCTCCCGACTCTACTCACTTTCAGTCCCATCTCGAAGTTTTGGTCCGTGACCCCTCCCCGGTGAATGTTTGTTTTTACTGAGTAATTCGCTCGTCTTTTATAAAGACCGTAACTTTTGAAGACTAATAAATTTATGAGGGTTTCGGATCGTATTTGTATGCTTTTCTTTTGTGTCCTCAGGCATGTTTTGTCTAGAAATATTATCACTTTTCAAGACGTTCACATGGTTAATTCTCCCGGCTGCACTTTATCGGTAAGCTGATTTTTTGTTGGTTATATCTTTGTTATAGGGCGATGTTCTGGTGGAATGTGACGGAACCGAAAGAGAAGTGTCAGCTGAGGAGAAATTGGCATTAGATTATTACAAAGAGACCAGTAGGAAATGGCATGAAGATCTAGATAAACTGGTAAGGGGAATTTAATCTTATAATGCGACATTGGTCTTAAATCATGATATAAATAACAAAAATTAAATTCATAGATCAACTTTCAGCTCGCCCAATCGCTAAATCATGCTCCCAGGTTCGCCCTGCCGGACTATCCCCAATTCCCACCAATATGCAAATTATGTTAAACATGAAGTATCCATTCCCAACTACACATTCCACGAGTTTTGAAAAACATTTTTATTAATATTATAAATAAATTGACAATGTTTTTGTAATTAGTTGGAAACCGGTCGGCTCTTTCGTTTTTATGCCTGGGAATCTCTCGGTGTGAAGTACTCTCTCACCTGATCTCATCCTTTATGTCAAGTCCTGAGGAAGCGCAGAACGAAGGGAGTGCAGAGGTCTACAGCAGCTCCTACGAACATCGATATGCAAATTATATCGCGGGGATTACATCGGGTACGTTCTTTGGGAATAAGATTGTAAAATATGACTGAATAACCATGGTGTTTGAGGTCAAAGATTATGGAGATAGTCTTGTTATTAGGGTATTTACAAGTGTTCCCGATTGTAAACATGTTGCGCAATCCCTTAAAAGGTGTGTTTGATTGGAGATGGCAAGTACAATCAGAAAAACGTGACGAATCACAACTTTACAAGAATTATTTTAAGAAGTTTTGTTTCTGAGATCTGAAAACTCTAAAATACGAAATCCCCATCATTTTCTCGACCCCGTCAATGAGCGCGAAATCGCGTGGGAATGGATTAATTTCGACGCGAACTTCATAAATGTCGTGGAAAGAACGGGGATTCTTGACGAATCCCTTCTATTTTTACACCGACAACTGTCGCTCTGCAAAAAATCTCGACCTTCCCTCGCGTGCAGACGCTTGGTTTCGAAAGTGGAGGCTACCGTCGCGGGTAAATAGACGGGTTCAGATGATGATGTTGTTCTAGGAAAAGGCGAGAATTATGGTGACTAAAAACTTGAACGAATACCGCGGTCTTTGGTCTTAGGGCGAAGTTATTCCAGAAGTTAGACGATGAGGTCATGGAATCAGTAGTGTGGAAGAGGCGATTTGGCGGATGTTTTATGTTATGACATCAGAAATCGGAAGCGTTTCCGAAACTTTTTGGGAAATGACGTGCAGAGACGGTCAGGAGAACCCAGAGTTCTTCTGAAGCGAGAGAAACGGTCAGTCTATATCACACTGAAGGTCCAACCAGTTCATCGCGTACAATATCGGCCAATCCCGATCGCTCTCCTCCCTTGTCAGTCTGATGTCGAAACTTGAGTTCGCGGCCTTTCGTCGCCTCACAGGTCGCATGTTGACCGCGCTAGTCTCTGGTCTCAATCGCCGGAACGTCGGTGGAAGGCGGAAAACGGTTAAAACAAAATGAAAACATCACGGCGACGTAATCATTCTCCCCAATTGACCATATTCGAACAATATGACAAACGATTTATCAACTCGCGCACCGAGAATAAGGCTCATTCATCCACCTCCAGCCTTCTCCTTCTTCGTCGTCGTCGCCACCACTCCTTTTTCGTCGATGCAGAGACAGCGAGTGCGGCGCTCTCTTCTTCTCGCTGTTACAACGCCTGCTGCTTATAACGTGCCCGGTGATATGTTTATAGGGCCTCATGACCCTCTATAGATTGTCGGTTTCTACATTCATCTGAGCGTAACTGAGCAATGAGTCTCATCGACTTCATCGCCGGCTCCATTGGAGGTATGTGGGAGCGTTAGCGAGCTGCCGGGTTACTGTACGATCGTATTTTGGGAATTTACATCTTAATTATCAAAAATTAAAAAAAAAAAACCAAATATTATATATCCCAGAAATGTCGATCAAGACTTTTGATGGTCTACTAGAATAAAAATTACGCCATTTCAGGAGCGGCTGGAGTCCTGGCCGGCCATCCCTTGGACACAGTCAAAGTCAGACTCCAAACTCAGAAGACGGGTCAATTTCGAGGAACATGGCATTGTTTTACGCATATTCTAGCCAAAGATAAGGTCCGCGGACTGTATAAAGGTAAGGTTACGTCATTTTTTTACTTAAAATTTTTTTTTTCCTAAGTTATGGGTAAGTTAGAACGAAAAAAAAATTGAGGAATTCCGTCCATTTCTGCCAATCTATGATCTGTTTAACTGCGGGCAAGTTCATAGATGATTTCATAATTGCGCAGTACTTCTGTTTGAATGGTTTATGGTTTACAACCGCTGAGGGGGAGATACCTGTAAATATTACAGCATAACCGAGAACTCGAGGGACAAAAATAGAACTAACGTTGACCGAAATAAACTTACGAGAACATTTGAGCATACAACTTGTTATATTAAACATTAACACGGCTAGAATGTCTTCTACGTCAATCACACTGACTACGCGATATTTAAGGTATGTCCAGCCCTTTGTCATCGCTGACATTGGTTAACGCAATCGTCTTTGGAGTCCATGGAACCGTGGCCAAACAATTCTCAGATCATCAGGCCATCTTCACCCACTTTGTGGCCGGTTGTTCGGCGGGTATTGCGCAAGCCTTTGTCGCCGCTCCAACGGAGTTATTGAAGTTGAGGGTTCAAGTTCAAGACGGCCCGAGGCAATACAGGTCGCCTTATCATTGTCTGAGATGTATATTGAAGGAGAACCCATCTACTTTGACCAGGTGAGAGTTATTAATTTTTTGGCATTTAGGTCTAATGTTAGGGAAAATTGCTTGTCTTATGAGTCAAGTTTTCCTTTGAGATGTCATAGCTTAATTTTTAATCATAGTCAAATTGATTATATTCGTACTTTAGAGGAATCTGGATCACCCAACTCCGCGATTGTCCCGGATTAGGAATTTACTTTGCATCATACGAGTATCTGGCACGGAAAATGAGCAAGGACGGCACCATGGAAGCCCTAACGAGTCTCCAGCTGCTGATGGCCGGAGGTAAAGTTTACTGGGTCTGTATAATGTTTTCAAGGTCTGGCTGGCATGTTGTCCTGGTTGTTCAACTACCCCACTGACGTGATTAAGACGAGGTATCAGGCCGATGATTCGATTAAAACATACCGGGAGGTCATTCACAAGGCCTATGCCGAGAACGGGATCAGAACCTTCTTCTGTGGGTTCGGGTCGACATTATTGAGGTGAGATCTGTCCCAATCAATATATGTCTTCTTTAGGGCATTCCCCACAAACGCGGCGACCTTCTTCACCGTGGAATGGACGTATCGATTGTTGCTGGACTATGACCTGCTCGGTTACATCCAGCAGTTGTCGATGACGAACGGGAAGCGCCGGTATGTCTCTGTGTATGATCTCTGGCAACGGAATTCTTTCTTGCTCCCTGAAGCCGGCAGCACCTACATCGACCCGATGATCCATAGCTGTCGCTTTATCAACCACTGATGATCTGTTGCGCCCAAAGTTGTTGTTCAACCCCTCCCCGAATGATCTTCCCCTGCCCTAATTACGCACATTCGAATACGGACTGATATTTGTTAAGAAATGGGTATATTACACTTGCTAGTTTTTGTGTCTGTTCAATTTTTTTGGAAAGAGAGATGTCATCAATTTGTATCAATAGAATAGTTAGTTTTTTACATTACTTGTATGCTACGTTCTTGGTTTCATAGCTCATCGTCTTTTCATGGGTTAACCTTGATATATTTAGCTCTCTTAAACAAATATATCAACTACGAAGTGGTCTCGGATCGGATATTTATACTCGAAGACAAGGAATTCTCGCTAAACTTATTTTTAGAAAAAATCTGTGCGATTTGTTTTTCAATTATTAGCAATTTCAAGCCTTCGACTTCCAGCTAAACCTAAAGTACAACACAAAATTTGATGACATCTTCTTTCTCCCAAGATTTCACTAACTAATTAAAAAGATTAACTGATTAAACTTCTATTATTTGTGTCACGTCGGTTGAATAAAAAAGCCGTCAAGTGTTGGGCTGCTCCAGAAGACGGGCCGATCCGAGAGGATCGTCTTTTGTAAAGTTCTTTTTGTCAAATCCCCCGCAAGAAATTGGGCAAACATTCCGGGCGGGGATGGGCTCTCGAGAGTCGCGTGGAAGTGGAAGACGGGAAACGTGTGATGTTTTGAACCCCGCGCGACGAACATCAACTTGTACAATCTAATCCGAGAGTAGCGCGGCCGAACGCAATGGGGGACCCATATTACGAGGAATGGCATCGGCCGCACGAAGCGCGATTCCACAATTCCGTTTTTGACACGGTCTCCCGGCCTTTGTCCAGACAGTCGTCCAATCAGTAAGTCAGAGGACCAAGCCTTCTTCATTATTTAGCAGTTCGTTTCATTTCGGGAAGTCTGATTTTTTGCTAACATTAATCTCATAAACGTCTAGCTAGGTAGCTCCATTGGTCAAATCTCCAAGTTGAGGTTTATAGGGCATCTTTTGTACACTTATTGGACCATTAAATATGTCATCCATCAATTCTACCGGCTCATGTAAAATCTTCGGCAAATGCTTCCGTAATTCCCTCGTTTTACGTGGCATACAGTAGGAGAAATGTGGAAAGCAAGCTGTTTAGCAGCTTATGTGACAACCCTAACATTACGAGCACAATTATGTCCTCACACATGTTTCCGAGTAAATTGTACAGCTCCCTTCCCTAATACTGCCTTTCCCATCCCATGTTCTATTTTTGAATTATTCCCCGTCGTTTACTCAAGGTAGTCTTGTGTTGAACATTATCCTAGTTTTGTTGCTGTTCCCATTTGTTGTGACGAACAGGAAACCTGTGAATTTTTGCAAACCTTGGGAACATTAGACGCAAGAGCTTTGGAAATTATGGGAATAGAAATGAGTATATAAAAGGCCATTATATTGCTCATAAAGTACTTGCTCATTCAGAAGTCGAAATCAGAATCACGCGTTTGCTGATACGAAAATACCCTGGGATCATTACGGGAAGCGGCTGAGGATATATTTGACAAAACAAGAGATCGAACGAGGTGGAGATCTCTTCCAATTGGTCCTAAACAAGGCCCGAGAACAGATCCCCAACTTCCAAGGAGTTTTGGCCTATAATAATTACGGTGGAAGACAGGTAAGTAGATTATTGAACGAACCTGTTACCATCCCCAATTTTCGTAGACAACCCCCATTTGTAGATTATTCTATATAACGACGCCGATATTCGGCGAGCATTACACGAGATGGGGCAGAAGCTAAAGTTATACTCAACGGTGGTGCCAGACAAGGGATACATTGCTGCCGCGGATATTCGAGGAGGCCGATCTCAGTCCGTTCCACCACAAGTAAGTGAAATATCGAATCCCTTAACGCGGGAAGTTTCATGGGGTACGATGCTCAGATTTTTTTAATTTTGCACCCTTTTGGCTCTTCCACAATTCAGCTCTTAAAAATCTTAACTCATGTTTTGTAGCGATACTTTCTTGTCGACCAGAGAGTAAGCGATCTCCGAAGACATTTCAGAGAAAAAAACTTTTTCAGTGTCGTTGCAAAATTTGCAGGGAAATTTTTTGATTTTTGAGTCTTGTGACGTCATGTGATGACTAAATACGACTGCTTCTACAACATAAAAATTATTCTTTTCCAGCAGAACCGATATTCCCCTGAAGGCAGAGCTCCATCCTCGATGGATTCCAACTATCAATACCGAGACAGATCTCAACATCCACAAGGGGCTCCACCTCCTCGACCTCCTTATACTCCAGGTAGCGGCTCGTATGTTCACAGTCAATCCTACGGCCAGCCTCTTTTGTATGGAATGCCTCCTCAGAATATGTTATTAGCCCACTTTTTGACAGGAGGACACTATCCTTTTACAAAGTTTTCCTGGGTTGGTCCCAACAAATACCACAACTTTGGACCTTACCCTTACAAACACTTTTATAATAAGGGAGGATGGGGACCCTCCTGGTAACGTACTTGGCCAGACCTATTGTGTTTTCTTGTTTAATATGTTACAATATAAATAGATATTGTTCAGTTTCGTTCTATACATACACGTACAGCCAATAAATTCTTTAAATTTGTTGCTTATAATCGGCACCATCACCAAATACAACATGAAGGAACGCTTCCAAGTCGGGTACCGACTAAAATAACTTTTTGGCTCACAATTAGTGGTAGTAGCCCTTTCATTCTCTAGGACAATTGCCGCCGTCCTTCTTCCTAGTCGATTTTTTGCCGCTTTGTTACATTGTTTTTGGCAATTTCTTCTTCTGAATGATGCAAATTACACATTCAAAAATACAAACGCTTCAATTGGCTTGCTTACATGCGCTTAATGACTATGTTATTCCCTTCATTACCTAAAATTGTTGTCTGCTATTGTTTGCCGCGTCAATCTCCATGTCATAGTATTCGCCTTGAATGAATTCACATTTAGCTTTGTTTGGGGCAGATATTGAGGATATAGTGTTATGGCTGACGTTTTCGTCATGCAGATTACCTAACTCTCTCTTTAAAAAAATTGTAAAGAAAAGGATTTACAAAGGGGACAAGTAAATATACCTGTCTAGACGGAAATAATACCCGTATCTGGGTGGGGAAGCAGCCGAATTCATGGGTTGCCGTAACTGGAAGACAGATTTAAACAGTATTTTTAATACTAGAGCGGTTAAAATAAAAGCAATTGCTTTTTACTTGTTATCATGCAGAAAAAATTATTTCCCCGCCTCAGGGATTTGTTCAACCAGAAATGATGGGATTTAAAGTTGACCCGAGGGGCTAGTAATTGCTACAATGGACAATTATGGCAGCATCGGTTACACAATTCAGCCATTTTCCCAGGAAAGCATTCGTATTTAACCTCTAAATTTACTGGCTTTGGCACAACTGACAAGTGCGACTTAATGACCGCGATTGTAGGCAGGCTTACTGAGCAACACGACTACAAAGTTCAGGGGTTCTGAGAAGGCAGACAATGGTCTCTAATCAGATCCAATCTTCATATTACACTTGGAAATTCACAATTTGCGTGAATTTTCTTTAAAATTACCATATTTGGTTAACCGTTCTTGTTAGTTTCTGAGTGGCCCTTATTAATTAAATCCTTTAGGTTGTACTCAAATTTAAGCGCATCTTGTTGTAGTCTCCTATAATGCATTCGTCCAAAAATGTACCTGGATATAAATGGAGGGGAAATTATTTATAGAAAATATGTAGTGTCGAGTACACATTTTTGGGTAATCTGATGGCACGTATGTTTGCGTAATCTCGACTATAATAGTTTTTGTAACGTTTTCACTAATCTCTTTGTATCTTAATCCCCTTATGTCATCATTTTCTCCGATTCCGGTCTGCAGAAACCCCATAATTTCCCACATATTATAACACGATTTATGGTGTTCGGCATGGTTCATATAACACTGGGCACTCTTGTCGTATTCCAAACTCTCTTTTTTATTTTATAACGGCAATATTTTTTCCTATTTTAACTAAATATTGCTATATAGATTAAAATATTTTTTGTTGACAGTCTTTAAAGATAACCGGTAAATCGAACAAAGAAGTTATTTTCATCAAGATACGATATTCTTTGTAATATATTTTCACACTTTTTATTTACGCCGATATCAGCTTATACATGTCATAGCAGAGATAGATGAATATAACGATCAGATTGCAATGGTTAAAGACTCACATAACTTTTGATTGTGCTTAAAGCTGCCTGGAAAATGTAGGCGGAGAGCATGGCAATTAACAAAATGGGGTTTTCTAAAGTATACAAAATTATAAGTCTGTTCTTCAATTTTAAATTGGTCTCCGTTAATTTGAACAAACCTAGCCTTCAGAATCCAAGTATCTTCGCGATGACCCATCAAAAAGTAAAAAAAGTCGAAATTTTGTTTGCAGTTTTGCCAATTGAAGGGTACTGTTGTGAAAAATGCGTTTAATATACTCACAAGAGAGCAGTAAACGTGGTATAAATGGAATTGGTTCAAAAACTATGACCACGTTCGGCAGAGCTAAGTTTTTGTAAAACCGCCCAAATGAGCGTTGATTTTCCCTCGCTGGTTGTCTAACTTTTGGCCTCTGATTTTTCATTGTCTGAAAGACCTGGCTTAAATCCTTAAAAGGTCCTAGAGAATAGGCGTCTGTGTTTCGCTGAGGCCGCTCAGAACGTCTCTGTTACACCCTTAAGACATTTAGGATCGAAAACTTTCCAAATTTCGCCGCGGGAATGTGTGCGCTGACCCGGCAATTTTTAAGCAACCATATGTCGGCAACTTTTGCAGCTAGTGAATAATTTTTGCAATGAAGATGTACACATAACATAGTAGTTTCATGCCATGTCCATCTTTTTCCGAGAAACGTTCAAAGCCAAGAGAAATCGAAGAAAGAAAAGTGTCCATTTTTTTTGAATCACCCTGTATACATAAAAGCGCGATTCAAAAAGTAAAGTGGCCTTTTAAGGTGTCCTACCTATTTTCTGAAGAATGTTTCGAGAAGCCTTTTTGAATGTAAATGCAGTGTAATCTGATAATATTATACCATGTTCGTATCTATTTGGCAGACAAATTTATAATAACCATTACTTGCTTGGTCTAATTAACATGTTCAGTTGGCAAAATACGGCTTCATGTGCTTGCTGATTATACCTTTTAGTTGCGTTGAGCATCAGAATGCTCATGTTGAACCGATTTTGTTTCGAAGAGCAGCTGTCAGCGATTTTCTCTTTGAATTATTACTTTGGGTGTAATATATGTACATATTACGGAAAAATGTCGAAAAGCTATAATTACCATTTCTATACCTTTAGGATCATCACAAAAGATATGTTCATCGTTTGTGTATGTTATACTTGACCTCGACTACAATTTACTGCAGAATTTCTCTATCTTGGCGCTAAGAATAGTCCCAACTGTAATATCTCGTCTTTTCTATCTTATACTGTAATTATAAGCCTGCAATTTCCTTGCTGGTCCCTTATTTTGCATTATCATCATGGATAACATCAAGTGCAAGATCTCTTTGTACCCGCTCCCTTGGCAAGCTTAACCTCATCTCACCCACATAATTGCTAGCTGCAGGGTGTGCTGTTTTGGTTAACAGTAGATCCCATCCCGAGTACATCTAACTCCCCCCATTTCAGACATTCGATTATTACCGGGGATTATCTTTTTTCGAAAGTTTTGGGGGTCCGGGTAATTACCCCCAGGAAGTGGTGCCTGGGCAAGGATTAGGGTGGGACCTTATAAATGGGACTGGTTGTTTATTCGAGTAATCAGCCCACCATTCAGATGCATCCAACGAACTTTTACTTACTTCTTTGACTACCTTCACAGTCAAAATACCCGGTGGATTACTGTGTAGATTGTTGACGATTATTTCATCAACAATCCAGTCTTTTTGCTGTTTGATTATATTCTTTTTGTTGTTTTCGAGCCTAATTTATAAGACCATTTCATATTTGAGTTTAATCCAAATTTCAGAAGCCACAATGTCGGCTGAAGCCCCTATCCGAAATCCCGCGCCTCACCGAGGATTCAATTCCAAGGCGAGAGAAGTCTTACTGGACGGCCCTTCCCCCAGCTCCAGGTTTGGTAAGTTCGTTTGTCATCATTTTAATACATGTAACATTAAAATATTGCATGTATTAAAAAACGCTTGAGTTATATATTACACATATATGGCAACTCGGGTTGACTCCATTTTTGGTGGCTTTGCCTAAACCCCCGCTAAATATTTTGCGAGTATCCATCGATTAAAATAATATCAACCCGAGTTGCCCGGTAGGTATTACGTAAGCCTTGTGGGTTATTAATTCGAGAAGTTTACAGTACAGTCAGAATTTACGAAATTCTTGGCTGATAAGCAGTCAAAATGCCATTGTTTTGGTCAACATCAAGAATCCCCGGAATCTTGACTGGCCAAAAAACAGCAGCCAAGAATTCCGCAAATCCCGATTGTAAACCCGACAAGATTTTTTTTTTTTAATTTTGACATGGTCCTCTCGGATTAATAAGCACAAGGCTTATATCATGCAAAAAATTGATAATGTAAATCCCATTAAAGTTTTAATAATCGTAATTTTAGGACTGGAAAGGACAGGAAGTGATGAAGAATTCAGGCGAAAACTGGCGGGAATGAGACTAAACCGAACCGACAGTGAAGCCACAAACGATAGTCAGAAGAGCAGTTCGTCCACGCAATCATGTGGCCAAAGTAGGTCCCATATTTTTAATTCGACATCGATCTTAGCATAAGATTAAAACCTTACCTTACTAATAATAACCCTTTTAGTGAACGACTTCACGGACCTCGATGAGTTCCCCAAGAAGACCATCCTCTCCCATAAACTCCTATCCGAAGTGGGGAAGGCCAGATCCGTGGGAGACCTCGTAAAACACAAGAAAACAGCTGTAAAGACATTCCAACAACTCAACATTATGAAACTCCCCAGTGTCGATTCAGATCTTGGTGATAAAAGATCTCTGGGACGATCGGATTCCTTCGGATCGTTGGATGAAGATTCGGAACGACGAAATCAATACGAAATGAAATGATCCGTACTTTATTTGTACTATAAAGCTCTTTATAATTACTGTCTATGTTCTTGAGATCCGATCGCCATGGACTCCCAACCGGTATAAACATGTAAACTCTCCTCCAAAGTTGGAAACTACTGAAAAGCGGACAAATCGGGCAATAATTGGTTTCTGAAATTAGGTTAAGTTTGTGGATAATAGAATTGTATGATGACCTTTCCTTTGTTAGCTTTCCTAGTCAAAAAATCGGAGCTGTCAAGGCCTAAATCAAAAAATCATAATAATAAGCATTACCTCCAAAATAAATACACTTTGAGTTTGTTGAGGATCAAATTCCATGGAGCCGATGGATTGGAGGGATTCCGGCCTGAATCCAGCATAAACCTCGATCAATTTGGGTGAGGTATTCGACAAGATGAGCGGGGTTTCGTCCAATGAGATATGTGTGTATGAGATCTGAGATATGTTTGCCAATTCGAAGAGCTTGATCGTAACTTCTCCATGGGATCCTTGGAAAGGCCAGCACAATCCCGAACTAATCTCAGCTTTGCTCTGAAATCATATTTCCTTCATATTCGAAATATATCCAGAAAAAACGAGCTATTTCCTCATAAGATTAGATTAATGTTATATTATCCCTCAGATTAGGCGTTCATTTATGGTTCAGACGAAGAGATAAATCCAGAAAGGGAAAAATTTCTTTTCTGGATTACCCATTTCACAAACAATTTTAGGAAACTAATCTATTTACAAAACAGTATTATCCTTCCAGATTAACTCACCTCTAATAAAATATTCGGGTCTCTTTTGTAAGTTATTAGTGGAATGCTCATGAACTGATAAACTTCCGCTCCGAAATCGTGTGGGACTGAATGTGAGTATATTGAGGCGCCTACAGATGAAATAAATATCAAACTTTATACAATTACCTGCTGTTAGTTGAGCAAAATTGGACTTCAATGTAGGTTTTATGGGAGAAGGAGGTGTCTCTAAAACAATGTTAAAAGAGAAAAATAAAAAAAATCACCTTTTTCCTGAACCAACTTCTCGATCTTGTCCTCGAATGAGTTCATGCTGGATTTCAATTCCTCTCTCATCTATGGAAAACATTATTTTAGATACCTTAACCAACCCGATTCAATTCTTCCGTTAACAATCGAAACTCGCGTTGATTCTGATCGTACATCAATCGTGCCATCTCTCCCAGATACTGTTCTTCATATTTACGAAGTTTCAGACCAGTTTCGCTCTAAAAAACCTTGTATTTCAGCAAACACAGCGTACGAAAGAACAAAACTTGCCATGACTATGACATCCAATTCTGATGGTTTTGCAAACAAAAGTAATATTAGATATGAGACGAAAGCAATTCCAGCCGCCAAAAGATACGTCCAAAATGGTTTTAAACCTTCTTGTGGCTTGGCTCTAAAAATCCAAATTAATAAATAAACCTACCAGGAGTAAACTATTTCCAGGTTAGCTACTCACCTTGGCGCCATAACTGATAACAGATCATTCAGAAGATAAAAATTTCACAAAACGAAGTTTGTCAGAGTTTGAAAAAAGTTTTCTCGCAAAAAAGGATAAAACCATGGGCGCAGCCTGCGGATGGTTACATCTTATACGAAGCGTAATTCTCGCAATGATTTTTGGTGAATTCAAGAAGAAAGTCAGGTCATCGAACGGCTGAAAGTTCTGTTTAATGTCATTGGAAATGAAGTTTTGATGCATGCATTATTTTCAAAATTTGTGCAAGTCCAACAGAATTTGCATAAAAGAAACTTAATCGCGGAACCGGCGGGATGATTGTTCATTTTCTGCAAAACCTACAGTCGGGATCAGTCGCGTAATGTTCTCGAAATCTTTGATCGAAGAGGATTATCCGTCCAATCAATTTGGTGTTTATCAAGACCATGATCCGACGATGTCCGAAATACCGTATCAAGTCGGCACGTTTCGTATGCTCAACCATGTCCGTCATTCCGAGGACAGTGTCAAGTTGGGTCGTCAGTTGGAGGGTCTTCGTTCCCGTCTTGCTCTGGATGCGAATGACGTCATCAATGGAGTTCAAGTTATTGTAAGCGACATTACAGTAATTCCATGGCGATAGAATTCAACATTTAAATCAAAATAATTTTTTACAGGCCGAACAAGAGATTGCAACCGATATAACTTCATTTTTACCGAGTTTCGTCAAGAAAGTTAAAGTTGAGGAACTCAAGAACATGACCCCTCTCAAGTTGGTCAAGCGAAAGATTTATTTCTGGGAGAGATACCAATGCGGCCTCAACACCGAACCCCTCTATGTTCTACAGTATCCTCAAGTAATCGTTTTCTATTTGTATGGCCACTTTTCTTTATCACGCAATTAACGACATCATTGTAGGGATTGTGTTCGGACTTTACTGCCAAGAAATTGGATTTGGACTTGGCCAAGATTTTTAATCACGAAATGGTCAGAGAAAGACCAGGATGTTTTGAGGGTGTCCCTGTGCACATCAAGGTGTCGACCAATAAGGAATTGATCGACCAATTGCTGAAGAATGGACATCGATTTGATAATGAAGAACAGAAAGAAAAGGGAAAAGAAAAGACGGAAAATAAAGATGAGAAGGAAGAAAAGAATGGGGAAAAGATGGAAGAAGTTGAGGAAAAGAGTAAGTTGGTTATTTGAATAGCAAAGTAATGCTTGCTTTAGATGAAGCGGAAGGCAAGACCGAAGAAATTGAAAAGACTTCTGGATTAAAACCCGAGCCCGATTCTTCTGTCAACGTTAATTGTAACATTGATTTCCCTCCTCTCCTCACTAACCTTGTGACCTCCTCCACTCAGCCCTCTGAAGATGAAAGTCCCTCCTCGAGTTCTGATGAGATCTGTACGGCCAAGGCCCGCTCGATTGTTTTCCTCCGCCCTCCAATGAAACGGCCTCGTCGATGTGCTTCAAATATTCATATTCGAGCTCTGACCCCGCCAATGGAGCCTCAATTTCCAAGTGATTCCGAGAGTGACTCCGAGAATTTCCCCATGGCTCCGAGCGTCAAGTTTGCACGGCGATACAACTTTTCATCCCGCTCTGAATGGATTTTTAAGTTGCCGCAACCTGTAGAAGGAGGAACAGTCCCCTCTCCACTGTTTGCTCGACGAGATCTGGGCCGTTCCTATCGAATGCCAGTGATTCCTTCCACTTGGGTCAGTCACTATCGAGCTCAGTCCGCGCCTCCGGGACCACAGAACTTGAGATATCAGATGGCTCCGTCAAATGATGTCAATTGGAGAAGTGACGCTAGTGAAGGATTCCAAAGTGTTGTGAGTCGACGGCTTAATAGAACCTCCGTCGACAGCGATGTAAGTTGTCTATAACATTACGCAATCGTTTCGTCAATTATCGTTTCAGATGGGCCGTTGTTTGGCTGAATGGCGTTATGGATCTGAAGATTCGATGTGTCCAGCCCCTCCCCCTCCCAAATATATCCCTCCTGTCCCTACTTCGGTCGTTCCAACTGTTCCAAATTCCTGGCGAGATCCTCCGCCGAGCGACGAAAAAAACTCGGATGATTGGGAAGTTCAACGAAGAAAACAGAGCGGAAGGAAGTCGATTGCACAACTTAAGCCTTATCGAGAATTTGGGGATAAGTGCAAAACCGGAGGCTATCATGATTCTTGGCTCCGCCCCGATCCAATTACCCCACCCGAGACTAAACCGAGGAAATGGCTGGCTTTCAACAAGGCGTTGAAGGATCTGAACGTGGTGGAGGATTATGTCGACAATCCATCGACAGTCGACAAGAAAGGAGACGTTGGGGATGAGGACCGGGAAAGCGACGGATTCAATTCAATGTTCTCCAAGAAGGGAGATGACAAATCTTTTACGACCTTGAGCAGTACTGTCGACTTTGACCCTTTTGGAGCTCTTCCAGGTAATAATTAGGCTTTTGCAGTACTATTATATTTACTGTATTATAATATTTGCCGGATTATTTTGACTTCTTCAGATTTTATTTATATTATCTATGACATTTCAGGTGACAAGGACCGGAAAAAGAACCGAAAGAAGAAGACATTGATCAAGAGTATGGGTTACGAGGATCCTTCGTCATGCCATCCATCGATTACATCCATTCCCAGAGCGGACTTTAGTAGATTTGATTCGATTCGTCCGGCCACCATTACTGAAGATGTGGAAATGAACTTCTCCATGCCGTTTCGAGTACCCTCATCTTTTGATAGTACTGCTGATTACGCTTCAAAGGTCAGCTATGGAAGTTTTCAGTCAATTAATCAGCTCAACATGGCCAAAGTCGCATTAGTTCCACCAAAACTCGGTAAGCGAACATGGGTAATGTAATTTATAGTATAAATTACGAGGTTTATTGCCCTGGTAATGAATGCCCTTTTAGTCCGAAAGCCTCGCCTACGAACTTCCAACTTTGATCCATTTTTTCATCAATCTGTCGAATGGAGAGATGATGACGAATCCACAATTGGTGATGATAATTATGAGAATGTGGTCAATTCCCGTGGCTTCTTTTTAAAAGGATCCCGCTTTTATTGTGGTCGAATGTCAGCTCCCAGGGTGACGGCAGAAGGTAGTTATCCCATGGTGGGAGCGGCCAATCATCTCTATGGAATGCCCGAAGATCTCCCCACAGAACTGTCATGTGTGACATGTGATAGACTACCTCCGTTGACCCAATCTCAGATGGATCTGGAGGTTGAAAAGTTGATGGAAAAGCTCAGCCTGACTCCCCCATTGTCCGAGGAAGAGCGGGAATACCTGGAGAAGTTGGTTCAATTGGATCGAGTCATCAAAAGTAAGGGGATTAATGCTGATTACGGTATTGTAGTTCGGGTTATGAACAACTTCTCGAATTGTCCTTTTGGTGGGGAACAGCTGGATGCAATGAATCGAAGATTTCTGGAGGCCCTCCACAATTACTACATGGCTATGGGACTGAATCTGGGGAGATCGGTGAGAATATTTAATATTGTACATGCTGATTATGTAAAATATGTAATCTCGAGGTGAAATTTTAGCAACAGCAACCCGGATATCCATGGGTCCACACCGCTTATACTCAACACATGAATTTCCTAAATGCCGGCATCAAATCCCTCGAGTTTTCTCCATTAAATCCAAGCCGCGGTGGATGTTTGGGAAGGCCATCTCCGGCTGATGGAGGGCATTCGGCTGGGAAATGGTAAGTCAAATTAGATTCTCAGGATCGAAGTAACAACCCCTCTGATTACAGTGGCGCTCTGGACAAGAGTAATTTTTACATGTACTCTCCGGGCATCGAGATCTTTTCCCGCAAAGTATTTGTGGGTGGCGTTCCCTCCGATATCGATGAAGAAGCCCTGTTAAATCCCTTTAGGCACTTTGGAAAACTGAGTGCCGATTGGCCAAATCGCACGGACTTCAAGCCCAATAATAATTCCGGAAACAAGAGCCGATCGGGTTATGTGTTCATCGTCTACGAGAAGGAACAGAGTGTCCATGCGTTGAGGAATGCCTGCATCATGGAAGATGAGCAATATTTTATGCAGGTCATGAACTTGCAGCAACAACCCAAGCTGGTCCAAGTCCGCCCTTGGATGCTGGCCGAGGCTGATTACGTCGTCCAGCCTTTTATGCACATCAATTTGAGATCAGCCATCTTTATTGGAGGCGTTCCGAGACCTATCAGGGCTGTGGAGTTGGCTCACATGATCGATGAATTGTATGGAAATGTGGTCATGGCTGGCATCGACACCGATCTCCCATTGAAGTATCCGAAAGGAGCGGGAAGAGTGGTCTTCTCGGACTTTCATTCGTACATGAGGGCTATCACTGATAAATATGTTAGACTTCAGCATGGAGATATCGATAAAGTGGTGAGTACAGTATGACTAGAAGGGACAATACGTAGCTAACCAAGGGGTCGTAACGGATTATGAATCAATTTACGCGGATTTGCAGGTGGAGATCAAGCCTTACGTCCTGGATGATCAACCTTGCGACGAATGTCGAGGTCAATTGACTGATGAGAAAGCTGCTCCCTTCTTCTGCCCCCATCCAGAATGCCTTCAATATTACTGTGAGAATTGTTGGGGAGTCCTTCATCGCAGTGACCACCGGGCCGATCATCGGCCTTTGATCAAAGAAGCCTGAGCCCAAAGTTATCAATTGTTTGTAATACGAATACGTGTAAAATAAAAAGAATCAAAGTCTAATAGTTATTGTAAATAAAGCTAATTGGACCTGACGCAATTGTTTCTTTTTACACACGGCTTGCCCAAATAGACTAAAATCGGAGAAAAAAACGGACACGGCCTTCGCAGCTCGCGCCCTATCCTTGAAAAATTGCTGAGAAGTGCCCCTTAGAGTTGATGCTCAAAAAGTACAAAGCGCTTATTATCACATAAAACAATCTTGATAACTATTTTCTTTGAATGTCTGTCATCTATTTAAGCTATTATTCATATCGTTGCCATTTCTGAATCGGGAAATATGGGCCCCTCAATATCAGCAATTTTGATGTATCTTGTACAACATGTATATATTCGAAGAAGCGAAGTGAACAAAATTCCATCTACAATTCCATGGAGACGTTGCAGATGGTGCTCCAAAAAAATTTTCGTCCAAATTGGACAATTTTTTGGGGTACTTCAACGTTTCCCACTGCGAATGGAGCATTGCCTACTTGTGGAGCTCCAGTTCTCTTTGAAAAACCACAAATTTGTTGGTTTCTTTGTGTTATTTAACACAGTTGTTAGTCTATTAATAGGCTAGATACCCTTTACAGCTTCAGGAATGAGAAAACAAAAGTTATGTCGAAATTTGTAAAAAAGTGACAAACAGGTCCCCATGTACAATATCCCATAACACAGTCAAATAATGGACTTCGTTAAAAAACATCTACAATTCCACAATAAACCTATCGAAGGAAATGTACACAAGTTTTCAGACTTCTGAGTCAATTTTTTGACACACTTCAACGTTTCCCATTGATTTAAGATGATATTTTGTATTTTTGAATTCCATCGGTTAGCGATCCCCCGTGTGGGGAAGAAGGTCGATTAACAATTTTCTAGTTCTAAAAACATCAAAACATGCTTATGGGTGCTTATTGGACTCGTCTTAATCCAATTTTATCAAAAGTAAATATTGATGATAATAGGTATGTAATGTGACTTGCCACAAAAAGGTAAGATGTCTGATTTTTGAAAAATGCATCTACAATTCCACAGAAAACCGCCTGATGCCTACACTGCAGGTTGACGCCAAGTCTTTCCCTGATGTGTCAAGTTTCTCTCTCCTGAAAATAATTATTTTTATTTTCTTGACATATTGTGCAGCCTGTTTCTCCATGAAGATGGACTGAAAAGTGGTCAAGTAAGTTATTATTAGCAAGATTAGGTGTTCTTCTTTCATTTTATGCCAAAAATGTTGATTTTATTTCAGGGAAACATACAGAATTCATCCAATTCGCAGAGCTAGTTTTTAGTGATCATAAATAATGTAAGTCCGCTTATTTAATTTTTTCGTGGTTAAGTAGCAGTTATAAGTTTGCCTAAGACTTAGAGGAGACCTCACTCTTTCGGGTTGTTATGGTTTCCATGCATAAGATTCATCAAATGTTTCGCCATAATCAGTTTAGGTAAAATTGACCAAAATAGATGTCATGGAGAAGATAATCAAGGCGGAAAGGTCAAGAAAAAGGCGAAATTGTCTCCCAGCAAGAGGAGAGAGGACATTTTCGAACTAATGGAGAGGCTGAGATGTTCTAACAAAGCAAAACAGGCCATTTGGAGACGGTTTTAAAGTTGGAAGTGGACCTCATGGAGAAGATAAAAATGGAAAAATTGGCAAGAATAAATTCAAACAAATGGCTAATACATCTCATTCCAAACTTGATTACCCCATTCAGAGGGTGTAAACGAGGGCCGACTATGTCCACTGCGTCCATTTCTATCTTCTCCATGAAGTCTTTGTTGACCATTTTGAACTTGCTGAATTTCAGATGTCCCTGGACCTTGACCAAAGCTCTAAATGCGATTTTCATGCCGTGTTTGCTCTTTTCCGGCTTTAATGACGACATATTGGGCCCTATTCTTGGCAATTTTTCCATTTTTTTTATCTTCTCCATGAGGTCCACTTCCAACTTTAAAACCGTCTCCAAATGGCCTGTTTTGCTTTGTTAGAACATCTCAGCCTCTCCATTAGTTCGAAAATGTCCTCTCTCCTCTTGCTGGGAGACAATTTCGCCTTTTTCTTGACCTTTCCGCCTTGATTATCTTCTCCATGACATCTATTTTGGTCAATTTTACCTAAACTGATTATGGCGAAACATTTGATGAATCTTATGCATGGAAACCATAACAACCCGAAAGAGTGAGGTCTCCTCTAAGTCTTAGGCAAACTTATAACTGCTACTTAACCACGAAAAAATTAAATAAGCGGACTTACATTATTTATGATCACTAAAAACTAGCTCTGCGAATTGGATGAATTCTGTATGTTTCCCTGAAATAAAATCAAGATTTTTGGCATAAAATGAAAGAAGAACACCTAATCTTGCTAATAATAACTTACTTGACCACTTTTCAGTCCATCTTCATGGAGAAACAGGCTGCACAATATGTCAAGAAAATAAAAATAATTATTTTCAGGAGAGAGAAACTTGACACATCAGGGAAAGACTTGGCGTCAACCTGCAGTGTAAGGTAATGCAGGGTGTATATGACACTTATTAGCTAGTCTTTTCAATTGAAGACAACTTTCAACATTGAATCATTCAAAAATATTGAGTTACCCCCGATAATTGATACAGTTGACGCATACATCAATATCGAAAATATTTGATGGGGGACAAGGCTCGGTTTGCTTCGAAATAGAAGATTACGATAAGTACTAATAATGACAGATATACTCGTTGCAATTTTTAAGCTTTTTGATAGATTTTGTGAGGTTTCACAGGCAAAGTCATGAAATTTAACCCCTTGGCTCGTGGCAAGTATAGTATTCGCGCATAGGTAAGTCAGAGTGGCCGATATTGACGAATAAAGTTTGTGTACTATTATTATTAAACAAAGCCTATTCTGAAGCATCCTTTTAAGGCAACATCCACGTATTATCCATGTTTACCAAAATTCATTAAATTTAATGTCCAAAAATGATATTTTTGTGGTAATGATTTTTTGTGGTATGTGCGCGTTGATGTAAAATGGGTTTTCTACCAATTCCTATCAATATTGACAGTTCTGCTTTCATTCTGACATAAAATAAGATTAGAAATGTTTCATCGTATAAAATGTCGCTAATTCTTCTTTGGACGTTTTTTTCTCCATTTGGGCAAGCCGTGTACATTGTTAATTTCGTATTTCTTTGCGAGCACATCCTCTTCCGTCAAGTCCCGCCACGAAAATTGGCGCGCGCAGACGGAAAATTTGAAAGTGCGTTTTGCGGAGAAAAGGACTTTTTCTTCGGAAGTTGCACTTTTTTCGTCCGCTAAAAACGAATCGTGGAGTCTAAAATGGATCGACAAAGAAAACGTCTATCAGTAAGTGTTAGATTTATTGAGTAATATAAAATCTTCATGTTTTTAGATCCTAAAACCGTCTGGGGACAGTCCTGATGAGACAGCGAACTTATTCGATAATATTCCAGCAGCAAAACGACGTGTTTCTTTTAGTGCGACGAAGATTGTTCAGTGGGTTTATTTGTCTAGAGTTCAATGTTCAAATTTTAGACAATTCCACAAAGAAGACCACCAGTTTGTTCACGAGCCTACAAACGAGATACTCCATCTCTCAACGTCTGCCGAGATGTCAGATGAGAAGTTCAAGTGAGGCAATTCCTTCAAAAAATAAAATTTTTTAGGTCGTTTAATAAAGAAAACGAGAGGAACTTTTCCGATCTGGAGATAAGTGCTTCACAAGGGTTGTCGTTACTGAAAGCAGCGAATGAATGCAACCTTTCGCGCTTGAATGATACCGCTGCTATCTTCAACCAGAGCTCGGGTGGTAAGGTTTAGTTTTCTGGACGGTATAATTTTATCCGTTTAGATCGTCCAGCCGTTGGTGTTAGTAATGTTACTGATGTTGAGTCAATGGAGAATACAGAATGTTTGTTTCCAAGTATGGCGAAACAAAAGGAGTTTACAGTAAATTCAATACAAGATACTATGATGTTGTTTACCAAGAATAACAAAGTGGTACGACCGAGGGAAATTGTGATAGAACAAGAGGTAAGCAAAATTTCTTTTTTTTTTGGATCGTCATTTCTCAAGGTTCTTTGTTGGAGGAATGGTCGGTTGGTTTTTTCCTGTCGAATTCTTAAAATATTTTTATTGGAATGTAATATATTTATTTTCAGTCGGACGAGATAACTAATACGATGCAACTGTTTGAGAGAACCGACAGGGAACGTGTAAAGGTATTATTCTCCTTTATTGTTTATGTTTTTAGAGTGCTCCTCTTCCTGCTCATAATGCTCTTGCCACCTCCTTGAGCAGTGAATATGAACTAGAGGCTTCGAGAAGAACAGAAAGGACGTTGGATATTCTTCCCGGGTCTTCGAAAGCCAATCTCTCCAAAGGAGATGCCACTGAGACTAATATCCCTGCGAGCATCGCTCATTCTGGGAACTTTTCTTTTCATCTGGACGATCATGGATTGTCAGACCAGTCGGCTGTCAATGATCCGGTCAAGGAGAACACCGTAGGTGTCTTTAAATCCTTCAACGACGGTGCTGGGCAACCATCGTCAGTCAATGCAATGGTGAGCATTTTATAGTTTCTTTCCATTTTTTGTTAGAAAGTGGCATCCGGCGTCGTCGAGGTAGACGTGCCATAGCATCCCGACCCATTTATGAAATCGGTCCTTTGTCGTAATTTCCGCGCTTGGCCTTCGTCCTTTTATGATTTCTCATTCCAATTCCGTTCCAAATCGACTCCGGCGGGGCCAAATCTATTGTTCTTTAGATCAAAACAAGGGTTTTTGCTGCGTGTAATCGTCGCCAATTAAAAGGGCTTCCCAACTTTTTTACCCCTTGTGGAATAAAAGTTTTTTTGCCCAGCTTTATATATTCGGTACATTGTAGGATGCTATTCAAGGAGTTCCCGATGGTTCCTTCACAATGGACCGAACTTATGTGAAGGAAACAGCGGTCGAGGAAGCGGCTCAATTCATGGATACCTCGGAGGAAACGAGTCATAGGGCCTGTCACAAGCCTTGTCTTGAATTTGTGGGAAGCGTCGAGAAAGAAAGGATCCTTGACAGTCCGGCAGAAACAGCACAGGGAACTTCGGAATCCAAGACTCGAGTAATTCATGGACGAGATTCCCCCAGAAATATCCTTCCGGCGGTTAATCTAGATGTCACAACCAGCACTCAAAGAAGCCAGTCGTTCCAACCACTGCTGGATATTGATGTATCTACCAGATTCGGGTTTGAAGAGAGCTTCAAAGAACCGTGTAGTGGGATAAGGACAACAATCACCAAAGAGATAAGTATTCATGAAGAAATTAAGGAGGAAATGGAGGTCGAGGAAGAAAAGGAAGAACAGACGGCACCTCCAAAGACAGTGAATTACATGAGAAGACACACTGTGGGAAATCCGAGGGCAGGCCTTAGCACAATCATGGAGACTCCGAGTAGACCGTCGTCGAATTTGGTTGAGGAAACACCGAGGGTAAGGAAGTAATCAACATTTTTTTTTGGGAAACGGGTAACAAATATATATTTTTGGGTAAAAAATCGTATCCTATAAAAAAATCCTCGCATATGCCACTTTTGGTGCTAAATTTAATCCCAGTTTGCAAAATACGGATGAAAAACGGTTCAAGCGTTTCATAAAAGAGATTCTTGATCTTGCGCATTGTAAGTAGTTTCCACAGACAAGTCAATGCAGCGCGATCCTGGAGTGTTTTTACCGCATTTGTGCATGAAAAAAGTCAAAATTATTTTCTTTTTTAGAATTATTGGTTGAGAATCTCCATATCTGGTTTTTTTTGATAAAAATATCTGGATAGTATAAGTATGATTTCGTGCATGAAATGGCCATACCTCTTCCATTTATTTTTGTTTCCCGTTTATCGAATCATTGAATTAATCTCTACCTAAAATCTGCATCAAGTTTGACATGAAGATAACATCCAAACGAGAAGGGGAAACTATCCAATTGCGTTTTTATAGGCACTAGAAACCAATATTGCGTTAAGTAATCTTATCCAGCCCGAAAATGGGCGAACTCTAAACCAATATCTTCAAAGGTGTCTAGTATAATATACGAAATGTCATAATCAAAAACGTACACCCAGATTAACACCTACTAACCTTTATTATTCATATAGTACGTATGTCGGAAAATGGAACGGCGAAAATTTAAATCCACATACAAAGTTTCTCGAAATTGATCGTTTAGACCTAAAATCATACTCCCTGGAGAATTATAAAATTTGAGTACAAATGGAAGCGTAATTCTGTCAAATTTGATGTGTAAAAACAAAGCGTAGATTTTGTTCTGTGACCATTGGCTCGTTTTTTCTATTTTTGCGAAGAATTTTTATTTCTTATGCGATTGACTGTGACCTTGATTTCAGCCTGGGGCCGGTGTTATTGCGGCCGGATTCACCCGTCGTTCCATCCAACACCCCATGATGACCCCTCAGTATCAGCCTTTACCCACTCCAAGTTCCGTTATGGCGACTCCCAGCATTGCCACGTTCACATTACCAATGCTCAAACTCCCGGAAATGATCACAACCCATCCTGGATTCCCTCCCATCGATTTGAATTCGTACGATTGCCAAGAAACGGACCCTTTATTCGATGAAAAGATCCTGGTCGAACCTTGTTCGTCTTTGGAATTTGAAGCCCAACCGATTGAAGGAGAAGATCCGCATAAATTAGAAGCTCGTGGGTTCAAAACACCGGGATTTAATATCTGGTTTAGGGACGATTGCAGCGAGGATTTTGACATATTATAATGGAGATGAAATGAAGGCGAGGAATCATCTGAAAAGAGAATATCAGAAGAAATTGGACGCCATGAAGCCAGATGTAGAGAAATTGGAAGTCCTGTCCATGGAATTGAACAACAAAATGGAGAAGGAAAAACATCTGAAGGAAGTGAAGGGAGTTTTAATCAAGAAGATCCTCAAAAGAGTTGACGATATTAGCATTGAGAGGGAAGAAATTCAACGGAAAATTGAGGCAGCGAACAAAAAAATCAAAGGAGTTTTGGCTCAGATATGATGGTGAAGAGCCGTCTTTTATTTGTAACTAGTGATTATTTTACATTCGCGCTATAAATTGTGACTTTAGCTGGTTTTTGGGAAGATTGTTAAAAGTACGGAATGTGTAATTAGAAAAATGGATAAGAGAAAGTGATGTGAAAGGTTACATGATGGTTTGAATGTTATGGCAAGAGGAAGTTGGATTTCGGAATTTTCTTGTCAAATTGAATGAAATTTGTGGTAAATAATGGTCCCGAACGCGGGAAATTCCCTTCATTTCCATTCGATTCTATCTCCCAATACGGTCGCCTTTTTATTGTAAGCACAGAAGATGAAGAGTCGACAAGACAAGGATAAATGGTCCGACATCTCGGACAGCAACATGTCCCTCCCCTGTTGTCACACCAACTCTCAAATCAAGATCCCCAGCACTGTGGAGGTGGCCGAGCCATCGGCGCCGTACCTGATTCTTAATGAAAAGTATGGACTTTTGCCATTTGATCACCAATGACTACATGATTACGGCTTTATATTATGTGTTGACTAATTTTATGTTATTTTAGAACTCGTCGGCGAATGTGCCCAAAGATCTCCAAGAACCTAGATGATACCCTCCTCTCAGTCGGAGAGCCCCTTCGCAATCGTTGGCTGATTAAAGGACTGATCGGATCTGGGGGATATGGGCAGATCTACTTTGCACATGATCAGAGATCCAAGGAGAATGTCGCCATTAAAGCGGAGCCCACTAGGAGAAGAGGGAGGGTGGTCAGAAGGATGATTTTGGAACAGAAAGTCCTGGTCCGGCTTCAAGGACAACCTCATGCACCCATTATTTTTGGGTCTGGATGTGAGAAGCAAGTCAATTTTATTGTAATGCAGCTGTTATCCACGAATTTGGGAGATCTGAGGAAGCAATGCCCACTGAAGAGACTTTCCAAATCGACGGCGGGAAGGGTTATGATGCAGGCAAGAGCAAGACTTTCTTTCGTCTTAAAGTTCACCATAATTTTTTCTAAATTTTTTTCGAGTTTTAGGATGATTTCTTGTGATGTGATGACGTCATTTCTGATTTAATGAAGTTTCTTTTTTCAGGCGATTGCTGCTCTCCGAGATCTCCACAATATCGGGTACATCCACCGAGACATCAAGCCGGCCAATATTTGTTTCGGAATCACCGAACAATCTCGGCAACGTCTCCTCCTTGTCGATTTTGGCCTCGTTCGTCGCTTCAGAAATACGGATGGCCAACTTCGGCCCAGAAGAGATCGGACGGGCTTCAGAGGGACTTTAAGATATGTGTCGATCAGAGTCCACAAAAGAGAAGAACAAGGGCCGTCCGATGATCTGATGGCTCTTTACTTCTCTCTTCTCGAGATTATCCGAGGGGATTTACCGTGGAAGGATCTGCAGCGTCAAGCACACATCAAAATGGCCAAGGAGCATTTGGCAAACGATGACTTTTTGAAGATTTCGGAGGGATTTGGAGAGGCGTTGAGAGAGTTTGGAAAGGCTGTGTATGCCATGGAAGTTGATGACACTCCAAATTATAGTGCACTGCAGGTAAGACTGTCTTAATTTATAATGTTATCAAAAGATATTTATTATATTATACTTGAGACCTTTAGGAGATAATGAAAGAATTTTCTGGGAATGTCCCAATGACCGACCCCTATGACTGGGAGAGTGAGTATGTAGAGGTGGTCAACGAAGAATACATCAATAGAATGCTCAAACTCATCTTTTGATATTTATTTTACCATGTACAATGTAAAGTATATATCATGAGTAAAGTTTATTGTCGCACTTGTTATCTCGATCATAATCCATAGTAACACTTTTAATGGAGTTAGAAATGATTTTTGGTTCGAATATAATGTCCCATGCAAGTTTTGATGATCTCGTCGTATACCAATTTGCGGGCATTTAAACCCCAGATAAAGTCAAAATGATTAAAATCTTCCATTGGCTTTACCCTCTTCAGATATTGGGGATGGATCTTGTCAAGAATCGCGGTCTAAAAAAATTTTTTTTATTGGCAGTTGACTTCAATATTGCTCTAATTATCATCAATTTCCCTACCTTGACATCATTTTCATCAGCTATCCAATCAGAGGGACTGTAATACAGATAGACAGGGGTCTGAACTCGAGTTAAGTCGTATTCCGGTGGCGTGGGCTAATGGAATATGTATATACTCGATAAAAAATTTGATTACTCTATATACTCCAATATATGCAATCATACCTGTCCATAATGTTTCTCATTCTCCGCTGCACTTCCATAGTCGTACTTCAGGGTCCTGTTGGTCTGAGTCAATTGGACCCAGTGCACAAAGTTTTGAGTAGAGGTCCCAGCTGGAGTGTGCTTCATATAAACCATCAACCGGGTCTGAAGGAAAATTTAAAAGTTGTTCACGCTTGATGAATAAGACGTATTTTGAATTTATACTCACAGTGTTGAACTGGTTGCTCTCCGGACCTCCGATTTGAAACAAAACATTGTCACACAACGGATTTGTAAACTTCCATCCACAAGTAATTTCCGCGAAAAGTTTGGTCAAAAAGTTGTTTGGCAAAAATTCATAACTTCCAAAAAATTCAAAAAACTTCTAAAACACCTTGTTACGGTATTTTTAACTTACAGAAATATCCTTTCCAAAAAATCTACCCATATAAGACAAAAACCCATGGAGATTGGATACTGTAGCCACGGGAGCCAACGCGAAGAACTTTTTTATCAGAAAAATAAACTATTATAACAAGGGTATCGACGATATCCTACCAAGTAATAGGAAGCCCCACTCACCTTCTTTCCGAATCCAGGGTCCTCCGCCAATTTTGCAAACATGATCTCGGTCCCTTGAGAATGTCCAATATAATACAAAGAATCATCTCCAGTGATATTTAAGACTGTGTCGATCATGGCTGGCAGATCATATTTAGCAAACTCATCCCACGAGAACTCCCAAAAATGTTTTGTTTTATTAACATGACCTCTTGAGTATACATTCCCTCGCACATTTCCCATCCAAACATCGAATCCAGCATCAGCGAAGACGAAAGCAGCTGATTGATGGGGAAGATTGGTGACCCAATCAGCCGAAGACGCAATAAACCCATGTTGAAAGAAGACCACGGGCTTGGAGGACTAAACGGGTAAATATTATAATTCTGCTTACAGTACTGAGGCCTCGGGGCGTCTTGCCGAAGGGAATTCGCTGAAGTTTGAGGATGTATCCGTCTTCTGTCTGAGACTCAAATTCCTCAATAGGGTAACCATAGAAGTCGACGATTTGACTCTGAAAACTCATTTATTCATATACTATTTGTTATACTACACCACCTATTCTAATAACATATACTGAACGCCTTACCGTGGTCATACGTTCCTCGGGCAATCCTCCGAGACATAAAGCCAGAGGGATGAATAAAACAACGGGGAATGGGCCCATGACTAAAGATTGTTCTCGGCGATTTCTGTTTATAAATCCCGGGGAAAAAAGTGATTCACACGGCGATAAGCGTGGAAAGAACAAAACAAAGTCTAATGAAAAAAAGGAAACACTGTAGGCAGTAATAAAAAAGTAAGCAGAGATCGGTTTATTCAGAGGGGAGATCAGTAAAAAGAAGGGTAAGATAGGACAAAATAGATCAGCCTCCTTTGGATTTGACGAAGTCATCATAAGCAGTCATGAATGGCTGGATCTCGGACGCTTGGACCAGCTGAACACAACAATATTTATTCAGGAAACCCCCTCAATAGTTTCTGATTAACTCCTCTTCCAATCTACAGTAAGATTCTATTAATAACTCTTACATGTCTATTCTCCGCAATCCCCATGAGAACCCTATGCATGAACAAGTATTGGACATCAGTCTGGACCGAGTTATGCCGATGTCTTCTCATCTCTTTGACCACTTCCTTCAGCCTCAGTTGTTCTCCCTTGTGCAGAATTCGATTGGCATAGTCCAGTCCAACGATTGTACCGGTCCGTCCAATTCCCGCCGAGCAATGAACGACCACCGTATTGTATCGATTCAGCTTTCCGATCAATCTCATGCAAAACATGGGGTTCTTGGGGACTCCACGATCGGGCCAGGACTGCCAGAAGTAATGGGTCACGACCAGATGCTCCTTTTCATTTATGCTGACCTCCAATGTCGTCAGGGCCAAGCCCTCCTCGGGTATGTGGACTGCCGTATTTTTGATGGTAAAGTCGCCAAATACGCCCTAAAAACTTCGTTTAACATTAATAATCATCTTACACTGGACCCTTGTTGTTCTGGCCAGTACTGTTCACACTTTTTCTTGCCCAATTCCATGATTCCACACAACATTACGATAGCCGGGGCTTTGGCTTGCACCACCATCTTCCAGAAATCGCCAACAGTTTTCTCTGTAGGACCTTGGGTACAAATGTATTTCCTCTCAAATCCTGAAGCGATAGTTTAAAAAATGATTTTTTGGCTTACCATTGAAATCCATGTAATTTGCATGGATATAATCTTGATCGGCAACCAGCTTGACGCGACTTACATCAATACAAACCACATCTGAAATCAGAAATCATCCCATAAGGCTATTAAAAACATATTTGGATCAAGTATAATGTAAAGAATAGAAGATGTCTACCTTTATAGCGATTCTTGTCCGCATTTGCATCGTACGCGGTCTTCGGACCCGGCTGGGCCGTCTCTACCTTGATCTGAGCGAACTCCTGGATGATGCCATTGACCCCAACTTGAAGACAATGCTTGACGAACTCCTTGAGTTGCTCCTGGAACTTGTCTCCGCCGTGTTCGACCGTCCCTTCCTCCACAGTTCTCCGTCTCGAGACAACCTTGTCCTTCTTCTTATTCTTGGTCTTCTTTTCCGCTCCTTCCATTTGAGTTCCATCGTCGTCGCTGGTCTTTTCCGTTGCTTTTCGTCGCCTCGTCTTCTTCTTGTCATTCATTGCGAGCTGAGGGATTCCGAACCGACAACCGCTATTTCAATTCGGGTTACTGTCGACCAATTTGTGGGCCGTAAATCGATGCAAATGAGTTGCTTCCACATCTCGCGCGTTGAGAAATCATCGACAAAATAACTTTATCCTTCCCAAAAATTGGACTCACAAAAATTATTCAAATTTTCAATAAAAGAGTTTTGAGATTGCCCAAAATTTTCTTTCGAAAATCAAAAAACTGTGCAATGTTATCATAGAATCGATTTATATTTATATTTTACGAACATTCCCCCACAATATCAGCATTTACAATCTAATATCATCTCTGTCGATGGCAGTGTAAACTCCGATCGACTTGTTTGGGTCACTCATCTCAAAGCCAGTCTCCAAACACCAGATCTCATCGTCATTTTCATACTCGATACCAGTCTTCAATCCACTGTCATCTTCCTCTTCAGATTCAACAAAACTTTCATCGTATTCATAGGAAAAGTCATCGTCAAATCGAGTCTGAATATCGGAAGTGTGAAAAGAAGGGGTCGCAGCTGAAAGCAAATCGTTATTCCTTGATAATAAGGCCTAAACTTACAAGCACAGCTACTTCCACAGCTGCTATCATCAAAATTCTTGTCTTTGGTCATACTGCTTTCCTCGAATGAAGTGACGTCATTGAAAAGGGATGAATTCAACGAGGTCAAGGAGAAGGTGGACTGATCAGATGAGAACGGATCATTAACAGATAGGAGATCACCGTCAGAAAGTTCTGGGATCATATCTCCACTAGAGGGAAAGACAGAGTCCACGGAGACAGTGGAGACGGAGAGAGAGGCCAGAGAAACAGACAGTTTGGGTTGAAAAACATAGCCAGAAAGCGCGGTCACACAGGAATCCGTATCTACTGAAAATAAAAAATATTACGCAAGGTAGGCCCTATAGGGTCTATTAGAATCAAAAGTCAATGGCCATTTGACTTTTGACCAATGGCTTGCAATAAAATGCCAATCATGGCGAGAAAACAAAATTCAAAATATTGGCAAAATTTGATAAACCGAATTTTTTAATGGCCAATCAAAGAGATCAATAAGTTTTCTGCATCCATCGGACTAGGCGAAATCCCTCCGAAAACCAAAACTTGTTTTCGAACAAGTACAACATCCTGCTTCTGTATTTTACTCCTCAAGGATAATGTGGATCCGCCTTCGCTCTCATATCCCAGAAGATCCCGGCGATCTCCAACAATATATGCACACAAAGGAGTCTCTAATGGACGCAATTACAAGTACTTACCTTCATCTGACATGATCGCCTTCGCTGTCTTCAGACCGACCGTTCTCGAATACAATTACAATCGGGAAAAAAGGGAATCCAAATACACTTTCGCACTTTGAGAGCGTTTTTTTCGAATTGGGGCAAAGCTCATCCTGCAATAATTACTCGGGTTTTAGACGATCCCCCCGAGGCATAATTGGAGGAGGGCGGAACGGGGAATCGGCGAGAGTTTCAGTCCGAGGAAAGTGACCGACTTTCGCTTTCGGGTAGGATCTATGTCATGGTATTCGATTTTCTTTTGCTTTTTCTGCTGATTAGAAGTAAGTATTGGACTGATTACAGCTCTGTTGTTCTAAAAATGATTAATTTTGATGTTGAACATGATTTTAAGATGATCTATTTTCTTTAGTAACCAATTCTTGCCATGGCGGAGGACAATATTCGACATTGGCAGCACGGAATAGAGCGCTGGCTTATGCTGCGCAGAGTTTCGATGCTGATTTTCATAATGCGAAATGCGCAAGCGAAGACTATGGATTTTACAGAGCCAAAGGTAAACAAATTTTATCAAAGTTTACCTTTTTTGGTCGTCTTACAACTGTATCGTTTCAGAATTGAAGCGCTTGGCAACTGAATATGAGTTCTCATCCGTCCCAATTGCAATCGGCTCAGGTGGTACAGCTGTTTGTGGATTTGATTCCGATGAAGAGAAGTGTGCTTGGTACAATCGACAGGTCGGAACTCAAGGCCCGGGATTCAAACGAGCTCGATTCGAATCGTTCTTTGATGTCGATAAGTTTGAATGCACTTCGAATCGGATTTTCGCATTTGGTAAGTAATTGTAGCTTATTTTTTATGTTCAGGTCATTAATTACAGAGTAATTTGATATCACTTTTCAGAGGACTATTTTCTAATGGCTGGAGGCGAGGACTACGATAGAGATATCTCAGCGGCCATTGAGACAAGGATACCATGTCAATTTGACAAAGCCTATCTTAAATTTGAGTACGTTTTAAATCAGACATTTTTTGTATGGCCAGCTCTCCTCTTTCGTGGCTTCTCTCGAAAATCGATCCGTTGAGTTACTTGGCTGATTTGCTTATTTATCAAACATACAGCAAAAAAACGACGTCTCTTAAAGCCATCATATATGAAATGTTTCTAGTTACTGGAGCAACAACGAGACCCCAGTCTTGAAAGTGTGCGTGATCCCCGAAGACACCCCCGACCCTCAATGTGAGGAATCCCATATGGATTCGAATCCCCTGACCTTCGAAATCCCCCAATCCCTGAGGCCATTCCGTCTGCGTGTGCAGGTGGACTCCATCGGGAAGGATGACATTGTCTTCCTCGATTCCATTAGATACGAAGGCAAATTTTGTGAAGTTTATGGGCCCGAAAAGAAGAATACGACGACCACAAGGACCGTCGCGAATGCAGCGCCGACTAGAAGTTTCAAACCGACCAAGTCGATTACGGATAATGACATTGTTTATAGCACAACCGAGTCGATAAAGAAGAAAAAAGTGTTTGGCACAACGAGTATCGTCCATTCTGAGGTTGGTTATGGCACACTTTGGCTATAGCATACTTATATTGGAATTGAGTCAAGTATAATACAGAAATTGATCTTCTGATTTCAGGACCGAGACCTAGGTTCGCAACAAGGGAAATTGGATGTTTGCGAGGCCTTGAGCTGCGACTTCAACCACGGGGATTCCTGTTATTACTCTCTTTCAGGCCTTGGAGGAACGTATGTTCAATACATTTTAATATCACGCAATTTTCAGTGCTGAATGGCGAATTGGAGAACATTATTTTGGAAATCCGCACACTGGAATCCACAAGGCTAATCCGATTGATCAAAGGATGAGTGAGTTGATAGCAAAATGCGTTATGTTTCTTCTTTTCATCACGTACAGTGGGACCTCCGTACAACGAACCGCCATACAACGAAACCTGTCTATAACGTACAATCTCAATTGTCACTTTTATAACAAAATCAACCTCCGTAATTCACTATAACGAACAAGCGTTTTGCTCTTTGCGATTCATTGTATGGAGTCACTGTATCGAAATTTCGGTTTTTAATGAATAGTTTCAGCTGGCTTTGCTTTTGTCGGCCTGGATCGGAATGATTTTTCAACGGAAGTATTCGTCTTGGAATCGGCCCGTTTCTTCACCAAAGAGCCGGTTTACCTGGTCTTTGATCTCTATCAGCGCTCCGTGGGTCCTCAGTTGAGAGTGAGTTGGGATCTGAAAGCTGTTTATCGTGCCCAATCTATTTGTAGGTCTGTGTGAACTCCTTTGACAACTGTCCGTATGTTAACCCACCGTTGAACGCAAGGGAATTCTGGAGGCACGATCAGCGGATTCTGTTGGACGAAGAGGCCGAAAAGGTGGGAAATATGGGATTTGAAGTCCAAACTGGGTTCACATCGCCATATACAGGGTGTTTCAAGAAATTTGGAACAAATGACTTGCTTATATCTTTTTGTTCTTTGCAGCTATCAACGAATTTCTTTTTGCTTCTAAAAATTGACAGCGTGCGTTTTTAGAATCTCAAAAAATTTTTTTTCGTCGGCGGAGGGTCCATTTCTCGGCGGAAAAATTAGGGCCTTTTTAAAAATCACAGCTTATTACGTGGCGGAAACGCCGTTGCAACGGCTGAAATCAAGTTTACGTAATACCTCCATCGATTTTACGGTATGCTTTTTTGCGTTTTCGATTTTACGCACTTCCGCGGATGCGCGGCGGAGACCTCAGATTTCGGTGGACGTCGTTTTGGGCCTTCGGCTGTTGCAATTCATGTTGGAAAAGAGGTTGGGGTGATTTTTTCTTGTCATCCGATGCACAGATGGTAAAAATTTCGTGCTTTTTATCCCCGGCGGAGGAGTCGGCGGAGGCTTTATCAAAGGGTAAAAACAAAACTCGGCCGATTTGTCCGCCGGACCAAAAAAATCAAAAATCTTTGAAAGACAATGCTGCTCTGATGGATTCTTGTAGCTGAGATTTTTCCCGGACTCGTAAGACAGCTTTGACCCTTTGATAAAGCCTCCGCCGAATCCTCCGCCGGGGAAAAAAGCACGAAATTTTTGCCATCTGTGCATCGGATGACAACAAAAAATCACCCCAACCTCTTTTCCAACATGAATTGCAACAGCCGAAGGCCCAAAACAACGTCCGCCGAAATCTGAAGTCTCCGCCGCGCCTTCGCGGTGCGCGTAAAATCGAAAACAAAAAAATGCATACCGTAAAATCGAAGGAGGTGTAACGTAAACTTGATTTCAGCCGTTGCAACGGCGTTTCCGCCACGTAATACGCTGTGATTTTTAAAAAAGGCCCTAATTTTCTACGCCGAGAAATGGGCCCTCCGCCGACAAAAAAATTTTTTTTAAGATTCTATAAACGCACGCTGTCAATTTTTAGAAGCAAAAAGAAATTCGTTGATAGCTGCAAAGAACACAAAGATATAAGCAAGTCATTTGTTCCAAATTTCTTGAAACACCCTGTACATTAATGTTTTTATTTTTATATGCTACAAAAGTTTAGCTTACATGTAATTTAAATTGCTTTAGGTGTATTTCATTGCCGGGAAAGTCGGTCGAAACCTTTATTTGGCCATCGACAACATCCGCTTGCAGACCTCAGACTTTGAAGATTATTGTTCCCAGGTCCTGTAAAGCGTCCCCTCATCTTTGCAGTGCCATACCGGTGTCATACCAACGTATCTTAGAGATGTCTATCTTATACTTCATATTATTTATTTTGCGTGATCTCATCGTTTAATAAACGCATCCAGTGTGTTTAACGTCAACAACTTTATTCATAAAATTTTTCATTGTTCGCCTTGACCCTTTTTGGAGCTTAAACGATTCGATGGGCGTTTGTTTTTATAGTGTTTCAAAGAAGCCCTAAGGCAATGACCCCCATTTGTAAAAAATACCAATTGTAGCCAGAGATATTGAACATGCCAAATTTTGCCTTTGATTTTCGTCAAAACCAGGTTTACCTCGCCTTTGACCTTTACCAACGTTCCGTGGATCCCCAGCGGCGAGCGAGTTGAGATGCGGAAACGCTTAATCCACCCAATCCACTTGCAGATCTGCGTGAACTCCTTTGATACTGATCCGTATCTTAATCCGACCCGAGGGGACTTTGTCGACTATCTGCTTGCTATCACCGAGTTCATGACCTCAGGTGATAGCAAAGTGCCTAACGTGTCCAGTTGAAACAGGTTTGAGCTGAATATTATTTGGCTCATGTAACCACAATGCTATAGTCTAGTGACGTTACTGTTTATGGACAATTTAATTTTGAAACAGGATTTCAAGATAATCCGTGAGCAAGATGGACTGTAAAGGGCTTCCAGTTTCCAAAAAATACGACATGGATCACTGTTCATGTCGTAAAATACGCGCGACTGTCCTTGAACAAACAATTGTCGCCTTAGGCGTTCGCGCTCTTAGTCAGCAAATGTTTCGAATTAAACGGATTCCCAAATGTTTTTATAATTTGGGCGCGGATCATCGCCGCCGTCCCACAAAGCCGGTGGACCGGAAACGAAACCCATAAAACAACTTTTGCTTTTTGTCTGCCACCCCCAAATTTGCATTCCTCGAGGCATTTTCGAAAGTGAAGAAAAGAAAACGGACTAAACGGAGGGATTCTGAGGGCGCCGAAACTGGAACATACGGATCCGCTGCCTCAGGCGACAAATGCCTATCCCATTTGGGGCTCCGCCCAGCCGCTGACAGAAGCGCCAAAACCGCAAGGAGCGGGCTATCCATCATATTCGAAGGTCTAAGATATGATGACATTATGGGTCATCTTTTTGATTGGCCATGGTAAGTGGGGATTCGTTTTTGGTTGGTAGTTTTGATGATAATGAGGCTTTATAGATGACATAGATCAATTTTGACTTGACGTTTACTGTTAAATATTACAAAATTTTCCGCTTTCTTCCAGTTTTCCCAATATTTTTGGCTTGTCAACCCCCGCTACAGTACACCTCGAATGCTGTTTATGGAAGCAAAACCTATGAAGTCCCTGCTGCACAACCCCAACTATTAAGTCAAGGCGTCCAGTCAGCGTTTGTTCAAGATCCAAATTACAGTGATTATAAGCCAAATGCCCATGTCCCAGAGCCCTCGTTTAACGTGAATGGAGTCCCCAGTTTCTCCATTGAACATTCGGTTGAAGTGGATGATGGGAAAGCGTCGAATTCCCTTCAACCCGAGTTCAAATCACCTGATGATATCTCGAGTTTGGATGAGACCCAAAAAAGGCAAAATCTGGAAGTCGAAAGACAGATCAACGATGCTGTAGAGCTGCATGTCTTTGAAGAAAACGGATTAAACCCAAGCAATCATCCGCCATCCGATCCTCCAGAGCCCAATCAACTCCAATCCAAGGACCTTTCTCGGCCAGAAAATCCCTTTCCAGAGCATCGAAACCTCGCGGAATGGGCGAGAATCTGTTCAAGAAAAGAGCCGGCCGGATTCATGGAAATCCTGGATTGCACCGAAGTGGACTCCTTCAATGAAGATCAAAATCTGGCCGATCCTCGATACTCCTCGTGTAATTTTGATGAGAATTCGAGATGCCGTTTTTATGGGAATAATGAAGAAGAGTTGGTGTTCAGACGAGGGGCCTTTGTTCATCATAAAAATGGGTCTGTCTTTGGTCCCTTTGAAGAGAGTTTCTCGGTTTTAACCAAAAGACCCTTAGGGGCTTTACCTCAAGATGGATTTCTTGTGATGGCCGAACCCTTCGGAAACACTCCAGATGCCGCCGGGATCATTCAGATGGAGGTCAAATGTCAGAAAGGCGATGGAGTTTTGAGCTTTGAGTAAGCAGAGTTTTATTCAGAGTAGGGTGATCTACATACCATTGGTCCTTTAAATCCAACATTTATTTCAGCTATTGGACAACCGAGCCGAATGTGGAAGTAAAAGTTTGCACCCGGGTGGATGATGATCGTCGTTGCACCACGAATATCGAATATGTCCCAGATTCCAGTCGAGTTGATATTCAAGTTATCCACACGGATTCAGAGAATTTCTTAGTAGAAGTCATCGTCAGTGGATTCAAGAAGCCGGGTCTTTTCATCATGGACAATCTCGTTTATGAGGCGCAAGACTGTCTTTCAAAGGAGTTCAGTTCCGTAAGTTAAGCTTCATTCAATTAAACTTTTTTATTTTCAGAACCGTCCAAATCATCTGGACAGTCCAGTTAAGAGTTCCGAATCGGATGTTCTGAAGGATCGGACGCCTCCATCTCTTCAGATTCCCTCCCTTCTTATCGACCGTAATTCAGGGGCGGGGTCGAGCTTAAGGATAAGACAATTAAATTCGAATCCTTGCAAAGCAATTGAATGCAGCTTCGAGAAGGATCTTTGCGGGTATTCCCAGTCAGTCTTGGACGACGATGTTAAGTAAGAAGCTTGTTATTTATCACCTTATACATCAAGACCATCTAATATCCCAACTCTTTTAGCCACGGCAAATGGCAGTTCAGTCGCTCACGGATTGGAAATATAAACACCGAATCGAACACCAAATCCAATCATTGTAAGTATAACTACCACCTTTCAGTAATGCTTGTGTTATTACTGCTTTTCGCTTATAATTTTACCTGTTTCCAGCTGGTTTCGCGTATGTTGGAGTGGACGACAGAGGTGTCAATACGAAAGGGCGGACCGTGTACATCCTCGAATCCGAGGAATTCAATCTCCCAGCAGAGGCTGAACTTCGATTTGCCATTTACAAACAAAGCAACGCCATATCATTACAGGTACGGCAGCGCTTAGGATGCTGCCCTAATTTTATTCCTTGGTCTAGATTTAATATTTCTTCAGGTTTGTATCGATTCCCTGGCCAATTGTCCTTACGAGGCCCCACCCATAAAGGCTCATTGGAGAGAAAATGAGACCGTGGTCTTACCCAGCGGCACTAAAAAGGTATGGTTTAAAGTCGTGCCCGTCCACAATGAGCAGACCATAATATAAAGGGAGAGCCCTTTGGAATGTCATAGATTCTCTTATACCATTGCAAAAAAGTAAATTTCGAAAAAATGAAGCCATATTGGCAAATTTGCGGTAAGTGTAAAAATTTAAGTGCAAAAAATTCTTACCATGTATAATCGGGTAAATCGTTATTATCGAAGATTATTAGAAACTCAGTCTTCAAAAACATTTCTTCGGGAATTACACTTTTAAAAAATTTTACACTAAAGCTCACGTTTTTGCACTTATACCTTTTTCGAACCAAAATTTTTTTACTGTAACGGTGACACTCCACCGGGTTCTCGAAATCTGTCCGTTATGGCATCTGCTCATTATGGACTGTTGCCTTTAAAAATGACATTAACTTAGATCTTCTTCGTTGCCACCCAATGGAAACGATTTAAATGGCTGGGAATCGATGAGATCCGATTAGACTTTGATTGCCATGAAACCCATTAATTTAGCCATTACGTATACATATTGCACATCATCAACGTGCAATGTCTTCTCTAATCGTGCCGTAATACTTATAATCTATGACAATATTTATTACACATACTCGTACATTCCATTAAACCCATCCTACTTTACTTTTTTCGGTTTCACCTTCTGTCCGATGCATTTGAGGGCTTGATTGCGCAACCTTTTATAAGGTTGGGTTAACTCGCCGCCACCCATTTTGAGGCCATTGGTCAAGTAGACTATTACAATTTCGTCTTCGTGATCGATCATCATGTTACTCCCGCCATGACCGGGATGACCGTAAAGGTATTTTCCCTGGGAAAAGAGATTGATTATCGCTTTGGTTGATACCCATAACTTTTCATAAACTTTATATCTACCTGTTTGTATGGATGTCTCTCATACATAAATCCATGTCCTTTGGCTGTTGGGATCTTCAAACAAACGTCGGTTTGAACAACTCTGGGTAAGTCGAGTCTTCTGAGAGTTTCCTTTGAGATCAATGTCCCATCCAACATCAAGGCGAAGATCTTTCCCAAATCCCTGGCTTTGGTGATGCCTAAGGCGGCTGGTTGTTCCAAACGATGAACAAGGGGACTGTTGAAGCTGTTAACTCCCTAAAAGTTCACTTAAAAACGTGAAAAACACACGATGACCTCAAAAACTTTCACTCTTATCAATCATCTACCTTTTCGGTGCAAATAAATTCAATATTGTTGACCTGTTTCCGCAATCCGACATCTCCACCACTGTACAAGCAAGTAAGAGCGATAAGAATTCGAGGATCATGGACGATTTCTTTCAAGAAATAGGAATTTGTTGGGATTGCCAAGCGGGATACTGTATGTTGCTCATGTGAAGGTAAACCCAAGAAGAAATCGATATCTAAAAAGAACACTGCAAGCAATTATGGAAAGTACTTACTATAAGGTTCGGTGATCTCTTCTCTGATATAATCTGCCATCCCTCTTCCTCGTTCATCCACATGTCTCACAATTTGATCTACCAACCATCCAAAACTAACTGCGTGATAACCACTCTTTGTGCCTGGAGTCCATGATGGTTTTTGGCGTTCAATCAACTTCGCCATGGCTTTAGGATCGCTGGCAATTTCCAAAGTAACCGGCTCCTCATACAGACACAACCCAGCCTGATGATGTAGAATCATTTCTACCGTAATGTTCTCCTTTCCTTCTTGCCCAAATTCCGGCCAAAATTCAACAATCTTCTGCTCATATTTTAGTTTCCCTCGATCCACCAGCATTGCAATTACAAGAGAGGCCACTGCTTTTGTGACCGAGAAGATGACAGTCCTTGTTTCTTCCGTCCATCTTGTTCTTGATGAAGCGTCTTGATAACCTCCTTGAAGATCCACAACAAGTTCGCCGCGGTAATAAACGGCCACCGCTGCTCCTTCCGGCTCCCAGCCATCCCGGAAATTCCTTCTGGAACTTATTCTTTAGACAAATATCATCTTATACTAGACACTACACCCTCGAAGTAACGACTTCAGTCGACTAAATCGGAAATCCGTTCCCACCACGAAAGAGAACTCACCGAAAAACCTCTTCGACTTTTGCGAAACGCGGATCGGTGTTTCCAAAAATAGTGTTCATAGCCATCTCGAATGACGTCTTCTCCAAAAATTACGCGCAGCGTCTGAACCCGGAGGGGCTAAATCACAAGAGCATAAAGAGAATATCGAATAAAGGGGGTCTTATTGTTGTCGAGCTCACCTTGAATCGAGACGTGGAAGCTTCGAGGTGAGGTGACCAAAAACAATGATATTCTTTATCAGAAATAACTCGTTTAAAGAGAGCAATAGAATCAGAACTAGGTGAGGAGGTGAGTGGAAGAAGGCTGAATGACGAACATTGGAGAAGTTAGTTTCTAATCACAAGTGGGTCTTATCAATCTTATCAAACAAACAGAAACTATACATCACATCGACTAACGAGGAAAGTACCCCAAGTGCGACGCTCAGATTTTCTTAAATCTGGCACTTATGCTGGGCATGGGTACGTATTAATTTCTAAAGTTTTCGTTCGGGACTTTCAGAGGCAGTCGAGACATTGAACCGTCTTTGAGGCCGAGAGAGTACACGGAACGCCGAGAGCGGTCACAGAGAAAAACATTTTTCGACCATATTTTTCCCATTTTTGCGCGGAAAATATTATGTTTTTGTTAAAACATTACCGACTATGGTAGAAATAGGTATGAAACTTTACATGGCAAAATTTGCAAAAAGTTTCCCAGTTTTCCGCCTTTCGACCTAAAAATTTCGGTCGTTTCTGTAAAGCGCGAGCTAGGAGTATCGCATACGTCTTAGAAAACATTAATCTAAACTTGTGCCAAGTTTTAAATCTGAGCGACGCACTTTTCGGTGTTCCCCTGTTTGTAGACACAGAGCACAAATTACAATCAAAGCAAGATGAATACCTTAAACGAATTAAGAAATATTTTAACACACAAAACAAGAGTCCAATTCCAATCTACATGAAGTTTATGGGTACAATTTACAGACCAACCCCAAGTCCCCTTTCGCCCTTTCCTTCCTGGAAATTGGTCAGACAAACAACGATGGTTTTGAAGGTGGGACGCTCTTCCTCGGCTCCAATACATTCTCCAAAGAGTTGTTTGATGTAAGCCGGAGCACTATCAGGCATGCTGAGTTTGTAATTTCCTTCAATCACTTCATCATAAACCTAAAAAAAAAAAAAAATAAGATCACGAAAATAATATTGAACAAACATATTATCAAACAAACTGTACTTTGTTAGCATCCCAATCCTCGTATGGAATGTGATATGGATCGACAAAAACCTCGTACATAGTAACTCCAAAGGCATAGACATCAGTCGATTTGTTGACCGTCTGTTTCTTGTACACTTCTGGAGCCAACCATCTCAGATTGAGAGGTTTGTTGGTGTCCACTTTGTAACTATTACATTTCCTGGACATTCCAAAGTCAGCCACTTTGACAACCTCATCGTCAATCAACAGATTTCTGGCAGCAACATCTCTGTGGATCGTTCCTTTATCGTGAAGATAACCAAGTCCCTTGGCTGCATCCAAAAGCATGTTGATCCGCTGTCTGATGGTCAATTTTCCGGCCTTCTTGATGAGATATTTGTCCAAGGATCCCCCTCGAACCAACTCCATAATGAGGTAATATGGCTAAAGGACGAAAAATAGATAAAAATATATTACACTTACCAAAACATCATTGGCAACTCCATACATCTTGACGACATTTGGATGATCGAAAGACTGATGATATCTGGCTTCTTTCCACAAGGCATTTGACGCTTCAGCAGTCATTTCAGAGAGCACTTTTACAGCTACCTAAAACAATAAAAAAAGCCCAATCGAGTTACCTTAATGACTTTTTGCCGTTCAATCATCATGGTGCCAGTGTAGACAGTCCCATAAGATCCTTGGCCCAATTCTTTTCCCAACTTGATCATTTGTTGACGCAATTCCCAGGATTTTCTTCGGATCGGACTATCCAAGAAGCAGGTGGTTCCGCAAATTATAAGGGGAGTTTTCTTGACCTGATACATGTCAATGGCATCTTTAATGGAGTCGAAATTATGCTCCTGGAACACCCATCCTCCTTTTTTGTTCTCGAGGACGGCTGCGTTCAGGACCTAAAAAATACATTTCTATGATCTGAAGAGAAAGAAACGTGTGAGTTGTGACAAAAGGTTTACATTTTTTCCCCATCGAATACTAACAATGATGTAGTACTCCTGATCCCTGATGATTCCCCTCAACAAGAAGTCGCCATCCGTCTTGAGCAAGTTGGCCGTGTCCTCATTTGGAAGTAGACCATGCCAGTAATCCAACTTGGCGAATTCTCCGGTCAAATGATTCTTCGCGGTCTTATCATCTTCCTTCTTCTTCGACATTGTCAAAAGGATTCGGAAAATTCGACCGTTGGCTTCGAATACTCGGGCTGAAAATTATGATGATTTTTGCGGAATATGCAAATTTTGGTGTCTAAAATCCATCCAATGTTCGAGAAAAAACATTTGCTAGAGGCATTATTTTCTTCCTATATTGGCTTAACCGCACTATTCAATGTGTTTAAACGGTATTTGACTTTCGGACCAAAATTTAATGACTATTTTAGTATTTTTTTTGAATAAATTGTAAAGAACATCTTAAAACGCGCTATTTCTTTTGATGCAGAGTGTGATTTACTTGCCGTGAGTGAGCAAAGAGTGACCAGTACACCTTCTTTTGGCGCTAATTTATCCATTTCGGCGCAAAAATACCTTCTCCCGCCCCTTTTCCCTTCGATTACACCATGTAATTATTGGTTGTCATAGCAATCCTTTGGCCAGGTCAAACGAATAAACGCGTCCTTCTTTTGTGACTCGCCCAAGGCAAATGGGGTCGACCACATCATGGTATAACAGTTTCCTCAACAACACTGTCATTCCATTGAGCAATCAGCGATTAAACTTGGCCAAATCCATCGGCTATGCGCTTTCTGTGGCAAGGATCGACTTCAAAGAGGTGAGTAGACGGAATTGGGGCTTGATTATGGTACATTAGCCGCGGATCGAAACCTAAAACCAATTTTTAAACTATCTATGATAACTTTGGCTGTTTTTCATGTAATTTCCGGCAACCTTCGCTTAATTCTAGACAACCAATCATTTTTATTACTCGGCACCGGAGTTTATTACCTAATCTACAAATAACAACACGCAATAGCGTGTTTTAAGGTTTATTTCTCATAAAATGCCCCTTCTGACATTAAAGTGCATAATAAATTAACATTGGTGAAGTTCGCCCACTAATCAAACACTCTAAGACAAATAGGCATGACTTCAGAAAACCCAAGGAAGAGAGAATATTTATAATTCGACCTTACCACTTCAGCTGCCCCATGAAAGTGCATTTGACATTAGCATTTTCTTCTTTGATCCGGTTACAAAATCCTTCTTTGGAAACCAATACATCAGTGAAGTGAAGAGAGGAAGTGGCACCGACTATCTTCATTTCCATGAGACGGTTTTCTTCTCGGGCTCTCAACAACCAGACAAAGTTGTCATTGTAATTGAACTAGTGAAGAGAGAAAGAAAAGCCTGGGTCTGCGGATTCACTGTGATCCCATTGATATCCAAATCCTATGCATTGACCGACTTCTCGGCTACCAGTTCACGAGATTTTCCTTGGCGAAGGTGAGAGCGGATTTCTGTCTTTTTATTTGGACACTTCGCGATTTTGTAGCAAAAAGACGAAATGTCACAAAAATATGGGACTTCTCTAAAATACGACCTCAGGATCGCGATGTCGGGATTTTCGTGTTTTTCCATAGAAATTTACCTTGAAGCCTTCATTTTGATTTTGTATTCATTTGTTTTTTTATGATGTTTATTATTTATCTTATTTTAGATATCAATTCTTCAAAGGATCATGCAAAATTCTCATGAATTGCGATGGACCTCTCGAAGACAACAAAAGCCTTGTCAAATTGAATACATTCATCAACTGTGTCGTGCAGACTCATCAAAAATTAAACGATTACCTCCAGTATTTGCCGGATTACTATTTAGTCGCCCCGAAACAGAAGGTCCCAGGATTCGTATCGCCTCAAGACGGGTTTCAGCTGGCTAATCCAGAACCTCAAGAGCTCCGTACAGCTATCTTGGATAATGTGGAGGTAATTTTCTAATCCGTTTAAGCGGCTTTGAGGGATTACCTGTTACGGATAGTATAATATAACCTCGATGATTTATATCTGACGGCAAGTTCTGGAGGCCATTATTTTTTCGCGCCTACATAAAATTCGATAATTTTCCACACTAAAAGTCAATGTTATGTAAAGTACTATGAATTTGCTGGAGTTGCAACTAATTTGAGGGCATTTGTAGATTTTATATACGACGGCACATATTGAAGGGAATATTCTCGAGCTGTTGAACAAAGAAAGATGCTTTTGTATGAACAAGTCGCCTTCTGATGCCTCCGTGAAACCTTTGAGTGTTATCGACAGGAGGATAAGAGTTGGGATTCATAACAGTATCACGTTTGTCGAAGAGCCCTTGAAATTTGATTTGTCCAGTGGGAGTGGACCATTGACTGCCAGACAATCCAAGGGAAGTAGAAATTTGTAAGTATAGCTCTTATGTCATGGGAAATATAAAAATATTTTTTTAATGTTTGACGCCGCCTTTTTTTGTATGGATGTCATATTTACTATCAACTGTTTTATTAGCTGTTTTCAGTCATGTTGGTGTCTATTCTGTCAACAATACGATAAAACTCTCGAAACTCTTCGAAGATGACAAATGCGCTCTGATTTTTATGCTTGAATATCAAATTGGAGTGAGAAGAGCGAGCAATATCAGCACAGACACCCAATGGGTCCTTGTTTGTTGGAATGCTTGGTGCCCGTTCAACAATGGGACCTTCAAGGAGACAGATACGATCACTCTACCCATGGTTGGAGGTCCTCGACCAAATCCATTAGACGTCCTTTGTTTCAAACACTTATCGAAGATCCGAATGAAGGATGAGAATGTTCTTGGAGGGGAGAATAGTCAGATCAGAATACGCTTTAATTATGCAATGATTGATGTAAGTTTAACATAAGATATGGGCAATATAAATTCCAGGAGACCTCACATCTCTCGCCGATCTCAAGTCGAGTTACAACTCCAAAGCTACTGGCGAGGCGGAGGAAAGAGGAGAATATTGTTTTGTCATCTGATTCCGAAGAAGAATTGTCTCAAATTCCAAAGAAATCAACAGTTTTAGCCCCGGAAAAGTCTCCAAAACAGCAAAGAAAACTGATTTCCGAAGCAGCGAGGCCAGCGGCATACGAAGAAGAAGATCGGGCCATATCTCCAGAATTTGACTCCATTCTGAAGCCAGAATCCATTGTCAAAAGAAAGGAAATTCTCCTCGAAGCCGACGAATTCGCGGATCACCCGGTTTATCTGCCAGGTAGTCCAAGGTAAACGGGGATTTCATTGTCAATGTCTCGTGCTTTCTGTCCATCTTTGAAGTGGGGCGACCCTATAAATACTGATGGTTTGATTTCCAGAACTTCTTCGATATCTCGGGCAGTGAGGTCGTATCTTTCCAAAGCCAAGTTTCCTCAGATCTTGGATCGACATGGCAAAGCGTTGAGGGTTGTGGATATGGGGTCATTGCCTGATGTCAATATGAATCTGGAATATAACACGAGACTGGATACCCATGAGATTGTACTACAATTCTTGGCCATCATGCCGTGAGTCCAAATCAATTGTTTAATGCATAGGATGGGAAATTTTTGACACTATTGTGGAAGGGTTTAAATTTATTTTTTGTTTCAGAATCAGCAATAACATCTACAACTTTTCAAACAGCGGCTTCAAATATTTCTTTACCTTCCAATTCTATAGATTCAATCAAATCAGCACGGAAGTGTAAGCTTAGTTCTGAAGATTACTGTATGGACAGTTTGTTTTTAGATTGTCAGCACATCCCGCTCAAGAATTCAAAAAAGGGGATCCTCTTTTGCTGAGAAGAGTTGACGAAAATGGAGCTGTCATTGGAAATACTGATGGTTTAATGGTAAGGAATCGTTTAGAATTCTGTAAAATAAAAATTTTGTAGATTCGATTTGTGGTTGACCGACAATCCGCCTTCAATCAGCGGGATTTTGCCAATTTTTTGCTCAAATCCAGCTTATTCATTGATGTTTGGGATGCGGAGTCGTTGATGCACTTGGGACTCTGCACAGTGCCACTAAAAGTAAGTAAAAAATACGGAAATTTGAGAATAGAGCCAAAAAAGGCTCTGACAGTACGAATACGTCTAACGCACATATCAAATTTGCGGACAAAAGTCTCGATCACAGCCGGCCGGAGTCGAACCTCCGACTTTTCCAATGCTAGAGAAATGTCTAACCCACTAGACTAAGCAAACATTCTTTTCCAGGGGCTTTTGAGACATGGGAATGATGGAATCCAAACAGATGTGCAGTGCAATGTTATGGAGAGTGGTGTCCCATTAACTCAGGCTACTGTAACATCAATTTTGTATCTGAGAATGGGAAATGTTGGACATCCGGCATTAAATCAATTTGGTGAGTGAATTTGAGCAGATTTTTGATATTTTTTATTGCAAAAAAACATTCTGAGTATTTTAGACATCTTAAATAGTCATAACAAATTGGTGGTATCATCCTTCCGACTTCCCAGGCTCTCCATCTCGACAAAAGAACAAAAAGCGAAGGTCAAACCATTAGAATCTATTCATGAAACAGCTTTGCAAAGATTATTTACGGCACAAAAGTAAGAAAGGGTTTATTTTTACTATTCTCTGTGTAGAATTGACATCAAACAGCGGGAGCAAGATATATTTGGAGATCAGAACTTATTCCTGCTCGAGAATTGGGAACAATTAAAACAAAAAACAGAACTCAAGAGTAATGTAAAATTGAGAAAGTTCTTGTTCAAGGAAGAATTGGAGGCCTATAAGAAGATGAGAAGTGAGAACAAGGCGCTGAAGCTGCTAAAAACAATATTTGAATCGATTACGCAAAGAAAGTCGATCTCGATCAGAAAAGGGGAAGTGCAATTCTTTGAGTTTTCCCTCAAGAATACGTTCGCCCAGCCGATCAATTGTGTTATTGATGTAAATTCCAAGAGATTACAAGTGGTCACACAAAAGGATGAGATGATTTACGTTACCAACAAACTCGGAATTAGATTGGAAAAAGATTTGGCCAATCGAAATGAGAAGGGAGAATTTAGTTTGTATTTAAAAGCCATGGAAACTGTTACTTTACCCTTCAAAGTGGATTGTTTTGAGCTGAATGAGATGGAGAATGCACACTCATTTGAGGTTAAGGTGATTATTTTTTGGTGGTTTTTATCTTGTTTTTAGGCGATTTTCAAGAACGCGGAGAACGGAGAACCGATTTCCATTTTGGAATTGACTTGTCATAAGTTTAATACGATTGTCAGCCAGACGTTTCGCTGGTTTTTGGAGGAGAATCAGAAGTTTTCAAAGGTCATCCGACTTCCGAGTAAGTTGGCATTTCCATTTTTGGATTTTTTTTATTTTAGCCCCTGTCCGCATCCAATCCCTCAGATGTACTGATCCCAATGTTCTATGTTTGTTACGTAATAATCCGACATCCGGCCAAGAAGTCTTACTCTCGGGGTTCTCGAGTGAATCTCCGTTTTGTTTGGAGTTCCAGATCTATCTGTTCAGAGATGTTTTTCATTCGGATTTGGCCTTGACATTGTGTGTTACAGTACACTCATTGAAGAGATTTAATGTCCAAGCCATTCAAGGACAAGCTTCAAGGATTCCATTGTGTTTGGGGTAGGGGAATTTAATATTTGTTATATAAATTGTTTTAGGGATCAAGTCGAGCTTTCAAATTCAATGCTGCGATTATTCTCAAGCTCAAAAGCTTTGGAAATTAAGCCAAGTGACAGCATTTTCATAGATGAAATGACTTCGAAAGCCCTTAGGGCTATCATCAGACCGAATTTCCGAGGTAAACTTGGGTTTTCTTGGGTCGATTTTGTTGTACTTGATGTCTTTGATTTCCATCATGGTGATTTTAGATCGAAGAGCTGTAATTGTGACCGCGGTGGATTCAAATTTGAGGAAGCTGATTACCGGGTGGATATTTTATATCTATGTGACCAAACCCAATATTGTAAAGACTTTCCGAGTAGAGATTCCATTAATTCTTGATCAAGAAATTCTCAAGGTAGGTGACATAGAATAAAGATAATTTATCTTTGACTCTTAGAAGGTCCCGATTGATAATCAATATCCCACTACCAAATCTTTCCGGGTTCACACGTCCAATGAAAAGATCCTTTATATTCCCGATGACTTTATTGAAATTGAAGCCCACTCTTCAAAGAATATTAACGTCCTATTCAAACCCGCAACTTCGGGAAGGCCATTTACTGTAAATGTAAGAGTTATTATGGTGCTTGATTACTTTTAATGTTGGTATTGTTTTATGTAACCATGGAGAATGTTTTTTTTTTCAGGAACTTTTGTTTATCGAAAATGCTCAAAATGGATGTCAAGAAGAAGCGTATGCTTTGGAGATCTTATATCAGTGAACGAAATATTCAAGAAATGTAGATAAAAGTTGAAATGCAATAATTTTGTTGATTGTTGAGTTTTTTGTAAATAAATTTATTTTCCATGAAAATGAACCTTTGGATCGGTCTAATTCTTTTTCCTCTGGTTTTTGGAGTCCCCTCAGCTACCGATGGCACCATTAAGCTTACCACAAATATCAAATTTGACGACCAATTCAACAAAAAATCGGTAAAATACGGCATTTTTTTGTTTAAAACTTGTACATTAAAATTAAGTTTTATGAAAAGTTCTGTGATTTTGATCCTATGATTACATTATTTCAGGATGATTTAAAAGCCGCGTGTTTCGAAACGTTGCGTGTTGAACGGCGCGTCAATGAATCGCTGCAACTGGATTGGGACAAGGAATTATGCCCAGATCCCATCAAAATTGATATTGTCATTGCCGATGCAGAAGATCGGGAGGAACTTGCTCAAGCTGAGGATATAAATGGAGGTCAATTGCTGGGAAAAATTGGAAATCAAACGTATTCATATGTCAGAGCGGAAGAAAAATTGGAATGTAAGAATAACGAGGTCCAAAGGGAGGAAACGATGTATATTATGGAGAGTAAATTGGTGCTGGGAGATAAAAAATGTGGTGAAGAAAGAAGTAAGTGTAATATTCATTAATTATGCGAAAGAGAAAACGTTTTTGTAATAATTTAGTGGTCGCAAAATTAACGGATCGTTTTCCAATTTTTTCTTGAAAATTAAAAATTTTTTGAAAATCCCGTAAGTATCTCACAATACGACGACAATTATTAATTTTTTTGACATTGTCATGATGAATGATTTACATGATTTTTAGGGAAGATCTTGACATTTTACCTCGTTTTACCGCACAGTTTATTCCCCCAAACCAAATTTCAGAAAATTTATGCCCTTTTTAGCTCAAAAAAACAAACTAAAATTTTTGGGTGCCCTTCGTGGCATTTACAGATGTATTAGACAGGATTTAAAACTCGTTAATTACTCCCAAATTCTAATTCTGGGGTTTAATTTTATCCCATTACCGTAATCCTTCAACTTTCAGATGACAAATTCTCGGTCATCCAATTGGTCACCGTGATCAGTAGCAGCATGGTCGTCGTCTGTTTTATTGTCTGGCTGATGGTTCGTTATGTGGAAAGGGAAAAACAAGTATTTGTGAAGAATATTGAGTCCAAATATAGACAAAAAGGATCGATCCGAGAGCCGAAAACAGCCATAGAGAAATCACGAAAAGGAGGCGCCACGGATAGTGTTAGTGCCGTTGCAAGTACTCAGAAAGGAAGTGCTGAATAGGAAAGCTCTGACAGTCAGTGAAATTGAATGGCCAGAAAATATTATTAAACTTCGAATTACAGTACTGTTTCCTGTATTGTAAAAAATCTGGACTCTGATGGACTCAAGATTTGCTATTTATTAGCAAAAGGCGTTAGTACAGCTGTAAAATGGCTTCAGCTTCGTGAATAATACATCGACAAATCCACAGTTGAGATATACATATTTTCGGCCACTACTTCGCCGTTGGCGTGATTAAGATGATTCGTGAATTCGGATGATTCGTCATGTAATCAAAGTCTTCGTCCTGCAGGTAGGGATTAATGCTCCCCTAATTAAGCCCTCCGTCCCTAACTCTATTTTTTATTTTGTCTTTATATTCGTTCCCCCACCTCTCAACGAACACCGAGGACGGCGGAAACGTGTGTGCCCTGAGGGCCGTGTGAATGCAAGAGCAGCCCGCGGTGCATATAAAGAGGGTCTGCGGCTTCTTTCGACTTGACGTCATGTCCAACAACAGGCCCCGTGAATGAAACACGAAGCGAACGGGACACGGCGTTCCCCGCAATGTGTTATTCACTTGTTTGGCCGCCATGCCATGAGTGAGTGGGGCCATGGCTTTGCCTGTAGAGGCATCTTGTTTTCTCTGATGTTCATGGCAATCTAGTGGATTCTCTGCTATTCTCGAGCTTGGAAGTCAAATTTTTCACCGAATCTCCCCTCTTTTTCTTTCATGGCCATACTGTCCACCTTTTTTTTCATGGTTTCCCGACGTCCCTTAACTTTTCGGTCGTCTCTTCTCGCTGCACACTCCCTCTTCCCAGAATCCCCCCTTCCGAGCCGTTTTTTCCGTCGCGCACTCTCCGCCCGCTATGCACGGCTCTCGTGCCCTGAGGGCATTTATTGATTGTCCCTCCCCATTCGGCGCTTTCTCTACATTCCCCGGCCTCAGGGCGTCCGACGTGCTCCAGTCGTCCGTCCCAAAAAAAGGCCCAAAACTTGGGTCGAAGGAACGGCCGAACGTCCGTGGAAGATTAGGTGTAAACCCATCTTAATCTTCGTCTGTCGTCATTCCATTTATTGCCTCTTCTTTGAGGTAATGGCAGCTGATAAGCGATGGCAGTGAGAATTTATTTCTTTTTGCTTTAGGTGTTTTGCACGTCATCGAATCATTTTTCGATTCATTTGCATGGCTTGAGTATTCCGGGAGGGAAAATGTGACATTTTTCGATATTCCGATGCCATAATTGATCTTCGTACCTGGCGGTACACTCCTGAATATTTTATTTATCACATGGAGGGTGTGAAAATAATATTAAATCCACCACATCTCTCTGGCCTTGCTCCCCTAAAGTGACGGGTTTTGTTTTTCGTGGAATTTTTGATTCGAAATTGTAAAAAGTTGTGAAGTGATGAGAATTAAGATGATTGCTTTGCAGAATTATGCGGCAATGTGATCGAGGAACGAGCCTTGGTCTCTTCCTCATCTTGAATGTCGTCTTCTTGGACCTGGTCTCCTTTGTTCGGGCCGCCGAAGTCTACACCAACCACTTCCTAGTCCACACTCACAAGCCCGGAATCGAACACGCACACCAAGTCGCCAAGCGACATGGATTTGTAAATCGTGGCTCGGTAAGTTGAAGGGAGCAAACGCCGATCTTATGAATTCTGACCAAGGTCTGATGACAATGCAAATACTCAAACATTTTACATTTCTGATGGCATTGCGGCATTAGAATATATTCAAAATGCTGTCGCAGCAAAATTTCGCCATTTAAACCTCCCTCCAGCTGCTTAGCGTAAATTGTTTGTATTGATTTAGACATTAGAATTTCAAAATTTTAGCCTTTCCCCAAATTGTTAAAACTAAATCGTAAATAACTTCCTCGTTTTTTATCAAATGCCCCTTTATATCCATTTTTCCCTTTCACATTTTGTTGACCCTGCATGGGACTCGGGCCTGTCAAGAGACGGGTTACGGTAGCTAATTAGGTAAGCGCGAGAAGGAGGGAATCCGAGTGGATTCCGAGAAATTGGAACTTTATTCAACATCCCACTTGCAGGTACTCGGATCGGACACGCAATGGCACTTTGTTCACAGTGGCCTCTCACACGCTCGGACCCGCCGATCCATCGGGCATCATGTCAAGTTGAACAAGGACACTGATGTAAGTTGATCAACATACATATGTAATATTTACTCTTTAACAAATTTTATAGTAATAAGACAAGATTTGTCCATTATTATGACTATATAATCTATTATTATGCACGGTTTTAGGTGGCCTATGCTGAACAGATGACCGGTTATCGGCGTCTGAAGCGCGGCTACCGTCCCTTGGAGGAGCGTCTTCAAGAACAACTCGATTTCACGGCGGTCCAATCGCCTTCCGACCCGTTGTATCCATATCAATGGTACCTGAAGAACGTTGGCCAATCCAACGGAAAGCCCCGACTCGACTTGAACGTGGAGAAGGCCTGGGCCATGGGAATCACCGGCAAGAACATCACCACCGCCATCATGGACGACGGTGTCGATTACATGCATCCCGATCTCAAGAACAACTTTGTAAGCGGTTGCTGATTAATTCCGGCCCATTTTCTATTATTTTTATCGTCGTTGTTTGTTACGATTGATTGATCTTGATGCCTTTCAGAACGCGGAAGCCAGTTATGACTTCAGTTCCAACGACCCTTTCCCATATCCCCGATACACCGACGATTGGTTCAACTCTCACGGCACTCGATGTGCTGGCGAGATCTCAGCCGCCCGTGATAACGGAATCTGCGGAGTTGGAGTGGCCTATGACAGCAAAGTGGCCGGAATTCGGATGTTGGATCAGCCCTACATGACGGATCTGATCGAGGCCAATTCTATGGGACACAAACCTGACCTGATCCACATCTACTCTGCCTCATGGGGCCCAACTGATGATGGAAAGACCGTGGATGGCCCCAGGAACGCCACCATGAGAGCCATCGTTGAAGGAGTCAACAGCGGCCGAAACGGCCTCGGTTCCATCTTCGTGTGGGCCTCTGGAGATGGTGGAGAAGACGACGATTGTAACTGCGATGGGTATGCGGCTTCCATGTGGACCATTTCCATCAATTCGGCCATCAACAACGGCGAGAATGCCCATTACGACGAGTCCTGCTCTTCCACTTTGGCCTCGACCTTCTCCAATGGCGGTCGAAACCCGGAGACTGGTGTTGCCACCACTGATTTGTACGGACGTTGTACCCGCAGTCACAGTGGCACTTCTGCGGCTGCTCCCGAGGCTGCTGGAGTGTTCGCTTTGGCTTTGGAAGCCAATCCTCAACTAACCTGGCGAGATCTTCAACATCTTACAGTCCTCACTTCTACCCGCAACTCTTTGTTTGATGGACGATGCCGAGAACTCCCTGAATTGGGAATCAAGGATAACCACAAGAACAAGAAGACCGGAAACTGCACTCGTTTCGATTGGCAGATGAATGGAGTTGGACTCGAGTATAACCATCTGTTCGGATTCGGTGTTCTGGATGCCGCTGAGATGGTCCAATTGGCCATGGTCTGGAAGACAGCTCCCCCACGATTCCATTGTGAGGCCGGAACCATCGACACTCCTCAGTAAGATACTTTAGTTGTATATTTAACATTTTAATCATTGCTTTAGAACTAACTTTTGATTATATTATTTTTAGTGAGATCCCGGAAGACGGAAACTTGATCCTCGAATTGAACACCGACGCTTGTGCTGGCTCAGCCACCGAGATTAACTACCTGGAACATGTGCAAGCTGTGGTCACCCTGAACAGCAGCCGTCGAGGAGACACAACCCTCTATCTGATCTCGCCCTCAGGCACTCGCACCATGATTTTATCGAGAAGACCCAAGGATGACGATGCCAAGGATGGGTTCACCAATTGGCCTTTCATGACCACCCACACCTGGGGAGAGAATCCGCGGGGTCGTTGGAGATTGTTGGCCAGATTCCAGGTAAGAAATTTCCATCACATTAGACAAAGATATAATTCTTAATATTTTTTTCTTTAAAATTTGCATTTTCCTCCCTTCCAAATTGTTAAAGTTTTGACACTAAATTTTGAACCCTGAGGCAAAAACTCCGAGAACACCTCCGTATCCTCTCATGCATGCCCTAAGGCGACAATCGTAACAGTGTTACCTCATTGGCTTAGTGACGTCCCCACACCTTCAATTATGCAATTTCAGGGCGAGGGCAAGCATCGCGGCACGCTGAAGAGATTCACCCTCATGCTTCACGGAACCAAGGACGCGCCTTACGTGGGAATCGAGCCTCTGGAGGGACATCGGAATGCCAAGTTGCAGCTGGTGCAGACGGCCCACAAACGCATGGTTCAGTGAGCGCACCGTGCTGACGTCCATCGTCCCTTTTCTCTTCTCCATTCATCTTCTGTTTGTCATCTCACTAACGAAACGAACGTTCTTCTCTTTCTTCTGGCGTTGTTGGCTTCCTGTTGGGACGGTTCCCTGTTTTTCTCTTTTTCTCTGCTCCCTCTCCATCTCCCCGTGCTCTCTCCACCTTGTATTTATATCTTTTGTATTTATACATCGTTGTGTTTATGAATTGAAAACCGAGAGACTTAGATAAAACTGGTCCTTAACCGAGGTGTTGAATCGCTCCGACAGCAGGAAGGCGGCCGATGAAAAGATGCTGATTTACAGCACTATGATCAGAGACTCTTAACTGATGATAGGATGTAAATTATTGTCCACTCTCTTGTCCATCAGTACCATCTAGAACAAGAAAAAGAACCAAAGAGAATCAGCTCCATTTACTCTCCAATTCGAATATATCCGGTCATCATAATCTCTGATCTTCCCTTCTCTTTTCTCTCTTTCTCTCCCTCGCTCTCTCTCTTCCGTATTCACTTTTTTCTCGGCTTTTGTGGCGGCTACAAGTGTGAAGGTTATCATCCCTCGAGGTCATCCGAAGATTGGGCCCTCCCTCTCTCCCTTATATAGTATTGTAAACAAACAATTCGACGCGGTCTCATCCAAATGTATATCCCTTGTAAAATGTAATGTGCAATCCAGCGCTCTCGAAATGAAAGAAAACAAATAGTTCATCCTTTGTTGATGTTATCCTGGATTAAACTAAATCATACCCAACTGATATCCCCTCCGGGGATTGTGGTATTCGAATAAACATTGGGCAAAGTTTTTTCAGGGATTTACCACTTTTAGTAATCGTTAGGTACATTTTTACAAAAGAAAACTCAATGTTTGAATTTTTCGACCAAAAAATTTTTTTTAACATTTGTGAAGTTACTCTTACAATAATCCAAAAAGTATTATAAATAGACTGTAAAAAACCTTTAACAGTTCCAGGTATTGTAAATTGAGCGAAGAATATTTAGTTTAAAGTTCCAACAAACCCGTTAAACTAAGGTCAAGAATATGCCCGGGGGCGGTTCAAATCGGCTGACATTTCAGCGAACGCCTTTTAATTACTGATTCACAAGCGTTTTATTTGATTTCCTGACAATGTCAAATATAATTTTCGTAGTTTTTTATTGCATTTATTAGGAAACGGTACAGTTTTTAACAACTTAGGACTTTTAAGCCCCAAAAAAAGGCTGCCAAGTTTTGATTTTTGCGATTGGGGTTTAAAAATAACTACAAATATAGACTCAAATCAAAAAAAATTTTTTTGATGTCAGCGTGTATTTTCAAACCAAAATTAATGACATAATTTACAATGTTTTTTCATTAAATGTATAGCCCTGACTTTTATATTTTATTCAAGGTTTTTATGTACCATTAATCAGGCCTTCTGTCGAATTCTTTTTAGTGAGATTTTTAAGAAATTTATTTGTGCGTTTTGCAGAGTGGAGAACTTTGCTATTATAGTTAAGATCTCTGATCTCAAATTGACCTTGAGATTGTTTGAACCCTATATTCGAGTGTGTATTGGAAGAATTTGAAACCGTCACTGCCGCCTTTGCAAATGCTTGCAACCCCTTTCTGTTTGTTTTAAACTTCTTTTCAGACAGTTTATGACTTTCTGCCCGCCCTTTCCTTAAAAATTCAGATCAACTAACCAGCCTATTACATAAAACATTGGGTAAATAATCAAAAGTTTCCTTACACTCTGTCTGTGTGAAAGGATCATAATATATTTACTTTAAAATTCTTGATATTACGAATCTTTCAAAGTTCTGGAGAGCAAAAGGTACTTACTTTGATTGCTTGTTGGAATCAAACCCATTAACTTTTTGGTTCAAGGGTTTTTTGCAATAAAAATGGCGTTGATTTTGCAATAAACGGGTGGTAAAAATAGTACCCCAGGCACTTACTGGAGTTTTCAAATTTAATTGAGTTGCACATCCTTATGTATTGTGCTTCGTTGAAAACATCCGCCAACAATTTTCCTTTTGTAAACCCTTTGTATATAATTTTTAAAGTTCTCCTCCGTTTTTCAGGTCTTGAAGTTGTTCTACAAGCAAGTCTCTCTCCCTCTTTCTTGCTGCATAATCTTCATTGTTCAGGTATAATAACATTATTTAATGAGCGCGCAACTTTCTCCCACCGAATCAGTTTGAAATGTCCGGTTTTTTCACTTTACGAGCGGTTTTACGCATGGACGTTCAGAGACCAATGAATTTGTCGTTTGATGGAGGTTTCTTTAGCAGATTATTTATGTTTTTTTGTTTTGTAAACTCAGTCGAAAATGTCACAAGTTTTTATACGGTAGGTTCTAAGGATTCAAATGTATTGAGAACAAAAAGAATTATTTTAGAGATCAAAAACAATTTTGGCACAAATTTTGGCATTCTGCACTTTGGCGAACAGTAAAAGCTTGAAAACTTTTTGTTCATTTTGTGCTCAGAAATGAATTCTTTTTATTTTTTTACTTCCCCAGACCCCATAAAACCTCGTTGGGTCCTGCATTTTCTTATCCCAAACGTTTGATTAAGAAATCTAAGACAGTTTTGAGTCTACTTTCTGCCAAACCAGGTCAGAACTTTTCCTAGGGTTCCGAACATTCCTGTCTAAAACACAATGCAAAAATTCGATGAAATGATTTTAATTCTTCCTCCCGCCGGTATTTGCATATAAATCAAGGGATCCTAAAATATATTGGAGAAGTTTTGGATGTAAATGCACACTTTGATTGCAAGGGTGTTTTTAGAGGTGTTATTTTGTTGTTGAAGTCTCCGTACCATTCGGAGGAATCACACATGTTTTTGAGGGATTTCTCGGAAATGGTAAACATTTTTATCGGTAATACAAATACAAGATCAATGGCTGGATGGGGGTTGTGTCCATGCTGTGAAAACAAGACAAATGTTGAATATTCATAACCCAAAAAGTGTGATGTAAGAAAAGGCTGTGATCGTTAGTTTATATTCACCATGACCGACCTGATAGGGCTTGGTAAAATGGGCTGTAACTTTTTCGAACGTTGCTGCAATATCTTCATTTTAACGTCGAAATTTTTTTGCTGACGCCTGAGACTTTTACATATTTGGGGCAAAAATTTTATTTTGAAGTTGTTAAAAAGCGATTTTTTATAAAAACTTTATAAGTATAAACTCATGAAAATTATAATTTTTATGATGAGTTGATGCTAAAATTTTTCTTATACGTTTGGTCTACCCGTCATCGCCTTAGGCGCAAACTTGAACACGTTTATTTGATTTCGGAGACGACCTTTCCTTCCATTCAGATTGTCGAAAATAAAATCGTTTTGTGACTTTATATTTTTTGGAACCGGCGATTATCCCCTTCCCTATTCGGAACTCTGTTCTTTGTCTCTGACTATGATCTATAATATTATAGAGATGGGAACGGACGATGTAAAAAGTGACAGCCTAACGAATGGGCAACAGAAAAGTAATGGGAACAGAATGACCAATGGGGCCTTGAAGGTAAAGCCACGACGAATGTACAAAGCCGATGACACTCCTTCCACTTTCATTTGCATTTTATTTGGATTTCAAGTAAGTCATAGGAACTTGGAAACATATTTGTCTTTAAATTTTCATACTGAACTGAAAGTTGTCCAAAATTTTTGGATTTTCCCACTGAAAAATTCCGGGTAGCACATAATAAACTGTAAGTACAAATTCTTCTAAAAAGTGCAGCTTTGAAAAAGGTGTTAATTTTTGTTGTAAGCCTGTTAGAAGTGCTGTTATATTGGCAAACTTGTTTTAGGTATAAAGATGTAAGTATAAAGTTTTAAAAATATAAATTTTCTTAAAATCTTGTGGCTTCTGCCTATTTCGGACGGACAGGATTTTAATACGAAGTCAGTTATAGCGTCAACTTTTAGAAAACCAGAGTTTCGGTCTTTATCTGGGTTAACGAAATCAAAAGATACTTTTTTCTCGATGCAAATTTGATGCTTTCAGCAAGTGATGGTATGTGTGTCGGCCCTTTTGGTGATCCCGTTCCTCTTATCGGATTACATGTGTGCGGGCAGTAATGTAAATCATCTCCGGGTTCAACTTATTTCCTCGACATTTGTGGCCTCGGGCATCTCAACCATCATTCAGACGGGATTCGGGATGAGATTGGCTCTTCTTCAAGGCACCGCCTTCGCCTACATTCCATCAGTGAAAGCGTTTACGGACCTCCCGGAAAATGTCTGCAATGACGGGAATGGGACTTTGGCAATACCAGAGAGCGAATATTTTGGGCGGTTGCAATATGTAAGAAAAGTTTTATGAGATTGGTCTTGGGTAGTGCAACACAAAATTATGCAAGATTTGTTTCAGATCCAAGGATCTCTCTTATTATCAGCCATAGTGCCCATGCTTATCGGATGCACGGGTCTAGTCGGGATGCTGACCAAATTTATTGGTCCAATTACAGTGTCCCCACTAATCTTATTATTGATGGCCTCGTCGGTGGATATGTGTGTAGCCCGAATGGAAAAGCATTGGGTCAGTCTGATGTGAGTCGCTTTTTACACAGGCCTGAATTTTATATGTATTCATGATAATCTTTTCATTTCAGCCAAGCCGCGACCTTATTCATCACAGTTCTTTATTTGGCCGATCTTCGTGTCCCAATTCCGGGTCGAAAGAACGGGAAATTCCACTGGTATCGAGTGAATGTCTTTGGCCAATACCCCTATTTGATTGCCATATTGGTATCTTGGGGATTCTGCGCCTTTCTCTCGATCTTAGACTTGGTTCCAGCGAATAGTGAGGCGAGGACTGACAAGGTTCAAAATTTGAATGTAAGTTGCGACTATCATAAATAACCGTAATCTCTCACTATTTGTTTAAAGTGAATTTCACTTTTCCAGGCGATCGCCAATTCCCCGTGGTTCCGAATACCGTATCCCGGCCAATACGGAGCCCCCAAATTCAATGCCTCTTTGTTCTTCGCCTTCCTTGTCTCCGCTTTAACTTCGGTGTTTGAGTCGGTTGGAGATTACCATGCCATTGCCCGGGTATCAGAAGAAAGATCTCCTCCATCTCATGCCATTAATCGAGGAATCTTGGCCGAAGGAATGGGAAGTTTCATCAGTGGTCTGATCGGGCCGGGAGTTGGGCTGACAACTCACACGGAAAATATTGGAGTCATCGGGATCACTCAGGTAAGATTTCCTGATGTTTTTTGGATGTTATACTAGACAAACAAGAAGTGCTTTTGTTTGTAAGACAGTAGTGTCACTTCCAATCTTCTAAATCACAGTAAAATTTCCGTTCCAGGTCGCCAGTCGGGCCACAATGATTGTCGCAGGATGTCTCCTAATTTTCCTTGGCCTTTTCACCAAGATTGGAGCCGTTTTATCGACAATCCCCGATCCCTTAGTTGGCGGAGTCCTAGCCTCTTCTATGGCCATGGTTGGAGGAGTAGCGATCGCCAATGTTCAGTCAGTTGACCTCAAAAACTCCCGGAATGTGGCCATTCTCGGGTTCTCCTTGATGGTCGGCCTCATCGTCCCGCACTATTTCAGAACCGAAAGGGGTCATAAAATTGACAGCGGTATGTTGTATTATCAGATTTCATTCTTAACCATACTGACTTTTGTAAAAAGTAATGTAAAAATTTCAGGTTGGGAGGGGCTGGACGAAGTCTTGATGGTTTTACTCAACATGCCCATGTTTGTGGGTGCTGCAACTGCTTGTGTTTTGGATAATACAGTACCAGGCGCTACGAGAACTCAACGCGGATTAAGAGAAAGAGGAATGGGACATGAATTGGGGCCCAGCAATCGAGATATTTACGCCTTCCCACCTTGGGCCATGAAATTATTGGAGAAATTCCCGGCCCTGAAAATATTACCTTTCATTCCAAAGGAAAAGAAATTGTCGAATAATCGAGTACAAGATAGTTCAGCGTCATTTCCATAAAAATTTCTGTGATAAGTATTGTATATACACGAGATTTCTATTAAAATCAAAAGATATGCCATGTACAATATAAATAATGCCTTTATTTACACTTCGAACATTCTAATACCACTAGGCGTTAGTTGTATACTCGTTAAACTGTATGAGATTACCAGATCTACCATTATAATTGCTATTCTTACCGTATATACACCAAAAATATTCACCCAGACATATTCTAATCACGCTAATTAAATTATAGTCGCCATTTTACAACGATTCTCGTATTTTCCATAGGAATCCGGTCATTTACAGCTCTGTATGTCCTTGAGTATCTTCTGCTTCGTAGAGATATTCCTGGTGTTCCTTGTACGGATCAATATTCTCGAATTTGTGGAAAGAAATTGGAGGTATCTTGTTGATATAAGACGGATCGTAATCTTCGCGTTGGGCTTGATGAAATGCGGGGGAATGGAGAATGGGGATGTTCAGACGACGGGCACACGCTCCTAAAGAAATAGAAATTTATACCAACTCTGAATTTAAAGACATCATGGATGATAAAAATCTTACCAATGACCATATCGTCTGGCGAATCCACCTGAGGGCATTCGCAAGATACTGCCAGATGTCTCGCGGCTTCTCGAGATATCACAATCCTATAACAATATAAATACCTCTACCAAATAATACTTACCCTGACCCTCCAGTTGGATAATCATATCCTCCAAGGCCATCCCAATCGAATCCAAAGCCATATCGCTCTCCCAATATTACTTTAGTAGAAGTTGGCAGACAATCCAGCATTCGATGGAGTCTAGTTGTGCTGAGAAGAGTATCGTCATCAGCAATCACCAACCAAGGCGCATGATTGACCTCTTCGTGACTAAGATAGTGCTTGATTATGGCTAAAGTCTTCCCACAATGACCTAAAAGCACCATATTACGCATTGCTTCCAGAAATACGTAAGCTTAACCCTTTCTTACATTATCCTTACCGATTTCAGTGTTCGGAACCTTCAAATCGATTGTGGGAACATAAAAATCCTCAGTATCCGAGAAGAACTCAATGTATTTGGCCTCCTTTCCCCAGGTTCTCTTCACGTACAGCACTAAAACCAATATCGTACAAGATTAGGCTTCTCCTTACCTCGTGTTTTATGATACCCATTAAAAGTTTTGACAGCATAAAAAACGTTTTCCTTGCTGATTTCATTCCCACATCCTGGTTCATCTTTCGCATACTTGGGAGCTGCGTAGGTTACAATGCAACTGGGCGAACCTTCAAGGCAAAACTTGTCACTGTGCTCTAATTCGGTTCCAATATTGTCATAGATGAACTTGGCAAACTAAAAAAGGAGTGAGAAAATGGAAAGGTTCACAGCTTACCTCAAACTTGGCGTCGATGGTAAAATCGCTTTTATCGTGAGTTCCAACGACTTCAACGACTCTGAAAAAGTGTTTCATCAAAAAAAATTATGTGTCAAGTGTTTGTGCCAAAGGTTTGCTTCTTTAAAGTTTGTCTCGGCTTGTTGTGGGGGTTGAACGGAAAACGCGGGTTATACTGAAAAACGAAATGCGCCATTTTTTGCAAAAGCCTTGCAAAACCCGCCTAATTTCCCCTCATCGCCCAGTTTCCCCAAAGCCACAAACAAACGAAAGCAATCATTTTCGTGAGCTTTACCGTGCTTACCGTTTCAAAAAGCTTCGACTCAACAAGACTCCAGCTGAGAAGTCAGGATATTTTATCGGTTTCTCTTGCCCTTGGAATCCAAAGAAATGATGAATAATCACCGGCTTCTTATCAATCAGCCCCTTCCCTTGAAAAACGTCCTCTTCTGGATTCAATCCTTCTGTATATCGCTTTAATGCAGTCCAATCAACTTGAGAAAAAGGCTCAACGATCAAAAGAAAGTTGGCATCCTTCACATGGCTATATAATCGACCGAGTAATGGCCATAACGACCAACCACCAACATTGTTATCGAAATTACTGTGTGTTTTGAGGAGAGTGCCGTTCTGAAACGACCGAATTAACTCTACAAGTCAACTTTTTACATTACACTAGGCAATTAACCTACCCAAGACAGCTCCTCCAATGAATTTAAAAACCCATCTTTAAACTTTTGAGCATAATTCAACTCATATGGCCACGGTTGTGTAATTAGTAGAACTGCAATGTGTTGACTGCATCCAATTGATGCTACACTGGCCATCAATATTAGTCTTAGTAAATTCATTCTAAAATCTTTATCCACTGTTCGAAAATGTCATAAAATAAGTTATGGAGAAACCTGTAGCTGCTCAATGTCAAAGAAAGACATTCGTTCGTCTTTATTATTAATTAAATAACAACAAAATAATACGATATTAAATTAGACTAGTTAAAGTTGACAGCCGAGTAGATGGTGATCCAGGCGATAAGGAATGTGGCCACGGCCGAAGCGAATCCTTCTTTGGCCAGCTCCCAGAATCCACCAAAGTTCTCTTCGTCTTGCTGAAATAACAACAACCATTGATACGATACTGTAATTACATTCCACATGACTACCTAATATCGAATTGTTCAAAACAGCTATTAAAACTTGGAACAACTGCAAATCTGCCATGTATTCTGCATTCAGTGCCGACCCAAACTTACCCCTTGATATGAAGTGACATAGAAATGACCGGCAAAGGTTGAGATCGCGACGTAAATCAAGATAGCGAGGAGTCCTTTGAGAGGAATCAGGCCCCAAACAATGCCCACAAGCAATCCCAAGATCTGCCGCCCCCAATAGAGAACATCCAGGAGATCGTCTTTATCGGCCCATTCTGAATTCTTCTGTAATGCGCGGGAAAACTAAAACAATTATATTAGATTAACATCATCCACGGACCCAAGAGTCTCAAAACAACAAACTCACTGCCTCCGAAACCTTCAGTTCATCTCCATCTTCTCTCTTCTTTGTGGCCATTCTAAAACTACTAAAAGGAATGTCAAAAACCTCATAAAAATCATGTAAAATATCAGGAATTTAACCAACTAAGCAAATGATAATAACACATTATTAAATTTTATTTACATAAACAGTATGTCTAAAATACTGTTCGGAGATCCTTATCTGGCTTGTACTGCCCGTTTTCAAATACCACCAGATTTAATTTGACCTTTCTCTGCATAAACATCATGACAGCTTCGAGGGAAGGAGGCGGCTCAGGGGCGACGATCATCTTGTACATGGCTACCAATTTAGCTGGAGTCAGAGGGTCTTTCGAGCTGTGATATAACAGCTGAAACACAAAGAATTTAAGATTACACTTACATAAAAAGTCAATTACACTTACCAAGTTCTTGGTGTACATCCAATACTGTTCTAACGCATCAACTTGTTCTTCAATTGGAATCTCCTCCTCTTCATCCTCATCTGATTCCAGATGTTCTTCCACTGTGACTTTAGTCTTGGCCTGTTTCACAGCTCTCTCCATCTGGGCCAGATTCTCGCATATTAACCATTCGGAAGAGTTCTCCTTGTTCACAGAGATGATGCCTTTTTCTTTCCAGAATTCCAACCGCTTGATTACCGAGGTCTTGTCCATTTCGAAGCGGTCTGCCAGCTCGTCCACATCAAATTTTTCTAAAATCATGAAAATTATATTAAGCTCGAACAAGTGACGTCCTACTGTAAAAACCTTAAAAAATATCATATCAATCCTTACCCTTTTCACAAAACGCCACTAGAACTTGAGTGAAGCTTAATGGGGCTTCTACCGATAGTGTGCAATCTCGTATTTTAACATCCATCTTGACCAAACTACCGTAATCTTTATACCAATTTATGGTCCTTTTATCCCGCTTCTTCTCAAAATTTGCTTTGAATTGATCCATGTAGCCCTTGAACGGCTCTGTGACCTAAATAAAACATTTATAAAGTTCTATTAAACTAACTAACCGCAAATTTTGCGTCCTTTTTTGTCTCTGGCCAGAAAACTGAAGATATTATTCTTGGGAAGAACGGGATTCTCTGAAAATCATTCAGTAACAAACACTTAAATCGAATATAAAAAATTTCTTACCAGTCCCTCAGAAACGGCGAATTTGAATAATCTCTCGGAATCCCCAATATCTTTCAACATAACTTCACAATGACACAACTCTCCGTCTGTGAATCTCTTCTTCATCGTTTCTAGGTACTTCTGTTCGGCGTCCTTATGCTCTCCCCACCCTTTGGCAATCAAACTATTAGCCAGTAGCTGTTGATACTCTTTTACAAACAAATCCCGGCTTCCATAAATGGACACCAACATGTTGAAGACGTCGGCCGATTCACGGAACAGGCGGGATTCGGCTGAAAAACAATTTTTACAGCCATAAAGTAAACTCGGCTACAGTAAAACTGTTAAAAAATGGCCAAATAGTCATTTGCATGTTAAATCTTACTTGGATTCGCGTCATATGGGTCGGGTTTCCATTCATCCCAGGTCATTTTACTCGCTTCCTCCATCATAATCACATATTCATCATTCACATTTGTCAAATGATCTTTATCCACCAGTTGTGCCACATTTTGAGAATATTTTCCCGGTTTCTCGGCCGTTATGAAATGGATGATGGTCCTTACAGTATCGGGCCTTGTCTTCACGTACTTCTTTATCATATCACACACTTTGTGAACAAGAACAAAGCTCTCGTCAAAGGCGATCAACGACTCTACTGCGCAAGCATACGCTTTCAAGATATCACGAGTGTGGACACCTAAAATAACGATATCGTCATATAAAGCAATACAAATTAGTATCAGATAACTGTAATTTCTTACCAACATGAAGTAATCTAGTGCAGATGGTCTCACTGAGATTCTGAAGAAGCGTTTCTCGGCCAAACCAATCTCGATTTGCCATCAAAACCTTGAGATCTTCTATCAAACGGAGTGTTCGGGGATAATCGGCAATAAAAATGTCGAAAGACTAAAAAAATGTCGTAGTCAATAAATGATACAGTACTCATTAAAATATGCCCATTATTTCTATATTGACATACATCAGCGCATAACCTGGATATAACAATCTTCTCAAAATATTCCGTAAAAGTCGATTCAAACTCCGGGGTATAACATGCCCATCGTTCCAGCCACTTCTTCACTGTGATCATTATCTAAAATCTAGAGTAATAATATAAATTCTTTGCTTACCGCTTTAAAGCAAATAACTCTTATCCCTGTTTTCCTTTGAGAAGCATAATCCTCGACTAGCGAAGTTGTTATTCCATGTGCAGCTAATACCAAGGAAGATCGACAAAAATCTGCAAGATATGGGACTGATGACCTAAAATAGATACTAAAGTCTCTAATAAAACCAAAAAACGCAATTTATAATTTCTTTTACTTACAATTCATCAATCGAGGCTTGCAATTTTGAGGTAAATCCGATAACATCAACGCCAGGGCCTTCTCCAGAATCCACATAAACGGTTACCTCCATATTTCCATCGTTTCTCGTCTTACTCATCAAATAAAAGTGATATTTGAATAATCTGACCATCAAAGGTTCAAGGTGATCGAGGAAAGGTTTCGAAAAAAGATTCCTCGTGAAAACCGAGGACATTACATCTGCTTCTTTCAGCTTGACTCGTTCATGTACCTAAAAATAAAACATAAAGTCGTTTGAATTCTCTTACCTCCTCAGTAAAATAAACAATTGCAAGAAGAAGATCAGGGAGTTCATTCCCAAGATCATTTCGATTGAGAGTTGACAGAGTTGTCAACCGGTGTTCAATAAACGGCTTCAGGTTCTGTCGAATAAACTTGCTAAAAAAAAAGAAATTTAAAAACCAACCATAAGAGTGCCAAAAATAATATTGAAGATGCAGAAACCCATAAGCTTTCGTTCTACCCTTGAGTTTATTCCTCAACGCTCACCTGAGAAAACCTTTCCCACTGCCAAATCCATCAAAATTTTTCAATTCATCCAGAAATCCGACAATTTCATTGGTTTGGAATCCTTTTTCAATTAATCTTATTCGATTTTCAGATATCTGCTGCGAAGACATTGTAAACAAGTTTCATAAATACCCGAAAGTTTCAAAGAGCAGTTCGAGAAAAACTTTCGCCCAATTTTCTTGAGTCAAGTCTTTCTTTTTGGCGCCAACTCTTCCACATTATGGGTCATATGCAGGGGTGGTCAGCAGACCCTATTTTTCCGATTTTCGGCCCGCGGCCCGGCCCGTCTAATCACCGGCCCGGCCCGGCCCGTCTAGTCTTTTTCCAGGCCCGGCCCGGCCCGGCCCGTGACGGGCCTGGCCCGGCCCGGCCCGGCCCGTCCAGGCCCGTCTATAGAGGGTTCTGCGAACTGCGCCCAGGCTCGGGATCTAAACTGAGGCAAAAAAGGCGTTGATCTAGCTAGTAAAGGATCAATGTGATAGTTTTGTGGTTCTATAATGGAACTATAGACTTGTAAACGTGTTAGAACTTGAGAAACAGCAACTATAACAACATCAATTAATTTTCCCGGCGCGAAAACAATGAATGCCAACGGTTTGGCATTGTATTTTAGACGGGCCGGGCCGGGCCGGAAAAAACCCCAGGCCCGCGGCCCGGCCCGGCCCGGCCCGTGACGGGCCCGGCCCGTTTGTCAATTTCCATTTTTGAGGCCGGCCGGCCCGTTTGGGCCGGGCCGGGCCGGCCCGGGCCGGGCCGGCCCGGCCCGCCGACCACCCCTGGTCATATGTTGCATTTTGGGTCAAGTGGTTTTTGGAATTCGAGAATTTATGCGAGATTTTTTGGTCGAACAATGTCGATGAATACATTGCTCTTCGCGTGTACTTTATGAGTCTGTTTATATTATTTATTTTTAAAGCATAATACGAAATTAATATAATTTATATGTATAATACTATGTTTAACCCTTTGGCGATCCTCTTTTCCATTGGTATCTGGAAGATGTTGAATTTTCCGACCAAAATTGGTATCCATGCGTGTCCATAGGTCCATCAACTGAGCTCTCATCGAACAAAACGTCATTTATGATTGGATCCCATCGATAATACTGTTGGATTACTTTCGGGTCATACTCTTCGGGCATGGAGATGTTGATGGTCAATGTGGGCTGTTGGAATTGGATTTTTCTGATGGCCTCTTTGTATTCTAAGTGTCTTTCAAAAACTTCTTCGAACGTGGTGTCACTCAAATTGTTGCCAATTCCGTTGATACATGAACATGTTTGAGTGTGCGAGTTGACTGGGGAGTAAGCTTCATCCGTCTGTGTGCTCTTGGAATCGGTTTGGACTCTATTTCTACTATGATCCTCATGAATTTTGGGACCTGAGTAATTTTGATGGGATGGTGAAGATCCAGAGGTACATGGGAAACCGTTCCGATCTCGGAATCTTCTGTCCCCCTGAATGTAGCTGTAATTAAAGTTATTAGTTAGTATGAATAATTTAAAATTTGCACTCATTTTACTTACTGATATTTCCCTTGTCCTCTGGGGGTATCATAATAAGATTGCTCACTGTGAGGTGGGTAGTGGGTGTCATAACTGACATACTTATCTCCTCTTTGGTCATTGGAATCGTACTTCCGATGGTCGTAATAGTATTTCCGGTCGTTGTAATAGGACTTTTGCTCTCCTTGCGGCTGAAATTACTGATTAGAATGACTAAAAAAATAATTTTATTGTAATATTTAAAAATGGAATGTAATTACGTTACCTTATCCCGTTGTCCATAGTCCTTTCCGTAAGATTTCCCATAGCCTTGTCCGTAATAACTATTCTGACTTTGTTTCGGTCGATAATTCATCGTCACGACCGCTTCTTATCTAACCAAACTTGCGTAATAACCGAGAGTAAATCATATTTCATTATGAAGAGTTCTAAATAATTTGGATAATGATTATTCAAATTTCAGACTTGGAATGAGTGTCGATGAATTGAAGAAGGAAGGATGGAATATCGATGAGAAAGCGCTGAATAAATTGTTGGAAGACGCTGAGGAGCCGGAGATTGCAAGGGATGGAAAGAAACTACGGGAATTTGTCCTTGATGTGAGTTGTTTCTCTAAGTCCAATTATGGTTATTGTCTTTTTAAATTTCAGTGTGACCTCCGTGAAATAGCCTCTCCAGGCTTGGCCAATGCTTTTAATTCCACCAAAAAGGAATTGAACGGCCCAATTGTCCTTCAACTTTCCACATGGCGCAATATCTCATATCCGGAAGCTCAGAAACACGATGGAAATGTGGGTGTTTGTCTTGTTCGACTGACTGATGGCAGTCAAACCTTTAAAGGGCTCTTGTTTGAACCCATCAACAAGTTGGATGGGAATACCCCGAGGGGAACGAAGATCTTGCTCGAGGGGAAGGTGAGGAGCGAAGGGGGATTTCTGATGCTGAGCAAACGGAATTGCACCGTGCTGGGTGGAACAGTCGATGAATTGGTCGAGAAATGGAAGGTTGAGAAGGTGGGTTTGATTAGATCTTTACTCATTGTTAAGTATTGGTCTAGTGTAGTGCAATCCTTTTTTTTTCAGTTTGGCGGTCGGACAGGAAAAGGTGCCTCCAACGCTCCTAAATGGATTCCTTTTGGCAAGGCTAAGGTAATTATACCCTTTATCGAGTAAGGTAAAAATTTTAGAAATTGGATATCAAGATTGATAAGAACTTTTTGGCCATGAAAGCGGTCAATAAGGTCGGAGAAAACGAAGCGGACGACGATGAGAAGACCGCTCAATTCAAGGCTCAACGAATGGCTCAGATCGAAGCTTTGGGAATTGCCGCCAAAGAGGATGAAGTCGAAATCGAGGAAAAAGTGGAAGAGATGAGAATCAGCGATGTTTTGAACGAACAGAATAAGCAGAAGCGAGATTACAATAAGGAGGAAAGAAGGCTTGATAGAGGGGAGAGGTCTGGAGGCAGAGGAAATCGAGATAATTACAAAGGTATGCATTTGGAATATATTTAGATTTTTTGCGGATTACCGTACCGTAATTAAATTATTTACAGGAGGTAGAGAACGACAAGGCGGACCAGTTGTTTTCGAATCATCACGCAGAGACATTCCGAGGGAATATCAGAGAGATCAGAGGCCACCACAATCTTCTAGTTATAGAGAACCTCCAGAATCAGCGAGAGGCTATACTGATGATAGAGGGGGTCTGTCTCGAGGTGGCAGGGGACGAGGTCGAGGGCAAACAAGACCCGATAGCTATCAGAATCGACAAAATAATCGGTTTGAGGATCAAGGTAACAGAAGAGATGAGAATTCAAGAAGACAAGGAGAAGATCGACCTCAGAGAAGAGAAGGAGGACTATCAAGAGGACGAGGAGGTCGTAGCGGGAATAGTGGAGGTAATCAAGGAGATCGAGATGTCGGATCAAGCAATCCAAGAGGTTCAAGTCGAGGATCCCGGGGTCAAAGGGGAGGCCGTAATGGGAGAAATGAGAATCCCGGATATTCACAACCACCCAAGACGCAAACCTTTAGTTTGGCCGATTTTCCAGCTCTGTGATCAGTTTTGTTGTTATTTATTTTGTTTTAGCATAAATAAATAGTTTCACAACAATCTTGAGGATCAATCTTCTTGTCCACATTTTCAATGTAATCGTAGAGAGTATCGATGGCTTGTTTGGTTATTTCCCGGCAAACCTTGCCCATCATAGTACCACCAACTCTTTTGCAAACTTCCTGGAGGGATGCAATTTTAGTCACGAGGCAAAGAAATCGCCTACTTTGTAATCAAAGCTTTCTTTGATCACCTACCTTCAGTTTTTGAGTCAATTTCTCTTTGGTCATGCCAATTCCATCATGAAGTTCCTCCTTTAGAGTAGTAAACAGACTCTTACAAGTACTGCAAAGAGGTTTCCAACCCAATTCGTTTTTGATCAGCTCATGTTCTGGGATTTCAGCAGCGACCAAACAACAGATCGAAAACGCCAAAACAAAAAATACATAAAATCGAGACATTTTTAGGAAATTATCAGTCCAAAACAAAGATGACTGAGAACGGAACGGTCTTAAATAAAGGAGGTGTAACCTTGAGTCATAATCATTGATAATATGAGAAAAAAATCCTAATTAAAGACTTGTAGTCATGGTCCCGAAAAAACTAAATTGTAAAAAATTACAGAACCGATAATAATAGTTATGACTAATGCATTCAACATTGCTACGAAATATTTAACACTGTCTCCAGTCTACTTTATCTTCAAAAACTACACCTTTCACACTGTATTAGTCTGTCGGAAGTGGGGTTCGGAAAATTAGGGTATTTTCAATTCGTGGGTTGTCGCGCCATAAAGTCCAGACACATTTGAACAGTGCATTTTTGTGAAATGGATAGCAATTTGATTTTGCCGCCGCGACACAATCCACTTTCTCTGCATTTTCGATGCGTCAATGTGCTCATTATTTTCCCAGCAGGCTGATACTTGATATTTTCGTTTATTTTTTGGCTACAGTAATCTTCAAGATGATCATTCCATGATCTTTGAAAGTCCAGTATTGTATTCTGCAGGATTTTTTGGACTATTCATCCCGTCAAGTTCGACGTCATCCACTTCTCGATGGACTTTCACGTTTTTTGGGTATTAATTTACATGATGATGTCCAGTGCGTTGTATTTTGAAGGTAATTTCAACTGATCCCTATCGATTTCAGTTCCCGGTAGGATCAGATCGCCAAATAACTTTGAAAACAGCAGAAACACAGGAAAATAGACTCAATAAAACCATGTTTATATGATCAAATACCATGAATAGTATGATTTGTAATCTTGCCGAACAATGGCGGTTCTGACCCCGAGGGCGTAATAGGAATTTTGTCGATTGGCCCCCGCCAACCCGCGCTGGTAAGGGATACTCCTGAAAGCCCTCCGTTGGGACGCTGTGCGCAAACAAAAGCACCCGCGCGCACTGTAAGTTACACCCTTCTTGGACTTATTTAAACGCATCAATTCGACTGCGGGAGGAAACGTTTGCAATAAAAAACGTCCGCCTTTCAGTCCCTTCCATGATTCTGGTGTGTTGATCATCATGTCCCGTCTAATAAGGTAAGCGGCTCTCGTTTTGGAGTCATCATCTCTTTGTAGTACCTTTTTATTGTTGCTGGTGACCGTGCACTCTCAGGTCATCTACGACAGCCCGCCGGTCGGTGTGTCGGTAAGTTTGGTTACTGTATTTTTCGTGCCTTATGTTTATCATGATTTTAATTTTTGATTACATTTTTTGTATTTTATCTCAAAATCATTGATTACTGCTGTAAGATGATTGAATCCCTGACGCAAAATAATGATGAATATTTCAGTTAACCAGGCCAGTTCTTCCCTGGCTAGCCCGGTATTTTGTTGGTGCTGGAAAGGAGAATGTTTTCCTAGACGAGCCCCAACCAGGCCCTAAAGAAGAAGGCGAATCCAAAGGTGGCGGGGGTGGGGAAGGTGGTGGCTCCAAAGGAGGCGACGGTGGAGGGTCAAGAGGTGGGGAAGGGGGCGCAATGAGAGATATGCCACCCCCAGGTCGAGGGCCATCGCAAATGCAATTTCAAGGAGGATCAGAAGGACAAAGTCGACCTCAGATGATGAGAGAAGGTGGTGGCAGTGGAGGCGAGGGTCAGGGAGAACGATCGGGAGGATCAACACCCAGAAGACAGGAGTCCGGAGGATCTCAGGGAGGAGGAGAACGTTCAAGTCAAGGCGGATCATCCGGATCTTCAGGAGGAGGTCGAGAAGGAAGTTCGAGTGGAGGAGAGGAACATAAAGGTGGAGAAGGACGATCTTCCGGCCCTCCAGAAGGTCAGCAACGACAATTCGACACTCAAAACTTCTTTCCGCCACCTCCACCGCCGGCTCTTGCAGCAGCTCCAGCCTTCAAGTTGAATGGACCCGTTGCTGGAGTGCTCGCTGCTCCCGCCGTTCCTCAGATGCCTCCTCCAATGGCAGGCTATGCTCCACCTCCTCAGATGCCTATGATGATGATGTTTGCGCCTCCTCCCCTCCCTCCCCCAGGTCCAGCGGGCTATCCTCCAATGCCGGAGCCTTTGCCAGTCCATTTGGAGCCGCCTCCACTCCCAACTGGATGGGCGCCTATGCCCAATCCAATCCCTGTCTCAGCTTTGTTTGACCCTGTCCAACAACAGGCACCAGCCCCGCTGCATCCAGCCGGTCCAATTCCAGCCCCGTATCCAGGTGCAGCTCCGATAGCTGCTGCATATCCGGCTCCCCCGCCACCAGCCCCAGTAGCTCCATCTTATCCGCCTCCTCCTCCGCCAGCTCCTGTGGCTCCAATCGCCCCAGCTTATTCAGCGCCACCTCCTCCTCCACCGGTGGCTCCAGTAGCTCCAGCTCCTGCCCCAGTGGCCCCATACTTCTCAACGGTGGCGTCAAGTGCCCCAATTCTTCCAGCAGCCCCTGTCCCTCCAGTTCCAGCTCATGCTCTTGTCCCTCCCGGTTCTTTTGTGGCCAACCTCCCGCCTGCTGGAGGTGTTGTCCCATCAGGACCATCAGTTTCGTCACCTAAATTCGACTACAGGCATCTCCCCTCATCACCGCCGGAGGGCCGAAAGCATCGATTGTATCTGCGCACACCGCCTTCGCACCGTGATAATCTCTCGTTCGGGTTAGCCTAATCACAGATTTCTATTGCTCATATTTATGCCCTGCGGCAAAATAAATAAAATTTACAAAAAATTATGGATCGGGGAAGCTTACTTTACCTATATCTTTGTTGAATTATTTTTGAATATGTGAGAAGAAAACAGGCCAATTTTTCTGCATTCACATATTGTTGTGGCGGCGCACTGTCTATTTCTGATATCCCAAACAGGCCATTGTTCTTTTCATATGGCCTACATCAGATAATAAATAATTCGAGTCTCCATGACGACCGAATATGTACATTAAGTTTATTAAAAATCGTCGTATCACAGCACATTTTTTTCCCGATTCCGAAACAAATGCTCGAGGTCGTCCGCCGTCAAGTAGCCTCTCTGCTCCTTGTCCAATTCCTGGAATTTGGAAGATAAACAAAAATTTTCCAGGAACAACACACAAATTATGTAATCATGAATTTAAGACACTAGCAGTCTTGTGTGAATAAATTTTACCTGAAAAATAGTTCCCGCTCTCAAGCCGACCAAATGGACCACTCTGTCATTGACGGAGGAATGAGGCGCTAGTGGGGTCATTGAGTCGAGGCGTTTACTGGGATCACCACCGGTCAAGAGGAATATTGAAAGGACGAATTCACGGAATTCCTAGAAAAGATCGTGTTTTAGGGCTTCAAAAGTCAACATGGCTCTTTTTTTATTGGTTTGACCGAATCTGCAAACCTTTTTTTCTCAGTGCCATACAGTAAAACGCTTTTGAAATTTTGTCTCATCAATTCGCATTTGAAGAAAACTGTATGTGCTATCGGCTTACAGGCAATGATATCCGAGACGAAGAGTTCCCATTAATCAGTCGCATGGTCCACTCGGCTTGAAATTTGGTATCATGTTGATGTAGGCAGGAAAGGCAAACAATCAGATCCTGTAATCGAATACTCAAAGGGAATAAATTTCAGAGATTGGTCAACACATTGGAATCTTAGTGCAAACACAAGGTAAAGGTGGGGTTATTTGTTTACAAAAACCCGCATTGTTAACCGAGTATTGTAACATGTTTGTACACACTGTTTTTATTGTAGTCTGCACACTGGCTGAATGGATCCATTTCGAGGATTAGTGGGTTAAGTGGGTGATAAGGGGGTTATTTGGGTTCAACGGGTTATTTTAGAGATGAATGGGTGCCATTTTTAGAAACAAAATTAAAAGTACGGTAGCCATGTTATGCTGAAGCTAAGCGCTGATTAAGGGTAATTTTGTAATAAGAATTCGAAATTTTTAGCCTTCTATTTGTAGAGATCACAAGTTTCGGCGATCCAAAATTACAAAAAATTTGGTTTTTCAATAGGAAAATTTCCGCCTTTTTTTAAAACTTTTTTTTAAAATAAAAAATCAACTTTAAAATTCAAAGAAAGAAAGCCTAAACATTGTTCTCTGATTGTCTCTGCTTATTTTTTATACTCTATGGGCTGGGACCAGAAATCGTAAGATAAAATGTTTCAAAAAAAAATTTTGATGGAAATCTGCTCCATGAACACACATATTAGGCAATTTTTGAATCTTTTTCTGCGACTCTTAGGTTACCTTGAATGTCAACTGATCTGTATACGGTGATGTATGAAGAAACGCCCGAAACATTCGCTCCAGATACGCATCACTCGCCCTGTGCGGGATATAAGATCCGAAAAGCCGTTTGAACTCTGGAAGTCTCATCCTGCCTGAGGGGCATTCCTAAAAACAAAAACCAGATAGGATGTCATGTCGAATGTGACAAGGAATGCCCCACAAATTAACTCACATTCTTGAATTTCGCATACATATATTTGAGCCATTTGTTGGAGAACTGATGTCTGGTCGATTCCTTGAGCTGTTCCAGACTCGGCGGTCGTTCGCTTGGCTCGAACTTGATCAACTCGCTCAGCGAGGCCTCATCCACCTCTGCAAGTTGCGACATAGATCACGATTATGACGGGCAAGACGAGGGCCTGCTGTTTATATGACACAAAGTTTGGGGAATGTCCGTTTGTTCCCCTTGGCCACCGCAGAAACGCCTTCGGCTCATTGAAACCCAACCTTTTATGTGTTTTGGGGAGGATTTTATTTGCCGACACTAATCTGTATTACTTTTGATTTCTTCGGCATTCCAAATTAGGAGTATTCTGCTCGATTTTCTGTTTTTTAGAGTATTTGATGCCTTTTGCAATAAAAATTAAATGCATAAATCATGTAATCACTCAAAAATTTGCTATGTGATGTAATCAAGACTTCGATTGCGGGGATGTAAAAGAACAAGATAACTGAATACCGCACCATACGGTACGTATAATACCTAGCTCGCATTAACTTCCTTGTACTTGTTGTTGTTGTCTAGAGCTCCGAAAAAATCGAATTTGATGTCATTTAAAAAGAACTTATACAAGAATTACCCTAGAATTTATTCGAAATTTTGAATACTTTCTATAAACATGTTTATCAAGTCATAAAAAAACTTTTCTCAAGTCCTGAAGGCACACATCCCAAATACATCTGAAGGAATTCTACTTTTTTCGAACTGACACACCTGTGCTAGTCCCTCTGAGAGCAAAAATAAGATTGAAGCCTTACCTTCAGTCCGATAAAACACCTTAAACTGGGCCGATCGCACCGCCCAATACAATCGGCTGAAAATATTCTCCATGGCCGGCACGTTGACGAAAATAGGTGGAGGAGCCGAGAAACAGGCATGAAGTTGGCGTTCATACTGAAACTACCCAAAGTACGCAAAATATGAAATACTGTGCACCCATTTATTATAATCGTCCTGACCGAAGGGTCCTTTCCTTCCGGGACCGTTGCGTCATTATAAATCACTGGGTTATGGGGAAAGGGTACAAGCTCGAGGAGGAGTGGAGTTTAAGTTCAAATGGACGCAAATGGATAAAGCTACGTGATTCTGGTACTTACCAGCTATAGAGGGACCATTTTAAAGTCAACGGGCTCTAGATATAACCAATATCTAACGCTTGAATCTAAGGAAAGGAGGTGAGAAACGCCGTTTATATCTGGTAAAACTGTGTGTTCTCATGGAGGTGTATTTGCGAATAACTTAAGCATTCCGAAGCTAGAATAACCCCTGAAGGTTCGTGCTGCAAGGTGCAAAAAAAAAAACGATTTCTCTCTCTCTCTTCTTAGTCCACTTATAAATCACAGCCCATGCCCATAAAGCCTCACCTGTGATTGCCTCCGTTGATGGCGTGTGGGGTCATGGACAAACGGGTTCTTCCCGGAGAACATGCCTGGCCACTTTGAAGGCGGAGGATGGCCGGCCCTTTACGGGTTATGCGAGGCCCTCTCTGACCCGTCAAACGACCTTTCAAGGAACTGAAATTGAATTTGAACACGCTCAACTTCACGGCCGTTTCCTCCAATTTAAATTCGGAACTTAAGGACGCGTCTTTAAGTAAAACCCCCACAATTTTGACATCCGAATGAGGGAAGAAAGTACGGCGGGGAAGAGCTGAAAAGTCGAGGAATTTTTGATTTTCGTGAGAAAACCGGAAGAGATACGAAGAAGGAGGTACTACGTATGTATACCATTCGGCGGCGGTAATGGCCAAGCATCAGACCGCCAATATTCAATAAGTAATTTGGTGTCAAAGGCCATCTTTAGAGCCCCCTGGGAATTGAGAAGCATGCCAATTGTTTCATCCGCCGGGACATTACTTATTCTTTATTATTATGAACTGCGACACAAATAATTATCATTCCACAGTCTTGCACAGAATAAAACATTTTTTATTTTATCGCTCATACACAGATTTATTTAATTTACACCCGATATATTTACTCCTTTTTCTCATCTTCTGAGCAAAGTGCGTCCAAATCAATGTCATCAAAGTTGATCTCCGTAGATTTGACTTTCTTCCTGCAAGGCGTTCCACTGACTGGTTTTAGTTGCTAAAATACGACAAACTACTGGAAGCCCCCAAAAACATACCTTAAAAGTAATCATCAAGTCAGCGTTGACCGACATTATCGCTCCGGCGTTGTTGTATTGGCCACAGTAATTTGGAGCCGAAAACAGGGTCACCAGATGTCGCTGGGCAAAAAATTCGTATCCATCCTAAAACACAGAAGACATGAGGTAATATATGAGGGCGTGTATATTCTGATATTCAATTTCAAGAAAAAATCAATAGTGACATTGCGTGAAGAAGCCACTTTTTGTGAATTTTAAAAAAATTAAAATTGACAAAAGGTCTCAAATGGCTGTAATCTCTTACCTGAACAACTTGATGCGCCCTTACAATCATATCCAGACCCAAGTTTCGACAAGCTTCCATTACGGCCCTCACATTGAAGTGACTGGAGATACCTCGGTTCGATGGGCCGTACTGTGGATCCTCCTCGCCGCAGGGCAATTTTATATCCGGATCCGCCCTGAAAAAAAACAAAATTTAGGACATAAGTTGAGAGACAAATGTAATTCGCAACCAAAAGTTTAAAAAAATAATTTTTCTAAAACACTTGCCACAACAAATCGATTGGTAAGCCAGCTTCGCACGGGTCGATCGGCCGTTTCAGGGCCTCCAGCTGCTCAAGTCTTTCAAGATTGGGAGATAATCCGCCATGCATGCACAGTATTCTCTCATTGATTAGAGCGCAGAACGGGAGCCAATTGAAGACGTCTTGGAAACGATACCAAACTTGAGTGCCTTTCATGTCAGTCTGAATTGGGATTTTTAAACTGAAAACTCAAGACCAAAATCATGACTACTCGTTTTTTGTATCAATGGCAAAAATCAGTCCACATAAAAATAAAAAAAAAATTGGTGGAAAAAAACTGTGATCATGAGTTTCCCATTGTTATAACAATAATATTCTATCTCCCAGTAAATGTCCCCGCATCTTACCGCCTTGACTCCCCATACGGTAGTTGTCACTGGAATGTGTTGAAATCTGCTTTCGCATTCATCCGAGAACCCGTACGTCCGGTTGACCGCACTGCATTCATGGTTCCCTCGGAGCATATGGATATTCCATGGATATCGTATCCGGAGTAGAAGCAAGAGACAGATCACTTCGAGACTATGAGGACCTCGATCAACGTAGTCACCGAGAAATAGATAAACCTGAAAAAAAATCATTACAAATGTCAAAAAGGCAGTCTAAAAAGCGGATTCGACTAAGCTTACGGTTTTCGTCGGCTGTCCGCAAAGAGCAAAAATTCTCAGCAGATCCGTAAATTGGCCATGGATGTCGCCAACAATGTACAGCGGAGCATGTAGACGGAGCATCGAAGGGAGCTTCTTAAAGGATTCTCTAAAACACCGATGATTACGCCTTGAAAAACTAAGAGTGCAATTTTCGAAAATAAATAAATGTCAAATTTTTATTATAAATAGATCGCACTTTGCAGAATTTGCCAAATATCGAAAAAATTTAAATACTTTTGAAAATTTTTCCTTTAATAACTTTTTCATCGAAGTCAATTTTTTGCCAAAAATTGCAAAAAATCAAACGGAACTTACATAGCCCTGACGATTATCTGCTCGATAATTCCGGGGTCCTTCAACCGATCCTCTACTACCATATTCCCCTTTTCATCTTGGGTGACTGAGTTCATCAATTCGGTGATCAGATTGTTCAAGTCCAATTTCGGGGAGTTTTTGGCATCTTCTAAACAACGAATAGTAATGTCGATACAATTGCTTTGCCTTCTTACCTTTCAACGGACTCTCCAGATTCTCCTTGGCATCTCGATGACTCTGAAGTTTCACTGTTTCTATCTCCTTGGACGCAGGTTTTTCTTCATTCTTTTCGACATGTGAATCCACAAAATCTTTCATGTCAAGTCTGGTGGGATCCACTGTTGATTTTGCTTGAGTTCTCTTCGATCTGGAGGTCTTCCGTAGTCTTAGAGAGATCACAGGGCCAACATTTTCATTGAATCCGGCTGTTGCTTTCTCTGGGAGCTTTGGCTGATGGAGGTTTTTTCCGGAGGTTGAGGAGGCTGAAAGTAGAAAACAAAGGTTTTGGGGCAATTCTCTCTTCATTTTCCTGCCGGGTATGCAAAATTTAAAGAAAATCTGAGCGTCGCACTTGGAGTACTTCCCCTGTTAGTCCTATATAAACTAAAAAAATTGAAACTTTTAGTCAATATTCGCGGAGCTTGTTCAAAAGTTCGTTACAAAGAATCCCCAGCTTTTAGATTTCCAATCATCTAACCTTTGGCATTCTCGTCGACAATGTCGAACGGAAATGGTGTAACCGCCCTCGGGATTGGCGGCGGTGTTTCCAGCGGCAGCATTGCAGTGTCAAATTTGATGGCGCCGTGACGTGGGACTTCTTTAGTTCTCGGTGAATCTGGCGGTGTCAGCGATGCAGGGAGACTTGTGGGTGATGAGGAGACCATTGACGTGTTACTTGGAGTCCTTGGTCCAGCCAAAATGTTGGGGAAATTTGATGATTTACCCTCCAAATGTTCTTTCTGAACCGGCAAACTCCTTTTTGGATCAATTGAAGAACCATTTGAACAATTTTCCAGAGGGCATTTCCCATCTTCACTTTTGATTTTCCCATCCGACCATTGTTTTGGGTCCTTGTTATTTTCGACCGGTTTTTGGGCCATTTATCAAAACACAACCACACGGAGAATGAAAGTCGAGAATGAAGAATAAAATCAGTTTCAGGTGTTTCAAGGGGTCGTCAAATCTGTACAAAAATTTGAAAAATTTCACAAATTTGCATGAATGTTTTCCGCATTACTTCTAATTTTTATATTGATTTTTGATGACGTTCACAGTTTTTGCTCTTGAGAATTAAAAAAAGTTTAACGAATTTCTGGAAATTCTCTGAACCCTACAAAGCGTCATCAAAATCTGTACAAAAACACACTCTCCATTGTCGTGGCTCCCCAACGGCATACCCCACACCTTCATTTGGTTAATCACTTTAACGGCACAGACATGGAAAATCCGATTCCCCCGCTGAAAACGATTTTCGCGGTATTAGGACGAGCTTTTGGCCAAATTCGCCTCATATTGGTCCGTTTTCCTCCGCAACGACGGTCATGATCCTGAACACCAGTTTCGGTCTCTATTGTGCGATCGTTTCGATCATCAGCATTCTGCTGAATCTGCTTTTCTTGTTGGTCACCAAGTTAAAGCGAGTTGAGGGTTTCCAGGAAGTGTTGGTTTTTATGCGTAACATTGCCGTAGGCTATATTTTGATGTCCCTGTGTTTGGTGGCGATAGCGCCGCAACAAGTGGTGGTGAATGCAAGCATCATATTTATTCCACATGGGTTGCTGGCTCAGGCCGATTCCGTCCTTATGGTGAGTATTCCATGCTGATGACGCATTTCAAATCTCCATTCCTCCATAAAATTAAATGAGAGTGAAGAAATAAGATCGTGCCGGTGGTTTGGGAAGAAAAACGATAAAAACGCTTCCCAAATTTTTTTGAAAAAATAGAATGGAAGAAAGAAAGCCGGCACAAAAAAAAACAAATTTACTGTCTTCTTCAAAATCCCAAAGTCGATCTTATTTCCTCATTAAAAAATTTTTTAATTCCAGCATGGCCTCGCCTCCTTGGGTTGTGGAATCTACCTGTATACGGTGTTCAGCTTCATGGTTATGTTCTTATATCGTTACAACGTCACTTGCAAGACCTCGATGATGTCCTCCGTTTTCTCTCGACGTAACATTACCACGTTTCTCCTTACTGCGGGCATTTTTTGTGTGATTCAATCAGTTCTTTTCTATTATTCCGCAGTCGATGCAACCTATTTATCCGAGAAATTGAATCGGACCCGAGATATTGATTCCATTTTGGCCAAAGATCAGAATCTTCAACGGCAACTTCAGAATCAAGCAGATATACAGCAGCAGCAACAGCTTATTCAGGCCCAAACTGGAGAAGTTGCGCGTCCACAGACCTTGAATGGGATGGAAGCGAGTTCTGTCCCGCAGAAAACTGTAAACTCCTTTGATAAATTAAAAAATGATGACAAATAAGTTCAAAAATAAAAATAAATTTTAGGTCGGAATTTTCGGAATCGACTATTCCCGGAATCCGATGGTCTTTCTATCTGCTGGAATCTTTGCCGTGACCAATGTAATCAGCTCCGTTATTATCCTTGTCGCCTCTTTGGTAGTGGCATGTAAATTGAGAGGAAGACAGGTAAAACCTTTTAGACTAATATGCTTGACAATCATTCTAGGAGGCAATGTCAGAACAATCTCACTCGGAGCATCAAAAGCTGACGAATGTTTTGATCCTGGACGCTTATATTCCTGTTTTAATGGCATTATGTCCGGCGGTTAATTTTGTTTTTTGTATATTCCAACAGGATTATGTGTAAGGAAATTTGAATTCTGTTCTATGTTTTACGATGACATTTACGATGTGGAACTTAATTTTCAGTCGTTTCCAAGAGTTCTTTGGCATCCTCGTCTTGGCCCCGATCCCAGCTCTCTTCCCTTTGATGAATGTTTTCTTGGTCCCAGAACTTCGCAACACCGCTTTCCAAGTGGTCATTCTGACTTACTGGAGAAACAAACGAGCCGCCGTGGACAAGGAACGAAAAGAGAATTCGAATCAAGCACAAGAGCAGCTGAACGAGGCACAAGTCAGCGCCTTGAAGAACATGACCGATCGGGCCGGAGTGAAGCCAACACAGTAGAAAACACATTCGACGATACAACAACATAGAACAGACTTTTACATGTCGTAAATTGGGTGACGGTGTTTTGTATAGTGCTCGACTAGTAATGCTTTACTCCCAATATTATTTTACAATAAACGAATTGACGCGAATAAATCTAAATCCCTATGTTAATCCTCGGCCGTTTAATGCGTCCTGTAAACGGTTTTGGCCAAGTCACATAGGACTCTATAAGCGGGTTTGGACCCCTTCATCTTACAGGCCATATCCACCATTGCCGCCGCATCTCCGAGATTAATCTGGTCCTTCAAAGAAAAGGAGCCCGTTTGCTTCGTATCGATGTGGATCCCTGTGGCCACGGGCAATGCAGAAGTGGTAGGAAGAGTGGAGATAGTGATCAGGTTGACGAGTAGGTCGTCTTCGGTGGTGGTGGACTGATTGGCTGCAACAAATATATTTGATTTGCTATCAAGCCAAACGAGTTAAGAATTCTACTCCTTAAGGCCTTCGTATTTACGCCCTTTGCAGTAATCATCAAGGTTTTCTGATCAAAATGTGCTGACCCACTAGGTCCAACCTTTCTCTATTCTAGAACCATCAACAAAAATTACCTCTATAAGCAGTGGTGACCCGACTGTAAACCTCATATCCGGAAGTTGTAGATCCCGCAGTGGTTGTTACAGTAATCCCTTCGGTCTCTTTCAACGGTGGAATCACACTCTCCCACTGACTTTGGTTTACGTGACTCAACTGATCGTCTGGTTCTAAAAATACAGTCGTCGTGAGAACAGCCGGTTCCAATGTAATATGAGGAGTCTGCAGAGGCTCTATTGTTGTTGTAGTGAGCATTTGGGGCGTTGGATGAGGGGTCATTTGATGGATAATTTGAGGCGTTGCATCTGGTCTAACTGGTAAAGTCGAGTCCATATTTGTTTCCGAAGTGTCGGGAGTTGTTGTCGATAAAGTTTCAGTTGAAGTGGTAGCGGAAGATGTAGAAGTCTCATACGTCGTTGTGGTAGTACTTGCAGTAGTGGTGGGAGTACTTGAACCTGTAATTCTATCAGGCAACAGACCAACTTGAGCAGGCAAAACAACTTCTTCTTTGGTTGTAACCGTTGAAGTCGGAATTTCAGTGCTGGTCAATCCATTGTCAGGCTCCAGTTCGTAGATCACTTCATTCTCATCCACTTCCACATTAACATTGTCTTCATAAATCGGGATGGGAGGAACATTGGCAACAGATTTGTGGAGGAATTCATTCCTGGCCTTCTGATAATCGAATGGAATATTATAGACTCCTCCCAAAGTATGATCTTGCATTTTCTCGTCCTCTTTTACTCCACAATGCTCAACTCTCTCACCTCCCAGTTGAACCGAGCTGTTGAATCGACCTCCACTCGAATCTTCCGCTTCGATAACGGCACAGAAACCTCGACCTTCAATGTCACCATACATGTTAATTATGCTTCCAGAATCTCCCAAAATGGCGTATGGGAAATTCTTTTGCTGACTCTTCAAAGAATACGTGTATTGGTCGCCTAGGGCTTGGATTTGTGCCAGAATACTGTACTTTGAGTGCAGACCCGGAGGCACTGGGATCCGATATTCTTCTTGAGCAAAGAATTTTTGGGCCGCGCATTCGGCCGAAGAAAATATGAACTCGTAATAAATCTTCTGAGCATTCGTAAATGGAGAGCTGTCCACAAAGTTGATCAGCTTTTTGTCATCCACCCAGATCATGGAGCTTGGAATTGTGCGATGGAGGACATCGAAATTAGGAAAAACTTGGACGACCGCCTTCAGAATCATCGTTGAGTTAATGTCATTGGGCCAAGGGGCAGTTCCGATTAGAGGACTCTCAAACTTCTTCTCTTCATCAGCCATTCTGAACGCCATCATAATTATCTTGAGACATTCCCTTTCAGATGCAACGGGAGTTTCTTGATCCACAAAGAGAGCCTCCAAAGATGTCAATTTGGCGGAATCTGTTTGATAGAGATACAAAGGATAGACTTCGGCTATATCTGCGACCAAAAGAGCTGTTGGATTGATCATATGCTTGATGTAAAATTTGCGTAGAACAACATTATCAACAAATTGATTGTTCGAAGAGCAGGAGACTCGGATATTCTTCAGAAATCCCATCTAAAATGACGTTGAAGAATGCAAAAAGATGACAAACTTACCCCAGCCTTGGTGAGGCTGATATTCATGACCACATTTTTCTGTTGCCCCGACTCGATCTTCCCTAAATCTACATCCAGAGACGGTGTTTTAGTCATTTCATCGATCTCCATCGAGTCCAAAGTAAAAGGTAACGCTCCGGTGAAGTTTTCATCGGTTACTTGGGGTCGGATGTTAATTAATTGGACATTCCGAAGAGGCAGATATCTAAATGACACTGTAATTTAGGTGATATTACCCTTACCCAACATTCATAACACTCAATTTGATATTGAATGGATCCTTTTTCCCATCAATTCTCCCATAGAGGAGTGGATACATAAAGGCTAAAATACGAATAGAACCGGCAGGATCCATCTTAAATGTGGGTGAGTAGATCTCCCGAGAATGGAACTGACGATCCGCTTCGAAATTTAGTTTTACAACCGCCTAAAAAGTAAGAAGAAAGGTGTCATAAAGTAATATTATTCGTCTTACAGTAGGGTAGACCGTCCTAAGTAATCTTAGAGGCATTTTTGAGCTGACAGTCCACTGAATTGTTATGTTTTCCCCTGGTTTTAAGATCTTATACATCGCACTGGAGGGCCTCCCATCAAATAATTGTTCCTTAATCGGGAAATCATACTGTGTTCCGTTGAAGTCAGTGAATTTAACGGTCGTAATGATCTTCCGAAGAGTAATTGAAGTCTAAAAAAGGTCAAATTTATATCGTTTTCTATTGCGTATGACGACTTTACTGTCTCACAAATGTCAAAGTGATTTTTAAATATTTTCCGCTTACCGTAGGATTATGCAGATGCAGATTGACCAAGAAGACTCCAGATTCCTTGGAATACAAAGGCTCCACCTTCAGATATGACTCCAAAACAACTTCTGAAGTCCGATTCTCCAGTCGCAGCATTAAACTGATGACGTCATTCAATAAACTGGACGGGTCTCTCTTAGATATTCCACTGGACAACTCTTTCAACATCCTTGTCAGCCTCTGGAATTCCTCTAAATATCGATAAGCACTAGAGTTCGTTATGAAATTTCTGAATGGATTCATTTCCAATTCTTGGGCTTGTTCGAAGACTTTGTTCCATTTGGAGATAAACAGTAAATCTTGAGAAGACTCTGAAACCGTCATCTTTGACTAGTGAAATTAATCGAATTCGAATAAAACTTATGCAAAATTACCTTGAAAAGACAATCCTTCTTGCAAAGTAATGTAATCTTGGTAATCGGATTCATTTACAATTGTTTTCAGGAACTTTTCAAACTGACTTTCCGTTTGCAAACTCGAATTTGAGGGGAGCAGAGTCTAAAATTATAATTTTTTTAGTTATATTTGGAATAAAAATTGATTCTAAAAAGTAAGTCCTACTGTAAGATAATGGAGATGTTTATAGAAGCCATTGACAAAATTGCAAAGGTCAAATCTTGGTAAATTGAGTTGAATTGCTGCCATATTGTACAGATTCTTCTTGTTGGCCAAAGATAAACTCTGAAAAAATTGTTTTCTTATCTGATGTCAAAAGTAATATAAAAAAGTTGTCATTTTACCACAAAAATCGTACATTCTGGGTGCATGCCAAATGCTCATCTGTAATATATGGCTGGACTTCGCAAAATCCACTGTTTGCTGATATCACACACCTTAGTAATTGTTTTAAATCATAAAAATCCAATCCAGATTGGGAGCAATTTCTCTTAAATAATATCGACTCCATAAATCCCATAGATGATGGGATATTGGCGTTGAGAAGGGACCAACTTGACGAGCAGAAATCAGCCCGGACAAAGAATTGACGGCATTTCATAGCGAGATCGGTATGACAACTTTGGGAGATCTGATAGAAACGTTGGATGTTACTGTTTGATGGGTAGATCCCTGAAAGAATTAGAGACTCCAATTGAAATAAGTACAGATGCCACATACTCGGAGGAGTCACTCTTTTCGATCTGAGGTCGACCATGATCAGGGCTTGGTCCTGGAAATCCCCCATTACACCGGGTACTGTGTAGATGTAAGGGATCTGAAGGAGGTGAACAACATCAGTTTCATTCATCCTCTTTTCGTTGGACACCACTCGGATCTTGTGTTTGTAACCACACCCAACACAAATCGCCATGTGATACGGTAGCTGCAATTTAAATATTGTATTATTTTAGGTTCAGAAAGACATGTTTGTTCAAACCAATTACATTTTCAATATCATAGTACTCTCCACTGCTCGCTTGCGTTGTGATCATAGCCATGGAATTCTGCGGCCCGTTCGAATAGATAAAAGATACCCAGATGTCCTTGTCAACCTCCGTTATTGTACTTGGCTCCACAATCAGCTCGGGTCTTGTTGATTGCTAAACAATAATCCAGACAAAAGAATTACTCTTACTGAATCCATCTGGATGAACCTAACTCCATCATCAAACAATGTCAGACTTTTTGAAAGTTTTTGGGTCAAAATGGCGGTAAATGAGGAATTGAGAGTGTTAACTTTGACCAAAGCAGTAAAAGTCTGGAAATCCTCGGCCCGAATTATCAACTCAAACACTCCGATCGGCAAGGGCTGGAACTCAACAGCGGAATTGATCTTGACAAACTTGTTGAAGAGTTGTTCACCATGATGGGAGATAAGCAGGACCTAAAATCGTATTCTTAGAAAGATGGAACTTAAAAGTAGAGCAAGTAGTGTAGAATCGATATTATACTAGTCGCGGCAAAAAGTCCTTAGAATTTTCTGCGACTCCGCACTGTGCATGAACCCGAAAAGTGCTTTTGCACAGTGCAATTTTCTTGTTTTTGCCTTAGTGTCGCGCGCGATTCCCGCGACAAATCAACATTTCGAGGTGCGATGAGATTTGGGGGCCGCGAAAAATTCTAAGGACTTTTTGCCGCGACTAGTATTAGGCGTATGCACTATACAACTGTCAAACACTTATTTCTTCGTGTTGCTTCAATTTACTTACCTCAGCAAATTTATTCTCACTGTAAGTCATGCATTTTACGTTGACCCTCAATTTGAAATCAGCATTTGAACCTTTCGTAACTCGATAGGGTATCTGGAACACTGGTGATTTCTCACTTGGATACCGCAGAATCCCCTCCAAGGTCTGTTCTTTCAATGGGCTTTGCACTCCGAACACGTATTCCATCTGGACTGTTTTATTGTTCAATCTTCTTGAAGTTGGTGGGGACACCAAAAAGAAGGGCGATAAATTGTCAGAAGTGGATGATGACATTGATGTTGGGGGCTGCTGCATCTCCAAAGTGACCTCAACTAACGTATCTTCGTCTCCAACAACAATATCCAGACGTTCGGGATTGATCTTGATCAGATTTCCGAAACGACGGATTAGATGATGTCTAAAGGAATGTTATTGTAAATTACAATAAGTAAACTCCACCTCGCAGTGTATGTCACCAGATAATCACAACTAATAGCCACATAGAGATATTCAAAAGAATCTTTCGCCTTCTGGTCGGCCCTTAACACCAACTCAATTGTGGGGTTAACAACGTCACGCTGAAACAACATTCACATAATGAAAACGGTATCAAAATCGAACGAAAATATCGTGAAACCCACGGAGATTTTCTGAGACCTCATCATGACTAATTGCCGAGGCCAAATGACCTCAGCCATCCACTCTCCGCAAGCACAAGACTGACTTTTCAACTCATACTTGACTTCAAAATCCTGTTCGGTAACCACAACATTTCCATCGTACAACGCGTCTACAGTGCAGTGAGAAAACGGAAGACCTGGGGTACTATTTGACGCCGGATGAGGATGATCGGCGGTCTGAAGTAATTCTCATTTTGATTACGTAATTCTATGCCATCAAGCACAGTATTATTTACTTACTATATGGTATTCTTTTACATTTCCCGTAAATGGATAAACATCATAGGAAAAGAACCTTCTTTGTGACCACGTTGTAGCTTCTTCAATCAACGCGTCCTTCTCATAGATTTTGATTACAACAGGAACATCCAAATTTTGTAAGGTTGTAGTGTTACTGTACTTGATGAAACCAGTAATCCTATGCATGTTGGAGTGTTTGTGGCGAGTTACAGATGTGAGTTGAGGCGTATAGGTGTGATTAACAACCAGAGAGACCTTGATGTATTCGGAGCAAAAAGGTTTCTGCACTTGAATATCCATAGTATAAGGTTGTGTATTCCCTAGGGGCTTATCCCAGGAAATTCGTCGACTCAGCTCGTCGACGGAGAGATCCGGCTCTGACGTAGATAACAGAATTGTTTTCTCAGTTGTCTGAAAAGGAGATAATAGCACAGTGCTTACGCTATGTTAGACATCAAATCAAATGTTAACTTACATTAGGGGTTATCATATAACTCAACGCCTCCATTTCCTCAGTCTCCAAATCCAATGTTCTGTTCGCACTTCCAGGGCATTGTTGATTCACCGAAGCCTTCGGATCTTGACACTGATCTCCCGTATTCGCATCTTTACAAACACAAAGACTCTTAAAACAAGTTCCCTGACATTTCTGATTATCACATTCGTCATAATAATCCAAGAAAATGGATTCCTGAGCTTTTATCACGCTGTGAAGACCAGTTGGCAAAAGGACAATCGAATAAGCCTGATCTTTGTTAACTTCTGGCCTCAGACACTCGACAATAGTCGAGTTTACCCATCGTCCAACTGTCTTGGTCTCATTAAAAAGGCATTCGTAGGATTTGTCATGGTTTCTGAAAAAGAAGTCATCATGATTTAAAGTAGTTCCTTGCCTCGGGAATCCAACACCGACCACTTCGATTACTTTAGTTTCATTTTTTGGGTTTAATTTTGGCCTGACCGTTGAGATCCTTGCTTTTGGAATGCATGGTTTCCTTGTGCATATCTCGCAATTCTCTCCTCCCCAGCCTTCATCACATTCACACTTACTGAAAAATAATTTTAACACTTTTTCTAAGCTGAAGTCTTACTTTATAGGTTGATTAAAGACTCCCTGAGCACACGAGGTACGAGTTTGTGGTGTAATATTGTCATTTGTAACTGAATTGACCAATAAATTATCGTATTCGGCCTAAAAAATGTAAAGAATCACAAAATATATAGCCTACAGACAATTACGGAATAAAAAGTAAACTTACAGTAGCCTTTGGGATGGCATATCGAAGGAGCAGGATCAACGTGAAGCCAGCCAACTTTTCGACTAGAAGAGCGACCATTACTAATCAGTTTGCAATATTTGCAACCTACTTTTAACTGGCTTCTTAGCCAGCTTCAAGGTCCGTATCTTCATTCTGCCCGCATCTGGAGGACGTTGTAAAAGTTTGGACAAATAGTAATCTCAGACATTAAGTTTTTAGTCGCCCGGACAACAAATAACACGTTTCCGGAGTGGAGATGGTCACGCAACGGATTAAAGGTAAGTGTCTTCACAGAGACAGCAGATAATTCAGATACTTGATGTAGGCGATCGACAGCTTCAAAATCTCGATTTTGGATAATTTCTTGTCCTGGGGAAGGGTCGGGATCAGATTTCGGAGTTCCAGGAAGGCTGAATTGAAGGCTTCGACGCGGATTCTGAAACAAAAATTTGCGTAAAAGGTCAAAAAGAATGTAAAAGCCTCCAAAAATTGCCGTTCAGGAGAGAAAACTGTCAAACATTAAGTCTTTTCTGACATAACAGTTGCGTGGATATCACCATATTCACGTAACAGCCCCTCTGGCAATTATCCATCTAATCCACGGCTCCCTGAGATTATCCAAAACCATTCAGACCCATATAATACGCTATAAAAAACAAGGAAAGGGTCATGCCGACAACTTTTTGTTCCCAAACACAATAAAACTACTGGTAATTACTGAATTCTAAGGGAATTAAGGTCTCGAAAACAGCTTGCCCCGACTTTTACTCATTTTTTATGTGTAAAAAGAAATTTACACCGAATCCAGGGGTGTAATTAGGTCGTCCAAAAAATGGGTTTAAAAAGTGTAACCAAGAAAAAGGACATTGGTCAGAAGGAAGTCATGGAAAATGGACCTGGGACATCTTGGGATTAAGATTAAGACTATGGAGAAGCGGAGAAAGAGCAACAGAAACAACGGGAGCGCAAGAAACACTTTCGGATGTCAATTTATGCAAGGGAAATTGGGAAAGCAGAGCTAAAAGATGACAAGGTTACGGTACGTGAGCCTACTATTTTCTTTCATAAACCGATTTTAAAAAATTTGAAACATCGGAGGATATTTGTATGAGAAAATTTTCACTTAATTTTTATAAGATTTGTAGGCCAATCCAACATTTGGCCAGCCCTTTGACATATTCAAGCAAAGAAAACCGGTCTTGTTGAAAAAATAGCCTAATGAACAAGGAGAAAACGATGCTAAAATACGACTGACCGTTCTCTGGTAGCATGAAGACATCGGTATTTTGGAGTTGCTCTTCTTCGCTTCCTCTTTTCCGCTTTACTCAACTGATTATCTACCTTGGGATGGAAATCCTGATGGGAAACCATGCTCAGACCATTCAAGTTGCCGACCCCGAGGTCCTTTATACATAGAACCGATAAATTCAATTAGTTTGAGATTTTATATGTCCCGTAAGGCCTGTTTTAATTCGATTCCGAATTCCGTTTCCTTTTATTAGCTTCATCATATTGCCTGCAGTGGAAACTGCAGATTTGTGGGTTCAGAATGAGAATACTGCGGCTATTTGGTATTATACTTGTCATCAAATCGATTGGTGGAAGCAGAAGTAATCGATGATCCAGAATATTTCAATGATACCGAATTAAAAAAGCACTTCGCTTTGCAGCCAATCTACCGTAATCCAGCAATTATGAGCAAAGAACGGCTCAAAATCGCGCTCTAGATCAGAGATCCGTTCGAATTCTGCGACAGCGCAAGCTTCAATTTCCTCAAATTTCTAGCGAATTCAAATCTGGCACGCATTGTATGCTCACTCCGCCCTCCGTTTGTGACCTTACATAATGCTCATCCAAAGGATCTCTGGACGCGTTCTTTTCCCGCCGCTTTTTGAGTCAAGCGTTACGACTTGGCGCGACTTTTGGGGCGTCTATAAAAGCTGGAAGACGAACCAAAATTGTGTCAGTTGATCAAAAACGAACTTGCTCTGGAACTTCCAAACATGGCGAACAAAGAGAACATGGTAAGTACGTTGTTTCCGGCGTCAATAAAGTACCTAAAATAAGGAGAATTTAAAGGGGATTCGTCTTTTATTCCAATGCGTTCAAATTTAAAGGAAAGTCCTCTACCGTATAAACTGTGTACAAAATTTACCTCAATACTAGTCGCGGAAAAAAGTCCTTAGAATTTTTCGCGGCCCCCAAATCTCGTCGCACCCCGAAATGTTGATTTGTCGCGGGAATCGCGCGCGACAATAAGGCAAAAACAAGAAAATTGCACAGTGCAAAAGCACTTTTCGGGTTCATGCACAGTGCAGAGTCGCAGAAAATTCTATCAGTCTGTCGGAAAAATAACGGCGGATCGCCGCAGCAAAATGTCTCGCCTCGCCGCTATCGCGCACCAAATCCCAAGTCGCGGCTTGCAGTCGCAAAGCGATGATGGGCGATTCGGAGGCGCGACGATCCGCCGTTTTTTTCCCGACAGACCGATAAGGACTTTTTTCCGCGACTAGTACTTTGTAAACCTTTTTTCGTATATTATATACTAGACCCCATTCGCGAGGCGTTTGTTTGGCGGGAAGAAAACGAGCGGGACGTTTATGAATTTCGGAAATACGCTGAAACTCATTCGTCCATCTCGAATAATTTAGGTAGAAATCCCGAAATTGAAGTCGAAGAACCGATTACTGCCTAATTTTGTCATTACGACACATTTTTTGGAATAGGACGAAAAATTGTTTTACAAATTTCTGAAAATTTGTGGTAGCAAATTTGGTGTTCAAATTGCGTCACTATCAATAATGCCGTCTAACTTCATTGATGAGGTAGATATCTAAGATTTGTTTGTTTCGACGTCATGGTTAATACAAATTGTTTGCATTTCTTGTTTAGAACCATTTGGATGCCGATGAGCCCCTGCTCTACGACGATCCAGGTCGATTCACCTTGTTTCCTCTGAAGTACCACGACATTTTTGGCTACTACAAGAAGGCCGTTAACTGTTTCTGGGTACCTGAAGAAGTAAAACTCGAAGATGACCTGGATGATTGGCACAAGCTGAAGGAGGAAGAAAGATTCTTCATCTCTCGCGTTCTGGCCTTTTTTGCGGCTTCGGATGGAATCGTTAACGAGAATCTGATCGAGCGTTTCAATGCCGAAGTGAAACTTCCTGAGGCTAGGTGTTTCTATGGATTCCAAATTATGATGGAGAACATTCACTCGGAGATGTACTCTATTCTGATTGATACATATATCAGTGATGTAGCTGAAAAGTAAGGTTTGATTTTATTTTTTTGTTATTACGTATATCTTTAGGCACAAGATGTTCAATGCCATCCAGGAATTCGAGTTCATCAAGAAGAAGGCCGATTGGGCTATGAAGTGGATCTCTGATGAGAGATCTTCTTTCGGAACAAGACTGGTCGCTTTTGCTGCTGTGGAGGGCATATTCTTCTCGGGCAGTTTTGCTTCCATCTTTTGGTTGAAGTCTCGTGGTTTAATGCCTGGACTGGCTCAGAGCAATGAGTTGATCTCTAGGGATGAGGCAAGATACTTTGCACAATACGGGTTATTGTTGCAGCAATTGACAATGGTTTAATATTACTGTTTCAGGGTCTTCATCGTGACTTTGCTTGCATTCTCTTCAAGCACTTGAAGCATCGTCCAACCCAAGCTGAAGTGCACGCGATCATCAGGGAGGCTGTTGAGATCGAAAAGGAATTCTTGGTGGATGCCCTTCCTTGTAAGATGATTGGAATGAATTCTGATAGGATGTGCCAATACATTGAATACGTAGCTGACCATCTCCTGGAAGAACTCGACCTCCCTATCATTTACAAATCCTCCAATCCTTTCCCATTTATGTCCAACATCTCTTTGGAAGGAAAGACCAACTTCTTCGAAAGAAGAGTCACCGAATACAAGAAGGTTGACACTCAGAGCAAGGATGAAGTCCATGACTTCTCTATGACTGCAGACATTTAAGTTTTTTTCTTTATGTGTCTAGGATATGATCTCCACATATTTTAGGCATTTGTGATATATTTCTCATGTTCATGTTATAAGTGCTCTCGTCTCTGTTATTTTTTGTTATCTAACAGTCTTATTCTCATCTTCAGTTCTCTAACATTGTAAAATTGGCGGGTAACGAATAGTTAAACTTTATTTTAATGAATTCGAATTCATTTCATTAGTATTTACTGTAACTCTATAAGTATGCCAGTTTCTATGGTTAGTACCCGTTCAGTAGTTTATGTCCATTCGATTACTCATCGCTTTGGCTGATAGGTAACAAGCCCCTGCGAATCGTCAAAGTATTTGATATTCAAATAGAATGTAAAGCCGCGGTAGAGAATATGAAACGAGTTGAAGGTTCCCCGAGTCGGATCCGTCTCAAAAATAACGTTCAACTCGTTCTTGAGCATCCTATAAAAGTCGTTGGATGAGCAGGAAACTCTGTAGAACTCCAAATACATGTTTGTTTTGAGACCGACGTTATCCAAGAAATCTTTAACAGCTTCTTTGGTGAATATGGAACCAACTGTGGACAAAACAATAGTCTCTAATGGTGGCATTCGAGCCACATGGGCCAGCGCGTCATCTCCTAATTTGAGACCTCCAAATTTGACGGATGATCGGATTCTAAAAGTAAAAAAAAAACGATTTATAGGGCTTACTCTAAGAATTCCGTGGCATTACATGCTTTGATCAATTCCATTCCATTTTCTGTCCAATTTGAAGATAGATCTTCTACGGAGATGGCATTTAATTGAAGCCGGGAATAGAGTTCACTCAGATACTCGACCGAGACTGGAGATCCAATTCCTTCATGATCTTGAACTCGAATGCTTACCTAAGAATATATTGACATATACGTTTTGATGGTAAATATTTACTCACCTCATTAGCTCCTTTACAAACTCGTTCGAACTTGTCTTGCAGGCCAATACAACTCTTAATAGATAAGATAAGGCTCTGGGCGACTTCGACCATTCGAAGGAACAAACCGAGGTCATCAGGAGTTCGGAAGCAGAACCTCTGAACATAACATATATTACAAAAACAAAAATTATTATTGGTAATCATTACGATAAGGAAACCTATAAAAACAAGGCGGTAATGGACAAAAGTTCATGAGATGAACACATAATACGCACGGAAATGACACAATAAGACCTATCTGGAAAACTGAATGCTAGCAAAGTTCCAAAATAATCTCAGTGCGGTTTAACCCCGTTGGCATTTACGAAACTAAACGATAAATCAATTACATCACTCCTATTCGCTATAAATTCAACTTTCCCTAAAAATCGGCAATAATGGGTAAACATTTACTTTAAGTCTGGTTTCTTCTCCATTCCGCAGTCCAACAGTCGAAACTTTGAATCGAAATCGAATGAATGAGTATTCCTCTATCCTCAAACTGAAGCATTTGAAAGTTGACAATCTCTCGGCATTGTGAGTAATGAAACGATTCCAAGAAACGCAACACCGGAGTAATGAGAAATAATCCATGACATCCAGATGCTCGCAGATCTTCATCTTCAATTCAGGCGGCAAATGCTGAAGACATGGCTTTGTCTGGGTAGCCATTGCGATAAACTCTGGTTTAGGCACCAATCAACCGAAGAAGTCGTGAGAACCCAACTGAAAGAACGATCTTGAGTAATTATTTCGTTTATCTGCCGAAGAGAAGAGGTAATTCCGACAAAATCACGTGATAATCAGTAAAAGACTGAACTCCCCCCTCACTCTCATGATAATCGTTCGACTCGAGAAAGAAAATTTGATCCCTGTCTACGCAACATGCGCCCAATTTTCCAAAAATTTACACAGAGACACTTGACGCATGAGGAACACCTGACTCATGTACAGAAAATATGTCAGTGCATAAAGATTTTCGGTATTTTTTTTGATGTTATAGATCGAGATATTCGTTTTTGACGGAGGTAGGATAAATTTACGAGATTTTACGTGTCTGTAGTTGATTTAACTTATGTCAGCATGGCACCTTTAGTGGGAGCGGGATAAAATGTTCCACAATAAATTTCATCTAACAAACTTTTGTTGCAGACATGTCAGAACCAATGGAAGTCGACGAAGACGAAGTACAACGTCAAAAACGGAAATATGAGGTATGTTTGAACATTATTATCTTTGTCATATCTATTGGAATATATTTTCAATGGTCTCTTTCAGGAAAGACGGCGACAGCTGGAACGAGAAGAGCGAAAAGCGCAGTTTGAAGGCTTATTGTCTAGCGAAGATGAAGATAACACTGATATTTATGTAACAGCTAGACAAAGAAAAAAGGAGATGGCAAGTTTTACATTTTTATTAATATTCGAAAATTTAGGCCAAACGCAGATTATTGCTTCAAAATGCTTTGAGGAACAAACAAGAAGTTGTAGAAGAAGTTGACGATATTGTTGAGGAAAAGAAAAGGCGGATAGAAAAAGAAAAGGAGGAAGAGGAGAAGAAGAAAACATTGTTGGAAAAGCACAATGAAAGGTTACAAAAGGAACAAGGTAAGTAGTGATTGCATTTTATCTCTAATGGTTTTACAAAAAGTACTTAACATCTTCTTGCAGATGAAGAAGTAGATGAAACCGAAAAGAAGAAGCGAGAAGAATCAGAATTACTCGAAAATGTCTCCAAATCAGGTGCTTTAGTTACTGTCGGAGAGATGGCTAAAGGTGTAAAGTATGAAGAAGCGATAAAAACAGCATGGAGGCCTCCCCATCACATACGAAAACAGTCAAAGGAAGATATCGAGAACTTCCGGAAGCAAAGAGGAATCAAAGTTGAAGGGGAATCAGTTCCTCCGGCTATTGGAACATTCTCCGAGATGAAGATCCCACAATGTATTCTCAAAGCACTGCGGAAGAAAGGGATTATTCAACCCACCGTTATTCAAATGCAAGGGATTCCAGTAGCCCTGACCGGGAGGGATATGATCGGTATTGCATCTACGGGATCCGGAAAGACGTTGACATTCGTGTTGCCTTTGGTCATGTTTTGCGCAGAACAAGAGTTGAAGTTGAAGTTTGAAAAGGGAGAAGGACCGTATGGATTGATTATTGTTCCTTCGAGAGAATTGGCCAAGCAGATTTTTGATGTTGTTAAATGGATTTTAGAGGCGCTGCAAGGACAAGATCACCGGATAAATTGTAGAGCTGGACTTGCTATTGGCGGAGAAGCTTTCAAAGATCAAGCGAGGACATTTAGAAAGTAGGTGATGAATGTTTAGTGTCAGTTTGCCGTTTAGATTTGCAGCCTTTACTTATGACGTTTTTTAGTGGTGTCCACATTTGTGTAGCGACTCCCGGACGTCTCAGTGATCTCCTTAACCACAAAGTCTTTAATCTCCAAGTCTGTAGATACTTGTGTTTGGATGAAGCTGATCGGATGTTGGACATGGGATTTGAAGAAGAATTAAAAGGAATATTCTCATATTTTAGAGTACGTTTAACTGGTTCCTTTAGAGTACTCTGTTTTTAGGGTCAACGTCAAACTCTGCTGTTCTCAGCTACCATGCCAAAGAAGATTCAGAACTTTGCAAAGTCGGCGTTGGTTAAGTCAGTAGTTGTTAATGTTGGAAGAGCCGGAGCTGCTTCATTGAATGTAACACAAGAGATTGAATACTGTCGAACAGAGGACAAATTGACGAAGATTCTGAATTGCCTACAGAAAACACCACCGAAAGTTTTAATATTCGCGGAGAAGAAGATGGACGTGGATAATATTTATGAGTACTTGTTGTTGAAGGGAGTGGCTGCAGCCTCATTACATGGAGGAAAAGGTACGGGGAACAGATGTTTTCTATAGACTGTCAGAATTGAGCGTCAGAATATTCAGGAGTGAGATATAACTCAGCATTGTTTTAGATCAAAAGGATCGTCATTTGGGAGTCGAAGAGTTCCGTGAGGGAAGAAAAGATGTTTTAGTTGCCACTGACGTTGCGTCGAAAGGTTTGGATTTTGAAAACATTCAACATGTCATCAATTATGACATGCCTGAAGATATTGAAAACTATGGTAAGTGCTCTAATAGTATTTTTTGATTATCTCTTTAGTCCACAGAATTGGAAGAACTGGAAGATCAGGAAAAAGAGGACTAGCAACCACGTTTATCAACAGAAAAGCCGATCTCTCTGTCCTGGCTGATCTCAAACATCTTCTTCTTGAAGCCGGTCAGAAGTTGCCCATCTTCCTCAAAGAAATCGCTGGGGATCAGCATGAAGTTGACGATAATTATGATGAATCCAGTGAAGACAAGGGCTGCTCTTATTGCTCTGGACTTGGTCATCGTATCACAAATTGTCCAAAATTGGAATCAGTCAGATCAAAAGCGGCCAACACATTACTTCGGCCGGATATGTCAGCTCAAGAGGGATTATAATCATTGTAGCATAGTTTTATCATTAAATAAATTATTGTATAAATTTGTATCAAAAACCGTATAGATTGTAAGTGTCACCAGTATGTATAAACACCGTATATACGAAAGACGAGAACACGAGGTTGGAGGTAAGATTACCCGTTTCCGTCATTTGGACTTGCAGTAACAATAGTTCTTCAACCGCTTGTCATCCACACATTTGGCTTGCTCTTCATAGCGGTCTTTCCTTGGGAATTCATCACTTATCATCTCGACCTTGTAGTCCCCATTTGGTAGGGTCTCTACCTAAATCATTTGCAAAAATTATTTTCCAATAATTGAATCATACTTCAGCCGTTGCATAATACAGTCCGCCGCTTGGACTGACGGTAAAGTCTACTTGAAAGACTGCTTTTCCAAATACATCCTCCTCTTGGAGTCTCAGCTTCTCGTTTGTATTCAACCTCAACGCTGCACACGCTACTTTGGCGACGTCATGTTCTTGAAGTCGACTGTTCATTAAGCCTATTGCTTTTTCTGCAATTAATATGGCGATCTCTGGCTTCTCCACCTCGTGCTTTCCAAAGTCGCAGATGCAAAACTCGAATGGAATAAGTAAAGTTGCGCAATTCCTTGGTTCCTTCATGGGATGGAAGAACGATGACCCGATCAGATCGCGATTCCAATGTGAATTGAGCACATCCCCGAAAGTCGTGTTTTCATTCCATTCTGGCCCGTACTTGTAGATCTCCACCAAGGTTGCATAGAAATCGTAATGTGAGATCAATTTCTTGGAGTTAATCTGCATATTTTTCATGAACTCTTTGTTTGCCCTCAACTTTTTTGGGACTATTATTTTCAACGCCGGATTATAATCTTCCAGTGCTCCGTATTTGGTATCTTTAACAGGTCCATATCTCCTTCCGTGATCTCCCATGAAGAAAACGAACGAGTTGTCGAACTAAACACTAAAATAGGGTAAAATTTGCTTACCTTTTTTTCATTCCTTTTGAAAAAATCTAAAAAGAAATCATCTGTTCTATAGAGTCCATTGGAGTCATCATGCGCGATCTCACTCATCCAAGTGATACTAAATTTGGGATCATGGGGATACTTATTCATGAATTTTTCGGTGTAATTCATCAAAACATGGTGGTATTCCAGACACTTGGGATCGAAAATATACTTGACCATGTCGGCATAAGTTTCTTCTTCCATTCGGAGTTGGAATGGTCTAAAATTATTTAAATTTAGTCCACAATTTGTTAATTTTTGCAAAATTTACCTCATGTAATGCTCAGCGGGAGGGGCATCGTAAAATCCGGTGCACCGATAGTAATTGAAAACTCCCATGGCCCAATCCTCGGCCATCAACGTCTTGTATCCCATGTTCTTATAGTTAAATCCGATATAATCTTCTCGATTAATTGATGTGTTACATAACTCCCGTTCGAATTGGACAATTGGCCCAAATGGACTTTGATGAAGATCGTAGGTCCGCATACCTGTAAAAACTCGAAATCGGCAAAAATTTTTAAAGCCCATGATAAAGATACCATTTCCGAAATTATCCTTACCTAACAACATTGCGTTCGCATTAGGTCTACTATTTAGACCAACTTTGTTTACATATTCAAACGAAGTTGCCCCCAAACTTTCATTCAGGAATTTGAGTGTTTTCGGGAGAGATCTATACATTTGAGAGTTGGAAACTGAGTCCAACAAGATGATGAACACGTCTGGAGGCCGGTCCGATTCTTCGTTTGATTTTGGATTTTCTCTAAACAGAAACTCGTCATAAATTTTCTGTCTACTTTGGAATTATAGTCCAATGAAGATCGATTGTAATCCTCTCCTGCGCATTGTTATAACAGCCGGTTTCTATGATATCGCTATAAATTTTGACCCCTTTTTTGAGATCTATCTCTACCCAACTGCCCTTAGCCAACCATTTATCGCTGTATTGGTAGAGTGCTCTGGAATGGAAATTGATCACTAACAAAACAAGCAAAATATCCTATATTTTACAATTACCAAACATGATAGATCTTACCGGAAATAGCACTTGATAGTCGTATCATTAATGCCGGCTACTTTGACAACATCCTGTTCATCCAAATATGTCCTCAGACCTTCTTGTGGAACACAATCTCTTAACGGGTTAACAGAACTGTCCAATCGGGCGAGAATATCCTCATCAAACGGATCGATCTTTGGCAATCTACACTCTCCTGTGAACCGTCGATATACTTCCATAGGATCAGAGGTTGTCGTTGAAGCATTGAGTGGTCTAGTATAGGTAATGTCGGATATATCAGAGTTATTCGAAAGGAGGGGTAATTCACTTGTCTAAAGATATGCTTATTGTTATGTAATCTTCTTTGTCAGTAGCTCACTCTTAATTTAATTTGATGACGTTTGGCTTCTGTTTCCGCCCGCTCTGATGATGCTGATATTTTTGAGGTAAAGTTATCATTAAATTTACTGCTATTCAAACTGTAGATGAAATAAATAGTTGAGATCGTGACGATGGCGAAGAAAGCGACTTGAATGAAGCGAATCATTATGGCCAAACGACGAATTCGTATTCGACGGCTGAAACAGATGGAAAACATCAGGCAGGAAGCTGAACGGAGTCAATTCTGGATAGAGGGCCAAGAGTTATTTCAGATGAGGAACTAACAATACAAGAACGTGTTTGATTTATATAGTATAAATATTCAGAGACTAGGGAAACAACCCAGATTAATCTCTGATCCAGGCTAAAAAACACAATTTCTGCATAAAGACGTACCGTTTGCGAGTGGCGGACGTACTTCCGGGCAGCAGCTGGGCGTCCGTGTCCTCGGATCCATCTGAAGCCAACTCCAAGTTCATTGTATATTTAATACTGAAAAAATTAAAGTCTCTGACAACGTCTCATCATTACATATTGGCCTATATTTACACAACTGTCCGCAAGAACGTGTGGAGGATAATGGAGAGAAAATGCATTAAAAACGCATTTAAATTCGCTCGATATTACAAGGGACATCACAGATCATAACTTAACAAAAATTAGGGTTTATGATTTAGGAATTACGAGGAATTACCCGCTTTTTCGTTGCTGATAAGGCAAGCTATCTATTTTCATCTGACTAAACATACCGATGTTGTTTGAAAATACGTCATTAAGATAATGGAAGAAATAATTTAGGCTCGATAGGAGAAACAATGAGAGTGTGAATTGCAAATCGACTAGGCTCCCGAAACTGCAACGGGAACAAAGAATGATAACGTCTAAATTTCTGTCGATCTCTAGTGAAAACCGCAGCTACATGTCGAATTGCCACAAGCTTTAATTTTGATCCTGAATCACACCAAGAATTGCTCTTTAACGAGCTATGTTAACCCTACTTTCAAAAAGGATTTCTCTATACTGGGTACATTTGTATTCCGATCTCTGTGATGCGCTAGAGTTGAACACGGGTAATCCATTCTTAATCCCTCTCGCTTCATGCTCAGTGATGATTTATGAACGCGACACGTGCTTGCAGATGTTTCAACAAATTCGAGACTCCGGTCAGACGTCTGTTTTGTGGCCTCTGATAAGAAAATCATATCAAGGTTGTGACGATCTAGGTCTCTGGACCTTACAATTGGATCTGAGTAAATAAAAATGAAGGGAACGTTTGTCGTGGGTTTGTGACTTTCACTTTCGTACAAGGACAGTCAAGTTACGACGTGCTGAGTGCGTTTGTAACAATTTATGCAAGAGCCGTTAACACTTTTTTTAGAAAGACAGTTTGCGCTTTCTATTGGGGCTTTTCATGAAGGAAGTTGATGTCAAGAAGCTGCCAATTTTGGTATCATTTTATTTTGGTCGATTCACATTTATGGATAGTAATGTAACCCTATCAAACAGATAGATGAAAAGTTCGACTGGCCCGAGTAAAATCAGATTTGTAGCCTACCAATCCAATCCTCTGGCAAGCCTTTTCAAAGGTCTTACAAGGGAATGGACTTTATGTGTAAATCGATTTTGGCTTGGGACATAGTCAGATCGAAAGGTGTGTGGTAGTCAATTATTCACTTGGGGGGAAATCTCTGCGCGGGGCTTCAAAGCCGAGAAAATCGGCTTCAAAGCTTGAACGAAAAAAAGTAGCAACGGATAGGGATCCCGGAAAAGGAGCGATAAAAAGTGTGAAGTAGTGGCCGAGTGGTCAGTGCGCTCGCTTTTTGCGCAAAAGGTCGCAAGTTCGAATCTGCTTCCATTCATAACTTTTTTAGACAAAAACTTCTATTAATTTTTCCCCCTGAACTAGATTATCGATTCAAGGAGTATATTTTAAATGGAACCTTTCCATTTTCAACGGCTTTGCACCTTGTTTTATTTACAGTTTTAGAGCGCAGGGCACACCATCAACCTGATGTATTCAAAAACAACTTTCCATTATGTTAACTTTTTTATCTGTACCCCTTTTTTTCAATGTACAGCCGAATTAGCACGAAGAAAGCAAAAGTAAAAACGATAAATGATGATTTGAGCTTGGAAAGACTCGAACCTGCAACTTTTTGCGCAAAAAGCGGGCGCACTGACCACTCGGCCACTGCTTCACTCTTTTTGTCGCTCCTTTTCCGGGATCCCTATCCTTTGATTTTCGTCAAAACTTTGAAGCCGATTTTCTCGGCTTTGAAGACCCGCGCAGAGATTTCCCCCCAAGTGAATAATCGACTACCACACACCTTTCGATCTGACTAGGTCCCAAGCCAAAATCGATTTACACATAAAGTCCATTCCCTTGTTAGAGCGGATACAATCCTTGAGGATTATACCAACAAATTCAACCTGTCCTTACTTAGTGCACAAATTATCCCTTGAATATTTTTAATAACAAAAATAAAAAATTTTAAACTCTTCCCGCACTCATCGCAAAGTCAGCACCGAGTAACAAAGAATACCAGATACCTCAATTTCTTTGAATTCTGTCATTTTTTGTGAATCAGAGATGGGAACAACAACATCTCTGAATACACAAAAGAAAAGAAAAGTCTTCTCAAGTATTATAAATCCAATGTGAATATTTATTGGCATTAACTGCGAGTATTAGACATCTTACTGTAGTGTAAGGCGAGTGTGTAAATCTACATTTACGATGGATACAGAAGATTGACGCTTTGTTGCGCAATTGGAGCTAAATTAAAGATTGTAAATTTTTGATGACTTTAATATAACAGAAACTAACAATAAGAAAATGGCGATCTTACATTGAACAAGAGAGCTGATCGTGGGGAAAGTGGATTGGAGATTGGCCAAGGTTGGTGGAGTTTGGGCCTGGAGAAGTTGTACGGATTGTTGACCGGCGCTTTGGCCAATTCCGAGGAGCTAAAACAAAAAAAATTTCTACAGACAATGGAAAACAGGGGTTTTGACGTCCCATTTACCTGTTGGAAGAACAACTGGGACTCGGGAGTCAGCATCGACTTTGTCAGATCAAACAGTTGCTTTCCCTTAGCAACGGCTTGGTCAGTCAAAGCAGCAAGAGTTGGACTGTTCAAAGATAGGGTCTGAAGAAGTTGTTGGATGGAGGAGAAGGTCGGCAACTTCTGCCCAATAGCTTGGGCAACTTGAACATCACGAGGAGTGACTTGGGAAAGTGGAGGAATGGCCGATGAAGGCAGGAGAGCTGGAATAATAGATTATATGCAGATAAAATAGCGTAAAGAATGGCCGAAGTGGCCATAATTCAACCTTACATTGAAGTTGAGGAGGCAACAACGATAACAAACTCTGTCCACTGACTGGAGCACCAACAAAGGCCAAAGCCAAAAAAACAATGACACTTCTGGAAGCCATTGGAAAAGAACACACTCTACTGATGATGAAACCGATTACAGAACTCTTTTATACTTTACCCCAATGAACAGCCAGTACAAATCTGGACAAATAAAAGGCAGAAGAACACCGGCTGGACAAGCATCACATCAATAAATTGATGGCAAAATGTTGAGGACAAGGTTCTCGGCTTCAATTGGACAAATAGTTGCAGAGCAAGAATGTTTGCATAGATCTACCCGCATGTCCAAACATGTAAAAATCTTCTACGATAACTTTTACACCATTTTTGGCCTAAAACAAGAAGAAGACAATTGTGGATTGAAAACTCTGAAGGACACGAAGCTCACGACAAAAACTGTCAAACAAAACGTTTATTTACAAATAACTACTCGTAATTCTTCCCCGAAAAACTGATTTAATTAAAAACGCGTTCAGGTTAATAAATTCATCTCCCCAATCAATCGTAGGTCCCTCAGTTTGCACATTATCCTTGGCTTAGCCTTTTATGACCTCGAATTGCCGCTCTGATCCGTTCTTTGAATTCATAAACAATGTCCATTCCTAAAAATTGCATCTTAATAGTATTTTGTATAAATATAAGAATACACATACCTTTAATCTCTTTATTGGATGAAAAAAGTAACGTGTCGCCGGATCCTGTGAAGTCAAATTCAAATTCTATGGACTGAACATCACATATCGGTTGAATGATGCAAAACATAAGAAGCCGTAAAAACACAAATAAATTGGAAACGGCATTCAGTTACACCACAGCGTTCAGTTCTCAGATGTACTTCTCCAAAATGCAGTTGAGCAAATGATTGGTCTCATACTGGGTTTTGGCGATTCACAAATGACATCACTAAATTAAAGAATTTATGCAAAAAAAAACAAGTTTACCCTTAGTTCATCGTTTGTCGGATATTCGCCAACCTCAGCGTACTTATTAAGCTCCCCATCCATTCCTTGCTCCCATTCGTTATATTCGATATAAACGAGCTCGTTTCGATCGCGATCGACACGGCTTGCCCACATTGACCAAAATCTGAGAAAAAAACGTACACGCTCTTCGCAGCTCGCGGGTGCGTGGCAAGTATAGCATTCGCGCGTATGTAAGTCAGAATGGCCGATATTGACGATTAAATTTTGTGCATTATTATTATCAAACAAAGCCTATTCTGAAGCATCCTTTGATGGCAGCATCAATGTAGTATCCATGTTTACCAAAATTCATTAAATTTAATGTACAAGAATAATATTTTTGTGTTAATAATATGTGTGCGTTGATATAAAATGGGTTTTCTGACAATTCCTATCAATATCGACAGTTCTGCTTTCATTCTGACATTAAAATAAGATTAGAAACGTTTCATCGTATAAAATGTCGCTAATTTTTCTATGGACGTTTTTTTCTACATTTGGGCAAGCCGTGTCGAATAAAAAAATTGACAAAAAAAAGAAAAAATCTTTGACAAAAACTTGACCCAAGAAGGAAACACATAACCCATTTCCAAAATTTTTATAAAAAATATAGAAATTTTATTTCGAAAAGGAAAAAGTTGCTATCAGCTTTGTAACGTTCGATATTTTCAGGTGGAATAAATCGGGACTTGTTGATGAGATTGAGCGGAATCTTCTCTGTCTCTGCTCGGGTGGTCAAAGGCATCCAAAGACCCGGATTAATCGGCCGAAAAGCGGCCCTTTCTCTAACTCCAGATGCCGTCAATCGAATCAAATGCCTCTTGAAGGACCGACCAGACATGAAGGCGTTAAAGGTAGGTTCCTTTTATATTTATGACGTCGGAATCTTAGATATTCTTTCTCATTGCTCTTTCGCGCCATTTTCAATAATTTGAGCGCGAAAAAAGAGTGGATGAAGGCTCACTAAACGCTGATGCTTTCCAGATTGGCGTCCAACAACGGGGATGTAATGGTCTGACGTATACGTTGGACTATGCACAAGAGAAAGCGAAGTTTGATGAGGAAGTAGTGCAGGATGGGGTCAGGATTTGGATCGATTCGAAAGCACAGCTTAGTTTGTTGGGTTCAGAGATGGACTATATTGAGAATAAACTCTCTTCCGAGTTTGTGTTCAGGAATCCCAACATCTCCGGCACCTGTGGTTGTGGAGAAAGCTTCAGCATATAGGGTTCTTTAGACTTGATAGACTTACTGTATATAAAATATATTTTGGTAAGATTTTTTGTTTTTTGTTGTTAATAAACTTGTCTCATCAGCTTCGGTTTTTCGTGTTGTTGGTACAGAACCGAGGGTTATTACATAGTTTTTTCACGTGCAAGAAGGTTTTTTCTTCGTTTAGCTAAAGCGTAAACGCGTTTAGGAAGGATGGTAAAACAAAATGATGAGGCCAAGAAGGCAGTAAAGAAGGCCAGCAAAATCATCTCGCCAGTTGAACATTACAAGTGTGTTCCGTCAAAGGTTCAAACGTCCGATGGGTTAGTTGCGTTTTTTATGCCATGTGTAATTCTTCTACCACGTGGTATGAAATGATTTCCTCCTTTTAGAGAAGCCTTGAAACTCGAATATTTTTGGTCGACCCATCTGAGCGACTCTCAAAGAACCTGGATTTTCGACCTTTTCGACAAAAATATGGAGGAAATGTATCGGAAGTCGGAATGGGGATACGAAGAGAACTCGAAGAAGGCCGAGTTGTTTGCCACCACTTCTAGATACATAATTGTCACGTCTGCCAAGGGAGAACACATTGCATATATGCATTATCGCTTCGTGATTGAAGTCGAAGAGCCAGCTTTATACATCTACGAGCTTCAAGTCGAGCAGGCGTATCAAAACAAAGGAGTGGGGACTTTATTGATCTCAATCGTGGAATTAGTAGCCAAAAGGTCAGTGTTTTCTCTTAAAGTTTGATTCATGAATTTATAAGTAAATCCCTTCAGGTGGCGTAGGTTTATGGTATATTCATTAGAATTTCTACGCCTTTTTGTGTAATTATGCCTTGAAATAGTAAGCGCGGAGAATTACTTAAAATTTTTTCCTTTTCAGAGCCAACATGAAGAAGTTGTTCGCCACCGTATTCACTTACAATACCAATTCTCTGGCCTTTTTCCGCAAAAACAAATTCGAGCCGGATGAGAATTATCAAGATGTGGAGAACGAGCACGATTATTACATCCTGAGTAAGAAGACGACATTGGTCGAAGATTAAGAGACTCTCCTTTCCACGTTCCATCTTCATCCACCCTTCAAAGACGATGATTGCAACATCACATTCCTCCTCCTTTCAGTCTCCAACTTGATGTCATGTTCAAGGTTTTCTTCGGGTAAAAATAAACCTCTTTGTCCGCAACGCCGCATTGAATGCATATGGAAGGCGGCCTTGCTTCGCTTGCTTCTGAATAACGTCCTCCGGTCCTGGGCCCTTAATCTGTTTTCAGCCACATGAAACAGATCAATCTTCTAGCTGACTATCTCTTTTATGGCTTATCCCATCCAACCTAATTAATTTCCCATCCACATAAAGGTTTTACAACAATTCCGGATGTGCGATGACATTTATTTATCTCTCAATGATTTTATGCAGCTATATTACCGTGAGCAATATTCTCCATGATTAATTCGGACAATTAATATGGATGATTTATGGGAAAGCACGACAAAGATAGCTTGGGTAGCCAAATTTGGCGGCAGATCATCGTCGAGGAAGACGATCACGAGAGTTCACGAGGCCTTGAGAACAATCGGGCTTAAAGTTGGAATTTTTTAGAAGGGATTAAAATTTCTGAAGTATTTAATTCCTTTGCATTACCGTAATCAAATTTCTGACCCCCGTTGCAAATCTTTGGTCCTTTTTCTTTGGCCTTATTATGTGTAATATATGACTTTATTGTAGTTGTTTTTAGCATTGATAATAGGTCTGTCGAAACTACCATGTAGGTGTACCATTTATCCCAGACGTTAGGATACCGTTTTTCATTTTGAACCACACATGCAGAGCAATTTTACAGTTACTATGTTTTACATAAATGATTAATAAAAAGCCGCCATTCTAGGAAATTAGAAAAAATACCATAATTTCCAAAAAACTTCTACGTTGTATTTCTCAATTATCTTACGTGTTTAGCGCTTTTTTCGCACTGAATGTAAACACGTAAACAGGCTGGTGTAAACAGTAAGATTTGGTAGCAGAGTCCAGGCTTTTACAACCCTTTACAACGCCCTGCAACCACCCAGATTCAGTGTCTGAGGGGGTTTGGGAGCAAGCTGACATTCTCCGGGATCTGTTTTTCATGACGGGAAGCACGGCAATTGTCATGTATACAACTCAATGTTACAGCAACGTTTGGGTTTTGTTATTTGAAACAGCAGCGGGATTAGCGTGACTATTGTACTGTAGTGGTTGTAAAAGTAGTGGTAATTGGAAGTTTCGGGGCAATCGTTACGGGCCGAGAGCCAAATGCACCTGAACACGAATACTGAGGCCATGGCCATCTAATTGAGTCAATTTTGAATTCAATTCATGCTCTCAATTACACCACGGAAGTATGCGGCCATCGTAACATAGCGCCGATGGTGCCGTTGATTCGGAGTCCCGCGGTTTTGCAGGCAAGATTTGAAGATGTTCCGTTTTTAGAATTGCATCTCTCACTTCGACAGCCTTCAGCTGCTCTTCCAATAGTTACTTTCAGTAATAATATCAAATATTTTTGGTTTTTTGTATTTATCCCAAGGCTAAAGATGCTGATTTTGCATCGACTGATATTAAGGCATACGATAATAATATCTGTAGGAGGATAACTGGATTTGTTTTTTTGTATTTGCAATTGTAGGCTTTCTGTTTTGGCATACACACGATACTGACGGACAAATAACAATAGCAAATACAAAACAATAAATTTTTGAAATCCACCGTAATCAGCGGAAAAATAAGGCAGATAATTCACTATTATGGAACGGTTATTTTGACAAACTTTACCAAAGAAAACATGCCAGTAATGAAGCTGAATAGCCTGCTCGCCTACAATTTCTGCTTCTTTACCCACGATTCTCATGTCATGTGTAGATGTTGCCAAATCACCCGCTTTTGCTTACATGTCATCTGCCCTACGAACACGATACTCTCTACTCGCAAAAGTACTTGTTAAGTTAATTACACTCTTGTTTTAATCAAATTATCCGCGAGTCATAAGTTTCGCTTGACGTTTTCACGGCCCGCAATACCCTCAGGCATTCTTCGCACAGGTTTATTTCCAACCATACGATAATCCATCTGTTCTGATAGAGACTTAGGATTTAAAATTTTGTAAACCGATTAAGTATTTTATAGCCTCACCCCATTACTTAGATGACTCAAACCAGGAGTAGGAGTTTTGTGAAAAATAGGACAATCATGCGGATCAGCACAGATTTGCGGATTGTTGTGCATAGAACAAATATTTTGGAGGTGAGAGGCTACAGTGGTCTCCGCTACGTGACTTCCCACTTTTTCGATGTATTTGAAACTGCATATTGTAAATTTTGCTGCTTTATGCACACGTATGAGTGTGATTCATAAGTATCATCCCCGCCCTGGGGCCAAAAGCCAAACGAGTATAGAATTAAGATGTTACTTTACAGCCAAGATACAAGTAAAGAAACATCAACAGGTGTAATTTGCATAAAGGTCACAATGCGTCTGCGGGAAGTAAACATTGGGTAATTGGATGCTTAATTTATGCTGACCTAAATGTCATCACATTAAAGTGTATTTTTATAGGCAGTGTTTGGACTATGGAAAGTTGCCGGATCCACCTGTTAAAATATTTGATGTTACAGGTTTGCTTTCGCATTTTACAATGTCCTACTTATATCAAAGCAGTACGACGATCTAGGACTGATTAAATTCGCCAATTCTTTTCTTAACCCATTACAACCTAGATAGGGCAGTGCAATCTCCCCGTCTTTACAGTTCTTTCTCCCACCATCTCCAGAATTGGCAGATCCGGTTGCGATTATAATTGGCTTCTGAATGTGGCGTGACTAATTACAGAGAGCCAAAAGTTACATTCGCCTTTCAACACACTCTCTCCGCTTACTGTAATCCAATGTAATTGGGGGTTGCGAAAGTTTTGTAAGTCCGTTGCGTTGAATTGTACATCCACCGCTGTAAGGGAGGGGGCTGCAGAAATAGTGGTATCGGTGGACTGGCCCCGATTCCTCGGCTGCCGCCCCGCCCCTCCCCCTTCCACACCTGAGGGGTTTTTATGTTGGGATTCGTGTAAAAAGCGTGTTCAGTCATTTTTTCACCACAGAAGAGATTTACAGCTTTTTCAGCAGATACCATGGCCTCCCAGATGAGCCTAATTATTGTCACATTTCTTGTGATTAATCTCACGATTAACAACGGAGCTCTGGCCTTGAAATGTTATTCCAATGAAGAGGTAGGCAACAGGTTCGTGGGGAACCAACTTTTTTTAAGACTCCTTAATTTTTTATCACTTTTTTTGTAAAATTGGGAGTCCTGTAGGGGATCTTTGAACACTCCAACTCCTTGTCATAAGGCATTTGAAAGAGTTTTTATCGCTCTAACATATTTCCTCCAATCTTCAGCTCGTTTGCCAAGTCTGCCAAATTTACCGCCTATTGTTGGGAAGTAAATTGGCAAAGTTCTTCAGAAATATCAAGCATTCCCAATAAAGGCGTGTACAAACTGAATTAGCGGTATTTCAATAGAGGTGTCAATCAGCCGGGTTACAAAGTTGCCAACTTTATCTAAGGAACCTTTGACATGGGAAATCATCGTCTCTCTCTATACATATGTTGTAGTCACTCGTAAGACCGTATCCGTGTTCGAATACCGTAACTTGAAATTGATAAAACCTTAAAAAAGGCTTGCGACTCGCTCGGTCCCAGCATCCTTCTGTCGAGATGTCAGCAGGCCGACAGACTGAATCGAGTTTCATAGACCGAGTTTCATGGACCGCCAGATATCCTTTCATCAAAAGGGTATCCACAATTTTTGATGTCAGCACGATGAAAATATATTTTTTCGTGAACCTTATCAAAAGTTAATATACGGATAAAAAATCAAAAATTTGTAATATTTTTGCCATATTGTGGTTAAAAGAACAGCAAAGTTTCTCTAAGGTCATGCCAGGATTCCTGACATTTTTAGCCGAGCAACTAATGGCTTGTGTAGGGACCGAATACTAGTCGTTCCAGAAAGTGCGTGCACTTTTTTCCGCCTTTTTTGCACCGCACAGTGCAAAATTTCGTGTTCCCCGCGCGACGCCATCCGTTTCGAAACATTTTGCACTGTGCAATTTCTAAAAAATCGCGCCGGTTCCGTTAACTGATCAATCTATTTTTCCAATGTCACCTTGGCAAATCTCGGCCGCGCCCTGCCGTGGACTCGGCCAGCTGAGGCCACAACTTCATAGCACGCCCAGTGATGACGTAGCTGTGTCTTACAACCTCCAGCATAGCTTTAGCGCTACAATTGAGGCCTATTTCTTAGTTTATATGAGCCCAAGGGATATTGGAGTTGGAAACTCGGAGGATATATCCGCCCTTGCCCTGCTGCAATGGTAGACCTTTTTTCCCAGAACGTTTAGACGTGTTATAGGCGTCGGGTTAGTCATTTAGTTACTGGCAAACTCTGTCCGAACGGCCTACCTGAGCTAAAAGAGGCACTTTTCTGATTCTGGTACATTAGCCAGAAGAGGTTCAAAAACATTGACCAGAGTATTCCCGGCTATTTAATCGACGTTATTGAAGCCTCAGACAACGTAACTAAACATTGGTTATTGTTATTCAGTGATTTAATTAGGCTAGTTAACCAACTTCGTAAGTGCGGTTATAATTTTGTCGCATAGAAAATCATCAAAATTTTGGTTTTTCAATTTTTTTCCAAATTGGGGAAATTTCCCGAAATAATTTTTTGGCACATGATGCGTGAGACATTATTGCATATTGGAGCCAAATATGACACATTTCTATTGACAACCAAAAAAGTTACAGCAATTTCTAAAATGCGGTTATAATTTTGTCGCGCACTGTATTTTTATTGTCAATATTTACACCCATTCCTTACTCCTACTCATGCCGTATTTCAACAATATTTTAAGTAATTCCTAGTTCACAAAGTTTTTAGACACCTTAATCCACTTAAATATTTATTACAAAATTTATATTTGTAAAACTTTCATGTCAATTTTTAATTTTTTATTCATGGAGAATAACTGTTTAAAAGGCTAATTTTCAAACAATTCCCGGCAATTTTTTAAAGCTTTTCTATCAGTCTGAAAATTAAGAAATTGAAGGCAGTAGTGCGGAGGACAAAAGGAATTGTAAATTCCGGTCTCACCGCGAAAACTCGTTCGAAAGAAGTCAACTGTGCATAAATTACTTTCAGGGTCACTTGTCGTTGGTCGACGATGACTTCGAATTTTGCGCACTGATACCGCCGTCATCCGAAAACGCGTCCGATAAGAAGGCGCAGATGTACGGTATTCCCAGCGACGACATCGGATCAGAGGACCGGCTTCGACTACTTACTCGGAACTCCTATCAAGTGATTTCTTCGTGCTTTACAGAGGTATGTAAAGGACGTCTAATCTCATTCCGACAAAGGCCTCTTAATTGAATTTACACGTACTTTTGATGACAAACTCGATTATATTTGACTCATTAACTCCATTTGCAGAGATACGACATGCTCGGGCTAGTGGCCAAGGCCGGCGGGATGGGCGTGGATGAGGCCGCGGATACGGTACTCGGCTCCCAAGGCGTCTCTTACATTACGAGATGCGTTTGCAACTTCGATGGATGCAATTTGGCACGGACGGCGACACAATTCTTGACAAAACGGAAGGTCAAGTAGAAGAGGAAAACATCTTGTTTAGTCTTCCTTTCGGGACGTCTCCCGGCTCCTAGTTTTATATGTCCGTAAATACACCTCAACTCGAATTAAACTTGTGCTATGGGACTTTCAACCGGCTTCAGACAGGCATGACAAAATCACGATATGCAAGGTCATCTATCAGATGTCTGTTTGGAAGTCGTTTTGTTCGATTTGATGTGATTGTTTTGTTATTTTTGATGCGAAAAAGATGACAATCTATTGTAACGTCTTTCGATTAAATCTAGTCATTCTTTTGGCCTCGAACAAGTATATTTAAGTTAGGCGTTGCTTTTGGTGATAACTGGTCAAAACGAGGTTCTCTTTTCCCATTCAAATTACTGTTAGTGGTCCTATTGTTGTCTGTTAGGCTCCCGTATTTGCCCTTAGGCCTTCTTATCCCCGATCTCATTGTTATCTTTTAAATTGCAACCTGGTCTTCAGTCCGGATGTCGCTGTCTTCCATTGAATTTGATTGTTATTCCGCCTGTTTTTTACAGTGTTTTGCGTGCCACTTTGTTGTAAAAAATACTTGAGAGCCATGTGCAGGATGCGAAACGGCGTGGAAACAACTGTAAATGGCTTCAATTCAATCTCTCTCTCTCGTAATCTTCCTTTGTTGTTATCCCTTGCTTTGTGCAATCTTTGGCCCAATTAAACTCAAAAAATCAGAAACGTCGCATTACAACCGGGGGATGTGACGTTCGGATTCCCACACACAGTTAAGACCTTTCGTAATATATATTTATAATTTTTGTGTAATATCATTGACTTTGTATTACATTAATTGGAATACGATTATTCGAATAATAAAAATATCTTCTATTACTTGGTAACTTGAAGTGTAATAAAGTTTAAAACACGAATGTGAAGGGTCTAATCTAGCAAAAAGTGTTGATTACAAAGTGAAGCTTGAGGTCAAAACCCCATACAATACATCGAATATTTTTTATACGAGACCGGATAAATTTCAATATTTCAAAGGCTCTTGGTGACGGATTTTTCGGGGTTTGAAAAAAATGCGGATTTAATGATGAATTTAAAGCGCAACATTTATGATGACATTTACCTGGTCAACATATGGTTTTCACATCCGAAATTAGATCTGTATGTGTTATGCAACACATAATCTCTCACCTACACCCTTCTTAGTAAACAAACCAATTAAGAATACGTCGTCTACGGTCGACACACAGAGGTGAAGACGGTGAAATCTGAGCACCCTATTTCTAATTATGGCATCGAGATAAAGACGCCATCCAATATGCAGCTGATGGTAATGCGCAAAAGAGATTAAGAATATCCAGCCGCGATATATTTATACATTTATTTATACTGGAGGGGAACCTGTTCGCTGCGGAATATTTGTTTTGGCGATCGTTTACGGAGAGGTGGTCATGAGGGCGCTGCAGCTTGTTGCAATCGTTGTATTATGTAATCAAGGAGAGGCGCTTGGCACCAATGGACTTAGAAATTCCTTTTTCGAGACATTCCCGGAGGATGTGCAAGGTATGAGAGTGGCGTTTGATATTCAATAATAAGCTCAATAAGGTGTCTAAAGTGATGTCATCATGAAAATACTATTAATTGTCGATCTAAGATCATCTTGAACCATCACTTTTAAATCAATATCATCAATAATTCCAGCCTCAATTCGCGCCCATGTCCCCGATTTACTGGCCAGACTCAACAAATACGAAATCCGTCATCTCCTCAAGCTGATTCATGTCCGAACTGACAGTCAGCGGCTTCGAATCCTCTCCAGATACCCCACTCTGTACAAGAAAGTCATTGGGTATGCGGTGGATTGCGTGGCCAAGATACGAAGAATGAAATCGGAAACAAAAAAAGTGCTGGAAACGGTAGGGATTATACGGTTGCACTTTTTATATACGAATCGTCTACGGATGGCATCATGAACAATGCGAGACTTGGGTAAACATGTGCATTGTAGTTGTTCCTTGTAATTCCGGACCTTGTGCTGCGCCCGGAGAGGACCGAAACCCGAGAAAAGACGCTCCGATTCTTTGATGACTACGACAATATCAATGAAAGAGACAGGCAAGTCATCCGCGAACTCTTCCCTAACATCGATACTCTTCGCAATGGCCTCTCAAGACATTATTCTAATTTTTTGGAATGAATAAAGTTTTTGAAATGGAAAACATTTTGATTTTTTGTCACGGTAATGAGTTGGAAACAGTGGGTTCTTCCCGAAGATCGAGAGGAGATCCGGGAGGAGAAGAATTACTCCTTGCTTAGTGACATTTTCATACATAGGTAAGTTAGGGAACATCTACATATAAGGTCAAAAAATGCTTCATAATCTTCAAATTATTTATAAGCAATCCTAAGAATACTAGTCAAAAAACTACTCTTACATCTAAAAAAAGGTCTGACGTGATTTATTTAGCTCAGTAAATGATTATCGAGCCATTCGCTTCGTCTACAATTTCCCCATTGGCATCTTCATTGGCTACGCTCTCCATTACATCGCTTGGCATCGGCTGAATTTCGGCGACTTTGATCCGATCTTCTCACTTTGTTTTCAATGGTCAATCATTATTGGATCTGGCGCTGCTTTCGCTTACAGTCCGGTAACAATCTTGATTTTTCATCCACGTATATTTATTTTCAGGTATTCCGTTGCGCAACCATTTGTGTTTGCCTTGGAGGTCTTTCAAAGTCTGGCCAAGGAATTTTGACGTTATTTGTGATTGAGCAGTTAAATCAAGGTCCAATATCGAATATTCTTAGCAACTTCGAAGCGACTTCACAAATTGTTGTTTGCCATTTGGAATTACAAGGGGAATTGACGAAACAGAAGCTGACTCTCCTCGCAGGGCCCGCGGAAGTCTTGTTCGAAAAACATTTCAGTAATGTCAACAGTAGTTTGCTAAAAATAAGAAATACGATAAAATTCGTCGTTATGACGGTAAATTATGGACAAAGAGACTGTTTGGGCCGAAAAACTTTTGAGTTTGTCTAAAATCCAACAGCTACGCATTTGCTTTTAGAGAAAGCCGAGGAAGTCGGGAAAGAAATGCTGTACAAAATCAAAGATGTTATCGATCCGTTTTTTGATCAAGTCAGTGAAAAGAATGATGAAGATGATGAACTCCATTCTATTATCAGCGGGGAAAAAGCGATGGCTGAAAGAGTTCGAATGCTTGACAATCCTGGACAAACAGTCGAACCCCCACATTCATCAACCTCCAATCTTGGGAAGAACGGCTCACTGGCAATGCTGAATAAGTATCGGATGGCCGAGAGATGCCAATCCACTTATGCGTTGGCTGTGAGAAATTGCAAGGAGAGATTCAGTGATGTTCAGGTGAGAAGTTGGTCATCATACTCGTTAATTTTTGCTTGCCAAAAATTGGGGTTTTTTCTTCGCACTGTGCAGAAAAAATCCCTTATGTCACTGTAAAAAAAAGTCTGAAAAAATATCATTGCCATAAGAAAAGTCGCTTAAGGTGCAAATACGTGATAAATTTTAACTTTAATCATACTTCACATTTATTTCAGAGCAAATGTTACGACTCCTTACCCATCGTTGGACTTCTTGTTTGTTGGCAATACAACTCGGACAGTTTTTGTAGAGTAAGCAAGTTAAAAATGGTTAAATTACGATTGGTTTTAGCCAGATACAATGGAAGAAATTGCAATGAAGACGTGCGACAAATTCCAAAACCAAGAAAGTTCAGATATTGATATGGACGAGCAAATGAAGAAGATGAGAAATGTCACAGATCAGATGGAGGAGGAGCTCAGAGTTAATGTAAGTATATTACATCATGTAATGGAGTACCGTCTTTGCACCAATTGCAGCTCCACTTCAAAGCCATCGAAGAACCGAGAACCGAGCGCCTTTTCGCTTTGTCCGAGATTACCGTTGATCTCAGAAATTCCCTGGACATTATTAAAGTGACCTCCGAAACATTACGCGAGCTTTTTTCGGCGTTTATGATCTTCCTGGTGTATTTGATATTCAGTGGGGCGGTGGAGATGATCAGAAAATATCTGGGTGATATCGATTTCCAAAATCATTTCTTGACTCAATACTTCTGGAGGATCGATCACAAAAGAAAAGTTCAGGGAGATGTGTTCTTGGGGAAGATCAGGAGAAGTGAGAGGAAGATATATAAGCTCCAAAGACCCTTAGGGTAAGAGGCCGTTTTTGATAATAATTCTTTCTGTAATCAAAAAATATGCTGATTTTCTTTTGGTCTCAGACTACCCTCACTGATGGAGTTAAAGCAAGCGTGGAAACCTCTCCTTCAATTTGTTGTATTGCTCTTTGTGGTCGTTGTGATTGTGACTTTTGATCATGTTTTCTATAGACTTTTGGTCCTGGTAAGTTTCAAACATGTCAGTCTATGGACGATATATCAAATTATGTAGATAATCGATTTTATCGAATCCGAAGCCGAGCAAACGGGAAGACATGAGGTGGAGGTGAAGGTGGTTGGAAATGGAAGTATTGCAAGTATTGTCAGAGATCTGATCGAATTCAATTACACCGGCACTCAGCATCGGGAAGTCAACAACAAAGTTTGTTTGGTTCAACCCCGCAAATCGGATGAAATGGAGCAATTTCTGAGGCTCTTTTTTCCATTATTGGTCATGTTCTTCCTCCAAATTTTGCTGAATTATGTCGTGAAGAGACTGACCTTGTTCTATGTGCTTGGATACATCTTTAGGGAACGCAGCAAGAAGAGGATTATCTATCTTTACAATAAAGTCATCACTCAGCGATTTAATGATCAGAGATTGGCCAAGGCGAGATTGAAATATTTGGTCAAGAACGAGATTTATACTCCCACCAAGAATGAAAAGTAAGTAGATTGTGTTAAATGACATTCTAAATACTTTCAGACCATTCTGCCCACTGTTGAAACCACTTTATAAATTGAAAAAAGTTCGATGCGAGCTATGCCAAGGGAAGTTTTGGCGGAATAAAATGGAAAACTGCGAAGATTGTGAGACTTATTATTGTCTGGACTGCCTGGAATCTCTCAAGTGGAAATGCCTGGTCTGTAAGACACGGAGAAAATGCCGAATAGAAGCTTGAAACATTATTATAAATAAAGTCAGATTGTGATTGATTATTTAAAATTAAGTAAAATTGATTACATTGTACAGGGTGCGGCAATTTTTCGGCCGGATTTTAATTGGCCATAACTTTTTTAGTTTTTGGGCAAATGTTAAAATTCTTTTTTTCCCTGAATCCATAGACAACCCCATTTTGTTTAATACCAAATATGTTATACCCGTTCATTAGACTACAGTAACAATTCGAGACAAAGAAAAATCTCTAATTTTCATAGCTGACAATGGAATTACCCCTAGTGCGACCCTCAGATTTTCTTTAAATTTTGCACATGGGCCGGACATAGGCCACACATCAATTCCTGAAAGTTTCAGCCCGCACCTTTCAGGGGCGACCAAGATATTCAACGATTCTTTGCGGTCAGGAGGGCATATGAGTGGTCACACAGAAAAACTTTTTGGCTATATCTTCGTTAGTTTTCTGCGGAGATGGCTGATTTTTTGTGGAAACGGTATTCTCCATGGCATGAACAGGCATGAAACTTTTTACGACAAAATTCGTAAAAAAAGTGATTTTTTCTGGCGATTTTCACACACGCCGAAAAAGCAGAGAAAACGACCGAAAGGTAAATAACTATGAACTGGGTCCCTGTATATATAACATATTTGGCATTAAACAAAATGGGGTTGTCTGAGGATTCAGGGAAAAAAGAATTTTAACATTCGGATAAAAACTAAAAAAGTTATGGCCGATTCAAATCCGGCCGAAAAATTGCCGCACCCTGTACTTCAAAACAGGAGATACTTGATTAAATTTCGGTTAAAAACTGTGCATTTCTGTATAACTAGCGATACGCGTGGCCAACTGCAGAGTAATTCGCGGTGGACCTTGATTTTGCTTTTTAGATATTTCAGAGACGTTGCTGTTAGAGTGATGTGGGAGAGAATTCTACGGTCACTTACATTGAGAAAACTGCCCTATTCACATGTTTATAAGGCAGTAATTCGAAGATAAAAAAGCTAGGTCTTAGCAGGACAAACTATTACTGCGAAAAACATGTCTAGTTATACAGATGTGCTTCCTTGAAATGAGATAAACAAATAAGGATTAATAGTTTTCATAAATTATCGCGGAAAAGGCAGTTTCATCAACAAAGAATTCCAATACGAACTGCTCAGCGTCTTGATTAGCTCCGGATATATCTCATTTACCGTATCCTGATCAGCTTTGCTCAGTCCATTGAACTCTTTCAGCAGTTTATCGTATAACGCAGTGTCTTTGGCATCTTGAATTACCTTAGGCCATTCCTTCAGAACCTTAAATTGAAAGGTAATAGTTAGTCACTTGTGTTTGCTCAATCCAATGACGTCATCACAAATTTTGTAAATGGAATTGCGTCAATATTAGTAATGAAAGTCAAAAGGACTTACGTTGATCAAGTAGTCGGTAGCAGTAGCAGACACTTCGCCGGACTGGAATGACTCTTTCAGAAGGTCCAGGAGCAATGAATAAGTTGTCTGATCAGACATCACCAGACGAGTGCGGGTTAAATTCTTGGATTCTAGGTTGGCTTCTGCCAGAAACAGTTCCTTTTGTGTGGAATTAAGGGACAAGGCGTATTTTTGAGCCTTGTTTTCGATGATACCTTCAATTTTAAATATATCACAAATTTTACAAAGTTGGATTATTCGGTGTGGAAAAATGAATTAAACTCACCTTCAATCTTCTCCTTGAGCCCTTCTCCGTGAACTCCAAGGATTATGCAAATAAGCAGGAGACGAGACTTGTTCATGATGATGGTAAAATAATTTCAGCTAACACAAATCGAGAAGTTTTTAAAGCAATTTGAGGGGGGAATCAGAAGAAGAATTCGACGAATTTCAATCTCGGAAATACTTGAAAATAAAATGAAATGTTATGAGGAATGGCTGGGGCCACCGTAACCGAGAGAAGACAAACTTTGGGGATTCCTTTTTCCTCTGCTACACGAGGTCATTGAGGTGTAGTCTGTAGTCTAGATTAATTTGCAGCGATTTGATCAGTGGAATACGGTAATATTTTGTATTTTTGTGATTTCATTCCAGATTGTTGGATGGTAACAGTTGAGTAGACTTGAAATTGAATCTATATTTTGTGTTATGTTGGTTGTAAAAATATCAGTTGATTGAAGCTGAAAACGACCCAAAAATGCGTTGTTTGAATGGAGGCCGATGCCAATATTTTATGCTTTCTAGTGATGTTCTCACCTTGATTCTGACCTTTCCCAAAACAATCCAAATTTTTTGAAATCCGCTCCCTTTCTCACTGCACAGTGTTGACACTCGAAATTCACATGACTTGTCTTGCATTTCTCTCTCAAGTGAAACGGCAAACAATTTTCTTTAGCCAATACCGACCGGTCGATAAGGGTTGTACTTTCGAATTTCCGACCCGTTCAGGTTTTGTATTGCTCTTTCAAACGGTTGCTTCCGCGATTACGCATCGCTTACCAGAATCGAGAAATCGGCCATTTGTGGGGTGTAGGGACACTTTCGTAACTTAGTGTAGTAATTTCAGGAACGGGCGATCTTCCTCCAAAATTAAGTGTGACAGTAATTCGCTGTTCTTTGTCGTAAACAACGCTCTTCAGTTATTTCCATTTCTCATTGCTCAAGTTCCAATGAGACCTCAAGTTACTTTGCCAAAAATATCTATACGGCAAGCCCGCGACATCAAATGCGTCGCAAAATAAATTTCATGACTTTTCGACTGGCGATTGAAGAGAATCCGGCGGTTAAATGCACAGTGCAACCGAAAAGGAAACAGATTTCATTCCTCGTTGTCAACAAAATTGTCCAATGCATTCTTGCAACAGGCGATACACCTCTATGGATTTTGCTTGTCACTCAGCGACTTGAGTGCCGACTCTAGTCCCTTTAGCCATACAAGCTAAAGCCCTAAGAAAACATCGGCAATTTTTTAACTTCAGCGAGCTGGACCGATCATTGCGATCCCTTCGTTATCTGGTTTTATATTTCAACTTTATGGTCAATAATTTCCTAATTCGATAAGCTTCTTATTATGATGACTGTTTTTAGTCATAGCATTATCAATAGACAGGCTAGCTGAGGTCTGTGTTCCGCCCGCCTGATCTTTTATCAATGATGATAAGAATTAAAGTGTCCTCTAATGATCACATGAAATTACTTGGGCACAAAATTAGTTGAGAAAATGTTGGAAGGCTACTTGGATGTAGAAGATCAATTCTCGAAGCGATGGTTGCTTCAGATTCTGGAAGGGAAGTGCCCGAAATATCAGAAACTGGCCGGAGTCAAGACCTTGTTAAATGTAGGAGAATTGAATCTGCACGTCATTTGGTGTTTGTTATGTTATATTAAGAAAATAGCTCCTGGCAATATCACTCCATTTGATTTGAAATAAAGTAAAAATTTCAGATAACCAGTGAAATTCTCAGCGAAGACAACGGATATATGAGTCGCATATATCTGGTAAAACTTATCTACGAATACGAATCTCTGGAGTATTGTCTAAAAGTCCCAACTTGGCATAAAATCAGTGGAATTTTCGATAGTGAGAGAGAAAAATCGGAAGAAAATGGGGAAGTTCTTAAGTTGAAGGCATTCCACAATAACGAATGTAACTTTTACCGATTATTCGGTGAACATAATGTCGATGGATTTAAAATAACTCATGTTTACTCGTTTAAGGTAGACAGCAATTTATATGCATCACAAATTAGCAATTTGGTTTCTTACAAGATTATTTTACAGCACATCGACGAGGATGTGTCGATTTGCCCCCATATTCTGATGGATTACTTCCATAATTCCGGATCTGTTCAAATCCACGAGAGTCTGAATCAGAAACAGTTGGAAACGCTGGCCGATCAGTTAGCCATAATGCACGGATATTTGATTGGAAATGGTATTTATGTAGACGCAAAGCAGTTCAAACCCTTTGATTATAAACACGAACTTCCGAAGGAAGAAAGAGAAAAGCTCGGACAACTGATTCAAATGAAAATCGAGGAATCGGGAGATCGTAAGTCATCTTTTCATTAATTTTAGACCTTTATATTATACGTTATGACTTTTATCTTTAGAAATTCTGGTCAGTAGTTACAAAAAAGCAAAGCCAGTGATAGACACGCAAAGACTTTTCGAACATTGCATAAAACAAGCGCATCTGGAGCTGGGAATCAAGCCAATTTTATGCCACGGTGATCTCTGGGCGAACAATGCTTTATTTGAATTGGACGGGCAGAGAAGGGCAACGGATAACTTGTTGGCCATTATTGATTTCCAATTGGCTAATGTCGGTGAGTTCTTCGTAGTACTAGATGTGGTCTACTACAGATTTGTTGCTGTTTACAACTACGAATTTTAGGAAATCCGGCACAAGATTTGGCCAGAATTTTGACGATAAACTGTGATGTGGCAGTGAGGAAAGCAAATGAAGAGAGCATTTATGAATATTATTACACTAAATTGTCATCGTATCTCAAAAAGCATGGTAAACGGCCTCCATTCACCCTGGAGCAGCTAATTCTGGCTTCCAAGTCGCAATTTATAGTTCAGGTGAGCTCTGACCGCATTGGTTCTGCAATTTGCTGTCAATATCACTAAAAACTTAATATTCTTTTGCAGTCATTGTTTTGTCTGTTTTTCCTGGCGTTCCATTTCTCGGCACCGGAAAAACAACAATTCAGGCGAATATTCGGTGAGCGTGCTCGCTACATCCTGGACGACTGCTACACCATTGCCCATTCCCATTTTGCCCATCTGCTGAGTCAATGAGCCTGCCTGTATCTACTATAAGTGTAATAAAATGAAACACACAGATTGGAACTCCAAATGTAACACTGAAATTGCGCTGTAATTGAGGAGCCTGGGGGCAGTCGGGTTGACATCGATGGTTGCCTCGACAACCGGTCTACCTTTACCTACACTTACATCTGCGTGTGCTCATTACCCTCGGGGCATTCGATGGGGCCCTGGGCCAACGTTAACCCCTCGTTTTCATCTTCTTTTGTTTCCCGATTTTTTTGAAATGACAATCCTTGGTTACCGTAGTTCTGAAGCGGGGAAAGGACAGCATATTTGATGGTCGTGTAGGCCACGTCTTGAGATGAGGAAGGATGTGAGGTAGAGGATTACCAGGGTTATTCATGTATTCTAAATTACTGAGGGACTCAATGAGTAAAGAGGTGAAGGGACATTTGGGGTTGGGAAGATTCCAAACATTCATTTATTACATCCTTGTAGGCAAACGAATGCCCGGATGTTAATAAATATGTTTGCAAGGAGTTACTTGACGGCCTGGCGTCGGGTTTGTTTAGACCAGATACCTCGCCAAATATGGTCATAACATCGAACTCATTTACTCCCTCTTGTTATGTCATTCCACCCAATCTAATTTCGAATTTCCTTTGGCCGTAATGTTCTGTCTCTACATTAAGGTGAATTTAATGTTCGGCACTTTCCATTCGTTGGCAGGAATTTCATTTCTACGCGCTGCTTTCAGCGCAAAACTTACGTCTCATTAACTCAGCTCATTACCGGTCGAGTTACAACAATGAGTAATTTCCAATCCCCCGCATTTGTAATGACATGCGCCGTAAAATCAATCTACTCATACTTCTGGAGACCTTAATAATGCCCTCGAGGCTTTGTCGGTAATTATCCGCAACAAAAAGATTCCTCCCTCAAAATAGTTGTGGACTGCCTTTGCCAACCTTAATGACCCCAATTCTATGCGCCATTTAGAGGTTTAATAAGTTAAATTACAAAGTAAAAACCCGTGGTTTATGGGTGCAATAAAGCGTGCTGTCGATTTTACATTTTCGTGAAGGTGTCTCTGTTCATCTAAATGAATATACGGCCCTTGCGTGTTGGGAGCGGGAGTATCTTGTCTGAATCTTGAGACTTGTAACTTTTACTTTGGACATTACTGAAGCAAATTAGGGTCTATAGAACTATGAAGCGAAGTAATTTTCGACTGTTTTTCTTGTGCAATATACTTGTCATCATTTGATCGTTCAAAAAAATCTGTCTGTCATCCTTTTCTACTTTATGTAAATGAAAAGTGTTTCAAGCTGCAAAGTAACTTTTATGAAAATAATAAGGAAACCCGATCAACTCAATTGCAAGAAAAAGGTGAATTATGGTCAATTAAGGGCCAAATGTCGGGTGCATTTACATTTTTATTTACGTTACACAAAACTTTCATATGTCACGCATAAATAGCTTGTCTCCTAAGCTTTTATACTGTTTGGAGCAACTTTATTAAATTACTCTGAATTACTGTTTAGAATTTTCCCATGGTCTCAAATACTCTCTGGTGTTTAGAACTTCTCTAGCTAAAAGTAATTATTACCCTTTATTCCTTTGTTTTTCATCAGGCAATTTATTTTTATTTCGTTTTTAGTAAAAGTGCAAGTTACGAAAGCCCTAACTAGAGAAGTGTACAAACTGACCATCGCCAAATAGCAAGTGCTATACACCGTTGGAAAGCCCTTGGAAAGTAATACTTGGAAACACTTTCAGTGTCTGCAGAATACCGTTCCGCGGCGACATACTGTAAAATATATTTCCAGACCATTTTCCGTGTTCTCTCTTGGACCAAAAAACCCTTCGGTGTAAATTTACCGGAAATGATTAATCGTGCCATCGATTATATGCGCCGTCTTGAACAATACATTTGAAGTTAACGGAGAAAGCGTTGACTTCGCAGTCAATTGTGGAAGCTACAAAACAGAACTTTTTGCTTGTTGTTTTCTTGGTCTAGTCGAATAATTCGGTATAACATATTTGGTATAAAACAAAACGGGTGATTCCGAGGATTCAGGAACAAAAGAATGTTGAGTTTGCTCGAAAAATGAATAAGTTATAGCCAAGGGGACCGAAAAATTGCCATGTAGTTGCAGCGTCACACATATCACGGTATTTCCTTTAAATCTGTAGACATTGACACATTTACACCAATAACGCTACAATTGCGTGTAACCGTGTGACGCTGTCGTTGCAAACGTCTTCTCAAACAGCTCTTGTTATGCTTTTGCGGTGCAAAATGCCACCAGTAATTAGGCGTCTTGTTGTTTGTTGTACTATCCTTGCCACAGATCGCAGGTTAATTATACAACTGAGATTTGTGACGTTCATTCCGACATTAAAAGGCACGGTGGAAGCTCGATGACCTTCGCCGACGATAGAGTAGTTGAAATTCAACACAAATTTACATTTGTAATCCTCTGTAATTGTCCGTGCGGATGGTCGTAGACAATAGAGTATTATATCAGACAGTAGAATATCAAGTACCCCAGAGCTCAACGTATTCTTAATAATTGTCAAGGGCAGTTTTGGAGAGATTTTTAATTAGGATTTGGGAGCGCAATCCGACCCTCTTCTCCCGTGTTACCTGCTTCTTTGGCCATAATTAGGCGACACGCAAACGGATTACTGCTACTCTCTTTTCCTTAGGTAATGTCTTATTCGAAGCAAGCAGCTAATAGATGGGTGGGAGGGAGATAGAGGGCACCGTCACATGTTATTGCACATCAAACAATACACCTGTAATGGTTGTGTTCTTTCGAGGTGTTATTCTCCCCATATCTCGCTTGTGTTCGCTTTTTGTGTTGTGAAATGAGTTAAACTACGGTTCAAAGTCATAGTTATCCAGAGTAGAATCTGTAGTCTTGTGTGCCCTTCACAAATGGATTGTACAAACATACTTTCTGATAACATGTTTCATTGGCATTTAGGAATTACTGCCTATTTTTTGCTTGAACTTTGTGAGAAGAGAAAAGTCATGTAAGCCCCGTAAACGTCTTTTTTTTATTGATTTATTTCACATAGAATTACAAATTTGTAAATAAAAATTTTTTACAGAGTAACATGCCTCGCAAAGTACGAACCTTTCTCAGACTATAAACTCGATGAAGTAATCCAAATCCTTGTAGAATATATTTTCCACTTGTTGACAATATTTCTGATTTCTCAATGGCTTACCCGTTATTTCACAGGTAAAGGAAATTAACTACAATGTCAATCCAAAGTATAAAGCCGTCGGATGACGCTTCCTTTCCGTTTCGCGTAAACGTTAACAATTTCATCAAATTCAGAGTAATTATATTGAACCCCTCGTCGCACCTTTCCCCTTCAGTTGCGTATGTGATTATTTATGCACAAAAAATATGTTGTTCGCCTAGTTCTATGATAAACCTACCATATGTATTTTGTAGGAAAAGAAAGACAGATGTTTCAGCTATTTGAGTTGTTTTTAGTTTTTATGTTAACACACCCTGAGGCCACAAATTCAAACATTACACTTTTTTCATTGGCATCGTGCTTCTCCGTACTTATACAATTTGTGTGGGTGTTGAGGGGATCTGAAGTTAACGTAATTTGTGGGCTCTTTACTGTGACTTCAGCCATACATCACTTCCCAGAACATGCTCACGCAGGACTGGTGTTGTTGATACCATTAGGAATGCTTACGCGCAATTCTTTTTTCAGGCCTTGCAGGTGCATTTACCGTAATTGTTAGTCCTTTCAGAGAAAGGTTTTCGTGTCGAGACCCAGACCGGCCTGGTGTGACAGCCGGTTAGTCTGGGGTCCCAAGACTCCCATCATTGCCCTGGCTTCCGATCCCATTGATTCGAGCACAGATAGTCCACAAATCCGTCCAAGATTTCTCTCTTCGGCATCATGGGGCTTTGTCAGAGTCAGGAGGAGAAGGAGCTCCAAAACAAGACCAAACAAATCGACCGCGAACTCATGCAAGGCCATCTGGCCCAACAGAAAGTCGTCAAGCTCCTGCTTCTGGGTGCTGGCGAATGCGGCAAGAGCACGGTGCTTAAACAAATGAGGTAAGCCGCTGTAATTGGAGCCTGTCGAATTGGCTCGTAGGTGTAATTGTCAACCTGTTTTTTGTTTGTATGGGTAACTAGTGACATGGGCAAGGTTGGGGGCATTAGGAAACTATTAAGTTCATATACGTTTATTACTTGACGGCGCTACTGATTAGGAAGGTGTTGCCGTAAGGGCTTATTCGAAGCCGATTCGTATCTTTCTGTTGCCTTCTGAGCGCTTTTATGGTATTCGTTCTCGGCACATTCAAAATTCGAGTCCATAAAAATAAGTGGAATTAAAATTCGGCGAAACCATTCACGTTTTCCCGATACCTCCAATTACCCCCGTGGGCCGCCTCGCTGATTAGACGTGCATTTAAAGGGCCGGCGGCATATTTTCACCTGCTCAAGGGCACTTCTTTGAAGCTAAGTTATAAGACAAAATGGAGGGGAGAAAGGACATGAGAATGAGAAAAAAATGCAAGAAATATTGATGTTGCATCTACATCGTTGAGTAATTTTGGAGCCAAAAAAACAATTGAAAAAGAGACAAATTTACTGAGAAAATAAACAACTTCAATTAAGATTTTCACATCTTGAGATCTGCGTATTTCAAATACCAAGAAAGTTCTTTTAAGAAAATTACAACTTGACGATTTATTAAGTCTTGATGTCTGTCCTTTATTCTTTGCTTCTTAGCCAGCAAAATGGCCGTTGCCATGACAAATACAATAATATGTTATGGCCGGATCCACTACGTAGACCTGTGCAATCGGACATAGTCTGAAATGTAATTACAATTTTTCATACGAAATGAAATGAACTTGAGACCTCGTGATAACCCACTACATATAAACGAAGAACAATGGGAGTCTCGAAGGACAACATGCATACTTGTGAGAATGCAAAAAACATGTATGTAGATGCTCTCACGGTGAACTGGTGTTTTTATGATAGGATTAAACATAATTACATAGAGTCATTGTTATTCAAAAAGTCGAATGTAAACACCCATCGATTTCAGGATTCTCCACGATCATGGCTTCTCCGACGAAGAAATGCAGAAACAAAAGGCGGTCGTATACAACAACACGGTTCAAGCCATGGCCCAAATTCTGCGGGGAATGCAACAATTGAATATTACCTTTGAGAATCCAGCGCTGGAAAATGAACAACGGGTTGTGATGGATGTGATAAAGCGAGGGGAAGAGTCGGAGCCATTCAGCGCCGAGTTAATCCGCGCAATGAAGGCGTTGTGGGCCGACCCCGCGGTATCCAAGGTCGCTGTGCAACGGGGAAATGAGTATCAGCTGACTGAGTCCGCTGCATAGTAAGTTGGTCTTTAGTGGTTTAGATAGGTACCATCTAAGATAAGAAAAAATATTTTAAATATTGTTTCAGCTTCCTGGATTCGATAGATCGAGTGGCCGACGACCAATATCGACCAACAGAGCAAGACATTCTGCTCAGCAGGATAAAGACTACTGGTATTGTCGAGGTCAAATTTAAGATGAAAAATGTGGATTTCCGGTGAGTTTAGTCATCGAAATAAAAGTAAAGAAATAAGACCGATTTTTTGGGATTTTGCATCCTTTTTTTCAAAAAATTGGGCCAAGCGTCCCTAGGGTTTTACTTCTGAAAGATCATTGATTATTTCTTTACTCTTAAATGTGGCCTTCAATGTCTCGTCTAAAATTTGCTTTATTTGTACTTTTTTCTGATTAATGTGTAGCTTCACATGCTATGAAAATAACTGGATAAACAAAAAAAAATTTGCAGAGTATTCGACGTGGGAGGTCAACGATCAGAACGTAAAAAATGGATCCACTGCTTTGAAGATGTAAATGCGATTATTTTCATCGCCGCCATCAGTGAATACGACCAAGTGCTATTTGAAGATGAAACGACGGTAGGTACAGGTTTTGATAGCTTATCTTTGGGGAGTTCTTTCTGGAATAAAACCCGAGTTTTTTGCCTCAGGGATTACCTTTTTTTGGGATTAAAGAGCGTAATGTAGGTTTGCGTAGTCAAATTATTATGGATTAGGATAGGATTAACGAAAGTCTCGAGGTAATACCGGGCCTGAAACAATTACTGGATAACCATTATCGGATTGCAGAACCGAATGATCGAGAGCATGCGGCTGTTTGAATCGATTTGCAACAGCCGATGGTTCATCAACACCTCCATGATCCTCTTCTTGAACAAAAAGGATTTGTTCATGGAGAAGATTAAGAAAACATCCATCAAAATTGCATTCCCTGAGTATAAAGGTCAGTTTCGTGATGATAAAATAATATCAAAACAATCCTAATTTTAGGTCCCAACACATACGATGACCAAGTGAAATTTATTGAGGAAAAGTTTGAAGGTCTGAATGCAAACCCAGACAAGACCATCTACATGCATCAGACATGTGCAACGGACACAAACCAAGTGCAGATGATCCTGGACTCTTGCATCGACCTCATCATTCAGGCCAATCTCCAAGGCTGCGGTCTCTACTAAACAGATTTGGTGATATAATGCACAATAGAAGAGAATATCATCCCCTGTCTCCCGGTAACTGTAATTATGTAGAGCTTTCTCTTTCAAGGGTTCGTTGTACTGCTTAAAAAGTTTCTTACAATTTTTTTGGATTAATTGTTTTGTGAAACAAAGTGCAATATCGCCCTTTTGTTAACAATTCTCGTTACCAAAAACAGTAATGGCGTCTTTTAAAGATAAGTACAGCGAACCGTGATGACGTATTTTAACTTCTCAAACTTTTATCCAAATTGTCTATTATATTGTACCATACTTAGTAAAGTGACGTCATATATTGTATTCTTCTGCTGCATTATTTAATCGCCCAATAAAATCGACCATTTGCCCGGGCTTAAAGCGTTCCGCGAGGCTCGAGAAGAAGGTGACGGGGAGGTTGAGGTCAAGTCCAATCAAGACCTAAAAAATCCAAAATTTGTTTGGAACAGCGGTAATAAATCTGCTTACATTAGCCTTGGTCCATTGTGGATTCTTCTCATACGGTTGCAAGTAATACCCGACCAACCTCTGCACAGTGCGGACATAGTCATCATTCTCGGGCACATTAACATGAGTCGTGTTCCGACAAGCCATGATTATTTTTTCCTCGATTACTTCTTCTTTACATGCAATTACAGCGTCACGAGCAGACAAAATAAAGACTCGATGCACGGCCTCATGGATAACATAGCTCTAAAAATAAGAATATTACAACAAGGGGAAATAATATATGTTCGTATAACAAAACAATTGTTACAAAAATGGCTGCACTTACATTGTTATCGAGTCTATCGACGACCCTATTGAACTCATATAAGTCATCCCATTTGCTTCGGTATCCTCTGAAAGGCGCCAACAGGGTTGAAATCTTGGTGGTGTTTGCCTTTACAATTATTTCGGCCATTAGCAAATGCTCCTTGAGTTCCGGGAAGATGCTTTCTTTGGCGTAGATCTTCCAGCCTTCTCCATGACGCTCCAAATTTGGCCAAAGTTCATGCCTGTTGCCTTCGATAAGATCTCTTAACTCTTTAACGGCCTGATCAGCAAGCTTAATATTCTCTTCGGACGATGGGAAGGCAGCTGTAAGTATTTATTTTGCAATGATTACGACTACTGTATGGCATCGCCAATTCAAAAAAATATTATCCGTCAAACTTCATAGAAGCGATCAATAAATTATTTGTAAAATTTACGTAAACTCACCAAAAACCGTCGACAAAACGAGGAAACCAGTCACAAGAAGCCTCATCTTTCCAGTTTCCCCGTCGCTTAAAATGTTTTATATGATCTAAGAGGTGATCTGAAACCCGGCGGGAGACCAATCACAGACAGAAAATTTATATTTTCTGTACACAATGTAATACTGTACGCAACGGGAGACGAAGTTTGTAGTTTACTTTGGAATTCGAAGGAAACGCAAGAAAGGGAAATCGAAGAATAAGGAAGGCAACTTGGAGGCGGTCGATTTAAACCTTTCACCAACAAGAAGGTCAAGGCCTTGAAAACAAGGACACTAGACAAGGCCGTTCATTAATTGGACATTAAACCTGGGATGGCCAAGAGATCCGACAAATGGTAAACAGAAAATATTTTGGAAATGCTTTGATGAGTGCCGATCTTGAAGGAAGGAATGCGAGGTTTATTGAGGGAAATCAAAAGTGTGTTATTTAAAGAACCAAAACAACTACATTATAATCTCACTTTGAAAGATGAAATGTCACTAAATTTTCAATGTCCGTCGTTGTCGTCAAAAAAATTTACAATATATACATCCTTAACAGTTTTAAAATCATTTACTTATACTTTGTTTTCGGGCGTGGGAGAACGCAAAGTTCTGTGACATTTTGTCTTCCAAGCCGTAAAATCCAAATGTATACGTTGTTGCGGTCCTTTAAGGAATCGTCTTCTTATTTTACACATAGTAATCAGGCAAAGCAGCGTTAAGTCGCTCCACAAATTCGGATAATTGGCCGGGTTTGAAACGATTTACAATGGACGAAAAGAAACCGACCTTCAGGTTGAGATCAACGCCAAGGAGGAGCTGAAAGACTTTGTTGCGCATAATATTGCAATTAAATTACATCAAATTCTAACAGAATCTCCAAACAAAACTCACTTTAAGTTCAGTCCATTTAGGATCTTTGGAATAAGGCTTGACCGAAAATCCATTCAATCTTTTGACCGTACGAACATAGTCATCGCTTTCTGGGACCTCCGCACTGGTCGTGTTATGGCATGCCATGACTATTTCCTTTCCAAAATCAGCCTTCTGACAAACCACAACTGCATCACGAGCAGATAAAAGAAGTTTGGCATGAATAGCTTCGTGAACAACATAAGTCTGGAAAACGGACCATTGTAAAGATGACCTGTCATTTTGATGGGGAACACTTACATTTTCGTTAATTTTATCGATGACCTTGATGTACTCATACAGATCGTCCCATTTTGTTCGCAGCTCACCCCATGGCTTCAGCAATTCGTAAACTTTGGTGACATTTGCCTTGATTACAGTCTCGGCCAGATAAATGTTCTCTGAGAGTTCAGGAAATGGGCTTTCTTTTGTATAAATCTTTAAATCGTCTTCTTCTCTCTCCAAATCCGGCCAAACCTCGGCTTTATCCGCATCCACCAGCTCTTTCAACTCTTTTACAGCCTTCTCAGCCAACTTTAGATTCTCTTCTTTGCTTGGAAACTTAGCTAAAATTGTCGTTTTAAAGTGTAAATATGGTAGAATTCCTTAGACTACACTTACCAAAGACCGTTACAGTCAGAAATGTCACAACTAATAAAGCCTTCATGATACTTGACAAGCTCTTTGGATTGAAAAAACTGAATGTGTTCGAACCAAGTTGATGGTTATATTACAGCTGAACATTACTGCGGGTACCTCCTTCAAGTTTAAACTGGTTACGCAAAAAATAGAAAAGGCACATGTTGACAATGATGCGCGCTGAATGGGCAAAGTCCAAGAAATGAGTTTTGTGTAATAATAAGTAATTCTTTGCGTTTTGTAATGTTATTCTAACAGCTTGCAACTTTTTTTACTGCCTATTTTGATAATTGAACCAAGTTCAAAGTATACTTCGTATCATAAAGATCTTTATAGCGAATACTTTATAAATTACACCTTATATTACGACGAACTCCCACTCTCAAAAATACAAAATTATTTTAATAGTTTATTAAGGATATTGACATGTAACCAAACCAAAAATCAAGTATCATTAAATCAATTACTCGGCCTCGACCCTCCAAACGACAGTCCGAATAGATTTGGGGGCCATTCCAACATTCAGGAAACGTTTTGTTTTCTGAGTTGAAGCATCAATTGTAAGTGCATGGACCCGATCTTCTATGTTATGAAGAATCAGAACTACATTCATTTCGGGAGTCCGGACCGCCAAACATTCAATGGGTCCGGGAGTATAAACAACGGACTCATCCTCGTTATTCCTAATTGCAATTGGCAGAACTTTGGAGCCGGGCGGAATGAAATGACTAAAGTATGAATAATATAAAAAGTATAAACATAATTAATGTTTGCTCACCTGAAATGCCCGATGGCATAATAACTGGGCTGTTTGTAAAACTCCGCCGCATTGTGGGAGTTGACAATTATGGAGGCCGAAGCAGTTTGTCGATTTAGAGAGGGACCTCCTTCTTCATTCAGTGCAAGATTATAGTCGATATAACCATTCACATAGTGGTTCAGGGATGAGATTATATCAGACGCGTAGTCGGCCGCATATTTCCAACTTCCTTGAGAAACGCTGCCTCGATGAACGGACTTAAAATATCGAAAAAATACCAAAATTTATGAGACTGGCATGGATATTATGTAAAAAAATTTTTAAGAACCTACTTCGGTTGACAAGATAAACTTGTCTGGTTGGAAATTGTGAGTTTGGATGAGATTATTGACAGATTTATTGGAATTTAAAAAGTTAGAATGGACCGAAAATCCATCAATAAAGGCACTTCCATCTTGATATAACTAGAAATGATGACATTAATTACATTTTTTTCGTACCGTATTCACATTCCCCAACAAAGAATTCTTGGCGTCTTCATGGAAGACAATATTCACATCTTTCGTCAATTTGTTTCCTTTTAAGGACGGGCCAAACACATCGTTGATGAATTGGCTAAATAAGACAGACTTGAATGATGACATTGATGTAGGTAAAACACTAATAAGAAATAAACTTTGCCCACCGTAGATTATCGGAAGACATTGCCATCCTCGGTGAGGCTGTATCATTAGCTGTCAGGCTAGTCAAAGGCTCGTTTAACGGCGAAATTCCCCAGAAATTCAACCCCAATGTTCTTGTTTGCTCCAAATATCTGAAATCAAAAACGAAAATTATTACCAATATTTTGAGTATACCTGATCAGATATTCAGTATAAAGACTGTAATAAATGTCCTGAGGAGATCCTTTAAGTTCTCCCGGTCCCAGAATCTTATGAGAATTCTTCATCCAACCAGGAGCTGAGTAACCAGTGGCCAACAATTTAATATCATTGTTGAGAGCAAGGATGTCTTTGATAAATGGAACCTAGACACTGAATTATGATCCTAATAAACCTACTTTTGAGTCATTCTCCAAAGAAAATGTCCTTAAACCATAGTCGAAGGATTTATCGTTGTAAGTGTAACATTCTTCCGAGAACTCAGTTGATCCAGCAGGGACCTTTAACATGTTGTACTTGATTCCTGAAGAAGATTAGGGTAAAATTTAAATCAAACATTGATTACCTCGTTCTCCAAAGAACTGATTAAGCAGTAGATTGGTCAAATTGGTGTACTTTACAAGATTAAAGTAAGCAGAATCTGTTAAAGTACCGCCGAATCCAAGGATTGAATGTTTCGGGTTTGCGAGATCCACTCTGATGACGTGCTCGTTCTCTGTGAAACTAGATCACGATAAAGGGTGTTACCTACCAGGCCGTTCATCCTGAAACCGATGGAACAATCGCCTCAATCTTGACTCAGCTGCTGAAGTCTCGTAAACTATGGCCTCATTCCTCTCCAAATGTCCGATCGGTCTGATCTCATCACAATAAGACCCATTACACACACAGACAAAGGAATCTTCTCCAAAGTATCTACGAGAACATCCATCTTCGTAGGTTCTGTGGCCAAGATGTGTGGCTCTCTCGGTCAATTCTAGAGAGATATTGTGATTTGTAACATTACATACCAGCCCACACAAGAATAACGATGATAATTAATACAATCAGTCCTCCGAGAAGCTTCAACGGGGTCCTCCACTTTTCAGGAATTTGAAAATCTAAAATCAGGCGTTATATAAACAAGAATCACAATTTCGGCGATGTCGGCATCATAGATCTTTCTGAACCGACCTCCATCCTGGTTGCGGAGAGTGACCAGATTCTGGAACATCCCGACGGACTCGGTATACTGCTTACCATTGCTTTTCTTGAACTCCTGCGAGCCCTCGGAAGAGGTCGAAATAGCGTCGGCCATCTTTGACACACGTTCTACGCCTCTGGCACTCGTTTTACAATTGTCTTTCGCAAAGAGACAAAAGATCGAAGGACTTTTCCAGAGATCCAAATTTATTCAAATCCTTTTGACATAGAGCGACTTTTCGGTGAGGAAATAGGCTGACTCCGCAGTGATCAACTAAGCCAACAATCAAAAAAGTCCGTCATGTATTTTTTTAAGCTCAAGATTTCAGTTAAAAAAAGTAACACCGCTATGAAATGAGGTAAGTTTCAACGAATTATGTACATATAAAAATCAATCTAATCCCACTCAATACTTGACGTCGTTTTTGGCTCGGCTTTCATCGCTTCGGCCGCTTTCTTGGCTTCATATTCCATTCGATGCCTCCGAATGGTGTCATAATAATGCTCAATTAACTGGAGATCTGAAAACATTGAATTAGTCTATTAAAAGACACGCTAGCGGAGTTCAGAACCATTCTCATCTAAAACTGACAACTACTTACTGGGTTCATAGTTGGAATTGAGAACATGCGAATTGAACTTAAAGAATATCGTCCCGGCATCTCTCGCTCCTTGATATTCAAGCTCAAATTGCATGGCCGTTTGGAGATCAGGAAGTTTGGCTGTCCTATTTGATTTATCCCTTACGACAAACACCTTGTGTAACTAAAATCAAAACAATTCATAAATGTCAAAAAAAAACTTACAGCTGCATTTAGACGTAGCTTGAATAACTCCTCTAGAAATTTATTCATATCTCCATGACTACATTTATTCCGGCGCGTTCGTTTCATATACTCCCATAACGCGAGAACTATCTTGTGCCGGGCCTAAAACAAAATAATTGCTGCTTTAATTTGTCCAACCAGTTGGCAGATTGGATACTTACATCAAGTTCGTCGTCTGAAGGATAAAACCCTTTTTTCTGGAACCAATCCAGCTCCTCATCCATCTTCACTTTCCAGCGAGGACTAAAAGACAACAAATAAAGTAAAAGTATTCAACTTACTTTGACTTCTTTTTCCTTTCTTCTTCCCTTTCCTCGTGAGATTGTCGTATCTGATCTACTACGGCCTTCATACATTCTTGGACTATCGGTGTTATCATTTCGTTGTTAATTGACTCAATGACGTTTTTCATCGCCAAATTATGCCGGCAGAACATCTCAAAGTCTTTGTACCCAAGTCTCACGCCAACGCAATCTGCATCCACACCAAACTCTTCGTATAATTGACGTTTAAGATCTTGAAACGACATCAAAATCGGTGAGAATAGGAGTATTCTATGGACTTCACGCGCGACAACGTTCACTTTTCCCACATGATTCGCATTTTCCAGGGCGTTCTTGATCGTGTAATCCACATCCGGCATCGTAGAGATAATATAATCAAGAAAACAACAATCAGTTACTTTTAACAAGCTCCGTATAAATTTATACCTCACGTTTTTCCGAGAATATTCGATCGAATAAAAAATTCTTTGGGAAAATAAAAATTATTTGAATTTTTCGCGTCTTTGGCATTATGGCGTATCGCAATAAGAAAGCGCGAAAGTTTCACAATTTTCCTTTTTTGTTGAAGGCCTTATTGTTTTACGATGGCCAGAACACGGTCAGGACGTAAATCCACGGAAACAGCATCAGTCCCAAAGGCGTCTCCTTCCTCTTCTTCTCGAAACAAAGTCAAGAAACCGAAGATAGATGTGTCGAAAGGCTTGAATCTGGATGAAGTAAGTAAAATTCTGCTCGATTTATTGTTTAGTGGTCTCGAAATCAATGGAACTATGAGTTCAACAGCAGTGTGGTTGAACAGATATATGTGGAATTGATTCTGAGCTCCTTTAATGTGAAAGTGGTCAACAAATTGGAGTTCTCGCAGTATTTGGAAGAATATTTATGGCCTCATTTGGATGTTGAGAAGTCGTCAAAGGCTCATATTCTGTCAATTGTAGTGCTCATCAATGCCAAGTTTAGAGAACGAGTTAACGCATGGAAGGTAAGAACTTTCATTCGGCTTATCTTTTTTAGATACCAAAAAAATATGCACGTAATCTTCCGACTTTCAGTGTATTGTGGAAGCTTCCGAGAATTTCTCCGGATTCTTCCGAAGGGTATTGGAGTATTCTCTGCAGAACAGCCTACCATTCCTTGAGCAAAACACCCTTATCACATTTATTTCGCATTGTGTAAACTCCTTGGAAGTTGATTGTGTTAGAAATGAAGCCGTCAAATTGGCATCACTTGCATGTTGGCAATGTCTTGGAAAGGTAGTGCTTTCATGTTACACTATTATTTTGTTTAGAAGTATCGAGAAAAGTTGTTGGGATCAAGTCCAAAATTGCGAAAATATTGGAATAAGCTGACAAGGGCATTTGAGTCAATGCCTGAGGAAAAGAAATCAGAAAACGATTTCTACGCCACTGTGATATGGAAGTTGATCAAACAGTTTAAGTTGATAATCACCGAATTGGACGATGAAAATATCAGTAGGTTCAGACCTAATATTATTGTTATTTTTTTTAGCATTCGATCCTGATGCTGCAATGTACTGTGAGAAATTTGCTCTGCTCCTTATTGATCTCGAATGTCAGTTGACTACTCGTCGTTTCCTCCATGCTCTAATAATCTACTCTCAATGCATCATTCATGCTACCAATTCCCAGTTTTATCTCTCCGAACCCGGTACCTTATTCTTCAAATTGATGAGATTATTCTTGTTCTACGCAAAGTTTGAGGTTGAGAATTTGAGTGGATATCCATTGTCGTTAGCTGAGATTCAGAAGAACCATTATGATTTTGTGAACAAACTTCAAGTAGTCGCCTTTCGATATTTCAAGGAGAAGTCTTCGGATTTTGCTCTGCTTAATGTTGGAAATGTCGATAACAGAGTGTTTTTGGAGAAAGTTTTGAAGAAATACACGTACGTTATTCTTTGTCTGTTTAATTTTGGTTTTAGAAAAGACGAACTTTACAAAATGGCTTATGAGATGGATTTGATTGGAAGTCCGGAAGAAAATGAAGATGAACGATTAAATGATGCCATCTACTTACGAGAAATTATTGTAAGTCTTCATTTTACGGAATTTAATTCTTCGATTTTTAGATATTCCACACGGTCAGACCCATCTCGCAACTGGACAAGATCAATTCGCAACCCTTATATCCAAATGAACAAGTTATCTGGGATGAGAATTTAGTCCCTTATGACGAGTATAATGGGGAAAGCGTCCTTCCTCTTAATCGATTGAACCTTCAATTCTTGACCCTTCATGATTATCTCCTCAGAAATTTTAATTTATTCCAAATGGAGTCAACTTACGAGATCAGATCTGATCTCGAGGATGCTCTCTTCAGGATGCGACCCTATAAACATGAAATGTTGGACAATGTGGTGTGGGGAGGATGGGCGAGAATGGGAATCCCAGTGACAACTACAAGGATTGTTCATGTTGGGAAACCATTTGTGGGGCAGGATTGCCCATCAGAAGTCAAGGCCGATGTTACTGTTAATCTGCCGAAAAGAACTGATCTTCGAAAAGAATGGGAGGGAATGAGAAGGAACGATGTGCTCTTCTTGGTCACGGTGGTTCCGATTGCCCCCCTGGGAACGAGATACGATATTAGAAAGCCATTCAAGGAACAGTTTAGGGTAAGAGTTGACATGCACAGTGCAGTTCGTTAACAATTTTACAGAGTTTTGTAAATGATGTTTATATTGTAGCTGTAATCGCCTCTTTTTTTAAGATTGAGACCGTCCGCGGATGTGAGGTTGAAGGAATTCTCAACAATGATAAAGAAGTCATCGACGAGCAGAATATGCAGCTTCTCAGGTCTCTCCATGGCGATTCAAGAACCTTCCGCGTTCGATTGGACCCAAATCAATACAAAGCAGACACGGATAAGACCGAGATCTACTTCAAATTCAATTTGATGATCAGGAGAGACGCCAAATCCAATAACTTCAAAGCTGTCCTAGCCACAATCAGACAACTTTTGAACACGGAATGCGTTGTCCCCGATTGGATTCATGATGTTTTGCTTGGGTATGGAGAACCCGATGCGGCTAACTACAAAAAATTACCGAATTCAGTCACAACTCTCAACTTTAACGACACTTTCCTGGATATGGATCATCTGAAGAAAAGTTTCGAAGGGGAAGAATTAAAGATTGCGGAAGGAGTAACTCAACCTCCATTCAAATTGACCTTTAATGAGCTTAATCCTCAGCACGATAAGGAGCACCCAGACACGTCGATTTTCGTTGAAGCCGAAGCTGTGGATCCAGTTCAAAAGGAATTGAAGATTGAGACAAGGAAGAATTCAGTGCCGTTTACTCCCGCCCAAGTAGAGGCCATCAAATCGGGAATGGAGCCAGGTCTGACAATGGTGGTTGGACCTCCAGGAACAGGAAAGACCGATGTGGCTGTCCAGATCATCTCCAATATCTACCATAATTGGCCGGAGGAGAGAACTTTGATTGTCACCCATTCCAACCAGGCTCTAAATCAGCTGTTCGAAAAGATTATGGCACTGGATATTGATGAAAGACATTTACTTCGTCTTGGTCATGGAGAAGAAGAATTGGAAACCACCAAAGACTTCAGCAGAGGGGGAAGAGTCAACTATGTTTTGAATGAGAGAATACAACTGCTGAAACAAGTCGCCCGACTCAGATTATCTTTGAATGAACCTGGAGAAGTCGAGAGCTCTTGTGAAAATGCTGGATACTTCTTCAGATACACTGTAACAAGGACATGGGAAAATTTCCTGGAAGAAGTTGAAGGAGTCACCGAGAAAACCAATGACTTTGTGAAGAATAAATTTCCATTCACCAAGTACTTTGTGGAGGGAGAAAGGGAATTATTCAAGGCAGAGAGCTTCGATGAAGATCTGGAGAAGGCCAATGCATGCTGGGAATTCATTAGGAGAATATTCTCAAAGTTGGACGAATTCAGGGCATTCGAATTGCTGAGGAATGGTAAGATTGAATTTAGATAATGGTACCCGTTCGCAAAGTCGCTGGAATGGTTTCGGCGACGTGCACTGTGCAGGAAAAGCTCAGGGTGCGAGCGACAACCCGAAAAAACCTATTGCACGGTGCAAAAAGTTCAAAAATTGTAAAGTGTTTTTGCAGAGTGCATGTCGCCGAAATCATTCCAGCGACTTTACGAACGGACTTGTATAGTTGATGACAAGCTGCGTTGGGATGTAGCCTGACTACGTCGCTACGCGACTCGTCAGCCTACATTCCCAACGCGGGTGTGCGCGCAAAGCGCCACCAAATTAGCCTAAGCAGCTAAGCCTAAGCAGCCTAAGCGGCTAAGCAAACTAAGCCTATGCGCTAAGCACTGTGCAGTGCACCTTATCAACTCATAGTGCACCTTTTCACCGCACAGTGCACTCGCGAAAACCCGGAAAAAATAAAAAAATTTCGAACCCGCGCGAACCCAACCGATATCGCCCTCGGAAAAATGCTGGGACCCGAAATCGACGAGAAAGCTAGAGAAATTTTTGCTCTCTCACGAAAATGCAAAATCAACTTTTGCCACGCCCCTTTTTCCACGTTGCGACACGGTTTGCACAGTGCAATCTTGCCAAACGAAGCCTTTCCCAATTTGCACCGTGCGAAATTTGTTGGCGGAGTGTCGCAAAATATTTTGCAGACACTCCCCTTCGAAACCTGAAATTTGGAAAAATTTGCACAGTGCAATCAACAAAAAAGCCTACGTTCGTAGGCTTTTTTTCGTTTTGCACAGTGCGAAAAACACCCTCCGAACGTTTTCCCAGGCACCCCCCTTTTGATTTTCCCACTTTCCCCCCAGACGCACCGTGCACTCTGCATTTTACCCTGTGAGCTAGGCTTTTTCTCAATTTGCACAGTGCGAATCCCAATTTTGGCTTTGTCGCTGCGCGAATTTTGGCTTTGTCGCTGCGCACGCATCCTGATCGAGTTTTCAATTTCCGAACGATTGAGCCAGGTCCCGTCTTCGTATCTCTACTCGTTCAAAAGTTACGGTACTTTGTATGTTTACGATGTTACAGTAACCCGGTTTCAAGAAATGGCGGAAACGTGTCAACTAATCTTTTGAATAGCTATTTAAACTCAGTAGAGTGCTTTTTGAGGCGGGTCGATACGATCAAAATTGACCGAGATACTGTAGCTTAAAGTCAACCCCCTTGTTACAGTAATCTCTCGCGAAGCGACAGACCTAAAACCGTGAAATACAGCCTGGAAGACGTGTAATGGCGAGTACTACCAGTCCTGTGAATTTTGACCGGCGCGATTGCGTCTACGCTGAGAAAATGGCAAAAAACCGGTTTTTGGCGCGAAAACTACCGTAACCTACAGTATGCCGAAACAAATTTGTGAGATATGGGACAAATGATACCAGTTTATGGTGTAGTTTTTCATGCTGATTCTGAATCTGTAAACAGAATTTCGAATTTCCGTCATTTATGCACAATGCCTGAGGAAATAAAAATACAGTATCCCGGAGAGTAAAGATAGTAAAAAATAGTCAGTTAGGGAGTTGCTTGGTATCAAAAACAATGCAAAATAAAGAAGGAATGGTACTCGGCGCTCGCTTCGCTCGCGAGATATTTTTGATTATGTCGAAAAATCACATCGCGAATTGTTTAGAACCTGGGGCTGTAACCTGCGGTCCGAAAACCACTTCAGCCGCTTCCAAAAAATGCTCCGCAACTTTCCATGGCAGCGATTTTTGATTAAGGTCCTAGTTCCCGAGATATGCAAATTCGGGTTTTTCACTCTGAAATCCGGACATCATGAATATGCAAATTTTCTGGAAAAAAAATTGTGAAATATAAACTCTCCTTCAAAAATGAGCCAGGGTGCATGAAGAAAACTTTTTTTTAATAGGCGAAAAATTTTGAGAAAAACGCGAAAAACTTTTTTCGAACAGGTACCAAAATCAAGTGTTTTGTTCGTGACGGTGCGAAGTCGCGATGAAAACGGCCAAAACTTTTTGAGAGTAAATTTCAGGTGAGGATACGTGATTCGGGAGCTGTGGACCTCGCAAAAATCAGAAAGACGGGAGCACTGACCGCCGCAAAAAGGGTCATTTTTTGAAAAAGTCGGTTTTTCGCAATTTTCAAAATGACACTCCAACTATAGTGAAAAAACGAGTACCATATTCAGGTGTAGAATTGAATTTTGCGTATTCTGAAAAAAAAATCGGCAGCATAGCTCCAAAAATAAAGTCAAAAATTCGATTTTTCGGCGTTTACCGGTCGATAATTTTATCGACTAAAAAAATGTCATTCGGGTGTCACAGAGAGACAGAAAAGACAAAGAGCAAAAAAAAAGTTGAAAAAGTTAAAGTTAAGAGGAAACGGTCAGAAGCCTTTAATGTAGAGGGGGCGCGCAGCGGGCCCCGACTTTATGAAAATTGATCGATTTTTTATTCCAATTCTTTTTAGGCAAAGAAAGAGCGGATTATTTGCTCACTCGTGAAGCCAAAATTATCGCCATGACCTGTACTCACGCCGCCCTTAAACGAAAGGATCTTGTTGAGCTCGGATTCCACTATGATAATATCCTAATGGAGGAGGCTGCTCAGATCCTCGAAGTCGAGACTTTTATTCCCCTTCTACTGCAAGAATCTGACGATGGAATCAATCGATTGAAGCGGTGGATCATGATCGGAGATCATCATCAACTTCCTCCAGTTGTTCAGAACCCAGCCTACCAGAAGTACAGTAATATGGAACAGTCTCTGTTTGCCAGATTCATCAGGCTGGGTGTCCCCAATGTTCAGTTGGATGCTCAAGGGCGTGCTCGACCGGAGATTGCAGAGCTGTACAATTGGCGCTACAAGGCTTTGGGAAATCTCCCTCACGTTCAAAAGGATGAGTTATTCATCAAGTGCAATCCAGGATTCCAGTTTACCTACCAGTTCATTGATGTTCCAGATTTTAATGGTGTTGGAGAAACAACACCTTCAGCGTACTTTTATCAGGTAAGGATTGAGAGTTGTAATTTTTCCATAGAAGTTTATCACCGATATACGAATGCGATTACCAAATTTTGCTATTTCAGAACCTCGGCGAAGCTGAATACGCTGCTCACATTTACATTTACATGCGGATCTTGGGTTATCCAGCCGAGAAGATCACCATCCTCACTACTTACAACGGCCAGCGATCTCTTCTGCTTGATATCTTCGATCGCCGATGTAAAGAAAACCCTCTACTGGGAATGCCTCATATCATCTCTACAGTTGATAAGTACCAAGGACAACAGAATGATTACGTGATCTTATCCTTGGTCAGAACCAGGAATATTGGTCATTTGAGGGATATCAGACGTCTTGTGGTCGCAATGTCTCGAGCAAGACTTGGTTTGTACATCTTGGGAAGGAAGACGCTCTTCAACAGATGCTTGGAGTTAAAACCGGTCTTTAAGAAGGTGATTTTAAATTATAATTTAATGTCATCGTTAGTGTGTTTTTATTATTTATCTTTTTTTTCAGCTTGAAGAAAGGCCGTCGAACCTCTGCTTATTCCCATCAGAGTCGTACGAAGAGACCACGCGAAGTGCAGATACCAAGCCAGGGCTCCGAGTAATCGAAATCAGTGATACTGTCCACATGGCCAAATTCGTCGCCGAGTTCTACAAGGCCAATCTGGAGCTTCTTCAAGGGAAATACGAAGCGAAACTGGCGGAACAGAAAAAACAAGAGGAAATGGAGGTAAGGGATCACTAATGAATATAGCTTATGCAGAATTTGATAGTAAATCATGTTATTTTAGGTGGAGGAAGAGAAAGAAGAAGAGAAAAAAGAAGAACAGCCAGCTCCAACCAGCTCGGGTGCCAAGCATCCCAAAGAACAGACAGAAACCAATATTATTTTTGATGAAGTCGATTTTGAGCGTCTTGAAAAGGCCCCTAATTATGGATGAAGCAGTTGATCGTGACCTTGTTTTATACCTTTTGATGTCTTGTTGACCGTTTAAATATTATTTGTTAACTTAATAGCAAGTGGTTGATTATAAAAGTGAAGAAATTACACTGATTTTGAAAAGGACACTAAATTAGCGGAAAAACTTCCGGAAAGCGGCCCACTCTCAAAAAAGAAAATTTTTCCGCACTAGCAGCTTGCGCCCTGGTTTCCCTGCAGACTGCGAACAAAATAGGAAACAGCCTAAGCCTGACAAGGGATCGGCAAAAGCGCGCATCCTGGTTTTTTCTTGAAACATGTACCATTTGAAAGAGCGTAAAAAACTGGTCTAGGATAACATTTTATTTGCTGCTATTTTTTCTCTACGTCTTCGCTAGCTAGCATTCTTTAGTTCTAGGCTTATCTCACCCTTTTTCCGAGGAAACAAATCCGAACGATTTCCAAAGCACAGCGCAGCAGTGCTTCGGTGGCCTAGTGGGGTAAGGCGCTGAACGAGGCGAACCTGCGAATCGGGTTCGAAACCCCTTTTGATTTTTTTGATTTTCTTTTTATTGCAAACCAAATAAGGCCTGGAAATAGTGTTTGAGTGTCGTATAGACATTTGTGGTATAATCGGAGTAATTTTTTTAAGAAAAAACGGAGATTTCTTAAATTCTTTCGAATTTGTAGTACTTGCCCTCGAAGTGGGTATCTTCTATGGCTTGAACTTTCAACGACTTTCAGATTTTTACGAATTAAGCCCAGTAACGGAAAGTACGTGAAAATTGAGTCTGAAAACGGTTTACATGTTTTCTACCCGCTATGTTGCATTGGGTTACACGACCTAAAAGATCGCGTGATCACACATTGTGAACATGGACTTGGGTATCTCAAGGTCGGAAAAAAGTGTGTATTCTTTGGCATAGGGTGAAGCGTTGGACGTCATAGGTACGTATGGGACATATGAAAAGTAATTATTGAATCTTTTTAGCCGTTCAGAAGCAAAGAGTCGTGAAATCCAACCGGGATTTTTAAAAAATGCTCGCTAGCTAGGGCGTAGAGCAAAAATAGCAGCTAATAAAAGGTGATCCTAGACCAGTTTTTTACGCTCTTTCAAATGGTATATGTTTCAAGAAAAAACCAGGATGCGCGCTTTTGCCGATCCCTTGTGAGGCTAAGCCTAAGCCTGAGGCTCAGCCTAAGCCTGAGGCTAAGCCTGATATTCCTTGCAACCGGAATTGTTCGGGCGCAAGCTGCGAAGGCGATTTTCGAGAGTGGGCCGCTTTGCGGAAGTTATACCAAATTAGCTTTTTCGTGAGGTCGGCCTTTCCTTGAACAAACAATCCGGGATAAGCCAATATTTTTTTCACTATTAGTTTCCCATTTCCGGATGTCTACAAGCGATGAACGGCCTCCTTATTGCACAATCAACCCAGGTTATTCTACCCATTTCAACCCTCGCTTCCTTACATCCCTGCCCCATATTACTAGTTAGTGAACTTAGATCACAACGTTATTTGACGCACATTTATCCGGGCGTAACAAAACAATGTACAAAAAGATAAAACAAATAAGATTGGGAGATTATTAAATTTGAACAAATATTAGTCAGATGGCGATGCAATTACTTGCCCAAGTTGAGAAGATGCTTCTGGACAGTAGCCGGAGAGAAGCCCAATTCGCTAGCGTATTCCTCGGCAGCCAGTCCGGGCTTCTCCTTGATCAACTTGCGGAGCTTCTCATCATCGAGACGGTGCTGGAAGTGGTCGGAGAGTTGAAAGTCGCCCTCGGAGAAACGTTCGTACCATCTCTGAGCAGTCCTCTCGGTGACCACGGAACTTCCGAAGGCCTTGTTGAGATCCTCCACGGCATCATGAGTGTTGAGACCCTTCTTGAACTCGAGCAGAAGCAGAGTGTGGACTTGAGTGTGGTCAAGGGTGACAGCCATGACGGATTTATGAAAGAAGTCAAAAATTAGACAAATTTATGGCGAACTGAATTCATGGCCCTCCCCATGATTAGATGAACTTACCTTTAGCAAAACGAACACTTGCGCTATACTTTGAAGACAAAAACAGTTAGCAACTGCGGGCCTTGCTCTTCCGATCCCTCCCTTTTATACCTGTTTTCCAAACTTGTTTACCTTTTCAGGACAAAAATCTGTTCGCGCGTCTTTTTATTCAAATAAATAGTAAACAAATTTCGAAAGGGATGCCAAATATAAATTATTGATTTATTCGATATCACAATCGATATGTCAAACCCCTGAGAATATAATTTGCGAATTTAGAAGTGGAGACCCGGTGGAGTTAGAAGGCTGATTTTGGAGAATTCAGAATTCTGATTTGATTTCGGCGGCCTCAGGGACCGTATGCTCGAATGCGGGAAACATTAGAGGCGTTTCATAGCCATTGAAGCTGTTGAATTGAGGTGGAAATGATTGGGGATAGATGGGAGGTTGAGTGGGCCAATTTGAAACCATTTGAGGAGGACACTGAAAACATATGTGCAAATTTTATTTGGTGAAGATGACTTAACCATGGTTAATATAAAACAAATAATGTTTTCGTTTAATAAGGATGGGTTTATCCTTCAACTTACCCAAAAGTTCTCTTGTTGAGGTGAGCTCATCATATTTAAAGGAATCGTCGTTTGATTCATCAACATTGGGTTGTAACTTTGGCTTTGATCATAGACAGCAGGTAGATCATCATCGTCCTCTTTCTCAGATGAGGATGATGATTTACATTTCTTGGCCGCTCTTTCTTTGACTGCGCATTTCTCTTTGTATCGACGGTTTTGAAACCAGATTTTGACCTGAAATGACGAGATCTTATATTGTAATTGGTAAGGAATGATATTGTAAGGCAAATAGAGGTCAACAATCTAGTCGATTTTGGGTTCCGACTTACCTGTTTAGCTTGCAGTCCAGTCTGTGCTTCCAATTTCTTCTTCATTTCACTATTCGGATTCTTATTGATCCTGAAAACTTCTTCCATCGCTTTGACTTGATGAGTTTTAAACAGGACTCTGGCCTTCTTCGCTTTCCTTCTTGATTCTGTTGCGACTGGTGGGGAGGTATAATTTGATGAAGTGGCGTATGGGGAAGTCGATGACTGGGGGAATGGCCTTTGTACATTTGTCTGAGCAAAATTGTTATCTGAAATGAATGGATAATGAAGAATAAATTATTAAAGTCGCATTCTTGGCCTTTCAAAAGGGTTTTCCAGAGTTTCAAATTATACTTACAGTATGAATCTTGATTCCAGTACCCAAAAAAATTAGGATTCATCGCTCCGAAACCATTTATTTGGCCATAAGCCATGTCAGAGTTGGTGATCATCGATGAATTTGTCGATGGAATTGCTGACTGAGTACTCGAAACGGGCGTGCCATTTCTCTGTGGGAAGTAAAGAGTGGGTTGATACAACGAATCGTTGGCAGGATCCATCAGCGGGGGGTCTGAAAGGGAAAATAATTAAGATCAGGTTGTTTTAGGCCAAGTAATTAAGGGAACGAATGCGGTCATCAAGGGTCATGAGAATGGTGTGATAGGGATAATAGGGCGTAAGTTTAGAGATGATAATGTTATAATAATTACTGTAGCTGAGAACAGAACTTTCACTCACATTTTCGTTACATTACACATGATGATAATAGTAAAAAAGCTGCTATGATAGGGCAAAATTGGTAATATAGGACAACACGGTTGTAAAAGACTTGCCAAGACATATTTGTTACTTTCTAGTACCCAGTAGCAAACAGCCCACTTCAAAAAATTAACTTGAAGTTAAAGAGTAAACTTAAACCCGCTCTTAACACCTCAAGTGTAATATCTACAGTCCGGAACATGGAGGAAACGTACGAGGATGTTACTCTCATGATATCTTCTTCCAAATGCTCTTCACTTCAAGGGTACCCCGAAGTGAATAAAGGTATGCTAATGCATTTTGTGCGGCCAATCAGTGAAGTTGATCGGTTGGTGGGCGGGGCGATTGGAAGGATTGCGCAATTGCAATTGGATCCGTGTTTTTTGTCTCGGGGAAATGAAGGTGCGTGTGGGGAAGATATGTTTGGAGGCATTTCCAGAGGATGTTGGCGTTGGGATGAATGTAATCACCTTAGGATTTACACAATTCAAAATTTTTATTTTGTTCAACCTAAAATATTATTCATTACTGAAAATAAATTTAATGAGTTCTGTGACGTATATTACGGCTGGAACTAGTCAGGAGTACTGTATTGTCGTGTAGAATATGATCACACCTGTCCTCCTCATAACGAAACTCACGCTTTATTCTCGCACTTGAGCGCCGACCAATTGATTGGTAATCCGTTTTAAGTGGATTTAACCTTCTAATCGGGTGAACAATATGAGAACAAGCCCCACAATACGCATAAATTAGGGGTCATGAAGCTTTGTGGTACTGTAATGATCGTTGGGATGCTGGGCCGAGTTCTTGTTTTGGGTATTTAATGCGTAACCGAGAGTGCCTTTAAGGTGTTCCTCAAGTGGATTGCAGCTTTTGCTCGGCCCGCTTATTCCGGTGAGATTACCTGAGGATAAAGTATGGATGCTTTGGTTCGAAGAAAATTTAAATTTTTTTTGGTGGATTGTTGTATTTTTGACTTTTTACTATGGGAAAATCTTGTTTGCCGATATATTTAGATTTAACTAGTCTGTCTTATTTTCAGTCAGAGAACAACATCTTTTCCTCACACAAGCGAAAGAATAGCTGTTTTCTCACTCATCACAGATACAACTCTGTGAATGTAATCATTTAGGAACTGTCAATTTCCTCGATCCAAACAGTGAGTGGTAATGTAATCACATTTACAATCGCTCGGACAATGGGATTATTAGTGTTGCGCAATGATTACTTGAGGCCGGGAACTTATTACTGAACTGGTTCATGCGAGGGCAGATATTCCATAGGAGGTAATCTTGCTTGTATTCGGTTTACGATGGGTCGTGGACATTTTAACGCAGAGTTTGAGGCGTCTAATTAAGATGGGAACTTTTGTTTTATTGGGTAGATTTTCTTTCCTTTTTTGCTTTATGTTTGCATTCTTTTAATTAAATATACTTTTGGTTTACTGTATTACCATAATCCTAACTCAACAATCTCCTTACCGTGATTTGTCTCGGTATTCGTTTATCCCATCTCGCATTTCTGATCCTCACCTGCACATCACTCAAATTTGGCAAAAAAAGGTTTAAGAAGCACTTGGGGTTGCGTAATAAGTCGGGCCGTGGCCTGACTGACGGCCAAATCAAAGCGGGAGCGCGTACTCGAGACTCGAGAGCGATTGAAAAAAGAATGGAAATACAGTTTGTTCCGAATTGGATTGGCGCGGCTGGGGATCGAATTGTGGGACAAATATTTGCATTGAGAAAATCGGCGCAAAAGGGGAAATATTCAAACAATTAGGGCAATATTAGTGTTCAATAATAGTGGTTTATGTATTCATATGTAGTGGCATTTACATGTCTGAGCTCGTGTTTCTTTAACTTATAATTCCGAGCCAAAAATTTCATTCTTCGCTGACATGAGTTCACTTTCAAATGTCTTCGTTTTAAAATATTTTTCGTTCAATTTTTTCTAGACCACCGGTAAGAAAACTAATTTACATTTTGAATCCGGATTACGTAATTGCATTAGCTTCCGTTGCTTCCTAATCCGAGGTCCCTTACGGCAACTTGTCGGCTTTTATGCGTAAGGGATCTTCACCTTGGACTGGGAGAATGCAAGAAAGCTTCCGGCGTGCGGTGACCACACGTAATAAAAAGGAAACGGATTAAGTAAACAATATGCTAATTTCTTTGAGCGTAACCACTTTTACGGATGGTGGATGGGAGGTTAATCTGGACGAGGTAATATTATAAATAGTTTACTCCAAAAAGCTTTCCGAGAGTTTTAAATTGGGATCTTCGAATTCTAACCGATCTATTTTTAGACCAGTTAAACCAGAGTGCAAGTATTAACACCCCTTTGTCGATATCTCTATGGGTATCGACAAAATTCACTCGACCGATACAGCCAGCCGTAAAATGCGAAAAATTTAAGAAAAAAATTATGGACAGTAAGATGCTTCTTTGATCTTGCGGTACGATGCGTGCATACTATTTGGTTGGTAATTGGAAGATCCCCTTTTTTGCGCTCATCACAATTGCTGTCACAACCTTTCTCCCCAAATCCTCGGCTGACCTGAAGATGGGCCCGCATTGGGTGACGCAATTGACACTCAATTTAATTCCCAGTGAATTCAATTAGAGAAATAAAACCTCTCGGCGGGTAGTCGCCTCGGCCAGGTGTTACGTACCGTGCCTCGATTGACCCCACCTTGACTTCTCCTGGGTTGAGAAGCGGTGGAGGGAAGTGTAATATGGTTGGCAGATAGAGGTTTATAGGCCAGAGATATCAAGAAGTTTGTTGTGAAAGTATTTATAAGTGTACATCTTAGAAGTTAATAAAGCGGAAGTACAATCATACCCATTCAAGATTAGCTGTTTTTTACCAAAGTTTTGTAGTTTCAAAGTAAAATTCGTTTCAAAACCAGCTTTCATGATTGTATTTCCATCAATAAAGGCCAGATTTATGCAAGTTGGACTGAATGATCATGGAGATAACCGAGTCCAGGATCAGCTGTACTTGATTCGTGTCTGTTGCGCATGTTTGGTGGACATAAATTGTCTTTCGAGGATTCGAATTCAAGGCTTCAAACTTGGCTCTGATGAATAGCATGCAATCATCGTAATTTTGGGGCCCTATAGAAATGTAGTTAGCTACAGGGATTGTAATTTTCATACCTTTGTAATCCGGGAAAGCCGATCGTATCGAAATATTTTGAATCTTCTCTGCGAATAAATCCTTTTTGTTCAAAAATAATATCATCGAAGTGTTTATGAACCATCTGGAGTTGCAAACCGACTCAAATAACCTCATGGATTCGATTATTCGATTCTAAAATACGATGACTTTGGCAAAGAATTCTTACCGTGGACTCGTCTTCAAACAAAACTTCATCATATTCACTGACCGCGCATACAAATATCACTGCATTTACATTCTCAAAACAATGGATCCACTTTTTCCTTTCGGATCTCTGACCTCCGACGTCGAATACTCTGAAAAAAATGTATATAATGTACGTGCTGGACTCTGGCATTATCATTACAAAGACGTGTAGTTTAGTCTACCTGAACTCGACGCCTTTGATGTTGAACTGCACCTCCACAATACCCGTTGTCTTGATTCTAGTCAACAAAATATCCTGCTCATTGGGGATGTAATTGGGGTTCGCTAGTCGATCCAGGCTGTCGAGGAAACTGAAATTTTAACTTTGAAGATTGCTTATAAATCTTCCTGAAGTCACCGCCTTATTCTACAAAATATGGTGGCTGAAATGTCGGTCAGGACTTGCAAGTTGTTTTCAAAATTAATGGTTCATTTCAAAATTATTTTTTGAAAGTTGAAGAATATATTTTCTAATACGACAGTACTCACTGTTTGGCAGATTCATGAAGATGAAAGTCGAGTCTCTGTGAGAACACCTTGTCATGGATGATTGGATCCGTCCACAATCTTTTCAAAGCCAGCGCTAACTGTGGACTGAAGGGTTCCATTTCGTCGCCGGCTTTGATTACTTCCATAACCAATTGGGCGTCATCCTGTAAAAGTTTATGTCAAAGTCCATGTTTCGTAGATCTACGTGCTTTTTCTGGATGAAACGTCCTCAACATTTGAAGTCGTTTAATTTTAAATTATCAGCTGGTCTTAGTTATCTACCGAAGTTTTACAAAGTTCTGAGGAATTACTGCGAAATTAACACCTAATTTTTACATCTAACTAAGGTTGCAAGAAAATTTAGAAGGCGGTACAAAAGAGAATTCGTCAGCGAAATGACTTGCAAAGTCGTGGTTTTTACTGGGAAATAGGGTAATCACCTGTCGATTAGGATCATTGAGGCTAAGTTTATATCGAGGCATGGCTTTGAGGAGATCGTGCATGGCGTGCACTGTGTTGCTGTAGACCACAGCCCTCTGTTGATTCATTTCGTCGGCCGAGAACCCGGAACTGTGCAGGATCCTCATCTGCTTCATTAGGGTTGATTTTCCGCATTCTCCAGCACCTGAAATTTGAGAAAATAGCAATTTGTATTGTTGTACTGTAACCAACGTATTAATAATATCTAATGCTTTCCATAATAGAATATGAAATGCAACTTAAAGAAAGTACAATTTTAAATATTTATATGGCAAAATAAGCTCAAGAAGGAACTGTCAAGTTGAACTTGCCCAACAACAACAACTTGATGACCCTCTCCTCCTTAGCAAAAGAATCCTTGAGCTTCTTGTCGATCTGCTTGCTCACCGCCAAGCCCTGTTTTTCCTCTTCGCTGTGACACAGCCCCATGCTCTTCAAGAGAAATGAAGCCAGGTTGATCCACCGTGTTGTAAATTCTGCCTTTCCTCACTCCACTTTTCGCATCACGGTCTGCAAATTTCAACATTAAGTCTCCCACCCCGAACGCATCAATGGCCTCGGTCCACGGTAATTTTGAAAGGAAAGGTAAGAGAATATGGGGCTAATTAGTAGGTGGAAAGAGTAAACACAGGTTGGTCGAAAATGGGAGATTACATTCACAGGTTGAGGAACTACGCAGAATTCAGAAAGCATGAGGAATAGGATGTATAGGATATAATATGCTCGATCATTGAATGGATGCTGATTAATAAGTGGAACTTCGGAGGAAACGAGCTTTGGTTATTTTCTTTAATATTGGGGTAACTCTCAAAAAATTACATTTTCCCGTGTCATGTCAATAAACTGGTAATTTCTTTTTTCACAAACTATTATATTTAAATCGCGGTGTTTATAAGTCCCCAGACGACACTATAGCCAGAAATGCATGAGAAACGTAGTCTATCATAAATTAAACTGTCAACACATGTTGAAAAATATTATATATGAAGAAGAAAGGATGACTATTTACCACCTAAATGGACCACCATGTCGATATGATGACAAAAAAATTGCAGAATCAAATCGTCACTGAAAATACAACTTACAGTAGTCGATATACTCTCCAGTTCCATTTCTACGAATTATTGGGCCAAATTTTGATGGCCTGGCATCTTTTAATTAAAGCCAATGCAAACAAAACGCCGAAGGGGCAGGGTAAACACCTCGAAAGAAACGCACAGTATTCAAAAGACATATTTTTACGTAAATGAAGATATATGTATGTTTAAATTCAATTTTATATTCAAACCATTAAACTCCATCGGCAATTAGGAGTTCGAGGGCCAAGTGAAGTCTGCATCCAGAAAACTTCCTTTATATAAGACTAATTTTTGTATGTGAACTACATGAACATACAGGTAATTGGCGGACCTCTTTTAGCCTGCAAAAATTGATGACTTTAACCGCTAAAAAGCAATCGTAAAGTATTTACTGTAATTAAGGATGTAAAAGGAGTTTAGGAGAAGCAATAGAAGAACAAACGAGAAGAAAAGTAAAAGTTGGACAGCAAGTCGATAATGATTCAAAATTCAATTAAAACAGTTGTGGCCAACTTCTATGTAGCGCTGTAATTTTTTAATCTCTAGCGTTCTTGAGAAGGAATTATATTTGTCGTGGCAAAGATTAAATAGTTTGGTAATATTAGAACGGCAATTGGATTTCCTTATGTATGAGGGCAAGTTAAATTCTTGACGTTAAGACTCTAGAACTTTGATGAAATTGGATGCCAAAGAACCTGGAATTCGCTACTAGTAATGCAGAGTTCCACTGAATAACATAGAACAAAATAAAGTTCAAAAAGTTGACAGAAAGGATTGTAGCGACCAACAGAATATAAAATATTTAAATGTTAACATTTTGCGAGCTTTTGAAACCTTCGTATACTTGGTGAACCCGTAGATTAGTTGCAATGACGAATATTTTATAATGGTTTAAAGACGACGATCAAAGCTTGCACTTTCAAAAGCAGCCCTCTACCTTTCCTCTTCGCGTATTTGCATCACAAAGCCGCTACAGAAGTAAGTGATAGTAATTACTTTCGAAAAAGTGAAATGCGCGCCTGTCAAGACTTTCACGCCTCGGGGAACGTTGGTTGTCTCGGTAACAAATTCACAAAAAAATATGTAAATGATTTCAGGGGCCGAAAACAGAGAGAATACAAATGAATGGACTGTAATCAAGGGCTTGTAATAGCCATCAAAATATCCCTTTTCTGGCTTCTGGAATCTCGTCGGGAGAGTAAATAAGACGCACAACTTAAAGTTGCAACTTACTGAACGAAGCCAGATGCGTCACCAGACGGAAAAGTTTTTGCAGTGACTGTCGTTTGTTTGCCATAGAATTTTAAATTTGGTTTATTTGAATAAATAAGAACTTGAGACTGCAACCACAAGTGAAAATGTATAACCATGGTAATTCTCAGGCCTTGACTGTTAAATTCGGTAAAACAGTGTGCAACTACAACTACAATCGCGTTAAAAGCATTTCCAATTGGCAAAGTAGGAAGAAAACGTTAACTCCAATACGCGGCGGCAAAGGTCATTCTGTAATGATGACGGTGCTGTGAAAACGTCAAACCAGTTAGGGACATGAGGAATTATTGGAAATGTGCAAAAAGATGAAAGGAAGTTACATAAGGATGTCTAGAAAAAATAGAATTGTAGTCAAGAAAGAAATGGTAAATTAAGACAAATTGGGTGAGATAAAGTCTCCCCTATCCCTGTTTTCAAAATTGAAACTAAAGATATGCAAACAAATATGCGCCCACTAAAGTAACCAAGAGAGTTCAAAATGTTTAAAAAAATTTGCATGGACGCTCAGACAATGCGGCAATTTAATTAGTGAAAATTTTAGAAGACACGATCGAGATCTTCAAAGAACTTGAAGTTGATGAACATAATCCGAGAAATACAAAGAAGAGACGATGCTGATCCGCCCAGTTAGAGCAAAATCCATGTCTCTAGGACACTTTGTCAGTGCAAGCGCCCTTTAACCGTCATCAGCTCGTTTGTTATTCCCAAAGCACTGACTGGCCATTACACTGAACATTTAATAACCATAACCGTGACCTTTTCGGAAAGAATTCGACATTCGAAATTCTAACGCAATTCCCTGGGCGTTGCACCTCTACTCTTATGCATTGCATGTCTCTTTTTATTCAATAGTGATGCCTTGGAGGAAGCGCGGGCCCATACATCCATCAATGCGTCGGTTAATGTGCCAAGTCTAAGGTCGATAAATAGTTTGGGACGGATTTACAGCTTTTCCATGAATCGGAGAGAGAATATTGGGCCAATTTGGTGGGGCTAATGGGGACATTAACATAAGTCATGCTTTCACTGACGCAAAAAGAAGCTCTACTAGGTTTTTGAATGTGCACAACAAATAGGACACTAACTATGGGGTTTATGCAAATACTAAGATCGGTAATTAGACTGCCTACGAAAGAGAATGACGTACTGACATCTTTCTAGAAGACGGTAAAACAAGTTTATATATAACAAATGAACGCTGAAGAGAGACCGCCGAGAGGAACGCATAACTGCCCCGAATACTACGTAATATTACATTACATCGTCGTCTTCTGGCCACCCTCTATTCTCATTCTGTAACCCTTTTATGGTGCTTTGTTGTGTGACTTGTTTCCCAACAATGACAGCCATAAAAGCAGGTGTTTTGAATGTTTTAAAACTTCCTTGTCCTCGCACAAACCTCCTTCCATGGAATGCCCGCAGGCATCGGAAGACAATCGGAGTAGTCAAGGATCTTACACTTGAGAGAAAAGGGAATTACTCAAACATAAGAACACGAAAGAAACATCGCAAAAACGTTGTTTATTATACCTATGTCATCCACGAGATGACAGTGTCGTATTTGAAGTTACTACGTATCTATGTGTTGTCAGTTATAGTCGGGTGTTCGCAAGGTCAATTGACGTCAATTTGCGTTCAAACGGTATCCGATATCATCAAGAATCTACACCAGATTCCGTCTCAACATGGATTGCCAATTAAACAGACAACTGCGCCTTTGCTGATATTTAAGAGGAGATTTAGAGATGTCAGCAGTCAACAAAGATACCTTAGTAGATTGGTAAAAGCATATCAGTCGGAGAGAGTGAAGACTCGACTTAGATGGAGAAGGAAAAGGGATACGGTAAATGGGATTCTGGCAGAATGTGTGAAGACTGTGTGCACGGAGAAGAGAAATGATCCGACTAAAGTAGAAGGGTAAGATCTAGAGCTGCCTATATTATTACTATGGCAAACACTAAGTACAGTTCAATTACTGTAAGTCGTTGTTTCATTACCAAACGGCCAAACGCCGATTATCCAGCCTTTCTCAGCCGACCAAACACTGGGTTCCGTTTTTTACCGTCTCCGCAAAAAGTTTACTTGGTGTTTTGGACGTCGTAAACCATAAATATGCCCATATTTTTTCCATTTCTGTAATAAAAAAAAATAGATTGAGCCCTCTTATATTTTCAAACAAGAAACAAATAAATTTGAATACATGTACATGGAAATAACGCTTAATCTCGGTATATTTCAGGGTTAACACGGCACAATTAAAGGCGTTTTATCGGAAAATGATAGGAAGATGTATTGTAAACGGCGGAGGAGAGCTCACACGGAATGGAAGACAAGGTAAAATACGAATATTGTTTTGGTTGACTTAAAGGAACACAAAATAAGAACAAACTTACGGATATCGTGCTAACAAAAGGTTAAGATTAAAAGAGACTTCGCCAGTTGTGGAAGGAGGGTCTGCCCTAGAATTTGACCCCTACTTTCTTCTGTCTCATCTGATGACATATAGGATGTTAAACAACTTGGTGAATTTTTTTCGAAAAATTCGTCATCATGACCGAGATATGACATATTTATTGAATTTCGTTTAATGTGATATATTGTGCTAATTTATGGCCGAAACATCGCAGAACTGAGTACACATACTTTATAGGCCATGCTGAACAACTTTGTAACTGACCCCAAGTTTGTCAGGTTACTGTAACATACCGTAACGCCCATGCTCAATCAAAAAATCTTGATTTTCTCGATTTTTTTCAATAATTTTCTCGGAATTTTTTTGCATTTTTGGAATCAGCATCAAATTCTGCATCGGATAGACTATATGCGCATCTCCAGATAGGTGTACAAAAATGTCGTGGCGCAACCGGTAGTGGGTCGGACTACCAATTTCGTTCAATTTTGCCCAAAACACTAAAAAAATTTCGTATTTTGGCATTTGACAAAAACTTGAAATAATGACTTTCAGGAGTCCTTACGCGCAAACATTTCCAATTTTCTAGAGCACTATTTTGCGCTGCCTTCGAATATCTTTCTAATAGCCGCGAAAACTTCCCACAAAAAATTTTACATTTGAAAATTTGTAGATGTTCACATATTTAATGATGTTACAGTATTCAATCTTGTAAAATTTGCTAAAAATTCGACTCCCCATAGTGGAAAACATGTGTATCCACGTTTGAATGACGTCACTTCGGCTTACTGGGTTCTGGCGGTGCTCTCCGATTAAAACGAAAAAGTTCAACTTTTTGGTGATTTGGGCAAAATTGAACGAAATCCTTTGAGGAATACTCTTTTTACGTGCCATGCGTTGTTTCTAAACAAAAAAATCGCTTACAAAAAATTTTCATTTCTTCGGCAGATTTGGGCCCACAAAAATCATGATTTTCAAAAATTTCGTAAAATCCAAAATTTGGCCTTTTTAGGGAACAATGTTAATTATTCTTTATTTTTACAATAGATTTAAACTGTTTGGGGACAATTTCCAGCGCGTTTGAGCATTTTTGCTTCCACCCGGACTCGAACCCGGGACCTTTGATTATTAATTCAAAAGGTTGGACCTTTTGAATGGTAGTCCGACCCACCACCGGTTGCGCCACGACATTTTTGTACACCTATCTGGAGATGCGCATATAGTCTATCCGATGCAGAATTTGATGCTGATTCCAAAAATGCAAAAAAATTCCGAGAAAATTATTGAAAAAAATCGAGAAAATCGAGATTTTTTGATTGAGCATGGGCGTTACGGTATGTTACAGTAACCTGACAAACTTGGGGTCAATTACAAAGTTGTTCAGCATGGCCTATAACGTATGTGTACTCAGTTCTGCGATGTTCCGGCAATAAATTAGCACAAAATATCACATTAAACGAAATTCAATGAATATGTCATATCTCGGTCGTGATGACGAATTTTTCGAAAAAAATTCACCAAGTTGTTTAACAGCCTATATGTCATCAGATGAGACAGAAAAAAGTGGGGGCCAAATTCTAGGGCAGACCTCCATTTGAGCCTGCTTCAGCAACCCGCGAAGTGTCTTTTAAAAAACGCAATCTTTTCGATTTCACGTACAAGCGAGAGCTGCGGCCCCATCCGCTTAATTCCGCCGAAATTTGATTTGTTTGTTAATTTGGAAACGACGGAGGAAGCCCGTAAATCTGCGAAATTAACTTAATTTATCTACATTTGGCCTTCCTCAAACACTAACACACGTTTATCTTAACAGTCAAATGCCGTCAACACAGTCGGGGCCCTGCGTCACAGCTCCGTAAAGACATCTCATTTGAATATTTCAATTATTTCAGAGCCTGATCTACATGATAAGTGTTTTGAAAGAGTGGAGGGCAAGGTTTTGGTAGGGATATCTGATCAGAATATCAAGGATGTAGCTGATGTTCAAGTCTGTGAAAGGCTGTGTGCGACCGCGGAGAAGGATTCGGATTTCATTTGCAAATCAGCCATGTATTACGGCAAGGAAAAGGCAAGTAAATATGAGAAATATAAAGCCAATATATATTAATAAGTATGCAATACCTTAGCCCACGTTTTGGCAAATGCACTCTTACTGGCCAGGAAATGTTTTGGAGTTTTCTCCCGTAATGACATTCATTATAAATATTCGAAAACAGGGTCAAGCCTTTTTTCGGTCCTGCACGAGATATTCTTCTAAGCAAAAGATGAATAGACATGTGCAGACTTACAAGGGAAGTCACTTTTTTCGCAGATCGATCCATACTGGTGACCTAGTGGACAGTGAAGGCCTCAGGCTGTGTAAGAAGAATCTGGCGTCCAAAAGTGTTTACGGGCCCTGAGGGCAGAGTTATGGCTCATCAAAGTTCGCGCAAAAAAGGTTCCGAAAAGACCCTCCAAAAAACGGGTTCGGAGAAGTGAGCTTCGGTAGCAGAGTGGTTCGCAAGTTTTTCTTTTGTCTGGAAGGGCCAGGGTTCGATTCCTCTTCCCGGCAATAACTAAAAATAATATTGTAAGAGCATACGCTGCGTAAGTTACAAAAAAAATTTTTTTTAATATTTTTTGAAAAATATTATTATCCTGTCGTTAAAAAATGACGATTTTGTTCATATCGTCACTAAATTTATCATCTGCCCAGACAGCAAGCGCTTGACTCAAACGCTTCAGAATGATATCACGATCACCAAGGGCGTCTTCTAAAACATCAGAGATATACATATTGAGAATCCCAGTCCTACCTTTACGCCAAAGTTCCCGCAGTTTTCTCCAATGATATGGCGTCTTGATCCACCGTAATCGCCGCATTATTCCAGAAATTGAATACGATCTTCGGTGGAAAAATGCCTTCGCATCCCTCACTGTGTCCAAGCTCACAACGACTTCCCCAAATTTTAACGACAGGATAATAAGATTTTTCAAAAAATATTTCAAAACAATTTTTTTGTAACTTACGCTACTCTTACAATATTATTTTTAGTTATTGCCGGGAAGAGGAATCGAACCCTGGCCCTTCCAGACAAAAGAAAAACTTGCGAACCACTCTGCTACCGAAGCTCACTTCTCCGAACCCGTTTTTTGGAGGGTCTTTTCGGAACCTTTTTGCGCGAACTTTGATGAGCCATAACTCTGCTCTCAGGGCCCGTAAACACTTTTGGACGCCAGATTCTTCTTACACAGCCTGAGGCCTTCACAGTCCACTAGGTCACCAGTATGGATCGATCTGCGAAAAAAGTGACTTCCCTTGTAAGACGAAATAGGGATATCAGAAATTTTTTCCAGGAATGCATTCTGGCCTCCGAAAGCAGAGATTCGATGGCTGAATTATATGTAGACGATTCCAATGGGATTTACATTCATAATAAATGTGTGGGAAAAGGTAAGACAGTTGAAATTGTAATGACTAGAACCAGGTTTGAAAATAAGATACATACTTGAAAATATCACGGTATCTTCTAGCTACGGTCCAACCAATGACTACAACTTCTACGGTTACTCCAATCGGTTTGTCGACGACTCAAAAAATGACTGAGCCAACAAAGCAGACGGTAATTCAGCCCTCAGGCTATGAATGTAAGCGGTTGCCAGTAATTCCGCACGTAAAATCATCGAAAGGTTATTTGAACGATTTTCAGCCCCTCCAAACTCAAAGGAGCCGGAAGAGCAGCCCTTCGATGCCAATCCTGACCAGATTTTCTGTAAGTCAAAATTACCCTCGGGCCCATGATTAGGGCCGAATAAATGACTGACGTGCAAACCGAATATCTAATTAAGAAAATGCACTTCTGAGGAACGGCCTTTTTATAGCATAATAGGCCAATTGTCGGTTGTTATAAATACAATGTGCCAAACTGGAAAGTGTTTCGTAAAATTTACAATGGGAAGGGAAGCATTGTATAATATCACAACAGTTTTTACTCAGATTTTTTTCAGATGGAATCCAGCCTCCACCAAACAAAGCGATCCCAGATGAAGTCATAGATAGCTATGGTATGGTGAATATGACAGAAAGAGAAGAGACTTACCGACAAGTTCCAGTGTTACCAAACAATTTAAATCAAAAAAGATTATTCGACGAAGCCCCGGTTACTGCGCCCAAATGTTTTACGTAGGTTAATTACATTGTTCGAACATTTTGTAGGGAGCGTGACATTTTCTCGAATGATTACATCGTTCTTAGACAAAGTTCTTGGAGCTAAAGAATCAAAGTATATGCGTGCTTCATACACGAAATTTGAAGGCGTTTTGTAAAGTTTTACCAATAAAAATTTTAAAAAAACGGACCCATACTTTGGGGGCAGCCACATAAAAGAAGCACGGAGATTCTACGGGTATGTTTGGAAATCAGCCGACATTTGCTTACAACAGAAAATTCTGCCGATTTGGCAACCAGATGTTACGAGTGCAGTTTCTAGGTGTATAAGTGACTTGCGGAGTTATTTACCATAGTGTAAACCCGGAATTTTTAAAGCTTCAGAAACCATTTTTTGAGAACAAACTCCCATAAATTGAAAACGTTGAATGAATTCCTTATACTTATCAGTACCAAGCCAAAATAATGACTATTCCAATAATCAAATGGACGGGTAACTGATCTCTTGAGAATTGTAAATTTAAGAATTGCGCAACGTGTTTTTCATAGTGGTTTTCAAATTTCAGCAGATTCCGTCCGCTCCATGTGAGGTCTATTCGATCCACAAACACAACAACATTGGAGGAATGCACAGGACTCTGTTTGAAGTGCTCCAGCTGCCTCAAGGGACTCAAATGCGAGATTGCTGGGTTTTCTCGGTAGGTTTGGCATTACTCTGATTTTAAGAAAGGGGAGTAGACCACTGCACCACCTTCCATTAGGATGTTTTTTATTGTCTTGTATAACTTTATAACTACAATGGAAGTAGAACAACGAAATTATGTTTAGCAAGGAAACGACTCTGCTCACGATGCACTTAAACCCTGGAGCGAGATTTTAAAAATTGCCGCTTTCTAAATGAAGATCATTTTTATGGGAGATAGTAATACATATTGTTATACATTTTCATAGCCCTCAGTCTACGCCAAACACCATCCAAACCTTTGTGTCTACGCTTCCACATTTGCGTTCAAAATATTTTCTAAATCTTAAAATTTTCAGACAGTTCAAACAATGCGTCCTGGCCCAAACAGATATCCGCTGGCAAATCCAAAGCACCTCCAAATTAACAGATTTCGTTTATTTCAAACGAGAGAATTGTTAAAGAATACCAATTATTCATATTAATTAGAAACTCCAACGAGGTGTCAGAGAGTTTCCATGCGTAAAAGTTTGTGTCTTATATGTACAACTGTCTGCATTGTTCGGCCGGCGGCGCGGCAGCCGTAAAGAGATATAACCAGGGCCGTTGCAAGCTAAAATAAGAAAATTCGAATGCTCAGTTTCGGTGCTATCATCAGTTCTTTGAGAAATAATATTCTTCTGACATGAGATGAAAATTAAAATTTACCTCCAAAATACTTAAAACAATCAGGGTGATATCCACTTCTACTGGCTCATTCGTGTTTCCGATAATCGTTTTGTTAGGCGTGTTCAAATATGGAAGTAAAGCAAGGACTCCCGTGAATAACGGAACGAATGTGAAGACGGCGTTTATCAAACTGTGGACAAAGCACCACATAACCATCGTATAAGACTGACTTCTGACCGAAAAATAACCGAAAATCCCGGAAATCATGACGGAAATTGCAAAGAAAAGCTCTTGGCCTTTCGCATTCTCGGCTCGCAACATCATTCGACAAGCGCCAACGGCAAAAATCGCAAGACCAAAGAGAAACTAAAAAGAAATTATTGGAAAAATCGAAACGAAAATTTAAGTCATCAAAATCTTGGCTTACTTGCAAACAACTGCTCAAATTGACCACACTCCAGTCGATGATCTCCTTCGTTGGAATCTGATCCTCATTTATAGGATATCCAGGATTCCCAGGCACAAATGCTGGCTGAATATTGATCCCACTCATCGCCGAAGCCGGTCTTTTGAATTCCCCAGCATAAGAAAACGAAAGTTTACTTCCAGGTCTTGTGGCATCAACACTATGTCCATGATCATGAATGTAATTGGGGGGCATTGCTTGACTCATTCCATATAAACTCTCCACATCAAGATAATCTGGACGTGGGAGGGTGGAAAAGGAATGGAATCGAGAGACAGGTCGATCTAAAAAAGAGAAAGGGTGAGTGTGCCTCATTGGCTCAGGGGCAGAGCGTCTGTCTAGTAAACAGAAGGTCGCTGGTTCGATTCCAGCATGAGGCAGCTTCTTTTTTTGTTTTATTTTGTTAAAATATTTTTTTATAAAAAAGAACACTTACATGTCCCCATCTCACTAGGTGGTCTAATTTGTTGAACAGTTTGGAAGTTAATGCTTCCTAACGCGGATCCGGATCGATTTGCAGCTGAAAATGTTTTAGGAAATGTAAGTTGCTTACCTGCTGGGACCATCCCTTGTTTTGATTGAGGCCTAGCTTCATAAATTGGTGCTGGCGGTGCCTTAAATGGAATATATCCATACAATTGCTTCTGCTTGGTCTCCTGTTCTTTCCTAATCCTCTCTTGTTGTTCTCTCATCAACTGTTTTTGCTTCTCTTCTAATAATCTTTGTGTTTGCCGCTCTTCAAACTTCTTCCACGATGATGTTTTAGGAGATTTGGGCTCAGGAAGCTTTGGTGATGGCTTTGCGGCCTCTGAGGCTGGCGTTGATGGAGCTGGCTGCTCTTCCTTGGCCTTTGAGTCCATGGCTTTAAAATTTTAAAATTCAAAATAAACAGTTTATATCATTAGATGTAACTATTCAAATAATTTCGATGCCGAAACCACCTTGCTACAATATTTTACAACACGCGAAATCGGGGAGTAAACTGAAAATGGAGAGGAGAATTTAATTAAAACCACAGCGCCTAAACCAGCGCCCTTTTCTGCCACGGGGTTTCATTTAGATCCGAGTTGATAAAACCGGTCTCCGGCTTGAGTAAATCCTCACGGAAGAAAAAAATAAATCATAAACAAGACCGGAGGGCATTTCGAATTGCATTTCCACCGTTCCAGAACGGCAGGGAAGATGTTTTGATTAATTGAGTAATAAATAAATATGGCGACAAATAAAAAGTTCAAAAATAAATGTAATCACAGTATGACGACTACAAAAGTCGTTAAGACAATGTTAAAACATATTTTTTGAGGTAAACACAAGACGCTGATAAAAATATACAAAATTAAAATCATACGGAACGAAAATATGGGAATTTTCGTTGGCATGGTGAAGGTCATCGACTTTCTCTCTTCATCCACAGCCATTTAATGGATTCCATCTGAACATCGGAAGTCATTCGAGACGTGTGACGGAGAAGTGTGTCATGTCACAATGATACATTCTATCTGTCAAAGTTACCTCCCAATTATATTATGTATAATATTTAGACTTAAAGCCATACCAACTCTCCTAATTTTACGTATTCTCCTGCCAACAAGCTGCTGATAAATCTCCAAAACTTTCACAGAAAACAATTTACTACAGTAACGTTAACAATCGATAGAAAAATGAGAAAGTTAGGAAGATCAGAATGATCATGACTCGTATGTAAGTGTGAATAAATTAGACTAATTAGATGTGGATGTCGATTCTCCAGTCCCTGGAAACGAAGGCATTCGCCTTTCTGATCACAACTTGACGGAGCTCCCGGTCGTGGGTAAACTCGAGATCTTCTGGGTTGTAATCTGCAAATAAGATCGCTATAATAATAATATAATAAAATACGCAATCAAAGGAGAAATTAGGGCATTCAACAGAACAAAATGATGACTAAAAACAAATTTGGCACTTACCATCATAATACAGATGGATATTTCTTGGATAGAACCTGACCCCCCTGATGATAATCTTCTCAATGTAAACATCAGGGTCGAACTGCCCATTCTTATCCAAATTCTTGCTAGTAATCGTATACAAGAAGTCGCTCTGCTTCTTGAAAGTATATCCCCAGTGCATGTAATCTCCGTCCTTGTAACTGTAAGACTCTCCGTCATCCAGATACAAAGATCCGTTGGCGAAATCTCGGTTGAGTTCACTGGCAATGTACAAAGTAATTGGGTCATTTCTCATCAAAGCCGCCGAACGACGGACTCGGTGTCTCACTGGGATGATGGTGCCCCCTCGCTGGTAGACAGGGATCTTGGACAAGGGAGTATCGGTGTAAATAGCGCCAGGAGAAACATGCATTTTTCCGGTATCCCAATCATACCAAACTTGTTGATATCCGGGAAGATATAAGGATACTGATTTGACTTCAGGATCAGTAACTGGACGGACCAAAAGAGCATTGCCCAGAAGGTACTCCCTTTCTTCGTCAAATCCAGTCTCATCCGAGGGGAATTCAGACCAGAGTGGTCTCATAATAGGCTTTCCAGTCTTGGAATGTTCATAGAACAAAGTGTACCAGTAAGGGAGAAGTTGATATCTTCGAAGAACAGCATCCCTGATATGCTCTCGAGTCTCCTCGCTAAACAGCCAAGGCTCTCTTCTCTTAGCGTCCAAATGAGCATGGGCTCTGAAGAACGGCTGGAAAGCGCCGGCTTGATACCATCTAACCAAGAGTTCCTCCGTCGGATTGCCGAAGAATCCACCCACATCAGCTCCAACATTTGGGAACCCGGCGATGGATAAAGATAACAGCATGGGGATCGTGGCCTTCAGATGGATCCATTCTGCGGCGTTATCTCCAGTCCAAATGGCGGCGGTTCGTTGGCTTCCGGTGAAGAAAGACCTGGTCAAGATAAATGGACGGAGCTTGTTATTTGAACGGCGAAGATGACCAAAGTAGGTTGAGTTATGCTAAATTTGGAGATACGAATACAACACTGAACACTTACATATAGCATTCCATAAATGTTGTGGACTTCTCTGTTCTCCCACCCACCGTAATGAATGTTGTCTCTGGGCATGGTCATCTCGTTAGAGGTGAAAACGGAAGGCTCATTCATGTCGTTCCAAGTCCACAGTCTCTCCGTAGATCCTTCGTAATTTTCTAGAAGATATCTGTCGGCCAAATACTCTCTGACTTCCGGATTCAGAAGATCCAGATATGATGACTTCCCGGGCCAACAATCTCCCTCAAAGTCACTCTGCCCTCCGGCATTCTTGACGTAGAAGTCGCGGTCTTTGGCCAGTTTATAAGTCGGGTAACTGTCGTCTTTTTTAACATGGGGATCAACGATAGTGACAACGGATCGGCCCTTGGCTTCGATCTTTTTAATCATCTCCTTCGGATTCGGGAAACGATCAGGATCCCAAGTGAAGTATTTCTTTCCAATCGTGTGTTCAATATCCAGCCAGATGGTGTCATAGGGGATGTCATACTTGTCAAAGTTTTTATCGACATCTAAGACGTCCTTTTCATCATTGTAGTTCCATCTGCATTGATGATATGCAATACCGGTAATCTAAAAATTATGATGACATAGAAAGAATTCAAAAAAGGCGGTTATGATTGTTTGTATTTGGATGACTTACAGAAGGGAGTGGATGAGCACCCGCGAGATTGGCCTGTTGTCTGTAGATATCATTTGGAGTTGGCCCCAAGAATAAGAAAAGGTCCGCGACTCCGGCTTCGGAAATGTAATGGGCGCCGGCATGATCCTGGCCTTCGTTGAAAGTGAAAGTATCGACCAGTTTGCTTACAATACCCTAAAATGTTTGAAATGTAAAAAATTGCCTTGCTTCATGAGAATGAATAAATGTTATTTGATTACCTTATCCAGCGCCGTTGAATGAATATCAACCCAAGTGTCAGCGACATTAAACCAGTAAGCCCCAACGGTCCTATACTTGTTGTGAGCAATAACTAAGGGAGACCCTCCATATAAAGACATGGGGGAATTCATCTCGTATTCGAAGATATCAACGTTGAAGATTCGATATGGGTCGATTTGGTTGGGCCTGAAATTAATTTTAATTTCCGTCTTTTGTCATCTTTCAAGTCCATTTTCATTACACACTTACAATGTGCTTCTCAATGCCAAAGACATGGCATGCTCTGGAAGTCCATAAAGATATTTGAATCCGAAGAATTCCACATCCAAACTGATGGCCGAAGATCCAAATGGCTTTGTATCCGTGAAGGAATTAAATTTCTCTTCCCAGAATCCTTCCCCGTCCTTGGTTGTGTCCGTTCCCTGATGACGGAAGTGCTCGAATTTGAATAATCCATTGGAGTTGACTGCAATGATCAAATCGTCCTTATCATAGACTTCAATCCAGAAAGGAGAGTAATTAACGACTACTTTCTTGTTCTTGGATGGAACAAAAGTCGCCTTGGTCTTCTCAATATTAACTTCAGAGATTCTAAAGACTGAATTCAGAAATTTTAATTTTTAATATTACTTTTCTTGCTCGGGATATCCAACGAAAGCGTCGTAGGGGATATACCTCGCCCTTAGAGGTTCACCAGATTCATCAATAAAAACCCTGAGGGTATTGTCTTTTAGAACGATAATGGCCAAATCCAGAGTGTTTTCTGAGGACTTGAGTTGGGCCAGTAAAGCCGTCTCATTTGACTTTACTGATTCTGGAATAATCGAATAAGAAGGGCGCTCTTGGCCTTGACGATGACGTCTGAAAAGTAATATGTGATTGTAACTTTAATCCGCAGATATAAGTGCTACAGTATTTATGGGCTGATTAGTCGTTTAATCATTTATGTAAGACATCTTTTAGACCACTTAACACTTCTTTAGGGCTCTAAATTTGAAATTTAACCGGAAAAACTTACTTGCAGAACCCTACTTGTTCACAGCTCTTAAATTTACTCTTATCGGCGGCATTGGCCCAAGAAATGGCCAGGGCCAACACCAACAGGCCCACTCGCATTACCACCTGAAAATGTAAAGGATATATCGAAAATGGGCGAATATAACCGACGCGCGGAACTCCATTTTTACTGGGTCTTGAAGGGCATCGCAAAGACACGTCAGCGAACTGAGAATAGGTGTTAGAGGCGTCGAGAAACTTCTGTTATTACACAGTTGTACTTGATATATCATGAACTGATATATAATATTGTAAGATGATAAAGATTTTTGTTAAAACATACCACATTTTTAAGGGATTTTTTATATCGCTTTAAGAGACTTAATGCTAAAAAAAATAAAAATTGGGGCAAAAATAAACGTTAAAGTGAAGTTTAAAGTGATGATGGCTACAAAAAAAACAATATGTATAAGAGCCATCATCTCTGTTTCATCTGCCCCTATTTGGCAAATATTCTGATGCAGAATCTAGTGCAAACAGAGAATATTCCAGAAAGACACACTTAACACCGGGCCAACACTCGCTCATTTATGCTAATTTCTTGTTTAAGCAAATAAAAGCGCCATACATTTTGTTTTGCAGACATTTTTGAGGGCAGAAAAATTTTGCTGACAAAGCATTTTCCTGTCTGACAGTGCAGAAAAATTTTCATAATTTTTTGGATGACAAAAAAATTAACAATAGTTTTCATAAAAATAACTTTTGCAAACAAAACGAAAGCTATGAATCAGCATATTAATATTAGTAATCAAAAAATTCCCTGAACTTTTTTAGCAAAACAAAGTAAATTTTGGAGATGAAAATTGTTGATAACCCAAAAAGTATTTTTTTGGGTCGCCAGTATTAAAATAAAGAGGCGTCTAAATAATAAAGCGAAGAACAGGGTGCACTTTTTCAGTTTGCAGGTTTTTTTCGTTTAAAGCTGGCGATAAATCCTTTTCCAAAACAGAACAGCATTCATACAGAAGCACTACTATGACAGCCCTCGCGCCTTTCTATAATCTACATTACCAATAAGATATCACAAACAAAGTTCAACAATTTTATTCACAAAATAAAAATTTGTTCCAACATGAAAGTACAGTAACCGTGGAGGCGTTTTACACCGGCATGACTTCCCTGAAACAATTTCAAATTAAAATGAGACCAGAAGTGTGCTAGTCTACCTTCTATAATGTAAAAAACACTCACCACAAATTGCTGACATAGGCCGCTTTTTGTCTGATGATTCTCTTTTTGGATTGGGTCGCCTTTCTGATCGAAATAATTGTCTGATCCCATCTGAAGAACCTCGAGGCTGACTGAACTCTTTTTCCCACGGCTTCAAGGCCTTCCAAGGCGCTGAAAACAGCTGAAGAAGGGGAATTGGGATCAACCAGGACTTTCTCAAACTCGTAGGCGACTTCACTTAGACGATCAATTGCCAGATCTTGCTTGTTTGTGAGTTTCAATAGGTTTACTATCGACTTTATGAGGAGGGAAAACTCGGAGGACGTCACTTCGGTCTCATTAATTGAGGCGATTAGGAGCGGGAAGAGCTGAAATACGAAAGTAAATGTGTGTTAATCATTAGTCACTCTCCAAAAAACAGGTCTTACAATCATTAATTCGTGTGTCATTGGGATTGAAACTCTCTGAGATAGCTGCAGAATCGACGGGATCATCTTCGCCATGGCGTTCATCTTTCCCTTATCTTCGGAGCCCTTGTATTCCTCCACAAATATCGGAATAAACTGAGTTAAAATCCTCTGTGTCCATATAAAAGTCTTGGAGAAATTATTTTTAACCGGATCTGTTAATGTCGAATCAAAGTTTAAAACTTGGTAAAGCTGCTTCGGATCGGCTCCATTCAGCATCTAAAGTAATATACAGATGATCTCAAACACTCGTAGATCAACAATTCAATTCAAGGCCTTAACAAAACATACCTTTCTCACTTTTTCCACCGGGAATATCCGTTTTGTCAAGACCTCATTTCTTAAAATTACCGCTTCCGCTTCTGCGCTAAGACTATCATCATTCACAATGCTTCTCACAACTTCATGATCAGCAGCGCCTCTGTTGTGGACTGCAAAGAGAACAGCCAGAAGGTAATTTGAAATATTTTCATCCGTGTGATTCTTGTGATATTCATATAGATTTTGGAGAAGATTGGTCAATGTGCTGGCGTCAGTTGTTTGCAGGACAACTGGTAACAAGAATTCTAATGCTCCAATCGTCTGTTTCGCCGATAACTCTGATGACTTTAGAACCTCAAAAATGGTAGACTGGAACCAGTTGAGCAAGTTTGGTTTAAGTCTAAAATAATATTGGTAAACTTCAAAGCCTACAAAAATGTCTAAAAGAACAATTCCTTACCTTTTATCTACTTTCAACACTAAATCCTGTAACCTCTCTCCAAGGTCGACCAACCTTTGCCGATCATCTTTAAATTGATCCAACAATTGTCCCAGCGCTTTGCAAAACGGTGAGATTAATCGTTCATCAACAAGATCTCGCTCTTTATTCTTCTCCAAAATCACTCCAAATTCGATTATTGACAGCTTCACATCGCTATCTAAAGACAAAAACAATAATGCCCAGAGTAAAAACTTATATTACCTTTATTTGTCATCCTTTCCAAAAACAATGGATAGCATCGCTCCAGGCCGACCTCAGAGCTCACCAATGCTCCGCAGAACAAGAATTCCTTTGCTGACCAGTAATCGACTGCCTTGAGATCTTTTTCAACCTTATTCCAGACTGTTTCGAAGTCATGTTGCACATATTCCTCCAAGAAACTTGCTATTGCCGTCCTAAACAGCGAACAATATTTCAATCCCCGTGATTTAACTCCACCTCAACTTCTCGCTATCATGATATTCCACCGCCAACACCTTATCCAAGACATCTTCTATTTCTTTTTTCAAATTCGCTCTCAAATCTTCATTTCCCACCAAAATTCTTCCAATTTCAGCCAAAACTTGTTGTAAAAGTTGTGAATCCACATCTTCAATGTTCTTCAGAGCACCAATCAATCCTGGGACAGCTTCTTGGACATGATTTCCTAAAGAATAAATGCAAAAATCACAAAAAACAGCACTAGGGGGCACCCGGATTTGAACCAGGGACCTCTCGATCTGCAGTCGAATGCTCTGCCACTGAGCTATACCCCCACGGGTGCAGAGTCTCGAAAGGAATGGTCTTTCTTCGAACGCGTTCTTTTTTTGTGTTCGAAAAACGAAACCTCAAGAAGAACAACTTCCTTTTGGCAAACGGTCGGCCAAAATTTCTGGACGTCCTAACCCATTAGTAAAAAGAGCTGCATGGAAAATAAGCAAGCCTTTTTCTCTACCGTGCATACCCACACGTGTGCCTTTCTCTGAATTCAATGCACCCAATTTCCCAGCACCCAATTTCAATGCAGCCGTAAAGTTTCCTTTTTTCCTTTTAGACTGGTTTCATCTTACCTTTTCCTGTCTTGATTCCAATTTCCAGCCATTCTGGAGTCAAAGGCAAGGTTTCCTCGAGGATTTCCTTTTTATTTTCGATATTTTTGATTGTAATACCTGTAACGGTAAAACTAAGTCTCTCAAATAACTACACACCTGCTATAAGCGCCCTTAACCAATATAAGACCTTAGGCAATGCCAATTCCGCGGCAATTTCATGGGCCAAAACAACGAATTCAAAGGTCTTCAGAGCCTTGGCGGCCAATCCCATTTCGGCTTGAAGAACAAATGGCTCACTGTCTAAAGAAAATCAAATTATATGTGATTGAGTACATAAGAATATTACTTTCGATCATCTGGTGAGTGGCCCTTTCAATTTCCTCTTCGGATCTTGGGGAGTCAAGTTGGTTTAGACAGTTGATCAGAGCTTTCATCGTGCTTCCCACTGTATCCACCGTTTCTTTTTCGAAAGACTTCCTTCTGGGATTAAATGAGATCATTCGGAAGGCCGCGAGGAATTCATCAGTTAGGGCGAGAAGAGAACCCGGTCCAAATTTGGTCATGACAGAAATCTAAAACAAGCAAAACATCGTTCCAAGCATAAATCAACTTACTAAGAATTTACAAATCTTCAACTTGGTCTCATGACCAACATTTTCATCATCCTCCATTAGTTTATCCAATATTAACTGATATGTGTACAAAGAAAATCCTCGATTTGCAATCAAACAAGCCTCACAACCAGCGGAGAGTGCCTCAGGGCTCAACGGATTCTTGTCCGTTTCTCTCTAAACATCAATTTGAATAACAAAAATGAACTTACTGGTTGATATTCAATTGGATAATAACAAGCAATCAGATCAAACATATCCTCCATAAATGGGCCCACATCCATTTGTCTCATCACTTTAGAGAAGATGGAGAACACTTTCATAAGACATCTGGGATCTCTCTCACCTCCTGCGGTATTTGAAAAGATGTTGTAGTATTGGACGCCGAGCTCTTCGATCACTGAAAAGGAAATAAATAACGATAAAAGCCAATGAAATTTTGCCGAAATTAAGCTTTCTTCATCCTAAATGAAAGAAATCAACAAAATCACATACCGTAAAAATAATGATCAACAGTGTGATCCATAATTTCCAAAAACAAGGCGCGGTCTGCCTGAGCATAGGCTTGAACTCCATTCTCGGCAAAAATATTGTGAAACACTTCAAAGATATCCGCTTTCTCGAACCTTTGGACAGTAAAGTACTGTAAGAAAGATCTTAAAATAGCTTTTCAACTTACCAGATGATGGACAACCCTCACTAGAAGTTCTGCGGAGTGTCCGCAATCATCAAACCGAGCCGACAAGAACTTGAGAAGATACATAGCTAAAATAAACTGTTTGCATACCTTAGATATAACTCTTACCTTCTTCATGGTCAAGAAAGTCCTTGGGCAAGTTCAATATAACAAAAGAGAGCTGATTTAGCCCAGCAGATCGGTTTACCCTCTCCTTGGACGTCACTTTATCTCTAAACACACTACAAAAAAACTAAAATAGACCTACCTTATGTTCTGACAATAATCTGAGAAAACCAAAGTCTTATCAAGTATCTGCTGGACAGTTTTCATCAACTTTTCTTGTTCCTCCTTACTAAATGCATTCTCAATATCCATTTCACTTCAGATTATCGATTTTATCTTGGGTTTTAATCCGGATAATTGATCGACGAAGTAAAATGTGATAAAAACAATTTTTTTGTAAAATTTATTTTTATTTTTTTTTGGAAAACGGAATGCCAAAGATGTATTCGTGGCGAGATATAATAGCTACTAAAAGCGATTCCAGACGTCCCAAAAAACCATTACTAGTAAAGTATACTTTATTTATATTGCACTTGATCATAAATTATACTAGCTGATGTCAAAGTTAGATAATTCTGGTTCTGTGAGTGGGTCTTTGGACTGTGAACGTTCTGATTTCGAAGGGGTCAGTTCCTTCTTCATCTAGGGTTGGCAATTTCTTCAGGAGCATAGATTCAACAGTTTCGTTATCCAATAATCTCTTCACTCTGGCTCCATCATCAGCGAAAATGCGCGATCTTTTCCTGAACATCACCTCTCCAGAATGTTGAACTTGACGGGGATTGGCTCTGCGTCCTCTGTTTAGGATCTGGGGCTCGCTTTGATCGACCGGGCTGTCATTTAGCCTTCTGAGGAGACGAATTTGGCGTCCGCCGGGGATACCTAATGTTTCTTCGGCTGCTAGGCTAAAATAAGGTAAAACATAGTTGCGTAAGACGCGATACATTAATTATATTAGCCTCTGAGAACTTTATTTATGAACATACCAAACGTTGAGTACGTATAGAGCCAGGAGGAAAGCAATCTGATCCCACCGCATGTTAGGTATAATATCTTCCCAAGGTGACTGAAGCTTGTAACGCGAAGAAGAGCGGGGGTTTGAACCAGTTCAACGTAATTTCGACTATCTGTTTTCGAAGGTGTTTTTATTTTCGCCTCAAAATCCGCTCGTTTGAAGTGACCAACGTGAAAGGAAAGAGTTCCGCCTCTTTCAACTTTTTTTATCATTCCTCCCACGGCGAAGTGTGAACGACGATTTACTAGTAATTACTGAGAAAGCACTTCTGTGAGGAGGATTTTTATTATCGAATACGAGGTCTGTTGTACAATACATTATGTAATTTTAGATTAGCTGTTAGTCATGGATAATTCTTTGATCAATTGCCATCTTTGAAGGGATGATCCGGATGGTGTGCGCAGCTAAAAGAATGCATTATTGTGTAAGCAGTCGTAACTTACAATGCGAAGAGATGAAGTCTGGTATTCTCTCCAATATTCAGCAGTTTTTGTTGATCCTCATCAGCCAATGTGAAGTTAATGTCAATGTTTTCTTTTATCCTTGATTCCGTCAGACTTTTTGGGATAACAGCGATCCCTCGTTGGATTGTATGACGTAACAGGATCTGAGCTGGAGTTTTTTTATATTTCTTGGCCAATTCGACGGTCACTGGATGGGCCAGGCAATCTCCTTCAACATAAGGTTGAGGAACGGTTTTCCGACCGGGATTGCCTAGAGTGGAGAAAGAAGTTACAGTAACCCCAAGCTTTTTACAGAACTCGACTAATTCAAATTGGGGAAAAAGAATATGGATTTCGATTTGATTGTTGACTGGTTTGATCTCGGCCTTATCGTATAGGTACTGTAACTGTTTGGCGCTAAAGTTGGATACTCCAATGGCCTTAAAGAGCCCTTGTTTATAATACTTCTCAAGGACTTTCCAAGTATCGTAGACATCGACGGAATCGATGACACATTTCCCGGACTCATCGCGCTCAGGGCCAGTGTAGTCTTTGTTTGGCTGCAAATGTAATATTTATCATACTAATGTATTCAATGTTTGAAAATTGCAAAAAAAAACATACCTTCAAAGCCGCAGGGAAATGAACCAAGTAGAGATCAACATAATCCAGCCTCAAATCTTTCAACGATTTTTTAATGGCAATCTCCGCATATTCCGGGCGATTCATAAACCATGGCAATTTTGTGGTGACAAAAATATCAGATCTGTTCAGTTTACCAGCGTCGAAATATTCCGCCAAGATCTCTCCGATAACGTGCTCGTTATTGTAGAAATAAGCTGTATCAATATGACGATATCCAGAATCCAATGCAACTCTCAGCGATTTTCTGAGCTGTTCTTCATCGTTGGACTGAGTTCAAAAAATAGTTAGGCGTACATATATGTACATATATTCTCTACGTTATCAATATATAGCATACTCACCAGCCAAGTACCGTATCCGAATAACGGAAATTTGACGCCGTTGTTAAAGGTAAGATACTCCTCCGCCATCTCTGCTTCTCAACGCAAAATAAATGATGCCTCAAAGTTCTTGGTGTTTATATTTATACGCTTTTTGTTCGGTGTGCTTTATAGCCAAGCGTTTTGATTCCTTCAGCGCCGCTGACCTTCTCTTGTCTAGCACAATTTTTGTGCGTAGTCTCTATTCATCTTGATTAGTTTCGAGTCCCACGGAACGATCTGTCTTTACGTTTAGAGAAAGTAATCATTTTCTGACTTTTGTTTTTACTTTGTTTGTTTTGATCATCGAACAATTCTGCAGAGAAGTGCATTTCTATAAATGGTGTTTAAGATCATGCAAGTTAAAGGGTTTCTTTGGAAGGTTTTTGGAAATACTAAAGTCTGCAGATTGTTTTTGGATGTGGAAGAGTGGAAGTTCAATCGGATTTATTTCTTCCCTGTTATGTAACTACAATGTTTATCGGTGTGGAAATAATGCAATTGGCTACAAATATTCTAGCTTTATTGAAATGCCAAGCTCTGTCGCCTGTCCATGAGTTGTTTACAAAGCAAGCCAACAAGTTTTGTATTATTTTTTATGTATTATCATCGTTGGCTCAACGATCTTTCCTCATCTTTGCTCGTCGTTTCGAAGGCAAACTTTTGTGTGCTTTACTTGATTCCTTCCTAAGCCCAACTTTCTCTAACCCAGACTTTAAAAAGCCTGAATTAAGAGCCCATATTTTTAAAAGTTGCGAAGGAAAATATAATATTATATTAACGAACATGGATGTTTATCAAAGCCAAAAATCCTCTCTTTCGTAAGCGAAAGACAGGTCAAACGTATATATATTTGGGACAGCGATTTCAAGAGTAATTTTATTTATTATTACCAACTTTAAAAGATTTATGGTTATTTATGAGACTGATATGCTTAGAATTCGTCATTGAAGGAGTAGTTTGGATGTCCAAAGGCGCTGAAATATTTTTTATGATTGATTTTTGCCATAAGCTAAACTAAAATTAAAATTTCTTACAAATCGAAGACAAGTAGTCTCTTGTTCTCATTCAGATTCAAAAGTCTGTCCTGATCCTTCTGCTGGATTTCAAAATCAAAAATGTCGATGTTCTCTTTGATTCTGGATTCAGTCACACTCTTTGGGATCACCGAGATTCCCCGTTGAACAAGATGACGCAACAAGATCTGGGCTGGAGTTTTGTTGTATTTATTGGCCAGTTCCAGAGTCAATGGATGGTTCAGACAATCTCCTTCAACCCAGACTTTGCCCAATCCTGCACCTCGCCCGGGGTTTCCGAGAGAAGAGTAAGACGTTACGGTAATGTTTTTGTCCTTACAGAACTCGACCAGCTTCTTCTGAGGGAAGAGGATGTGGCATTCGACTTGAAGGTTCATCGGCTTGATTTCGGCGTTATCATAGATGTCCTGGATTTGCCTTGCGCTGAAATTGGAGATCCCAATAGACTTGAATGTTCCGTCTTTGTAATATTTCTCCAGAATCTTCCAAGTTTGGTTGAGATCAACGTCCTCAAAAATGAATTTTCCGTTCTCATCCGTAGCAACTCCAGTGATGTCATCATTGGCCTAAAAAATGTCTTAATGGACTGTTGAATTGCCTTGCCTTCATCGAAGTTGGAGTGTGGATAAGATAAAGATCAACGTAATCAGTCTTCAGATTGGCCAAAGATCTCTTGATGCAGATCTCGGCCCTGTCCACATTGTTAGCATACATGGGGAGTTTGGTGGTGATAAACAAGTCCGATCTCTTCAGCTTCCCAGCATCAATATACTCCTTGATCACATCGCCAATTGGAGCTTCATTTCCGTACACATAAGCAGTGTCAATATATCTGTAGCCAGAATCTAAGGCCGTTCTCAAGGCCTTCTTTAGCTGTTCATGGTCAGTGGACTATAAATACGCGCATCAGGACACGTGATTATAAAAACTTACCAGCCAGGTTCCATAGCCAAGTAAGGGAAGATTGACGCCATTGTGCATGGGAATAGAGCCCACCGAGACCATCTTGAACTAAAAGAAAACCAAGATTAATAAAAGAAATCGCGAGAAGTTTGCACAAGTCATAAACTCGGCCGTAAGGATTCCCAAAATCAGAAAGTGATCCAAAGTAGACACCAACCTCCAGCCTTGCAAAGGCAAATGAATCAAAGTGATCAAAGTGAATGTTGGGGGCCGAAGAGTGTTTCGGTCCACAAAAAGCCTGGCGTGGCTAAAAAATGGGGCTCGAAAAGGTCGTTATCAAGCCCCATCTAAACAAAACCTCCGATTTTTATACTTGTTTGCGAACAGAAAGGCAATGATGTTGGTGCTCTAGAAAGATTGCATAGACCTTTTATCTTTGTTTCGGAGTCCACTGATAGCATCTCTCCGTGCTTTCATGTGATTTATAATGGTTACAGGCCATGTACGAAGAGAGAAAAAGAGGATTCTGACACACAGACTACAAACCAATGCACAACTCATTCTTTATGTTTGGCCAGTGATCGTTCACTTGTCTATTTTATTCCAGGCACTATTTACGAGATTTATTGATTGTTCAAGGTTATTTCTATGATTCAATTTACAAAAGTTTTCGTTCCTCTTTGGGGAAGATGGTCTCCAGATTCAGGATTCCCAGATTAAAGATCTTTTTTGGCACGGATTCTCCGAACACGTACTGAGAAGGGATTCTGAACTTGAGTTTCCGTTGGCCAGGCTTGATTCCATCGTCACAGTCATGGTAGACTTTGCAAACAGGGTCGATGGATGTGAGTTCGTGGGTGTTCCCAACAAGCTCAAATTTACCTTGCGAGTCCGTGTGGCCTTCCTTCAGCTTGTCGTCCGGGTCGGGCCCTGGAATCAATATTGTTAAGATGTTCAGCGGTCTGTTCGAAGATATGAAAGCTTAGGAGTGCGAGACAGAGGAAAGGTTTTGCCAGTGCCTTAACATAACCTTAATTTTACCTTGCCGTTTAAATAAATTTTATTTTCAAAATCAGTTCTATTATACTTCGACCTACCCTCATCCTCATCCCACAACGCCACCTTAACTCCGACCGCCGGCTTGTCTCCGCACAGCAATTGCCCTTTGCATCCGACTGATTGTAGCCGGACACAGTTAACTGTGCCATTAATGGCCAACAACAAGACGATTAAAAGCAAACTCTTCATCTTTGGCCACCTTCCGGGCGGGCAGACAAATTTATAGCAACGTTCTGTTTATATCGTCAATCCAAACAAGTTTGTTTATTAACTCCAAGACTTGTAATCACAAACAGATTCCCAATTACATTTGTTGATAAAGACGAGAGTACTAAAACAAGGCACGTAAATTGGCACGTTACTCATTGTTATGTAGTACAATTTTTATTGTTTATTTTCCTTTTCATTTCCGTGCTTTTCCAGATGATATATCAGATCGCATAGAATTATCGGCGCTTCCTTTAATTCCGAGATGGGGACAAACTCATGTCTTGAATGGGCGGTTGTAATTGAGCCTGGGCCCATTAAATAGATTCCTTTGAGGCGACGGAAGCCATCAAAATACGGGATATCCGTGTTGAAACAAACGGTCTTGCTTTTGTATTTCTCTGGAGGCTCTAAAAATATTGTATTAAAGTTTGATTTTGAAGTGAAAGTAAATCCATAAAAAGGTGACAAACTGACTACTCAACGTAACAGCATCGTTTAATTCTCGAACTTTGATCTCTCCTCTGCCCTTGCAAATTTTTTCGATCTCCTGAAGTAATCGAGTAGCCAATCCGACGACTCTGAACTTGAGACTGGCCTCAGCATGTTCGGACAATGCATTCACCGCATGCCCGCCATTAATCAACCCAATGTTCATGGTTGTTTCTCCCAAAAGTTCATCTTTGGGCCATTCATTTTTCCTCAGATCCCACAAAATCTCCAAAAGTTTGTCAATTGCACTCTCTCCTTTCTCCGGATATCCCGAGTGAGCTGCTTGACCTTTCGTTGTTAACACGAGCTGAAAACAAAAACTAATGTAAATAAAAATTTTAACACAAATGAACGGAGTGCAATTTAGCATGCAAAAGACTGGTAACTACAGTTATTACAACATAGATACTGTTGTGGTATCTACCTCAATTGCTCCTTTCTGCGCGTGGGCAAATTCGAGATCAGTGGGTTCTCCGACAATCAAATAATCGGGGTCCAGCTTGAGTTTATTGGCCACACTCATTCCAATATGATCCGTTTCTTCGCCTAATGTGAGCAAAAGGCCACATTTCTTACTCAAGTCATGATCTTCATCTCGCAATTGGCGAAGAGCGAATAATAAAGAAGCGATTTGACCTAAAGCAAGCAGTTGTAGTTGTGAATGGAGGACGAAATGATAAAATAAGGGATTCAATCCTTAAATGGCTTCTGCATTTGTGCATAATAGGTGTGTGAACCATATAAAGGTGGTCACCGAAGTTCTCGACTTTTATTTTTTCGGTTGCGTCGAATTTCAGTGCAAAAATGGGATGACATTGGTTTTGAAAAATCAGTGCCAAAAAAGCTCTGAAATTTGGAAATAACCAGTGCATATTTTGAGAAATCGCTGCAGGACGAAAATTAAAGTGTGCACTGATTTTTCAAAATCAATGTCAGCCCATTTTTCACCGAAATTCGACTCAACGGCAAAAATAGAAGTCGAGAACTTCTGTGACCACCTTTATATGTATGTATGCATTATACAGGGTGTTTCAAGAAATTCCCCGGAAAGCAATCGTCGATTTCTCGGCGCTCAGCCATGATACCCAAAAATTTTTTTTTGCAGTAGAAAGAAGGTTATGGGCGGTTTTTTGCCTAAAAAGATTTTTTTCTACGCCGACGCGGAATGCAGTGTATTCGGCGAAGACTTTTGACCGCTTTTTTGACCATCACACTTATCTAAAACGCTTTACTGTGACACTGCAGCATCCGGAAAGTCTTCAGATTTTTTGCACAATGGATCAGGAGGCAGGATATAACGCTATGCGATCCCATTTAGCGACTGCACAGTGCAATGCAGTCGCTGCAATATCGACAAAGTCGAGCCCACCGCGCGAATGTTTGAAACAGCAGGGAAAAGAGAAATTTAAACAAATTTTTTTTGTTGTTTTCTGGTGCACCAAGTGGTTCCGTGATGGCTAGACATCTGCCAAGGCTTGACCACAAAATTTTGGAGGGTATACGATACCCGCAGAAAATAGTTGCTAGACAATAAAAATTGTGTTGGGCCATTTCTGGTCCGTATCTGAGTTAAGATGGCGTCGCGACACTTGCGGGCAACCACTTTGCGGGCAACCAGTTTGCGGGCAAATTTTTTGCGGGCAACCACTTTGCGGGCAAAATTTGGGGGTCACATTTGCGGGCAGCTGAAACATTTGCGGGCAGCTGAGACACTTGCGGGCAGCCTGGGACACTTGCGGGCAACCGACACTTGCGGGCAGCCGACATTTGCGGGCAACCGGCACCTGAGGGTTACAGGGTAGAGGTGGAAATATTACTGCGATATTTTGGAAATTTGCCGACATTTGCGGGCAGGCGACACTTGCGGGCAGCCGACATTTGCGGGCAACCGGAAAAAACAATCACACAGACTGTATAGCAACTTTTGGAACTGTTGCCCGCAAATGTCGGCTTCCCGCAAGTATTGCCTGCCCGCAAATGTCGGAAAGCTTCCAAAATATCGAAGTAATTTTTCCACCTCCACCTTGTAATCCTCAAGTGCCGGTTGCCCGCAAATGTCGGCTGTCCGCAAATGTCGGCAACTTTCCAACATATCATAGTAATTTTTCCACGTCCACCCTGTTACCCTCACAATCAGGTGTCGGTTGCCCGCAAATGTCGGCTGCCCGCAAATCTTCCAGGCTGCCCGCAACTGTCGACCCTGCCCGCAAATGTCCCAGGCCGCCCGCAAATGCCGGTGCTGGCCGCAAATGTCGGCTGCCCGCAAAGTGGCTGCCCGCAAAAAATTTGCCCGCAAACTGGTTGCCCGCAAAGTGGTTGCCCGCAAGTGTGCGCCCGCCGTTAAGATATGGCGAGCGGCTGCCATACCTTTGCCGAACGCTTGATAAGCACAAAAATCAGTAAATTATCCGCATTTCAGCCATCAGAAACCACAAAAAAGCGTTTAAGATGTATGTGATGACCAAAAAAGCGATCTAAAGTCTTCGCCGAATACACCGCATTCCGCGTCGGCGTAGAAAAAAATCTTTTTAGGCAAAAAACCGCCCATAACCTTCTTTCTACTGCAAAAAAAAATTTTTGGGTATCATGGCTGAGCGCCGAGAAATCGACGATTGCTTTCCGGGGAATTTCTTGAAACACCCTGTAGATTGCTCCTAAAACCTATTAGATACAGTTAAAATATTAAAAAAAAATAAACTGTCCGATGGCTTGCAAATGCGGAAAAAACCCAGAGGAAATTTACCTGAGCCGTGTGAAAAAACTACAACACCGTAATAGCCTTACCTTTGGCATCATTGGCCCCCCTTCCATAGACTCTGTCATCCCCAATCCTCGGATTAATAAACGGAGGCACCGTATCCAGGTGAGTATTCAACAAATACTTAATATCCACCTCGCAGACGTCTTTGTCTTTTATCAGCAGGTTGTATCGTTGATTATCGCTTTCAAGAGGCTGAGAAATTACCTCGAATCCCAAGGTTTCGCAATACTCTTTGAGAAAATCCGCCAATTTACCTAGAAATGAGAGTACACTTTGGTGTAAACATTGAATGGAATGCCTGCAAGAATAAACAAAACTACGACAATATGCTACAATCAAAATTACTTTTACATTTTCGCGTACCTTCGTTTCCCGTCACTGAGTCAATTTCGATTAATTTGATCAAAAAATCGACAATCGAGAGTTCAGCAATGTTGCCCATTGTAAACAAGCAAAAGATAAATAAAGAAGTGCCTTTAATACTCATTTCTTTGTTTTCCCCGTTTCTCAATCTCATCAAAACATATTTACCAAACGTCAAACGATATTGTTTTAATGCCATCATCCATTTCCTGGTAACCCAAGCGTTTTAATTGTATTTTATTTCCAAATTCACTAATAAAAATATAATTTACTATAACCTTAATGCAGCAAGATAGCGTGACATTTTCTTTTGCTTTTTATGTAAAAGAATCAAAAAAAATGACGATGACTTGAACCAATACATCATTTTAAATGTTCAAAAAATCTCTTATTGATTCAGAATAAAGTATGATATGTTCTGTTTATTTCATCATGGTTAATATTTGATATCCACTTTAAATTCCTCAAATTTCCCAAAGCAATAAGCTTTGAGCAAAGAAAGTTTTGTGCTACAAAACCACGAGTATTTTCAGCTTCATTCTTATCCAGCAAACACCTGTCCTCAAGACCTCTTGAATTACGTAACCCATCGATGTTTAATTGAAAGTGGGCCCGTGCATAATTAACATGTTCCTGCCCGAGCTTTCATACTTCTTTCCATTACTCTTACATTTCTGTTACACTTCTTACGCTGTCCGCGGAAAGAACGTACGAAAATAACGTTGCCCGGGCGACAGTGCCTTTCGCGATCACGTTGCGGGCCCGGCGAATTGAACAGTAATTATTTACACGCAGCGCCCCGCACGGCCGGTAATTACATGGCCTGGGGAGGAGGAGAGGAGGAGCTGAAGCAGAAGTTATTTTTGTTTTCTTACGAGTGTGATGACTTAATTTGGCTTTAAGACCGGCGAGGTCATGTATTTAAATTTTCTTTTTAATGAGTTTTTGCCCTCAGGCTGTTTCGCCTTCCAAGTTCAAGTAATTTCGCTTTCCCACTCACATTTGGAAGCTGGTTTGAAGAGGTGTAAGTTGTGCTAATCTCCTACGTGTATGGTGATAGTAATTGGGGACCGACTATGTCATAGAATGAAAGGGGGCTCAATTGTTGCCTTATCGGACGGTGCTTGACGTCTGGGTTTTGGTTGAAGTCTACATTAAAAAGCGTATTTTTAAGAAGGCTCTCCGTTTATCGATTTTCCAATTACATTGTTTTGTAATACGTTTGAGAACTCGTGCCCGGTGTCTCTTAATGCTTACTACATTTGCTCACAACAAGTTATTTCCACTTCATTTTTCTTGAATGCCGGCCTTATGACATTACATTGCGCATGGGATGTAAAAATGGCCCGTTTCCTAATTTTGTTCATAAATTTTGACACGCAAATTTTGCGTCATCAAAATTTTGGTAGCTTTGAACAATATGTGTCTTTTTTAATTTACCTAAAGGGCTCAGTTTTTATGAGTTAAGTAATCTGAGCTCTTGAACACAATATATACTCATACTTTAGAAAGAAATTAATTATTCGGGAAGTGTTTGGGGTTCGTGGGAATCTCAACAATACCATTCCCATGTTCTAGTCGTAATAATAGCGAATAAACATTCATATCTACATAAACTTACCTTTCATTTGCACTTACATCTGGAGGCTTTCATCAAAAAACATTTCGTGCCCCAATTTCCAATTGCAACTCAACCCTTGAATCCTAATTGTCAGTCACACTTCCGTGCATTTCAATTTCCTCTCTACAATTTATTTTTTTCAGTTTTTAATTGTATTTTAGCAAGTGAAATTTAAAAAAATTCCAGAGCTCTTTCAGCTATCTCAGTCGACGCAAACTGATCCCTGCCGGCGCTGATGAATGGATAAAACGGCCAAAAAGCGCATCCTCAACTTAATGGGAGTCTGCGAGAGTTCCAATGTTGATGCCCGTCGCAATAAAGAGATCAATGATCAAATCGAAAAGGATCGTCGGATCAATGATTCTACCATTAAGCTACTTCTATTGGGTGCGTATTTCCATTGTTTTGTACCGTACTTAATTTTAGGTGCCGGTGAGAGTGGAAAAAGTACAATCTTGAAGCAAATGAAGTAAGTTCTCTTCGTCTTCGAGCCTCAACAGTGCAGTAAATTTTTTGGTAATAAGAACTAACAACTCTATGAAATTTTATTGTTACGTAGTAATTACTACTATTTAAAATTGAGAATTGCAGAATTATTCATGATAATGGATACTCTGAAGCCGATGCCTTACAGAAGAAATCAATGGTTTTTGCGAATGTTATTCAAGCCATGCATTACATGGTGCAGGGAATCGAGAGGCTAGGCCTAAGGTATTCGAACCCAAATTCTGTGGTGAGTAAAGGAACTTAATGAAGTAATTTAATCCCTTTTATTTACCTCGGAACCTACTGTTCTTTAGGAACATGCCCGTCTAATAGATGCCGTTATAAAAAAGAATAAAGAAGGTGATCCCATTGCTGACAATATCTACGTAGCCATTAAAGAATTGACCCTTGACAAAGCCTTTAAAAAAGCGTTGGAACGGCGGATGGAGTTTTATGTGCCAGACTCCTCAGTACAGTAAGTATTTCCTAGAAATACAGGTTTGTAGTCTATCATTACTAAATTTACACTCCTCGCATGTCAGCTATGGCTATTTTTGAATAATAATATCTTAGGAAATTGCCTGAATCGTATTTTAGTTTCATCGAATCCCTGGATCGGATATGTAATCCGAGTTATATCCCCAGCCAACAGGACATTCTTCTGCTTCGTATATCAACAATGGGTGTAATCGAAGTGACTTTTAAGATCAAGGACAAACTATGGAGGTATGTGTTATTTGGAACGGAAGCTTTCATTAAGAGCCCGAGAATATATTAATCCCGCCCGCTTCCAGAGTGTTTGACGTAGGAGGGCAAAGATCACAGCGGAAGAAATGGATCCACTGTTTTGATGATGCAAGGGCTGTGATATTTGTTGTCGCGTTGAGTGAATACGACCAAGTTTTGATAGAAGATAATACCACGGTAAGAACAGGGCGATAGGAACGTACTGTATGACAAATAAGGGCAAAGAACTGGTTTATTATGAGAACGAATTAAAAATTCTGCTTTCAAATTTGAATGAAATATATTTTAAAGCCAACGTAAATTAGCCAAAACTCCAGTTTTTCATTCTAAATTGCAAAAATCTTTAGTTTTTTCTCTTAGAATATGCGAAACCCCGGCAAGACCATCTGTCATTTTTTTTTATTGTTTTTTGTCATTCCATTTATTAACATCAAAAAGACACATGTTCAATTAATCTCGCACATGTCAATTCCAGAACCGAATGCTTGAATCCATCCAGTTATTCAAACAAGTCTGTAACAACAAGCATTTCATTGAGACTTCCATCATCCTCTTCCTCAACAAAAAAGATTTGTTTCGAGAAAAGATTGAAGAGACGCAGATCCCCCTAAAGAAGACCTTCCCCGACTATAATGGGGACCTCAAATACGAGCCGTGTGTCAAATATATTGAGAAGAAATTCTTCTTGGCCAATGAGGTCCCCAATAAGAATATTTATTGTCATCAGACCTGTGCCACGGACACTCAGCAAGTCCAGTTTGTGTTGGATTCGGTCATGGATACAATCTTGAGCTCAAAATTGAAGGGATGTGGACTTTATTGAGGGCTGGGCAAAGTTTCGGAGGATTACGGTAAAGTGGTAGGAATAATAATTGTGACTGACCTTTGGAATGTCGTAAATTAATCATGGTATTCTCATTCGAATTATCCTTTCCACATGTTTTTATTGTGTATCAAATACGTAATTGTTTTCCATCGCAAGCATTGTACGATTATCGAGTAATACAAATTAAATTTAAATTTGCATATTGTGGAATAAATCAAATCGAAACCTAATTGTTTTGGGCGATTTTTGAAGATCATGGCTTGGATAAAATGAATAACAAAGCCTTAAAAACAGCTTTTTTACAAGACTTTGATTACATATTTCAGTGGTAAGACCTGCGGAAGCTTAAAATTTATACAAGAAATATTCGAGACACATGTTTCGTCTAGCGAAACGTGTTATCTCAAGTTTTTTAGGCGGAAAACGTGGGATTTATGCTGTAAAGGCGCTTCCCTAGGAATTCAGGGATTCGGGGCTTTAAAATAACCCTGTAAAATCACGTCGCTGACTTCTCTAGGATCTATAGGGATTTTTATTTTGTTATATAACTTTTTGATGATTACGGTATCCCACGCCAAGAAATTTCGTTCTTTCCATTTAAATTCTTGTTCCTATAAGTTTGGTGGACTTTACGACCGGAAATGAATCACTTCTTCGAAGGATGATGATGTTATTGCTCTGTCGAAACCACGCCATACAAATTTTCGATAGAAAACTAAAGTTACAAGGAGAACAATTTGCAGTTTAAGTCCCAACGTAAGCCAGAGGCGTTTTCTTGAGAGTTGAGCAGAGTCCATCAAAGGTTCGAGGATTGCTTATAGTTTAAGAATCCTTAGACATGATTAAATGCCTTTGCCAAAGGTTAGTAACTTTTAAAGAGTTCCAAGTGTTCCGTTTTTTCAGCCAACCTTCCAAACATACCAACACAATCTTGCCAAAAAGGACAATGGTTTTTGTCCTTCTTTGACCTCGGCCGCTGATAAAAACGGTTTGGCGATGATGAGGTGCCCGACCAAACCTTTGTTCACAACTTTTATTGACATCTAAAATATTCTCCTTCTTTTGCATTTGTAAATGGAGCTCTTGTTATCAATATTTCTATGTTTTGAGACTTTCAAATCTCTACAGTAATTTTGTTTGAAATTTTTCGAAAACAAATTACAAAACTTACAGTTTTCGGAGCCATCCCATGCCAACGTAAACAAAAATCATCTGGCTGCAAAACGACTGATTAGAGAAGAGATCTTGGGTCATCGGAATCATAAGGTGTCTATTTCTGTAAAGGAAACTCTTAAGGTATTACTTCTTTCAGTAATTCTCTGCAAATCTCTTCCTCAAAACCCCTTCCAATCACTTTGAAGATGTTTGATTTTGGCTTGTTAAGCGGATTCCCCGAGGGCTTTATGCTTATCAGCTGTTCAGGGTTCAAGGGTTACTGTAATTTAAATGTCGTGTCTTGTTTATTCGAGGGAGTTTCATTCGGGGAGTTTCTCGGGTCCCAATTTATTTCAAGGCCATTATTTTTCCGCTTTCCCAAAACATTACAAACAAAAAGAAATTGGATTGGAGGGGCTACCCCCGTTTTCGAGTTGGCCGGAGACTTTGGAAAAGTCACGGTCTTTGGAGAGGCCCAAAATTTTGGAAATGGACAGTCAGACAAATTTTTAGTAAATTTGGAGGCCTTATTCATCTTCTTGACGCTTTTATTTTATTTTTTTATGCAGCAACCCTCTATAAAGGCAACCGATATACTCGTATGCTTGAGTTTTATTTATTTATCCCATTAATTCACATAGCTAAAAATTCTGAAAATCACCCAAAACCCTTGCTCTCGTGACATATTATATCATAATCCGTAACGTCAATACATTTCGAACTTAAACCGAAGTTTTTTACATGGCAGAAAATTGATAAGCTGCTAATTTCCATCGAGCTGGCCTTTTTTGCTAAAGGGGGAGTGGAAAAGGAGAAGAGACGGTCCAGTTTAGGTCACTTATGACCAGCAGATTATAACGGCGGCGCCTCGGAGTCTTGAGAGTATTGTATACATTTGGGATTGTGATTTGACACCAACAAAATAAAGGTTAAGGAGAGGCTCTAAAAACTTACTTTCGCGAGAAAATTGAAAGATAAAAAATTACTCGTAGTTTTACTGTAAAGTGATGTTGTCATGTCGATTATTATGATTTTTTCCTTTTTTTATCAAAACTCAAACCTTTATTATCCACACTTTCATTTTGATCGTTAAAAAGGCGCCGATTTTTTGCAGTTTTATGCGATTTCTTCAAATTCCGCGAATTTCTTGCTCATTTCAATGATTTCGTAATCATCACTGATAATTGGACTTTGCTAAAACCACTTTAATTGTAGCCCCGGCTTTTCCTTTTATCTGTATATTACCAAAGCCACAGTTATAAATGTTGCAATCACTCGGAGCACTGGTCTTACTCGCTCTGATTACCACAACCGTTTTGGCCAGAGAGCAAAGTGTGGCCGCCTCAGGCAAGCTGATGTGTGGAGCATCGCCGGCGATCAATGTGAGAGTCAGCCTCTACGATATTGACATTGGTCAGTTCTTTTTTTCAATAGTATATTTTTAGCTTGAAGGGTGTGATCGGCCTTTACCCTCAGGGCATACGGTTGAACATGTGAGAATCTTTGTCCTTTTTTCGAATATTCAGCACTTTTTTTGCAAAAAAAATTTTTCTCTTTTTTTGTGGCGGAATTCCTCCAAGTCAAAAGATCGCCCGACCTCAGGCATTTTAATCGCCCATTAAAGGTGTAAAATATTGACCGGTTCAACTGATAATTGACAGCTCTAAAGAAAGCACTTGGACTTTATAAAATGATTTTACGACTCCGTATCTGTAAGAATAATTACTTGAAGCAAAAAGTTGTTTTTCCCAATATTTTGTAGAGTTAATTAGCTGCCGGATGTTTTGTGTAAAACGTATCTATGGTATATGATGATAAAAATAACAATTTTTTCTGCCGGAAGTCACGTTGTAGCACATAGTTTTGATAAGAGTGCAGTCAATTAAAGAGCTCGCTAGTCTTTTACTTTAAAGTTCTCAAGGCTGAATATTGACAAAACTTTAAAGATTTAACAAAGCCTTATTTATATACCTCAACGTTTATCTTTTAGCTCCCGATCCAGATGATCTCCTCGACGAAACTTTTACTGACATTGACGGCAAATTCATGGTCCAAGGATCCACCTCTGAAGAGACAGACATCGAGCCCATTCTCAAAATAACACACGACTGTGAAGATGATAACAGAGTGAGTATAGTAATTTCGTTGAAACGCCCGGGGTTAATCCTTCGTTATTTTTATATTTTTGCCTCGCTAGACGTTTTTTTTTACGGGGGAAGGGGGAAAGGTTCTTTTCGGGTTTTTAGACGGTTTTTCTAAGAAGAAACTGTAGAATTTCGGTCGGAAAAACAGCCATTTTAGATAGAAAATTGCAATATTAAGTCCAAAACTTACATAAGATATAAAATTATGAATATTGTGGATCTTTTCAGAACAGCCAAGGAAGTCGAATCGTGACATTCCAGATCCCCTACAGTTACGTCACTTTGCGTGGAGTCCCTAACAAGCAATTTGAGCTGGGCACCGTCAACTTGGAGACTCGATTCCATAACGAAGAACGGCAAGTTCCCTCGGCCAAGATACGACGCCATCATTTCTACCCGAGACGCCTTAATTACGACAACGAATTCGATATTTTTGATGGCTTCTGACATAAACCCAAGAACTTAATTTATTTTCTAAGCGTTTTTCAAATATTTCGAATACCATTATCAGATTCCTGATATTCATTTAGTGTCTCTCGGACGAGGAAAAACTCGCCTGAGGCAGTCTTTGGTCTGAGTCTCATTCCCATTGGTCTCATTTGAAGATAAAATACAAAAATTTCAATAATTTATTTGCATGGAGATCGGCGAATATAAAGATTTTCAGATGATTATGTGCTTCAAATGGCAATTGAAAGAGTTTGAGATTAAAAAGAAGGGACCCACGAGTTAATGAATTACTTTAGAGATCAAGAAGAAGATAAAAATGGCCATGAATAAATAAACGCAGGTATTTTTGTACATTATTAGGGAGTAGAAGGCGAATGAGGTTCATGGGAGGGTGGGTGATCGTCTTCGTTCATCACACTGATCGAGGTCGCACGGGACTTAGAGTCTTGGCAATCCATCAGTCTGGAGAAAGGGTCATAAAAACCGGTTGAGCATAACTCGTCCAACTAATAGGAAAGCTTTTAAAAAAATGTTTTATCGCGTTATGTAAAAACCGCAGAAAAACGAAGTCCAATTTCCGGAAAATTCAGTAATTTTTGATGCGGAAAAGTGAGGGTCTGATCTAAAAATAAAAGAAGCTCTCCTCATTTCTCACAATCTCTCTTCTGTACTTTTGCAAAATTATAAAACGTACTTGAGATTGCTCTCCGAGTTTGTCAATGAATTGGCCAGCGTACTTTGGCATGATCGGAATAACTTCTTTTTCTTGGTCTCCTTCTCTGTTGTCACTGATGTATAAGATATGGCGTCTGTACCTCGTCGTTTTTTGATCATCTCCAATTGGGCGCAAAACTCAGTTTTCCGAGATCCAGCTTCGTCGGGGATCAAGGACAATTCAACTGCTCGTTGACATGCCAGCCCAGTCGTAAGGGCCACTCGGTTGACCTAAAATAATATTTTTTTTACATTTTGTGTTGATCAAACACTGTTGTGACATTTTTGGTAAAGATTTTCTTCGTACAGCTCCTTGTCTAGTCTATTTTTTGTCATTCGTAAGTTCATATTTAGTGCGTTTTAGGGTATCCCTTATCTTTTTTTATTTGCATAAGATACTCTATGATACCCGTGTTTTCCGTCGCAATTCAAATTAAATACTTTGTTTGCAAAAAATCTCTTTTACGAAAATTCTGAACTGATAATATTCGTAATAACCGCATTTTCGACCGTTCCGTGAGAGATCAATACCCAAAAAATTTATAGTTTAGAAGAATTACTGTAGCATCTAAACGATAACTCACTCTGACTCGTTTCTTGAGTCCCATCATGGCCAAGAAGATGAGACGATACTTGCTGGAGAAGATGATGTAGACCAGAGTAGATGTGGACGAGTTCAGAGTGATCAGAACATTGGAAACTTCCACAGCTCTCTCGAAGAATTGGACATCCTCAACGCTCTCAGAAACCCCGGCATCGCTCTTTAAAAGCATAATTGATTCCATTATTCCATTACAAAAAGCAAGGCCGTTGCATAAAAGAAATAAGGCCACAATTGCAAGGAGCATTAAGGTGACGGAGCGATCCCGCCATGAGTTTGTAAATCGATTCTTGAAGATGTCCGTGGAAGGCTTCAGAATACTGAAAGGACGGGAATTATACATACATATTGACAGGATCCTTTTAGCGCTGTTTTGCACTCGTTAATATATTGAGCTCCCTATCGTCTGAATTGAATAAATTATACTGCAAATCGCCCTTGGACATCTCAACGAGAATCTCAAATTGCTTGCAATAATATACATATATAAACATGTATATGTGTATATATATACATATATATATATACTATATATATATAATCCATCTAACCTTTTCTCGTCATTGAAGCCGTATAAGGAAGTAAAATGATTGCCCTTTACATTTATGACTCATGGTATCATCCTGTAGGTCTCTAAAATCTCTAACCATTTTTAATCCGAAACAGGTATTCCAGTTCGTGGAAATTTGAATTTTTTCCTTCATAAACCATTTTTGCAGTATCATAAGACATGGATTATAGAAAACAACAGAGCTTACAAGGGTGGAAACTAGCTTCTTAATCTTACTCATTACAGGGTGACCCAAAATAACGGAGACAAAAGATTTCCCGTTTTTTCTGCGACTTATTAAGATTCATGAGTGACTCCTTATTTATATTACAGTACCACGTTAGGGTAGTTTTATTCACCGGTAGTTTTGTTGTACGATGCTCTTCTGTCTTGAACGACATTAATATATCCGGTTGACTTGGACCCTTCTGCCCGTGGGGTCTTTTTACAAGAAAGATGCCTTACTCAAAAAAGAAAACTCGGAATAGTTTGAGATTTGCAGTTATAAATTATCATAATAAAATCTTTAAAATGAGCTATCGTACTAAGCTTAACTATCGATGGTTCAAAAGTTACAGCCGAGTATTTTCAGGCAGTTGAAGTGCAAAAATCGGCTTTTTTTGAAAATGTAAGCGTAAGAAGGAGTTTGAATGTTAGATAAGGCAAAATGTAATATGAGTTACTAGAACATGATTAAAGGAACACCATAAAAGCAAAAGAGAAACATTTTGTAGCTATTTGGTAATCACCAGAATTCTGCCTTATTTTTGCCTTAGGCGGAATACAGGTCGAGTCGGTGACACATAAAGACCGAAAGTGCCCTAGGCTGATTCTCAAGAGTCGTAGTCATAAGTGTACAGGAGCATAATGCGCCATTTTTATCTATCATGTCATTCTGTTATCGATAACCCATCTTTCTCAAAGCAGCGTGCCATGGGGAAGTTCTGGGCGAGAAACTTGTTAAGGAAAAGCTGTTGCAACTAGCAAGCAATCACAGATTTTTTCAGAATCATTCTATTTATGAATAGAAGACGTACTAGCGGTTTTAGCTTTATTTGAAAAAAACTGAATTTTTTATGGAAAAAATTTGGGAAAAATGGCGATCTTCAATGTTGCGATCGGTACCACCGTAGAAATAAAAATCGTAGCCCAAAAACCTACGCAACTGCTTTCTTAGAGACATAGTAGTCTAACAAAAAAAATGAACTAGCCATTTCTGCAGCTGTAGTACAGCCAGGCTCTACGCAACACACGGGAACCAAACTTGAAAGCCAAAAAACGGCGCAAGGCATCTTTGTTAAGCTGTAACTTTTTTTTGCGTCTTGATGATTCCACCAAATTTTCGTGGATTATAGAGGAGGTGTTATAGAATATTACCCATTGTCGCTTATGTTTCTCTAACCCCCGGTTTTCGCGGTGGGACCTTCAAACATTTGTCTCCGTTATTTTGGGTCACCCTGTATGCAACGGAAATTGGATAGAAAAGAAGGAGTTTCGATGGACATTTTTTTAAAATGATGACTTAATAAACGAATCTATGATGTAAATCTTACTTGCTGTTTCCCAACCGACTGAACGTCTGGAACATCTCACTGTACTTGGTATGTTTGAGCAGACGAAATTGTTTCAACAGAACCTCATGCTGACTCAGCACTTCCTTTTCACTCTGACATTCACTCTTCGTCGAATAAGTGTGCATCTTCCTCAGCTTGGACGAATGTCTCATTGCTTGAATAATTTTGATATTCACGGTGATTAGGACCGCGAAAGGGAAGGCGAACATTACAAATGTATAGACGATGGTCTTCTTGATGAGAACATACGTCATCTCATGGAAGGGGGCCAGGGCAATCTGTTGAGATGGGGCTGAGAATCGCTCCGAATAGCAAGGGACCACACTCAGCTCAAGCCAGGTGGGTACATTGATCAGGACACTAAAGGCCACGGATCCGAATATGGCCCACTGAACGGGAGATCGAGTTACCCAACGTTTGGCTTTAAAGGGATAACAGACGCCGAGAAATCGATGGACTGAGACCAGAACGGTCAAGTAAACTCCACAGGTTTGGGCGGTTAATGCCAAAGGATATGAGTACCTGGAAAAATTGTATTTGCATTTACATTTGAGTTTAGAGAGGGTATATATGTAATATGGAAAAGAAGACTACAACGCAATAACCAAGTCATATTACGAATTGCTACTTCCTTAAACAAGGGTTTCCGGGAAAGCAAAAACAAAACAAGTCTTCCGAATTCCGGCGGAAATAGGGCATCAAAGATTTAAATTCCTGTAAGAGATTAACAAAGGAGATGACCCTAATCTGGCCCTTCAGTTTATTCAATTACACCGACATGGAATGCTCTAATCTGTTAAGTGAGACCATCCGAAGCCGTCTAATGACTCGCAGATTCTGGGGATTCCATTTCAGAGATCAAAACTGGATTATTCCATGTTATTATACACTTGAGTATAATAACATGGACTTAAGTTTGGGTGGTAAACTCTTTTAAACATGGGACTTAAGTTTGGGTGGTAAACTCTGCTAATACTCAGATTAGATTGTGGGTAAAGACAATTTAAACTGCAAACCAACTTATAAACTTTTATTTACAACGACGAAAATACAACTGTAAGGCCTCTTAAAATGTAACTGTTATGTCTGTGGGATACAATAACAGTCTGGCTGTCTAGCTAGCTCGTTAAGAATGTAAATTTCACCAAGATTTTAAAAATTACAATGTATTTCAATCATCAAATTGTATGAAGTTTGAACGCAACTTACCGAATGACCTGAGGAAAAACATTATTCCAAAAGAAACTGTCCATTTCGACGACAAGCACTGGCAAAACGAGGAAACAAAAATTGCAGGCCAACAATAACAAGTCTGAAATAGTGGATTTACTACGGTAATTCCATAGTCTGCACTTTTTCATATCACTCCGTCTCAGATATTTCCTTTTCCGGATTTCAACTCATTAAAATGAGAAGTTGGTTCTTTTTTGAGCTCCATCTTGAGATAATCCCTCAAATAAATAATCGCCGTCAACGTATCTTATTAACTGTCATGTGAGATAGGTTGGGATAACAAGTAACCTTCGAATCTTCGGAAAAAAGTGAAGGAAACAGATTGTTGCTTGCATAAATGATCACAATTCAAAAAAGAATGTTGAAAATATTTCAAAAGGGAATAAATAATATAAATGTAATAACGACCACTTTGAAATTTCAAAATGTCGCAAATGTGTAAAGAGGATTCAATAAAAAAACGGCGAAGTCATCAAACTGATTTTTCCGATCAAATCTCACCTGATATGCTTAGCACCAACAAAAAATGATTGACCAGCATGGTCCTCATTTCCGGATCAGCGAAAATAAAAATATTCAGAATGTTGGCGAAGATGCCGAAGATGCTGATCGGCATGTTTGCGTAGATCCGATAGCCCTTCTGGTCGTCCGAATAGACGCCCTCCGGGCACACGGTCAGGTTGAGGCGATTGGCGGCCATCAAAGCGCGCACGGAGACGCCGTCGATGGTCGTCGAATTGGAAGCGAACTGGTCGGACGCCGTCATCGCCCCACCCCGCCACAAATCCGCCCGCTGCCCACTCTCCGCGTCGGCCGTACTCCCTCTCTTTCTCTGCTGCGTTTCGGCCGCTTTCTCGTTCTGGGCCAGCCGAGTTTTCTCGGTGTTGGCGGATTTCCGCTTCTGAAGTCTTTAGCCGGGCCCTCCACAATCCCCAATCCCTCCTGGTCGCGGGAGGTGGATGAAGGACAAATGGAGAAGATGAGGCCTGAAATGTAAATGTAGAAAGGTGAAAAAATGTAAATCAAACATAGAACTATAATCCCGACGATGGCGTAAACACGGCGGACTTTGGGATTGCTAAGATGTTTACCATTGGCTGAAAAAATAAGCCAAAAAAGATCAAGTGACTAATGAGCAGCAACAGTGAAAAAGGTGATTGTAAATACACAATATTTGTGATCTTGGATTGTGGGAAGACCAGTTTTTTAAATTCCAATGTCGTCATAATGCAAAAACAGAGGATAAAAAACATAAAACTCCCGGCAAAAATACATTGTAAATATCCCAAAAATAATGCAAACATCATAAGCTTCTAAAGGTACCAGTAATCATTGCAAATAACCGAAACAGTAAAATCCCCAAAATTGCATAATAGTAACTTGATTACTTGGAATCCGTTTTCTTGGCCACCCCGGTGGTCTCTGGCTTACAAGATAAGTCTGTTATTGACTAAGGGTCTTATCATTTACATTTCTGGTCACATTACTCTTCCCGTTCCGTTCTTAAAAGTAATTTAGTAAGATTTCCGAGAAAAGCGCGTTTTTAGAAATTACATATTAACATAAGACTGAGCTCATCATCGGCTTTGTAATCGGAAATAATCCCGTTATGGCCCTGTCACGTATCATGATGCCTTTGATTACTATTCGATGATCACTTAGACTCCAGAATTATTGGCCAATATAGGTAACGCAAATTTCTTTTTAATTCTTGATTTGAACAGCAATTGCAGTCAATTCTGTGACATTTTAGAATCTTGACCGAACTGATTAAGCCCCAAAATATCCGGATTAAGTTCAAATTAATTGTCTGGAACTACTCTTGGATTAATAAGCTGTTAATTTGCAGGCTAATTATCCAATTATAAATAATATAAATTTACATTCCATGTAAAGGACAAGTCCAAATTGGCTACTCAGACAGCCACAGCTAGATCCGTGACATTTTTAATTGTAAAAGTTTAATCGAATTAAGGAAACCCTCATAATGTATAACACTTTAAAAGGCCCTCAGGCGGAATAAGAAAGGAAATGCAGAATTGAGTCATGCATAAATCGACCGCTAAAACAGCGAGTTCTTACTTGTTCGGGAAAGAGATTTGAGCTCGGAGTTTATACAGAGAATTCTCAAAAAATTGGAAAAAACAAAGGCACATATGGGAAGAATGGATAAGGGCCGGGATGTGGGTCAAGTGTAATATCAGGAAGCTGGTTGCAAAGGGTTTGGGAAAGCTGGAGTTCAGCAAAAAATATTTATTTACATGGGCCAAATGGGCTGGAAAGTGCTCGAGGAATTTAAAATTTGTCAAAAATAGTCCAGGATTTTTTAAACCTACATAGTGCATGCAAACAATTTTAGCAGAGATTGCTGATAAACATTCATAAAAAAATCGTATGTTTTTCTGTTGAAGAATCAAGCTTTTTACCTAAAGACTACATGATCAATTTTAAAAAAACATTATGGCAAATCTTGGAAAATATAACGAGGACAACGCAGGATAAATGCTCCGCACTTGGACCCCACATTATCAGAGAAAAGTGCACCTTTTCTAGAACTTGTAAACCTTCCGGCGGCTTCTCGTAATAACCCTGAGCTCGACCAAAGTTTAAATCACGTGTGTTTTCTGGACCTTCGGTTTAACGAACACATCGGTAATCCTGTGTTTTTGCTTAATTTTTCTCGGAAGAGGGTGGGTTGGGCAAATTAAGATCGGCATTTCCTATTTTTAATTGCAAAAATGCAATTAAAAAAGCAAATTTGGGTCAGAAAACTAAACAAATATTCACATGAGGGGGATTGGACATGCAGATAAATTAAACATTATTGTAGACTGACTTTATATAAAGATACAAGGACGACCGCTTACTCATCCATGAGTACTCATAACATTTACGAGAGACTAACGCAAATCCCGCTTAATCTGGAGAATTTTCGGGTACTTTGAGGGTTCACATGGAAAACAGAAGGAAAGTTCTCAACAGACATCGCAACCGGGCCGGGCTTACTTCCCACCGACGGGCTCAAGATTTGGATTTCGATCCGAGGCCCGGTCTCAGACTATTTTTGTGTAAAAAAATATAGGCCTCCTTTCCAGGCTTGAAATTTTTGGCTTGTTTTTACACAATCCACAGATATCCAGCTTTTTGAAACACTATGACAGACGCCGAGGATCCCTCAACTTGTTTAGGATCTGCTGAATTTTGAGGTTTGATCACCAAATAAAAAACATTGAAAGCGTTACAGGCTAGACTTGTGTTCATAAAAACTTCCCAGTTCACCTATTTTAGCTGCCATTGAATGCAACAAGTTTTGAATGTTCCGAGAAGTCGAACTCGGCCTCAGAATGCTTGCACTCAGCACGAGATCCATTCCATGCTGTGCCCAAAATGGTGGTATCTTCTTTTATTCTGGGACCGGCCTCGGAAATCCGCTGAATCAAAGCACGCGTACCCCCAATGGAGTTTCTAACAAACAGTTTAGCGGATCCTAAAAGCGTTTCAGAGCAATTTGATTAGCAAGTTCAGGGAGTTGGCAGCCAAGAAAACGAAACATAAATCAGAGATGGGCGGGATTAGAGGACAAAAATATTCAAAGGCTTAAAACAACATTAGTTTCGTCATTCCGAAAAAAGGCAAGGCGTGAGATCCCGGATGATGGAGAAGTGGCGGGACCATCGCTTCAGGGAGATTAGAAGCTTACAATAATAAGGCCATAACAAATAATGGTGCTTTGATGAGTGAACGATACTATATTATGCAGTCTATGGACATATTAAAAGTAAAATGCCCTAGACAGCAAAAGGAAAAACCACTACGCATTAGGCCACCCATACAACCCCCAAATTCTCTAATTTCGGGTTAAATAATTACCTTCTAAATTTCCACCCTCCGGCTTTTGTTACTATTTAAGGTAATAAGATACGTTGGTTTCTTTAAACTAGTCTGACCCATCCAATTATAGACAAATCTTTGATGTATTTAAGGACCACAGATCAGTCATGACCAAAGAACATGGTCAAGAAACAAAGCAGTAAGTCTTGACCAAGTCATCTCTGGATGAAATCAGTAATGCCATTTCCGATGCAAAAAATACGTGGTAAAGCATGTTGCCAAAGCCGACCAGATTGTATATATTTTCAAGGTCTAGCTTATGATTAGCCAAAATTGAAAGAGCAAGGTTTGCAGACAACGACCTTAAAAGCACGCAGAATATTAAACGGCTAGACTAACACAAAACTTCCTTCCAATATACCTGTCCTCCTTAATCCAAAAAGCCCTCTGGACATTTGGGACTTCTTAAAAAGACTTAACCAAATCCTCTTCTGACAATGAAAACCCTGAGGAAATGAGATTTCAGCTCTCATCATTCTTCGTTATCCCCATCAATTTGCAAATTTGTTATTTTGGGATGGAATAGGCCCAGAAATAGAAGCTTCTCCCCCTCAAAACGATTTGACTTTCATAAAGCTCTATAATTAAGAATATAATGTTGAGGGTGAGGCCAAGGCACGGAATATATTATCCATCCCAATTAGAGGGCCTTCTTTGCAAATTACAGCGAACATTGCAAGAATAATTCATCGACTCTAAACGTTTAGAGAGCACAAATTGAAAGAACGAAAGGCACGTCAAGGCAGAGATATACTACCGGGTTACAAATTAGCGGATTTCTTTGAGGGGGAATAAAAGTACTTTCTTAACATCGCTTAACTCTTTTCGACCAACGGCTCAATGCAAAAATAGAAGATGGTCTAACTGTATAGATCATTTTACGTCATCAATTTAATTTGCACATAACGCAAATCATAAAAAAGAAAATTCGGAATAAAAAATTTGGACCGTAAAGCAAAAAAATGATCCTACAGAAGACACCAACGTAAATTACAAATCCACTGAAAGAAATTAAAACCAAAAAAAATCGTCCAACGGTGTAGAAGCATCTTGCGGTTAGACGAAAATCAAATCTCATCAGAGCCAAGCTGATTTACGGAAGAGCCAATTAATATTTCCTTCTTTAAATTTAATCCTTCCGACGTCAACACATTCGAAAGCCTTGTTTTTTCTGTATGATCAGATTAGAAGTAACAAATGTAATTAAAAGTGTGAGGACAAAAAAACGTCAGCTGATTCAAATGATTCTTTAATGAACCCATTGAGAGGCCGAATCAATGAACTAACAAGGGAAGTACCCCAAGTGCGACGCTTAGATTTTCTTTAGATTTTGCACACACTTCGGGCATAGAATAAATATCAATTCCTCAAAGTTTTAGCTCGCGCTTTGAAGGCGAAGCCGAGATATTCAACGATCTTTGCGGCCGAGAGTGTACGCCAAACGCGGAGAGCGGTCAGAGAGAAAACACTTTTTGGCCATAACTTTGCCGGTTTAGTGCGGAAAAAAATATTTTTTTGTGGAAACATTTAACTTTACGGTAGAAAAATAGGGATGCAACCTTTTGTGCCGAAATTCGACAAAAAGTCTAAAATTTTCGTCGATTTTTTCGACCTAAAAATTTCGGTGTCTTCTGGAAAGCGCGAGCTAGGATTCTCGCATATATTTTATAAAAAATTGTTTTTAATTTGTGACAATTTTCATCAAAATCTGAGCGTCGCACTTGGGAACTTCCCCTGTAAACCAAAAAACCTTACTGTCAGAAAAAAGTAGGGTAAAGCAACGAAATGTTTGTTGTCCCAGACAATACGGAAACTAGACATATTTTGTTATTCGATATGAAACATCCGGCATTCGTTTGGGAATGACAAAAGGATGAGAGTTACGTGATAATCTGCCGGATTCCCGTCGTCGGTAATTGGTTCTTCCATCTCTAATCTTATACCGCGAAAGGACGGGGCGATGACAAATGGACTGACTCTTCGAGGATATTTGCTACGTTACTGGCAAATCAGGTCAGTAAAATTTGTTTTGAAAGAAGATTTATTCAAAAGGAAGGCCTAAAATACTAACATTATTGCAATTAAACTGCTCTAACTCTCGCATTCAAAAATAACAAAGACGGTATAAGAGAAGGTCGTTTATCCTCGGACTTTCTGTAATTTGTTTTCAAAAGATTTTTCGAACGAAATCAGGACAATGAAG